TATAAAGTAAATTTTATATCTTATTAAGTTATTTTATAATATTTATGTACTCTATTTTATATAGCATTTTTATCCTTAGTTACTTGACGTGTGTCTGTCAGTGAACAGCCGACGACGTAGTGTGGGGTGTGTCTACGGTCTTCCTAGTCCGCCCGCCCCCATTTTAATATCGAGCATGCAGTGCAGGCAATTGAATGGCTATGTGTCCATCGGGTCGTAAACTTTGCCTTATGATTTACCGTGTGCTGCCGTAATCTCAACGTCCGTCTCCGAATCCTCGCTGCTATTCAACAGCTATAGTTGTACGGTTACCTGCCTTACGATCCAACCTAGCGCTCCACTCTCCCTCTCCGTTGAAGCATTGCAAAATCCACACACAACCGCGAAAATGCCTGCGAGCACAACCGGACAGCAATCGTCCTCGAAGAGGTCAGTTCAACAACCCATGTGGGACCTAGAGCCCACAATCTGCCCAAAACACAAATGCTGACCTCTGCACCAGCCACCAACCAAGGCCCCCTCGGCTACGAGCAGCCTGCAACCAATGCAATGTCGCAAAGGTTCGTGGTTAGGACCACTTCAAATATAATGGATGCTTACGCTCCTGTCCAACTAGGTGAAATGTACTGGCGAGAAGACTGGATGTAGTCGCTGCATTAGCCTCAACACCGAATGCATATACATGGAATCCAGAGTGGGAAAAGTCCAGGGCATTCGAACAAAGCGGAAGAAGACACATCCAGAAAGTGCACCTTCAGATGATGGTGTCAGTTCTCAGTCGAATTCGACTCAAATCCAAGACGACGATGAAGATGAGACCGAAGGGCGCGACAGGAACAGAGCGGACACTCTCATATCTAGTCTTCCATCTCCAAAAGCACATTTCCCGGACTCTGCTGATCAAATTGGACTCCAACCCTGGTCACCTGGATCCTGGTCCTGGAACAATGAACTTTTCACTCTTGATAGCAACATAACGTCGAGATATACTGGAGAGACCGGTGTTTCAGGTTCAAGTGAGGCGTCTAGTGCACAACTTCCAACATCTATTACTGCTTCGAGCGTTTGCACACGTTTGACGGAAGTCGAATGTGAAAACATCGGCAACCTTACCACTGCAGCAGCTATTCAGTCACTTCCAACGCCCATATTCACACCATCTACTGCTCGACCGCCCACCTTTACTACTACTTCCGCCCTACCCCAGCCTACAACTGAGACCATGTCGATTCAAAGACAACAAGCCCTAGCTGCAAGAAACAGCAAATGCGTTCTTGCCTTGGCCAACATGGTCATCACACTAGAGAACTACCTGGTTTCCAATCTGAAGGTACTCGACCTCATCATAGCATCGGTCCGGACAGTCGCCGAAGAGATGCGTAGAATCCTACAGTATCAGCGAGAGTCAAGGGATGATCGCTGCATGTTCCTATCTACCACAATCATGTATCAAGTGATCGAACTATTAGAGATTGGTGCCAATGCTGTCTTCGAGAAAGGGCTGGCTGAACAAGGCCATGCTGGACCGGCCGAAGACTTTGAAGACTTCACACCCAAGCTTGGTTTCGGCGCTTTGTCCACGTTCAATGCTGAAGAGCAGCGTTCCATGAAAATTCATGTCCTTCGTAAGGAGTGCCAGAATATGGAAGAGGTGTTGGCACAGCTTCTAGCGCTGGCAAAAGTAGGGCCAAATGCTGGCGCACCACCATTGTCGGAAGCGGAGATGGAGGATAAGACGAAGTGCTTCACAGGGTTGCAAATTAGGTTGAAGAACTTGATCTGTAAGGCGAATCTAGCGTTGTGATACCTTTTCTTTTTTTTATAGCTATTATTATCCAATATACTGTAACTCCCAAATCATTAACAGACCCTCAGACCATTAAGCGACTGCTAATCTACTGGCACAACATAAGTGCCGACCATCCTCATGCCATCATGTGTAATCTACTGTCCAGTCATGTGGTTTTTTACAGCTATTTAGTAGCAAATACAACATTAGCACGAACCTCTATCAACCACTCCCCATTCTCTAACCTCTCATACGAATCGCTAGCCTCACAAAACTCCAAGAACGCGTCGACCGCCGCATCCCAGCTTTCTTCATCTCCTTGCAACCATCCTGTCAGCGGCCTTCCCAGGCGACTCCAGGTGTTCTCTGCAAACTCGCGAATATCTTTAATTGGGACTTTATTCGATAATGTTTCAAGCCTCACGTTGTCCTTCTCAAATCCTGCCTTCGCGGCCAGCCCCGCGAGGAACTCGCCAGACTGCCATATCGGAGGCAGTGTTCTAAGAAGTGGGCCATTGGGGCCACGAGTGGCTAAAGTAGCCTTTTGGACCGGCTCGAAAACAGGGAGAAGTTGCCATGCCGTGTAAATTGCGGTACCGCCTGGCTTCAGCGTCCTGTGCATTTCGCGCAGCGCCGGGACACCGTCGTCGGGGATCAGAAAGACAACGAAATTTGCGAAGGAAATATCGAATGTATTATCCTCAAAGTCTAGCGCGTCGGCCGACATGTTGAAGGTTTCAGCGGGCCAGCCATTGGACTTTGCGGCGGCGGCATAGGCTTCGACGTAGAGTGGGTCGTTGTCATTTGCTTTGATGGTGAGGGAGGGAACGCTGCTCCGGGCGAGGATGGCTCGCGTTACCTCTCCGGTGCCGCAGCCATTGTCGTGAATGACGAGTGATTCCGCTTTGGGAAAGAATAGATCAATTGCTTTTTCGGCGATGCCTTGGGTGAACTTGGACGACAACTCGGCGTATGCACGAGCGTCTTGGAGTTCGGCTCGCTTTGGAGTGAATTCATCCGCCATGGTGCTGTATGCGCCTTGCTGTCTGCCTGTATCTTACTGCTTTAAAAGATCTCAAAGGCTTACCTATATCTCACTGTTCGGAGCGCGGACCCCAAAACCACCGGCATTGGTACGTTCGTGGCTTTTGGGCGAGGCACCGAGACCGGCCACCGAGCGATTGCGAATCCAAGCATAACTATGCTCACGATCAGGCGTATGGACTAATGGCAGAATCTGAAAGTTTACAGAGAACTCATGGCCGACTCAACGATTTACGACGCGCTCATTATTGGCGGTGGCCCAGCCGGGCTCAGTGCCTCGCTACCCATCATCCGCCAGCAGTTCTCTGTCGTCATTTTTGATGAGGGGAAGTCGCCCATTGACCCAAGCAAACGCTTACATCTCATTCCCAGCTGGGACCACCAGGACAAGGATCTCTTCGCGACGTCTGCGAAAGATAACCTGTCCCGATATGAGACGCTACGGTTTGAGCGCACGACGATCGAACGAGTGAGGAAGGTAGAGAAATATCTCTTTGAAGTCGAGGACTCAAAGGGACAAAAGTGGAAGGGAAAGAAAGTAGTTCTGGCGAATGGGGTCCGCTACATTCTGCCGGACATCGAAGGGTACGCGGATTGCTGGGGGAAGGGCATGTATGTACATCATTCTGTTATGGCAGTAGCTCCAAACTTACCCAAATCAGATATCGCTGTTGCTTCTGCAATGCATTTGAAGATCGCGGCGCTAATTCAGTTGGAGTGTTGGCGGTCGATGGATTCGCATCTGTCCCTATGGCACTCCACGCCGCGCAAGACTTCAAAAGGTTTGCGAAGCAAGTGACGATATACACACACGGCTCTGAGTCGCTCGCGGAAGAACTGGCCGCAGCCATTACCAACCCTGAGAAGGTGAAGATAAAGACTTCCAAGATCAAATTGTTGGACAAAACGGGAGCCGGGGGCGAGTGCACTGTGCATCTTGAAGATGGCAGCTCGCATGTCGAAGGATTCCTCGGACATATTCCCGCGACAAAGCCAAACGGGCCCTTTGTTGAGGATTTGGGGGTGGAGCTAGACGAGCAGGGCGATGTCAAGGCCGTGCCGCCGCTAAATGCGACCAACGTTCACGGAGTATATGTTGCAGGCGACCTGTGTAGTTTTTCGAAGATAACGTCGCACGCATTCTATCTTGGGAATATAGCTGGGGCGGGTGTAGCCGAAGAGCTGCTAGCGGAGTCATAATGAAGTGAATGAGGGGCATGGTTGGACGACGATAGGAAGAGAAAAGCCCAAGGCTGTTGGCCTTACATTTCAATAACGCATGTTATTATACGACAAATGGAGAAGCTCGCCGGAGAATGAGCTGTATTGCCTGCACGAATTATGCATGATGGGGTGATCGTGTCTGCAATGATACGATGGACATCCCTCTAGAGGATGCAACGCGCTCCGTACCCAATTGAGTATGTGCCGCGATGTTGGAACGAGACTTGCACTCATGCAGTGACATGCACGTATAGACGGCAGAAGTGCCAGGGTGGTTCTAAAATCACGAATTTCATTTGCCGTTCAGTCGGTAATGCGTCGCAATATACCTGGCACGCTTTCAGAATTCGTCTTACTGTGTTGTACGTACGATACGGACTGCTTGGCAGATTAATCCACGTGATGTTTTCCTTTTGGGGTTGTCAATATTTACTGAAACGAGCAAAAGATGTTTTCTACTATTGCGCATGATAAAGTAGATAATATCGAGATCCGTTTCTTTTGAACGGACCGTTGACGTTGTGGCACTTGGACACATGGCGGCCGCTAGATGAGGGTCCGCCCACCGCCCACCCGCTCAAGCTCCCGCAGTTGGCGTTCTCTAATCCTTGTTGCGAATCACTTTGGAGTGGCAGGTGGATACTCCCAACTACTCCTGACTCCTACCGAATTCCTAACATCAAGGTTCAAGCCCCCTTTCGCCCCCAGACAATCTTGTACTGCCAGTGTGCACTGACGGGCTCCTTGTTGAACTCACTCTCAAGGTCATCCTTGATCCCCACCACTCTCTCCTGAGGCAGAGTCAATAGTTGCTGCGGGAAAGCTGTTCCAGTTAGCTTGCAATCCTGAATGATATGGCGACAATATCGCTTACTGGATGTGATGCCCAAAATGCTGCCCGCGGTGGTGAGGATACTCCTCTTCGCAATCTCCTGTGCCTTTTTATCCTCACGGGTACCATAATTCGCTTCCACGGTTTCTTCTTGGACATCGACAAGGCCCAAGGATTCCAACCACGACTTTGCATTGTCAATGTGCGTGAGGCTAGCGCCGATTGTCTTTATCATATCGGCCAAACAGACATTCAAGTCCTTGAACGCCTGACCATCGGTCTCTTTGGTCCATTGTCGCACCTCCACGAGCTGAATCCATCCTCCCGGTTTCAGCAGGTCGACGTAGCCCTTAAGCGCCTTGATGGTATTTTCCTCACTACCTGGGACCACGAGCGCGAGACGCTGGTGAATGAGGTCGAACTTGCCGTTCCAGTCTGCGGGCCATGGCTTGGTGATATCTTGCACATGATAACTCGTGTTGGCCGGAGGCTCTTTAGGGAAATATGATACCTCAATATCGGTTCCAGTATAGCTATGCTGGGAATCGTTGGGGGCGATGGAAGCTTGGAGATCGCGGATCCACAGACCTTGTCGGATTAGTTTACTTGTGGCGTCGCGGGATGGATGGTTTGAGGCTTGCACTTACCGTCACCCGTGCATGCATCTAGGATTTGGAGAGGAGAACCATCGAAACTGATGGGGGCAAAGACTTGCTTGCCCTTGGTGGCATCTTTGATGATGACGTGCTGAAGAGCCAGGCGCGTAAGCTCGTTATCGTTATGGAAGAGGTAGTCGTTCTCTATTTCGGCTGCCATGGTTGCTTGCTCGCTTGCTTGTCCAACGGGATTCTTCGACTGTTCTGTAAGCTCCGAGGTTTCAGAGCGTTGGCACTGTATCGGGATGAAGGAGTAGATAGTAGGCTGGCTGGAGCAGCTGGACTAAATACCCAGGCCAGGTAGCTATTCACAACAAGGCACCTGCGCCGCAACCGTGCCGCTCAGGCTGCTGTTGCCCCGCACCACTTCCTTGTTTGTGTGTATCCACTGGTGAACACACATACGTATGTACCTAGATATATATATAGTAAATAAATAGTATATAAAGGGGTAAAACTTTTATACCTTTTACTACTTACTATTATATATACTTATAACTTTTAAATATATATATTATTTAATCAATTAAAGTATTTTTTTTTATTTAATTATGTTTATTTAAAAAAAATTTTAATTTTAATTTAAATATAATATATAAATTAATTAATAAAAAATGAATCAAAATATTATTTTTATTAGTTATTTTTATTAAATATTATACTTTTAAATAGTAGTAGATAAGTTATTAAGTATATAACTATATTATTCTAGTATAGATAAGCACCTAAGGGCATACCTAACACCAATGATGACCAGATCCAGGTACAAGGTTTGACCGATGCATGAAATGAGAACTCGAGATTGTGTCGTCCCTCTATTCTTGTTCGTTCGTTTACTGTTACCCTGGACACACGGCTGCATGCCAATACACTTTCGGCGACCGAGGCGTTCTGCTGCGTTCTAGAAATGAAGGAGGGTAAGAACATGTTGTTGGTGTTACACAGATTATATTACCCCAAAAGAAGGATGGGCAAAGTCCGTTGGTGTTACACAGAATATATTGACCTGCAGCCATTGGAAGAGCTCATCGCGAGAGCAGATAAGCGCTCACTGCCACCTGAATCACATTTCTTTCAGCTGACGCTCCTGTCCTACATTCCTTTTTCCCGCCCGCTACGCCTCTTCTTTCATCGTTAGATTCTGGATTTGCGACTAAATCATGTCTGGAGGACTACCACCACCTATGGATCCGGGCATGATGCCCTTGGGGGCTCCTCCACCTGGAGTAGTGCCAAATTTCGATCATCCAGCGAGCAAGAAGACGATGCAGATTGCTGTGATGGCGGCCATTGCTCCTTTCACTGCTCTGGCAGTTTGCCTGCGAGTGTATGCGAAAACAGTTGTGCGAAGGGACTTCGATGCATCGGACTGTGAGTTCAAGGCTTATAGGAGTAATTGGAGTATAGACTAATGCTAGTTAGGGACCTGTGTGGCTGGCTTGGTAAATAGATCCAAACGACTATCGCGGGACCAACTGACCTGGTTTGACAGATTAGTATCATTGGATATAGCTACACGGTGTTTGATTGTATGAAATACCCCTCATGATGATAAAAAAATCTAGCTAATCGCAACACCAGTGTCCGTCATCCCTGGAGTCGGAAACCATCAGTATGAGCTTCGTATGAAAGACATTCCCGAGCGTTATTATTCCGTCAGTTACCTTCGCATCCTACTACATTTGTCTAACTAACCTCCGCGATATCAGAATCTCATTGCAAGCGGAATTCTTCTTGCATTGTGTCTCTACTTGGTCAAGCTCTCCCTGCTTCTCCTAATCGGTCATATCTTCTGGGTCCGCAAATCGGCTCGATATCTCATCATCAGTGCTACCGTCATAACGACTCTCGTCTATATCGTTTACTTCGTCCTTTCCATGTATTACTGCATTCCCCGGTCAAATGAGACAGCAATGGAGATTTTGGTCGGAATAGGCACTTCGAGATGTCTCAACATCTTGACTTTGTCGGCATTCCTCGCTGGTTTCAATGCTGTTAGCGATGTCTTTGTCCTCGCAGTATCGGTGCCGATTCTCATGAGGCTACACACATCGCTGGGTCGGCGCATCCGAGCAAGTGGACTGTTTTGTTTGGGTCTCACGTAAGTTTACTGGATGAAGATGATAACCCAGCATTTGACTGACTTTGATTCTCAGTGCCACTGTGATCAGTATCGTGAGCGCCTACTATCGAATCAAGAACCAGTCCTCCGATGGTACTTGGGAGTACACCACGCTATTCATTCTAGGGTGCGTTAAATATCATATTGATGCAGGTTCTATGCTTACACTTTGTAGATACTACGAGATCTGCCTGGGAATGATCTGTGCCTGCCTTCCTACACTCCCGATCCTGGGTTCGAGTGCCGTGGCGCAACGCCTCCTCAATTCTCGCATCTTCTCCCTCATCTCAAGCACTTCAGAGTCCCGCTCTCGCTCCAAAGGATCAACTAACGACTATGAGCCTTTCCCAAAATCAGACAATTCGTCAACGACCAGACTGGCCAATGGTGAGGTGCCTGGAGCTGTCACTATTACCCGCGAATTCAACGTTGAGAATACCTATGAGCTCAGTCTGGCCGAGAATGGATATAAGACGAATGGACTCAAGCACTGAAGATCAGACACATGGAGGATGGAAAAAGAGCGTATCTGTTTGCGTACTTGACCTTGTTACTGGGTGTTTGATAGCTTCGCCTGGTAATATATATTGTTTTAGAACCATCCCGTTTCTTCTTCACGCTTTCCAGTGATCAATATTTGCAGTGAGCATCATGAATAATTGTTTAATATAATTGCCGTCGAAGTTAACACGCAGTCATCTATCAATTTGGTCATACGATTGTTCACTGCTTTCGAATCGTATAGTTCTATAGAGGGTCGTCAATTTTTAATCCCTTTGATCCGATGTTTTCACCTCAGCTCCTCCCTCATCCTTCCCTGTTCCCACTTCACCCTGCTCCGTCTGCTCATCTACATTCCTCTCTTCAAGCCCAAAATCAGTTTCGAGATTCTCCCGCAACTTCACCCGTTTCTCCACAAAGACAATGAAAAATCCCAACAAACTGAACGCAATGGCCGTGTACCACATACTGCTAATGCTCAACTCGTACAGGTGCAACACCTGGTCCTTAGTCTGACCAGTCAGTTCATTGAGCCACTTGCTGTTTGCTTGAGAGTACGCTTGCCCATTGGACAGGACTGCGCGGGCGTTGGGATCGTCAACCACGTCGTTGAGCTTGGCCCGAACCTGGTTGTTAAAGACGACCGAAGGAATCGTGAAAGCCCAAATAAAACCAAATGACCTTAGGAACGCATGAAGCGCAGTAGAGGTTGCTACGTCTGATTCAGGAAGACTGGCCTGAATTGCCGGCAGTGTGGTTGTGATCAATGCACCCAGCCCATAGGCTCCAAAAAGCTGCCAAAACACCCACTTCACCGTGCTCGTGGTGGTATTCATGGTTGAAAAGAGCCCAAAGCCGAGTGTCGCCATTCCAAATCCTGCGAGATGGAGCGGTTTGTACTGCCCAAACTTGGTCAGGAGAGCACCGTTGATGCCAGCAGCTGGGACTATGAAGATGTTGAAGGGGAGAGCCTCGACTCCGGATCGTAAGGGAGAGGAACCCTTTAGTGTCTGGAAATAGTACGGTAGGAAGTACACGACCCAGTCGAGAAGCATGCAGGAGAGGAATATGATCACGAATCCGGCCGCCGAGGTCCTGTTCGAGAAGAGCCTGGGAGGTATGGTCTGCTCAACACACCAAGGTGAGACTTGCCATGCGAAGAAGAATCCCCAGCCGATTATTCCGAGAACGATCGGTACGATGACGCGAAAAGACGACCATGGATGAACCTGCCCGCCCATGATCAGCCCCAGCAGAAGGGAGATTGTACCGGCCATGAACAAGACATTCCCCACAAAATCAATCTGTAGGATTTTCTCCTTGAAAGTCGACTTCGGCCTCTTGAATTTCAGGAAGAGGAACGCAAGGGTAAATGCCAGCCCACCGAATGGCACATTGACGTAGAACACCCAGTGCCATGTGGTATGTTTGACAAATGCTCCGCCGACAATGGGACCCAGCGTGACGCCGATACTACAGAACGCGAGCACAATCGCGAAGTAATTTCCTCGTACTCGCAACGGGAACAAGTCGCAAGTAATGACTTCCAATAACATCATTATTCCGCCGGCGCCTGCACCCTGAATCGCTCGACACGCGATCATCATCGCAATGTTCTTCGCGGCGCCGCAGAGCGCACTGCCCAAGGTAAATAGTCCCAAGGACAGTAGCATTGGGATCCGTCGACCAAGGACATTTGACGCTTGTCCTAGGAGCGGCAGGATGGCGGCCGCTGCAATGTTGAAGGCGGCATTGATCCAGATATACTCATGGTCGGCAGATAGATCCCGCGTTATGAGTGGGATGACGGTAGTGAGGATTGTGGCGTTCAGGTTTGCGCAGAAGGCTGCAAGGCAAAGGGCAACAAAGACGAGCCATATACGAGGGTCTTTAGGTGCAGTCTGTGATGGCAACTCGTTTTCAGGTCGCTGCTTTGCTTCTGCAGAGTCTGCTCGAGAGTCTATCTCAGGACTTGTTCTCAAGATTGTGTCGTCGGCAGAGGTAGCGTTTGTGATGAAGTCTTTAGATGGTGACTTCTCCATTGTGTGTTCTGACATGTCTGCAGGTAATCAAAGAGGCTAGTTCAGACGTTGAAGTTAACGGCGCTGATGGCAGTCGTTGGTGGCGCTGAAGCGCGGGATGGAGCCGTTTTGTTCAAGAGTGGGGAAAGTAACGACATACACATTCCCAAGCCTTGCTGGGCATTGAATCCAGACTGTAGGGCGAGGCAGAATACTAATTTAGCCAGAGATAGAGCTCGGCGGCCGGATGTAGGATTTGTTTCACACGTCACCCAATGATCGCCGCGCGAACGCCAAAATGGTCTCACTCTTGATCACCGAGATTAAATACCTGCATTCCAATACATATCAACACTAGCCCCCACAACCACTTGAACCGCTATCGAAATCAATATCCGAGAGACGAAAGATTGACGCTGATCGGTCGGAGGCCGCACGGACCCACTTTATTCACCTCACGTACCTGTAAGACGATGAACTAAGATCTATTCTCGATGTTTGCTGAGAAGATAGCATCATGGAAGAATCTCAGCAGTTGAACGATGGCCATTATTTCCTTGACAAGAACGAGGTTGAACTGGAACGCCTGAATCTTGGACAAATTATCATCAAAGACCACATGCAAAAGCTCATTTGGGCCCCCATTGACCTGTCAAAGCCCTCGCTTCGAATTCTAGACTCCGCTGCAGCAAATGGTTCGTCCTTTCGTCTACATTGAGCAGTAGAGATGTTTACTTCACGCATAATTTTGAGAGTTTAAGCTAATAAAGTTATTTGCAGGAAAATGGATCGAAGATGTACGCAAATCGCTCTCCGCCGAAGTTCAGGAAACATCCACTTTCATTAGTACTGATGTAACCGACATCTTCTTCCCTAAACCTGAACCAACTGGAATTTCCTATTTTGCCCAATCGATGTTGGAAGACTGGCCTGAATCACTTGTAGGAACCCTAGACCTCGTACACCAACGCCTCGCGCTCCCTGCCGCAAATAAGGCACAGGTGCAATCCACAATCTCCCGTTTCATTGGGCTACTAAAACCAGGGGGCTATATTCAATTCGTGGAAGCTGATCACTCAATCGCCAAAGGACCAGCTATGACAGATTTCTTCCGGCTGTTGAGCGAAATCTTCAAGGTCATGGAGACTGGAAATGACTATGCGCCACAATTGAAGAGGTGGTTCGAAGATGCAGGGTTAGAAGACGTACAAGAGAAGGTCTTTGATATTCCCATAGGTGCCGCAAATGAAAATGCAGATATCGGAAAGAAAGGGGCTCTGATGTTTTCGTATGGAGTAAGAGGACTAGTAGACGTGGCAAAAAGTAAGCCATTTGCGCTCCCGTTGACATCTACTACGTTACTAATGATTTCCGTTAGCTTTACCGACATCCTTCTCCAAGGAAGAGTTGGTAAGTCTCGAAGATCGAATGAGGGAGGAGAACTTGACCTCAGGAGGGGTGTGGCGATTGCACTGTGTTTGGGGGAGAAGGCCCGTTGTTGAATCATGAACAGATGGGCGTTCAAATATGATTGGGTGCTGGTATCGACAAAAGATTTCACGTACGGAACATGTTACCATGTATGTTAGAATCAATCTCGACAAAGACTCAGGTTTGGCAAAGCATTATACTTCAGATGCAGTACTATGATATGGTCACTGTTTTCGTCGCATCGCTGTCCATCCTGCCAAAATCCTCACGCGTCTGATTGTCTCCCGCCCTGGATAGATATATCATCCTTTTGCGCATTTACCAATGAGTCACTTCCAACAATGCCATGGCATGAAATTTCCTCATAGTACGCATTCACTCACTTCTTGAAGATAGCAGCTGTTGCTATCATTTTCACTTTATAAACCCCATTTTCCTCATGTGTAAAATCCCCATTGATCAGATCGTTCACAATGATTCCAATAGCCTTGTCCCAATTGTCCTCATCTGCCTGGGTCCATCCATCCGGTGGTCTTGCCAAAAAGCTCCACGCAATCGTCGCCCACTCCTTAACATCAGTCATGTTCCCATACACAACTATGTCTTCATACTGAACATTTTCGATCTCCGCACTTTTAAGCGCTTTGCTGAGATGGTCCACGGAGTAAAGAGAGGCGGCCAATGGCGGCGGCAATGGAGCATCGCTCCCTCGAGTTCGGTAATGCGCATCAATCGTGATATTGATCCACGGGCTGTCCTTCCACACCGACACGATCCCCGTTCCTCCAGGCGCTAGTGTTCGGTAGATGTGCTTCGCGGTCGCAACGTCGTCTTTCACGTTTGCAAACACCATATTGGTGACCGAGAGCGCGAAAATGGAGTCCGGGTATGTCAATGCTGTAGCATCCATGACCTGGCTTTCGATGGGCCATGACTTGTTTTCTTCCAGCGCCTTATTTAGCTCGTCGAGAAACGTGGTGTTGATATCTGTAGCAGCGATCGTTGCCCCGGCTGGCACAGCATTGTGTTCGACAAGGGCTTTCGCGACTTCGCCAGCTCCACAGCCATTGTCATGAATTCGGCTTGTTTTCGATAACGGAGGAATATGGTTGGACACGATTTGGTCTGCTACCGACCGTGTCAAGCCTGCACTCAGTTTGAGGAGATAACGTGGGTCGAACTTCAAGGCCTGTTTTGGGGCGAAAGGCGCGGACATGATTAACGTAGGTCTAAAGACCAAGAATGGTAAGATAATCTGGAGTCGATTTTTGTGGGGTAAGCTTTCCTGATGTGTAGACTGCGCTGCATAATGACTTGTTGTACCAAACCATTTATCGCGTGCATAAACAGTGTCTGTTCCGATAAGTCATGTTGTTTTCATTCCGGTAGTTGGTGGGCGGAGGCCGGTCGCAATCGGTGGCCGGATCGCCTCTCCGGTTGGCTACTCGCCTGTCGCAAACATGCCTGTCCCTCCCGTACCCACCCATCGCATATGTGATCGCGACATCACATGTTCGAATTGAGGCGCATCAACACCGGAAAGCGATGTCAATATGTCATCATTGGAACAAAACAAGGTCACTTCAATAGATTTGCTAAATTGTGGTTTAATACACAATGCGAATGCTATCGAACATTGATTCGAAGACTTGCCAATACTGTGCATAGCTTCTATTGTGCCGTGTTGCGAGGAAATGCTCCGTGTATAATCATAGATCTTGCCTCCTTTTCAAGTATATCTTCTGTTGCATGTTCGGGACAAATTGACCCTCGATATTGATGGGCGTCGGCCTATCTTTACCTTTTCTATCCCACTTGATGTCGAATTCAAGAATTATCTTAGTAATGATCAATTTGATCAATCTAATCGCGAAAAACCTTCCAGGACAAACATGGTTTCCATATCCAAATCTATTAAATCAGTAAATCAATTGAATGAAGATGTGCACTCGACTTACGGGAGGTAGGATGTGTCAACCGATGACGCTGCCCACTGTTTTTCTCCGGAGGCTACCGAACGATCATCGACGCCCCTTCTGACAAAGCGGAATCCATCGAATTCGGCAGGGTTATCTAGGGCATCATGATCGTGTTGAATGGCTTGAGCGGGAAACCCAAACCGAGTGCCAACAGGCAGAATCAACCCGTCATCAAATTGGAAAGGCTGTCCTAGAACAGTCCTAACACATGTCACTGCTCTCTATTAGCCGAGTTTTGAGACAACAAAGTCGGTCCTAAACATACTAGAGCCCGTAGGGAACAGTCTATTTGTTTCTCGAATGAAGCTGTCCTGCAAATGAAGAGAATTCAACATTTTTTCAGACCACCCATGTTGACTCAATGCCTCTCTTGCCTCCTCTCGAAGTGCATCGATGGCGCCGTCATTAATTAGAAGCTGCCACACAACTTCTGTGATCATTCCTCCTGGTGCAGAACTCCCCGCCCATAATGAATGAAGTAGCTCTTTCAAAAATCGATCATGGTGACCTTTGTCCACAGTCTCAGGGAAGAGAGATATAGTCCAGTAGATAGCGTTTGGCTTTTTCGTATCGGCAGTACACTCTTGAATGGCCTTTTCAACATGCGGTCGTAAAATGTTCATACATTTGTGAAGATACCATCCATGAACAAGACTTATGGGCCAAGCAAGCAGACATCGAAATACTCCAAGGTAGAGGTTTGCAATGACAAGGGCGGTAACGAAAATTGATTTTGTGAAGCGCATTGATTGCTTAATGAAGTCTTCATTTCTGCAGAGGTCATCGCAAATCAATACTCGAGTAGCAGTTCGGTGGGTGATCTCCGCGAAGAGTTCCATAGCTTTGACGCATTGCCACTCGGAGCCACCTTCTAGCAAATGCTCAAGCGAGTAGTCAATTTCATTAATCAGTATAGGAGTAATTTGGGCTATCAAAAGGTCAGCGATTGTGACAGCAAATCGATGGACAACACACACGTAACAACGGATTCAGGCCCCTTTTAACAACATCAATCATTCGTTGAGATGTCCTTGCAGTGTATAGATCACCAACAGTAGTATGCAGATGAAAGGCCTAAACAAGGATATGAGTTCGTTGGCATGAGAAAACTGGTCTTGTAAATCTCACATCACTGATGCTGTGGAAGAAATTCAGGTGAGTTCCGTCCGCAGTACGAACATCATGGAGGTACTTGGGGGGCATCACTAAATAATCCCTGGCCCACCAACAGACTACGAACGGTCTTCCAGTAGCTTTGGTCACCTTCAAAACTATGTCAGCTGTCTTATTTTCGTATATTCAAGTAACGAACCTTGTGATACCCCGATTCAATTACTTTGTGAACAGGAGTCCAATTGAACCACCTTGACCCACATCTTTGGAATTGTGCATAAATCGAATTTTCGCTATAGAAGGCAGAGTGTAGTACGGCAGAGATCGCTAAAACAAGAATGATCCCTGTAGGAGAAAAGAACATTGCGTTGTTGTAGATCCGGGCGTTCTTGCTCGGAAATAGTTGTTGACGAGTGCAATACAACCAGTCTTTTCATACACTTGCCTTATTCTGCTGTTTATCTAATTTAACCTTTTTTGCGCACCAGAACCCCTTCTCAAAGGATGAAGCGTAATGTTTTCGGCGGCCGATAGCTTGCACAGCACGAGTCGGGTCCTGATTGGACGAATTAGCAGTCGAACCACTACATATTTGACACATTTTGAGCCTCTTCCCTACATCCAACTCATTGTTCGACAATCTAGGCTATCGTTCAGGCAATGGAGCCAAAAACTCCGAATATCACCTTGAAAGTGCCAGAGTCTTCAATTGTACCGCACATAGTACTATGGGTCGTCCAAATCATCGCACTCACATCGCCCGCAGTCAAGGGTCGAAGATCAATATCGATCATTCTCATAATCGGTCTCGGTATCTATTGCAATCTTCATCCCCACTTCACCAATAATTTTGATTTGGCGCAGCCCTTCTCCCTTGGGTGGTCGTTCTACACGGCTGTCCTTGCAAAGCTCATCCTCTCTGGTTCAGAGGGCCCAGAAGATCACTACTGGAGAGTTGACCAGCCCGCAAGGGAAGCAAGGGGATACAATGCATTCAGTTGGCAGAAGCTTCGATGGACTTTGTCTTTAATGTTCAATCATCGCGGTATAAGATGGAATCATCAAGTCAAGAATGTTCCCGCGGTGTCAACAACTACCAAACATCGCTTTATAGTTGGTCAACTTGCGAAATTTGCAGTATGTGTCTGTACAGCAGACTTGCTATATGAAATACACCAAAGAGTGAATTTTACCCCCACCAATGGCCAGGTCGGTTGGGTAGATTCGAAATTTTTGACGATGAGGCACGATGACTGGAGATGGTATATTCTCAAAACCTACTCTCTTGCTGCGTTGCCCTATTTTGCACTTAGCATGCAATTCGCGCTCGTGGGCGCAGTAGCTGTTCTATTTGGTATCAGTAAGCCGCAGGTAATGTCTAATAGCGCCGCATATTGTTGAAATATCACTGAACCGCTTGATAGGACTGGCCATCTCCATTCGGAGGCGTTGGAGACATGAGAACTATCCGTTCGTTTTGGGGAACATTCTGGCACCAACAGCTCCGACATGTATGTTGAACATAATCCCACATTGCTCCATTAGTTGAAGCTATATGCCAAAAACGACATAACTGAAATGTTTTACCGATGAACACGACTGACGATTGTCGGTAGATGCTCACATCGTTCACCGATGCATTTGCGGACGCCCTCGGCATTGCGCGAGGCACCAATGTTTCATCATACTCTAAGTTATTTCTAGCTTTCTTCATATCGGGTTCATTCCACGCACTCAGCCAGCTGAACATGCCGCGGCCTGCAAACATTACTGCGGAAGAATGCTCCATAGGCATACTTAAGTTTTTCATATGGCAAGCTTGCGCTATTACAGCTGAAGACTTCGTCCAATGGCTGTGGCGTAAGACCGGGTGGAGTACAACAAGCATCAGAAATATTGGATATCTCTGGGTTTTCACGTCTCTGCTGTTGAGTCTTCCACTTGCAGGAGACTGTGTACTCAAACTCCGAATTGGTACCGGATCCTTCGCGAATCTTCCTCTGATTAAGCTGGCTGTGACATCACTGATTCCAATTCCTCCATAATCATATCCCAGAATCAAGATGGAATAAAAAAGCAAACCTTAGATAACAATGCCGTCAGATCTATGTTTCTATTGCATCCATTACTCTCTAAGATCTATCTTTCTATTACTCCACAAGCTTCCCTGTAAAATACAAAGATTTCTAGTATAGAATTCCAGACTACTTGCTTCTAATTTGCTACTCTCAATCCTAATGGGTTTATCGTAGAGGTCGAAGTCGTTGTTGCTCTTGGAACATTGTCTGGTGTATTGAATCGATCCAAAACAGACCAGAACAAAGCAATTTTACGCGTGGCCTAATCAGCCGAAATTGCCTTCATTGACCTTTTATATTACCAGGATTCAATTGCACCTTGAATTATTCCTATGAGATGTATTCCATGAGCAGTGTACATGTATTGAACTTTCCAATCACCATACTTCCATCGCCGAATAGAAGATTTAGATGACTCTTCTCGACATGATACAAGAGCAACCAATGAACGTTGAAACTATTCCTCCTTAGTATTATGATTGGAATGTTTAGCAAATGGAGCAGCCTTTCTTATATGGTTGATGAAAACCGTTCCAAGAAACCCAATTTGTCAATTTTCGGACCCTTCATGTCATAGAAATATGCTATGGTATCTTTTGCGACCATTACCAGAAAAGAAGAAAACAGAATAGAAACGTCTCAGCTCTGATCTAAGCCATCTCCCCTTCCCCAGATAGGACTGTGCACATAATCATGATAGAGCCACATGCTGATAACTACAAATCTTACAAGGAGAATTACCCAACGAGGTGCATTTGCCTTCCCGCTCGACTTCAAGGCCGCTTTGGTAATCTTCTCCATCATCGACATAATTGGCACCCAGAATGCAAGGAAAAGAGAAGCACCTATCATGCGAAGACGGTCCTTGGGCTTGGTATAGGTTGGAATGCGTGCGAGAAACTTCTGATATGCATCGGGCATCTGGGCTTCCTCGGCTCCAGTCCGGATAAGGCCCTGTGTATCAAGTGTTAGGATTACTCTGTGGTGGAGACGGGCGCCAATACCAGGTAGCGATCGCTGGGTCGAGCCAAATGTTTGAGTACTGTGATCAACGACCTGACAGCAAAAGTCTCATTCTGTTTTTCCAAATCGCTTCCACTGGGATCTATTACTCTGCTGGCCCGAACCTCGATTTCAGCATACGCAATTCCCCCACCTTCCGATGCAATTACTTTCGTGTACATCTCTGGTGTCAGTAAATAGGCCGTCCCGAGCAATTCCGTGTTCTTCTCGTTTCTAGAATCGGGTATTGGTGTAATACTTCCGAAAGAGGGCTCGGAGTACGGTACTCCAGCGCTATCCATAGTCAATGTCCATCCGGGTACAAGGACAACGGCTGTAGCGAGAGGAACAATGCCCCGATCGTGAATGAACTTGGATTTGGCAAGATTGGAGCCATAGGCGAGGTACCAGACATTTGAAGTTGGCGGCGGTAACGTTTGAAGTACGAGCATGATGATGGGATAATGGACTAATAGTTGTAGCTAAGCGCCTAAGAGGCTGTACGTTTCCAGAAAATGAACTATCATCAGTTACCGTGTAATGTTGAATTTCCTGAAATCTGGGACCTGACCATTGTCTGTACTCGGGCCCCGGCTAACCGAGCTATGCTGATTGGAGTGTATGTGTGTGTACACACAAAAGAGTTACTAATACAAGCAAGGTTGCAAGCAACAATACGATCTATGTTTTCTTTCTGTATTAATAATTTTGTCTTCATAATTGCAGTCGTTGATTTAGTTTCTTCTGTAAATTATTTGAAGTTTAGGATTGAGTCCGAGGAAAACAATAAAAATACGTATTCCACCGATGGTAGAACGATCAAAACTAAGGAGACTTCCAAATGCATGATTTGCGTAGATAGCTAACAGTATTATTTATTACCCAGTTCATACACATATCTAAAATACAAGATCAATTCTAATTTTCTTTATTGTCTAGTAACTGTAATGCCATAACTACAGAGGCATCGAAGACTAAATTTGCCTGCTCTTCCGACGTTGAACCTTGTTGCGGACAGATGTCGTACAACTGGCAGTAGCAAACGGATGATTGCGTTGAGATACTGCTGTTGGTTGGACCTAGGAAGATAAGGTGCCAGAGTGCTTCGAAAACTGCCCCAGCACACTTAGAGGGCAATGGTGTCGCAATGAGCCAGTCACGAAGCCTGCTTAATTTTTCCTTTGGGACCAACATCGCAGTTTGTCTAGAAAGTGCAAATTGCCCTCCTTTAGGAGCATCAATCGTCAATGGTGCCGGTGTATTTGGAAAGAGGCTTTCCCACAAGTCAAGATATCGCTGGTGCCATTCAGTTGGTGCAATGCGCGGTAGATCTTGAGGGTTTGTGAACCAATCTTCCCTCGTGAGTTCCAATGATGAAATTCCTGCCACATTGGGCACAGACCCGATATGCCTTTGCAGGTGTGCGTCACATGCTAGTCCAACAAAACCTTGCCGAAGAACGGTCGTAATGTTTAATTTGTTGACCATCAAGTCAGCACGTGCAAGCAAAAGGGCGTTGTTGTGCCATGAGATCCTCCCAGCGTGCATGAATACCATAATCTCTGGAAGGTTGTCGTAGTGATCAATCAGATACGTCAAGTAGACCATTGCCTCGTATCCTTTGTTCTGAGGAACTGTGAGAGTTGCCGAGGTATCGTCAGCGACGTAGACCATTTGCGAGTCTCCTTTCCGGAGCCCAGATCTTCGTGCCAACTCTTGTTGGTCATCTTTCGTAGTTGAGGAGAGAATGACAGTCAGTGGGACTGAACGCCGGCTTTCATCGACTTTCAATGAGTGCTGCAAACATCGGCCAAAACAGGAAAAAACGTATGACCATTCGTGAGTTTGTGCCGTCCTCTGTGATATGTCGATGTTGTGGCTCACAATAGTGAAAAGAAAGATAATACAAATGGTGGAGCCTAGGAGGAGATATTTTCGCCGCATACTAGATGTTTGGTCTCGTAAACATCACGATGCTTGGGCCTGCCACGTCACGGGTAATATGGTTGCACTTCTAGTGGCTGATCGAGGTTGTTTGTACAGGTACAGCAGGTGGTTTGCAGACGATTCTGTATCTCCTGATATTATTTGTACTCGAGGCAGATTTGACATTTACGAAGCGGCAGGTTCCGGGGATCATCAGATAGTTGTTGTTGTACGTAGGTGCCAAATGCTGTACAATGTGGAGTTCGTACTCGTATTGAAATAACGGCGCATCTGTCGCACCAGACACGTGAAAGGTTTAGTGTGCGGGTAGATGCGCGATCTTTCGGTGAAATTACGGTGTAGAGACAGGCTTTGCCACAAAGAAACATGGACTCTACGTAGAAGAATGCGGATAAAGTACCTACAGTAGATACTATTTACATACAGTGAATCGGTGAGGAAATTAGCGGTTCAATGCTTCTGTACTTACATCCCTGTCAAGTTGGCTTGACCCCAAATTTTCTCGTATGGCAGAGATTTCGGGGGATTATTCACCAGTACCTTACAATCCATCAATCGGTCTGGGAGTGTTGGTCTCAAGGATACGAAATGGCACAGAAAGGGTGACTGCAAGGAAATAAAGTATAAAGAAGTGGCATCTGCTGCTATGCTATACGGCATCTCCAGCATCACTCATATCAAGTTCTTTCTTCAATCCAATCACTGAAAATGAAGCTCCAGCTCCTTGCCCTCTTGCCTACGGTGTATGGCGCAATGCACATCAACTAGTATGGCCAAACAATCTCCCAAAAAGGGTACCTCGCTGACATTGTTACAAGCTACTCCGACACAAACTGCAAGAATTGGATCGGCCAGAAGGACATTGGCAGTGGATGGGGAGAGCAGACTTTCGCGTCGCCGCAAGGCACACATAGCGCACTGTCAGTCGAGCTTAATTATAAATACCGTAAGTAACCCTACTTCTATTTTGACATTGGCAAAGACGGTAAAATTTACGTGGTATTCAGAGGTCCGATTCTACGCAAATGGAAACCCTGGAACCCAGTACCTGAGGGGGGATGGTCAATGCTGGGGAACAACGGGCCAGTTGATCACTCATCTCGTCCCATGGTAGGAACATACCGTGACTCGAAGTCGGTATTGTTTGATCGAGTGGTTGGTCTTCGGGGAGGTCCAAAATGAAAGTGGTAACGACGGTTCGAAATATCACTGCGTCGACAAGATTTGACAACCCGAGCTATAACTGTACTATTTAATCTAATGTAATGAACACAAAAGCCGAACAGTGTTCACCTTGGAAAAAAAATCCCTTCCTGCGTGACGAGAAACCGAAAGTGAGGCCGTCTCTACAGGTCCAGTCCATAGCCTGCGCTGCGCTATGATCTCTCGCATTTTCATTTTCCGTTCTATCTCACCTTCCAGAGTCTCCGAAAGATCTAGTTCAGCTCCTCGAAAATCCGCATCGTCTGCATACCCAACCCGTCGATCTTCTAACCTCCCAGCCTTCACTACTTCTCGACAGAATATGCCAAACTGCTTCAAGACGTGTTTCGACTAAGGCAGCCTAGGCAACAAGAACGGGAAATTGTGTGGAAGCGCATGGTACTGGGAAAATCGTACAACGTTTCCTGTCTTTGCAGCTTTTCTTGCAACGTGGAAGCCTCGTCTGCCAGGTTCTCTGCCCACGCGCGATAAACATGGGCGGCATTTGGCGACATGTTTTTGACAGACCAGCTAGGTGCGATACACACACTGACAATTGGATGAGGCAATGTGCGCCCGTCACAGTATATGTACTTGCATGGAGAACTTATAGACCACAAGTCACATTCTGGAAATGTTGGCTGGAGAACGGTAGTGCATCTAAGACAGAGATGTCATAGGGCCTATTCCGATCGTGGGATTCGCTAGATGCTCACTTTAGCAAACAAAAATACTTCAAACAGACTGAATACCTTGCCAAAATTTGTATGATCGCAATGAAGGCCTAGAATAGAAATCCCCGCTGGGAGCGAAATGACGACCAGTCTGCCATGAAACCAGACGCGGTCGCCAGTATCCTGATCGTGGATATGTCTCACGATTGCTAGCAAATTCAGCGCCGAGTTTCCGCCAGCACTGTCTACAGCAAGACGGTCTTAGTAGCTTGTACGGCTGTGTGAATGGCGCTGGCTTGTTCACTCTGGTAGAGTAAGGAAAGCTACGTGACGAAGAGGTCCACAAGTTAAGCCCGGAAGGGATCTGTGGAGGAAGTCTGGGAATCACGTGTTTCTCACTCTTAATGTTTTTTGAATCCTTTTCAGCGTCTGTTGGTTTACCATTATTGCTGGGACTATCAACCATGATGCGGATCTTTGCTGAAGCTCCGTAAACCAGTTAAGGTCACCGGTAGTCGCCCGTGGAGATCTTATCCCACCCAGTCACTTACTTCTACATTCTAGTACAATAATGAGATTCAATATCGCCTACTTTTCATTCCCAGTTCTTACGAAAATCTCGCGCTTCTCTCAATCTTGCTCGACTAAGCTCGAAAGGATCGTTCATCACACCATCTCTCTCCATGACCCTTAATCCCTGAGCCAGATCCATGTACTCATCGCTCAGAGGCCAGCAGCACATCGTCGCTACTGACAACATTGATTCCTTCTGCAATTCCGTTGAAGTACAGAGCCCCTCTAATCCATTTTCCTTCTGGAAACGGATTATGGAGTCTTCCAGTACATGATGCACATTTTCCCCTAGCGGAACATTTCGAATAATTAAAGCATGTGACGCTATTGTATCACCTAGCTTAGGCGATCTTGACAGCCAGCAATCAACTAGCGTGCTCTCCGGTCTCGGGCATCCCTCGACACGATCGTATCGGCCTAGAAGCTCAAGAACATAGTCAAGATTCAGATTGAAGTCGATGACGGGCTCTAACACGATCTTTTCGATGAGATCTTTCTCCCTTTTAGGTATCAAGAGCCAGCGATTACGGCTCATCTCCTTCTGGAAGCTTCGAACAAGAGCGGAAATTTCTTTAAGCAGGATCCTGCCCGTTTCATTGGTCATGGACGGTGAGTCTTCCATGCCTGCGATGCTAGCCCAACTCGGATCGTTCTTTTCAAGGGCAGCTGTAAGTCTTCGACAATCAGTAGAGAATGTGACGGCTATAATTTCAACGAGGGACCAGATGAGTTGGCCGTCTCGGATTTCCCTGCTTTCCTTGGCGAATCTGGTCATGATTGGATAGAGTGTCTCGCGTTTAGGTGTAGCATCTCTTTTGTTATCCTGTACTGGAAGATCGGTATATTCAGGCGGTGGTGGGCCATGCTTATTCTCTGACTGGTCACTTGGTGCAGTTTCCCCAGGTCGATCGATGTTCGTTCTTGATCGGGGTATTTTTAGCCAAATATTCTTAAAAATATTAACTTTATTCATAATTAGACTTGTTTTCGTGTTTGCAATGAATTTGTAGACGCCTGATTCGAAATTTAGTGGTGGTGGGGTCTGCTTGTGCGCTATCATGTATGCTCAAGGCGTACAAAGTGACATTATATACCTCGCGAAAGACGAGCTAAGTTGTGTATTTAGTTGTTCTTCTTTCAGAGAGACAGATAATCACAAATTTGTTGGGAAGGTAGCCGGAAGCGAACTATAGTCACCTTTTCATTGACATTAAGTAGGCGACACGTGAACCTGGGGAGGGAGTTCGACGACACCGCATGATCCCAACATGGTCGTTTGCCTAGGCTAGTCATGGAAAAGGAGGGTACCAGGGACTTCAGCGAACTCTTTCCACAGAGGGGTGCTCGGTGCGTTCCATCGTGTCCTAAGGGATCTAATACCACACCAGACAATACTATACCAGACTCTCTAGTCCTGTTTGCCTAGGTTGATACAATGATTGTTAACACTGTTGCAAGCGCATTTCTCGAATCACCTGAAAGGCGGAGAGAGGCATAGTGTATGCATGCTATTTGGGAAGGTCCCTTAGGGTAATCTGTTCATGACACCTTCCCCGCTCACGCACATTGAAGATAATACCTGCCCTAGTCTTCAAAAGCACAACGATGCAGCGAGGGCATCATCCCCGTTCTCTAAGGAAGCCAGAAACTGTCCATATTTGCCATGAACACCGTGTAACATACCTTAAACACACTATAATAGACTCTCCCGAGTTGAGGCTCTGCAAGATGCATCACAGAATAAAGAGCCTCTCGGACATTGCGCATGCTCAATGAACCCGCTTGTGAAGCTTAGAATCTGTTGATTACTGAATATGAACCTAACCATAACCAAAAGAACAACCTTGAAGATCCCTAAGAAAGTCTGTTGAATGGCTTTGGAGGTGCAAAATCAATCACTAACTCGGGGCTCCCATTGAGCACTGCAGGCATCTTATACTCGAATCGCCAATAGTTATGATCGTACCACGGGCTCAACTCTCCGCCATAGCGTCCTGCAAACTTCAAATCGTACTTCTCGTCGACGTTACCAGTGACTGATATGCTGATTCCTTGGATATCGGCCCACGCCTTGACATTTGGCTGAAGCATCGATGGTGAAACAAAAAACGTAAAGACAGAGTCTGCGCCGCCTTCCGGATATGTAATCTTGAGGCGATTTGCAGAGACCTCTACTTGGACGTGAGCCTGGCTTGATCGGAGCTGTTCAGACGAATTAGGCAATCGTGTTTTCTTCATCGCCCTACAAAGTCCTGGTATATCGGAAGGAAACTTACCGAAAGCCAACCAATTTTGCCCTCACCGTACATCCATTGCGCAACTGCAGGATGAAACTGTCCGTTGTTGTTAGATGGTCCATTCTTGCTCTTGGTGTGATACGATTGCGCGCCGATCATAAGGGTCTTTCCCATCCACGTTGTGATGTTTCGTGTGTCCAGATCGTGGGGTGGGTAATAAGCCTGACCCTTCCACACCCGATCCCCGTCGAACGTTTTCAGTGAATTTTTCAACTCGTCGGAGAGAAGAGAATTATGAAACTCGGAATGTACCGCGATCAGTGGGGCCCATGCCCAATCTCGCGCGTGACTCATTATCTCGGGGTATTGGTGCAGACCGGCTGCCTTTCTACCAATGATTGAGGCGAGGAAAAGCGATAGATGGCCAAGGTGTATGGTCATATCGAGACTGTAGGAACGGTCCCAAGGTCCTGCGAGGTTACGCATATCAGCGTGCCAGAGTTGTGATGTCGTGTTCCAAACACCACTGAGGATCCCCGGGCCGCGTTTTGCCATTATGGAGTCTTCAGGCATGTACTTGGCCCAGAGGGTGAGGCCGAAGATCGAAATGCCAGTATACGTTGCTGAATTAAACTCAGACAGAGTGTTATGCATGTCCCATAGATCGATGATCTTTTGCGCATAGTCTTCGCCGGCTTTCGTCATATTTTTGTCTCCCGTTTTCCTCCCAGTCCATCCGGTCCCAATAGCTCGCATGATCGCCGGATTGCTGTAAGAAGGCCAGAGATTGTCCCCGTTAACTCCACCTTCGCGATATGAATCCCCAATACTACAATTGAACAAGCTTTCAAGCATCAATCTTTTCAAATCTTCCGACAACAAATCCCCAAAATCCTCATACATAGTAATGAAACTTAGTCCCACGAAGCCCCTCCAGTTGGGGTCGAATGACCCGTATGCCTTCGCGGGGTAATGTTCTGACCCGACATCAGGTTCTTCGGGCTCTCTGGTATATCCACCATACCAGAGATCTTTTGGGTTATCATGCTGATCAGCAATGATAAAATTGATAATTCTTTGAGCCTCTGTGACGTCCTTCCCACCGTTGCCATTGCGGGCAAGAAGACCAACAGCGTACCAAGCTGACGTTAAGGTTTCATGATTCATGGCGGCTTTGGATTCGAGGTCGTAGAGCTGGCCGACTGATGGGTCGTAGAATTTATCCATCCAGGCTGTGGAATCTTCAACCATGGCGAGGGCTTCGCCAGATAGAGCGACGGCAGTGGTGGCCGCATTGATAACCAGCAGGATTGCTATTAAGGGTCTCATTTTGTAACTTCACTCTCTCCTTGCGAGTATGTCGATTCAAGGACAAGCAAGATGAAACAGAAATCAGAGTTGAAAAGGTTTCGCCGCTCTTGGGCATTCAATTGGCGAGAAACGAAAGTCTGTTTCTACAGCTGGCAAGAGCTATAAAAATATAATGTGGGTAATAATATGTACTTGAGGTGGCTCACGATATTCTTAAAAGTTCCCTCATCCACAGGCGAAATAATGTTACATCAGATCTAACGAATTCTCAATAGTCCGTAACTCACGGTTATAGCCTCCAATCTAACGTCGGAAAAAACGTCGGTACATCGCAGGATCGACAACATTGTGTAGCCAAACCTCGACAAAAGGGCAGGTAGGAAGATGCGAATCCTTGATGGCTAGCTGCATTCAATGCGCTTCTCGTATTCGTCAGATGGGCGATGTTAAGGAATCCCCCCATGACCATAGGAAATTGTATGCAGGGGGCCCGACAATCACGCGCCCACCCTCGCCTTGGATACAGGTTGGCCTTAAATCAAGACGCGGAGGATTCCCCATAACTTTCAGCATGTGGGGTAGTAGCATACACATTTTCTCATGGACAGTACTGTTACTACGAAGAAGGACTTTGTTGAATCGTATCTTGCTGCCCATGGGCTCTTTTCAATTGAAGCTTTCCGTATTAGCGGAAGGAGCGCTGTAGTTGAACAAGCTGTACTTCTGCGTGACAGTGGTTCGACATCATCTCTATTAATGAAGTTTGCTTTCTCACCACTAAAAGTAACACGGAGCGCCTAATCTTCAGACGGATTTGGTCTGAATCTGAACTACAGCCTCCTCAACTTGCTCCTTCTTGGCCAATGATGCCAGTCTCGGATTCGGTGCCTTGAATATCTCCGTAAGTTCCTCCAGTGTATGTCCCTTTGTTTCTACCATAATGAAGTAATAATAAACTGCCTCTGCCGTGCACGTTCCTAGATATATAAAGTACGTTTTCCACGTGATATCACCTAACGCGATGGGAAAGGCAAACTGGTTGACGAGACTGGCAGCATTACCAGCCATATTCTGCAAAGCCATGCCTTTGGCGCGCTGTTCATATGAAAGGCATTCTACGGGATAAAGAGCTTGTAATGGGGTGTAAGCTGCGGAGAAGACGATGCCAATGAGAAAGACGAAGACTATAGATGCCTTCGCAGCCTTTGTGTTATTGTTCTCGTAGTAGGCGCCTGTGCCGCCCAGCATGCCGGCCCATAGTACGGCCATCAATACACAGCAGGAAATGAGCATCTTGCGACGGCCGAAGCGGTCCATGAGACTAGCACCGAAGCACGCTGCCGCGCCGCTGGTGATGGTGATGCCGAGGTTGATATTCAGGATGGTGGTGGAATCTTTAATGCCAGTTGTGGACAGCATCGCAGGCAAGAAATATGAAACGCTGCTCTGGCCTGCCCATTGGCTGAAAGCTGAGACGGCTACTGCGCAAAGAATAGCACGGTAGATGGCTGGTCGCGAATTGAAGAGGACGCGGTAGTCCCACCAGCGCTTGTCCGCGCCGTTGATTTCGAGATCTTCATCGAATTCGCGAAGTTGAAGTTGGACATATAAGGATTCGGGGTTGTTGTTTCCATGATATTTTACCAGGACATCGCGACATCTTTCTCCTTTTCCGTGAACAAATAACCAACGCGGGGATTCAGGGAAGAGGTAGCAGGCTGGAAGCAAGATGACTGGAAATATGAGTTGGACCCACGTCGGTATTAACCATGACCTGTTGTCATGGTAGTGCAGGCTGCCTCGGAGTGCGGCAGCGGCCAGGATGGCACCAAGATAGTAGCAGCAGTTGTATAATCCTGTAATGACACCGCGATACGCAGGATGGGCGATTTCGACAACGTATGAAGGACAAGCAACATTGGCGACGCATCCACCAAAGCCAAGAAAGAACCTCCCAGCGAGATATTGTGGCAGGGCGGCTGATGTTCCTTGGATGATAGTGCCCATAATGATCAAAACACACCCAGTTGCGATGCCAACTCGACGGCCCCACGTGTCCGTCAAAGGTCCAATGAATGGCAAAGCGCAAACCGAGCCAATCTGGTACATGCTGGAGATATATGCTGTTTGTACTCCAATGATAGTTGCGCCAAACTGTTGCTGGAACGAGGGCAATGCCAACATATTGCCCATCAAAGAACCGTCAAAGCCACCCATGGTTGAACCCAGGAACATGAGGCCAGAAATAAAGTAAAGCTGCAGCATTTCCCTGCTAGTTGTCTCGACGGGTTCCAATCGCTGGATGACTTCGAGAGCGGGAACATTAGTTCCATGCATCGCGGTTTCAACTGCTACGGTAGGCAGATTGAATGCTTCATCGTCTACCACCGAAGCTTGCTTGCTTTCGCAGCCAGCCGTCATTGCAAGCAAATGAATAAAGCGACAAGGGGATAGTCAAGACCTTGTAAGCTCAAAGGATTGATGGTCGAGCATGTCGATCGTTGAACAGCACCATTGACCCGTCTTTATATATATCATCTAATCCAGAGCGCGCGATAATCCCTTTTCGAAGGATACGATAGACCAGACCAAACAAGGTGCCTCGATGGAAATTTCCCCGCAATTCGACAGTTGTGTTCCCTGATCTGTTTCGCTCCGAGGATGCCTAACCAACTTGGTTCATTTTACCAGTGCATCGCTTAACCAAGATGCCGACGTTTTTTCCGACAAGTGGGGTGTGACAGCAGACTGATCTGCAATCCAGGTTTTAGTAGGACAAGTGTGCCACGCCCCGACAGTTCATTATTGAGGAATGACAGCCTATCAATTCCTCAAGCCAAAGCGTACTCAAAAACGTAGGCAAGATAATGAAGTTACGGCCTTCCCGTGAAGATGAACTTTGTTGTTAAAGTTCGCAGGTCGCGGAATGTCCAGAAAACAGAGTACCCGTCAATCTCCTCAATCGCCCAAGGCCCAGGTCCGATCTCCGTACGAATCTGTTGAAAGAGCTCAGGGAAAAGGTCATGAGGGTCTTCCCAGAGATTCAATATGGCTCGGCAGTTTTCGTAACCAGTTTGGTGCCAGACACGTAGCATGATACGTGCTGTCTGTGCTTGTATACTGATGAGGAGGGACATGCGATCAAGCAACACGCGAGGACAAATGAATGTACTCCGCGCAAGGGCACACATGAAAAGAAGGACACCCGGAACAGGCCGTAATGCGATGAGGCTTCCTAAACTGTCGGCATGCTCAAGCACAAAGCTGTAGAATGACAGCAAAAGCAGATTCGATAGACAGTGAATGACCACAGATCCGGGGGTAGCTGGAAGATCGTCTCGGGTATCGAGAAGTGTTGAAGGCAAACAAACCTGCCAGAGAAAACAGTCATACTCGAGTTTGGCCCAGACAAGGTGGCTGTCTGGCTGTACTCCATCCGTGTTAATTGCAGTGCAACGCTGATCGAGCTCAGCGGCATGGCGCGAGAGACGCAAGAAGTGGTGACCGAAAGTATCAGTATCAAGAGCATGAGAGTAGCTCTCTAGAATATCAGGCGATAAATCAAGGGGTGAGTGAGCATGGCCAGCGAGGCGTCTCCACACATTAATGACGAAAGTACCAGACACGAGTGCAGTAGGCAATCGAAGTGTCTCGTTCTTCATAGCATGCGCGGTAGTTTCAAAGATCTAGTAAGCGACAATCAGTCAAGTGCTACAAAGAACTTAGTCCTGTAGGTACTTGCCTTCTGGACGAGGTCGTCTTCGATGTCAAGGAAGAAACACAAGAGCAAAGCGCCAGAGATTGTTGGCATTGATAAAGTCTCTTGATTAAGTAACTGAAACAGTTTATTAGCATGCAATTGTGCATCTTCTGTTTGGTGTATGCAGTTCAAAGACAATGCGACGGCTGAATCGATACATTGCTGCAAACTCTCGACCATCTCTATTTCACCCTTTGCCAGATATTCTGCAGCAACGAAGGGCCAGAATGGATGTACATGGCGACAGTACTGGCCTATCGGTGATGTATGCATGCTTTGACCATCCATAGGATCTGCTGGCTGAAACAATCGTTTCTTAGCCATGTCACGCTTCCCCGCGAGTCGAAGTTGACAGTCGCCCTCTTTGAGATTGGCCTCATCTATTTCATCGCCATCGTTCCCACCAGAAGGTTTTGATCTCGTCCTCAAACCCTTTGTCCCATTCAATCCGATCTGAGACGCAATCTTCTGGGAAGTTTGCCGTCGCTTCTCACTTGGGTGGCGAGGACTGAATTCACAAGCTAGGCCAAGGTACTGACAATCGGCACAGCGGTTCGACGCAGGCTGCAATATACATTTCTTCTTGCGGTGGCGGCAGTAGTTGCACGACTTGAACATGGTGGCATTATTAGAGAAGGTATCGGGGTGGTTTGATCTGATCAGGTGGGCGGAGAACATGTCGGAAGTTCGGCGTCTACGGGCCAATCATCACTGGGAAGGGGAGAACTGCCCAGTTCGTAAATCAACAGACTATCATTACGAGCGAAGTACTTTTCTATGTCTGCCGGCGGTAGCAAAAGTCATCTCTACTGGAAGTAGGGAGTAATGCCTCATGGTTTTTCTTCCCGTAGACGTTTGTCAATCTCTATCTCTGCGCGGCCTCAATATACTGATGACGATAAGGAGTGGAGAACTACGATGAACTATAGTGGCTACAAGTACCTCAACAATCTATTTTACATTTAATGCGCTTCGGCGTTCCATCCATGAACTCTATTCCTTTATTTATTGATTGAATGAAGATAACTAAGAATCAAAGAAATAAGAATGTGATCCCGAAACGAGTAGGTTTAACCATTCCTGCTTGCGTAAGCTGACGTTCCATCCGAGCGATTGTACAATGATGTCAGACAGGCGCCGGTCCATAGTTAGTCTAGGAACATTACAAATGCTAATATCAAGGTACTTGAAGGACTTCCTGACGCTTTATCGTCTGATCTTGTAGCCTCTAATTCCATTCTTTGCGATGGCCACACGAAAAGCAGTCAATATAATCAACGTTTCGTCGGATGTCGGCTCGGTCTATGCAGGCAAGTCAAAGGCACCAGCAGCATTCGAAGCCGCAGGTCTTCGCGAAAAGCTCCACGCATCGGGTGTTCGATTATTGCAACAATCCAAAAGTTTGAAATCATCGGCTGGCTGGACCTCATCTACTCGGGAGCCAAACGGTGCGAGGAACGAGGCCCGCACAGTCGGATCATGCCACCAGGTCGCAGAGATGTTGGCGAACGAGTTGCAGTCATGCGAGCCATCCACTTTCCAACTGATTCTCTCTGGTGAATGCCTATACTGTCCCGCGATACTATCTGCTTATTGGAAACATGTCGAAGGCACGTCACAACGTGTCGGCATCCTCTACGTCGACGCTGATTGTGACTTGTACACGCCGACGGAACCGAATGCATCGGGAAACATCGCTGGCATGACGCTCACGCACATGACGCTACGAGACGGCGCCCTGGACAGCATGAAAGCCTTCTCTAGACCAGACGGCTCCGGGGTGGTCGACAACGAGAACATCGTGCTCTTCGGATTGAACTCTACTTCGGAGGCGAATAAGCGCGAACACATGGGCTATCTTTTCGACAATAATTTCCGCGTGATTACGTCGCAAGCCATCCAGAGAGCGCCCGAAGAGCGCGCAAAGGAAGCACTACAATGGTTGGAATCGCGCGTCGATCAGATCGTTGTGCATCTAGATGTGGACGTTATAGATCCTGGTGAATTCCCGCTGTGTAACGTGCCAAACTGGACAGGACTTAGCTTCAAGAATACCATGAGTGCCGTCAAGATATTCTTGAAGAGCGAAAAGTGCGTTGCGTTTAGCATTGCGGAGGTCAATCCAGATCACGATCCAGGGCTAGAAATGACCGGGAAGCTCGTAGACGAGATTGCTGCTGGGCTGAGTCAATTGTCATAGCAGTCGTGAAACCCAGGCTACAGACAAATTCGCCTTGATTCGGATATCTTGAGAGATCAAAGGCCAAACGCGTTCAAACGCGTCGAAGGATCCGCGTGAATCGGTCGCACGTCGCAGACAGCGTGCGCCGCAATCCGATGATCAGCCAATCAGCGATAGCCCAATTGATTGAGTTTGGCAACCTTCTGACCAATACATTGCGGAAGGAATCATCAATACAAACTTTCTTTTCATGATTCGAGTAAACTGATGTGAAACCTTTCCGATGCTTGTTTCATTCATGGCAGCCGTTATGAAATAGTTGGTGCTAGTTCTTCGATGGTCCAATGTAGCGGCGGCAGCACCCTCACAACGTAGAACAACGCGCGCGGCTATCATCCATCCCTTTGAAGTTCTCAATTCTGTTAGAGAGGTGATGATTCCTTCATCCTATATCATGGCGCGTAGCTTGTATTCATTTGATTTCTTAATCTTGCTTGAACTCTTCCCTAATGACCAACATACGCTGTGAACATCACACACAACGTATTCAAATCAATACTCAATCCTCCCTCGCTTTCGCACTTCCTATTTTGATAGGCACACAATAATGCCACTCGAGCCCCTCCCACTAGATGCGAATGGACTTTACATACTCCTAGAAAACATAGGCTACGAGAACTCCTTCCATTGGGGTTTTTACTTAGCCACGTCATCTTCCGATGGTTATATCATCCACATGACTTACAACGAGGCAACAACCGCGTGGATCTTTGAGGAGAAGCTTACCAGCGACGTCGGCAATTCGCCGTCCTTACTGGTAGCTGTGAAAATCGCTGTAGTCGAACAAACTTTGCAGCACCACTTGGTCAGTAGACTGCGTAGTGCCAATCGCCATTTGCCAGCCTTGACTTGTCGAACCTGGCTTATGAATGCATTGAAGGAGCTAGACGATGAAGGCTATATCTCTCTCATTAAATCAGCCAGGTTTATTGAGGGTGAATGCATCCAGGCTGCTGCAACAAATTATCGGAGTCGAGCGAGGTCAGTGACGCGGAGCTCGGGCAGCCGTCCGTGAGCTGGCAGAATAGGTGGACCTGCTTCTTAATTCTAGTCATATCTGCTTCATCTTTGGTTTTAGCATAAATGAATTTCTTCTTGTTTATTATCTTTTAGTAGATTGCAGACTGCCTCAAGTCAGTTCAAAACTTTCGTGAATTAAACAGGTCTGCACTATCCTATGCCTATTTCATTGAACAAATATTAATAATTGAAATTACACCGCCGTACTCACAACTGACACCGTGCCAGACGATTGTATTTGAGTCAAGTTATTCCGAATAAATAAATCTTGACTCAAAACTGTACGGACGGTTACTTGGTGGCTCTTCCACCGGAGAGCCAAGTAGACCAACTGCGCTATGAAAGGTAGTGAACGAATCACAGTTACTCGCCAGGCTACATGGCTAAATAATGATTGGGCTAGGAATTGCGCCTCGAGCGTGTGATATCTTTGCTCATATTATGGTTTCCACCCGCACTTTTTTTTTTCGGGGGACTCTTGAGATGATGATAGCAGTCAGAGATGAGTTGACTATCTTTAAGTCGGCTGTTTGTGTTCACTGTCTTGACTACACTTATTTGATTGATACTGTATGCTAAGGAGTTGCGAGAACGCATAATGGCAATAGGCAGCAAAGTACATGATGATTGCAAGAAAAACAATTATAATTCCATCGAACAAAGATGGTAAGATATGGAAAAACTGCTCACGGTGTCAGATGGAACGATGTTGTAGGTGTAGCTATGGAGAGAGACCGTAGATGAAGTATGAAATCACGACAGCGGTGCCCATTGATAATGCACCTGACCAGTTGAAACATCTGAGAGACATTTCTTGTCTCATGCGGGGGGATATAGCTTCGGCTTTGCATAGCACTCATCAAGATTAAATAGCACTTGAGCGATACCGAAATGAGGATGCTGTATGTAAAAGTAGATGCGTTCTGGCGACTGCAGTGCAGGCAGGAGTAAAACTACTACTACGCTTCGACATTACTTCAAAATGTTCGATGGACACTTGTGGAAACTAGCTAGAGAATAGATTGCTACTGTCGGGCCCCTCATGCCCGCTTTTGAGAGTGTTTACAAGATAGCCTGCCTCGGTATTGTTCTCTACTACTTGAATACGTCCCGAAGTTCCAAGCCCAGCGCTAATTTTTCACTTCTACTGTGTCCCATTGTAAAAAGACATGATATGATGCAACGGGCTCCAAGTTTACTGGGCGATGAAGAGCTTCTCACGCTTCATGAACACCGACATGAGGACAGCGAGAATGGCCCCAGACAAGGTCATCACGTATGCATACGAGATGGCCGATACAATCGCTCGCAAAACAGCTTCGCGAGCAACCTCCTCCAAGGTCTTAAAGAAGTCACCACTTGCACCAGTAATGGCAAGCTGAATGAGTCCTTTAGGAACGTCGGGCAGGATGTTGGTAATCTTGATGGTTGCCTGATTGATGAAGATGGTGTTTGAGATGGTAAGAGCCAGCACGATACCGACCAGTTGGCCACAGCCGATGAAGGCTGTTGCTGGCGCGATCTGGCTAGGCTTGACCTTAGCTTGCGCCACTGGGAACGATGCCTGAGAGAAGAGACCAGTTCCAAAAGCGAGTATGATGCTGTACCCGTATATTTTTGCCGGGCTGGTCTCTAGCTTGACGGTGTACATCAAGGCAGATCCGATGGTTGCAATGAGGCCACCGACAAGGTACCATGGCATGTAGTACCCTACCTTGCCCATAGCAATACCATTGAAGACCACCGTCGCAACCATGACCAAGACAAATGGTAGAAGACGGACACCAGCATCGAGGGCGCTATCGTTCTTGGCGAATTGGAAGAATAGAGGAATGAAGTAAGTCGGTACGAATGCGCAAGTGACGGATGCAGCCACTTGTGCGAACAGGATACACATCTCGTAAGACCTAAGGAACTCCAAGGGAAAGAGACGATGGTCTTGAGAGACGAAGATGCAGAATGCCTGCTGCACACCGAAGATGATCCATAGCACAGCAGAGCAGACGAACAGGCCGATGGTCTGGCCGCTGCTCCACTCGTATACGGCCCCGCCAAACGCAATGGCCATAGTTCCTGAGACAAAAGCTCCGGCAACGATGACTGCGCCCACCCAATCCAAGCTTCCGAATCGCTTCGCGAAGGGAACACCCGGACGTGGGTTCTGAGAAGGGATCAGGAAGACATAGATTGGAGCAGCCAGTGCACCAACGACTAGGTTGATGTAGAAGGCCCATCTCCAAGTTGCCGAGCTGTCGGCGAAGGCGCCACCAACAATTGGGCCGAGACTGGATGTCCCACGTTAGCACTAACCTCGACATGCCATGTGTAGAACAATAATGGACCCTTTTAAGACTTACACTGTCCCTAGACCCCACATGAGGCCTACTAAGCTCAAGATCCCGGGGCGTTCCTGCTCAGAGGTGAGGGCACTAAGAAGGTTCATCGCACCAATGTAGATGCCGGCGCCGCCCACGCCACAGACGGCACGCCCGACGATGAGAGCGTTCATTGATCGGGCGGATCCACAAACGGCAGAGCCAACCTCGAATAGCACAAATGCAATCACGTAGAGGATCTTGCCATCAAAGTCTCCGAAAAGCTTCCCCCTGCAACTGAGTCAATACCATTGATCAAGAGATATCTGTAAATTGTATATACCAGAACAAATTAACAGCTACAGCACCTAGCGCGAACGCAACGGATGCCCATGGTAGCTTCTCAATTTCACCAAAAATGTTGATAATCTTTGGTTGAATGTCTGCGACAACTGTATTGTCGAGAGCGAACAGAAACACAGCTGAGAGGATAGAGATCAAGACCAGCACCCACGAGATCTGCTTCATGTTTCGAGGGCTTGGTGTTGAACCCAAAGTTTCTGAAATGGCTGACTGCGGCTTCTCCAGCCCAGACTGGGTACCATCGAAAATCTCATGGCTGGAGAGTGAGAGCTGGTCAATATTGCTAGCATTGGTTTTCCGAGGAGCGCCGAGGTCAGCCATTGTTCAGAAGCGAGAACGCAAATGAGAAAACGAAGATGTAGGAGAGTCTGCAATCAAGTCTTAGTCTACCGCCGTTTATACTAATATTTCAGCATTTTTAAGCGGCCACGAACAGCACATACTGTACTTCCAGTGGTTGCATGTCGCGAGGCACAGTTCGACAGGGTCTCCAACCAAACGCTCCAGATAAGCAACGGCGTACACGGACTAATACCTCGTCCGCTGTAAGGTTTGTGTAACGGCGCCTAGCCGACACTGGGATTGCATCTGCTATGCATACACGTGGGGACGTTGCATGGGTGTCAACCCAGAAATTCGGTTGGCTTTCGGTCCCCGATCCTCTACATGGGCCCTTGCTGTAGATTCTGTCTACCCCAGCTCTTGAGTTCCTCCAATTCCCGCTGCCCCTGTATTGTACTGTTGGATACCTCATTCAATACATCGTGAGGTCGTTAGTGTCAGCCAAATTCCCGTTGCCAATGCGCCGTAGCCGTTGAACTGTCAGTTCCTTCTAGAAACGCTGTCCCATTGGCTCACTGCATGAACATGTGCCCTCATCAACAACAAATTGTGGCGCTGGAACTTCAAGATAACTTGGAACAGCTTTTGAACATGCCTAATGTAGCAGAACCGTAATACGGACGTTGAAGCCCGACAATAGTGCCATTTCCCCTTCAGGAAAATAATCAAGAACCATGAAATCAGATGGTGATATCTATAATGGCTGACTCCTCATTGTTGAGGAACATCACTTAATATTCTCGTACATCCCCATTGAGAAATTCAAGACTTTAACGATTCTTGTGACACCTTTTTTCTCCATCTTTGTTTACGTATCGTATCATCATTCGATCCCTATCTGCCGATCGCACCATGGCATCCATCACCAAGCTTCCACCTGATGAGAATCGTGGCCCTCTCTACTTGGGTGTTATGATTGCCTGTCTGGTACTGTCCGTAACTTTTATTGCGCTGCGAACCAGTGTGCGACTATTCATGGTCAAGAAGCTTGACCTGGATGATTGGTTCATGCTTGCTGCGCTGGTGAGTACAGTAACAATGAGACCGAACTAGCTCAGTATTAGTGCTAATGCTTTTCGGTGCTTCAGCCATTCATGATCGTCAACCAGGGCCTGTCCTATGTCTCTCTGCAATATGGAATGGGCAGACACATCTTCTTTCTGGGTCCACCAGACATCATGAACGCGATAAAATACAACGCCATTGCACAAATTTTCAACATTACTACATTCTACTTTGTCAAAGCTTCCATCGTACTCTTTCTACTTCGCTTGGTCACGCATTTGCATAAAACCAAACGCATGATCCTTTGGATATCATTCGGTCTCCTGACCGCAATGAATGTAGAGGCTCTCATTGTCTCCATCTTCCAATGTCAGCCCTTGCAAAAGCAGTGGAACCCCACAAGTTCCGGCATTTGCTGGAACCGCAACGTTTTCCAGTATTCTGCTTATGCCTTGGCCGGTACGTCAGATTTACTTAATAATACAGGAATGAAGTATAACGTAAGACAGCTGTTACCATTCTCACGGACGTTGTCTATCTCGTACTTCCGATAGTATATCTGTGGGACCTTCGAGTGCCTACCATGAGAAAAGTCGGTATATTTGCTTTGCTCGGTGTAGGATGCGTGTAAGTGCCCCAGACATTTGTACTCGGGTCCTAAAAACCTAACAAAGAAATTCCAGGTCCATGGTATGCTCCATTGTCACCATCCCCTGGCTTCGCGATCTCTCTATCACACTTGATGTGACTTGTAAGTGTTACTCCTTTCAACCAAAGGCACTCAAAGCTGACTCTCGATAAGACGAAATTGTACCACTTGCCTGCCTCAAGTTTGCAGAGCTCAATGTCGCAGTCTGGGTTGGTTGCGTTCCGGCTCTACAGCCGCTGTTTAGGAAGCTCATGGGCCCGGGAAGCACCATGCCTGACCCCGAGTCCGGGGAGAAGAATTCGCACCGTCTTTTGGCTATCAAGCGCAGTCAGGATACTGGAAGCACTAAGAGTAGCGCACACGGAACGATGAAGTCTGAATACGAGGTCTTGGATGAATAGTTACAGCAGTCGCACATGTACCAAGGATAGTGAAATACAATTTGAAAACATTTCCTCATATTCGATTCCAATCAAATTTTTCACGTGCATATGCTTCGGATTAGCAAGCCTTTGCCTTCGCCACTCTACAACACTATAAATTTGAAGAGGGCGATGCAAATCCTCTTACGATCCGTCCAAGCATGTTACAGCGTGCATGAATGGGGAGAAATTTATTTGAGTGATTACGAGAGCAACACAAAGACACGCGTACGTCTGGCGGGTTGATCTCCGGGCGAGACCTATCCACCAAACTGGGCCATGAGGAGCGATTATCAACTTCTTAATTCGCGTTTTTTGTCAATAACATCACTCGTTGTCACATTCATGAAAAACTTCATGTTATGAACCAAGTTTGTTTAAAATGTTATATTGACGCGATATTGTTGATACACTGAATCCGCTACTCTTTTACCATCGCCACGCTAACTAAGCCTTTTGAAAGTAAACATGATGATCCGCATTACCACTTAGGAAAGGAATCAATTTGCCCAAACTCTGCCCAAACTCCGGGGTCTTCGTAAAGTTCACATGTGCTTCAGGGCTGGTCCATCCAACAGCTGCAATGAATCCCTTCACTGGAGCGCCAATATCGGGATTGTCCACGGTACCGGTAATGTGCCCGGCACCGGAAGTGACATGACCAGGCTGAGCAGCAACTGCCTGCTCCAATGAAACAAATGCCTGGTCGAATTCTCCAAGCTGTTGATCATCGATGTTTGGCAGAAAGAAGAAGGTTGCAATCTCAGTGACCGGGTTTTGGTTGGTGTCCAAAAATGTCCCCGGACCCCACTGGTGCTGCATGGTGAAACAGGTAGGCAGTCCAGTGAGAGCAGGTTTGATAATGCTGTTGAGTTCGCCGCTCAGAAGAGAGTCTTTGAGCTTGCTGGCATTGGTTGTAGACGACCAGTCTACATCGACCTCGTGTTAGGGAGATCACGTCAGGGACTTGAAACAGGGTTGGATAGACTTACCAATGATAACGTCCACGATACTGCTATCTTCCAATCGACGGCCGTAGTATGCTTGTGATACGCCTGCAATTTGCTTGACTTTCTCAAGAGCCCGATGCAGCGGAGCATCCTCTTTCAGTGGCAAGTATGCAATTGTAGACATCTTTTGAGCTGTAACGCAGGGTAGAATGTATTTGAAGAAGGGTATAGTGCAGATATAGAATGGTACGCGCATTTTGAAAACGGAAGAAGCGATTCTTATGGACGCTGAAAGGAGTGTACTGATTTGTGATAGGTTGATAGAATGGACAAAGAGACGGCGATTTCCGAAATCTTGTTTCTTGATGTAGAAGAAATTGCGGTGATCTCAGATTTTAATTTATTCAGAAGGACGCCTGCATGCAAATGTCGACACAGCGAGTGGCTATTTTGAGGGACCAGAGTAACAGCGGACTAACTAGACGGAGCCAAACCAACACAGTGAGGGACATAACAACACCGTTCATGCAACCTCGGTGAACGACACAAACCTAGATCTGAACATGCGCAGAATCAACCCAGCCCTAGATCTGGAAATCCGTAGAACGGGAATGAGGGAATACGAATCAATAGCACAAGCATAAAGTGAGTTCTTTTTGTTGGTACAAGGCTACGAGCATGAGGAGTCATCCGGAAGCGACAAGCAAAGCCGCTCCATAAAACTGAAAATGGAAAATGATAAGCAGAGTGAATGCAGGGATGGATGCAGGGATGAATGCAGGGTTGAATGCAGGGATAAATGCAGGTGCGAGGATCTGCCAAATATTACTGCATGTCAGCCTGTCTGTACAGGGTACAAGCGCCTGTATGCATACCGACCGTTTGTAAACTAGATTCGGGCCAAGGATATGCAATAGCTGCACGTGAATGGAACCATTCACTCTCGTCTGTCAATGTTGATTCGAAGGCTGAACCCGCGTTAAGTGCAGGGTGGTACTTGTATGTTGGAGATAGGGTATCGTGATGAGCTCTGCGCTCTGGTGCTGAGCCGTACAATATAAGTCCAATCGCCATTGACTGACCATGTGTAGCACCATCGATACATTGAATACTATTCATTTTTTTCAAGTACAATAATCTACAATGACTTCGTTTTCTGACTTTAACAAATGGACCACTGCTGGAGAGGTCGCTAAAGCTTTCGGTGACAACCTTCACGGCCGAAATGGCATGTCCAATTCGTCCCCATCGTTCCTGTTCTTCCCCACTAATTGCGTACTATAGTCATTATCACTGGTGTCAACCCTGTAGGCATTGGCTTTGCCATTGCTGAAGCCGTTGCTTCACAAGAGCCGGCTCTTGTTGTCATGACATATCGCTCGAAAACCAAAAGTGACGAGGTCATTGAAAAGCTTCGCGCGAAGTATCCCAATGTACACTATCGTCCTCTAGAGATGGATCTGTCCTCACAGATGTCCATCCGAGCTGCGGCCAAGCAAGTCAACGAGTGGCCTGAGAACATTGACCTGCTCTTCAATAACGCTGGTGTTATGTCTGTACAGGAGCGCACCTTGATCGACGGAGTCGATGTTCACTTCGCGACCAACCACCTGGGTCACTTTTTGTTTACGAATCTGATCCTTCACAAGCTTCAGAGATCCGCAAAAACATCTCCTGCAGGTTCTACTAGAGTCGTTAACGTCAGCGGTGGATGGCACGCCTTATCTCCCGTACGATTCGATGATCTGAATTTTGAGGGTAAGCCCTTGCCCGCGGATCAGCAACCCAATACGGAACTACTCAAGAAATTTGGATTCAACGCAACGGAAGGCTACAGCCCGGAAATTGCATATGCTCAGAGCAAGACGAGTAACATCTTGTTCTCCCTTTACCTCACTCAGCACTTAGCCGAACAGGGCATTCTATCTTTCGCTATCTGTCCAGGTGGTAAGTTCTCATCGCGTAATGCTTGAGTGTACTCTTTTAATTCTGTCTTTTGTAGGAGTAATGACAGATATCGGCCGACACTATCACGAAGAACGCGCCAAAGAAATCTATGCCTCGGGAATTCTTGACAAGACACAAGACCAAGGCGCCGCTCCAGCCCTTGTCGCAGCACTGGATCCCGCTTTGAAAGCTGGAACTTCTTGTTTCTTGGATAACTGCCAGTTAAAGGACCCTGCTCGACATGCTAACGATCCTGTCATTGCTGAAAGGCTTTGGCATTTGAGTGAGGAGTTAGTTAGGGAGCGATTTGTTTACTAGAGATAAAGCATTTCTGCTTTGGGTTATATGACAGCTATGCAATTTTTGAACATACTCTCTCTTTTAATTCTATGATATTTCCACGATTATGCATATTCTCCATTGCTGAGCACCCTGAAATAACGTGTATTGCTCTTATTTACTTGCTGAAGAACATTTGTTTTGAATAATCCAATCCATCTATAGAGACAGCTGTAAGTCTGCTAGGCCTTGTCTCACGATGCTAAAAACTACTATTTCCATGTTACGTCTGGCAGCAAAGATTGAGAACTTACCCTACCTTGCCAATGCATTCTCAAGAAATTTATCACGAACTTTCTGTTAGGAACATTCAGGTAAAGAAGAGATATCATATTAGGTTAGTTCTTGAAAAGTCAAAATATCGAATTAACTACAATAAGTGTGAAGGGATATATCTACACCTTTGGTTGTTCAATTATCACCTCTACCCTCCCTCCCTTTGGTTGTCCCCTAACCTTTTTCAGGTTGAACATGCCCCCGAAAACAGGTTCCCAAACCCACTGACCAAAGAATGTGCGAAGAGCCCACACAGTGGTAGTATTAGAACCATACCAGAACCATCGCTTTGGATTCCGCTTCATTGCCTGCTTTACCACAGCTTTCGCGTATTCAGAAGGAAGTGAGGATCCTGCATTGTCCGTTAGCTTTTGACATTATGTCGAATGTAGTTGACTCACCTGGGTTTCGCCGGCAGTGTGCTTTGTAGTCTTCGTTCATGGTGTCATAGAATATACTTCGCTCTGGCAAACTTCTCTCCTTGTCATGCCGTAAGATAGTTGTATTGATCTCTCCAGATATTACGTTCATCACGCGAACGTCGAAATATCGCATCTCCACTCGCAACGTATCCATGAAATGGACCAACGCCGCTTTACTTGCATTGTAGACGCTGCCATATACGTAGGGAGAGACACTTGCAATGCTGCCAACGTTCACGATGAGTCCCTTTGCAGCAACGATCTGACGATGAAAATGATGGACCATAGAAAGAGGGCCAAAGAAGTTCACGTCGAATAGCCTTTTGGCGTGAGCAATATCCGTGTCGACTGCTGGCATGGTATACACGATACCAGCATTGTTGACGAGGATGTCCAGTCTTCCGTTTGTGATTTTAGCTACAGTATTGGAGAAGCCGCGGACCATGGATTCATCTGTTACATCGAGATCGAAAACACTGATATCAGACTGGTTCAGGAGGTGATCGCGATATTCTCCCGGGAGAACGGTAGCAATGACATGGTAGCCTGAGAGTTTGTTAGCTATCGCAGTCCCTATGTTCGCAAGAGCCAATCTCACCTTTGGCGACAAATTCTCGTGCAAGGGCATTTCCTATTCCACCGTTTCCGCATCTAGTTGAATGTCAGTCGAGGCTTTCAAGACGAAGCTTGTGGATCTAGACGCACCCAGTGATGAGGCAGTATTTTGATCCGGCCATGTTGTCGCAATTACCGCTTGTGCGAAGCAATGATATCAAACGGAATAATAACAGATTGGACGTGTACAGCGTAAGTTCAATACTTCTTTCCTTGCATCCAAAAGAATAGCAATGCCTATTTTCTGATAATCAGTCGATTATTCAATGTGACCTATGGTTGCTGTAGCTTCATCACACCTTCCAATCTTCGACCTAGAATGCTCAATCACAAATCTGGTAAGCCATGCTCCATGCTCGTTATCACAAACGAAGCATTCGTATGGGGTTATCACGGAGTCCGAAGGATTTGGTGGGTCAAAATCAGATTAGGATCAGGTACCGCGTAAACGTGTATAGCCCACGATGCTGAGGCGCCTGTACTAACGTGGAGACTAGTTGAAACAACAAGGGAACTATGGGGCCAATCATCGCGGCAATTAGCCTGTCGTTTGAGTGTCTGGTATGCCAGAGGTCCTCGGTCCATTGCACATGCGCATGGAATGACCGCTGAGGTGTGTAATCGAGAAAGGTCCACGCGTATGTATGCAAGTGCGTGCTATAAAGCGAGACACCAACGTCCTTGAGATTGAGCAGATACTCACTTCGTTGGACATCGTCAGCTACGCAAGGGTTCATTGGGTCCATTGTTTCTTTACCATGACCAAGATGCTGGGTGGTTTCGCTTTGATTATTGGCGCCGGTGAGTATCACTTGCGCTTGCACGGTATTGGGTTCATCCCACGAGCCTGACATTAACCTTGTATCGATATCCAGGTAGTGGCATCGGCCGCGATACAGGAATGGCGTTTGCAGAGGCAGGTGTGGAAGCCGTGGCGTTCGCGGACGTTAACCTTGATTCAGCCACCGCGGCAGCAACAGTGAGCAAGGCGCACGCGGCGAGCCCGAACTACCACACCATTGCCCTGCATATCGACGTGCAGATTGAAGACAGCGTGCGTGCATGTATGGAAGCTGTCGTGCGGGTATTTGGACGAATGGATTATTGCGTCAATAGCGCCGGAGTAAGACAATTCTCACCTTTCCTGTTTCCGGACCCATGTTGCGGGACCATCTCCCGGTGCACTTTTGAAGACACGAGAAACCTCTTCATTCGCACTCGGGAGACACCGACCCGTAACAAACGAGTTGGCGCTAACTTGGAACAACGTACAGATTGGGGTCAACGAACCAATGGAGATCAGCGAGGCTTCCCTCGTGGAGTTTGATCGCTTCTACCAGATAAACGTCCGTGGTGTGCTTCTATGTACCCGAGAAGCTAGCCGCATCATGAAGGCGCAAGGACGTAAAACGGCTCAGGGACGATCCGGTCCCAAAGACGCCGGGCGTGGGGCGATTGTGAACGTTGGTAGTGCTAGTTCTTACGTTGCTACCCCAAGCATCGTGCAATATACGGCGTCCAAGCATGCATTGCTGGGAATAACGAGGAATGCAGGTAAGCCGTTACATACATTTCATGTTCTAGGATTGCTGTTTGCCTTGTTGATTTCTTTCTCCATGGGGCAACTATTCCAAGAACTAACTAACCGACCCGTAGCCCTGGACAACAGTACGCACGGAATACGAGTGAACGCCGTATGCCCCTCTTGGGTCCAGACTCCTATGATGGCACGTGTTTTCGAAGCGACACCTGAGTTTGAAGACATGATCAATCGAGTAGTTCCGCTCGGAAGGATCGCACAACCAGAAGAGGTATCAGATTTGATCGTCTTCTTGAGCAGTCCAAAGGCAAGCTACATTACCGGCCAGGGATACATTGTTGATGGCGGTGCAACCTTAGCCATCCGCACGTAGTAAATCAATCATTATTATCTTCATTGCTAGAAGTGAAATGTCTGAAAACAACTTCAAAGTGCGCGATATCATATCTCCGGGATCAGCAATTAGGTTTTGGTGTGTTGAGCCTTACAAGAACGGACAACTCTCGATTTGAAGCTGCTCCAATGACTATAAAATTAGCCCAATTCCTGCCCTTCCTCTTGTAGAAATCACTCGAGTATAACCCACTACATTCTCTTAACTCACACATTTTCCCACCGCCAATCATTCGTTGCATACATCTTCGTTCGGTTCACATCAATCCTGGGTCCACAATGTCCACCTCAGGCCCGCTTACGGGCTTCCCCGCCGAAGGATTGCCCACCCCTCAACGGTTCATTACTACGCATGATGCGGAAGGAAGATCTGTATTCCTACCCACGGATAGTGGGGACCATCAAGCCATCATGGTTGCCGGGGCTGCTTCCCAAAGCATCATGTATAGCACTGATAAGGTACCAATCAACCTGAATGAGGAACATGATGTGAAATGGGCAAGTGAAAACCAGGTATGCGGAATCTTACTGTCATTCACGTTCCAGACACATTTTAGGATACACATGACTCTAGAATGTAAGATAAGCTGACTTGATAGCCCGGACTTCATGTCTATAATGGAGTCTGCGTACGAACCATTGACTTTGCGCCTGGAGCGGAGTCTATCATGCACCGCGCCATAACATTGGGAGTGGGAACAGTGTGTGAGGGCGAATTTGAGTTCAGTCTAGATAGTGGAGAAAAAAGGATCATGCGCCCCGGAGACGTGTCCGTCAACCGGGGTACAATGCACAAGTGGAAGAACCTCTCTGAAACTAAGTCGGCGAGGATGATCTACTTCCTTGTCGATGTGGAGCCGTTGTATGTCAATGGCAAGAAACTAGAAATGGAAATGGGTACACTGGGGAACGACTACGTTAGCGTATGAGATGTACATGAGCATGCAGTATCTACACATAATGTTTAGCCGGATTGGTGACATGTCAGTTAAGTGGAGTGATTGAAGGGCGCTATTGAGATATCATGGCCAATTTTGTGTAGTTTCTAGAGCTTCCTATCGGTTGTTGGTAGTTAATTGGAAAGAAAACTGTATTCATTCTGCTCATTATCATGCCAAGGGCAATATTGACTTCGGGGACCGATCTTCCCGTGAACTGGTTAGAGCCTTCGTATGCGATAATGGCGCGGAAATTTGCTTTGGGAATACGCTGAACCCAGCGGAGCCGCGTGTCGCGCGCGTGTGAGCCTTGAGAGATATCATGGAACTTGCCAAGCCATGTGGTACGGTCTTCACTATAACAGCTACGGACAGCTCTTCATAATTTATGGGACAAGCCGATTTTCAGACCTCGAGCTTCTACGGCTTGCTTCCTTGTGTGTTATTTTTGCCCTTTGTTGAAGTTATATACCCCCAATACTCCAGGTGATCATGTCATCATCAATTAGGGCTAGGGGCAATGACCAGGAAGCCATTGCCATCGTTGGAATGGGTAAGTTGTCTCTACTCAGAATGAACCGAGCATCCAATCTAATCGGGACAGGATGTCGCCTACCTGGTGATATCGTTTCTCCATCTACCTTGTGGAATTTTCTCGCCCAGGAGAAGAGTGCCCAGGGGAGGATTCCATCGTCGAGATTCAACGCCGATGGTTTCTATAATCCAGATGCTGATGTTTCTGGGTCGATGAGTGTCGATGGTGGATACTTCATCAATGAAGATATCCGAAATTTTGAACCAGACTTCTTCGGTATTAATAACCTTGAAGCCACATACATGGACCCACAACAAAGAAAGCTTCTGGAAGTTGTCTATGAATGCTTTGAGAATGCGGGTGTCACGCTACAGTCTGCTTCAGGTGCCAATATTGGAACATATGTTGGCACATTCACAATGGATTTTCAGTTGATGCAGGCCTCCGAGCCACATCACTTCCATCGTTATAGTGCTACAGGAATGGGCACAACAATTTTAGCGAACCGCATTAGCCACGTTTTCAACCTAACTGGACCAAGGTGAGATATCTATGCCACAACTAAGGATCATCCGTCTAACATAGATCCAAGTTATGTTTTAGATACTGCATGCAGTTCATCACTTTACGCACTTCACGCCGCATGTAGAGCATTGCAAAGTGGTGATTGCGATGCCGCTGTCGTTGCTGGCGCGAACTTAGTACAGTCTCCGCAGCAGTTTATTGGAACTGCCAAAGCCGGCGTTCTCTCAAAAACATCCACATGTCACACGTTCGATACCTCCGCAGATGGTTATGGCCGAGCTGATGGCATTGGAGCATTGTATGTCAAGAGGCTCAGCGACGCCATCAAAGATGGCGATTCTATTCGCTCCGTTATTCGGGGCATTGCCGTCAACAGCAATGGTCGCACCAACGGTATCACCCAGCCGAGCGCGGATGGTCAGGCGGCAGTCATCCGCAAAGCCTACTCTCTGACAAATCTCGACCCTGCAATGACGGACTACATTGAATGCCATGGTACGGGAACATCCGTGGGCGATGCCACGGAGGTCGACGCGATCTCTCGGGTGTTTGCTCCCAATCGCCAGGCGCCATTGCTGATCGGGTCCGTGAAGACGAATCTCGGCCACTCTGAAGCAGCGAGTGGCATCACCAGCATCATCAAAGTTACCCTAGCCATGGAGCGCGGCGTAATTCCTCCAACAGTGGGAGTTAAAAACATCAACCCCAAGCTGAAGCTAGAAGAAAGAAAAGCCGAAATCGTCCGCGAGATGACACCATGGCCAGCAAGCCAAACTGGACGGCGAATAGCTAGTATTAATTCGTTCGGTTACGGTGGTGCCAATGCGCATATGATTCTCGAGGATGCTAGCTCATACATGACGAGCAAAGAAAACGCACAAATTCACGATGCGAATGGCTCATTGGTACTACCCTTGTCCGCCAACAATGATCAGTCACTAGATAGACTTGCATCCAACTTGGAAAGCATCGGCTCCGGCATTGATCTTACGAACCTGGCGAGAACACTTTCATCACGGCGCTCACAGCTTGCAAAGCGAGGATATATGATTGTCGGAACAACGCAACGACTTGAAGCTAACACATTGAGAACTCTGCCATCAACATCTAAATTGCCATTGGCCTTTGTATTCACGGGACAAGGAGCTCAATGGCCGGGTATGGGTAGATCTCTTCTGCACGATTACCCCAGGTTCCGACAAAGCGTTCGACGGCTTGACGTTGTGTTACAATCGCTACCGCGCGACGAACGTCCGAGCTGGCTCCTGGAGGATGTGCTCGGCTCCACGCCCAATAACGGCAATGAAGATGAGATTCATCACCCATCCCGGTCTCAGCCTATATGCACAGCGCTACAGATCGCGCTTATCCAACTGCTTGCCGGATGGAACATTAAGCCATCAGCAGTTATTGGACATTCCTCAGGCGAGATTGCATCGGCATACTGCGCCGGCCATCTGACTGCAGAGCAGGCCATCATCGTTGCCTACTATCGCGGCCTTGTAGCCGGGGAAATGATTGATGACGGCATGATGCTTGCTGTGGGAATGAATGCGCAAGAAGCGGCCGCCTTTATAAATGAAAATGGGGCCAATGGCAAGGTTCGCGTCGCCTGTGTCAACTCGCCCGAGAACGTCACTCTCAGTGGAGACGCCGATGCCATCGATATACTCGCTACACTTTTAGTTCGGAAAGGGATCCTGGCCCGAAAGCTGAAGACGAATGGAAAAGCATATCATTCCCATCACATGAAGAGGGTTGGGCCAAAGTATGAAGAATTATTGACAACACTTGCGCACTCAACCAGATACGCTAGGCCGTCTGAAGTCCGCATGGTCTCAACTGTGACTGGAGAGGATGCGACTACCCAGCTACCCTTAACATATTGGCGACAGAATCTGGAGCAACCCGTACTATTCAGTACAGGTATACAGCAGCTTTTCGCTAAGGAAAACTACCACCTAATTGAACTGGGACCTCATTCTGCTCTAGGGCTACCCTTGAAACAGACTATTTCCAAGGTTGAGGGCGCGAATTACCAATACAACTCGGCAATAGTCAGAGGTAAAGATGCAACTTCAACAGTGCTACAACTTGTCGGCGGTCTTTACTTGCACGGCCAAGATGTCAACCTTCAGAAAGTCAATGGAATCTCGTCGATGCAACGCACGAAACCTATCGTGGATCTGCCCCCGTATCCATGGCATTACGAGTCTGTCCTGTGGAACGAGCCCCGCGTTAGTGCTGAGTTCCGAAATCAGAAGCACCCTCGCCATGAGCTTCTGGGTTCCAAAATACCGGGAGGAAATGGTATTATACACACTTGGCGAAACATTATACGCCTGAAGGAGTGCGCGTGGCTGTCCGGCCATAAGCTGGACCAAACCACTGTTTTCCCAGCTGCCGGCTACATTGCTGTTGCTATAGAGGCTGCGCGACAAATCGCTGACACTTCTTTACCCAGCCAGCCGTCTTTCTTGTTGGAGAATGTGCGAATTGAGAAAGCATTTGCCTTGTTAGATGATAATCCGGAGAGTGGTGCCGAGCTCATCACCACCTTGCAGCCACTCAGATCAGCCAGTTCACGAACTGGCACGTGGGAGTTCAGCATGAGTTCTTTTGCTGGAGCGACGCCTGTGCAGCATGCGTCCGGAACCATCACTTTGAATGAAGACAAGCATGTTGGAAATTCGCTAGCCATAGAACTCTCCAACACGCCGATGGACCAGCGACCCACTGAGCCGTGGTACAATAAATTTGCCCGGGGAGGGTTGGTCTTCAGCGATCAGTTCAAGTCATTGGGTGACATCAGTGTTCCCACCGACAAGAAACATCTCTGTGCTTCGGCACAAACTACCATTCACCAAGGTGTCACCCGCGCGAATAGTCAAGAGCCTGTGTATGCCGTACATCCTGCCACTATTGACGCTCTGTTGCAAGCTGGTATCATCGCTAATGCTGGAGGTATCACCGACGACCTAGGAGCTAAAGTCCCTGTACACATTGCGGAGATTCGCGTCCAGGCCTCGAAGGTCATTGACAGCGCGAATGGAAAGATAAACGCAACCTCCAAGAAGCTTCCATTTGGCACCATCGTCGTTGCCGCTGATTTGGTATCAGAAGATGGCGACATGGTCGTTCAGGTACGAGGATGTCGTGCCGCTGCCTATCGCAGTGTGACGAGCGCCACAGATGAGCTAGAGAGGCATCCCATGCTTCGAGTACAGTGGAAACCCGATATTACATCAGTACGACCAGCGCACTCTACCAAGCTATCGGCAAAGCTAGATTCGATGACGTCTTCCGAGATCAAGACCAGTCCTACTAGCAAAGTCTCCAACTTGATTGGACTGATTGCGCATCAACGTCCCGACGCCAAAGTACTTGAAGTCAATCAGCCAGATCAAGGATACACGAAGTCAATGATCCGCGAGCTTTCTGTTGGAGACATCTTCGGTCAATGCGGCTCATTTTTCCAGGGCCAACTCTCAGAAGACAACCACTTGAGCACTCGTAGTATCTCCGACGATGCTGAGACTTTTGAGCTCAAATTCCAGAAAACATCCCAAAAGGATCTTTTTGATATCATCCTCTTACCAGGAATGAATGGTAGCAACCCATGCCTGGACACCAAGCTCCATCATCTAGACAGCCATCTATCGCCAGATGGGTACGTTGTAGGACGGTTATTCCCTCACCAGATTACCGAAATCACCAAACTCGGCTTCGAGGAAGCTTTCACGGAGTCTACCCAGAGCGACTCGCTCTGCATTTTGCGCCGTACTCGTGCTGCTGCTGAGCCGACTACTATTGTGGATATTATTTTGGTCGAGCATGATAATGCTTCGCCTTCCGAAAAATTCCTCTCCGACGCAGTTTCACGGAGCATCGCTACCTCTTTCCAAACGGAGATCCGTACAGTCCCACTAGCAGATGTTAATGCGGACACAATACCATTTGGTGCTACCGTTATATCCACAGTAGAATTCGACCACAAGCTTCTTGCTGTCATGTCTGAGGAGGAGATGAAGGGCGTCAAGATTCTCACTGAAATGGCGTCCATTCTTATCTGGATCACCGGAGGTAGTTTGCTCAAGCAATCAACTCCAGAGTTCGGCCTGGCACCCGGCATTGCCCGCTCCGTTATGCTTGAACGTCCTGCGTTGAAGTTCGTCACCTACGACGTCGATAAATTCAACTTCAATACAGAAAATACAGTCGAAAACATCTTGTCAGTGCTCTCACGAGCCGCAAGTGGCAGTCTGTATAATTTCGAGTTTATCGAAGACGACGGGTTGATCCACATCTCAAGATTCTGTCCAGACGCTGTCTTGAACCAGCAATTCCGAGAACGGCAAGGACTGCAAATGGCCGAAGCTCCAATTTGTGATGTCGGCTCCGCACATATACCACTGGGCGACCTTACCCGTGGTGAGCAAACATTCTTCGTGCAAGATGAAGCCGTCGTTATATCGCCTCCACCTGGATCGGTTCAAGTCGATGTGAAGGTAATTGAACTAGATCCTTCACTACTGGAACAAGAAACTATGCTTGGCCTCTGCGGTGTGGTCAGAGACATCGGGGCAGGCGTGTCTTCCTTCCTACCAGGTGATCGCGTATTCGTGCTAGCACCCGGTAAGATTTCCACAATTGCCACGGTGCCACAAACATGCTGCTACAGGATTAAAGAGAGTGAAGACTTCAACATGATTGCTGCCACTCTCCCGTCCTTCGTGATTGCGCGGTATGCTCTGCATCACCAGGCCCGCTACCAAAAAGGCGATTCTGTATTGATCACAGATATCACGAACGCGCTCGGCCAAGCCGCACTCCAGATTGCGCAGCGTGAAGAATTGAGCGTTTACGCACTGGTAGAAAGTGCCGCAGAGGCAGCGAGTCTAGCGAAAAGACACAGCTTAGGCGCTTCCCACTTCATCGTTCGAAATGACAGCGCTACACAGGAAGCAAAGAACACAATGTTCAATGTAGTTCTCCATACTGGAAACTTGCCAGTCCCCAAAACCATTGTCAACCGTTGCGCCAAGCAGGGTCACTTTGTCAACCTTTCGCACAACGTTGGATCCGACACTACAAAATCCGGCGATCTTCCTAAGGGTATTTCTTCATCGACAGTAGATCTGCGATCTTCGTACGATATCAGCGATGATCGAGCTGGAGCTATGTTGAGGCGTGGGGTTGAGGATGTTCTCTTCCTCCACCGTTCACAAAATCTTGCGCCTGTGCAGTCTGTTCAAGTCTTCGATGTTTCGGATGTCAATCGCGCATTTGAGTCCATGTCTTCAAAGAGCAATAGCGGAGTCGTCATGCTCTCGCTACAAGACCCGACGTCAATGATCCGATACAAGCCCTCTTCCTTCGAGACTCGGTTCAGTCCAGACAAGACTTACGTTATGATCGGTTGCTTGGGTGGTCTCGGCCGTTCTATATCCAAATGGATGGTTGGCCGCGGAGCAAAGAAATTTCTCTTCGTTGGTCGCTCAGGAACGAAGAATCCTGCAGCGGCCAAGTTGGTGGGTGATCTCGAAAGCATGGAGTGCAGCGTGATGGTAGCATGCGGAGACGTAGCTAAGTACGACGATGTTTACAATGCGCTCTCGATGGTTGAGGGAGCCGTAGGCGGTGTTGTTCATGCTGCAATGGGTCTGCACGTAAGTAATTCTTTTCATCATGTTATTAGATCATAGGCTTATTATAATACCAGGAATCTTTGTTCTCCGACATGTCAGCTGAAGACTGGCATACGGCGATAAAGCCGAAGAGGGACGGCGCCTGGAACCTTCACTATGCGCTGAAAGACTTGCAGATGGAACAAGAGCTGGATTTCTTCCTGCTCACATCGTCTGTCTCTGGATCCGTCGGAACCGCCACAGAGTCAAACTACTGTGCTGCAAATCACTTCCTCGACAACTTCGCATGGTACAGACGTTCCCTTGGTCTGCCCGCTACGGCAGTTGGCCTAGGCATGATTTCAGAAGTTGGGTACCTTCACGAGAATCCCGAAATCCAGGAGCTTTTACTCCGAAAGGGTATTCAAGCCATCCCTGAGAAGGAGATGTTGCAGATGCTCGATTGCGCCTTAAGCAATGAGTTCAGACAGGAGATTCAGGACAAAGAGTACGGTGCAGGCCACATTCTCACGGGCCTGGAGCCAACCGCAGTCCTGGAGTTGCGCAAGAAGGGCTTCGATGGATCCATGTCGACACTCACCGAGCCGCGCATGTCGCTCCTCGCGCGAGCATTCCGAAGCATGGATCCGGCTGCTTCAGGCTCGGCAGGCTCGTCTGAAAGTGTAAAGACTCAGCTTGAGCAAATGGTGTCTTCCGGCCAGCCGATCCTTGAAAAGGTCACGGAGATCGTAACGAAGAAGTTCTCAAATGCGTTCTTGGTCCCTGTCGAGAAATTGGACCTCAATAAGGCTCTGTCGCAATTTGGAATGGACAGCATGTTGGCGGCCGAAATTCGCACTTGGTTCTACCAATCACTTGGGCACGATGTGGCGTTCTTCGTGCTGCTGAGCCCAGAAACAACCATTATGTCGCTGTCGCAGATGGTTGAGAAGAGTCTTAAGAAGACTGTTAAAGCCTGGTAGATTGGAAGATGTTCGCAATGATTTCTACGTTTATTTCGGATACCCGTTTCATTGTGTTTCCTTTGGCGTGTATGGGGTCTCTCTACGTCAACCGCCGGCGTTTGCGCAGGTCGGATGTCTTCCTCTTTCGTCATAATGATACTTTTCTATCGCTGAATCTCATTTTTCTATGGTTAATTAGCTGTATCTTCCTGTAGCCTAATATCGCTGGTTCTTTATGACTCTATGTTAAGTCGCCTGTTATTGTTTCCTTCGTACAAATCATAAATCGAACAAAGTCATTTACTTGATTGAATAAACAGAGCCCAGAGTCAGCTTATCAAGATGTGCAAGCAATAGATATATTGTTATTGTTACTTAAGTTATAATCAATCTGTAACCGAACACCGAAATTTGTAAAGAATGTCCTGAATCACCTTCCAAGGAAAAGTCGCGCCGGTTAACAATTTGAGAGTCAAACCTATTTGTAGCAGTCTGGTGTAGGCTTGATTGGGTAGTCCCACAGCCCACTGACCTTGCAGTCAGCTGCAGTAGACCAGTACCAGTAGTTGTTGGTGAACTTGTACTGGCAGCGCTTCCTGATATCAGCACGACGCTGACCATCGGGACGGAAAAGTGGTGCCACCAACTGGCCATCCTGGATCTTGCTCAAGATGGGTGCCCAGTTCCAAGCACCATAGTTGGGGTAGGCTGGGACCTTCTTGTTCTTCCAAGCCTGGTAGATCTCGTCAGCAGAGGTGCGAACAGCATTCCAGGCCTCGTTCTTGTTGGCGACATCTTCCTTGTCGAGAAGACGCTTGTCGCCATAGGTGCTCCAAGATCTGCCGGCAGGGTTGGAAACATTGAGGCCGATAGCATTGTCCTCATCATGCATCATCTAGATTCTCGGAGTCAGCGGATGGTAAAAAAATCTCGGCTTTGGTCATCCAAAGAGCTTCGTCGAACTTACCTTTGCGCATAGATCGGCATCACCAAGAGTGTCATGGAGCTTGCGTCGGGGAGTCCTCATATGGCCCGCTGCGAATGAGTCCTGGAGGAAATGATCACCGAAGGCGTTCATAGCGTACCCCAGGAGAAGGTCGCCTCCTGCGGCTACTGACAATGCAGCGGAGTGGCAGGCGTTGTAAGCAGTGCGAGCATCTACGCCAAAGTGGTCCCAGTTGATCTGAGCCAGCTTCAAGTAGCTAGGGCACTCAGCTGGGCGTGTGACAGTGAGGATCTGGAGCTCTGCGGTGACATCAGGGATCTCTGGATACACAGTTGAAGGGTCCTGGCCCTTATCGAGAGCTGCTTGAACCATTTCAACTTCCTTGTTGAGGTAACCCAAGATGTCACGGGCTTCTTTGGGATTGCGAGTGGTGTCAATCGCAAGCCAGTGCCAAGCGGCCTTGAATCGGGCAATCTGATCTTGCAAGTCTTTACCGTCGCTGATCGGATTGACGGTAGCGTAGAAGTCGCCAGCAAGACCATTGATTTGACCGTATGTGAGGGTCAGTCCATTGGGCAAGGAAAAGGGCTTGTTCTTCGCAACGTATGAGTTGCCGTCATTCCATGCCAAAGTCAGAGCATCACCAAGGTAACTGTGTTCGGCATACTCAAAACCTATAGATATCGAGTTAGTTGTCGCCTTATGGGAAAGTTTACGCTTGCTCACCTAGCCCGTCTTTATCATGGGGATCCTGCTTGGATTGCTCAAGTTTCCAATTGACATAGTCAATCTTCGTAGCAGCTTCAATCTCCTCATCGGAAATGGGGATGGAGATCAACTGCGAGTAGTCGTTGTGACCATGTCCATGATGCTGCAACTCCTCTGGGTCAATCTCTTTTGGAGCACTTGGGTCGTTCACATGGTCGTAATCCCACCCAGTAGGCTCATGGCCAAGGGTTTCGAGCGTCCTAGGCGGCCATGTCAGCAAAAGTCAAGTACAGGAGAGTAGGGATCTTATTCACAAGACTGTCTCAGTAGTTGTTGTGGTACTCATGGTAGCGGAATTCGAGAAAGTGAGAGAAGAGTTTCGAACAAATAATGGTTGAAAGGCTTGAGAATGGATCCAAGATGGTTGTTGAGGTTGCGTGTTGATGATTTCAATTCAACAGCAGCATCGCCGCTCATATAAATACATATTGTGTAGACTTATATTCGCATTGGTTGTTGCAGTAGCACATGAAAATGCGAGAAGTGTGTCGCACAGATGGGATTCTCCGTGATGATCAGCTCCGACTAGATGACGCCGTTGGGGGCCTCTGTTTGGGATCAACCGTACATGCAAAGCAATACTAACAATACGACGGCGACATGGATAACTGATGTCGTAGCTGCGCCATGGAAAACCCGAACTGATAGATTTACAATTTTGGCTAGCTGAATCGTCTAACAATCTTCCCCGCATTTATCTAACTGTTTGTTGTGGCTAGCTGTCCGCTCCGAGATGGAGCTGAGGCTGGCCGTTTGCGGATGGCTGGCTGAACGGTGCCACCCGCTCGTCCCGTGTGGCAATCTCACCATGACCAGCTCTCCCAATCGAACCCCGCAATCCATGTCGATTCTGGATCTTCATTTGTTCAAAAAGGGACATCTATATCTTTCTTGGCGTCAGAGAAAAGAAATACATCCAGATGGTTAAACTCAAACGGGAGATGCACTCAGCCCAAAATGGTCACGCACTGGTCGCTATCAGCTTGTCGTTGGAGCTGCCACCTGCGGCCACTATTGGTCGACGAATACCGGCGCAACGCACTTCATCCAATTCGCTACTTTCGCATGAGCTGTCTCGCAATTGCGATCTGCCTCTTTTGCCTTCACCAGATATCCAGCAGATTGATGGTCTAGATCAACAAGAGCTATCGCATGTGAAGTCAGATGGCTGGCTGATGAACCAGCAGAAGCAACGTTTGAGTAGAGATAAGGGTGACGGGAAGGAGAGCTGAAGCTGTCCCGTGTCTATGGTCCAATTATGCATCTGATGGCAAGGGTCTAGAGCGATGAAGACCATGAGACTGTGATGTTGGAGGCGTCGATTCACGACCTACTCTATGAAGGCGCTGGTTCATGTTTGAGTATATTAGCCTCCACTCCGTTCTTTCGAACTCCATTGCATTCATTCAAAGATTCTGTGAGTGCCGATCTTGAGCTCTCATACACAACGAATCACTTCCTACTTTGTCTTCATTGATTCAAACTGGCTTTACTGCCCCCAGATTGGTGTGCCACCCCGTCAAATTCGGGTGCAAACATGAGCTTCGAAGGGATTTCCAACAAGGAGTTACTGCTTGATGCAGTGACCCAAACGGCAGGACAGGATGCTCTCGAGATTGTGAAACCGTCGGAGGACATCTCTACTCCAGATGAGGATGTAACTCCGGACGACAACTTCTGTCCTCCATGCATGACCCAAGCACCCATTCCTATCCCTTTGCGCAATGGGCCTGCGGATATCATGGTTGGTCTCGACAATGAATGCCCTCGCTGGTCCCCCGGGTCAGTGATCCGCTGGTCTGCCTGGAGACAGGGATTCAAGACTGATGAAGACGCTGCGTTTGCTGCCGATCATCTCAACATGGCAGCTGAGAAATGGAACTCACTCAATATCGGGGTTACGTTTGAATGGGTTCCTCTGGCCAAGGATGCTACCTTCGTCCTCTGCCATGGCGGCAGCCACGGTGGCGCCCTTGCACAGGCCTTCTTCCCCAATGCCAATGACCTCAATTATCTTCTCGTTTACAACCCCGCTTTCTCACTCAAGGGTTGGAAGGAGAATATGTGGAAGGTCTTCACCCATGAGTTGGGCCACGTATTGGGCCTTCGGCATGAGTTTGCGATGGACATCAATCCCCAAACGCGCGCGGTATTTGAGACCGAGAAAGCTGTACAGCTTGGAGACCGGAACCCGAATTCGGTTATGGTTTATGGGAGGAAGCCACCTGAGATTCAGCAGTCTGATATTGATTCTACTAAGGCGTTCTATGCGATGGTGGATGATGCTGAGGGCAATCCACCTCGCATTGGACTCACTGATATACGAGACTATAGCCCCATGTAGATAGCAATCAATATTCTGGTCCTTTTGGGAGGATCAACTTTTTCTTCAGAACCATATCGTCCAACACACTGTTCCACGTGAAAATCATGATGGTTGTTTCGTGACAGTGGCTTGCGGATTTGAAATTTTGAGGACGTCGATCATTCCATCATTCCAGGGTCTCGTTCAGAACGGGAAATAGGCTACCGTGGGCTATACTAAAAGCAAAAAGAATTCGGTTTTTACTTCCATTCCACGGCATTCCATTGGACGAATATTGAAATAAAACCCTTGGTTCGGCTACATCTCTGGCTAGAATGGCTGAGATTCGCTGATTTTCCCCCCTTTGGGTACGTCAGAAGCTGCAAAACCCATGGCTCATTCAACACGTAGCGTGACGACTTACTGGTAAACTATTCTTCAGAAGATCTCGGGGAGATCGTCCGTTAGCTCCCGCAACCTGAACAAAGCAGTAGTGCCAATATCGGCTGTAAAGGGCAATCAGGCGCAATGTCCCGAATAGGCCAATCACAGAGTGTGAACGGATGCATGTTTCATTCACATGGCGACCTCCGATGATTCTCGCGATTCGTAAAAGGATGATCTCCTATGTGCACTCACACTTTTCTGGTGTTTCATTCCGCCACATCGTCATGGGAGAATGTGCAACCCAAGGATCGTGTGTTATCCTAAACACCGCCAGCCTGCGGTCTCGATTGTATGAGCGACGATCGCATGTCTGGAGGTCATGTCATGTCCACCTACACCTATTATCCATTCGCGCTTTTTCGTCCGAATGTCCCCAGGGAGGAATTCTTTGTTTATCACGCAAAACGACACCCGACATTTCGTGCTCGATTTCTAAGCACATATGAAGGATCCGAGTTGGGGTGGGGTTAGCGGCACGACCTGTCACAACGCCATGTGCAATGCAATGATCAACCATGTCGCACGAAGGCTAAGGCAACAACATCGTGCATTCCAGTGGTACTCTTTCGTTAAGTTTCAAAAAGACAAAGATTTGATATTGCACTAGCCTAATTATTTGCGTTCACGACGCCAGAGTTGAAGAGAAATCCGCGGCCATGACCACGACACCATGAACATCATTTACAGGGTCAAACTCACTCCCTTTGAATTATTTGTATCAATCAAGAAGGAACATGGCCTTTCTTTAGCCACAAAGTGCGCCACTGGCTTAGAGAGAGATACGGCCGCAACGAAGCGGAGATATATGCAAAATCCGCCAGAATGCTGACTGGGACATGGCATCATCACAATCATAACAGCACTCTTTAAAAGTGCAATTCTGAAAGGCTGTAATGAGACGACCATGATGGACATCTCGTTGATAAGCCTCGCAGATAGTGCTGGATCTGCCTGCTCGCGTTGTGCAAGATTCATGTCAGCTTACAAATGCGATGCTCAGGTACCTGAATATCGTGACCATAAATAGTCAAAGGTGAGCCCCGATGGATAGATTAATTCTATACATTCACACAACCCAAGAACCAAATCCTGTACGAAAACATGGCAAGCTTAAAACTCATCGTCGTCGTCGGTGCGACAGGAATGCAAGGCGGCTCGGTGGTGAACACCTTTCTCAACGAACCAGGATGGCGAGTACGCGGATTGACTCGCAATGCAACCAGCTCTAAAGCATCAGCATTGCAAGGCCGCGGCGTGGAGGTCGTAGAAGGAAATCTCGACAATCCCTCCTCGCTCAGCGCAGCTTTCAAAGATGCAAACATCGTCTTCGCTGTCAGTGACTTCTGGTCGAACTATCTAGACTCCGGAAAGCGAACAAATCAAGAGCAGCCGGGAAACATATGGGCGGCGGAGCAAGAGACGCAGCAGCTTAAGAATGTGATCGATGTCGCCTCAGGTATCGACACGCTCGAGCGGTTTGTTATTTCCTCCCTGTCAAACGTGGAGAAGGCGTCGTCTGGAAAATACAAGAATGTATTCCACTTCGACTCAAAAGACAAAGCGGTGGAGTATGCCCGAGAGCAACATCCACAATTGTGGAAGAAGACGAGCATTATCCAGGCTGGCTGGTACATTAGCAATTTCTGGTTGCTTCCCATGATGAAGCCGCGTAAAGTAAGTCGAATCATCCACGTTTGCCCACAAACAAGCAACTGTATAGAAACTAAGAATTACCCCATAGAACGCCGACGGAATCGTACAATTCACCAGCCAGGCCAAAGGGGAATCTATAGTCCCCTACATTGCCGCCGAAGAAGACACCGGCCCACTCGTCCGATCTCTCATCTTCGAGCCCGCCGGCAAGAACCTGCTCGCATACAGAGAACTAATCACCATGAACGAATTCGTCCAAAACTTTACCAAAGCTACTGGGTTGAAGGCCGAGGTCGTTACGGTGCCGGCATCAGCGCTTGACTACCCTGAAGACGCCGCTTTGGAGTTCGCCGAAACTTTTGATCATGTAAACGAGTTCGGGTACCCAGGAGCTAATGACCCTGCGGTTATCCATCCGAAGGATGTAGGTCGCGCGAAATGCTTCGATGCCACTCACCAGAATGTTTTACTGACTTTACCGAACAGCTGAAAGGGTCTCCGAAGCTTGGAAGTGTGGTAGAGTTCCTAAAGAAGCAGGACTGGACAACAGTCTTCTGAGTTTCTGGTAACATAGGCACGGAATGACCATTTATGAAACGAAGAGATGTCTGGAAGGAAATTCATCATTTTTCGATTTGCAAACAGTCAAGAAGTGCTAGGATTCGGTTCGGATGGAATTCGAGAAACTCCTCTCGACTAGAGTTGAACTGTCCATGTATCTATCTCATACCGACCATGATCGCTCGTCCACCAGCTAGCAAGACAATTATCCCGCCAACAGCAATCCATACCATTATCACACATCGCAACCTTCTCAACGTGCAAGGCTAACACCCCGTCGCGCCATATCATTCTCAACATCTATGATATCAATCCAATCCGCAGCTAAACACCACGTCAACTCCCATCCCTCGCGCCATACTCCCCACAGACCCATAACCAACACACAGTTGCACCCCAGAGTTACAAACAGTCTCCACTCCACCATTTCCCACGATGGTAATGATCAGCAGTCCGTTCTAACGTCTGCCCACGACCAAAGTAGCAGTGCAGGGGTAGCTTAGCTTGATGCTATCTTCACCCCAGCTCACTTCCATCCCACCGCCTCTCACTGCCCTGCCCCGGAGAAACAGCTTGCCGCTGCGCACTTGCAGGGAGACGAAATGCAGGTCGGGGAATTTAATCGCACGACCCACCGTCAGAAGATCGCTACCGTTTGCGTCGACGGTTGCGGACGAGGGGGTGGAGTGGCGGTTGTATACGAGGGAGTGGAGTGTCGTGGAGTTTGCCCCCCTGGTGCTGATAACGGATGATTGTATTTGAGTTACACGGCGGCGGGCGCTGGTGGAGTATTTGATATCAAATCTGGTGTTTTGCAGGGCAATTTTGCGAGGGGGTGTTTGTGATGGTGATGTTATCTACGCCTAGATAGGTATCTGCCGCGTTTACTCGGTGTTCGTGATGAGGGTTGCGACCTCTTGTCGTACAATGTATGCACATCTTAGGTCGCACCATTCAATTGAATTCAGCCGATGATGAAGGAGTCTATCATGCGCAATTACTTGTACGGAGTATGTTTCCATGAGCTGAGAATTCCCCATTCTGTGGCTATGGGAATGTAGGGATATGATGTTTATCCTTTTTATGTACATCGTCACTAGGTATGTTCGTCGTCGTCATATGTACAATACACCACTTGCACTCCAACCACACTCCACCCCTTCGTTCACAGACCAATGCACCCAACACTTCCATCTCTCCCCTCCTCACATCCTGTTTTCCAAATGGAAAAAAAAACACTAAACGAAATAGAAAAGAAAAGAAACGCCCAAAACGCCCCCGCTGAAAGAAATGCCCCCCATCTATATTCTATAATGCTTTTTTCTAGTGGTCGTCATAACGTTCGTGTATCTATAATTATTTTATCCCATGTCCTTTTCCCACCCTCTAACTTTTATTACATCCCCCAAAATCCAAGATCGAACGCCGTATAAACAATCCCATCACCCTTGCCCCCAGACTTCCTCAGTTGTAGGTGTAGGCAGGAGTAGAGTGGAGTAGAGAGGAGAATAAATTATCCAGCGAGAGTACAGCACCCAACGCCGTACCGATGCCCGCACCCGACGCACAGGTTGCCCAGCTCGAGCGTGAGCCAGACTTTCGCGCAGAGACAGCAGTGCCAGGCGGCGTTGGGGAGGCACTTTGCGAGTTTGCCTGGCTGCTGCGAGGATGTGCGGGTGGGGTGCGCGGGGCGGACGGGGGCTGCGACGGCGAGGGACATGTTGTGTTGTGTTTGTGTATTCGTAGATTTGGTTTCGGTGGTGGTTTTTATGTATGTGTTTTGGATTTGGATTTAGGTAGAGAGGTTGGAGATAGTTATGTTGTTGATGGTGGTGGTGGTGGTGGTGGTGGTAGCGGTGCTGGCCGTACTGCGTATCTCGTCGTCGATGACGATGTTTCTTCCTCGCTCATGAAATAGAGTTGAAGCTTTTTTTGGAAACACTTTGGATTTTGTGCGATGTATTATTTCTTTCTCGTGATAAGGATAGAGAAGTTTAAATTTCGTTCAACGATAATGATGATGTCCAATCAGCACCGACGCAGTCAGTTCCTTCGCTATTTGCAAAATGCTGAAGGTAGATAGATAGATAGAGTACAAGTACTTCAGATAGACAATCGCACAGTTGAACAGCAGCACGTAGCACTTAAGAACCCTTCATCCCCACCGAGCACCTGAGTGATTTTTTCCCTCCCCCTGCGCTCCCCCATCCAAAAGCGTTCTCACGGCCGCGTCGCTACCGTGCTTATTTAGGCTTCGACGCTCCATTGTAGGGTTTAGGCCGGTGGAGTCAATCGCTGGGAGTGGGGGTAACAGGCAGAATGTGTGGCGAGAATCGTCCGTCACGGCGCTAGAACCCCATCCGCTCCCTTCTAGTCACATTCTAGAAGGAAGGGAGAAGCGGTCTAAGGCGTAAGGGTGAATACCTAACCACCCATCCACCTACCTTAGAGGAGAAAGGAAGTGGAGACGCAGTGCATCGAAGCCATCGAAGCCATCGAAGACAGACAGGTTGTGGGCCCGCCTTTCGCCCTGTGATAACCAGCCCAGCTAGCGTTACATGCACTGTGAGAGCTGGACGTGATAGCGAAGTGCAGACATGATTGGCGCGATTAGTGTTTTGCTGGTTCCGAGGGGATGGTAGGGCTGAGGGGGTGTAAACCGTGTAAGCAATTGTCAAGGTGGGTGTGAAGACTGCGAGTAAGTGTGGTGCAGTAGAGCGATGGGGTAGAGTTGCATAGGGCAGAGGATACAACTCTACACTCTACAGCAGTTGACCTAATCTTGAGGTTGGAAGGGAAGGGAACTAGGGAGGGGAGTGTGTGGGGACTCGGGAGAGGATGACAGAGGGTTACTAACATTAGCCGAGCGAACGACAACAAGAGGATGAGCAACGCAGCTTCGATGCGCGATTCACGATGGGCAACTAAGGCTGAAGGGAGATTAAGCGGTGGGGAAAGGTGTGATCGGATGGATGCGACAGTTAGGTACTCGCTAGCTAGGTAGGCTATGGCTACATTAATTATTTTTTTTTTTCTCTCGAGTCCGTCCGTTCAAGAGATAGATTGACAGACAGATGATGCTGTAATACAGGATAACATAACTACAGGATACAACAAGATCATAGCTTGGATTTCGACACGATGAAACTGTTGGTCGTCTGAATCCACTTGACAGCGTCGCCGACAAGTTCGTCGACAATGGCCCTCGCGCTCTTCGTCTCGTTCACCACGGCGGCGGCCTTGCCCATCAAGAACGGCCGCGCGTTGTCCATAGTCTCATCGTCGAGGTCGTCGCCCAGCTTCTCGATGTCGTGCTCCACGGGGAGTATGCCCTTGGCGGTGAGCTCCTTGATCTCGTTCGCCCGGTTCTCCTCCCAGTTCACGATGTACGGGTTCTTTCGCACGCGGAGTGGTCGTCCGGTGAAGATGATTGTGCGGATGTTGTCGTCGAAACCAGCGGTGCGGACGGCCTCTTGATGGGCCTTGGGAGCACCAGCCTCCTCTGCGAGGATGAATCGAGTTCCGACCCAGACGCCAGAGGCACCGAAAGCGAGTGCGGCAGCGACGGACTGTCCGTTGAAGATACCGCCAGCGGCAACGACCTGGACATTCTCGCCAGTCAATGGCGACTTGTGGCCCTCAACAAGCTTCACAACGGTTGGGATGAGAATGGAGGTGGGGACGTCTCCGGTGTGACCACCTCCCTCACCACCCTGGGCGCAGATGATGTCGGCGCCAATCTCAAGGCACTTCTTAACGTGCTTGGGGTGTCCGATCATGTTCATGTAGAGGATACCGGCCTTGTGGAGCTTGTCCACGACGGCCTTGGGTGGTACACCGACGGCGGAGACGAAGAGACGGGCGCCAGAGTCGATGACGATGTCGATGAGCTCGCCGAGCTTGCCCTTGGTGTAGTCGTAGCTGTGCGGAGTGTCAGTATTCGATATTCGTTATGGGTAGAGTACAGGTACGAACTTGGTCTTTCGTGCGCTGCCGCCGACCTGGGGGAGCAACAGATCAACACCGAACGGCGCGTTCTTGTCGTTCAGGTATCCCTTAAGCTCTGCGATCTGCTCCCTGAGCATGTCAGGGGTGTATCCAACACCGCCAATGACACCGATGCCGCCTGCGTTGGTGACGGCGGCGGCGAGCTTAGGGCCAGCGGCGACGTTCATGCCCGCGAGCATGACGGGGTGCTGGATCTTGAGCAGATCAGTGAGCTTGGTGCGGATTTGCTCTGCGCGTTATTGTCAGCAGGAGTAGATAGTGTAGAGCAGAGTAGGAGTCGGCGCATGTAGAGTATCACATGTGGATGTTCGGGTGACGTACGTGGAGAAGACATGGTGATGATTGTGATGACGGTAAGGTGGTAGTAGATTATTTGATGGTGAGATGATACAACAGCAAAGAGAAGAAGAGATGAAAGAGAAAGGAGGAAGTAGAAGAACAAGACACTTCTTTTAAGAGGAGGAGGATACCGAGCGCGAGAGAGAGGGGGCGGATGAGTGAACGGGTTAGAGACGATGAAAAGAGCCGAGGCAACTCAAGTCATCCGCTCATACTCGTACGTCTGGGGAAGTTCACGTGACTAAGCCCTTTATGTACTAGCGTGGCCAGATTAACCCTAATTGGTATGGCCCATCTGTTCCATCTTGTTTTCGAGTCTACGAGTCCATACAATCCATTCACTATGGACCATTATTGTTACACAGTGTATTCATTATAATAAGACTGCCTTCCCTCCTCGCTCCAACGTCTCCGGCGATGCAATCATGTCTGTCTAGATCAATTCACGCTTCACTCTCCGCTTCAATTGCTACTCGCAATGCCTCAAAGGTGACCACCGCTGCGGGGTTCTCCGGAGTCCGCCGCAGACTTTTCCACAATGGACCCTCAGCAACAGCAGCCACTCCCCCAGCATGCAGCATCTCCAGACGCACAGCCTCAGGCACATCTTGTCCCTCGGTGAATCGTTCCCTTAACCGACCAAATTACAAAAGACATCCATCAGCCCACCCCTCCGCTCATCATCATGTACGCCAAGACCATGGATTCGCCAAATCGGCACGGCATCGTGCATACATCGCCCTGGGGAGCAATCTCGGCGACCGCGTGGCCATGATCGAGAAAGCCCTGCAGCTGGTCCAGAGAGACGGCAGCGTCCGAGTCCTGCGCACGAGTGGTCTTTGGGAAACCAAGGCCATGTACGTGTTGGACCAGGACAAGTTCGTGAATGGCGCATGTGAAGTAAGATTAAGCTTTTGACGATGGGTGGTCACATGTTATTAGTCCTTCACATGCTGACCCGGCCCGCAGGTGGAAACGTCCCTATCGCCCATTGAGCTACTCGACAAGTTGCAGTCGGTCGAGAATGAGATGGGAAGGGTCAAGGTCGTCGACAAAGGTCCTCGTAATATCGACTTGGACATCCTTCTCTACGACCAGGAGGTCTTCTTGAATGAACGACTTCAGGTCCCTCACAAGCTGATGCTCGAAAGAGATTTCGTGCTTCGACCGCTATGCGAGTATGTTTTCAATAACCACCTCTCTCTCATCGTCACTAAGCTGTGCCAGATTAATTCCAGATGCACTTCTTCCTCCAGAGGCTTCATTGCCCTCAGGTACACTACGTGAACAGCTCGCACGACTACCGCCATTGGAAGACCCGGTGTCTACACTAACACCACTCATGCGACCTGGGTCTACATCTATCCCCCCTCCTATCACAGCAGGGCACTCCACCCGAAGCACACGGGTAATGTCCATCATTAACATAACCCCCGACTCCTTTTCAGACGGTGGCAAGAACTACAACGCCGGCCCAGAAGCCCTCCGACGAACGATCAAATCCCAGATCGCTTCCGGCGCAACCATCTTCGACATCGGCGGCCAATCGACGCGGCCCGGCGCCGCAGTGGTATCCGAATCCGAAGAACTCTCCCGCATTCTGCCCGTTATCAAGCTCATCCGATCCACGCCCGAAGCCAACGACGTCTCCATCAGCGTCGACACGTATCAATCGAGCATCGCGCGGGCGGCCATCGCAGCCGGCGCCGACATCATCAACGACGTCAGTGCCGGGCTCCTCGATCCGCGCATGCTGGAGACCGTCGCCGACCTGGGCTGCACCGTCTGTCTGATGCACATGCGCGGGACGCCGTCCACAATGAACGAGATGACGTCCTACCCGGATGGCGTCGTGCAGGGCGTAGGCGAAGAGCTACTTGCTCGCGTCCGAGCCGCAGAGGCAGCGGGCGTCAAGCGCTGGCGCATCATCCTTGACCCGGGCATCGGTTTCGCGAAGACGCTGGATCAAAACCTGGAGCTGCTCCGTCGGTTGGGCGAGTTGAGGGAGTTCCCTGGCCTGGAGGGGATGCCGTGGCTGCTGGGGACGAGCCGCAAGGCGTTCATAGGACGTGTCACCGGCGTGCAGGAGGCGAGGGAGAGGACGTGGGGGACTGCTGCGACCGTTGCAGCGTCGATACAAGGTGGCGCTGATATCATTCGTGTACACGACGTGAAAGAGATGGCACAGGTTACGACGATGTCTGATGCGATATGGCGGGTATAAACTTAATTCTACGAGCGCTTTGTATACACCAACATCGTACTTGTACATACACACCCAAGAACCGCACCGCAAAGACTACAACGCTTCTTCCTCCTCAATTATTCACGCGACCGTACACCACTCCACCTATTCCTCCTTCCACAACTCATACTCCTTAAACCACCCCTTATGAACCCACCCCGCCCACTCCACGATGACCGGAAACTTCTCCCTCAACAACCTCTTACTCCCGCCCGCAGCACCACAAACCATTACACTCGCCGCGAACCCAAAAACCGTCGCATCCGCCTCCGTCGGCTCTTTCCCAGCCAGAACCCACCACCCGTCCCCCTCCCTCTTCGGCCTCGCACTCTCCAACAACCGCGCAACAACCTCCCAAACCGCCTCCACCCTCCTAAACACCTCCTCCTCGCTCAGCCCCGCAAGACCCGCCGCCTCCATCTTCACCCCGTTCTTCCTCGCCGCCAGAAGTCCAATCAACACACGGGGCGCCCACGGTATCGACCCCAGCACCCCGTCACGCATCGTATAGTAGTTCACCACCCACCGCTCATACCCATGACACGCATTCAACCTCTCCTCGATCAGACACCTCAACGCCACATCCAACGCCGCGTCCTTCGCGCTCAAACCCGCGTTCAGATCCCGCAGCGCCGACGCGGCGATGAAATGCTGCGTTATGCGCGTGGAGTCGCCGAGCGACTTCACGTCCCCGTCCTTGTCTTGGGAAGTGAGGGTGATGTAGGGAATCTGGCCCGTGGGAGAGGCGCGCGGAGAGCCGCAGGCGGGGGTGTACGTGAGCCCGCCGACGCGCAGGCGGAACTCGAGTTTCGTGACGAAGGGCGACCAGACGTACTGCCGGGGCGTGTCCGAGCCGCGGAAGAGGGTTATCGCGGGCGTGGGCTTAGACATTGTGTTTGAGTTTTGTGGTTTTGTGAGGTCGGTTGGTGGATGTGTGTGTTGTAGTGTGGTGTATATACTGTTTATACACGAAAAAATAGATCGTGAGAAAAGTTGGATAGTAATTGAAAAAGTACAAAGTCAATTCAAACTGCTTCGACAATTGATAAAATTCTAAAACGTCATCGTCGCGAATATATATACAAAATCCACCCGCCTATCTACAGTCTCCATGTCGTCTTGGCAGGCACCGCGATGCACGAAAACCATCGAACCTTCGTACAACGCCAGCCCTTCCAACCCCAGAGATGTCCGTCCAGCCCCACGCATGCGAAAAAAAACCAAGCGTACGTGCGAAAGACGTCGTTCGGTTTCGTACGCAAGAATGATTTGTGGTGTTGTATGCTACGCTTTTCTGCATAGCTATACAGGGTACTCCGTATGGAGTAAAAAAGGAATACTATGTGTGTTTGATACCCTGTGATGCGCGAAAGAAAATGCGTGCTGTTCTCGCAGGCGTGCGTCGCGACTATCTACCCTCCCCATCACTATGTATACTACCTACCTACACACTACACAGCAAAAGTATCAACCTAACCAAACACAAAAATCACCGACCAAAAATAACCCACACCCAACGCGCTTAACCGCTTCCTCTCGGCGTCTCCCTACAAAAGTAAAGAACCCCAATCAACAGAAGGGCGGCGCGTCAAAGCACCCTCTGCCCACCGTACGAAGACTGGTACGAAGTCACGAAGGGTGAATTACTGGCGGAGTTTCGGGCGTGTGATTGGCTGCTTTGTCTCGCTTAGAGGGGCGAGCGGAGTGGGAGTGGAGAGAGGGATAGGGTAAAGGATGAGGGAAGGATTGGGGGTGGGAGTCATAGTTAGCCTTACGGACGTATTTTGTTGATGTACGGGGGGTGTACGAAGGGGATTTTGAAGGGTACGGACGAATTATTCTGGAACTAATTGAATGATGGAGGAGGTGATGGGACGTTGTTGTTAGGCAAGGTGGAGGGCGTGTTTTGGGTGGGCGGTTGATGTTATCATGGAGTTGTCAGTTTGATGGAACGGCGATGGAGACAATGGGAAATGGAGAAGTTTTATTTATGCATTTGCTATTATGTTTGCTTGCTATGGGGCTGACTATAAGCTTCCCACTTGTTACTATTATTATGTGAGAGAAGCTTGTCGTATTCTATTAAGCTACCAAGGTCGGTAGTGAGGAAAAATCGGCGGGCCTCAGAAAAGCATTGTTGGTGGCCACACGCTCGATGGAAAGGAAATCGTACGTTTTCGTTCGTTCGTTCCTTCATTCATCCATTCGTTCATCGTAAAATCATGGAATCGCAGAACCGGCCAGTAGTCGCCTCGCGCCATCGCGTCGTCGAGTGAAGGTGTAAGAAGGGCGACCTCACACGTCCACCTAGAGCTGCTTTTCCTGAACATCAAGTCTCCTTCCTACGGTAAAACGTACGCAAGATAAGACATGCATGTCCGTCCGCGATCGACACGCCACTCTCATTTCCAATGGCAACCATCGTCGAAGAACTCCTGGAAGGCGGCGCGCTGGCGACCCAAAACACTCCTACGCTTTGGCTTCGTGCCCGGTTCGAGGTAATGCTCCTCGATCTTGATGTCCGCCGGTACCACATCGAACTTGTCCAAGACGCTGAGCTTGAAGGTAGTGCTCGCAGCATCGCAGACGGTGTCGTGCCAGGCGATCGTAATGCTCCGCAACGCAGGGGCACAAAGCAGGGCCTGGACCATAGCATCGGCGCGCAGCCGTACGAATACCTCCCAGATCTCGCAAAACTGTCGACGAGGATCGCGCATCCATTCTGTGTCCCAGACAAAGAGGATCTCCACTTTGCGAATCTTGTCCAGAGGCGACGTTCCGGCTGCCTCGAGCTGCGAGAGGGCGAGTTCAAACATGCTCATATGGGCAATGCTAGCCGTGGCATAGATGCGGAGAGTCGCAACCTCGTAATACCACTCCATTGCCTCGTTCCTCAGCTCCTTGTTGGTTAGCAGCAGCGACAAGGCCGGAGGCGGGTGCGACATGCGCACGAATCTCGGGATGTGGCGCCACTTCGCATGTGGGTAGATGGGATGCGGAGAGATGGGAATATTGGTGGCCGCACCCTGTACACTATTACGGCCATGCTGGGGAGCGTTGGGAGCATCGTCCCTAGCCTCTACATCCGCGCCACCATCGTCCCCTTCGCCCGTATTGTTGTGTTGTTCAGGGTCGGGGACGCTGTCGTCATCCTGTGTGCCAACGGCACCTGCCTCTACTTGCTGTCCGGCATTTTGAGCCCCATTCACCAAGCTTGCGTTTCCCGTTGAGGGAAACATATCCGCAAGGATATGGCTCTCTTCGTCAGGGTTAATAGTTTCAGAATAAGGGCTCCCTGGTGCGTCCGTCGTCTCTCCATTCTCCCCGTTGTGCCCAACGTCGTCGGTCTCGACCTCGCCCTCATGATCGTCCGAGTTATCCAGGTCTGAATCGGCTGCGTCATCTGTGTCAGCATCGGCTTCGGCTTCGTCCTCGTCCTCATCCTCGTTCTCGTCCTCACTTTCGCTCTCTCTTGCGTTGTCCTCATCTTCACTGCCAATGTCGTCGCTGTCGTAGTCGTCACTCTCGGTTTCGTCACCGGTCTCAGCCAAGCTCACCACATACTCTGCAGACCCAGCGCACCAATGAATGACCTCCCCGCAAACAGGACCAGCGAATGCCACACATTTTGAGTGATTCTTTTTGTTGTGTTCCAGCACCTTTTGCTCGAGATCCCTCCTCTCGAGCCATCGCCGGAGGAGCTTCTTAGTGGGCACCTGTCGCTCGGCAGCGTGCTCGAAGATCACATGGCGTACCTCGAGAGGGATAGCTAGCAAGAGGGAGGGGGCGTCAGTGCCAGCCATAGATGCCATCGAAGCTGGTTGCATCGACATGGTGAAATGCCGGAGTGGAGAAAAGGTGAATGCAGGTTAGTTGAGGTTGTTGGGGTAGAGGGGGGTGAGCGATCAGGCGCGGCGCTTGGATGATGCTGGAGAGGTTCTTAGATAGTATGCCTGCCAGGTTGTGCGGGGAGATGGATTGTTGTTTGGCGATGAACGAAAGAAAAGAGAGAGAGAGAGAGAGAGAGAGAAAGGGTTCAAGTAGTAGTCAGGAAAGGAAGTTGGGTTGTGAGGTAGGGTGGTGAAGAAGTGAGGTTGATGATCGTGATGGTGATGGATGTGGGGTGAAGGTCGTGGTTGCCTGTGTACAAAACGCAGGTACCACAAGAAGATTCACCATCACCATCACCTTCATCATCATGCTGGATTCACTACATGATATCCGATACGGCCAGTTAGAGGGGTAAGTGAATCAACTCGAGATGTTCACCTTCGTATGGATTAAATGGAGTGAGTCAGGGAGTCACTGAATCAGCGCGTGAATGAGTAATGTCTTTGTTGATTCACGGTCGCTGACGCGTTTTGGCGGAAACCCGTGCTCACGTGATGCATACCAAATCACCCACTACGACTTCTCGATAACCGGTAAGAGCACTTAGGAAACGCAGGTAAATCACCTTATTGGAATTACGAATCACTGTGTGCTTACGAGTCTCTATTACCTTGTTGGACAGCGGTAGTCTCGCCCGCCAACATGGCGATGCGCGCAATTGTTGACCTCAATAATGAATCCATCTTCTAATTGTTAGAAAATCGGAATCTGGCGACACAACTCTAAGGTTATCAAACAACTCAGTGAAATGAGTTTAACAAGACCTAGAAATCAGTGAAAAATAAGTAGATAAGTACAAACAATTAGTTATGCATCTCGAAAGAATGAGAGGCCTGGTTGATTCATTTATCCGCTTACCCTTACGTAGACCAAACTTGCATGACACAAGGCTGAAAGAAGTGTAAGCTTGGTCCCCAATTAACACCATATTGTGAAGAGGTTGAAAAGTCGCCGGAAATGGTAGCTGTCTCGTTGCAAGTGATACAAATAACGATCGCATTTCCCTTTCCATACTCATCGCACCCGCTGTTGTTTGAATGTGCATAAGTTGTTGTCACTCATTCGTGGATATCTCTCCAGCCAGAGGGTAAACGATTACCTTGATGGCCGCATTTGGCATGCTTACGCGAACTTAATCTCAACGTGCAGTGCAGCCTGATTGGGGGCCAACTGTAGCATGGCCCCACGACAAATCATGTTCCGTATTCCATGTATAGCTCTCTGTATTTTCTACTCGACGGGCGGTAGTTTTCCAAAATACAGTGTTCAAAGATGTTGGGTGTTTCACATTGACCGTCGTGGTATGTTGCACAAGCGTGTTAGAAGTGAATATATAAATTCGGATCCACTTTTCCCTGCACAGAGCAAAACGTAAGGACCCGAACTGAGCCACATACCCCGGAGCTTTTACTGTAGTTCAAACCACATGTCACTTTTCGGTCGAATTTTCAAGCGCAATGGCGACTCGAAGCGAAAAGAGGGTGCAAATCTTCTGCCACCAAGAAGGGTCACTCAACCAGCAACTCCAAAACCTGCTAGAGCAGTGGGGAATCCTTTACTTGCATGGTACCTCGAAATCCTAGCATTAGTGATCACTCTTGGTTGTGTTATTGCCATTGCAGTGCTGTTGAGTAAAATGAACGGCCGACCACTAGCAGACTGGAAGATGGAAGCGTCGTTCAACACCGTCATCGCTATTCTCGGCACAATTTCCAGGACGACGCTCGCATTTGCAGTTAGTTCCTGCATAGGACAACAAAAGTGGGGACTGTTCAGACAAGAGCCAGATCAGCTGCGTGTCTTTGCAATGTTTGATCAAGCCACCAGAGGGCCATGGGGGGCCACGAGGCTGATGTTTCTACTCAGAACACGGTAATCATGTCGCCTAACAGTCACCACAGAACGTCGTTTACTGACCTGATGAAAAGGCATTGGGCTACTCTCGGCGCACTCGTGACCGTTGGCTCACTCATCTTTGATCCCTTTCTGCAGGCATCCATCGGGAGTATTGGTTCGCTCAAAGCCATTGATTCTGCTGGCCGGGCGACCGTAGGAAGAGCAACAAATCTTAGCTTCGGTCGCCCTGTTGAAGTAACGGTGTTCACAGGCGTATTTCAAGTCAACACGAGCGCCGGATACTTTTCTGCGGATAGCATTGCTGTAGAACCTGACCTTGGCTTTGCGAGCGCTGTTTACAATGCCTTTTACAATTCCTCGGCATCCCTGGACCAGTCAGTGAGGTTCACATGTGAGACTGGAAACTGTACCTGGCCTCCGTATGTCTCGATGGGGGTATGCAATTCTTGCGCAGATGTGACTCAGCACATGATACGCGAACACGGCCACGGCGAAAACGGAAGCACAACACCACAGCCCAGTAATATCCAGATGAGTGAGCAGGATCCATATACGAGATACAATCTCCCATATGGCTCCATATCAAATTATGACATGTTTAGATACTCAGGTCAGATGACTGCTATATCGACGGGGATGGTTGTCAATGTGACACTTGATCCGTCCGAAACGATCCATTTCAAGGACACTGGCTCCCTGCTTGCTAGCATCCTTACCATCAAAGGTTCTCCAGAGTATCTCTTAAAAAACCAAACATGGAATAGCACCACGCCAGTTGCCACGGAATGCGCATTGTATCTCTGCGGGAAAGTCTATGATTCAAGAGTCGTCGAGGGCGTCCTACAGGAGCAAGTGACAAGCTCATGGGCATTTCGTCGTAAATCATCGTATCAAGCCATCGCCAATCCAAGAATGAGTCTGGACGAAAGCAAGGCCCGAGCGTGGACTGCCGAACACCCAGTCTTATATGACATCCAGGCATACAGGACCGACCTACAGATATCTTCGGAACCCGTGGAAGACGCTAATCTGCATCTCAATGTCACCCAGGGATCGCTGTTGACAATGGTTATGTCCCTTTTTGAAGCAATATCTGGCACGCTGCCACCGTCAGGAGAGCAGATAGCATATCCAGGTGTAATCGCCTATTCCTTTCAAAGTATAGGCGGACCGCCTGCCTTCAGTACGGCTCTTTTCCAATCGCAGAACCTGAGCGAAACATTTGACCGTGTGGCCCATCAACTCACCAATCACCTTCGTAGCAATGCTACAATGGCCTATCCTGGGATGGTTCAAAACTGGATTCCCTATGTGAGGATTACTTGGGGTTTCTTCGCCCTGCCACTGGCAACTGTTGTACTAGGCTTTCTCTATGTTTTGCTTTCGATTATCGAATCATACCGCCTTCGTATCCCGATCTGGACGAACGATTCACTGCCCACGTTGATTCATGGGTTGGATAATGAGGCGCAGAGCGTGCTTCGCCCTTTGTATGGAACAAAGGAGGGAGAAACAAAAGTGAACAATCATATTATGGAGTTTTCCAAAGAGGAAGAGAGGCTGCGGTTGATACAGTGAAAGGGCAGCCGTAGAGAAGAGATGGAGTCGTGATGAAGGATGCCGAGTCGGGACGAGAAGTGCGCATGTCACTCAATGTCCGCGGTCAGGCTCGTACCAGACTAATAGCCACATGCTTCGATCAGGTAGACGTATCCACATCTAGAGAGGTTTTAATATTATAATTGTTGCTTTTATAATTTCTATACTCAAGTTTATACATAGTTAGTTATAAATCTAACTAATATTTACTTTACTATAGGTCAGAATTAAGTGTTTTTAAGTGTAGCTTTATTGCTCATCTTCTATATTCCTCTACCAAATATAGGACACAACTAAAGTAAAGCTATCTTAGTATAAAAGTACAAGACTACAATTACCAATGACACCAAAGAAATCATATTAAACATCCCCCATAATTAGAAGAGCTGCCAGCATCGACATAGGCCCCCAGCACGGCAGCGTAAATCCCGAACCCACGTACACCTAGAGACTAGCCACATCGTCGGACATACTTCCACCCGTTACGCCTTATGCCAACGCATCTCAGTGACGGCTGATACATGCGTGCGAGTCTAAATACCGGCGTCGGATGTGCGTTTGTCCTGTTCCATAAGTTCTCAGGGTAGACAGAAAAGCAGGCATGAGCCTGTACTTTGAACAGCCACCCCACAAGCCACAAGAAAGCGAAAAGGCGCAAACAGTAGAACCCCGATAGAGACCTGCCAAAGCCCCCGAAGTGACAGCGTCTAGCAATCAACGAGTCGAAACTGCAGGCCTCTTCCCCATTGCCACGTCTTGATGGCGATGAGGCACCAAGTGGCGCTGCGATCCACATTCGGTTTGGTAGATCGTGCGTTGTCTCCCACGTCGTACCCTGCGCCTTTTGGGGGCGGTGGCGGTCGACGATCGTACATCTTGTGGAGATTGCTGGGGATGTTTTGTGGAGGGCGGCTCTTGTTCGACCAAGGCGGCTTGGGATTGTGTTTGCTTCACAGTGGAACTGGGGGTGGATCAGTGGCATGGTCGGAGATGAGGAAGACAGCTCCGTCACCACCGCCGCCGAGGAGAATAAAACGGGCCCCGTGGGACGGGGACGGAGGGGTAAAGGTAAAGAGGAGAGAAGAGAGAAGAGAAGTAAAACTATGTCTCGCAACACCCCAAGGACAAATAAATGGTGTACTCGTATAGCATTTGTGTACTGTTACTGCTAGGCTAGCTAAGCGCCGGAAAACAATCGTACCGCCCACAATGTCTACCTCTACCACATGAGGTTTTTGCCCGATCCAAAGGAGGAAGGAAAGAGAAAAAAGAAAAAATGCAAGTGATCGGCCGTTGGGAATGAGCGTGAAAAAAAATAACGAGTGTGTATCCTTTGGACCTCTTCTTCCTCCACCACCTCTTAGCGTACAGCTGCGGCTTCCAACCATGCCACATACTTCAATCCAATCCGATTCTGTATCCGCGTGCAGAACGGGGCTCACAACTCGTGGAGATCCACCTCCACGATCGGTCCGGTGTAGCTCTTTCGAGCCCAGATCAGGTAGTATCCAATACTGAACAACACCACGAATCCCGTGACCACGACCGCCCAGTTCATGTTCTGTGGCGTCACCGCGACTGCATTCGGCCAGAAACTGAAGAATATCAGCAGCAGTAGGTAACAGATCGCAACGGCGTTGTTCGCGATTCCAAGGAGGCCCTTGAGACGCCATGGACCCCAGGAAAGGTGGTGCTCGAATGTCTCCGAGGGTGAGGCCGAGCTGAATGCGGTGAGGGTTGACGAGTGGCTGCAATGAATGTCGCCGCGTACTCGGCGCCAGAGAAGTAGTCCGAGTGCGAGTAGATAGGAAATATAGAAGCCCTCCAAGACGAGAGAGATTGTGCCGTTGAAAGCAGTGTTGTTCCCGATGTTGATCAGTGATAGGGTAGCTGAGAGAATGGTGACTACGATAATAGCTACCACCGGTATCGTGGTACGTTTGTCGATCTGGATTCAATTAGCTAAACTCCTCATGTTCGGACTGAGAACATGCCATGCTGATATAGCGCGAGAAGGGGAGTCCTCTGTCTCGCGCGAACGACCACGTCATCCGGGATGCGGCGGCTAGACATCCCAAGGCGCTGCAAAACTCAAGTACTATGATGATACTGGTCATGATAGTAGCTCCAGCCCTGGACCCGACCGTGTGATGAAAGACCTGAATCATGAGATGCCCTTCGCCCAGCAAATCAGGAATATCAGGTGTGCTGAATAGGACCGCAAAAAGCATGCCCAATGCAAGGCATCCGTTAATGAGCAGACTCAGCACCATCGAGCGTGGAACGTCCCGAGTGGAGTTTTTGACCTCCTCCGACATCTTTCTGAGTTAGCAACTGATCTTCGCCCACCGGGAGATACCACTCACATGTACGGGTGAATCTGTCCCAACAAAACATAGCGCATTGCCTTGTATTCCAACAAAGAATGCCAGGGTTTTACTATTCCATCCGCCTCCATTGTTGAATGTCGTAAACACATCGCTGATGGAGTTGTGCTGAGGGGTGAGGTACACAATAGGCACTAAAATGCCGAAGAATCCCAGGGTATGGATGATAAGCACAACAACCTCGATCGTGGGCAGCGCTCCACTAATAAAGATATTGATGATCACGCAAACCACGAGGGCGGCCCAAATCAGCATCGTCCCCTGCCACCCGGACTTTTCGAAGCCCCCGTGGTTCAGTTGGACTAGACTCATGGTAAGGTCCGCAACGAAGAAGCAAACTGCCGTGAGTGCAGCAATCCAACCGACGACAGTGAGCCATCCTTATTGAGTTAGTCATAGGCAACCTGCAACATACAGAAAGTGTAGACTATACCGGTCATGTAACTGAAGAATTTCTTGCTTGATCGCGGTGCTAGCAATGATACCCAATGGTATTGCCCTCCGGCAGTGGGGATAGCACTGGAGAGCTCGCCGATGGCGATGAATACTGAAAGATTTCCTAGCCAGACAAGTAGAAAGCCGTATATTAAACCAGCCGGACCGCCACTAGACGAGTTAGATCTGCGCAATCCGCGAAAGCGTCTGTAGCTGTGCTCACTTCTGGAAGCCTATCGCAAACACACTGTCGTCCGTTAGCTCAGTTCCCATCACATTAGTGATAGTTGTGATGCTCTTACACAAGCAAACTCTCCCATGTGCACATCAAACCGCACGACAACCCAGTCATGCTCACCAACCCAAAGCGACGCTGATGGAGATCAATTTCACGATCATTGGATCATGGCCGAACACAAACCTTCAAGACCTGCTGCTTTCCTGCCCGGGCTAATTCATATCGATCGCGGTCGAAGTCGCCAGCGACCTTCTCCGCCAATACGGAGCCCCTGCCCCGGTTATGGAGGACTTCATCATCTAGAGTCCGCAGTTCGACTGCCTTTTCCATGGATGGCTAGAATGAATGAAATGGAAGTAGATTATACGTAACTAGGACAGTCTCAAGGGCACCAGATGCTGCAGAGATTCCTTCTTTAGACACTGGACGAGCTGCAACGAGTTACAGCAGGAGGGAAAGGACGTGAAGATACGTGGATTAAGAGGAACCGTGGTACAGCACGCATGCAATGCAAGTCAATCTCGATATTTATCACCTCTGTGAGTAACGTGTGCCATGTGCGCCCGCCAACGTCTTTTTGAGATAGGGGCGATGGCCGGCTGTGATCGGCACTCTCGGAGTGGGTGAACGGATGGCGCGTTGAGGCAAAACCCGTCCTCAGCTAAGGAAAGTGTAGGCTTGGTAGGTCGTCTTGAAGTGGGCTCGACATATCGTACTCCGTTCACAGTCTCAGGGAGTTCTGCGAGGGCGCGTCCTGGTTCGTCTCCTGTGTTGTACGCCTGGGCTAGTCCGATGCAGATGGCGGTGGCATGCATCACTCGAAATCCATGGATCCCTTGCAGGTACCTCGTTACTATGGCCAAGACGCAAGAGTGAAAAATTTCCGCGATGTTAGACGGAGCTGGGCAAGCAACACCGAGCAAAGATGATAGGTAATCGCGTCACTTGTCAAACTCTTCTTACTGGGAAAGGTGCAAAGACATGGCAGTTTCGGGATTTCGACACCGTTAGCCGCAGGAAGACTTGGATAGCGCTCACTCTCGGCGTCGAACAATTTGACGATATCGTTTCACAAGGACAGGGGGTTGGACATGTGGCATGGTGAGTGGGCCGTGAACGTACGGCGACAGCTGCCGCTATCCAGCCTGTAATACCACAATGAGAAGACAAAGCCAGCCCCGCAGGAGGACGGGTTGTACAGTGATGTATGAGACTAAGAGCCCAAGGTGGTTGGCAATGAGGAATGAGGAGAAACCGTTTTGGAACCTGGTCCATTGAGGTTGTACCGTTGTGATGACTAATTCAATACCACGTGGATTCAGTCACGTGAAATGACTGCCACTCGGATTCCGGGCATCTCGCATGCCGGTGAAATGGGAATCGTGGGGTTTGGCATTAATGCTGGATAGAGAATGGGATGTAGTTATTCCGTCGCTCTGCGGGCCTCCATCTTTACTGTTCAACACGTCTACGGAGTACAGTGTGCTTCATATTGGGAAGATGCTTAGAGGTTGAATTATACACATTTACTTCTCTTAAAAGACATCTACGGGCTATAGAGATAGTGTCGCGAACAAATGGCGTTCATCAGAGTATAGAGCTACCTGCCATCTTTGGTCATGAAAACTGCAGTAGGAAAAATGTAACTCTATAGATTGCCAATCCAACAATACCATGAGCAGGAGACTGCAAAGATATCATGTAGAGAATTTCCCGATGCCGTTATAATTAGTCCTGGACTGCAAGTTTAGCTTCTCAGGCCATAACGATATGCATGCACTTTACCCGGGCGGGACCTTAATATACACAACTAACCCTAGGCAGGTGAAATAAACCAATTGACCACCTGTTTAGGCCTCCATGGGGGCTCAAAACAACACCAAGAAGCGACCTTACTATGTTGAATTGCAACGTTGGTTATTTTTACGCTGGGCCTTTGATCTATTAAGCTCATAAACCTATTGTCCGAAGCAATTGATATCCCCCATTCGGCTATTCACCATGGTAATCTATTTAACGTGTCGTCGGATGTATGTAGAGTGTGTTTCTGGGCACTTACGTGCGTAGTGGATATTGTACGAACGAAACTGCCATATAATCGTTCAAGCGCCCATCGTATACAGTTCCGTAGTGCCTCTGCACGGTGTCGAGTGGAATAGAAAAGAAAAACCAATATCTCGGTTCAGATGTTCCTCAACATGAAAACTCTATTCTTTCTTGGGTGCCTACAGATCTGCGGCGCGATTTCACTTCACCCAATAAAGAAAGCGCCCTGCATCGTGGAGGCGGGAGGATATGAAGCGATTGACGACGCCCCGGCAATCAATAATGCTATCAAAGAGTGCGGTAACGCGGGAATCATCGTTCTACCACAGGACCAGATATACAGCATCCATTCGACTATTGACTTCTCGCCATGCCGGAACTGCGATGTGCAGCTCGAAGGCCGCCTCCTTCTGTATATGGACTGGACCTTATGGGAGAACAAATCAGCAATAATTTCGATGCATGGAGTGAAAGGTGCCAAGTTGCGCAGCCTAACAGGCAGTGGAGTTGTCGATGGCAATTCCAAGCAGTTCTTCCAACGATACCGGGTTGGCCTGCAGTATGACAATCAACCAGTGCTTCTGCCAATAATCGGATCTTCCGATATCCTGGTTGATGGCATCACGGTCAGGAATGCGCCAAAGCAGTTCTTCCGTGTCGATGGCCAAAGCTCGCAGATCAAGTTTTCCAACTTGAACGTCGTCGTGGAAAACCAGTGGTGGCAGGCTATCTGGACGAAGGCAGAGTCGATTGCGTTCCAGTTTCGCAATAGCTCAGCCGTTGTGGTGGACACAGTGAACGTCAACATGAACGCAAGCCGATGGGGAGGTCCCGTGGATGACAAAGTTGGTGTTTGTGTCGGCATCGACTATAGCACCAGTGATATCGATATCAGGAACATTTATTGTAACACTAGTGATGGGGTACTGATCCAGTTTGGTAGCGTTGGGTTCTACAATTACCCACCTGCAGATGATCAGTGGGCAAGGGATATCAGGATATCGAACCTGACCTCCGATGCAGTGTCTAACGGCGGCTTCAAGAACCTCGCCGGCTTTGATTATGCTAAGGTACACAATCTTACCTACGACGGAGTTGATATTAGGTCAAAGTACACTCCGCTGACGATTGACCTCTGCTACCTGATTTCAAACGGGAGGAGTCTCAGCGATATATGTTCCACACGTCCAGGTGGCGCGATGGAGCGTCTACACGCCGAGTTCACGGACATATGGTTTAAGAACTATCGCGGAAGAATCAGCAAGACTGGTCTGGACTGTTTCTACAACTCGACGTGCGACTTTCATTTTGAGAATTGGAGCAACACTGGTTTACTGAAATAGCGCACAATACTAGAGTTCGATGACCGTATATGACGGGTGTTGATAGTAGAGAGTCTGTGGTGGGTATTCGAGCACAACGCCCCCTTCCATCCTTCCTTCAAACGCCGAAACAAGAAATAGATATCCCGCCCGAATGTTTACTATCATTACCCATATCATCGTACATCTCGTGATATCACTATCTCATCGCATGATGCTTCTCTGCTGTGTCTCTCTGCCTCTTCCCACGCAGCACTAACGACAGTCGTTTTGACGATTTTCGCTTGGCTCCCCGTACTGTCAGTCTCCCATCTCTTGTCGTCTCCGGCCCCAGGGCCAGATATTTCGACGTCCGTCTCGCCATCCGTTCGGCGTGGACCTCCGGGTAACCCAGACGCTGAATTCGAGTGCGACGTGGTGCCGCCGGAAAGCATTGGCATGAAACGTTTGATGCCACTTTCTCCCTGACTCTTGCGGATTCTACTCCCTTTGGTTGTTTCGTCTGTAGTTGAGTTTTGTGTGCTTAGTTTGTATGATACACTCTTGCTGCGAGAATAGCCCAGTTCCGATGGGGTGCCTCGGCGTCGTATCTCATCAGCACCGTATAGACCAGAAGGTAGTGATTCGAGAAGAGGTCGAAGATAAGGAACGCAAGATGTGAGTATCGTAATGCATTCGATGATCTGGGTGGTAAGCGTCCACTTCCATAGATCGCGAGTCGGGTCCGGAGAAGAGAAGGCGGAAGTATACGCAAGCTGAACGCCCGTCGCGATTACATCCCTGCTGAGGTGTTAGTGAAGCTTTCGAAAGATATGGCCATACTTACAAAGATCGGGCGCCGAAGAATATGAGAATGGTGAGCTTTTGGACTGCACTCATCTGCAGTGTAGCGATAACATGAACGGGGAAGAAGATGAGCGCCAGGTCGGTAAGCATGTTAATTGCGCCCATGGCTCGCCAGAACGAGGGCTTTCATAGCACATTAGCGTGATAATCTTGATTGAGGATCTATTCCAGGTCTCCTGAAGCATACCATGTTGGAGCAAGTGTTTCCTGGGCCGATAAAGCGCCACGGCTCATCTATGCCGCATTGAAAAGCGCCGACAAAAACAGAGACGACGCCCCAAAGCGCTATGACAGCCGTCATGCTATAGCAAAACCTACGGTGCAAGTCGGCGGCAGTGAGGATCATCAGAAGCGAGATGATCGATAGCTTCGCGAACGCCAAGGTGGCGATGTATAGAAGTCGGTTTGCATATTCGGCCTGCATTCACCCAGCATCCTCAGCAAAAATTCATAGTGTCGAACTCGCGAATGAAGTGGAGAGCCGGGCCGGAGAAGAGACTGCACAACGACAATATACCTTTTCGTAGGTTCCGACTTGGCTGGCCTGTAGTGACGAGATGGTCCTACCAAGCCCGTTTGACACCTGAACGCTAACTGCAATACCGGAGCCAATGCTTGTTAACTATGAAGAGATGTGTGAGCGAATAGTCCCTAACGAACAGACCCTTGGGAATGGAACGGTACTCACCAGTGCTGCCACAACAAAGGCATCATCGATATCCATTCGCCTTCTCAGCGCCCTCTTCGTGATCAATCGTGTCAGGACCGCTAGCGCAGATGTGATGAGAAGGACCCAAGTGACGACATTGAGAAACGGCCCCAAATCTTGCTCGGAGCCTGGTTGACGTGCTACTAGCGCGTGAATAGGAAGGGCACACATTGCACCCACCGCTCATTGTAGAGTAGAAAAAGTACCTGTTCAGATGGTCAATGCCGAGGCAAAAAGAAACAACGAGTGGAGGTGCCCAACTTTGATCCCTTGAGCCCGCGCGCGGCGCATAGTGAAGAAAAGAAATATTCGAAGGTGCTCGAGACCGAAGGGCAACCCTGTGTTCTTTGTCTGCGCGTGTCGCTGTTATGCTATGACTTGGATTTCGAAGTACAGTGTGAGAGGGGCGATGGATGGTTGTGCAGTACACGGTCAGACGAAGGTATGCAAGGATCGATAGGAGAGGGGTTCTTGTTGACCTACTTGGTACAACTGGAGCAGCCGGGTCGCTGGAGCCGAGGAACTTTGCTGTGTAATTCAAGCGCCCGAACGAGTAAATGCCCTGTACAGAAGATAAATGTGAGCTCTCCTTCAACAGAACTACCTCAGCTGAGACACTCTCCTCGCTTCAAGCGCTCACCAATTAAAGTGGTACATCGGTCGGAGGCCTGCTTTAGGCCGGCCGATCTGCAAGGTGTGACGAATGGCTGGCGCACTGTGTCACGACAGATGTTGAGAGAATTCTGGGGAGATTGGATACGGAATTTTGCTGAAGTCGTGAAACATTTGCCAATGCAGGCTCTAACATTTACGTTTGATTTCGGGCCTGTGGTCAGTCGAGCAGTCATCTGACAGTCACTGGCTTGCTACCCGCGGGTCGAGACTGTTCGTGTAACACACCATAATTTTCTCAGGCAAAGCAGAGGAGAGAAGACGTAAAGTGTCAATTCACAAAATTGATATTCTCCGATAAGCAGTGGCTTAACGTTCTATGGCGACCGATTCCCTGAATTAATGACACCAAGAAACGACCGTTAGCCAAAATTGACTTCAGTCCGTTAAGCTAGCTCCTAAGAATTCGCTCTGTAAACAGAGCTCTGAAATGAATCTAAAAGATCCTTTCCGGTGGATTCAGTCCCTTGAGAAGATCGGTGAGATCAGGAATCTGCCGATATTAGAAAGCGTCTCATCATTTCTTGAAAGTTGCAATGACTTACGGTTCTTCCAGTTACATGGTTCGGGTTATTGATGCGCTCAGCGACTACTGGAGCAGCCCTACGGTCGACGGATTCCGGCGCTACTGATTCCAAAGTAACGTCTGGTACAGACCTGCCAGTGACGATATCGGGGTCAATGGCGACGTCGACGATAGAAGGTAACCCCCGCGTGTCGATAGGCGCGGCTAGGGTGCTCGCAAATAGAGCTAGGAGGGTAACGACGAGAGTCTTTGCAGGCATGGCGTTGGTGTATCTACCACGTTCCCTCCGTCAGCAGATATCAAAGTATTCTCAATTTTATGGACATACTTTGTAGGATTCTTAATTTCTTGGGCCGATGGGATGGATCTGGAGGCGAGGTCCCATCGATTTAAAGGAAGGACTACTACCATACACAAGGCCCCCAATCTGCGATGTGACGTTCCCATGATAATTCGGAAACATCATGGAGGCGTTTCCGTTCCGTCTTTCGAGTCCGAGTGCTGAAGTTGATTGCACATAGTCAGGATGTCCATTGTTTCAGCGCAGGCCGCTTCCTGTTCGCTGGTGTCACGGCCACTGCGCTTCGAGATTCAATGCAAGGGCAGCGATTGCTCAAAGAGGCGGTGTACGCGAGAATTCGCGGGATGCGACATACCAGTAACTCAGCAACACCTTTCGGCTGAGGGATATGCCGATCATCAAGAGAAACCAGGGTGTCATTTCTCAATGCGAATATTTGGTCTGCGGATACGAACACTAGCTGATTTGATGCTCTCACGTGGCCGACCAAGGCCAGCGAACGATACCGGATCATTGCTATCTTCTTAAGCTGTGAGATTAACATTGGAGTTACTATTTAGACATCGCAGCCAATTCGTGATAGAGTGCCCATCTGCTGGCATTCCCAACCAGGTTACTGGCATGGTTCGGAAAGGATGCTCAACGCTTGCTGCAGAGTACATTGTCTTCATTTCGAACATGTGGAGTTCTGTTGTACGGAACCAGTTGTAGCATACGGAGAAGAGCAAGATTATCTTCTGTAGTTCGAGTCACGTGGACTTCGTGAAGCGGGCTGTACGTACTCCAGTGCAAGTGGATTTTCAGCTATCCACGTCTCAGTGTGACATAGGATGGCTATCTGACGATGCAGCGTAACAACCAAGGAAATTGTAAGAAAGTCATCAAACTTGTTCCGAGCGATGCTCATACGGATCCTTGTGACCATGATACTCAAAATAGGCTTCCATGATTGGCCGGTACGGCGAATCTTTCGGACAAAATGCGAACAGCTCCAACGTATTCGTTGCATCACGATAATCATCGAACTCGTAGCAAGCATGTTGGTCCGGACGAGTTGCCCATGCGGCCATCTTGTTCCAGTCGCGACAACGGCGAAGCTGGCCGTCACCAACATGGTGGGCTATCAAAGCCGGCATTGGGGTGTCGTCCGCTGTGCAGATAACATCCTGGCGCAAACCATCGAGACAGTGAAGGAGATGGCTGAGAGTAATCGTACTGTTGTTGCCATATTCCCTTGTCACTATGGCTTTGCGAACGAGTTTCTGCAAGAGGATCTAAGTATTTCCTCAAAGCCGACTTGGGTGGAAATAAACCTACTAGGCAGTGAAGATCATGAAAGCCTTTCAGATAGTAAATGCTTCGTTCTGTGTCCCATGGGAATCGAGTAGAAGGACCCAAACCGACTTGCTTTGCGAAGTTGTCATGAAGAGATATTGCCATTGCATCAGTATCGATTGCATCCCAGGCTGCGTTCGCGGAAGTCAGGTTAGATGATTTCCGATCCCAGTACTCTGACTGTGTCCGATATGGTAGGTAAGTGTCAAATGTGAGACCGCCTTGACTGTCATCAGTAAAGAGCAACCTTTTTGACTGTCATACTTACTGTACTTGGTTCGGCCGGTATCCTCGGTTCCATTCGATGGGACGCGATGAAGTAAGAGAAGAACGTTGGCAGAGAGGGAAATTACAAGAATTGTCAAATAGGCGATGAAACTTCTTGTATTTGAGGGTATGATTTCAGAGCTTGAATTCCAGTCTATTCCCTTCTCCGGTGCGTTTGGGTCATCGTCGCTACTCACGGGTGCATAGCCTGAGAATATTCGCATCTTTTGGGATGATTTGGCTCGATTTTTGCGTGTGCAGGAGGTTATTGATGAATAAGAAAACAAAGGAAGGGTTGGAGGCAAGATACGGAGTAGATAGATACTGGGAGGTCAGAGAGCCAATATCAGTCGTTGTAGCTACAGGTCCAAACTGCAACCACTTGAAGGCTGAAGCGCAGCTGTTTGGCTGGGGTCAGGGCTTGCCACCGACTCTGCCTGACTCCTCTCAGTCCTGGTTTATGCATGGTACTATAGCCCGGACGCTGCTTTGGCTTTGCTGTAGAGTTCTCTATCTATCGGCCGCTTGAGCGGGGGTTTGGAACGTAACCCTATCCTGGTCGTCCACGACAGCCCAGAAACTGCAGGAAACCCCATTTTCGCGGAGGACAAACGGAAATACGGGCGAATTGTTTGACATATGACCGCAAGACCAAGGGCGAAGTGTTGGCATTTGCACTGGTACCTCGTAGTGATACGTGTGTAACATCGTCGACGTAACAATCAAATGTCGGCCAAGCCGAATCGGGTATTGAGCTATTCCAGATCGGGAAGCTCATTCGAATCGGGTTCGCCCTTCACCATTGTCGGTCCAGAACCTCCGGGACCTCCAGAACATCCAGGTGAATTCACGGCCAGGATTGTTCTATCTTCCTTCTATTTGATTCAAACACCTTGTCTTCTTGTCTTCATTCGTGAGTCATCTACCAGTGTTATGAGTGTTTTACCTCAGTCCATGGAAGATATGGCCTCCAAATACGTGGTCAAACAGGCGCAAACGAAGGAAGAGCTGTATGCTATCATGGATGTAATCTGGGCCGCCAATTATACGCCATACGAGCCCATTGTCCAGATAGTTTTCCCGGTTCTGGGGTACCAACCAGCTGATCGTGAAGCATCCGTGGTGGAATCAAAGGAACGCTTTTGGAAGAATCACGAGAACGACCCTTCCAGTAACTGGTTTTACGTTCAAGAGATAGCATCAGGGCATGTCGTAGGTTCTGCGCAATGGCAGATATTCAAGGACAACCCTTTTCCGAAGGATACGGCACCACTGACGGCGCCTTGGTGGCCAGAGGGTGAACATCGAGAGTATTGCGAATCAATTCTGAATCAGATATATAAGCCAAGAGTTAGTTGGATGAAACGTCCTCACTTGGGTATGTTGATTCTCTTCCGCGACTCGCAAGCACGGTTTCTCGGTTTGAGAGATCCTAGCGACACCCCTTCGAGTTTTGCCCTGATTTAGTGTCCCTTTCTGTGATGGAGAGTTCAATTTCTCTCCTACACTACCCTTCCAAATCTTCATTACGATACGATGAAAGCGACATCAAACTGTCAAATAATGGATAATGCTGACGACATCTAGCTCTGAACTGGATGGCAGTTCATCCCTCACATCGCCGGTGTGGCGTTGCCACGATGTTGATGGAAGTCGGAGTGAGCCATGCGGATTTTCTCAATGTTGAAGCTTGGATGGAATCAAGCGAAATGGGCAAGCCGCTCTACGAAAATCATGGCTTCCGACCTCTGTTCAAGATTGACTTTGACACGCATAAGAAGGACCCGGGCGACATATGGAGGAAGTGCGAATACGAGATGCGCGTTAAACCGCTCTTTCCAATGTGGAGACCCAAACAGGGAGACTGGGAGGAGAAGGGAGGCAGGCCTGGTATTCAGATGCCTTGGGAATTGGGCGAGCAAGGCAATTCAAGAACTTTGGGGATGGAGAAGGCGCCCGAAATTTCGGTGGCTAGCCTTCCTCCGGCAGGAGCTTTGGCTGCTGTCTAATCCCCAAGTGTATGTATGCCAGCCCTTATGATAGAGTCGTGGAGCTAGATTGAGAACGAATGTCATTGCTGTTTACATACAAGAAACCTAGAATCCGCTGCCTAAGTTGTGCGTGCAAAAATACATCCCAGGTGACGAAAGTACAATCTGCATTGATTATGAAAGAGGAAAGAAACTGGACTCTAAGAAGATCAGACTAACTGTGCGTTTGACAACTGGCACGAACAATTGTCGCTCTACACATGAACAAGACTCGCGAATCTGAAAACCACCCATCCATTAGATCGATATGTACCGTGGTACATCGACAACCGAATAGTGTTTATCCAGTCTTCTGCACATAAGCACACCTATTGCTAACTTTGTCTGCCGTTCCTTGTAACTCACGCAGTGGGGGCCGCCTGGTCCTCTCGCAACAACGACCACCATTCGGGAGCATCGCCGAACCGAGTGCTTCCCAGTCCAGCCTCTTTCGGGCTTCCGCGCTTCCTCAAGCCTTTCTCGACCTGCTTCTGATATGATACGATCCGAAGTCTATAATGCTCCGCAGGGGTGAGCCATAAATACAACTCCGCCAAAAGTGCGTGGATTGTGATAGCAAGGTATGCGCTCATGAGAAACATTGGCCTCAGGAGCGCTGCAGCACTTTCTGGCCCGCCCGCCTCGGTTGAGATGAGTATCTCCAATGGGTTTGTGCTCGCATTGTCACCACACTGCTCGTAAATTTTGCCCGTCGGGTTTTGTTCGTTGGGTATACCGGCGTTGTTTAGGTACATGAAGAATATCTCGTCGCATCGGATGGGCGTATGTAGGGTGATGTCGTACCTGTGCGCGACTTCTGTGGCGGCATCAAGAATGAGGCGAAGACTGATGATACATCCCGCCCATGCCCATGTGCGGATCATCCAAGCCCGATGTTGATCTATTTGAAGCCGCTTGATGTTCACATAAGCTAAGAGGAGGCCGATAGTCGTCATCGCTCCGAGTATGCCGAAGAACAATCGCATTGCAGGGACGCCTCCAATCGAATGGTCTATAATCATGTATACGCCGGCATTTCCCGCAAGCAGGAGCAGTATTGCAAGGTAGCCGGAGATTCGATGAAACCAGAGGGCTTTGTGACGAATGATTGGAGTGAATTGTAGAAAGGCGAACATCCCACCAAAGAGAACACCAACAAGGTGCATGATTATTCCGACCCTGCGAAATCCAGATTGATACCAGTAATACTCTCCTGGAATTGATTCCTGTTGAGTCCAAGTCAGTAAAGAAGAAAACTACAGAGAGAGTATCCACGGACCTCCCGGAATATGCCATCTATATCCAGATACTGTACTCGTGCAAGAACGAACCCAAGTAAAGCACCGGCAGTGATTGCGTAGAGGACGAAGTTGTAGCCTTTCTGAAACCCAAATCCGCCATAGATGAACCTCAAAGGCTTCATGATACTGGAGTTGCTTTTCGAACGTGCCTTGCCTGCATCTTTGCTGGAAGGATCTGAACGGAAAGGGGATGCCTCAGATGGATGGGACGACATTGGTGATACAACTGTTTGGTTGTTGTTCAGGATGTGATGAGAATGCTCAGGTAGTCCTTACGACGGCAACCCTTTATATATCGTAATGTAAGCTTTGCTTTAGACCTTAAGTCGCATCGTCTACCTAATTCAGACCTAGTTGAAAGGAGCAACTAAATCGCCCTGCCAAGGGTGCAGCCCGTGTTGACACGATATTACAGGCCTCTTGATTCAGTGACAGTGTAATTTGTCTGACAAAGCATGATACGCACCGAAACCATTCTAAGTCCAACGCCGATCATGGGACGTGTACGGGCTGCATGGCCAGTCTTAGAGCTCTGAATTTGGTGCATCTCTGAATCATGACCAAATCCCAGAGCTGTGATTCATTTGGATCAGCCTTGACAGTTCCATTGGTTATGCAATCGACCAGAACGACTCCTCTCTAACAGACATGCAGCAGATGCTACAATCTACTATCAAGCTCCACTCCTTGCTTGCATTACTACATATGCTTTTGTTCTACCCATTTTGACAATTGTCATGAAGAGTATTGAGGTCCCGATTGGGTGCAATCATGTTGACATTCAAGACGGCGCACAATCGACCAGTTCAAGTTAGAATGGGTAGAGCATCTTGATGTGCCAAAGAAGCCTCGAGCGGCTGATAAAGACCAGAAGAGATTAGAATCCTACGAACCAAGACTTGACCAGAGCTTTCTTACATTCATGATCCGGGTTTATGGTTCTGAGTATCCTGTTGGCGATTTCTGAACCCTGATCTTACACACACTGTAGCCGGAGATATTGGCTACAATGGAGCAATTAGGTATGGCGTGTCCCATAATTGATCCGGTCGAAGCTGTTTCCCTCAAATATCGGGTGAACGCAACATGACCATTTTGCGATCCGGCATTAAGACGTATATTTCATTCCAAACCATGGTTCTCTGGAAACATAAGCAGAAGATGTCAGACTTGGTATATTAGGTCTTAATTAGCTCTGGCATAGCGAAGATAGACAACCATTATAGCAATATGCTCATTGAGTTGAATCCAATTCCATATGATACGACCAAGGGCATCAATTACAGTTCATCAACACAGTAGCTGCTTTAATATCATTAACCAGTACTAGCAACCTGATGAGATATATGAAATGGCGAACAGCACAAAAAGGATAAACACGTACATGAATTATTATGACTGTTCACTTTGATCCAGGTATCCCGTGCTGACACTGTGCAATGTTCACAGAGTATGTATCAGTGATAGGATTTTTAGGTACATCCTGCTTTGATTGGCTGGCGCATATTGGCCCCAAAGCGGTTAGCCATCACTGACACTGTCGGGGCGCCGCAACGTGGAAATCCTCTACAAAGAATAATCTTACAACCAAGATTGAGCCCTTTGTTTTGAATCGCAGTTTTCCTTTTGAGTCGCACTGGCCACTACTGTCCACGTAGCACACGCGGCGCAGTAACAAGCACTGTCGAAGTGCATTGATCATATATTTAGAAGCGAGCAACCACAGGGCGGGAGACTGGACGGGGACATGGATTAAAAATATCATCGCGCGATAATTATATGAATATGGGTGCTTGTTGGTGAATCCAGGTGTATTAATGACTATTTATTCTCTACAGAGAAGAACGTCCTGATTGTGATAACTCTTGCTGAACCCCCAATTCAGGAGTAAAGCCTCGAGCCTGATGCCGCATTGATCATAATTGCCAGAAGAGTGCTACTTAATAGATGTAGATTAAGTCCATCAAACTTTCGTCTCCTTCGATACCTCAACATGAACCGCCTCGGTCTTATCATCCAAAGCCTCTTCGCTGGTTGCATTGATGTCGTACTTCTTCGATGCAAGTTCCCTCCTCCATAGAAACTGACCAATCAAGAAGAGGATCCAGTAGCAGCAAATGAGAGCTGTGTTGACGGTGAAACCTTTGCGCCACTTGGGGGCTTCCAGTCTTGGGAATACTGTAATTGGATAGAAGCTGAAGAACGCCCATCCAATCGTCATCATGGCTCCGGTCGTGAAGCTTCGTGCCTCATTGTCATCCTTCATTATCAAGTTGACCCAGGGGAAGAGGATCGGAGTCACACAGGACGTCAGTCCCAAGCAGTAATAAGCGAAGACTGGGCGGGTGGTCAGCTGCGATAATGGCAAACAACGGAGAATGGAAACCTACAATGCAGGCCAAGAGGAATTTCCCACACGAGAAGACAGACGTTGGCGAATAGAAGAACGGCCGTTACGACAGAGAAGACGATCCACATTGGATAGATCATGACTAAACTAGTAACTAGAACGCCAGTGACGATGGCAACGCCTTGAACGCCCGTTGGAATGAGATTGATTTGCTCAACGGTGTATGTTCCGTGTCGCTTGGCTTCATCTTTGAGCCACAAGGCCATTTGACCTCCGACATATGATGTACATTGGAAGCTGTCACGTTCGTTAGCAGATAACACAAACTAAACGGGTGGCAAGCAATTCTTACCAGACATAGGTGAAGACTGCGATGTAAAAATGCCAGTGGGTGAAGACTCTCTTGAGCATGCGCTTGCCGATCTTGCCACTCTTCTTGAATCCGTCAGCCTCCTTGCGGGCGATGGCTAGCTTCTTCTCGTCTTCCGTGAGCCACCAGACCTTGGGGCTTGTTGGGAGACCCGGGAAAAGGAAGAAACCGGCAATGGAAATAGGCAGGCTGATGCTTCCATCGATGATAAAGAGCCATCTCCATCCTATTTTGTTGTTAGGCATCTATGCAAACGCAAGCGAGGGGAACTACTTGGTATTACGTACCTGACATCCCGCCAACGCCACTAAGGTTGGTGTAGGCCGCTGCCTGCAAATATCCACTGAACATGGCACCGACGTTACTGGAAACGTACCACACGCCAGCGCGCTTGAACATCTCATCCGGCCGATACCAGGAAGTAAGAAGGTAGATGCTGCCAGTTGCCGCGGGGGTTTCCAAAACACCGAGCAAGAATCGCAGACCAAATATTTGCGACGTGTTCTGCAATCGGCATTGTGTAAAGGTGAGTATAGACCAGAGTGTCTCCATGGTAGGAATGTAGTAGCGAGCGAGATTCGGTCGTGAAATGATCATCATACTAGGAATCTCGAAAACAAGGTATCCGATATTGTAAAAGGTACCGAAGAGCGAATATCTGGTCATGTTAACACTGCCATATCCTCGATAGAAATCGACTCACTCGTTTCCCTTGATGTTCAACTCCTCTTCCATGCCGGATACATATGCGCTGTTCCTATCGAGTCGTGAGTACTTATTATTCTGGTGCGACATAGATTCCACGAAAACTCACAAGGCATTCTGATCAAGCCATTTGATATAAAAGCACAGACAACAAAGCGTTAAGAGAATTCCATCGAGCTTTCGCACAAGTTTCTTCTCCTCCTTCGAGTAGTGGCTGGGGTACCAATCGAAGATATACAACCACGCGAGCCAAAGCGAACGTTTCGGCGCCTGGGTAGACGAGCTCACCACTGGCTTCTTTTCCTCTTTGCAAAGATCTGCGTCTTGCTCTGGCGCATGAACCTCAATTTGATTTTCGTCTTTCGCCATGGTGAGGATGCTTTCGATGGATGGTCCGGCGCGCTGTAGTTGAGCGGTGGATGAAGATCAGCCAAAACGAAGAAACTTGGGTTTAAGTATGCATTAATACTTTCCAAGGAAACATCTCCAGATCGCCTTGATCCGAGTGACTGGTTCCATATCCATGACAATTGTTTGTGAATTGGTCGGTGGCTGCTACCCCGGCCTGGATTCCCCGCAGGCTAATGACCCCGTGGATAAGTCGCTTCGACAGTCGGACGATTGGCGACGGTGCGCGGTCGATTGACACCCCGAACATGGACTAACTTGTTTAGATCGCAACTGGTGCATGTCTGGCACATGTACTGGTAAATGACTGCGGAGCATTTGATACCCGCTGTCCGAAAGGATCCAAGCCCTAAAGAAGCCCATTTCATGCTCGAACTGATCCGAGTATCGTTTGTTCATCCCTTTCCTCCACTCGTCCATTTGGCTGGTCACTGCAAAAATGGAAGCGATTTTGAAAACAGCCGAGTCGCCGTTGGCTGTGTCTCCTCCCCTTGAATCCAGCCCAGAACAAAATTCCGATACTTCGGTTGTAGCTGCAGACGACATCTCGGAGATAGCATCAACTCCATTGACAAGTGCGTCTCCTTCAGAATTGGGCGACACAAAAGAGCGACAGCATGACTTTACCTCGGACAGGAGTCCTATTGAACAATTGAAAGAGCTTTTCGATGAGAATATCACCGCAAAGTTATTACGGACTGCCACGACGCATATTGGCGCCTTACCCTTCGCCTTTCCGGAGTATGTCCCTCAAGACGGGGATGGAAGCTACACGCTGAGAGAAAGCGCTTTTTGGACATTGGGTTTCTTTCCTGGTTCATTGTATGCAATACTGGAAAGATTGATCAAGTTTCCACACACTTTCACATCCCTTAATTCTGCCGAATCCAAAGATCGCATTGACATACCCCAATTACGGCAACAATTCTCATCATTATGCCGCACCTGGACCGAACCGCTGCATGGAATGGCCGACAGGACCGATACTCATGACATTGGATTCATCGTCATGCCTGCGCTGCGTGCGGACTGGGAATGCACTGGGAATCCTCGAAGCTTAGACTCAATTATTCGCGCGGCCGATAGTCTGGCAAGCAGATATGTCCCATCCGCCAAAGCTATCAGGAGTTGGGACCTGCTTAAGAAGAAAGACATTGAAATCATAGACCAGGAAGACAACATGATTGTCATCATCGATAGTCTATGTAATCTTGATCTTCTCTACTATGCATCCAAGCATAAACCAAATGGAAACTACCTCGCCGACATGGCCACAGCCCACGCGAGAACACTTCTGCAGTCACACCTGAGACCGGAGGATGCGTTGCCAACATCGAAGGACGGGTATAGAGGCCAATGGTACTCTACTTGTCATGTCGCTAACATCGATCCTAAAACAGGTGGTCTCAAATGCCGGCTGACGGCTCAGGGCTATGCGCATGAGTCCACATGGGCAAGAGGCCAGGCGTGGGGCATTCTAGGATATGCGCAAACGTACATGTCGACCCAAGACGCACAATTCCTGCATGCCGCCTGTGGTCTAGCCGAATATTTCTTGTATCGATTGGAAACTTCGCCGAGTGCTGTCGAGATCACAGATATATCTCCTGATGGGACAACCACACGCCGGGGACGCTGTGTTCCTCTTTGGGATTTCGATGCACCCATCGAAGATCTTGAGAACCCTCTGAGGGACTCATCTTCGGGCACCATTGCAGCGAACGGAATGCTCGTTCTTTCGCAAGCACTTACGTCGATCTCGCAGCACCGGCTCGCCACCAGATTCCGGGACGCAGCATTGGCGATCGTGGAGGATACGCTCGCTTTTGCCCTCGCGCCCGAGCGCGCACGACTCGTTCATGCACCATATCATCATATTGGAGTCGAAGACGTGGTTCCGGATGTAAAATTCGAAGGACTGTTGAAATTCGGCACAGCCAACAACAATACCCAAGCCCGAAAGAGATATGCCAATCACGGGTTGGTATATGGTGATTATTATTTGGTGGAATTCGGAAACCGTCTTTTGAGGATGGGACTTATCTAGACCTATGTATATCTACACACAATATAGAACCTTACCAGTTACCATGATCCAACGAGGCTGTGAACATGCTTCCATCATCAAAAGCTATCACGCGATCCATGTTCATGAACTGTTGATCGAGCATCATCTGTGGGATGGTGTTGAAGTCTCCCATGTTGAGAGGATTGGCTCCTTCTTCAACATGTGCCATATGTTGCGAATCAATACTGTCTCCCCGTGGATTTTCGTGCTGCGGAATGGAAGGTATCATGGTATCTACTCCATTTCTGATGTCGGTTCGCAACCGATGTTGAGACGACCAGGTCGGCGTTGTGATAGACCGGGAGTCGTCCCCATATGGAGTCATTGCGCAATGACGGATCTCATTGGTGTAGTCCATGACATCGATACTGTAACCAGGGACCTCCATGCATGATGTATACAGCTCCTTCAGTCTATCTGCATATCGTTCAGCTAAGCTACGAGCATTCCTGTCGCGAGACAAAGCCTGCCAGCGCTTAGACAGTTCTTCCAAGCTCTGGATCAAAGACCAGAATTGTTCATCAAGACTGTTCTCGGCGGAGTATTTCCAGTGGATGAGTAGCATCCTGGCAGCTATATACAGACAAAAGGCGTATTGACTTCCGATCGGAGATGCATTATTGGAGTTCGATAGATAGTTCTGCGTGATCCTCGCAATTTCTATGCCGGCGGACTGGCATGCTTCGGCGCTCAAGTGGCTAGGTAATTTGTGTCTGAAACCCCAGTTCAATGGCGGATACGCAATCAATTGATGCAACAAGATCATGGAAGCGTTGTGCGTAACATGGGCTGTTGTGAGATTTGGATCCATTAATGTTGACTGACGTTCCATGTTCGTCTTCCATTTCTGAGGTAGAAGCATCTTCCAATGAACCAGGCGGAGATCGAGTTCTTTGAAGCGGGTTAGCCAGGAATTGATTTCTCTTTCATCTCGTATATCAATCTTCTGCTGCAAGAAGTAACTGGTAATACGGCTCATGGATTCAGTCGCCTCGATGCAGTACGCGAAAGCTCCGATCGTGGTATCAACCAGAAGATTTTGGTTAGGGCTAGCAGCTGAGGCAGCATCTGGTCGGCTTCGAATCTCTACGTCATTAACAGGCTCACTGGGTGACTGGTATTGCGGCAAGAATGCGACCGGGTTGCCTATGCGCCCTGCGGACTTGTCCCATATTCCAAAATACGGCGTCACAACAGGCGTCTGTTTTCGCCACAAGGGCCCATCGCACGGTAGCCGTCGGTGAACATCGTCTGAAGTTAGACTAGTATTCCAACCCATCGTTATAGAACAGAATCGATCCAAATTAAAGATGTTCCAGAAGATGCGCCTTCGTTCTTCGACCTCGGTCCAATCTTCAACATCTTGGATGAAGCTATACGGGCGGCAAAATGGCTGGTGGCTGCCGAGCTCTCGTTCCTGGGTCAATTGGCTGTACTCGACTGTGCGCGTCAAGGAACCCACTATTGACCAAGCTTTTGCGCAATGGCCATTGCCGATCTGATCTCGTTAGATACCGTTCAGTCATTTTCGCGATTGTATGACATACATCTGTAAAAGCTAGAATCGTCAGGGCTTGCAAGCTTTCTGGTGAAACACTATCCATGGCTCTCCAAACTACCCACTTTCGACTATCCAGCAAAGCACTCTCCGGAACCTCCTGCTCTGGAAGATATTTGGAAGTGGCGTAAACCATTGCATGGAGGATGACTTCGAGCTTCGGATACTCCATGGCGACACTCATACGCTGGCGGAATCTGGCCTGATGTATCATTGGAATCCATGGGTGAATGTGTGTGAAGTAGGCCGCGATTATCTTTTCGAGCGCCGCTAGATGCGGTAGCCGTATGTCGCCATGTCTGGGTGTATTCAGTGGTTCATCGCCATTCGGGCGTCTTCGTTTAGCTCTGTGATCGATGTTGTTGTCAATAACGGAGGGAGGACTGGCACCCGACTTTATCAACTTTGGCAGTTCTTTGGCGAGAAGCGCAAGTACATTGTATGCTGCAGCGTCTGTCGATGCTCCATTATGATTGACATCGTGACAAACGGCAGTCGTAGGTGCTGCTGGAGGATTTCTCTCGCGTTCATGCACGAGATTCTCTAAGGCGTCTAACAGAAAGAGTTGGCATAACAATCAGATTTGCGGCATTCATACTAGTGTACCTAGTCGTCTATGGAGATTCTCGACTGCCCCGGCCTTAAGGCCAGGTTTGGTTCTTTTTGTCTCATAAACGCAATCAAGACCTCAACTCGATGTAAGCAGTGCTTCTTGATCGCACATATCTGGTCAGAGCTTACTAGTCTTTCGACAGTGGGAACATGTGGGTCTTTCGCGTGAACATCTTAGTTTAGATTTCCGGCAGCCGTTACAGGCCAATTCTGGGGTATTCTTGGTCGGCGCCGATCCATTGGAATCGTCGTGATCATTTTCTGGGGAATTGGGTGACATTCTCCACGTTGCATGGCCATTGAAGAGGAATTGTGGGTGAAGGCATAATTTGCGCGGCCACCGGTGTAAATAAGACTCCTAAGTCATTAGTCCGAAGGCCGGGACAATTCACCCGAAGGCGCCTTCGGTTCGTGGGTCAACTGCAGGGTTTCCCCGCTCAACAGCCTCGTGTTCCCCGCGAAATGGCATTATCGAAAGTTTTTCGCGTCCGGTTTTTGGAAGGTTTCGAAACAATGGAAATATCTGGGCGGCCAGGAATTATATGTACATGGTGAAGGGAGATGAGTCGTGCGGGATGAAATGACCCGCACCAACAATCCAATATGGCAGATCAACACCGAATGACTCCTTAACCCTGTGTGTCGTGTTTTGCGTCCAATGAACATCAGATCTAAATGTCTGTACAGATACAGATACGGCCAACTCATTTACGAATTTTTCTCGGTCGGACGGAGGTTCCCAAAGTGGATTCCATTCGCGATTATCCTCGAAGGCTGGCGTCTCGAGCAATAACATTCTGTTCAAAATCCGGAGTTATGACTGCATTCCTTTCCTCCACTGTGCTCGTATTGCGCGATCGATACAGCGCTGTAGAATGCTAATTTCTCACTCTCAAAGGCAAGATCCGGCCCTGTAATGTCACTAAAACTAATTTTCAAGGTCTTCGAGTATGAAGATAATGCATTCTATTCCCAACATCTACACCATACATGTCCTAACGGACACCCTAATGGACAATAACCAAATTTCACATATGCTTAACATTTGTTACAGTTGTGTATTCCTAACGACGAAGCCCGGACCTTACATCTCCATACCAGGAAGTTTAGACAACCCTACGAGCTGTTAGAGATATCGCAACAACGAAAGCGGGAGTTGAACTTACAGCCATCGCCAATGTCCTCCTTGACACGGCTCGGGACCTTACAGCCGTTTCCAACACTGACGGCTTGAGTCTTGAGGCCACCGCAAGAAGCGCCCATGCAGCCCTTTGCCTCGTCCATGGCCCTCTGGAGGGAATCATCTTTCCAGCCGAAGACGTAGTCACCGTGCTGTCCGTATCCAGTGGGGTCTCCGGTGCTGAGGACGAATGGTTGAGAGCCTGTTGACGATTAGTATATCAGTCCCAGTAAAGTCAAATATCGGGTTGGCATACCATCAGTGGGCCAGTCAGCCTTGTTGTTAAACTGCCTGGTGTCCCATACAATTTCCAACATGATTTGAGGAATCTTAACGGGATGGGTCGACGGGCAGTCTCCACCAACACTCGAGCCAGTGAAGGTAGCCGGTCCAGCCTTGGGATAAGCAACGTGAGCCCTGTAGATGCGTTAGTCAAACATACGAAGTGGCACATCATGTTCCACTCACTTATGGTCGGGGCTGTCAAGGTTCTTGCCGTCCCAGCAAGTGGGATAGAGAATGTTTGAACGGATACCTCCGGGGCAAGGTGCAGTAGGGAAAGCCTCTGTATCCAGCTTGCCATCAGCGCATGGTGCAGCATTGTCGCCGGCGAAGTTGGGTCCCGTGTAGCAACGGAAACAGGTCTGTGACTTCAAGCCACTGCCCTCTTTGGCGCGCTTGTTGGCATCTCCGACAAGCATGCGGAAGCCCTGTTTCAAAAGACATTAGTAGATGCCTTGCAGATGGTAGTGCATCAACGTACTGGCTTGAAGGCTTGGACCTTTGATTTTCCGGGCGATACGTAGTAGACGACAAACCCTCCCTGTGTACCGGTAGTGTACTTGTCGTTGAACAACTCCCTGAAAATACGAATGTAAGCTTTTATGTATCAAAACCTTATATCGATGATACTCACCTGTTAGGAATCTGTGGCACACGCTTGTAGCTGCCATTGCGAGCCTTGAAGTAAAGGTTGGCAGTCCAGTAGTTGGACAGATCCTACGATTCTTAGCAATCGTATCTATGGTTCCCGGACTCAATGACAAACCTCAGAGTAACCGCATGTTGTGCAGTCGGCAAGCTTGGCGATATCGGTCGAAGCCATGCTGGTATTGAAAGCATTTCCACCAACCACCTGGTGCATGTGCGGCGATGGTGCTTGTCCGGGATTTACCAAGGGATCGATTCGATCAATAACGACCTGAGAGCACCCAAATCGCAACATCGTGTTTCCACCTCCGCCAAACTGAGGCATGGCCTCCGCGACTGCTGCAAGCGCAACGAGTGTAGAGAAAATCATGGCTGTCGTCGTCTTGCGGTTTCCCAAGAAGATGCGATACGAGAAGCGATGGAGATGGAACATTGGCGGTACATGGCACTTTAATACCAACGGTCCGCTGTGCACATGGCAACGTTACCCCGGAATGCATATTCGGTTGATATTATGAAAGTACCGACTTCTTTGGGTCGAGCACTGGTAACCTCATATACGTTTAATATCGTGCGACCAATCCTGCGCGAGGTGGTGTTGTGGAGGAAGCCATGACCACCCAAGCAATTTTGCCGCATCGTCCGGGTAGAAGGACGACAAACGACTTCGCATGTGGGGAAGTGACGAAAGGTTGCAGAAAATGCTACATAAAGTTGGGCTCGATCATGAAATAACATTTCTGGGGACGTATTCCATGCATCTCCGCTGAAGCGTGGTTGGGGATACTTTGAACACATCTCGGAACAGCCATCATTGCCATGTCTCGGAAGGAGGCGACGATCATTTCTCGAAGTACACTCGAAGTACTCCGTGGAATATAAAGTACCTATGCACAGTCATCAAGACAACTTGACCCCACAAAGCTTGCGCCACCGGTCTTGTGGAGACTTGTCAGTAGGATGTGGGACCTACGATGACCAGTTCATGGAAGGCGTTCGGGCGGTTCGCAATCAGACAGCCTGTATTTTGACTAAGAATATCTTGGGCTAGTGATACAGATTCTTGGATATGGCGAACCTTTCAAGACCTTGGAGATCTGATTCGGTGACATGCTCGAGGATAAGAAACGTTGACAATCTGGGGTGCAGATAACGGAACTCCACAGTTCCTTGGCTCCTCTGTCAATGGATCTACAAAGCTTCATCTTACTTCTTGGAGGATTGGCAGATAGAGTCAGCTGCTTCCATATGCATCTAGGCGCAGCAAAATCCCTTCTAGAGCAGTCGTTGCTGATGAAAAGCGGCAATACCAAGAAAATCGAACATGCAGGAATAGTCGTTGCCGAAAGCAAAGCCGTCAAGAGTCTCAACAAGTTTTTTGATTCTGTCATGCTCACCTGTGGCGTTAGGAGATGCGTCTCGAGTTCGCATATTTGCTTGCTCGATATTGTTCTGGAGGCATCAACTCTAGAAGAGGTAATCCTGCTTACAGGTCCTAACGTTCGAGCCCAAGGTAGACACTCAGCTTATCAGGCAATATGAGTTGTGTTGCAATTGATGGCTCCATACTGCAAAATCTTCTTTCAATGCACCACTCAGTGAAGACGACACACGGCCGCACTTTCGGCTTTACGTGTTGTGGTTGCTGCTTTTGAAAAACATAATGTAGTCAGTAAGACCAGGTCCAGTAGAAAGATGGATTTTCGTATGATCAAATCGCTATTGTAGCCGTAAAGAAATTTTCTCGTGGTTTGGCCACAGAAACATTTACCTCTTGAGAGGAGAAAATTGACAAAAGATTCGTTGAAGGAAATCACTGGTGCATGAACTTTCATGCTAGGCACTCAATTGTCCGTCTCATATTCGAACAGTTCTCCGCTTACAGAACAATGTATATTACCTTAGCGATTGAATTGTGCTGCTCAAAGTATGCTGGAATGATGCCAAACCCCTTAGATTGTTGGAATTGCCAGTAGGACATAGAGTACGGAGTACATCTACAAGATAGCACAAGCGACAAAAGAATCAAGGCTGCTATCACCGTCTATTTAAATAGAAGCTGCGTCAGCTGGTTGCTGGCCTTTTGACTGGTGTGAATGGGGAGTAACTTCATACGCCGACGAGAGCCGAGACGACTTGTGATTGGTCGCCTGTTAGCAGAACCACATTAACCTCGCGAAACTTTACATTTCGGAATTGAATTCCGTTGTCGGCCGAAAAGGAACATTGGCAACCTTACCTGATCGTTATCCGGAGACACTGTCATGGCGACAAATGCCGCGGCAACTGAATCGACCAATCGGAATGCCAGAAAAGGAGGAGAAATCTTGGGCAAACTGAATCCCTCAATTGACGCCATTCACCGACAGCGAACATCTTCATCCAATCTGCCACCAGACTACCATTCAACCACTCATTCTCGTTGCTCTGCCGTATAACTATCCCATTCGTATCCCGTCGTCAACCCCACCTTCAAACCCCGCCGACTGTCTCTTCTCCATTGCCCCCCCTTTTCTTTATTATACTCCCTCTCCCCCGCCGTCCCATGCCTCCTCCCTCTCACGCTCGTCTCCTCTCAATTCTTTCACACGTAACTCCAAACATGGCCCGCAAACTCCTCTACCCTACTTCCCTCGCCCTCGACACCCTCTCTCTCGAGGGATTCTCTGTCGCCCTCCAGCCCTACGACGTCAAGAAGCCCATCCCCGCTGAGCACTCTGACGCCGAGATTCTCATCACTTGGGCAAACTCAGCCGACAACCTCAAGGATGCTGCACAGCGCTTGAACAACCTCAAATGGATCCAATCCCTCGCCGCCGGTCCCAACGACGTCCTCAATGCCGGCTTTGACACCAGCAAGGTCAAGGTGACAACGGGATCAGGACTGCACGACCACACCGTTGCTGAGCACACCCTCGGCCTCCTCCTCGCCTCCGCACGCAAGTTCCACGAGATGAGGGACTACCAAACACAAGGAAAATGGCCCGGCCACCTCGGCGGCCCTCAACCCGACAGGCCGAAGGGCTCATTCACATCCCTCAGGGATGCCAACGTCACTGTCTGGGGCTTCGGAAACATCGCCAAGTGCCTGACACCCTCCCTCGTCGCGCTCGGTGCCAATGTCACCGGTGTTGCCAGGAGCGCCGGCGTGCGAGATGGAATCCAGGTCGTCGGCGAGGACAAGCTTCCTGAGGTTCTCTCCAAGACCGACGCATTGGTCATGATTCTCCCTGGCTCCGACTCCACAAACAATGCACTCAATGCCGAGAGGCTGAAGTTGCTGCCAAACCACGCCTGGGTTGTCAACGTCGGCCGCGGAACCGCCATCGACGAGGACGCCCTTTTCAATGCCCTCCAGAACAACGAGATCGGCGGTGCCGCGCTCGACGTCTTCGTCAAGGAGCCCCTCCCCGCCGAGTCGAACCTGTGGAAGGCATCCAAGAACCTCATCCTGTCCCCCCACGCCGCTGGTGGCAGGCCGCAGGGCGCTGAGGGCCTCATCGCATACAACCTCCGAAGATTCTTGGCTGGTCAGGATCTGAGGAACATTGTTTAGACATTCGCATGTTAAAAAGGAATCGGTTTTGTAGATAATTACGCTTATATCATGGTTGTTTGACGATTTTCTTGTATCTATCTAGATGACATCATAGAAACCATAAAATTCACGAGCATTTTCAGGACACTTGATATTCTCCAGACCTTGATGAATCCAAACTTCTCATAGGTAGAACAAACTTTTATCATCATGCTACAATTCCATTGAGTGCCATTTCCAATCATACCCTCTTCCATTACTAGACTCCAGATCTCGTATCGCGGGGAGCACCAATGCGGGATACCGATGTCGCATCCGCCTCTGACCAATCAAACACATATCCGCGGATCCCAATGACCCGCACCCCGAGCCAATGATACCCGAGATACTCCACCAATTGATCACACATATCTCAGGCAATCGTTACTTCCAACATCGACGACGGATATGTTCACCGGATATGCAGTTCAATTACATGAGTATCGTATAGAGGATTGGGACTGTCATAGGTAGCCAGGCCGGGCAATAGATGTGGGTTGTGTACTGTGAAAATGGCTTCTTGATGAAAGTTTCATTCTTCAAACAATTCAATTTAAGCACGCAAAAATGTTGGAAAAAGATGGCAAACCAATAGATCAAAATCGCACCTCATTCATAGCATTTTCAATATACTAGCGTCATATACAAACTCGAAAACTCTTTTTTGGGTCCCAATTACTTCTCCGCCCCTCCTTGTTCTCATTGACGGCTTTCAACGAACTCATCCCATGCAGTTTTGCATGTCCATCGACAGACTTACTTTCCAGTGAACACAACAAGACCACCGTTCCCATACGCGGGCGCCGAACCTATAGCCTTCGTGTTAGCCCTTGAAAGCCTTGAAATATGAAGTACAAAAGGCAGATCTATGGAAGGAAATCAACTTACCAGCAGTGTCCTGCCCAGGCCTCGTGCAATGATCAATAGTCCACAACACAGCCTGCGCAACATGTTTACTACCATCCCCACACACATTAGCCAATTCCAAAAGTCCCAAAGGAGAATGAATACGTACCACCAACTCCTCTGCCCAATCCCGAATCCCTCAATACGACTGCCTCTTCCGGCGGTGCAGAACACACTACTCCTCTGCGTGTCCGGCACGCCGCAGAACTGCTCGCCGAGGCCGTCGAGGTAGTGGAAACATGCGATGGCGTCGTTGACGGGGATGTAGGCGAAATCGGGGCCGCAGTAGGGGTCTGTGAGTGTGGATAACTGGTCGGGGTCTGCGAGGATGCGTTAGATTTGCTCTGGGGCCATGATGGGGGGAAAAAGTACCAGTGACAGGCTTGGGAAGCGAGTATAGATACTCGGATGTTAGGTTTAGGGAGGCGAGGGATGGAAGACCGGGTCCGGGGATGACTTGTGGGGATGAACGGGTTGCGGGAGCGGCGAGAGAAAGAGCCGCCAGGCTGATGAGGTGGTAGAGGGAGAACATCGTGAGATATTGAAGCTGGTGTTGGATTGAGATCTGTGCTTGTGTTGTCTCTGTCGACTGAGGCGGTGATGGCGAATTTATAGTTCTCTGATACACAAGTTCTACAATAATGTAATGTATTGATCACTTTCAACTTGCTTATTTCTGTCATCGCTACAGAAGCATTGAGTCTATCATCAACCGGTCAATCATTTCGGGATGCAAGGCTTCAGCATATTCCAGAACCAACATTCGAATATAGTAGTAGGCAAACTTCCAATGTAAGCAATGCATTCTCGTACTATGAGAACACCGCTCTTGGCACGAGAATTTCCTGCATTGTTTGTGTTGTAGTCGAATCCTCTTAATTTATCCGGCTTACTCGACGAACCCCGCAATAGGTTAATGTACGTTCCATAGGGAATACATTGCTTGTGTCCTGCACCATTACTTGGAGTTTGCCTTATGAATTATTGAAATCCTGCCTTGTGAGATATAAGTGTGCGCTCCTGCATTGATGCTCGTATTCGGCTTACATTGGAAGCTCTTAGATGGTGAGGGGATGGTTAAGTTAAGTTACTTGGCAATCATGGGGCTGTTGCGTAGCCTACATTGTGAAAGAAATACCAATACTCTTCTAAATTGAATTGAAGGCTGACATACAGTCACAAATGGTGGCCGAATGTAGAAACACAAGCTGCTTCCATTGCAGTGTTATCATCATCCAGCGGCAATTCAGAAGCGATGCTCCAAAATTACACAATACTGTTAGTGGAGTGATTGAAGCATGCAAAATCATCATCGATCAAGGGCCTTGTAATGGCATACAATGCAACGAGTACCTGGGTTGAGTGCTGAACGTTTAGCGTCTCGCTATGGATGAGAACGATGCACGTATAGAGAAGCGACTTCAATGTATATTGATAGATTTGATGTAATTATACATTATACTCAGTAGAACTTAAAGTTGTAATATGTCATCTGTTAAGTATGTGTAATGCCTGAATCTAAGGAGTGTAAGGAAACAAGTGGGAAATGGATCCAGACCATCGGAATCGGTGGAAATTAAGGATGAAAAGAAACCCGATCCCTCATCCTTCAAACATGTACCATAATTACAGTACAAATGGGAAAGAATTGGGAGATATCTCAACCTCTGGCCTGGCTCACTGGTATTGTTTGTCTAGCTCAGAAAAGTAATGACCCCAGTCTGTCACCACACATGTGTCTAGCGATTCCATAGGGACTTGCCAGTCACTGCGCAGGTGATACCCAAGTATACCATAGCACTGTATGAAATCCTTATTGTATGTGAAGGGTTTCGATTTGTAACGATGCTCCTGGAAGAGTTCATACACTCTGCTAGACGTCCGGTCCCCTCCGTGATAGTCATCAAGAGCTAATGTATCAACCTCCCAGGGCGGACAAATGACAACGTAAGGAGAAAGTTCTCTTACGAGTGAGGCGCACACATCCGCGAGCATCTGTCGAATTGGATTTTTCGGCGCGAACATGATCAAAATGGATTGCCTGTTCATCTTGTTTCCAAGAATATCTGCCAGATGGCTCGTCTCCAATAGGTAGCCTTCTTGGAGCTCGAATTTCTGTTTCATGAATTTGATATCGGTCTCGCAAAGACATGTCGTGTCCACACAAATCCTGTAGGTTGTGGCCTTCACGTTGCGGAAGTTGTTATAAAACCTTTGAATAAAACGCTTCGCAATGTCGAGAGCAAACATATAGTGCGAAATCACCCTCCTTCTTTCTCTGTCCGTTTCTGCTGCCGTCCAACTCGAATGTTTATAGCACATTGAGTCCATTCCAAGTATATAGATCTTGTTCGGGCAATCCTTCTGCGTGAATAACTCCTCGAATCGTTGGATGAGCGTATTCACGATCTGCTTCTCTATCGAGCCTTCTTGGAAGTAGCTGTCAGCCCTCGCCGACCAATACGGCTCCAAATCTATGTCTGGAAAGGTATTCTCGTTTCGTGGTTCGGCTCCCTGACCTGTTTGCAGATTTTGGCTGATGAGTCTGGCTGGGCGGTCAGGGTCAATTGTCGTGATGTCATTGGCTTTCAAGCCTTGATAACTGAAGTACATGGCCGCATTCCTGAAAGGCGCATGTTGATTTGGGTTGTTCTTGGGCGGTTTACACCCATTCGCTAGAAAACCGCCCCAGTAAGTGGAACTGCCGCCATTGATCTCTTTAGCGTCAAAGAGATCGGCTCTAGGGATTCGTGCCTGCCGCATTCTAGCAGATTGGTCTGGCTAGGTAGTTGTTTGATCGTATTGTTGCTCTATTTGTAGTTCATTTACTGGTCCGTTGTAGCGTTGTCTTTCGAAGGTGCAGAACTTGATTGTGAAGTATGTGCATAATATAATAACATGACCTAGAAGCAAATGATATTTATACCACACCTCGAACATGATTCGTTGTGAGCCTGTCTTCACTAGCTATGACTGTTTATGTAGTGACTATTCAAGTGATGACTATAAGGTGCGCACAAGCGTAACGCACGTGTACGGAATTGAACTGCACAGTCCAAGTTAAAAGTACGGAGCCATTCTTGACCCGAGCAACTGAAATTCTCTTTCAATTACCTTCTTGAATGCACGTGGCCACTACAATGTGAATGTGCCTTCGTATCACTAACTGAAGAGTGGTAGAGGTTCATCATATGGCCTTCCCCTTCCGACAGCGCACCCACAGTCAATCCATGTCCTAGATCTCCAAATATAATTGGATGTATATTCCATCAATTTTCATGAATAATGGCTACTGGGATCAAGTATTTGATTATTGATTCTGTGTTAGTTCACTAGCGCTAATCGAAGTGAATGCCACCGTTATTCCGGCCCAGATGACCAACAGGACGATCATGCCATAACTTCCAGACACCTCTTCCATGTACAATAGCCGACTCTTGTATCGCAAAAACACCGCTCACAACCCACTCCACATTCTGCTCTTGTTTACTCATCGAGATTTCAGGGTGATGCTCGATAGTAGGGATGAGTGTTCGCTGAGCCATAAGATTGCTTTGACCTGACAGTCAGTATTTAAATTTCGAAAAGAAGACAGCGCTTAGAACAACGTACGTATTCGGGTCTGCTCTGATGATCTTGCTTTCGCCTCGAGACCTGGATTCCACGTTTGGAGCGAAAACGTCTGTCAAGTCTACGATACCGCTCGCGCCCGACTCGGAGATGATCAGACAGGATTTTCCGTCGTTCCACCACCCGTTAGACAAATTCTCATCGTTAGTTTCATACTTTGGCTGAAGTTCGTCTTCAAAGATTGATAGACCTTCGGGAGTCTGTGCAGATATCGCAAACCCGCCATCTATAACCTCCACGACTGGACTCTGGTATCCAGATGCGTTTTTGCGTATGATTTTATGTACTCTAATATGCCAGCCAGGCCATCTGTTGACTGGAGAGATGAGAGTTGTGGTGATATCCAGGCCCAGACTCTGCAGTGGTGTCCAGGTGCTCGTCATTGTAGGAACTGTTTCATCACCTACCCGCACTTCTCCCCATTGTGAATCAGTGGGGGCCCAGCGAACCTTTAAGATATCTTCATCTGGTAAGCTGACTGTGAGGGTCGAGTCCGGTGCCTGTTGTTCGAGCAATGGTCCTGAAGGAACGCTGAACCCAAAGGTAGAGGAGTACGCAAACTTCGCGTACTTTGCTTCTCGAGCCTTGAAACGGTTACGAGTCGATTGACCAGATGAGAGAAGAAAGTGGTGCTCTGGGGTATTGCAGAGAATGTGCCTTGGTGGTCGTAGCACTGCAACAGGGGCGAGGCTGTTGTTCCGAGAGTCTGCATCAAGTGGGTGAGGTTCCTCTTTGCTCGTCCAGAATGGATGTGTGTCAGGCAAACCGAGGACGACAAAAGACTTTAAACACCAGAAAACTGATTGCGGCGAGTTGTAATTTTCTGACATGTGCATGTTTGGGTAACAAAACCCAATATTGAGGGTGCCGTCGGTATTGAATATATGAGGATGCCGCGTCCACCACCGTAGATGTCTCAACAGCATTCCTTTCACAGTCCCTAGATTAGATACTGGCGAAGGTAGATCTACCTCGGCGACAGCTGCTGCAGCCCAGAAGGCAGCAAATGCAAATCTGTAGGTAAGACTTCTTCCAAATGGTATGGCAGCTCCTAGAAATGGAAACAGTCAGTTGTTGCACTAGACAACTAAGATAATATTTTCGGGTGCCTACCATTTTCGTGGAAGTACCTCCAATACACTTCTGCGAACTGGCCAGCCTCCTTCTTGTATCGCGCTGTTCTCGCTTGGTCATAATCTGGGGCAAATCTAACAAATAGTAGTTGAGCAAACTGAATCGCAAAGCTTCCCGAATAATAGTCAACCTGCTTTCTGGCATCACCCCACAGCCCATCACTACTCCATCCCTCTCCTATGTAAAATGAATCAAGCGTCGCCAGCGCTGCATCAATGTGTTCCTTTACTTCGCTCATTGGAACACCTAATGTGCGTACGAGAGCGAGATTGACAAAGATCCGGAACCAGAGCCAATTATTTTGGGGCATTGGATGGTCATTGATACTGCGCAACCATTTGACCACGTTCGATTGAGCCACAGGATCGTCTGCAAAACTCAAAGTCTCCGGATTGAGCAACAAAGTGTAGGCTATGGACTCCATCTCGACCATACGTTGATCGACACCTGACAGGTCTCCCCAGTACTCTGCCGAATTCGGATCAGTTCCCACCTTGAGACCATCGATCCAATCATCCAGGTTGATGCTCGCCGCTCGTATCAGCTCAGCATCTGGGTCAACCGACCGGAATCGAAGCAGGTCGGCAACCACCCATAATGGCCGCGCGAAACCCTCAAGCTGTGCAGATGTCTCGCTGAATCCAGCTCCGGTTGCAGTTGCGATCCTTATGCGGGCTCGATCCTGCGATTTGTATTGCTCCAATGGCTTCAATAAAGCCAATGCGGCCCGTAAAACATCGGTACGAGTGCGAAACTCATTGTCGGAGAAGCCGTTCAATGCAGGCATGATAAGGAAACACACTCAAAAGGCCCTTCGCTGCATTTTAGAATGACTAGTTGACGCTCAAGGGTGTTGCGCTTTAAAGTTGCCAGTACTCGCATCGGGCCTCGGAACAATTACGCTGCGATACTAGTCCGCAACTGTCCTATACGCACTTATCTCGTTGTGTATCCGAAAAATTCAAGCTCTTAATTTTGCTGGGGCTTTTCTGAGCGACTTTTGTCATTGCTGGAATCCTCCGCTTCATCGTCTTCGTCTTCGCTGGGTAGTAGTGGAAGTGATTCTATTTGGGACCAGTCCACAGTAACGGGGAAGACATCTCCTGGGGTGCCAATTGCCCGCACCGTCAACGGATCCCAACAAGCTATACTGAGCTCTTTGGCAAGCTCCTCCTGTTGCGATTCTGGTAATGACAGTATTTGCTCAATCGTGAACTCTTTGAGATATCGCTCGCTCCAAAATGTCCCCGAAGGTTTGTCGTCGTCAGCCAACTCCTCCTTCGCGATCAATGTAGACTCGGGTTCATTGGAACTCGTAGACATCGTTTACGGAATTAATAGAAAAAGGGGACTTCTTTGCAATAAGATGTATTCGAGAAATAATGATTGAGTTCGAAGCAGCAAGTTTGTCGTTGTGTCACAACTGAATCTGCGTTTGAATCTTAACGTGTGGCTGTGCCTGTCAGACTGCACGGGCATTCTATGATGACACCACGCAAATAGTGCTACAATGTATAAACCCTACGAAGGTTCTTTCATAACGACATCCTTTCTTGTAAACAATGTAGAGTAAACTTTGCTAGATCCTCGGTTGAACAGAATAGGTATGAATTAGCGAGATGGAGGGTTACTTCGTGTTGTGCAGATCGCAATTGGTAGCAGTCAATTCTTGATCACCCCACAGACGAGGTGTCACTGCGACAAGTACGGAGTACCCTTCGAAGAATCTACCAACACGAACCACAGCCTTCGCTTGCTACTCCATGAAGATGGTCTCATGAAGTAGAGAGCGACCTGGTCATTCAAGCGGCTATAGGCCAGCGCAAAGATGCCAATGCTCGGCTTATACTAGTACATTAACGTTTGCTCCAACGCATGGGTTCCGCGATATGTGATGCCATTACTTATTTTCTTGAAATTCAGAAGAAGAACAGAGCACACAGGAGGGTTTCCAAATGATTGCAGGTGTTCATCAAACTGGTAGAGCCGGTTCGGGTATATCTAGGCCGACCATGCCGTGCCGATCCCCCGCATTTTCCGCCATGTCATCAACAAGCCCCAAATCGAGAAAATACTAGTACCTGTCCATGCCTGTCACTCCTGTCACGCCGGATACCATTTTGCTTGACCCCATGTGTTTACTTACTGCCGAGATTCAAGATCAGCTGTGGAGTCGGGCCTTTCTACATCACAAGCTTCGAAAAGATTTGTCGTGCAGATTCTCCTGAGCTTGTCGTGGTTCCATACCCAAACGAGCCTACATAAGTACAGGATGTACGTCACCGTCTTTCATCTACACCTGTTATGGACTTCTTCCCCGTTCCTTCCCCGCAATTCTACTGGGGCATGGCCTCACGGCCTTGTTTTTGATTCCATTGTGTTCAGCTAGCCAAAGATGCCGGGCGATCGGATTTGAGACAATACCTGGCATAAAAGATGTCCGCTATCACGAACTTTCTTTCGAAGTACAGGTACAAACACTATACAAACACCGGTTCTTACCATGCGGTCGTTCATATACTTGGGCGCATATGCCGTCGCTACTACAGCACAACAGGTCTACATACCCGCAGACGGCCCATCGTCTAGGCCGAACTGTTCGCAAGCCCAGGCAACGCCGACATATGCCTTTAGTGCTTTCTCATTCACTCAGACTGAAACAGTCCGTACAGCTACTTCGGTAGTGCCTGGCCCCCAGACAACCTACGCACCGCCTTACGAGAGCCTAAGCAGCTTGATCCCATCAGTAAAGACAACTACATGGGGCAATTGGTACCCAAATACAACTGCAAAGGCTTCGGATACAGATGATAAGTACGGACAGGCAGCATGGTCCTCATTATGGGAGGTAGCAGCGCTTCCAAACTTTACCTTTCGAGGGCTGTATTCGACCACAGTATCACCAACACCGATACCCACGAGCGAGCTTGTGTTGCCGCCACCAGACTACTTCGGTCCCCAAGACTGCTATTCCTTCCCGGATGACTTCATGTTCGGTGTCGCTGGGTCTGCTTCCCAGATTGAAGGTGCGATCGCCGATGAGGGACGAACACCTACGATCATGGAGGCTCTCTTCAAACCGAGCGCTGAAAGAGCGGACGATTACGTTACAAATGAGAACTATTATCTCTATCGACAAGATATCGAGCGCCTGGCGTCAATTGGCGTGAAGTACTACTCATTCTCGATTCCGTGGACTCGCATTTTGCCCTTTGTTTTCGAGGGAAGTCCAGTAAATCTACAGGGCCTAGATCATTACAATGATCTGATCAACTTTGTCCTCGAAAAAGGCATGATTCCTACTGTGACTTTGATTCATTTCGACACACCGTGGCAGATCTTTGGTAATAACATGAGCAATGTCAACACCGACGCATTGATTGGTTATGTGGATGGAGGGTATCAAATGGACGGTTTTGAGGATGCTTTTGTCAACTATGGCAAGATTGTCATGACACATTTCGCTGATCGCGTTCCCGTGTGGTTCACGTTCAACGAGCCTCTCTTGTACAGCCACAATGGGAAGAGCATCAATACCGTAATCAAGGCACACGCGAGACTCTATCATTTCTATCATGACGAAATCAAGGGTACCGGAAAGGTGGGATTGAAGTTCAATGACAACTTTGGCGTACCCCGTGACCCTAGCAAACAGGAAGATGTCGACGCGGCAAAACATTTCAATGATTTCCAGCTCGCGACTTTTGGAAACCCGATCAATCTCGGCATCGACTACCCTGAAGCCTTCAAGATGACTATCCCAGATTTCGTGCCTTTGACGGAGGAAGATCTGAAATATCTCAATGGAACTGCAGGTATGTCCACAGGCTTGAGGACAGTCGGACATTAGGAACCACGGCTGACACATCTATGCAGACTTCTTCGGCATCGACCCATACACAGCGACAGTTGTTGCACCCCCGGAGAATGGTATTGAAGCTTGTGCAAAGAACATCTCTGATCCCTTGTTTCCATATTGCGTCAACCAATCAACCACAACCACGACTAGATGGTATGTACCAATCCAAAATTCACCCAGATCATAGCACTTACACGAACAGGAACATCGGCTATCGCTCCCAGAGCTACGTCTACATCACCCCCACTTACCTAAGAACCTACCTCTCCTACGTCTGGAATACCTTCCAATCACCCATCCTAATCACCGAATTCGGTTTCCCCGTCTTTGCCGAAGCCGAGAAAGAACTGTCCGACCAGCTCTACGATGCTCCCCGAAGCAACTACTACCTATCTTTCATGAGCGAGGTCCTCAAGGCGATCTGGGAAGATCATGTGCATGTATTGGGAACGTTCGCGTGGAGCTTTGCCGATAACTGGGAATTCGGAGATTACGATGCAAGGTTTGGTATTCAGACTGTCAATAGGACTACCCAGCAGAGGAGGTACAAGAAGAGTTTCTTTGATCTTGTCGATTTTGTGGAGACCAGGAGAGGGAAGAAGACGGGATATTGAAGCAATTACGCAGCATTAGAGCTGCTGTAAATGATATGATAGATCACAAAGCCCCCGTCACTATCTAATAGATAACCTTTGAGCGTAAACACTGCTCAAGGCACATTGCGGAAGGAGAAACAAATATGTTCAAGGGTTGCACTTGTTTGACCGTATACGAAGCGAATACGGCGTGTGCAATGTCAGTTCTAATCAAGTTAGACTAACGTGTCAGTGGCTGAAAACGTCCCAGAATGGTTTGTAACCTTCGCTCCACCTCATAGGTCTCTTACTCGGAGTTAAGATTAGAGATTGTTAGGTCTTTGTTCGTTGCTTAGCAATGCATCTATCTAGGATGAAATATTACAAAAGACGTAGTTGGACGATTCCCCCTCGCAAGACATCCAAAAACCATTTCTCCCTCAATTCTATCTGAAGACCAATGCCAGCCATAAAGAACGTTCTCATCATCGGTGTAAGAGTACCTGTGACTTTTGTCACTGCATTCACAGCCTCTGTTGAACAGATTCTAACATGATTTTCTAGGCAAGCGGCAATCTTGGACCGTCTGTCCTCGATGCACTGCTAGCTACCGAACAATTCAACGTCTCTGTGGTATCACGACCAGAATCGAAGGCGACTTTCCCTTCCACAGTCAACGTCATCCGATCTGATTATTCCATCGAATCATTTGAATCTGCATTCAAAGGCCAAGACGCTGTTGTGTCTACCGTAGGAAATGATGGCTTCGAGCATCAGCAAAAGATCGTTGAGGCAGCCATCAAGGCAGGAGTGAAGAGGTTCATTCCCTCTGAGTTTGGCATCGACACAACTAGGGCCGACGTCCAGGCACACCTACCAATTGTGATGGCCTCTAAGAGAAAATTCGTCGAGTTTCTTCAGAGCAAAGAAAAGGAGGGTCTCAGTTGGACAGCTATTAGTTCTGGAGCATTCTTGGATTGGGTAAGTTCACTGCCCTCAGGAGCTAGAACTCGGAAATTTGTTGACAGAGTATACTTAGGGTCTCCAATATGGCTTCCTGGACTTCGACCTGGGCTCGAGAAAAGCCACCATCTGGGACAAGGGCGAGACCTACTTCACCGCCAGTACTCTGGCGCAAGTTGGACTTGCTGTTGCTCGAGTCCTGCAAAAGCCGGCCGAAACCGCTAACCGCTATGTATACATCTCTTCTGTACGTACGTCCCAGAAAGAGATTCTCGGAGTTCTTGAGAAGGTCACAGGCCAGAAGTGGGACGTCGCGACTGTGGATACCGCCACAAAGGTGCGGGAGCTTCAGGGCAAATTGAATTCTGGGGATTACAGCGTTATCTATCCGTTGATCGCTGCGGCTATCGTCGCGCTTCCGTTGGGCGATCTGACTAAGTCTGGCTTGGATAATGATCTACTCGGTCTGAAGCAAGAACAACTAGAAGATGTCGCTCAGCGGGTCATCAAGACCTAAAGGGCCTGTTCGTCGCATGGTAGTAGTCTAATCAATGAAGCAATTCAGTCGCCATATCTCTAGCAGTAAATAAAATATGATCCAAGATTATAGTTCGGCGGAGATACTGTTGCAAAGTCCGCCTTGTTTACAATATTCACTGTGCATAATCGCACCTTTTTTTGCACTTTAGCTGTCCTTTGATTATATATGCGAACATGTCAAGCCATAGCATGTACCTGGCCAAATCAAGCATCACCCTGTTGGTGCTTACCGGCAACGGCGGCGGCAGCCTGTCGTTTCTTCGGGACGTGCATCCGCGCCACTGTCGCTCTCGCAATCGCACTACTGTTTGAATCAAGCAACACAACGATGATTTTCGGGCCGATTGAAGCCAGGGCCATAGAACAGATCCATTGAAGACCTAGGAGTTCTGCGCCATTCTCCGTTCAAGCACAAACGTAGGATCTCATCATCAGGCCCGCCCACCTCATTCTTCTCGCACTGCAATTTTTTCAGTCACTGATTTATAATGCTTGCTTTTGTGGCGACTGGAGTCAATGCGGGCTATAACCTTGGTACTCTCATATCTACATACCGGTGATACAAGCTAAATGGACGAACTATGGCATTTCGAGTTGGAAGGTGCAAGCTCGTCCCTACGTCTTCCCTGCTGCGATGCACTGTCAAGTGAGAGAGTGAAGGGTCTTTAAAGCAAGCTTTCCAATCTTTGAAGTAGTTGAGCTACTCTTAGCATGTGAAAATTCTTGGCTTAGTACACAGCAACAAACAACTATTCATGCTCGGTGGCTGGCATGAAAGTGGTTCAAGATGCTTTGATAATGTCTAATAATGATTGAATCCCAACATAAATACCGCCCGCTCGACAGGCTTGATATACGTTGCCGCTCAGATTATCAACGGGCATTAGCTAGACGTCATTGGCTATGATTATGATCCTCATGCTCGAACTCATTTCGCCCTACGGGAGGCTATCCGTAGACGAAAACTAATTCCATACCATACCATACCAGACCATACGGGGTAGTATCATCAAGGTGCTCACTCATTCATAAGCCGCAAACGGCCTTCATCCTCATTCTGCTCCTTCAGACAGACCTACAAGGGTCGGCATTAAGTGCACCAGACGAACCGCTGAATCAAACATCACATTCTACGTAATGAAAATTAGTACAGTTTTTTTTAATCTTGTTGAGTCTAGTACTTAGTTATCGATACTTGAGTGAAGATGTTAATCGTCCCTGATTGGTGAGTACCATAACATTCCATAAGTCCAACAGAAATGGTGCAAGCGCGAAAGCCGCTATCTCCGAAATGATAACATACAGCATCGGAGTTTCTGGTTGCATTCTTTGATCTTCCCTTCATCAATCCACTTTCGATTGTGGGTTATTTATCTACCATTCCTTCCAAGAAGCCGAATCAAAATATGACAAAATGAGAGCCTTAATACTCAACACCTCTACGAAGACGGTCGCCGTTGAGACGACACCTGACCCGAAGCCGGGACCCAAGGAGATCCTTGTCCGTGTACGTGCTGTAGCACTCAATCATGTTGACTACATGAATACCGTAAAGCCACTTGCGACGCAAGACAAGCGTGTGGTGGGATCTGATTTCGCTGGGGAGGTGGCTCAAGTTGGAAAAGACTTGGATGGTATCGATGACCCACGAGTCAAGATAGGAGCACGGGTGGCGGGCTTCCTGCAAGGAGGTGAGTGATCAAGGAACTATTGGCTCGAATGAGCCTTATATTTCGATGCGCGAACCCCCACTGACATTGTGGCGGCAGCAAACTCTGTCAATGAGCGCCCTGGGGCATTTGCAGAGTATCTCGTCGTCGATTTCGACTTGACCTGGCTTGTTCCCGATGGTATTTCATTTGAAAGGGCCGCGAGCGTCAGCCTGTGCGGTGTCACTGCTGCCCAGGCCGTATTTTATCGACTGCACTTGCCGAGCCCATTCTGGGAGTCAGGAGTCCTCGACAGCCAGGCTGGCCCTATCACTGTATTTATATATGGTGCATCATCATCGGTCGGCTTCTACGCGGCGCAACTTGTCAAGCTTGCTGGAAAGGCATCAGGGAAAGAGATTCGACTCATCGGTGCCGCGAGCGCCTCAAAGCATGCATTGTTGAAGGAGCCACCGTATTCATATGATGTCTTGGTTGATTATCGCGATCCCCAATGGCAAGAGACCGTTCGCAAGGCAGCCGGAGGAGATGGTGTCCAATATGCCATAGACGCTATCTCTCAGGGCGATACAGTCTACAACACCGATAGCGTCGTCCAAGCTGGCGGAAAACTCGCAATATTTCGAGCTCCAGCGGCAGGAGGCTTCGACATGGCCAAGATCAAAACGAGAACGGTTTTTGGCGCCGTTTGGGAAGCGCTCGGCGTGGATGTTCAATATCACGGTGGTAAGTACATTCCGATCTATGACGTCTTCTCATGTCAATTTTCGCATTAACCATACCACAGGCATAGTCATTCCTGCGAACGAGAAAGCAAGAGCTTCTGCTGCCGCATTCTACAAGTTTCTGAGTGTCAGTGCTGGACCAAATCAAGCTGTGCTCGAGCCCAATCCGATCCGAATTATGCCAGGAGGACTTGAGAATATTCCCATAGACGGGTTCGCCCTTTTTGGTGCGGGATCGAAGGCATACACAGATCATCGCAGGCCCGTAAGTGGGGAGAAAATTGTCTTTACCGTTGGGTGATGCGTATTCCTAGGTCGTGTCTTTTTATCTTAGCTCTAAGTCACGTTCTCAAGAAAAAGTTACATCAACACGTGCATCTTGCACGATTTCTTACTTCACATCATCAAATGCAATGTGTGTATTTGATTAGATGAACGAGTAAAATTACTGTAAGAAACATTGTCGGCCGAATAATGACGGCCACATACAGACTTATCGTTGAGCTTTGTGCCTACTTGCTAGCAGTCATCTTGCTTCAGTTTTCTGGATTCACATTGTGGATTCAACATTGCTTTCTTACCAGTGGAATCCTGAAAACCGCCGGTTAACAGTATATGCAGAATGCAAGTAGCTATTCAAGTTAAACAGAATAATACTAGAGATTACAAATACCATGACTATACGGTAAGCTTGAGTAATATACGTCACAGAGAGACATGGCAGATACGATCGAGAGCTGTCCCTGTCCAATTGCTGGTCTGTACGCGGAATAAGAGGCGAATACGATGATATACGACGTTTACGACGCTCATGTGACACCATGCCCAATCAAGAACTCAAATGATGCTTCCAACCTTGTAATATGAGTTACATCAGGTAATGCCTGATACTCGACGCCACGAATACCTCGGAAAACAACTAGGATACTTGCCTCATCCGATAGCCAAGGCATACCAGATGACGTTCGTATGCTACCTAAAGTGTGAGCATTCCCCAACTCGGCCATCATTTGACCGACATTGAAGAATCTACCTCGTTCTCGAATCTCGGCGCTCCCTTTTTAGTAGTAACCCCTCTTCTTCAAGGGCATGAACGGTGTAAAAGGGAGCGAAATATGATCGCGTTTGTGGGGGAAGAGGTCGATTATTGGCCGGGATGTGGGGGAATCGACCAAAGATCCGGGGAATCCACCACACGACCCGACTCCGAAATCTGGGGTACCTAGCATTGGTATAGCGTAGAAAAAAGGTACACCATACAGATTGAACGTATTTCAAGCTAATTATCGTGAGTTGGAACTACTTTGGAACTATAAAAGTTTAGCAATTCCCTCAGAAAAAGATGTTGTTGTGTACCCACTTCTCGCTATGAAGGCACCCTACTTCCTGGCATGTTGCCTGTCTATCGTTGTATCGGCCTCCATTGATGATCAAACTGGCGCAAACATCGACTATGGTACTTTCTCAAATCCATCTTCTGTTGTGCGGCCGCGCTTTCGCTATTGGCTCCCGGACGCTGGTGTCGATAAGGATATCGTGAAAGAAAACATCCAGTCTGTAGGCACCATCGGCGCTGGAGGTGTCGAATTCCTTCCCTTCTATGGATATGGAGGAGAGACAATGGGGGCTCCCGTGGGTGTGAACTGGTCCACGAATGGATTTGGCACCCCTGCTTTCAATGATATGTTCGAAGTAGCCTTGACAGCGCACAAGGAAGCTGGACTGAAAATGGATTTCCCATTGGGGCCGAACCAAGGCCAGGGTGTTCCTGCAAGTACGGATAATGAAGGACTGCAGTGGGACTTGGTAGGTTGAATGGCGGCCCTTCGTACAAAATTGCGAGTGTTAACTTCGTCAGGCGCCCTTCTCAATTCAAGTTCCTTCCAATGGCTCATTCGATGGCTTGATTCCCGAGTGGGGCTATGGCGAATTAGTCGCACTTGTATCGGCTCGGGTTCTATCATCCACTGAACGATCGAGACCATCTGCTTCATGGAATGGCCAAGTCACTAATACTACATGGTCGGAATTGGTACTAGAGACCAGCAGCCTCATCGATATTACCTCAAACGTATCTGCAAACGGAATCGCACAACTGTCTTTCCCGGCGGAGGCGGACGACACTCATTATCGATTGTTTGCCTTTTACCAGAAGTTGACATTGCACAAGAACTTGCATTTTGAAACGAATCGAACAATAAACATTTGGGACAACGGCTCTTATGCGGTCGATCATTTCAGCGCAAAGGGTGCAAAAGTGTTGACAGATTTCTGGGAGGAATATATCTTAACGGATAACATCAGAAGTCTAATATCCGAAGTTGGAAACTATGGTAATATGCAACACTCTGCTTGTCATCGCGATAGCTCATTCAACTGACCACTATCCTTGCAGCTTGGGAAGATAGTGTTGAAGCACTGTCCAACATTTCATGGACGCCTTCATTACCTGAGGACTTCCTCCAAAAGCATGGTTACAGCATCAAACCATTCTTGCCCCTACTTATCTTTGAAAACAACAATCTTGCGCTTCAGACGTCAGACCCTGGCAAATTTGATTGTTCGCTAAATAGCGAAGACCGAGGTGCAGGCTACGTCAACGATTATCGGAATGTTCTTGCTGATAAGTATCATGAGTACTTGTCTGGAGTTACTTCGTGGGTCAACAACGTTCTCGGCATCCAATACAGCGCGCAGACAAGTTACAACCTGCCAATGGACATGCTCAACTCTATCCCCTATGTTAATGCGCCTGAGTGCGAGTCATTGAATTTCAAAAACAACCTCGATGCCTACAGAGAGTTTACCGGCGTCGCAAATTTGGTGGGCAAAAGAGTGATCTCCAACGAGATGGGCGCAGAAGGTGCTCAAGCGTTCCGATACACGATTCCTGCGCTGCTGAACTCCATTCACACCGCATTCGCTGCGGGCATTAATCAAGTCGTCCTGCACGGACAGCAGTATACTGGAGACTACCCAAACACGACTTGGCCGGGATACAATTCGTTCAACTACTTCGTCTCCGAAATGTACTCTGACAAACAGCCAGCGTGGGAACACGGGTTCGATGACGCGCTTAACTACGTAGCGAGGCTTCAGCATGCTCTACAGCAGGGAGTGCCACGCACGGATCTTGTGGTCCTGGACAAGCAGTCGTTCACCAACCCCAATTTCGATAGCGTTGTCTATAATGAGACTGTTCTCAAATCACTCGGTACGTGCTATCATGATTGCTATCCAAATATTTAATTATGGACTGACTGATATCTGCAGGTTGGACATACAACTATGTATCGCCGGACAACTTCGCACTTCCGCAGTCTTACGTTCAAAATGGTGTGTTGGGCCCTGAAGGTCCCGCATGGAAAGCCTTGATCGTGGAAAGTACACAGAATCTAACATCCGAATGGGTAAACACAATCAAGAGCTACGCACAAGCAGGCCTACCAACTATTCTCGTCGATGGAACTCCCGGATTCTATCCATCTCGAGGTGGCTCAGAGGAGGCCGAATTCATCTCTTCTTTGAACGAGCTAATCAACACCACGAATGTCCTCAGTGCATCGAAAGCGACAGTCGCGAAAGAGCTTAAAAACCTCGGGTTGCATCCACATGTCGCGACTGAACTGAACGGAACGGTCTATAGCACCTGGCGCGAGGACCTATCTACTAGCATCGACTACGCATTCATTTACGCCAAAGGCAACGCTGCATTTGGAAACGTTACGATCCGCACCATAAAGATACCGTATCACTTTGATGCATGGACAGGCGACAAGACTTTGATCCGGCACTATGAAAATACTGAACGTGGGATCGTTATACCTTTGAATATTGCAGCAAACGATACTAGAATTATCGCCTTCAGCGACAAGGCACTCGACGACGGATACGCACCGAAATGCTCGATCTGTTCTTTGCCACCGAACGCACTTGGTTACAGCAGTTCGAGTCCATCGTCCATCACATTACATCTGTCCGCGTCGGAAACACCAGAGAACGCTGTACTGTCAGATGGGACCAATGTCACGATCCAGAATCAGGGCGTAGCTAAAGCATTCACGCTTAGCAACTGGACACTCGTAGCTGAGCACTGGGAAGCACCATCAAATATCTCCAACGCAGCCGTTCTTGCGGCGAAGCGCAATACCACACATTCACTAGATGCCCTAGTATCATGGCTGGACATTCCCGCATTGACCAACAGCTCAGGTCTCGGATTCTACACATCCACATTTACCTGGCCACCGAAGCAAAGTGATAAAACGTCGGGCGCATACATCGCATTGCCCCATATTCAACACACAGCTAAGCTTTATGTTAACGGCAAGAAAACGCCAGCGATCAACATGTTCAACCCCACGATAGATGTATCAAAGTATCTTCAGGATGGCGTCAACGAGGTGTTGATTGTTGTGCCTACGACGATGTGGAACTATATTCGTTCAATATTGGGAGAGATCTGGAACTCGGGCAAGGCGCCGCTGATACGAACGCTCTGGGATGCGTGGGGTCCTGCGCTGGGATTGTCAGACAATGGGTTGATTGGGGAGGTCCGAGTGATACCGTATTCAGCAGAGAAAGTGGAATGTAGGTCTGGCTAGTCGTCGTGAAAAGAATAGTATAATAATTAAAGGCAATTAGTACTTGCTGAAGAATGTTGGCCAATGTCAAGGCCGAGCTGCGGCTGAATCATTCAGTGAAGTTACTATAGTGCGATCGTAAAAACAGTGGGTGGCCAGGACTATTTCCGGCTTCCTCATTAAGCTGAGAGGATACTCTCTAGATTAAGAGTAATTAGGTGTATTGTAAGAAGTAGTGGTCTTATCATTTTAGTTTCAGATCCCATGAATGCATCGTTATGCTACTGAGAAGAACTATAAGTTCGTACATGTAATAAGGCGAATGAAACAATGATAAAGATCTTTTTCCCACCATGAGCAAAGCTGTTGTGCCGTAGAATATCTTTTCTTCTTCAATGAGACGATAAAATCTGGCACCTGTGTCTAAAGTAATTATTATCGTCAAAAGGAATGCCAAAAAGTGAGATGGAAGAAAGCAGTATCAGCAGTATCTTGAAAATTCACCAATGGCATGTCTCTTGGCAATTTGGGGGCATTCGTGTGCGCAACAGATGAAATAAGACGTGTCTTCTCAGACGCTCCGTCGGACAACTTCATAAACCCGTGTCATAGCAGATTTCTTGACGATCTTCACCCATGATTTTCTCAGAAATAACATACCTACCTCAGGACGATGGCGCGCAGTGGCGGAAAAGCAGCCAACTTGCGGCAAACCTGTATAATGGTGGGGGTAAGCTGTGGACCAAAGACGATCTCCGAGATATCGAACAGCAACTTGCGCACTCTGATAAGCATGAATTTTTCACGGTTCGCTTGATCGATGGCACGGAAGGTCGAGTAAAGAACGAGATGTTTGGCGAAAAACAACCAATATGGTGAGAAACCCTCTGACAATGCAATTCCAATATTCACAATCTTCTAGGCAGCCACGTGTTAAATACCAGGAATATTGGCGACTTGTAGATGTGCAACCTAAAGGTCCTCCGGAGATATATCGCTGCTCATATTTGATACATTGGGAAAACATTAGCGTCCCGAAGTTTTTGGGCGTTTTAGACGATTCGGATATTTTGTTTGAAGAGGCCAAGGTCGCCTGGGATAAGAGTAGCAGCCGCAGTCTTTTCAAGTCTCTTCTTGAAAATACCTTCGTCATTGAGAAAGTGACAAAGATTGTTTGCTTTGGATTGGGAGACATGTGCCGCAATCCCCCAGAGTGGTACAAACCAGATACCAATCCTTCCCGCCGCAGTAAGGTTCAGCACTCGATTGCCTTGACCATGGCGGAAATATGTCGCGCCAGCACCGGCAATGAAGTCCAATTACTAGCCCAGGATCCTGACTACACGGAATCATCCATCAACGTCTTGCAGAAGCACGACGTTTCGATTGTTGGTCATTATGGAGCGGGAGGCTTTGCGGAAGTCGATAACAACTCCATAGTGTTCTCAGCCTTTGTCCAAGCTCCCCTCAAGCAGATCATCGCTGACATAGCGCGCCCACTCATCATCATCACCACCCGCTTTGGGACCTTTGGCAGTTTCGAGTAAGCATATTCCTCTCTGTAATTTACTCTCTCTCCTTCTAAATCAACATAGCCATGGGCAGACGCAGATTCCCCGCGAACAAGAGCGATGTGGGAAGAATATGACGAATTTGATTTTCCAATATCACATGAGGATGAAAAACTGGTGGGCAACTTACATGGGCTGTACATCTATGTGAGGAAAAATGGTTGATTCATAGAGCGACATCTTCAACCATGAATAAGGTGATTGAGGTGCAGATAGAGAGAGAAGACGACAGACCTTGTAAAGAGGGACTCAACGGGTCGTTGCACGTTGCTACTTCGTACTACTTTTACCATGCATGATTACCTTGCTCAAGTAACGTTGTCCCGTTCCGATATTTATGTTCTTGAACGCATGTTCAAGCCAAATTGTATCCAACCCTTCCTTTTCCAGCCTCATATGCAATGGCTCATAAAATTTTCCCAGTCGAGTCCAGCGATATTCCATGGCTTGTGCGACACTGCGATTACCCCGCGATGCGCGAAAATCCCCTCACCATCGCGATGTTTCCAAACTCAAATCCCAAAACCGAAGAAGAGGAGATTATGTGGCATACTGGAGGCCTTCAAGATAGTTTTCACAGTGCATCGGAATCATCGTGGATAAAGGTCTGCAATGATAAGATGGAGCCTGTTGGATTTGCCATTTGGTTTCTGGGCAAACCTTTCCCTGCTGTTCGCACTACGGATGCAAAGAGAGACGAGGCTGAAGGAGTCAAAGCCCCTACAACTTTAGATGGTCATGCATGGAGGACTATGTCTGATGATCTACGCCTAGAAAAAGATCGAGTACTTAATGATCGACCAGACGTGTGCAGTAAGCCTGCTGATCCGACCTTTCCTGCGATTAACGTTGAACTTACATTTCAAAGGACTCACTATGCTGTCTGTGAATCCAGACTACCAACGTCAAGGCTATGGAACGTCCCTTGTAGGTTGGGGTTGTCGGCAAGCAGACCGTGCTCATAGAACTATTTTTGTGATGGCATCACCTGCAGCTGTAGGGTTCTATGAAAAATTCGGCTTCAAGACTCAAGGGCAAGTCTGGACGTGTCACGGAACTTTCAAGAGCATGTTGAGAGAGCCGGAAGAATGCGATCACCACCTGAACAACTTTGTATCTAGTAAGTAATATTATATTATTTAATAATCAATATTATAGGAATAAGGCAAAGACATGTGAAATATTTTTAATGTTTTGTTACTATGCCCTCGATAATATCCCTGTAGTCAGTCAAACAACCTTCTAAGCCCTCCCCAGGCTATTTCCGGGGTTAGCGAAAAGATGAGGGGTCGTAGCGAACCCAGCCTCGCGATGATGTCTTAAAGGATGAGCTGAAGGGTGGCTGTGCCGAGGGGTTGCGTATCTCCACCCTCAATCTCTACTTCCTCAAGCCAGCAAAAGAATGTTGTCCACGGATGACCGTCGAAAAACAAACTCTTTTACCCACAATGCCATTGGAACTTTCATGCTCGTTGTGAGAACGAGAGGGCGTTCAATCAATTCGCATATATGTCGTACGGCTGAGTGATGACGGAATTCTCCCGCTGCTCGGTATGCCTGAATCTATGGCAGGACTACTGGGACCTTGGCCCTTTCCGAGAGCATTACTTCGAAATGGACCAGGACCATTGCGTTGACGTTGCAGAGATCAATCGCGCAATAGAACAAGGCTGCCCCAGCTGTCGTGTCATCGGCAAAATCGTCGAACCATACATGCCACAGTTGGTCGGACAGAAAAACGAGCTTTGGCTTCGATTCAGTTCAATTGCGAGTAATCCACATCCTAGGACGAACAAACCCTATCGATATCTATGTTTTCGTGGGCAGGACGAAAGTCCGGAGAACGTGATTGCGGAGTTGGAAGTAAAGAGAGCGGGGCTTGGATCTGGTTTATTTTCGGTTACATCAGAACGTAGGTGAGTATACGTATTCGCGCATCGCAAGTCGGCTGGAGAATGCAACTTATATATTCCGAACAGCTACTGCCCGTGGGACGAGATTCAGCCTGCGCCCAGTGTATCCGGTGACACGGGGTCTCGCAAGGCTGCAGCTCGGGCGCGCTCATGGTTGCACCAATGTATGGAGGAGCACCACTCCTGCCGGACTCCATCGAATACATATACTCCAACAAGGCTTCTTCGGATAGAGGGTCCTGACAAGGCTCGATTATGTGTGCCGAACAAGCCTGTCGAGGCTTATGCCTGTCTCAGTCACTGCTGGGGCAAGTTACACATTCTTAGAACCACCACCGAGAACTATGAACAACATCTGAAAGAGATATCATGGGGCCAACTACCTCTTACATTTCGGCATGCGATCGCTTTCACGCATTCGATTGGCCTGCGCTACCTGTGGATAGATAGTCTCTGCATCCTCCAAGACTCCGCGAGTGACTGGCGCCACGAAGCAAGCAAAATGCCAGACATTTACGAAAACGCATGCGTCACTCTCGCAGCCACCATGTCCTACGATCCCTCCCAGGGCCTCTTCGCGCGATCACAGGAGGGTTTCATTTCGAAAACGTACACAATTCACAACGAACAGAACGAGCCGTATGAGATCTATTGTCGCGAGCCTCTGGAAGACATCGTGTGGGACAAGCCCCTTCAAGACCGCGGTTGGGCATTTCAAGAGCGAATTCTGTCGAAAAGGATCATCCATTTTATGGAAGAAGAGCTGTGGTGGGAGTGTCACCAAGGATCGACGTGCGAATGCGGGTCGCGCGATCATGGGCCAAAGATAGATTTTGGAACGATGCCGCGGGTGAAGGAATTGCAGAATTGTTCATCTGCCATGGAGATCGAGCTTCATTGGCAGAGAATTGTAAAGGAGTATAGCTCGAGATCATTGACGTTCCCGAGCGACATCTTTCCTGCCCTGCAGGGTCTGGCGAAATTGGTACCGGCGAGTATGGGAACTTACCTGGCTGGCCACTGGGAGAGTACTCTCATACACAGCCTTTGTTGGTCGCTAGAGCAGGCGGATTCTCGATTGTTGATTGATACTGAAAGGAGGAAGCATTGGCGAGCGCCGACTTGGTCGTGGGCGTCTGCTATACTTGCGATGGAATGGGGTGAAGGATTGCCAGTCCATACTTTCGCTTCAGCTGTGAGTGCACGGATAGTTCCCCAGGGCGTAGAGCCTACCGGTCAATTAGTGTATGGAGAAGTGGTTTTGAGGGGTAGATGTCTTCGCGGTAGGATTGCACATGGCAAGACTCAAGATCCTTGGTGGGCGGCTTCGGCCCTGCTTAACAATGGTCCCGTAGAAGCGCAGGCTTCTCAAGTGCCACGGATATACTTGTTTGATGATGATGTGAGCAACGTGAGCGATCAGCTGGACGAAGATGAAGATCATTGGTGGGCTTATCCGCACTGGGATTTCCATATAGAAGCGGAGCTAGGCCGTGAAGTAATTGCCATGAAGATGGAGACAACAGACCAGGGTGCGCAGCAAAGTTGGTTAATCTTGAAGGCGACAGATGTTGAGGGTGTGTACGAGCGACTAGGGTTGATGAGAGTCGATGAAGATCTAGACGAATGGGGTGCGACCTTCTTCCAGCCTGTTGAAGACCTAGACGACTTGTTTGATAGCAGTGCAAAGACAATGCAAGTAACCGTCATATAAGGACCGTTGAAACTGTCTGCTATCTGTCTAGTGATGTTCTACCGTTGTATCCAGTAAATAATATTATAGCATTTAGTATTTAAATTTAATAGTAATCTTGCGAAGCCTTAAGAAGTGTTTTTAATATAATGTTATCCTGCCCTCTAAAGTATCTCTGTAGTCAATTAAATAGCCTTACGAGCCTTCCTAGGACTATTTCCGACTCCCCCCTTAGGCTGAGAGCCCTTGTATTGTTGGGTTGGAATTGGCCAATTGCTACTATCTTCAACCTGAGATCGGCCCTGTAACTCTTTCATTTCCCAAGCAAGTACCCAACAATGACTACTTGTACCTAACGATAGTTCGGGTTGAGGAACTTTCGAAGCCACGCATACGGTCTCGGTGAACCGCAAAGCTTCTATTGTTAACCATATTTGCATATACTTCAGACAGCGTGTACTCCGAGGAACAACTACTTACTTTGCACATGTGAAGTTGTACAATTTTCTTGGTAAGATCGACAGTCATGGTCGTTAAACATGTGCGATTCTGCCGAGGCTGGCGAAGTATGCTTGTACCAGGCTTGTGAAAGGCGGGGCCCCGCAACCCCAGCATTTTGTACCAGATTGGGTAATTAATTGTGTTGTTCCTGAGCCTAAGTTAATAATAATGCCGACGTATTTGTCCCTCTAAGTGCAATGCCCCGAAGTTTACTTGTATTACATCCTTGCAATGATGCCGCCATTTTGCGCGATCACAGCTTGGGCAGGTCCGAGATGAAAACAGTATTGATTGGCAGCGGTACATACATGTCCCAGGAACAGGCTTCAAATTTACAAGGTAAGAATATTCCCCACTTGAGGTATTTGGTAGAAGCTTAAATACTTAAGGTTGTCTTGTCTGGAGTCTAATCTGGAGACATCGCAGCGGCCTAAATCTCTAACTGCTATACATCGCCAGTAGTACAAAATGCGTCCTTCAGCCATCATCTCAATTCTTGCCCCAGTTGCCCTTGCGCTTCCGGCCACGCTTGTCTCTCGAGCTGAAGACCTTGCCCCTCGAGTTCTCACCCAGATTAGCGCGCTCAATGAAGCTCTTGGTGGACTTACCACGGCAGTGAACAACTTCGATGGCACACTTCTTGGAGTCCTACCACAGTCTCTCGCCGTCATAGGTGCTGAAACTAAGCTGGATGCTACTACTGTCAAAACAACCCTTATCGTCAACCGGAGTTCGAACTTCACCGATGCCGAAAGCCAGGAAGTTGTTGGCGCTCTTGCGGGCCTCATAGGGCCAATCCAGACATCCTTAGACGTACTCAAAGCCAAGGTAGGTTACATTGTCTTATCTGGAGTATTGGTTACTAATGCGCTATTCCAGTATCCACTTTTCAAGAAGACCTTGGAATCGCCTATCGTCCTCCTGGATTTGAAGATCCTCAAGAAGCATACCGACCAATTGATTGACGCAGTGACAAAGAAGGTGACGGAGCCTAATGTTGGTCTTCTGGGGCTAGGCAAAGGAATTATTGATCAAGCATTCGATGATGCAATCAATGTATACAAAGGAAACTAGTTCAGCGCGCAAATAAGATTCATCATCAGACCATTGCCTGTCTCTTTGCCATATACCTGCAGCATACGAGGGCTGAGCTGTTGGATGACTAATGTTGAGGTGGCTGACTCATCACTCTAGGTCACGTTACTACACCTACATTGCGTGCAAATGTGACCACAAGGGCTGCCTGGCAGCACTGAAGGACGAAGGAGCAGTAATGTCGTGTCAGTTTATGCATGCCGAGCGAGGGACCATTGCTTACGTGATGCATTTACGGCTCCAGTGTTGGTACGCCCGGCAGGACCAATCAGGTTGTATCAGGAGTGGTGTATCCGGTTGCACGCTTTGGGGTTTATATATCCTTCTTGTGCGCAGCTCCTCCATTTGAAGCAGCAAATATCATGCCAAGTCGTGTTCACTAGTCTTTCATTCATCCACGATTTTCCTTACTCCAACCATGGCAAACACTCTCGATCTCAGCGCAATTCCAAGCTCACCAACATCCCCAGACTGGGACGTGCCGAAAGTAGAAATGCGAGGCCGCAGACACAACATCGTCCGTATCACCACCCAAACGACAACGGAAATCGGGGCAGCACTCAAAGATCTCTTATCACAATTCAGAGAATTACTTAAGAGTGGCCCGTCCGTGGAAGAGTTACAAGAGTTTCTTCGACCATGGAAAATGCCTGCTTCTCAAACGCAAATCGATCCTCCACAAGCCCAATCTGACTCCACTCAGATTCAGCCGATGGTGCTGAAGTGGCTAGACCATCTTGGAGCTACAGTTGATGTCGCTCGCCTGGAGCGTTTTGATCTTGTAGCAGTCTTATTGGACAACGGCTTCGAATTCCACCCAGACCTTGCACAGTGTGCAGCACAAATTGCCCTCAGGACCGGTGATCCTGCAACGCTAGAATTTGCACTGGATCGCGGATGGGACATCAATCAAAGCTTTCGCTCTCGTCGAGAGCCAATACTAGGGTAAATACGAGGGCCCTGGCTTGACATAAGAAGAAAATGTAGAGGCTAATATGTGTTAGCTCCGTCATCACAAATGAAGCGCTGGTTGAATGGTGTCTGTCACACGGTGCCGACCCAAATGGCACTTGCTTTGGAGGCTACACAGTCATGCAACATGCGGCTGTATATGCTTCCCTTGACACTATCAAGCGGCTTCTACAGGCTGGAGGCAATATTTCACCTGGTTCAAAGGCAGCCGGTGTCGCTGCCCACGCTGCCATGAGGGAAACCGATAGGATACCGATCATCGAGTATTTACTCAGTGTTGGTGCAGACATCAACGCCCAGTACCTAATACAAGACGAAAACGAAGAGGAAGAGAAGGGGCATTGCTGCGACCATTTCGGAAAGAATAAGACAGCATTACATGTTGCCATCCGGAAGGGAGATCGAGAATTGGTAGAGTTCCTGCTTGAGCGTGGAGCTGATCCAACAATAAAAACAAAGAATATGTCCACTCGGTTCCGGTGGATGGATGTTGTAGAGTTCGCAGAGCATGAAGGCCATCTTCATCTTGTAGGACTATTGCAAGAGGCTATAAACAGTGTGGGCGAGTGAGGTTTAGTGTTGGGTAAAGGTTCTCATTCTACATTTCCTTGCCAAAGCTGCAGGAATGTATATAATATTTATTTGCGCCAATACTCTCTTCCAATGAACTGTTGTCAAATCTTTCCGAGTTATCAAGCCGATAGTCTTACTCTAAGATGTGGTAGTCCGTAGAATGAAAATGTTTTTTTATCTATTTCTATGTCTATGTCTGTGTCTATGTCTATGTCTATTCTATGTCTATCTCTGTTCTCCATACCATTCCCAAAACGCCAAAGAGAAGATTATTTTTGTAGAAGTAGCAATGCGTATGCTGGATCTTTAGCTGCGCGGCGGTTGAGCACCTCGTTCGAAAGTGACCGTAACGCGCGTAGAAGTTTTGGTGACAACCAAGTTACGCGCCGTTGCTGCGGTGCTTTCCCTGTACGTCGTCACGGTTACGGTAATACCTAACTCCCTCCGAATTCTGCTCACAATCTTTCTGGCCTTACTTGCAGACATATTGACATGGACGAACAGATGACCTTTTGCAGACGCTCCCACAATTCCGATGTCCCTAGCCTGGGACACGATCTCGTCAATGACTGCATCTATGTCATCTTCATCATCGGGATCGATATGAGCCATAAGAATAGAAGCATGATTGTACAGAACGAGGCCAGTACATCCCGCGAAACTAGTTGAATATGCAGTGTCTCCTGCACTCCAATCCCAAGAATCGGTCTCGCCCATGTAGATTGGAGTGTCTGTTCGTTCGTCAAGCTCGGCGCGCTTGTTCTTCTTCTTGGTTATCTTTCTGGACTTCTTGGGCTTAACATCTTTTCCCTTTCGTTTCAACTTGAATGAAGAACAGGCGTCGAGTTTCTTGTTCGCACGAGCGAGAACGGGCTCGATTTTATTAATAGCGGCATTACCGTCGAATTCAGGTGTTATAGAACTGAAGCAGAATTAGAAAACTGGTATAGAATAGATAGGAGGCTTCATACTTAGTTTCGGAATTTACGGCAAGACCTTGCGCTAGGCTGAGGCCATATGCAACAAGAGCGATGAGAGATAAACGCATATTGCCGTGTTGCTCGTGATTTAGAACCGGTAGTGATGGACTAGACGAGGAGACAAAATTGAAAGTATATGGTGCCGTAGAAAGTGTGATTACAGAGTAGAGTGACTCAGTTCGGAACGGGCGATTGAAGTCGAGTAAGAAAAGGTAAACGTGAGAGTCAGAAGATCTTGGAAAAGGAAAAGCGACCAACGCTGATCAATCTGACTATGTGTGATGTTGGATATGAAGGCGAGGAATGTACAGATATATGAAGTATTTATATCACTTTTTGTTGTTGTTATACACATTTCTGGTTTCGTTGGCTTCAAGTTTGCGTTGTTGAAATGTAATCCTGTAGACCAAACACCTGAATGAATATGCTCTTCATTGACGAAGGATGCCGACTAAACACACCCACTGTAGCATCCTGAGTCAGAATCTCAGGTCAAATGCAAACTGTTAGCATCGTATTTGAGGCGCTGAAATCCTATCGCCGGATAACTTGCGCTTGCCAAGTCAAGTCCTTTCCCACCGGCGAAGTGATGTGGAAGATATGAAGCCCAATCAACTGCTTTACAAAATAAAATGTATTTCTTTCAGGAAGCAATGTGTCAACGTTTCAATGACTTGGGTAGCGTATGAATGCTTCGGTGCCATTATGCAGTGTTTCAATTTCTCTCTGCCATTCAGTAGCGTCTCAAGTGAACTGGCGAATCCAATAGGTACCAATCGTACCAGTCTCATTGCGAAACAGTCCAAATCATTATTATGACTCTCAAAAGGATACATTAATCTTGCGGACTACTGACTGAGGATTCGTTGTTTCCATTAACTACTTCCGTCCGCGTGCAGGGAATGGACATCTTTCCCCTTCAATTCTAGTGTAATGCCCAATTAACAAATCAAGCGAAAAACAAGTCCGGGATATCATGCATGGTTTCCATAACAAATCTCAACTCGAATTTAAAGCTGCTTTCTTCTCCATGATTCCAGATACGGCAGTGTATAGTTCGGACCGGACAGAATCGAAAACGGATTGGAGTTCCAACTGCAGCACTGTGACACACATTTACGCTCGGTTTGGAGGGCTTTGGGTGACGAAGCAAACGTACAAGGAGCAGATCACAACAGACGTACGTTGTCATAGACAGAAAGAATTATTACTGTTGTTAACCTTGCTGGCGGCAATGACAATCTGTAGATAAATCGTGTTCGGAGTCTGCGACTACGTCGTGATTGGGATGTCAGGCGGGGTTGGCGACTCTACCAAAGCATGAGCGGCGTAGCTATATTGGTGGCGTAGTTGCACCAATACCTGATACAAATTATCCACGATGTGCGGTCCACCTTGCCTTTCGGGTCTCTATTTTCTAGTGTATGAGGCGAAGGAAAGCCATGTTGTCGGATTTATCATATGCCATATTCGTTACAGTGAGTGCTGTTGAGATTGCTGATGACCTCTTCACCTCAACAACTACTCAGCAAAAGTTCGTAAAGATGCAATATGTTCTGCGCTAATCAGTGGCACCTAAATGAAACTAAGTAGTATGATAGGATTGCGGTTACGCACATCGTCAATGCTCTGGCGATAGATCAAGCCATGTTCTATCATAAGTTTATGTTGGAAGCCAGCCCCACGACAGCCTAAAGGAAAAGTCCATATTAAAACGCAAAAAGAAGAACTTTCCAAAGCATCGTGAATCAAGTCTAAAGCCTACAGTCTACAGTCTACACAGTCTTCTTCTAGGGTCCTAGCCTAGGATTTGTCTACGCTAGTGCTCTTGCAGACTTCTACATACAACACTAGCTAGGCAACGGCCTTAACTATTCAGGGAGCTGGTGACATACAACTACATTAGCAGCAAACTGCAGGCTTTTAGGTGAGTAAGAGATAGGCTGTTGCTACAAGTAGCAACAGAGATGCTACAGCGGAAGTAGTTAACACAACTTTATCATGCCATGTCATATTATAGCACCTATTACTTGAATCACATACATATATGCAAGGCAACAAAAGGCATAAAGAGGAAGACATCACAAGCATGAAGTGCAATAAGATAGTAGAGAAGGCATGAGTATATTGAGGTGATTGATTCTATCTAAGTAGGTTTGATGTTTGGTATTGGTGTGTTGTGTGTGGTAGTGGTTTTGTTTTTGGTTTTGGTTTTGGTTTTTGGTTTTGGTTTTTGGTTTTGGTTTTTTGGTTGTGTGTGGTATGTGTGGTATGTGTGGTATGTGTGGTATGTGTTAGAACAAGGGGCAATTCCTGCCACCTATACTGGCTAGAGGCCTGAGTGGCCCAGATTAGCTTAGTATGATTACATAATGCTCCCTATAACACTGGCTGAGAAACAATAAGTTTCCTCAGCGATTCGTCTCTATCATTTGGGGATAATAGAATTGACTCGATCTCACTATTGCTAATTGCCAACTTCTAAGTGCCCTGCAAACCAATCCTAACAGTATGTGTGGTATGTGTGGTATGAGTGGTATGTGTGTGGTATGAGTGGTATGTGGTATGAGTGGTATGTGTGTGGTGTGTGTGTGTTTTGGTTGTGTGTTTTGGTTGTGGTGTTGTAATGATGTGATGTTGTGATGTTGTGATGTTGTGATGTTATGTTGTTATATTGATGTGTTGATGTTATGATGTTGTGATGTTGTGATGTTGTGTTGATGTGTTGATGTGTTGATGTGATGATGTGATGTTATGATGTTGTGATGTTGTGTTGATGTGTTGATGTGATGATGTGATGTTATGATGTTGTGATGTTGTGTTGATGTGATGTTGTGTTGATGTGTTGATGTGATGTCGATGTCGCGATGTTTTGTCGTAGGCTAAGCAGCCAAAACCATGAAAGATACCGGGCATATAGGTAATCGAAACCCAGTCACCGCCTTATGACCAAACAGGATGAACAAGTACCGTTGACCTGAGTCTGTGAAGACCGCCGGGTACATGAACATCCACTACACAACAAGAACACTCAAGACAAAACCCAGCATGTGAGAGGCTCAATTGAATGAGCAGCCAAGGCGAGTGTACGTACCAACCGCTAAAACTGGAAGGCAGAGCGCCTGCTTGGGCACTTGACCTTTCGCTCACTGCGTCTGGAAGATGCTTGGAAGTGGTGTTGGTAGAACCCATATATCCTGAACAATCGACAAGATCGATTGTTCCACTGGTCCGTGTTATTCGCATCGATGATGGTATCGGCGGCGCATCGGAGGAGGATCGAGAGCATTCGAGCGAGCGCGATGGTATATGTGACATGACAGTGATGTTGTGTGAGGTGGATGTCGACATGACTGAAGTGAGTCTATGATGGAAGACAAGATATGTTGTTGAAGGTTGAAGTGGATGGATGTTGTCATGGTGGATGATGTTGGTGGTGGATGTTGAGTGTCATGTGATGTGACTTGAAGTGAATGATGTTGTCATGTGACCAAAGGATGGAAGTGGTATTGAAGATGGAAAGACATAACATGATTGATGAGATGATGTCATGATGTCTGAAGGTTGTTGGAATGATGCTCAAGCTCGAATACTCATCGAAAACGAATGTGAGTTGCGAGTTGTGTGTTGTGTGGAGGAAAAAGTTGATGGATTTCGAAGGCGGAGGGCCTTTATATACCCCCCTCGCTTAAGGTATGACTCATAACGGCTGCCGAAGATCACCCAGCGTCGACGACGCGACGACGACGCTGGGTGATCTTCGGTTCGAGCAGAGTGGCTGGTGGTTGGACGGAGCTAGAAGGTTCGTTGCCAGATCGAGGTGGCTGGAAGTGGCTCGGAGGGCAAGGTGAAGGTGGAAAATGCGGATCTGGGAGAGAGAGGCTGTCTGTGTGTACTGTGCTCTGGGTATGTAAGGTGTTCTTGTTATGATATCGTGAGGGGATGTGGGATGATCGCAGGTAGGTTTCTGGCCGGGCTTCAGGTAGCATGTTATATCAATGTATATGTAGTATCTTGTGAGTTGATTTAGAGATGCCACTCCGCTATCTGCGTGATTTTGATGCCGTGACGAGAAGTTTAGGTGGATTGATCATCATGAACATCGAGAGGGAGCCACCGTCTCGATGAGATTTGTTGGAAGAGGAGGCTCCTCATAGAATCACGTAGTTGAAGATCACCAGCATGATACATTTGGATTCAGATGAGGGTAGATTGCTTGAGGATCTGTAGATACACCCAGACGAGCTGCCACATCGTGACCCGTCAGTGAAGCCCCTCGAATCCGTATTCTGATCCTGGGAGCCTTGCCTCTGTCTATGATCCACAGTGAAATTCGTCATCAGATTGTTGCTAAGTGGAACTCTGAAGATCAAGCGTGGTTTGGTTGTAATATGGTAATTTGATGGGTTGCCTCTAGAGGCGGCATGGCAAGAGTCTCGCAGCGTCAACACTGAGAATTCATGGTATGACCAGCTTTGCCATCGTCAGCGTACTTCAAGAGAAAATGCTGGGAACAGCTATCAGTGGCACGCCAACCATTCTACAGGATCAAGATGCACATCGTCTCATTCGGTCTGCTCCTAGTTTTGAAAGCGTATGCACTTGTAGACGTGATTCACATGCAAATTCAGCTGCAGCCACCTTGCATGGCTGGTGAGCAACGAAACGATGCCTCTTGAGACAGGTGTAATTATCATTCAACCTTTGCCTACCTATTTAATTTTGACTTCGATACCCACAGCCCAGAGACGATACCTTTGGGGTTGGTCTCCGTGAAGTTCTATCAAGCTGTCGCCAGTCCACGGCGAGAGACTAACAGGTTAGCAACATACAGTTATTTGTCACGCAGGAACCCGAGAAATCCTAGGCATAGTTGAGTGCGAATCTATTTGTGTTTGCTGACATGACATATTGCAATGAGAATCTGGGCATATGCCTGGACGTGTCGTGAGGATATTACTGACGATGACCGGCCATTCGGGTTGAGTATCTGTAAATCGCTCCGGTTGAGCACGAGGTGACCAGAACCGTCATTGACAACCACATAGTAAAGTTATCATTCGATACGCTCCCATTATCACTTCCCGGCCGTATCCTACCGCGGATAATCGTACATATGGCCGGGCAACTGATCATAAATCATGTGATCATGCAAAGCACATTTTGGGAGTGACACGGCGCCAACATAAGTATGCGGATCAAAGAGTCTCTTCTTACTGTATCTAATACTCCAGGTATAGGCGCAAGACCTTCTATTTACCAAATTTGTACCCAACTCATGCACAAACAGTTCAAACAATACTCGACACTGCACTATACGCCGACTTTGTTTCCATTTCGACGAGGCCAACTTCATCTATGCTGCCAAGCTCGTCATACTTTTTCCTCATCGGAGGGGACGATCCGATTGTGCCGTCCGACATCTTCGCATGCTTTTGCGTCGCGCTGCTGTCCGATGGTTTGGAACTGGCATCCGTCGACTGATCCTTGGAGCTGAAGATCTTGCTTACGCTACCAGATACGACCGACGAGGCCTTGACGATGAGGGGTCGATATGTGGGGAGGCATGCACACACGAGTGCGATGCCGGCGTGGATATCGAGCCAAAGGATGTCGTGCATGAAGTCGATCGCGGTGGATCCGGGCTCTATGCTGAGTCTGATTCGTAGTACACCTGTGACGATGACGCTGAAAATACATTATCAGTCTTACAGCCCATTGTATGACGGGGGATCACTTACAGCCCACCCAAGAGGAAAATTACAAGCAGCTCCATTCGTCGTTGCCACGGAAGATGTAAATTCACAATGTAAAAGCAGGGCATCGCTAAGATGGCAGCATCGAGTACCAACTCGAACGAACATACAACGATGAAGAATGTGGCGTATGGTATGCATTTATCCTTGATGAGGTCGGGTCGCTGCCACATTACACTCGGTGGAGTGCACATGGCTGTTTGGACGACGAAAGATGGAATGAACCACACAATGTGGCATACCATGAGAATAGCCGACCATCGCTTGAATGATTCGACTGGGAAGAGCCTTCTGTAAAGGAAAAGGATTGATAAGTTGGTCAACAAGATCACGGGAAAGTAGAAGAGTGCGCCAATGTATATTGACTGGACACGTTAGATTGCTGCTCTGTGAAGCACTTTGATATAGCGTTGTTACCTGCAAGTAAATGGCAAGTCTGCCATCCGTAGCACTCCTGATCTTGGTCCCGTGGTCCAGTCCTACTAGTCGTTAGACATACGATGAATTCTTCCATTCGCGCGGTTACTTACCCCACGCCTGCACTGCATACTCCGCAATGTAAAGAATTTGTGCAAGCAGTAATGTACCTTCGCTCCAACTGAATTTTGACCGTGTTTGTATGTTGGTCAGAAATCGAAGGAAAACCGTGAAGGTTGTAAGGGCTGCGAAAACTGCGCCGACAACGATGGCTTCATGACCCTGTTCCAAGACCGCGGGCACGACGCCTCTCATCTTTCATTCAATGAAGGGCTTTTCAATATGAACGAAAAGAAGATGGAAGCCACTGAGGTATCAACTTAGGGTCCGCGTCAGACTCATAAAGGAATGGCAGGAAAGAGTTCGTCTGAAGTCAGTCAACCACTTGTAACCTCCTAGTTCCATATATAATATGGCCCTGTAAGGGTGTACTCAAATCATTCCAAGGGCCTACAATAAGATCAGGAGCTGGTTGCATTCTAACTTTCGTTTCCTACATTGGCTCTTCAGTGGACATCGATAGCTTCGGTAATCAAGAATCTGAAGCCACTACTCCGAACGAATGCCACATCTTGTAAGTTCCCATCTGTTCTAGCGTATCTTCTAGGGTATATTTCAATTGGTCACAAGCCTCACATGCTGCGGACTCCGCTTTCTAGCCGTTAGAGAAATCCTGAAGTCCCCGATGCTCTGGTCCAACAGTCCGCCAGCCACATTGGCTGGTATTCTGGATCTCCAAGAAACAACAGCTGAAACCCGCATACAACGGCGTCAACTAATGAACGGTCGCGATAATGTCGCGTCGTGTTTACTGCGACTCCAATTTCCGCTTTCTGAACTTGCTTTTGTTAGATTGTACCCCGACCTTCTGGATTCGTCTCATGCAAGAGACGGCACAGGAGGGGGACGCCACCCGCTATCCATCTAGCCAACAGTTCAGCCGTTGAACCTCGTGGCAATCGATCCATGAGCCAACTAGTGAGGATTCAAAGTTGAGCTATTCATTGAAACAATCAAACAGGGATGTTGCAACTAATCTTGCTACTACGGGACGCCTTTTCCATTGTTGCACAGAAGTAAATCTCAGTGAAGTCGCTTACCCCGGGGACAAAACTCCTGAATTTCTGCCTTGAACGACTGTAAGCGACACATGTTCTCCGACATGCGGACGCTTTTATGATAGGGCCAATGGCCATACAATTTACAATCTGTCTCCGAATTCTTGTTGTCTGCCAACAATTGAAATCTACACCCGCTCAACCGGGCCTTTCAGGCGATCATACCTCAAGATGGAAGCTGGAGAAAAGAGTGCGTAGCTTGATACTAGGTATGCCCTACACTAGTAGGGTACTCGGGGTTAGTTGCCATTGTCGCAATGGTTTCGAGTAAATAGATGTGGCCATAGGTCAAAGGGGGGCATGCCTATGAATATCGCGATATTCAATTCCGCGATATTCATCCAAAAAAGCAACCCTCTCGTTGAAGTGATCCATCCTCCATTGTCATGTCCAACATTGAAAGTCCGTACTCTCTGTCAAACAAAACGCAAGACGCGGTAGGTGATCAACGACAATACAAGGCCTATGCAATCGCAAGGCGGATTAGGTGGCGGGTTGTCATTTTCCAATGACTGGCCGCACTGCACATGCTTGTTCGACAAATCACGGGTTGTTCTGAAATGAATATTGTTCGTATCATCAATGATTGTTGGGAGGTCAAGAAATCTTCACAAAGTCAATGAGCCAATATATTCCATACTCCACTACATTAGTTCGGCCAAAGATATGTACCTGAGGGACCACGCGGTTGGTTTTCATGGCACGTTTTCCAACCCAGGTGGGCTGTGGAGACATTATGGGAGCGGGACGCGGCCGCGACCCAGAAGCCATTGTTCCGTATCGCTTCCAAAGATTGGTAATTATGGTGGGACTCCCACGCGTTTAGCGCAGATCGTTGCCCTGTGCAAATACGATGTAAATCGCATGGGGTAAATCAGATCATCTACTCACAGACGATTCCCTATTCACTGCAGGGACAGCAACTTAAACATATTTGCAATCAAACAAATTTCTGGACAAGCATCGAAATAACATTCGGACAAAACAAGCCAATTGCCCACTTATCTATGCCAATTGTCTATACACAAGTACAATAGTTATCTCAGCTGAACGATGGATTATCGTTATACTGATCAAGCCTAGCGTTGGACAATGAATACGAGATCTCCCAAGCGATTAGCGCTTGACTGGCGACACGGCTGGAGGAAACATCCCCAGCCAGGAGGCAGAACAATTCGTCAATGAGCAATCAACTTTCACTAACCTTGACAATTAACTTAAGCTTTCGGGAAACGAAAAATAGCACCGCTGTCCGCGTTGACGCCATTCGAGGAAGTGTTCAACCCGTTCCTTGGGCTGCCGCACCGTCCCATCTACACTCCCCGAGCCGCGGTCAGCCTATCTACGAGTGCATTATTGTTTACAATACTTCTGATTTCGTATAGATATCAGTCTACTCTTAAGGCGACCCGCTTACAAAATTTCTCTTAACGCAGATTAATGCTTGCATTGCAGCGACCAGATAACATTGGTACTGGGAAGAAGCGAAGGATTGTGTAGAGGATGAAGAGTTTTTCTTTTGGTGTAGCTGTAATCATTATGAATATTGTGGCACAATACTATCTCAAGCCATGAATGTATTACATGCTGCTCGGTTATATGATTGACTTCAACTTTCATTGACTTGTCACTCACGAGTAGCATCGGTCACTCGCTCAATAAGAGTGACATACCCTTCAGCACCTGCTTGTCGATATCCAGCTTGGCTAAGTGCGATCGTCACGATCCAACTCCACTCGCTTGCATTAGCTGTCCATCCCAAGACCCTCCCCGCGTCTATCGAATAGGGTAATACGATGTAGTAGGGCAGAGCCATGAAACAAGTTTCATTCGGTCCCCGACAACAGGAAGACGCCTTCATCTCTTTGCCATTTGCTTCAGAGAAATTATGAATGTCACATTGAAAGCGCGTTCATTTAACATCCCCATGAGCGATCATAGTGAAAAAACAATGCTATGCAGGCCTGTCTTCATCAGTGTAGGGATTCGATGCTTGAGTTGGTCCATGCTTCCCGTATCCTGGACCTCGTTGCGGACTCAAATACGACGAAGCTCCCAAAAGGGCGAAGTTGCCGCAACGTCTGTTGGCGTCAGGTACATAGACGGGTCCATTGGAAAACTACAGACAAAAGGCCTTACAATGTATGGTGGAGTTATGTCCGCTTGTCCGTCTTTGGGACCTACTTCTATCCTTGGATAGCCAAGAGACCAATGAAGGAGTTCCATTAGCCAGGACAATATGGCAGAGCCGCTAGAGAGATCAGACAATAAGTGAGGATAAGTTAATTCCAAACAAAGAAGGTGGGTCGGTCATTATGAATGCCAATGTGTATCTTGGAAATCTCATCGCTTGCAGTTCCATTACATTGGCATTCGAACACCTTTCACTCGCCTATTATACGATGGAATCCTTGGGAATCTGAGGATAGTCGGGAGCTTTGTCTTTTAGAGCTTAGCTTAGATGCTGCGTTGCTGAGAGACGTCCAGTCATCTGTCAATGTAGAGCAAAATGATACACAGCAAAAGTTGAAGTATTTTCAGTGCCTAAATATGAACATTCCGAAAGAAATTGATGTCTTGACCTAAATTCTTCACCATAGTGATTTACAAATTTCCCCAAGCAAATAACAATGAAGTCCAAATGTAGAAGGAGATATTGGATACATTGTTCTATGTTCGTGGTGTGTATGTAGCCACCAATCTGGCGAACTTTAGATTGACACTTGAGGCGCCACGCCACCCGGCTATCAATGCCTAGTGGAAGACGATATGGGTGCATACTTCCAAAAGAATCGACCATGTGCCTCAACGGTCACTATCAAATCCAACAACATTCCTAGCCACACAGCCTTCGAATTTGATGAGCAATTTCAACAACCGATGAGTTCATCCCGGCGCTAGGCAGCTCATGTCCACCCTCGTGCACCAATAGGGTAGCATTGGCTTCGTCCCATTGTGAGAACAGGATCTTGTTCCTGTCTGGATTCATTGTATCGTTTGCACCCCATACGTGCAGAGACGGCATAGAGCCCTTGCCCTCAACCGCCACATCCGGATATTCGAGACGGCCCTCTCTCAGCCCCTGTACGCTTATTGCAGCATCCCCCGAGAAGAATACAATCCCTCTCACAGCATCTTGTGCTACCTGTGGATTCCAAAAGGACCAAGTTGAAGCCAGTCCGCATGCTTGTGAGAAAGCCAGTATCCCATCGAAAGGTCCCTCCTCTTCAATGTATGTCTGTAGATTCTCTACTGCTTCCACAACGCCCGATACCGACGGATCGTACGGATAGTACATGAAGAACTCTTCGTCCGTAGTGACTAGGGACTCAATCCCAGCAGCATGCGTGGACGGAATCGTTCCTTCAACATACTCGAAGGAATGTTCCGTGCCTAGCTCATGGCGGATGGCAGCTGCATGTGGCTTTAGTCAAAGCTTCTCTTAGTGTATCATGTATAGGAGCTGCTCAGGACGCAGACACGTGGAGTTCTAAACCACTTACCCAATTGTAACTCGTATACCTAGCCGATCATTGTCAGTTCAATCACTATCGATACAGAATGCACGAGGTAACAGACCCTGTTATTGGTGCCCCCACCATGCAGGCAAAGAAATCGCATGATTGCACGCGGTCGGGTAAGGCAAGGGAGATAGAGGACGTTGGTCGTGCTACTACTCGACTAGCAGTGGCATGTTTTCAACATCCATAGCTGTACATTTCGGGGGCTTTTATCATTTCACTGCTGGCTTCCTAGCCATCCTTCGGGTCCCGACTGATGCTTGTAGATCCACTTCTGAGGCTTTTGACAGAACCTGATTGAAGATTACGAGCGATTAACTTGCATGTTCAAAGCAAGGTATGGACCTATCTGCCAACTTGGCGAACGGCACGTGGCGGAGGTAGTCATGGTATCATACGAGTATCAGACCTTGTTAGATTGGCATCAAGGCGTAATTATAGAGGCCTTTGCCGATTCTTCAAAGGGTCTCCTATCATTCCTTTCGTAGGAGACATATCACTTCCATTCCTTGTGAGGCACTTCCATTCCTTTTGAGGCCGCTCGGACAATGCGCAGTCAAAATGCCTCTCATAGCAGATGATCTCAGTCCCATTAGTGAAGACTTCTCTGTGTTCTCCGAGTCCGCTTCCTTTGATGACGAAGAATTTTCGCAGGAGAATGAAACCATAACGCCAATTGCCATAATTGGCTTTGCCTTCCGAGGTCCTGGGGACGCAACGTCGTCAGAGGCGTTTTGGGATCTTCTCAACGAGAAGCGCACTGCAGCTTCCGACTATCCATCTGAGAGACTCAATCTAGATGCGTTCTATAGGGATGGAGAGAGGAGGGTGGGAGAGGTATACCAATGTGTCATGGTATTTTGGTTTCGTCACTGACATTATACCCAGCTTCCTCTAAAACAGTCACACTTCGTCAAAGATGATATCCGTGCATTCGATGCAGGCTTCTTTAGCATATCTCCCGCAGAAGCGTCCGCAATGGACCCAATGCAACGCATTTTACTGGAGACAGCATATCAAGGGTTTGAAAATGGTAAGCTTCACCAACCCTTCCAATCATCATGATCGAATACTGATAGCATCAGCTGGAATACCTCTCAGTGCGCTCCTTGGATCAAACACCTCAGTATACACGGGAAGTTTTACGACAGACTACCAAGCCCAATTGACGAAAGATCCTGCAACTATTCCAACATACGGAGCCACAGGCGGAAGTGCATCTATCCTCGCCAACCGAATCAGCTGGTTCTTTGACCTCAAGGGACCCAGTGTAAATCTTGACTCAGCATGCTCGAGCTCAGGGATGGCTTTAGATCTTGCGTGCGAGAATCTACGAAACGGGAATACTAACATGGTATCTACATCTTGACCTCTGGTTACATTTCAAAGTTCACTAACGTGCCGACAGAGTCTCGTCGGAGGCTGCAATCTCTGCTTCTCCCCAGAATACTTCACCATGCTCACAAACCTAAAAATGCTTTCTGACGATGGACGCTGCTTCAGCTTTGATTCCCGGGCAAACGGTTACGCGAGAGGCGAAGGCTTCGGCACCGTAGTCCTCAAGCGACTTGACGACGCAATCGCTAACGGGGATACCATTCGAGCGGTGATTCGCTCGACTGGATGCAATCATGGTGGTCGAATGCCTGGAATCACGCAGCCGAGCAAGTTCGCACAAGAGGCTTTGGTTCGCGAAACGTATAGGAAGGCCGCTCTTTCGATGAAGCCTACAAGATTTTGTGAAACGCATGGGACTGGCACTGCGTTGGGGGACCCGATCGAATCTATGGCTCTGGGAAGGGCTTTCAAGGAGTCGAGGACTAATTCTGATCCCTTGATACTGTGAGTTTACAATGGCCGATCGCGTATAAAGTGTAGACACTGATCTCTGCAGGGGTGCGGTGAAAAGTAATATCGGCCATCTTGAAGGAGCCAGCGGAATCGCAGGCCTCATCAAGACTGTGCTAGTTCTCGAAAGCGGGTACATTCCACCAAACGCCAATTTCGAGAAATTGAACCCCAAGATCGATCCCGAATATCTCAGCATAAAGGTAAGCATTTATTCTCACGGAGGAGCCGTATATTTAACACGTTGTAGATCCCTCAGGAGATAATGAGATGGCCCAGCAACGGACTGCGAAGAGCATCTGTCAACTCCTTCGGATTTGGCGGTGCAAACAGCCATGTCATTCTGGATGATGCCTATAATTTCCTCCGACTGAGAAATCTGCACGGAAAACATCAAACACGTTCTTTCCAGAGTGCAGAGAATGATCGCCCTGAGCCTCTATCTCGCGCCGATTCGTTCATGTCCGGTGGCAGCGATCGCACAGATTTCTATGATGGGCTCACTAGAAAGGTGATTACACCGAAGATCCTCTTCTTCTCAGCAAACACCAAGGATGGGCTTAAGCGTGTGCTTGATACTTACAGCGACCATTTAAACCGCGATCGCAAAGACAAAGACTCTATTTCCGTCGAGGATCTAGCATATACACTGGACAGTCGACGGTCACATCTCCGATGGAGATCATATGTATCCGTTGCTTCGGATGATGATCTGAAGCGTATTTCCTCATTAGCTTCAATGCCAGCGGAGAGCAAGGCGAAGCCACCCCGAATAGGTTTTGTTTTCACAGGGCAAGGGGCACAGTGGTTTGGCATGGGTCGAGAACTGATGGTGTACCCAGCATTTAGAGCCAGTGTTAAGAAGTCAGATATGCACCTTTTCAAGACAGGTTGCCCTTGGCTGGCTACTAGTAAGTTAATCCAATCTATCAGAGTTTAAACTTCGCTAATGTAAAAAGGCCTAATCGATGGTAATGTCATCAAAATGGTGGATATTAATGATACTGTCATCAGTCAAACACTGTGCACCATCGTTCAGATAGGAATTGTCGATCTTCTTGCTCATTTCAGAGTAACAGCATCCGCGGTTGCGGGGCATTCTTCCGGAGAGATTGCTGCTGCGTAAGTCTATCTTGACGCGTTTCAAAATTCCCATCTAATGAATCAATCTCAGATACTGTTCTGGAGCCATTACTCGAAAGACAGCGATCGAGCTGGCTTACCATCGCGGGTACTATGCTAGTACGTTGTCGGCGCGTAGTCCTGAGCGAGGCGGCATGATTGCCCTTGGAATATCAGGTTCAGAAGCGCAGCCTTTCATCGATCAAGTGAAAGCCAAATTCAGTGGTCCTTGGTTTCTGCACGTCGCGTGCTACAATAGTCCCAAGAGTATCACAGTATCAGGTCCGCAGGATCAAATCCACGAGTTGAAAGTATTTCTGGATGCCGCCAGTGTCTTCAACCGTGTGCTGAGTGTTCCGGTCGCGTATCACTCGCCTCAGATGGAGATCATCGCCGCCGATTACCGCGATGCCATCGGCGCCATACCAGAGGCGAAAATGTCGATTCCTATGATATCCTCAGTCAGTGGCACGCGAGCAGACGCAAAATCTCTCCAAACCGCCGAATACTGGGTCAAAAACATGGTGTCGCCCGTTCGATTCTCCGAAGCTCTACAATACCTGACGAAGACATCGCCAAAGTCCGTCACAAAGAAGCTTGACAGAAGCCACCTGCTCACGGCGGCGGTAGACATGCTCATCGAGATTGGACCACATTCAGCACTCAAAGGCTCCATCAAGGATTCCTTGAAGGAAAGCTCTCGCGGGTCCGAAATTGAATACTGCCATTCGCTCCTACGAAACAAGTCGGGCGTTGAGACTATACAGCATCTCGTCTCATTTCTGCACTGTCGGGGCTCTGATGTTGACTTGAGGCGGTTGAACGATCCCATGGATGTGCCACGGTCGTTACTCATCAATCTTCCCGCATATCCATTTGATAGATCACAGCACTATTGGTACGAAAGTCGGATAGGCAAGGATTTCAAGTTCCGCTCGCATGGATACCAAGAGTTCTTGGGAACGCAGGCTTTGGGCTGGTCACCGCTGGCACCGCAGTGGAGACTTTTCATTCGAACCAAGGAGCTTCCATGGGTAGAGGACCATAAGGTAAGACCATAGACTAGATCATTTTGTCTAGATACGACAACTAAACCTCAACATAGATCAATGGCGCTACACCATATCCCGCCTCGGGAATGCTAGTGATGGCTGCAGAAGCTGCCACCCAACTCACAGAGTCTCTAGGTGAGATCGAAGGCTACGAATACGGCGACACTCGATTCTCCGCCGCGATCAACATCCCCGCGAGTGGTAACATCGAAGTACGAATCGCCCTCCACCCATCGGAAGCTCACAAGAACTCCTTCGCATTCACCATAAGCAGCGTTACGGACGAAACCAACTGGGTCGAAAACTGCACGGGCGACATCACCGTATACCTCAAAGCCGACCACTCCCAGACCCTAGATTTCGCCAACGACACAGCTATCAACTACGACACCCTCGTGCGCGAGCTCGACCATGAGCTTTCTGGCAACGAATTCTACAACTTCCTGTGGCAGATGGGCTACGGCTACGGCCCTGCATTCCAAAAGCTCGAGAAGATCCAATACGACTCGAGCCACCACCGCGCACTGGCGCAAATGCATCCGTACCGCTCATCCATAAGCAAGAACTCGATCGTGCACCCCGCAACGCTGGACGCGATCCTGCATCTGCGGTTCGCGAACCTATTCGACGCGGGGACGAATCCGGTGGGCACGTTCGTGCCGACGAAGTTCGACTCGCTTTGGATTGACAGGCATGGCTTGAACCACCCAGATGAGTACTTGAATGTCGCCACGGTGAGTCATGAGAGCTCATTCAGACATGCGAGGAGCTCCGCGAAGGTATTCAACCAGGCGGGCGATAGGACGCTGCTTCGAGCTGAGGGCATCGAGTTGACGCTCGTGGCTGGGGCTGCGAAGAAAGCGGAGCCGGCTGCTGGGAGCGAACACTCGTTGAAGTGTATACACATGGAAGTTGATCCGGACTTGCATGACGCGGAGCAAATGCGAGCGTATCTAGAGGAGATGCATCCCAAAGAGGATACATCCGCAGAGACGCATGACCTGTTCCGCAGATACATACAGCATTGCTTGAAGCACACTCAACAGCATTTCTCCAGCACGGGACTCTGGCCAACATCTCCACGCACACAAGCTTACATGAAGTGGGCACAAAGCCAAATCGACTCTACGGGCATCCTATCAGACACAGACCTTGAAACCATACGCGTCCAAGTCTCGCAACTAGGCGCTAAAGGACAGCTAATCGCACACATTGGCCAGAACCTCACTGAAGCCCTTCTCAATCAATCATCACCCCGACAAACACTGAACGGCAATGACAACCTCGTAGACGCGTACTATCACGGACAAGCCTCGACAAAATCCTACTACAAGCAACTTTTCAAATACATCGAGCTTCTCGCACACAAGACGCCCGATATGAAGATCCTCGAAATCAGAGGCGGCAACGTGTCTCTCACGCCGTTCATTCTCAAAGCTCTGAGTAGCAGCGAAACAGAGCCCATGACACAGCTTCGCTGTTCGGAGTATCACTTCACTGATGTCGATGGCGCGTCCGTTGATATCGCTCGGGGGGCCCTCAAGGCACTGAACAGTAAGCTTAAGTTCCAAGTTCTAGATCCCGAGATGGATGTAGCGACGCAAGGGTTTGAAGGCGAGTCTTTCGATCTCGTGATTGATGTTTCGCCGTCGAGCGTCACTAGAAGACATGGCGGCATGCTGTCGAATGTTCGGAAGCTACTCAAGCCTGGGGGTAGACTACTTCTACGAGGTGCATCTACACACGATCTCGTGGATAACTTCACTTGGGGTGTACTACCGCAGTGGTGGTCTGGCGACTCGGATGACTGCTCCAACGATCCAGAGCGATCGAATCATACCCTCACCTCCAGCGGCTTCAGCGACACCAACCTCATCCTCCACGATCATACCTCCCATCAAGCCACCATAGCCATCACCCGCGCAATCTCCCCCAACAACCCCATCCCCATCACCTCCCAGCCTCCCATAACCATCCTCATCAGCGCCACCAGCACCGCCCAACACGCCCTCGCCACCACCCTACAATCGCACCTCGCCCTCCAAACCCGGTCTCCATGCACCGTCACCACTCTCTCCTCCTCCCTCTCCGCCTCCACTCTCTCCACTCACCGCATAATCTCCCTCCTCGACACCGTCACCCCCTTCTTCCCCAATCTCAACGAACTCGACTACACCGCGCTCCAACGCCTCTTCAAACACGCCACCACCATCCTGTGGGTAACCCACGGCGGCGGCGAAGCGTCCAACACTCCCGGGTACAATATGGTGCAAGGGTTCGCGCGGCCGATTCGCGTGGAGCATGCGGGGATGAAGTTCACGACTCTTGCACTGGAGCCGAGCGGGGAGATGACGGGGGAGCAGGCGGGCATGATGGTGAGGGTGTTGGAGGCGGTGGAGAGGGCGGAGGCGTACGAGCATGATTATACCGTGAAGAAGGGGCGGGTTTATGTGGAGAGGATGGTTGAGACGGGGAGTTTGACGGGGGAGTTTTTGGCGCGCATGGCGAGAGATCGACCTGTGGAGCGGAGACTCGGAGAGCTGCCGCCAATGAAGCTGGGCATCGGGACCAGAAGCCAGTTGGATACGCTTGAGTTTGTAGTTGATGATGGGGGGAAGGAGGAGATTATGGGTGGTGAGGTTGAGGTCAAGGTGGCGGCTGTAGGGTTGGATGCTCTCGATCACTCTGTGGCGACAGGTCGCTCTGACGAGAGCAATTTTGGTCGAGTATGCGCTGGTGTCGTCACTTCAGTCCATCAAGAATGTGATTTCGAAGTCGGTCAGAGGGTGTTGATACACGGTCGAGGGCATTGCAGCACTCACGTCCGAGCATCGCATCAATTCGTCATCCCACTGCCTGACGACGTCTCCTTCGAGCAAGCATGCGCTATCCCACACAACCTCATAACAGCATCCTATGCCATACACGAGTTGGCAAAGCTGGTGCGTGGGGACATCATTGTTCTCGACTGCGCGGGCTCCCTCCTCCAGGCTTCATTATCCATCAGCCATGCCCTAGGCCTCAGTGTCTTCGTGCTCGCGAAAAACGACTCCGATAAACTCTCCATCGTCCAAGAGTACGACATCCCCGTCGAGAAAGTCCTTGTCGTGAATCCCACACTCAAGTACACATTCATGGCATCCACAGGCGGCAGAGGCGCAGACGCGGTTCTCAGTACTCGCGCTAATGCACCCATTCTTGACGTCCTGTCACCTCTCGGTACAGTCGTCAACATCGACGATCCAGCCCGTCAAACGGCGCAAATCAATCCGGGGATGACGGTCATCAACCTCGACATCGCGATGCTCGCACGCGTCCGGCCTCACCTACTACGACCGGCGTGGGCGCGCGCACTGGAATCCGCGGCGTCGTGGAATGCGGGTGAGATTACGACGTACACCGCATCAAACGTGAAGGCTGCGTTTGAATTCATTTCGACTGCGAAGTTGTCGCGTAATGTCGTTCTGCGATTCGATCCAGAAGACGTGATACAGGTCAGTCCAACGTGCAACCCCGAATCCGAAGTGAAGGCACACGAACTCACTAACACATCTGTGTACATCAGACAAAACTCCCACCAAAACACACGTACTCGCTCGTCCGTGATGCCACATACCTCGTCACAGGCGCCTTCGGAGGCCTAGGCCGCAGCGCAGTGCGCTGGCTCGCCATGAAGGGCGCGACGAACCTCCTCCTGCTCTCACGCTCCGGCGCTCGGAGCGACGAGGCGAAACAGCTTGTCGCTGAGCTGGAAGCGCAGGGCGTACGGGTAGCAGCACCGGCATGCGACGTTGCCAACGGGGACGACGTACGGCGCGTGATCGCTGCTGCTGGAGCCTCGATGCCCGCTGTGCGCGGGTGTCTGCATCTCGCGGTGTCAGGAAGGGTACGTCCATTCACTTCCCCCTTCCACCAATCCGTCAATTGAAGTACACTATTAACGCTCCCCCCAGGACCTCGTCTTCGAAACAATGCCCTACGCCTCATGGCAGACCCGCATGGCCGCCAAAGTCCATGGCACGCTCCACCTGCACACGCACCTCCCATCCTCCCTCGACTTCTTCGGCATGACGTCCTCCGTCGGCGCCATCACTGCCATGATCTCCATGTCCGCCTACGCGGCCGCGAACTCCTTTCTCGACGACTTCTCGCGACACATCAACCGCCGCAGCGGGGGCAAGACGAAGGCTTTTTCGATCAGCTACGGCCCTGCGGAGGACATCGGGATGTTGGAGGGTCAGGGGGAGATGTTTGAGAGGTTAATGAGGTTTGGGCAGTACGTTGCGGTGTCGGATAGGGAGTTGTTGGCGTTTTTGGAGTACTATTGCGATCCGGGGTTGAAGATGGGCGGCTTGGAGGAGGAGCATGCGAGGCCGGTCGTGGGGATTCAGACGCCGGGGCAGATGCTGGCGAGGGGGTTGGAGTTGCCGGTTGGGTTCAGGGCGCCGTTTTGGAATAATTTGCTGGAGGTTGGTGATGGGGATGAGGGTTCAGGGGCGGAGAAGAGTAATGGGGGAGTGGTGTCGTCTTCGGAGACGGTGAAGATGAGGCTGGGTAAGGCGGCGTCGGATGAAGAGGCTCATGGGATTGCGGCGGAGGCGTTGGTTAAGCGTGTTGCGAGGATCACGTCTATGGCGGAGGATAACATCGACGTCGCGCAGCCGATTCATACGTTTGGGATCGACTCTTTGACGGCGGTGGAGTTGAGGAATTGGATCGCGGGTGCTTTTGAGTATAACATTGCTGTTTTCGACATCTTGAGCTCGGCGACAGTGGATGGGGTCGTCAAGGCGATTGTGAGGGAGGTGCGGCAGTGATGTTTTTCGAATTCTTCACGAAGTCTTGTTTTACTATTTCTTTATATTATAATCTTAAAGACAGTGTTGTAGTTTATGAATTGGATGTCCGTGTCAGTATCATGATCAGACTGGTGTTAAGTGCGAATGAAAACATTCATCGTTATCACGTGACCGAAAACCAAACACACAATATCCCCCCCTATCACGTCACCCCTCCCTCTATAGAGTTCATTGCATGATGAACCTGAGGGTAAGACTATCGGCAGTCGATAGAGTGTATTGAAGCTTGGAAAATGTAGTGTAATGATTTTATTCTGATTTTCTTCTTGAATTGATGATGCAAGTTTAACTTAGTACAAACAATATACTTAGTGGAACACATCCATAACGTTAGTTATCAGCCTTTTCTGTCTAGTTCACATTGAGGCTATAGTATCAAATAGACTGCTAAGATAATCGGTACAATATGACTAGGGGCTGGAAGTTTCAACAACCATATGGAAACCCCAGCATTCGCCCTTTCGTGTCGCATGAAGGCTGCTTCCTCGGGAATGGTTGCACGTTGTGGCTCGAAGGATGCCCGTCAAGTTTAATTGAAGATCTGCCGGGAGAAGAGGTGGTAGAGTAATGATGATATGAAAAAATACATGCTGAGGTATATAACTATCCGTTGCGCCTGGACAACGGTCATATAATTGGAAATGCAAGATAGCCTCATGATTCTCACCCCAGAATCTTTGTCAAACCGCCTGCCCCAATACCAATACTCAAGCTCAAACTTAACTTCATGCCCTTCGCCTGCGTCTTGAAATACGTCTTCTGCCTCTCCCGTTCCCTCTCCCTCCCACCGTCATCTCCCCTATTCTCACTCCTCCCATCCGCCCACTCATCCACCGCCTTCCCCCACTGCCTCCTCAACGTAGCCTGCGGCCTCAACCTCTCATTCCCACTCCTCTCCCTATCTCCCAGCCCGGGCCTCGCCGCCAATACCCTCTGCCTCCTCCTAACCTCCTCCTCCCTGACATCCCTCCCAATCGGCGCCTTCAGCCCCTCCAACCCCTTCAAACTCCACTCGGGCAGATTCTCCCCCAGCACCGTGCCATTCCTACTCATCGCGACAAACCCCTGGTAGCGGTACGCATGCAGCACGACGCCCCACACCTCCTCGATCCCGCGCTCCTTGCCCTGCGAATACAGCATCATGTCGCCGAGCGTGCGGTACGCGGGGAGGTCCCACACCGCGGCGTTGTTCTGCGTTATTAGCAGGAAATTGGATGACGCGCCGAGGGCGACGAGGCGCGGTTTGTCGGTCCAGGAGCCGTTGGAGATGCGGGATTGGAGGGCGGAGAGGAGGGGGCCGGGGAGGTTCATCCAGAGGTAGGAGGTCCCGTCGCCGACGAAGAAGGATTCGTTTTCCGGTCCTAGGGTGAGGGTGATGGAGGGAAGACTCCGGAGGGGGAGGTGGGTTGTTGGGTGTGTGGCAGTTAGGAAGGTGGTGAGTTCTGAGGGGAGGCCTTGGAATTCTGGGGGGATGGCGTTAGAAGGGTGATGCTATCAGTGTGAGAGAGGTAATTGATTACCGATGTGGTCGTTTCCATTGCGGTCTCGGTATGTTATCATGAAACTGTTCTCGAATCCGAGTGTCACGTGATATACATGGGCAATATCTTTGGTGGCGAGGATGCGTTGCAGCTTCTTGGGGATGCGGGTACTGGGTGATGGGTTAATTTCATGATTATCTCAATAGAGAAATGAGACCACAGTGATCTGATGCGTGCTTACTAGTCTCTTCTCGACGGACACTGGAAGAAATGGCTGCCGCGTTGCCCGAAGGTGAATATGGCGTCACACATGTTGATGAGGTTGTATCAGGTATCACATGTATCGTAGAGGTCACAGGAGGATGATGGCATGGAGGGACGGATAGATACTCGACGCATATCAATCAGTCAAGTGAATAATAAGACATATCCCAAGTCTGCTCGAACAGCAACCAAGGACCATGTGGATGTGAGGAGGGATGAGGTTGTTGTCGTTGGCATCAAGATAGAGAGTGACTTACTCGCCAAGCCGATCGCTCCAGGGTCTCAACCAAGGAAAAACAACCACCAAAAGACAACTCATACGACGAAAAAACAATAACAGCTTGATTTATTAAAGAACATCCATCTTCCCTGGACGTAAATCATGCGAGTGGAGGCTGATTATGTCCCATATTCATGCGCGAAATCGGTGTCTTGCATATAACTCTCTGCCTCCTCGATTGTGGTTGTTGTGTATCACTTGTTTGTAGTTTCTTTATGACGTCATACCGTACAAACATCCAGCGTTGAGCATCACCTATTCACACAATTGTGTCGCGAAATGAGCAAGACGGCTTCGAGTAGGACGTCTTTCTTCTCGTTCGGTCCGGATGAGAATTTCATCTCGAAATCGTATGAGGGGTTGAGATAGTGCGTATAGCTCTGATCTGTGCTTCTTTGTTGATATATGCATGCATGTGTATCGTAGGTTACTGTGCTGATACATTCATTTAGTCGCGACCTACCGCCAACTCTACACCAATTAATAGTCGGAGGAAGCGTAGTTGATGTCCACTGGGCAGCATTAGGTGCCGAAAGCGACTCATGGGTCCTCAGCTTCAAAGACCGTGAAAGCAAGAACAATCTAGGTATGCATCCCCCTTCTTGCATTCCATTATAATCAAAATTGATGCTCACACGAAATCAGGCTGGGGCGTCAATACCCCTAAAAAATTGCAAGACATACTGAAAAGTCTAACGCCAACACCTCATTTCCGGGCATTCCTAGGTCCAGAGGGTTCATTCATAGCATGGGATCCGACGTTCATTCGGTGGGTGGGCTTACCAGCAGGTCTGGAGGCCGCTCTGCAGAGTTGGCTCACGCCTGCCGGGTGGAAAGCTGGACCGCCGAGGTTGGTGACTTGGGGTGCGGGGAATACGTACTTCGCCATCAGTGAATATGGGGAGATCAAGTATCGCGTCGGATCGAGTGGCTCGTGGAGTGTCTTGTCTGACACTGTGGATGAGTGGAACTCAGAGGGCGAATTTGACTGGTCGGATTTGGCGGTAAGTAATTGATGTATGGTGACCTGGAGTAGGCTGTTCTGACTCTGCTCTAGTTTATAGCCCTGGATCCCACCACGACGGATCAATTCGTTGCCATCCGTCAGGATAGAACATGGGCAGGATCCGTAGATGAATACGGCGAGGATGCACTTTCGTCATTCGCCCTCAACTTCTTCCACCTGTCTAAGAAGAAGAAGAAGTCAAAGAACGATGCAAAAGAACCACCAAACGACGCGAACTCACGGACAGACACACCGCCAACCGCCGCAGAACAAGCCATGTACGAGCAATGGGCGACCGGGGTAGCGACTTCATTTGCTTCGGCACTGATAGCCAACGGAGGCGCAAAGGCAAAGGCACCCAAGAAGCTCCAGATCCGCAATGCCAATCCCAAGCCTGCGATACCGACCGCTATAAACGGGGAAACAGGCGGAAAACGTCTCTCCGAGTTCCCCTACATCCCTCCAGCTATTGCGACCTGCACATTGCCATTATGTATCGAAGCGAAGACGGATCTTAGCGGATTGCGGGCGTGTAGACACGACGTGGAGAGGCTCTTCAAAGCTTCGGGATTGTATAGCTACGAGTGGCTACGGCAGGAACGGATACGTTGGCATCCTGACCGATTCGGAAGACTGTGTGAAGAGAGCTGGAGAGATACTGGAAGGAAGCTGGCGGAAGAGATGTTCAAGATCATTGATAGCTTGATTACAGAGCTGGAGAGCAAGCGCGTAAATGGTGATACCACTGCATTATAGAAGATATCCATACAGGCATATGTACATGAGTTGAGGTAGGACTGTGTCCTATTTCGAATAGTGGCATTAATACATTGAAACTTATCGTAAGAATTCGTGATCTGTCTCTGCGATGTTAGTGATGAATGACAGTGGGCAGGCCTCCATACATACCTCCTTTTTTACATTGAGCACTGTGGCAATGTCTGTGTATCGCGAGATTGTAGAGCGAAAGGTACCGAATCCAAAAAGACATCGTGTGGACTTTTATGAAGTTTACGATACTGCAAATTGTGCCTGCGTCGCACCCGGAGCAGCATTCTGGCATGAGGCATTGTTTCCCCCTCGACTTATTCACCTGCTCCCTCTCTCTACAGTTGTAATCCTCGGCAATGAATTCCTTAATTCTTCTTTATCCTTCTCTGTCGGCACCAATCCGAACTTCTCCTCCGCCCTGTCCGAGAGGTACATGCCGATGCCCGCATACGCCATAACGCCGACGCCAATGAGGATGCGCGTGTTGGGCGCAATGCCCTTGTACCATCTAGAAACAACCCGTCAGTGATCGCATTGAGAAAGTCGGCGCATCCCACTCACTGCCAAAGGCTCATCGTGTCGGTTGTCGAGTCTCCACAGTTGTTGTTTGTAAGAGGATCGTAGGATTCCCCGAAGGAGCAAATGACCCGCCCCGCCAAGCAACGACATCCACGACATCCACTTCGATTCCTCTCCCTTCCTCTCCTCACGCACACACATATTCGTTCGCCCTACGATTCTCCTCGGAGTTACACCGCGCCTGAAACATACATCTTCCAGTCGCTCGCTAACGCTCGAGGTCTCACGTCACAAAGCAATGGGTCTCTAGTGTCTCACCCCATCCATCGCAATCGCTCTACCGGTTTATCTACCAAGGTCCCGCATTCTCATGAGTTCGCTCCCTCTGCAACCACGACGGGCCAGCTGATCCTGCGACTCGGAGCTCTCTTGTAGACATACAAAGCTCCCAACTTCACAATGGCCGGCTTCCGTCGGTGGGGAAAGGCGAAGTTCCAACGGAACCCTAATTCGTCGTTTAAGCTGCTCGCAGCCCTCATCGTCATATCTATATACCTTCTGACAAAGGAGTTCTCGAAACCGACATTCCGGCTGTCTTCGAGGTGGAAGACGCACGGCGCCGACATACAATTCACTGAGTGGCAGAATGGGACGAACAAGGCAGAGACGGCGAGGGCGAACAAGGTCCGCGAAGCCATGAAATACACGTTTTGGCAGTACAGGGAGAATGCTTGGGGGGCAGATGATATCCGGCCTGTGACGGGAGGTAACTACTCTTCTCGTAACGGGTGGGGAGCCTTCATAGTGGATGCGTCGACCACGCTGGCGGTCATGGGATTGTGGGAAGAGCTGGCTATGTCGGTGGACTTTATTCAGAAGATAGATTTCAACACCTCCAAGGACTACGTCGACCCGTTTGAAACCACCATTCGGTATCTCGGCGGACTGGTATCGTTGGTTGATCTCGCCGATGCTGGGGTCATCCCGGATACCGTCATTACGTCAGAGGCACGCGACAAAATACTCCAGCAGGCCGTTACGCTTGCGAATGCACTGGGACCTGCGTACGACTCGCCCACGGGTATGCCGTGGCCCCGAGTCAATCTCGAACTTCATGAGGGTGTCGCAGACCCGCCCTGGATCCGTAAGAAGGAGGAGGATTTTCATCGGTACGATAAGGATAACACGGTTATTGGACCTGCGCGGACGGGGTCGTCTATCCTCGAGAATCGCGTATTGACACGCCTGACTGGGGATTCAATTTACGTCCAGAATGCAACGAATGCTTGGGCGCCACTGATTTGGAGCAAATGGGTGTCGAAGTGGCGGGGTCTCCCCGATGCGCCTATCGATATCGTGACGGGAGCACCGACTGCCCGACATCGACACTGGGACGGAGGACATGATTCTTTCTATGAATACCTTGTCAAGATTACCCTCCTGGCCCCCCGTACCGACCCTTATCTCAAGGTCTATCAGAACCGATTCATCGATGCTGCGTACTCTCTACGCAAGTATCTTTCGTCTCGATCTGCGCCTGCTCCCGGTCATTACAAACAACATCTCTTCATCGGCAAGTCCAATGACGAATGGTACTTGAACGAACAAGGCCATCTCGCATGTTTCGCCCCCGGCGCCCTTCTCCTCGGATCCAAATTCTACGACGAAGGCCCACTGCGGACATTCGCCCTCGCCCTCCTGGAAGGATGCCGACACACCTACGCTGCCACGCCATCAGGAATCGGCCCCGAGAGTTGGTCATGGATCCCCAAGTTCGGCTACGACGACCCCATGCACACGCCGCGGACAGACCGCGCCAAGAGCGAGTGGAAGACTATGGGATTCTGGAGCCAGGACCCGGCGTATAAGAACCGACCCGAGTACGTGGAGTCGCTCTTCTACGCATATCGCATGACGGGCGAGCAGCGGTACCGAGACTGGGCCTGGGAGGCCTTCAGCGCGATGGAAAAGTACAGCAAGGCGCCGTACGGCTACGCGCAGTTGGTCGACGTGTTCCGTGTCAATCCTGAGGATTGGAACGGCAACGGAACGGCAAGATGGATCGATGAGCAGGAGAGCTACTGGGCGGCGGAGACGCTGAAGTATCTCTATTTGACGTTTTCGGACGTGGAGAAGACGAGCCTGGATCGTTGGGTCTTCAACACTGAAGGCCACATGTTCCGCATGATTCGATGAATGACGTTGGCGGAGAAGAGCAATAGAAAAAGCAAGAAGGGGATTTTGGATTTGTGGGTTGGGGCGTTTTTGTTGGAAAGGCGTATGATACCCTGTTGTTGTTGCCAGCTACTATCTCACGAAACCTACCTTAAATCGTACATTTCTATCTACTTCATAGCAGCAGCTTTATGGAGTACATTCTTATCAATTCATATCATGACACTATAGTTGCCGGGTACTCTGTGAAACCGTGAGAAAAGTTCGATAGCTTCGCCGCTTTTGCGGCTTATGTAATCAAAGGAACACCGACCACAAACAGAAACTGAAGTCAACAATCATCACTTTCATTCCTCCCCGCCATATTCACGAGACTATTTGACTGAGGGAACCAGACCTTGCAACAAGGATTCGTATAAGAAGTACATCAGCCTGGCCGTGAGGATTGAAATCCACCTAGCGTTCACCCGGAAGAGGACCCAGTTTTGTACATCATAGGGCGTGATATCTCAACGACATCTTAAAATCTACCCGGAGTCATACAAACGAACGAATTCCAACCTCGCCTCAACAGGACCAAAGGACATAACAAAGCAAAAGAAAACAAACCAGGAAACCTCCACTTACCACTGATCTCCTCATAAAAAGAAAGAGAAAAGGAAAACTACCTAAATCATGGCAACCACCACAACTACCAACGGCGTCACCAACGAGCTCCCCACCCCCTGGCGCCGCACCCCCCTCATCCACTCCACCCACCTCTCCAAACACGCCGGCTGTCAAATCTACCTCAAGCTCGAGAACCTCCAGCCCTCAGGCTCCTTCAAGTCCCGCGGCATCGGCAACTTCCTGCTCTCGCACCTGTCCTCACCCACACTTGACAGATCCCGTCTCCACTTCTACACCTCATCCGGCGGAAACGCGGGCCTCGCGTGCGTGCACGCCGCCGCGACCCTGCACGTCGCGGCCACAGTCGTCGTCCCGCTCACGACGTCCGACTACATGGTCGCTAAGCTGCGGGCGGCGGGTGCGCAGGAGGTCGTGCGGTTCGGGGCGTCGTGGGCGGAGGCGGATGCGCATTTGCGGGGGGAGGTGTTCGAGTCGGCGAGGGGGAGGGGGGAGGAGCCGGTGTACGTGCCGCCGTTTGATGGGGAGGCGATTTGGGAGGGCCATTCGACGCTTGTGGGGGAGGTTTGGGAGGATCTCGGGGGAGTGAGGCCAGATGCTGTGGTTTGTAGTGTTGGGGGTGGGGGGCTGTTTTCTGGGATTATGAGGGGCCTGGATAAGAAGGGGGAGAAGGTGAGGGTGCTGGCGGTGGAGACGAAGGGCGCGGATAGTTTGGCGATGGCGTTGGAGAAGGGCGAGTTGGTGACGCTGGAGGCGATTACGAGTATTGCGTACAGTCTCGGCGCGAGGAGGGTTGCGGAGCAGGCGTTTGAGTATGGAAAGAGGGAGGAGGTGACGAGTGTGGTTTTGAAGGACGAGGAGGCGATTGAGGGGTGTGTGAGGTTTGCGGATGATGAGAGGATAATGGTGGAGCCGGCCTGTGGAGTGAGTGTAGCGCTGTGCTATGGCGGGAGGTTGAAGAAGGTATTGCCGGAGTTGAAGGAGGACAGTACGGTGGTGATTGTGGTGTGTGGTGGCAGCAACGTCACTGCACAGATGCTGCACGAGTGGACAGTTAGCATGGAAAAGAAGTAAGCTTCAGCGTACGAACATACAAGAAGTATGCAATTGCTATGGAATACATAGTAGGAAAGAATGAGGCTATTCGGGAGTCACATGTATTAGGCATTTCGTTAGGAGAATCATAGACGGATAGAATAGAATCTCAATGAGAGTTTAAGCATCATCCACTGTTTTTACGATCACCACCTAAATACCTTTGTATCCAGTAAAGAATATTAATTGATCTGATATTTAAAGATAGTAGAAATACTGCGAAGCCTAAAGAAATATCTTTGATTTCTGTTATTCTGCCCTTTGTAATGTCTCTGTAGTCAGTTAAATAACCTCACGAGCCTTCCCAGGACTATTTCCGGCTTCCCCCTTAGGCTGAGAGGATAGGTAGATATTCGCCATTGTCGACAGACTATCGGAGGTAGTTGGATGATGCCTCGATCTCTCTCGGCTGTCTTAATCTATACGGTGTATATGCTCTGTCTAGTGCTCTTCCCCCTTCACGTGATCTCCGAATAGCCTCACCTATCCTGCCACATCACAATGTCTAGACGCAACGATATAGGAAGGTATGTGTATACGCGCGTTGCGTAGTTACGGGTCAACGCAGAACAAGGGTCATGGCAAGCAAGGGATCTGGATCAGTGTTTCATCAAAGATTGTTAAAAGTAACAACATCTGCTTTAAACGATGCATTCCCTCCCTAGAAAATATAGAGACAATAGAGGCTAGTCGAAGCCCGAGGTATGAATATCAAATGTGTCCTACGTTGGGAAATATGAAAGGCCCAACGACGACATATTATCAATTATCCCCCATCGCCCTGACCGACAAGGTCAGCGCTGCCATCCTCGTCACATTTCCCATGTCAGCAGGTCCCACAGCCTGGAATCTTTCCAGCGATGCAAAGAATTCCTTGAAAACCTTCTTATCGCCCTTCAACCTTTCGACCTCCGCCTTCTCCGTCGACAATTCCCCCTCTACCTTCTTCCAACTCGCATGGTAACTGTTGGCCTCTAATTGCATATTTCGTAGTTCTTCTTCATGAGTCGTGTCTGCATCGCCCTTCGTCTTCTTCGCCGCCTCCGCTGCTCCCTTCGCGGCGTCGGCACTCTTCTTCGCAGCCTCCAACACCTCCGCCTTCTCTTCCTGCGCCTTGACGAGATTCGTCTTCAGGGTGTCGCGCTCACCTGTCAGCATCTGGATATGTATCTGGTCTGCCGCTGTTTTCACCTTTAGCTCGGACAGCTCGCTTTCGAGGGTCTGGTTCTTCGTTGCGTACTGGTTTCTCTTCGACACGGAGTCTTCGAGCTCCTGCTCCTTGAGGTCCAGCATGGTTTGCAGCGTGCTGTTGGCTTGCTTCATCACGCCGTCGGGCAAGCCAACTACTTCCCCGTCGGTGGCTGGTGGTGGTGGTGCGGCGGAAGCGAGGCCTAGCATCGTCGGTAGGGCCGATAGGGGACCTACTTGTGTTTCGGGTGTCTCGATGCGTTTCTAGAGGTTGGTGATCAGCATGATATTTTAATGTAATGGGAAAGGGTGACTCACGGGCATGATATCATCGAAGATCTCAGGGGGAATGAGAGACGAGAAGTCGAAGTCTGGCTCTGCGGTGGTGGTAGAACCATCATCCGCTGGAGGAGAAGGAGGAGTGAGGATTTGGCGTTTGGTGACGGAACGGCCGAGGTTGGCTTGGAGAGCCTTCTTGATTACGTCGTCGACCGCGGTGCTACCGCTTCCTTTGAGGGAGTTTGCCTTTCGGAGAAGGATGCTGGGGTCGCGACTCAGGACCTCGGTCTTTGATATCAGTCAGCTTTGCAGCAATGTTGTTCGAATGAAATAGGACGTACAGCTTGGACAATCTTTGACTGTTCGGCTCGGAACGCTGCTTTCAGCGCAAGTAGATTGGCGATGGTAAGCTCAATTGCATTATCGCCCGCCTGCGCGGTATACTCGTGGCGATTGCTGATTATGTCCTGCAGAGTGTTTAAGAGGACCTTGTAGTCCATGAAGTCGTCGAATAACTCCGCAGTGAAAGTGGATACTTGGTCGTACTGTAGCACCTTGGAGATCTCGTGTTTCTTTTCGGCCATCTTCTTTACGAAGCTCTGGTTGGCTTTGTACTTCGTTAGGATTGCCCTAAGGAAACGTATTAGTGTTTAAATATTGAAATCAGGGTGGGAGGAAGGAGACCGTACCATGTCCTCTGTGGCTTTTGAGCGACGTTGGATGGGAATGCCGCAGCGGCAGCAAGCATTGTGTCGATGTTCCATTGAGTTTCCGCTATGCACAGAATCAGAACTACGCCTCAAAGTTAAGTGACGGCGTGGAATCTACATACCATGTTTGATCTGACCGCCTCCCTGCCAGCTGACAGAAATCGTAGTCTGCGAGTCTCGCAACTTCTCCGTTAGGTTCGAGTTTACATTGTCGCCAAAGGCATCGAGCGTCAATTCGTCGTTAGACGGAGATGCAAGGGCGCTTTTGATTCTGGAAAAATTTCCATGGTTAATGGATGGGTCATAGATGGAGGGTGTGGGAGGACATACTCAGCTATCTTTTTCGCCGTCTTTGTCGAGTCGAGGATTTTGATCGACACAATGCCGTTGAATTCACCACCCTCGATGAATCCTGACAGTGATGTTAATGATCCATGGCGATCTTAAGTCAATTGAGTGGTAATTACCGGAAATGTAACAATCACCGTATGTGTCATTGAACTGCGGCGTGCCAGGAATAACGCCTGCGATTTCATTGAACTCCGCCTTTGTGTTGACACTAATGATCTGATTCGTCACCTGTACTCGTCTCAGCACTTCATCCAGATCATAGGGGTTCAGATGCGCAAAGTCAATCACACGTACCTTGACTCGGACGACGGCATTGAGATTGGAATCCTTGAATGTTGTCTCATCGATGGCGCTGGTGCTTCCGTTCGACTCGACTGTACCTTTCTTTATGGAGGAGCTGAAGGAAATGTTCATTGAATTGACGACATCGCTCAGTTTGTCGACGAAGCGGGAGGTATATGTTACATCCTAGAGTTGGACAGTCAGAAAAATGTATCTAGGAGCAATGTGAAGCACTTAGAATTTACTTGTGCAGGGCTTCCCTCGCTCTCGATGTTCTCCTGCTCGACAGTGACGGCTTTATCAATACAGAGCTCGTGCGTGTAGGAATTGAATCCTTGACCCAGGCTCATAGAGTCATTGTACGGTGCTAGAAGAAGAGGCATATTGTTCGTTGTCGGCTCAATGAGCGTTCCTAAAAGACAGAGGTGAAGATAGGTATCGGGGAACGAATGTTGGCGGGAACAAGCAAAGTATCGGATGCTACACGATATATCTACACTATCCCAAGCCCCCTTCAACGTTAACGCCGTGTCGTTCGATAATTCCCATGCACGGAAGCCTCCTATTCAACTCTGAGCCTGTGAAATCGATATCCAGCCACGCGCCGGCGCCATGCCATGCTCCACCGTTCACATGGCAGCGGAAGCCCCACATGGGCGCCGTGACATAGCAATCTAGATCGACTTCAGCATCTCCAGTTCCGCATCTCGGGCCTCGACGCGTGACGACAGGTTCACGAGTTCGTGTTAGCGATCCATGTGGCGCCCTAGCCGAGTCGACCTAGATGGCCCGATTCGGCCTCGTTCACAACTTTCATTGCCTAGAAGGGAATAGCGGGATGTCTGATTGCCTATTCGGGTACAAGTCCATCGCGGCTCTCGCCTTTCCCGGTCAACGCCACAAAAGTCGTTCCAGAGCTGAAGTCCAGATTTAAAGTTCTAGGTCTGCTGTTCTCCGCTTTCCCCTGGCTAGACTTGGACCCTTTCTGGATGTTCGTTTGCTGTTGTCGACATTCCAGGTCGCCTTGTCGTTCGGATGCCATCTCGGAACGTGTGAAATGGATACGATGCTTTACGATAATGGAGCTATTGGCGTGGCTTGCCTTCAGCTGCGCCGGGGACGTTTGGCAATAAAGTCTCTAGGTTCCGAGGCACCCCATGATCTATTATCATGAAAAGGTTCCCTATCAATTTCCCTATTTGCAATTCAGAAGTTCGACTGAAGAGGAGATTGAAACCCACTTCTTGCAAAATTTCGTTTCATCAAATTCGCAAATCACTTTTCCCTTCTTTTTCATTGTCGCCAGCCTCCTAGACAGATCAAGCGTTTTGTTTAACCCTAAGTATGGAGCAGGCACAGGCACCGGTCAATAATGAGGGGGAATTAGGTGAAGCAGCACAAGTCCAAGGGGAAGGCCAAGCACAGGTCCAAGGAGAAGGTCAAGCGCAAGTCCAAGGAGAAGGTCAGGGACAAGCCCAAGGAGAGGGACAGGGAGTTGAAAACGCAGGCAACAATGATCCACAGGAGGAGGAAGTTGACCTGTCTGTTGAAGCTAACGAAAGAGGACGGAAGAGGAAGGCTGCTGTACCTGTAGACCCTCGTGGCCCAGCGGGCCCCCCCGAGAACACCGAATCGTTGTACGGACCGCGATTCTCCAAGGTGCTTAAGGTGACTGTCCTTGAGCCAGCAAAAGACGAAACAGCGAAGTTCACTATCGGTTCAACCGTTGCTACAATCTCTATCGAAAGGTTGGTTGATTCACCTGCCACAACATGACGAGATGAGCCTTGATCTAATTTATTTGACAGTCTTCCGAACAATCCGACTCTCGCGGCTGTGCGGCAACATGCAGCAATACAAAATAGTGGTCTGGTCGATGCGTAAGTCCAACAAATGAGAAAGTGCCGATCGTGGGCTAAGCGTTCATGAAGTCATGGAAAGCAATCATTCTGTTACAGTGATGGTTCCGCAGCCGGAGATGGCACTTATCTAGTGCGCTATCTGAATCATGAAGACGAGAAGGACGTCACTCTCCACTCCCAACCACAGAAGGCTCCTCAGCCCGCCCCGGAAGGAGGCAATGAGGGTCAACAAGAACAGAAAAAGCCAGAAGAGCCTAAACCACTGATTACCAGAACCCTCTACATAATGCTTGGCAAGTCAAAACCAAAGACAGTGTTGAGCTCTTTACTAGAGGGAAAGTCGTTTTCGATCAAGATCATTCGATGGGACGCTGGCGACAATGGATCTGGGACCTTTGTCAGCCGTGGCACTCTTCTTGCGAAAGACCTGGGTGAAGCTGACCCAAAGACGATAAATCTAGCGGCCTTGAGAATCATTCTCTCCAAGAACGAGATAATGTAATCATCCAAACTCACACATTATATCACAATAACTGACATTGTGTAAATTTCAGGTCCGCTTATCCCAGCAAGCACAAGTTCTGTACCCCAACTGGAGTAACAGTAGGGAAGGAAGAAACGACATTTTCAGAATATCTAGATATAGAGGTATATGCTATTTCCGCTTCTCTTTAATCTAGGAACCTTTCACTTACAAGGCACCGAGAATGCAGGAAAGCGAGGTCACGAAGGACACAAAAATACCCGCCGTCACCCTGTACTACAAGCGTCCTACTTCAGATAACGAACCATGGAAGAAGCCGGAGACCGACCTCACCAGCGGAATAGGACCATACAAGGAAGGGGGCTCCAAACTGACCAAAAGCGAAGTGAGAATTCATTCACTTGCTGACTTCGGCCTTGACTAACCAATGTGATAGGAATTCTTCAAAGGGCATAAGACTGCAGATGCATTTAACAAAGCTGCCTCAGAACGCGCATTCAAAGATGACCTCATTAACATAGATCCGACTGCGCTCTCGAATTTGAAGTTTCAGTAAGTCATTCTCAACGGTCGAGAAATCGTGACATCTAATCCTTCCTAATAGCGCAGCATCCACGCTCGACGAACAACAATGGAAGCAAGTTATAACAAACTGTGGTTTGATGTACGGTTGGGTAGTCGATAAAGCCAATAACAGGATTCAACAAGCTCGCAAGCCTGGTGAGTCTAGAATATCAGACATCGCAATACTAGCTTAAGACTCTAACCTCAAGCAAGCGTTTCAACTTCGTGTCAAAGAAACGAGGACCATTGAGGAATTGACTCCCAACTTCCTGAAGAAGCCATCGAAGCCTAAACAAAGTTTGCCGCACACAGGGATTAACAAAAAGTTACCTGCGGGTAGCATAGATGACATTGTTGAACTGTCCTCGAAGCAAAACGATGAACGCTCCAGAGAGCAGGCTAAACGGGAAATGGATGACTCAGACAGAACAGCTATCGGTCCAAATGCTTATCAACCAAATAGTCCAGAGAAAGCAGCCGAGAAGAAGGGAGCAACCGAGTCAGCGCCCGCAAAGACCCAGTTGGAAAATGTCCCAATCCTTGCAATTCCTAAGTTCCAAGTCAGCGATAACTCTCGAGTTGAAGTCACCGTCTCCAGCCACGAATTCGAAACCAGCATGGCGAAGAATGATTTTAGCTCTCAAACTACTGAGGGTTCATTGTAAGTGCCTATCGATCCATTATTAAGGATACAGTTGACTGAAATGAATGTAGGTCTGCCGGCTGGGGTGGATATGCTTTGAAGGTCGGCGGAGGCCAGTCGAGTAGCAAAAGCGATGCTGCTAAGAGAACCCAAAATACTTACCAAAAGACACTGATTGCCTCCTATCTGGTATGCTACTAACGATCTTCTCGTACATGCATAGCTGACAGGTTGTCGATCAGTTCCCTCGTGCAGATATTATTCTCGACCCCGAGGATATCGAGCCAACACCCGAGCTCAAACTCGCCATCCAACGAATCGCAAAGACGAAAAGTATTGTCGATATGAGATACCTCATCAGCGAATTCGGTCACTTGTTCTCCGCTCGGCTCACAATTGGCGGTCGTCTACAGACAACCAGGATTATGAATGAAACATCAAACATCTCCGATCAGGAACAAAAGGAACAGCTGAAGAATTCCTTCTCGGTACAAGTCACAACGCCATATGGTGGCGGTGGGGTCAAACATGAGGACGAGACAGGGAAGATCAACCAATCTAATACTGCGCAAAAGGATAAGAGCGAAAGGCATGTCTGTGAAGCTGTTGGTGGAAATACGATTCTAGCGTCGAGGTATGTGTATCACTTCGATATCTATCGTTTATAGTACGACTGACAACCGGAACAAAGCCCACTAGTCTGGGCACTCAGTGTTGCTGATCCTGGCAATTGGCGAGTTATCAACGTGAGTAATGAACCGCATTCAATGGCGAGTGAGAGACTGACAACAACAGCGTGACGCTTTGTCCTCAATGGTCGACTTCATAGCACAGATTCCCGGCTACAGCTCAGTGAAGGAGTTGTTCATTCAAGCCGTGCCTACATTGAGCCGATACGTTGACTTAGGTGGCATGAAGGAAGCGAAGGTTCGGCTACGGCTTGCAGGCAACACGACAAGGCTGTCGAAGGCGTACGTGAAGAGGGTTCCTAAGTCGAAAGTTGAACCTGATGCGAAGGCTTTGGAAGATACGAAAGAGAGTGCACCGGATGCAAAGACATCGGAAGAGGCAAAGAAGGGCACACCAGATGCAAAGGCCACAGATCAAGCGAAGCAGAGTACGACAACTGATAAGACTCCCAAGGACACCAAGCCGAAAGACACTAGCCCACCAGCATCATTTCTTTACAGCGACGATCCATTATACTACCTTGGTCATATTCCAGAGACCACCATCGAGCCTAAGATGATGGTGATCAAAAACATGGCTACGGATGTTTGGGGAGAAATCATTCCCGGTGGGAACGGAAAACCCTTGTTTTCGCCTGCGAGGTAGGACCTCTCAGTCTGTTTCGCTCAAAGCTGATGGAAAACTAATCATGGCGTCTGCAGGTATCGCGCACCGGCTATTCTTGGCTACGGTGGTGAAGATACGGACAAGCTAATGGAGTACAATCAAGAGTTCATGAACACCGTGTGGAACATCGTGGCTCCATTTGATGAAACGGTAGGCGACCCCGGTTTTATGTACGCCTTTGTTTACTGATGTCTTGCAGCTCTCACATGGCGCCCGCGTAACTTTGCAGACTGTCCCACTGGAAGGCACTATCGAAATACCGAATCCAGCAAAGAAGGCCAAGCCGACAACTAAAGTCGCATCGGAAGACAAGCCCGCAAAGCCTAACGCACCATCCGCACTTGGAGGAAACCTAGACAATATCAAGCTAGCTGAAGCTCCAAATGGGCCCGCAACAGTTGAAGAAATCCCCGACACGATTGCCGTGCAGGCGTCGACTTCAACACCATCCTCGCTCGCGGTATTTCGAAACCGCCAGGGCGTCTTTCTGCCGGCAATGACTGGGTCAGACGAATTGCACTACTGGCGCATCGCTAAAGTGGGCGCGAAACGCGTCGGCGAGAAGATCCAGGAAGGCGATCAGATACGACTATGCTGGCTCTTCAAAGACCAATGCACAGGATTCCGCGATTTTTCCGAAGACGTATTCGGGCGAAGGAGAACGCAGAAACCCGACGATTTTGATGGCGAGGCTCTCTTTTTCAAACTCCCTTGGCCAAGGTTCGAACAACTTCAGACGGCCGATGGCGAAGGGACCGGCATTAATGCAATGGTTTTGAGCTCACATCCGACCATGGATGTATACTGGGGAGAGATCTGCAACCTACCCCAGTTGGAGCAAGATGGAAAAGGCAATGGTAAGACGTGGTACATTCATCAAGACGTATCTTTCTTCATTGACAAGGTTGCGAATAATGGACGAGGTGATGTCGATGATGGTCTAGTTCCGACCAAGGAAGAGAAAGCTAAGGCCGAAAAGAACAGGAAGAAGACGAAGCAAGAGTTGCTGCAGGAAGCAGCTTCGATGGGTGCTGAGGCCAAGAAGTTGCAACAGCAGCAGATGCAGAAATTGTTCGAGGCTTTGCTTTGGTTGGGACAATAAGTGTGAGTCATGTAGATATGACAAGCGCCGTAATATAACTCAATTTTATATGATAAATTTGTACTTCTATGGTGTTGAGTATAGATGATTCTCTTATATAGATCTCTTTTCCTTGTTTATTCATCACGCAGCTCCTGGGATTTCTCCCATAATAGCGATCACTTGCGCAAATCCCTAAATATCATTCGCTTCTGCGTACCTATTGTCGCGTATAGACGCCTCTGTACTAGGGAGCATCATAGGCACAACCCGCAATCGGTGGATAGGTAGAATGAGTAGATATTTGACTCTCTCGATATGCCTCCGGAGGTAGGTGGATGATGCCTCAAACTCTCTCGGCCGCCCTGATCGATCTATCTATGCCCTGCCAAGTGCCTTTCCCCATACACGTGATCACTGAATAGCCTGATCTATCCTGCTGCACCACATTATCTAGCCAGGATTACAGAAAATTCATCATAACCAGGTAATACTTCAAGCACTTGAAAATGGACGAGTTCAAAAACATAGGTGTACTTGCGTGGATTGTAGGACACTCAAACGACGGGGAAAATGAGATCAAACTTCATGTTCCTCTGATATACATCTTCTCACACTTGGTTGAAGATGTTCACTGATAGATCCTTCTCACTTTCTTTTGGAGTCTTCCTCTCCAAGCGGTCGGGCCAACCTGGTCATCAGATCAATTGATCGCACCATGCCGCGAAATTCTGTTGAACCTTTGATTCTTCACGCTATTCCTTTTAACTTGTTTCGAACCGTTGATTTGGCTGCAACGGAGGATATCCAGGGTCCTTTGAACAACTCATGATTCCAAGACGGAGGATCGTAGAATACATTGGGCCATTGCCAGCCTCTAGAAAGGTCTGCACCAATGACCAGATTGACAGTACCGGCATAGAGGATCAGAACCCAAGAAGTTAATCAATGGTGCAGAAAATGTTGAGAGTGGACAGTCATGTGATTCCAAGACTACGGGCCAAGTTTATAAGTCGACCTGTCCGCTTGCTCAACAACCACATTAGAAGAATTCTATTATCTTTGTGAATCCAACAGAACTCTATACCTCATGTTGTTCCTCCCAAGATGGGTCCAGAGGTGGCGCAAAAAGGCTCGACGTGTCGAGCAAATAAAGGCACGCGAATCCTTGATCGAACAGAACTCTATACCTGATGTTATTCCTCCCAAGTTAGACCCAGAGACGGCAACAAGAAGCTCGACGCATCAAGCAGACAAAGGCACGAGAATACAGGAGAAACAGAACAATCGGCAGGTTCAACCTCTCATAGTCCCCTTGAAAGAGCTGCAGCGTGGAATGGATCCTCTCATAGCCGTACAGGTTTACAATAATCGCTTCTGTCACCTTACTAGGTTACCAGAAGAGATCCTTCTGATGATATGCTACTTTCTGTGCGACGATGCGGTTACCTTACTATGCCTCCGGATAGTGTCGAGGGTGTTTCTTCGCATCCTCAACCGACAATCAATGATCTGGAGAGGGCCATGGCATCAGGAAAATTTCGAGCATGACTACGGTGATCCATTTTATCTACGCAGTGGTCCTCGACTGCAACTTCGACTGCAACTTCGACTGCGCCTACGGAGAGATGGGAGGTGCAACAACTGCAGGCGTTGGAACGACGCCCATAGTAAGCGGCTGTGGGATGATTGTAAATTTCAGCAAGATTTCTTCCGGTCTCCCCTTTCATCGCTCTACTGCTATGCCTGCAAAGTCTCACACGACAGATCCCAATTTGCTTCTGCCTACCAGGGCTCCACGTTGAATGAACGAGAGACACAGTGTCTGGGCCATCAGGGATCAGTGCAAGTGTGTAAGCATATTCATATCACCTGGGCTAGTATCAAGGCCCATATCGATGACTGGCGTCAGAAGCAGCCGCAGCATGGAGGTGATTGGCAAGCCTGCCTCAGCAGCTTCAAAATTGAATGTCATGATGCCATCCACGACACGCGCTGCACAGGATCAGAAGAGCCGACCTGGCCTCGAGCCAGTCTCAGAACCGCTGAGTTCAGGTCGAGTAACGTGGTTCTCAAGCTGGAATGGAGACCCCACAGCCGTCTTGACGCGCTTTCTCTCACGGTAGACGGCCGAATGCTTGCGGAAGAGCTCAGGACACTATTCTATCGGCTTCGAAGTTTAGGACCGGCCGATACCTTATATCCTCCATGCCATTGGCGTTCTCCACCGGAGTTAGCTCTATTCAGGCCACCGAGGTCCAGTATAACAGGACACTTTACTGCCCACAAGACAGGAGAAGACGATGCGCTAGAACCTTTCACCGCATTACTTCTATCGCTCCCTCTACGTAAAGGTCGGCTGTACAATGGCTATGGATATGGGGCAAATGGTAGGAGGCTAGAAATCAGACCTCATCAACCTGCGGATGCTGGCGGCACTAGCATCTCCTCACAGTGTCTTATCGTCACGTACGAAAGAGACATTCTGATCTGTACGACGATTGCAATGGAGATGCCTGCTACGAAAATAGTCCCTACCCACAGCTGGCTTCATGCCATGGACCCTCGAACATACGCGCACCCACAGGCAGATATTATCAGGCCAGATTGCAAGGACGCTACCTGCTTCAACTACTACCTCAGGCAAAAACTTTACTTTCGTTGCCATATCGGATCCAGCGCTTAGTCTTTATTGTTCAAACAGTGTTTCCTCTCAGTAAGGCTATATTTACTCAACACGAACTGCGCTGATTACATTATAGTACAACACACTGCTAATTAGTATTCTTATTTAAAATGGTCTGTAAGTCGTAAAGGGCCTTGAAAGGAGCTTGCGCATACGTAGGTAGGTAGGTAGGTAGGTCCTACCTACGTACAACCGTACACTATAGTAGTGTCTAATCGATTCAATTTCCACCTACAATATCGATCAATAATTGAATTTCCACCTACCTCGTATAATATCGACCCTAATTGAGTTGAGTTCTATCTGCAGTATCAATCAATCAACCACGAACCTCCTTAATTAACCTCCTCAATCAACCAAGTTATCGATCGTGCAGCTGCAATAGTGATCATTCGTCCACCTGCCCTAGTTATCGATCAGTCAAACACCTGCTTCAACAGTCAATCAACAAGACTGTGTTGGAGGCAATTGGATCAAGCAGTGAGGATTAGGTAATCAATCACTAGCGAGATAGCAGGTTATCACCTGGTTCTTACCTACCAACAGTCAATCAACTTTCCTCCTCACTACACAGTACTTACTACAGTGATAGGACGTTCGTCCATGGAAACCACCTACTCATTGTAGTCTTTCCAATATCCCAACAGACGGAAGGAGCTAAGGATGTCGTGTTTACAGGTTAAATTTTGATCGTCCCACTGATCTGTTCAACCAACCTTCATCAAATCCAAAGAGACGATAGACGCAGTCATAACAATAAAACCACCATTCGAAACACAAAGTCATCATGTATCTCGTTCTCTTTCTCTTATTCTTCTACTTATTCCTCCTCGTCGACGTTTACGCCGACAATGTCACTGTATATCTCTCGGAGGAGACCCTCCATAGCCTCGCCAAGTTGTCTTCCCAACTAGACACAATATCTAGCAATGTCAAACCGCCTCTCCCCGTTTCCGTGATGGCTGCGGCCATCCTTTTCGTGTTCTGTACCTCCTTGCCCTCCCGCGTCTCTCAATGGGCCAAATCTGCCGTAGTGCACTCCCGCCCGTTGGCCAAGTCTTTCGCCCATGTTGTCATTTAGGTGGACCGGGTGCTATCACCCTTTGCAATCGAGGACTGGCAGAAGCGCGCCCTCGCCGTTCAGATGGACCTCCGGTCGGCCTTCCACAGCGGGTTAAAAATTCCGATATCACTTAATACCAACACCATATCGATCCACTATCTCTCCTACAACCTATCGATCCAGTACCCTTCCTACAACCTATCGATCCAGCACCCCTCCTACAACCTTTCCATCCACTACCCCTCCTACAACCTCTCCCAAACAAGTCCAATCTCTGCAGAATTCTTCATCTCATTCAGCAACTTCTTCTCGATCTCAATCGCAGCCTTCTCTGCCCGAAAATCCGCGTAAAACTGGCTTTCCCCTAACTTCCTCTCCACCGTCACCTGATGCCTCTGGAACAGCATTGCCAGCGCCGCGACGAACTCGACCTGCGAGAACTTCTTACCGGGGCATACCTTAGAGCCATAGGCCCAGGGGAGGTAGTACTTGGTCGTGTCGGGGATGAGTAGCTCTGCGTCAAAGCCGCTGTCTTCGGGATATGTGGTCTTGGAGGCGAAGAAACGTTCGGGATTCCAATCTAGCGGCTCTTCGCCCCATGTCGAGGGGAGTGTGTGTAAAGCTGTGAGATTGATGTTTACGTTTAGGCCTTTGGGAAGTGTGATTGTTTGGCCTTGAAGGTGGATTGTTTGGGGAGCTTTGCCGGTTGTTTTTATGAGTTGGCCGAGGGGGTGGCAGAGGCGGAGGGTTTCCATCTGACATTTGTTAGTTTTTCTATTGTGGTGGCATGTGTTATTGGTCCTTTGTAGGGAAGGACAACGTACCATGACGGATAAGCAGCGCTTCAGTTTGGGGAACGTCTTGTAGTCATAGAGCGACTCAACAGTGGGCGCGTAGTGTTGAATTTCTTCTCGAATCCACAGCTGCGTCTCGGGACTGCCTGCCAGGTGCATTACCGCGTGGGCCAATGTTATCGCCGTGGTGTCGTTCCCCGCGAAGGCATATACGAACAAATTGCTGATGATCTCGTCCTCGGTGAGAGTTCTACGGTGCGTCTCTGGTGGCACAGTGGCACCAGCGGCTCGACGCTCATTGTCCTCCTTTTCAGTCGAGCACGCGCGCACGAGGTTGGAGACCAGGTCTTGCTTTCTTGTGGACGAAGACGGGGTGGCATTCGAGCGTTCTTCTGCAATGAGCCCGCTGATGTAGGAATGGAATATCTCCACGGCATCCCCGGTCTGCTTCCACGCTTTCGGCATCCACCACGCCTCCCTCAATCTTTTCGTCCCGAATAGGAAGATGAGGAAGATGTTGCGCAGGATCCGGGAGAGCGAGTCGCGATATTGCATCGAGGGATCCGTGTAGTCCTTGAGATCCCTCGTGCCGCTCTCGGCCTGGAAGCTCTTGAACGGATACCTCTTGGAGAACAGTGCAGCAGCGAGAACATTGAGGGTGAAAGTCCGCGTGTCTTTGGAAATCGTCGTCACGGCCTTTTTCGGGGTCTCCATCCAGAATTCTCGCATCTCCCTTGCCTGTTCGAGCGCTTCTTTCCATACGGTCTCGTTGTTGGCTTCGGTGAATGCGGCTGCGGTCGCCTTGCGATGGATCTGCCACTCCGCGTCCTCGGTCGTCGATATGTTCTTCCCGTACACGTTCAGAATCGACATGCGTACGATATCTCTTTGAAAGTCTGACTTCCTCTGCAGGATGTCCTGCACGGCGTCGGGATCGCAGATGTACAAATAGTTGCCACCCGGCGACGCGAGGAAGAAAGCGGGACCGAAATCTTCATGCGCCTTGTAGCGCTCGGTGGCCTCCCAGCCATTGGCGTAGAACCGGGTGTATCCCGTGACGTCTACAGGTAGTTGTTTGAGAAGCTTGATGATGGAGTTGGCGAAGAGGAGGCGGAGGGGGTTCATCGGAGTCACGTAGACTCGAATGACTGGGAGGCCTGTCTGTTTGGCGATGGCTTCATTGTGCGCGACTCGTTGGACGGTCCAGATGCAGAAGCACGCCAGCAGGGCGGTCGCTGCAACGAGGATCGTGATGAAAGACATTTCTATGATGGCGACGTAGGAACTACAAAATCTTTGACTTTTGGACTAAGTTCTAGTACATTGAAAGAGCGAAGTTGAGTCGAAGGATGTCCCTTTCCCAACTGCAGAGGATGCAATGCGATTTCAACGTTAACATCAATGCCGTTTGTTTGTGCCTCAATTATTTTTCTTTGTTTGTCTGTCATGCAGGTAGACAGACACTGCCAAGTTGATCAAATATTGTTACATTACCAACGGGTGTAACTTATTATGCCCCTCAATTTCGTTTTCATCCTTTTCCCCTGTAGAACCACCCACGCTCCCCTCACAGCGGTGTGGCGCCGCCGATCGCATATTCCCCTTCCTTCGTAGTCCGAAAATCGACTACGCCGCGTACGTGAGCCATGCGTGTGGGCAAGCATCCATACAGAATTTGCCTGGATGGTGGAGTTCCGTTTGCCTTTTCGCTTGGCCCGGTCGCAGCCCTACAGGGTTACACTTTTGGCTTGTGATTGTATCAAACGAACTGCCACCACCACTGGTAGCGAGGCTGCAGTCATGGAATAGTCTGGGGATGGAGCGGCTGCGGGATGGGATGACGATTGAAGGGAGAATTTACTCGTATGTTCATACCCTGTCTTGTTCAGGTAATACAGTATGCATGTCAGCCTTGCCTTTCCCAATTCAGTCTCTGTCTTACACTGGTCCACGCAAAATATCCATGTAGCTAGCGATCTGCCCTTCCGCGTGTGTCTATCCATTAATAATGGCCCCGAGAGAGCGTGAAGAGATAGACATCACATCTTGGGCTGAGACTGAGGCCGTGATAGCTCGAATGGAAATGAATCCATTGGCATCTCATCGCATCGTATGCACAGCGTTACACTGATCGTCTCTGCCAATGTTCTGGGCTGAATTGTGCCGAAGCTCGGTCTCTCGCTCTTGCTCGCTCGCCTTCCAAGAAGATGAAGATTAATTTGATCTACGTTCACACGGAGTCCGGTACTTACAATGTTGAAGCCTCACCGCAGCGTGGAAGGACTCGTGGTAGCACTATCGCAGCTCGGCAGTAGCATGGCACATTGTATGGGGGAGGAGTAAGCACAAGTTGTCAGACGCTTCTGTGGCTGCAGGACATGCTGGGCCCCCTCATTCCATGTGTGAATGGATGAGTAGGTGCTTGAGATGAATCCAACCATTGCCACTCGTCGCATTCTCTAATCGATGGTCTTTCAAATAATCAATGAGGTTGGCTTATTTGACTCCTCGCAGCCTGACTTGGAGATATCTGTGAGCCTACCACGATCGTTGCACCACTCATTTTCTACTTTATCGTTGTCCCACATAGCCTCATTTAGATACGTGCGGTGCGCTCGAGCAGCTTTGGAATTGCAAGAGATACGGAGTCACTATCCAAACCATGGCACCACCACCGAATCTCGCAGCCCTCACATGGGACACACCAGCGATGAAGCCGCCCAAAGGCAGTCGACCCAACTTTGACAATCCTCAATCGTCGCTGGAGGATCATATCGTGATAGTCAACTCGATCGCAGTGGGGCTCATGTTCCTCGTCTTCCTAATTCGCATGCATTCGAAGTTGATCATCTCGAGGCAGAAATTCGACATGTCTGATTGTGAGTTTACCTATTTCGGATCCCTCACTTCGGGGAAGCGGTTAAGCTAACGAGGACATGTTGTGTAGTCACGATTTGTGTTGCTGTTGTACGTACGATTGAGTGTAATGGAAGATAGCGAGGGCGCGATGCTGATGTGTGCGAATACAGCTTGGATCCATTGCACATTCGGTTCTTTGCATCTACAGTGAGTTTGATCACATCCAAGACGATAAGTCTATTCCTTGATACTGACCCATTACATCAAAGACTCGACCATCGGTTTTGGGCGACACATGTGGGACATCCGCGTCCTGACCCTGACACCAGACCGCACACAAGTAAGGACATCCTCTCCTCAGAATACCTACCAACCATTATTCGTACTCATAGCTAACATCACCTCTAGCTCTTTTCGACCGTCGAAGTAATCTACGTAATAACAATCTACTTCGTGAAAATCTCCCTACTACTCCTCTTCCTCCAATTCTTCCGCCACAACGACCGCTCGCGGTACCTCATCCAATTCGGCCTCGCCGTCTGCACCATCATCTCCATCCCCTACCTCGTGGTGGCGGCCATGCACGTATCGTCGTGTAATGGACTCAAGGCGCTCACCGCACACATCTGCAAGCACAGACAGGTCACGATTTCGAACCTGACGTTCGCGACGCTGAACGTTGTCACTGATTTCTACGTCCTGGTTATCCCGGTGAGGCAGCTGTGGAACCTACATATCAGTACGAAGAAGAAGGTCGGTGTGTTGGCGACGTTCTTGGCTGGGTTTATGTGAGTTGCCGTTGTTCCTCTATGCACACGCTCGGATCGGGCCGTTGGGGGGGGTGCCTCCTTGCTTGCTTGATCAATTGAATTGGTTGCGTGATCGTTACTGTTACTACTGTTTACTGACGACACACCATCGCAGCGCAAGTTCCATGTCGATAATCCGCCTCGGCTTCCTCGCACACAACATCAACAACAACGACGCACTGCACACAGGCGCATTGATGTCGATGCTCGGGTACGTACTACGTCGCTCCGCTCTCCCTCCCACTTCCCCGAACGCACAGCTAACCCCACACCCTACAGCACCGTCGAGATGAAACTCGCCATAATCTGTGGCTGTGTAATCTACCTGCCCGCCTTCGTCAAGCAAGGGAAGTCCTCTCTCCGCACCGCATACGGCTACATGTCTGGGCACCGGTCGGAGCTCCGCTCCTCGTCGGGGGCCTCGGACACGGTGGCGACGAAGAGTAAGTACGACGGCGGCTACGCTGCCAGCAGGGAGGTTGTGGAGAGTAAGAAGGACAGCGGGGAGGTGTTGGAGCCCCCCAGGCATCCGTACGAGCAGGTGGAGTTGGGGCCGTTTAGGAGGGAGAGCGATGGCACGGGGAATAGTGTCACGGCGAGGGGGGAGAAGGTCGGAGATGCTTATTCGCCGTTGGGCGATGAGCGTGGGGTGAGGATTTGATTTCTTTGCTTTGATGGCGGGTTGATTGGATGGGGTGAAGGCATACATGCGTGGTTGTACGGTTTTGGGTGCATTGAATGCTGTAGACATGATCACACAACATTTTGGCGTAACGGTTGATTAGATAAATTGACTATGGAGTAAATGGGCGACATACAGTCGTAGCACCGAAATCAGACCACTCATGCAAGATTCCTCACGAAACTGTGAGCAAAGACTATATGCGGGTAGATAGATACTGCGATCCAGTTCACCGGTATTCACCTCGTCTGTATGGAGTAGTCCGTACATAGATGCCATCTACCTGGATGGTAGATACAGGCCACCAAAACGGGCACGAAGCAGACAGCCAATAAACGCCGTGCGATGCTGATGATGCATGTGGCGTTTCGGGGCAATGAATGGCCAATGATGGTGGACGATCACTTGTAACAATGAATGGCCCCCGGATAAAGAGGCAGACCCGCATGTTGATAGGCCGGGGTTCTCGCCTACTTGCAGCAGGGTGCAGTACATTTGCAGTATGAGGGAGATGGAAATAACTACTCACGCATAGCTAGAAGGGATAAGCACATGAAATGGGCCTGGATGTCTGGAGGCTGGATGGGAGAATAACGATGGGTGGATTGGGTGGGTGGTCATACAGGGACGAAAAGTGGTGGAGAAAGTGTGCCTTGGGATATGAAGATGTCTTCAGCTCCGATGCGATGCAGATCGTTCAATGATTCGTTTGTCGTTTCTCATTACCTTGTACAACTATGGAGACAGTCACACAGTATCCGTAGATGCTTACTCCTTGCATTGGCCTTGTTTCGTAGGGTTGAGCAGGGAGCTGGCTGTGCCGCAACGCGCATTACGCAATTCACAATTCGCAATCTCGCCATAGGAACATTGTCTATGTCATTTTTTCTTTCTCCCTTTGTTTGAGTGATGTTAATCTGTATTGATCTTCATGTTTTGGGGGCCAACGCAGAGACACGATGATGACATTGGATGTGTGGCAGCCTTGCTCGCTCTTCGCTTCTCGCAATAATACAGCCTGTTGATTAATCTATTCCATCCTGTTGTGACGCGACTGTGTCTCCGATGATTGTCAACACCAAGACACCTCAGCTCAACGCAATTGAATTGACTTGACTTGAATTCACCGCTCTCTCCCATTGCCCATCACCCCGTCGCGATTCAATCCCAGGTTCCTGCACATTGCGTCCTCTCAGGCAACCCACCCATCATGTCTTCACCATCCTCCCTTGGCTCGGTCCTCGTCATCGGCGGTTGCGGGGGCCTGGGTTCTCAACTCGTCAAGCAGCTCCTCGAATCCAAAGAAGCCACCTCCCTCTCCGTCCTTGACATCTCCCTTGAACGCAACCGCGTCTCAGGTGTCACATACTACAAGGGCAGTGTGAGCTCCCGCGAGGACGTCCTGTCCGCATTGAACAATGCGCAACCCAAGGTCATCTTCCATGTCGCGTCCCCGCACCTGATGCACCAGAGCGCGACGCCCAAGCTCTTCGAAGAGGTCAACATCCTCGGCACCCAGAACCTGCTGGATTGCATCTACGAGAGCGGCGTCCCCAAGGTACTGGTCTACACGTCCAGCACAGGCATCGTGCACAATGGGTACACAGACATCATCAGAGCGACCGAGGACGTACCCATCTGCTTCTTCCCCGAGCAGACCGAAGTAACCCACCCCACATCTCCAAACCCTACACCCCACCTTACTAACAGCCTCTCCAGTACTACGCGCACACCAAAGGCAAAGCCGAAGTCATGATCCGCGAAGCCAACCGCAAGCACGGCCTCCTCACCGTCGCCCTGCGCTGCACGACCCTCTACGGCGAAGGCGACAACACCACGATCCCGCAGATGGTCGGCAACGCGCAGTCCGGGCGCGGCAAGATGCAAGTCGGCGACGGCAAGAACCTCTTCGACTTCACGTACACAGGCAACGCCGCCTACGCGCACCGGCTCGCCGCGCGGAAACTCCTCGCCGTCGACCCCACACTCCCTCCTCCCCCTACAACATCCGACGACCGCATCGACGGCGAGGTCTTCTTCCTGACCAACGACGAGCCGTGGCCATTTTGGGACTTCGTGCGCGCGGTCGGGACGGCGGCGGGGTGTGGCGTGCGGCGCGAGGATGTGCGCGTCACGCCGATTTGGGTGTACTACGCTATCGCTGTCGTTGCGGAGTGGGCGGTTTGGCTGTTCACGCTCGGGAGGAAGGAATCGCAGATCAATCGAAAGATGATACGGTTCTTTAGCATGACGAATACGTTCAACGTGACGAAGGCGAAGACGAGGTTGGGGTATAAGCCGCAGTGGAGCACGCAGGAGGGTATCGATCGTGCGGTCAAGGCGTATCTCGACAGCGAGGAGAAGAAGAAGGAGGGGAAGAAGAGTAAGTAGATGGTCTGAACTATGGATGGATAGAAGATGTGCTCAATTAGGCCAATGCCCCGTTTCGTAGTCTCGTATCCGTTGGTCTATCCGTCTAGTCCAGTGTCGGTCCGCTCTCCCACCGTGCACACTTACACTCAAAAATTGCCTCTTTGGACTTAGTCTACCCTCGATCATAGTAGATACCATAGATAGCTTAAATTAAGTATATTCCAACATCATTTCCATCTTCCTCGTAATGAAAGAATACAAAATGTGTGATAGAGATGGAAAATCTCTATGTAGAAATCGCCGGCGAAACGGAGGAATCGCTATACCATGAGGTGCCTCAATATTTTCTTAGTAGAAAGCGGACTTCGGTGTACATTGTAATACAGAGAAACTCTCCTACTATCTTCTACAGTATACATCTATATTAATAAATCAAACTTCTCGAGAGGGCCAAAGGCACACGACAGTACGAACACAACATCGATCAAGCCAACGAATCGTTCGTCCTCCCTTCACTCTTCTTCTCCCGCACAACATCAGCCGTCTCCTTCCCACCCCCCTCATCCAACCCAAACTCCGTATCCAAGCTCGTCCTGAGCGGGATATTCCTCTCCACAAACACGCTCAAAAACCCACTCACCGCAAACGCAACCGCGACGATCCACACCATCCGCAGCGCCCTCGTATACACATCGACCACCTGCTCACGACTCCCCTCCTCCAACCCCTTAACCAGGCTCGTCTCCGCACCGACAGACTCGTACGCATTGCCGTTCGCCAGCTTGGCGCGGAGCACCGGGTCGTCAATGCGCTGCGCCGCGAGGCGGTCGAACTCGTTGTTGAAGATCAGCGCGGGGATCGTGATGCCCCAGACGAGGCCGAAGCTGCGGAGGAAGGAGAAGAAGCCTGTTGCGGTGGCTGCGGAGGACTCTGGCAGCGCGGCGAGGATGGCGGGGAGAATGGAGGGAAACAGCATGGCGAGACCGATGCCGTTTATGGCTTGGAAGGTCGCCCAGGTTGCGGTGTTGGTGTGCTGGGTGAGAAGGGTGTTGAGGCCGAGGCCGAGGGCGCAGAGCGCGAAGCCCGCGAAGTGGAAGGGGAGGTATTGGCCGAAGCGGGTGAGGGCTACGCCGGCGACGACGGAGACGGGAATCAGGAAGGCGACGTAGGGGAGGATGTTGGTGCCGGCTTGTTGCGTTGAGGCGGAGTGGAGGGATTGGAAGTAGACGGGCCAGAAGTAGGCGACCCAGACCATGAGCATGGAGGACGTGAAGGTGATGTAGAAGCCGGCGGAGGAGTTGCGGGTACGGAAGAGGTGTGAGGGAACGGAGGGTTCAAGACAGAAGCGTGAGGTTTCGAAGATGTAGAAGACTATCCAGCCGACGATGCCTAGGACGATGGGGACGATGACGCGGAAGGAAGACCAGGCGTATTGGGGGGATGTGCCGCCTGAGATGAGCCCGAAGAGGAACGAGGAGGTTGCGCCGATGAAGAGGAAGCTGCCAATCCAGTCAATGCGGAGGAGAGCTCGACGGATGGACGGTTCGCGGACGTGCTTGAGTCGGAGGAAGAAGAACATGACCAAGATTACAAGTCCCGCGACGGGTACATTGAGGTAGAAGATCCATCGCCAGTCTCGCTGTGCGATGACGCCGCCGATGGGAGGGCCTAAGATGGTTCCGAGAGCGCCAACAGAGAGAACCATGCCAAAGTATTTGCTCCTTTCTCTTAACGGGACGAGATCGCAAATGATCAATTCACTGAGGAGGTTCAATCCACCAGACCCTGCGCCTTGAATGGTGCGACCGGCAATCAGGGCCCCTACATTCCTCGCGCCTCCAGCAATCCCACTACCGATGGCGAACAGCGTCAAGGACAAGATCATGGGCCATCTTCGCCCGAAGATGTTGCAGAGTTGAGCGCAAGGCGGTTGGACGACCGTCTGGGAGAGAACGAAGCAATTGGCCATCCAGACGTACTCGGACGTCTTCAATTCGTTCGCAATTTTGGGTAGCGCTATAGCGATACTAGTGGCGTCGAGAGTCACGACGAGGGAGACGAGGCAGAGCGAGAGGATCGTCACTTTGAAGGCCCACGATTTCTTTGGTGTGGGTGAGGCATTCTGGGGGCCTACAGGGAGTGCAGTTATGGGCGAGTCTGCGTCTGCATTGGTAGCAGCAATGGATGGCAATATTTGCTCCTTGGAATTGGATTTTTCCGGCCCCGTGTCGACAGCTGTGGCCATGGTCGTTATACGCAACGTTGAATCAATTAGAGAGGAGGCGTGGAGAGGTACAGTAAGGTACGGAATATTTACACGTAGGTCGTAGCCTGGCTAGGGCTGACAAAGGAATGTGGAGGTTAGGAAGACGTCACTCGAAGAACTCAGGGACGTGGGCGGAGTTTTATATCATTTGTTCGATTTAACTGATGAATGAAAGGGACACGGGTGAAGTCGATGTTCCCGATGCAGTGGATCGCATCAATGCAGGGTATTTACACCTCAATCATCCATGCTTCTACGTCGATAATGCAATAGAACCCTCAGGTCCATGGCTGAATATTGTCGATCCCGTGAGATTCGTACGACTACCTCACGCACGTACATGTGATGTGCAAAAATTGATCTACACTACACTGCGCTACATTTATCTACCGTATTCTTACACTGCCTTCCTGACCCTGAATGGAAGCTTTTTTGTCGGCCTGAAAGGCGTATAACCGAAAGTCTGAGGGTTCTGCCCTGGATCTTTCCAACTCTCTTTTTCAACTGGTTCAAATTCGAACGCAGTCACGAGAGTAGCAACCAAATTCAATATCGCACGCGTGGCAAAATGTCTTCCTGGACAGATATGGTGACCCATACCAAATGGGAAGAAAGATCCCTCAAGCCCCTTGAGCGAGAACTCGGCTCCCTCGCCATCTTTCTTCGGCACCAAGAATCTCTCTGGCCAGAACTCCTCTACGGGATGGCCAGTCGCTCCCGGTCTACTCTCCCAACGTTCCTTATTGTGGTTTTCTACCCAAGGAACGGTGAGAGCATACGACCCTTTGGGCAGCAGGTGATCGCCTAGAACGAAATCCTGCTCTACATCTCTCGCTATGAAACTTGTGACTTGCGTCCGAAGCACTTCATGATACGCCGATTGCAGCAGTGGCTGCTTAATCAAAATTTCTGTGTCGAACCTCGGCAGTCCGTCGCCGTCCACTGCTGGCAATCGTGCTTCGTTGATCTCAACTAAACAGCGATCCCGTAGTTCGGGAGACTTGACCAGGGCCTGGACAAGCCAGAATGCAGCTGGTATTAAATTGTCGTTTGATCTACGTATTTATATCGTCAGAACTTTCTGTGCTCTCATAATTGAAGCGGCATTGGAGTATACTTACGCCCAAACGATGCCCAAATCGGATCCTGCCCTGGCTGCATCACTGTGATACTCTTTGAACCGATCGTAAAGGCCGTTCCTCGTCCTCATGACCTGCAGTCCCCACGTCTCATCCCATCGGTCCTCTTTCGTATACGTATTACCCTTAGTTGTCTCGATCGCATTGCGCTTCCACTCCTTTAGCGCATCGAGACACACCTGGCGCGCCTCGTACGCCTTAGGAATGAAGAACTTCGGAAGCTGAATGTGTAACAAATGAACGTTCTCGTCGAATGTCCAGAATGCATCTACGAATTTAGGACACCTTTGCATAAGGCGAGGTCCACACACGGCATTCATGACCGCCGTCGAACTCGTCTTCCTTACGAAGTCGAAGAAATCGTCGAATTCCTTCCACTCCTCCCCGATCTTCTTAGTGGCGATCTCTTGCTCGAGGAACCCGACGAACTTGTCGAGAAAAGTACTTATGCCGTCCTTGGACTGCAAGAAATCAAACGCAGTCTCCTGCTGCATCCTGACAATTCTGCGGTCGGGAGCGACATTGCTCCCAGGCGTCGGACGAATCGCGGAGCCAGAGTTGTCGACGCCCACTACGTCCGCTGCAGCCTGTGGAATGCCGAAGACGTTGGAGATGAAGCGGGCTCGCAGCTTGTTGTCGGTGAAGACGTGCGGGTTGTGCACTGTCTTTCTGATGTCGGATGCGGAGAGTAGGATCAAGTCCTGTCCTAGCATTCGAAAGCGGATTGGAGACGTGAGACCACAGTATTGTCTTAAAAATAGCAGTTAGATCAACTGGGATGCGTGTGTCTGGCTCAAACTTACTTGAATGTCGAGAATAGCTTCTCACCACCACTGGCAATGGCAATAGTGTGACTTATGAATGGAATCAAACTAGGCGCCGTCGCCGGCTTCCTCTTCTGATTCTTTAAGGTGACAGAATTCCATCCAAATACCCGTCTGAGCAACAATGCGACGACGGCAGACAGAACAGCATAACGAAGAAACGACATAGATACAGCGCCAGGGAAATCGTGGACAACATTCATCGGTGTCGCCATGATATTCTAAACGCTGACCAGAAAGGAAGACTAGGAAAAATAGTGATGAATGTTCCCTACGCAGAAGAATAATTTCTTCATAATTGCCATAAGAGCAGGATGACACTGGATTATACACATCTAATTACAGAGTTACTCACATTACAGCTACTACTATTGAAAGCCTTTGCCCTCATTGGCCAGTCAATTCCCTTGGAGTGGGAAGGGATTGTGATGGAAGAAACGCCCTAACCGAAGCCACCCATCACCCAATCCGTCCTTCTCGCCCACCCATGTCTCAACCCCTGTCCAGTTGACTATCATATTGATTACATGCGCGGCACGCCTGCTGCCTGTATACAGCTCTCTCCCCGTCTCAGGCACTGCTGCTGCGGCGTAGTACAGCTACTCAAGCGATATGACGATATAATCGAATGAATCACAAACCTTCAAGCCACCATCCCGCTGACCCCCTCCCGATCCTGCATCTATCCACCACTCCACTCATCGGAGGAAGAGAAAGGGCTGAGCGACTTTCCTCCGTCTGCAATGCATGGAACCGGGATTCGCGCTCGATGTTTCCTGAATGTGCACCTCCGACCCGCCTCTCTTGCAGCCCTTCTCATGAGACACAGGAACTGCCCACACACCATCACTTTGTACATACACATGCTGATGCTCGCCGTCTTTGCGCTTCCATATGGTATTCAGGTAGTAAGCAGGGGGACTACATGTCTAGACATGGTTAGTTCGCTGTAAGATAGATCCCCGTTCACACATTCATCTGATGCCATTCGTTCACTCTGAACCTGAACACGTCAATTGCGATATCAGGCTAGCAGCGAACAGAGACACACATATAGAAAACAAGGTTGTGGGGGCGCATTGCATATTTGTGGTCCTGGTCGTCGGATTCGTCCGGGGGGTATTTGTGTGACGCGGTGGTCCTCCTCCTAGCTTTGGGGCTGAGATATAATGCACATGTGAATATCTATTCCTCATAGGAGACCAGGGGAAAGTGACAGGTGTGAGGGGAGAGTAATTTGATTTGATTTGGTCTGGCTTGAGCAGATTTGTGTCTCGGGGTTTGAGTGTGTGCGACTGTGGAGTGTGGAGGCGGATTTATTTTATAGACGTCCACTATGAATCAATTACGAGAGAGAAGGCAAGAGTGCGTGCATACATGCACGCATCAGTCCATATTGGAGAATATACACAGAGATTTGCGGCGAGGCGGATTTCACCGGATTTGGATTTGTTTTATCGTCCAACCTGGAGATCATTCTCGGCGAACCAGCTGTCTTTTGGGCGTCGCAGGCTTTTTCGAAAGTTAAACTCTACCTACCATTTGTTTGAATAGCCAATTACGCAAAGAAAGGAATTTTGTTCCAGCTATATCGTCTACTCGCAGGGGAAAGCAAGTGAACAACCATGGATTCCACTATCAATCTCTCCATCCCCATGATGCCGGGCGCGTTCGCGTACTCAAGCAGCGCCATCTACCTCATCATCACGGGCGTTTTGGTGCACTATTTGTTCCTCATATTCCAAGTCGAGTCACCCGATGATTGCTCGAAGGAAGAAGAAGAGGTCCAGGAGGACTACAACGAGATCACCAGTTTGCAAAGGAAGTGTAAGTCTGAGATCAATATTCTATTGATGGTTTACTGACTTCCATAGCTATGGCACTTGCTGTACAGACGACATAACTTACAATTAGCCAAAGGTTAGATGAAGCCAGGCCGATTGGGAGGGAGGGGTAGAGGAAAAGAAAAGAACATCTTTTGGGTTTTGACGCGGAGCAATGTATAGTACTGTTACTGGATTAAGAGTGATTTTATGGATTCTTTTAACTTTTCCTTTTCCTATGTTATAACGATTTAAACTGTACGGCAGCATTGGATCGATGATAATCAAATTGCCGAGCATAAAGATTTGAAGGTCATCATAAGAGGGCAATGATGAAGAAATTAAAAAATCCTACTATTCTACAAGCAAACAACCTACATACTCTGGTTTCTCATCATAAATGAAGCCTCCTTCCCTCTATTTACCACAAGGAGATTGGAAAAGAACATGAAATGTACACCATGCAATACACAGAATCTTAATCCTACATATCAACGCGACTTCACTTCCCCTTCCTCCATATCTCTCCGCCGCACTCCCAAATGAATGGAGGCCCTGGGCACGACAGCTGTACGCCAGATGAATGTCCTCCTTTTCTCTTCCATGTAAACCGCATCGATGTCGATGTCGAAGTTCATAATGATATTTCCCACAAGAAGTTTCAGTATACTGGAAGCGTAGAATCTTCCTGGACTGTAATGGCATTGATTATTATTCACTTCAATAGAGGACGGGTGTTGCAAGACTTACCAAGCATGCTTCCCCATTCCCCAGAGAGGGAAGTCTGCTCCTAAATTCGTGAAGGATGTATTCAACCCACCGTCTGTCTTCCCAGATGATTCACTTGATTGATGGGATGGAATGGCATGTGAAGAAATTTTCGCAGGAAAACGTCGCAACGGAACGCAAACCCAGTCCCCCTTGTTCACCACAGTGCCATCACGGAAGCGGTACGTTTGAAGCGCCTTTCGGCGCATCGAGATGCTGTCCGATGGATGTAGTTTCGCAGACTCGACGAGAAGTCTGTCTAGGTTGGGAAGGCTGGATAGAGATGTTGTCCAATCATCCACTGAGGACATTTCCTCTCGGAGAAGGCCAATTTGAGTGGGGTTGTCGATCAGGTGGTACAGGGCGTATACCAAGGACTGGGTGGTGGAACCATTGTTAGTCGAATGTGGGATGGTTATTGGACAGGCGAACCTACCATCGAAACTTGATGAACGGAGCCGAACCACAGGGCGAGGAACTCTTGAATAATGTGGTCGACGTTATAATCAGATTTACGGATCATGGTTTCGACTATCCATTGTATGCAATCAACCTTTCTTGTAGATTAGGAAGAGATTCTTTTCTAAAGTGGCAATTGGCGGGAAGGGTGGACTCACAGGGCGTTGGGCGTGCGGGATGTTATCCTCGCATATCCGGATCCGTTCGAGGATGGTGGTGCGGAGGTAGGATACGAGGATCCGCTCCGACCGCTTGAAATTTGTGCTCAGAGAGGCAATTATACTTTTCGCATCATCAGGAAGTGTATCTGAGCAGGTGCAGTTCGTAATAGTACTTACGGTGCAAGGGCACGTGGGAAGAATTGAAGTATCTCGCCAGTTACCATAACTTCTTGTGCGAAGTCCCCAGCCGCCGTGACAAACTCTTCGTTCTGAGCTGCAGTCGGGTGATTAGCATAACATTCAGAATAGTGTAGTTTGCAAAGCATAGTATACCTAGTTCTGGCCCAACGAAACAATAACTGTTGATCTGAGAGACAAGTCTCCTCGACACCTCGAATGTTGGAATATTTTGAAAACCTACCAGACAATATTAGCAGTGAATCCTTGTCTAAGATATCAGCATACATACCGGGCTTGCTTGGGCTGGACTTCCCATGAAGTGCTATCTGCTGCCGAAAACACTTCAGTGACAGGTCCCGCAACCCCGGAAGCAAATACGGGATCTTGGATGTCAAAAGCGTACGCAGGACTCGCGAATGCATGCTCCCGTTCAATGGAGATTTGTCGTGAACCTTGAATCCGTACATGGTATGTTGGGGCTCGAACATCTGTTCAAGTGAATGCTTAGCTTTTGCGCACTGTTTCATGCTGGCACGGTTGCTATCTTACATCCTTTGCAACTGCGTGCAGCGAGAGAATGGTATCTGGCACAGACGCGAGCTCTTCAGTGTGTTCATCTGAGGACACTATAACAAGGTTGTTCCTGAGTGTACGGATACGGTACGGGCGGCCATTGCTCTAAACATGCTCAGTGAACCTGTATTCAGAGCTTGCGATGAAGAACTTGGGTTCATACCTTTTGGTATCCTTCCTCAATCAGTTCTGCGCCACGAATGTGATAGGTTACGATCCGCCGAACAAATTCGAACAGTTGAAAACGTCGCCATGGCTTTCTGGACTGGCAAATCGTTTAGTGCATGCTGCAATTGTTTGTTCATCAATATAAGGAGGCATACAGAGTGTGAGGAGGAAATGTATAAGTAGAGCTGCCTAGCCACCGCGAAAATGACAATAGGCGCCAAATAGGCAAACGCTATTTGTGTTTCTTCTGAAAGAGACATGATGATGGTATTTCTCTAAACTATGCTGGAATTTTTCCCAATAAAGTTACAAGTGGAGAAGGGATGTTGATAATCCCCTGTAAAATCACTTTTAGCTCTTCTCTGTCCACATACTCGGTCCAAACCAGGGCTCTCAAACACATTTTGTCATTAAGGCAGCAGACGTATCTCATCCATGACTTACTCTCATCATACCCCGGCATATCAACTTGTCTCCGTACTGTGGATAGTTAGCCTCCGGGATCGCCTCGTAGCTGCGGGTGGCTACGCCGCTTAGGTGAATGGCGGCTTAAGAGATCTGTCGGCTGCAGTGCCAAACACGGAGAAACTATTCATGTCTCATACTAAACAGCAAATGGACCTGCATGCTATCACAATCAGCCCCCCATAGCACTATCCCAATGCAACGCGGCCGAGGCAAGTTGACGTGGGTAATCTTGGCTGCCTGCTAAACATGCGGGCTAAGCCCCTTGTTCGGACGATTCACAGGAATGGTAATGATAGTAGCGACTTATGGAGATTCGTGGGGATCAGCAGACTATCAGCAGTATTTTGCGAGGACGTATCTGACATCACCGAGTATATCTACCAAACTCCTGCTTCGAAATCAAACAACCTTCTCTTAAAACAACCCTCCCCTGACCTCGGACACCGAGCAGATACCAGGCTGTCTTTCCGATTTCGAGGTTACATACAGCGATTGGAGTGTACATGAACTTCGTATTTTCATATGATGACTCCATCAAGCATGATGCTCTCTGTAGCGCTTATGGTGTCTTTCCAATTAACCTTGACTCTTCCACTCCTCCTCCTCCCCGAAAACCGCCCCGTTCGAATGGTGGTGATTGTTCTCCTCGTATTCCAATATGTGAATCTTGTCAACACTTCGTCCGGAGATGCAGCTATGAATTGGGGTCTAGGACTGGCAATCACACCACAACTGCTGAAGGGATTTGAAATTTACATCACCCATACACCAGCAAGCGAACACTTCCATCGCATAAGGCTGCGGGACGAACCCGTTGACGGTTCGAACGGTTCGAACGGTCTCTCGGAGAGATTACTCTGGGCTCTGGAGCTCGTCTACACCCCACGGGGCATTGGTTGGAACTGGGAAATTCCTTACGTGTGCTACATAGGTACCGAGTCCAAAAGGTTCGTTTGACCTGAATCAGTTCTGCCTCGGGTGGCTTGTTAACGTTTAGCCCCAGCGCTTATTTAGCTTCGCGGATTAAACGAATTGCCCTATTCTCCGTCATGCTCTTCGCTCTGTCCAATGGCATGCCGAACAGCAAATCTCCGTCCATAACGGGACACCCGCCTCTCAGTATAGGCTTACTTGTGCCGACGTGGGCATATGCGATCAGCGCATACCTACAGCTATGGCTCACATTCACTATTCCCGCTACTTTTATGGTCGGTTTTGGTTTTGGAGATCCCAGAGCCTTTCCCTACATGATGGGACCTATCGGTGCCATGGCATCTCTACGATGCTTTTGGGGGCGAACATGGCACCAAGCGGTTCGGAGACAGATGACGACGGCGGGAAATCTGCTTACATCTCAAGCGGGTATAACAAAAGGTACTATAGAGAGTGCGTACCTGAAACTACTGGTAGGTTTCCTGATATCGGCGTGGACGCATGCGGTAGCGGGATACAAAGCCCGTGGTGGTGGACCAGATTTGGACCCAACCGGAGCATTCCGATTCTTTCTGTTACAGTTTTGTGGAATCGTCTTTGAAGATCTTTGCTTCCATATCCTGCAACTACTCCGCATCATTGGGGCGGATTGGCGGAATGATCAAATGTCCCAGGGCAAGTATGGATATGGGAAGGGTTTGGAATGGTGGGTACTAGACAAGGCAGACATGGTCTTAGGTTATATCTGGGTCATTCTTTGGTTTAGTATCACTCTGCCACCATATGTTGAAGCTATCCGGATGACTGGAGCGCTGGATTAGAGGTTGCGATACCTCGATGGGATGCATCGTTTATCGCAAGATGTAAGAGAATGTAGGCTTAGCTCCACAGGTCAATATATGCATATGCCGATTCATCCATGATAAAAGCCCTTGATTTGTTCTAGTAGGCCCGGTAATAATGTAGTGGTTCGCCTGGGTCGCATGAAGCGTGTATGATGGTTTACTGATCTGGAGTCGACAAGAACCTGGACCTCCGTCTGACACCAGAACCCTGGTTCCAAGGCGGGATACCTGTAGATAAAAGACGGCAATTTGCTTCCTGTAAGCATGGCAGGTAGGGATTAAGACGCCCAATATCCAAATACAATTCACATATAGTAGTGCAGCGTCAGCAGGATAAGCCCACCACAATGGCGCTCGGCTGGCTCTGTAGATCGGCTCCGGTGTGCTGACACTAACCCCCAATGGTAGCGTGGCAATGATCGAATCAATTGACGTGCTTGACACTGCCGAATAGACTGTGATTTTCTTTTCGTAATTTACCAGGTAACGATTCAAATATTTCCTCATCTAGTCTTGTCCAATTAGAATTTTAGCGTACATGCTGAATGCAAAGCCCATTTCTCACACTTTCGTGTTATGACACGCACATCTTGTTTTGAAGCTTCTATGCTGTGCTATCGAATACACCAGTACTACCATATCGTGACCATAGTGAGAGAATAAGAAAATCATGCCCTCAAATTTGTACCTTTTGGTTCTACCAGTCAACGTCCTCTATGTGGTTATAGGAATCATCCTTTTCCTTTCCTTGCACCGAGCGTACAAGGCTCGCGCGCGTGTGAATGAACTGCGCAAGATGTCCATGGTCAGTCTTCGAAATTATAGATCTAAGGTCACGCACTAACAATGACAGCCGATGCCTCCATGGAACTGGTTCACGGGACACCTCCTCATTCTGCAGCGATACATGTCTAAATTTCCTAAAGATACATTCATCAATGTCATCATCTCGGACGTAGCACGTGAGCTTGGGAACGTCGACATGTTCTACCTAGACCTATGGCCATTCCTGAAACCGACATTGTTCATATGCAGTCCTGATCCAGCATTCCAGGCCGCGAACAAGTTCAACCTTCCGAAGCCTTCTATGTACCGGGTTATGTTTGAGCCAATCAATGGAGGGCCCAATTTATTGACAATGAATGGGGAGCAGTGGAAGTTCTGGCGATCGCTTTTCAACCCAGGATTTGCTCCTGCGTATCTGATGCAGCAGGTTCCGGCCATCATAGACTGTGTTCAAACTTTTACCGATCGTCTGAGGGACTTGGATGGCAAGGTCTTGCCTTTGCAGAACTTCACAACTCCGCTTACAATGGATGTCATCATGAGAGTTGCACTGTACGTAACCCTGCCTTCCCACTTCATATCTACGATGAATTCTGATCTAACATTATAGGGATCTTGAGTTGAACTGCCAAAGAAACGAGCACCCTCTTGTGAACTCTTTGTTGACCATGATAAGCTGGAGTAAACTGGGAAATCCACTAGCAAGATTTAACCCTGTTCGGACCTTCGTTCTACGAAAGCACGACAAAATCATGAATCGCATTATAGGCGGTGAGCTTCAAAAAAGATTTGAAGAGCTGCACAACAGCAGTCAATCCGCCACTGATGTCGATTCAAAACGGTCAAAGTCGGTAGTTACGCTTACGCTCTCTGAGTATCACAAAGTCAACAACAACAGCAAAGTTGAGAGCGCTACTCTGGACAAGCACTTTGCTGATTTTGCCACGTATCAACTTCGACTGTTTCTGTTCGCAGGCCACGATACTGTTACCAGTGTCCTTGTGTATATTTACCACATGCTGTACAAGCACCCCGAGGTTCGATATCACATGTGCCAGGAGCACGAAGCCGTCTTTGGTCCTAATGCATCCAACGCCTCGAACATTCTCCGCGCAAATCCTTTATTACTAAACCAGACTCCATTCACCCTCGCTGTCATTAAAGAAACCATGCGCCTCTTTCCCCCAGCAGGCGCAATGCGCGAAGGCGGCCCCATCCTCGTCGACCGAAATGGTCTGAAGTTCCCCACAGACGATTGTCTCGTCTCCAACTCCCACCATACAATCCATCGTAACCCCAACGTGTGGGTTCGAGCTGAAGATTTTCTCCCAGAACGATGGCTTGTGGATGCTAGCCACGAACTGTATCCCCCACCCGATGCATTCCGACCGTTCGAACTGGGCCCACGAATGTGCATCGGTCATAATCTCTCGCTTATCGAACTGAAGATAACGTTAATCATGACGGTGAGGACGTTCCGCGTTGAGCCTGCTTATGAGAAGTGGGATGAATTGAAAGGGAAGGGCATTGCAGAAAGAGCTCTCGGGAAGTGGTGGAGTGGATGCGAAAAGGTGTTGACTGTGGATGGGGACAGAGCATATCAAGAGGAGAAGGGAGGCGCTCATCCTTCGGAAGGGTATCCTTGTACTGTACAGGTTATTAGTCAAGGTTGACGACAAACAGAACGATAAATGGTCGTTGTATTTCCGCTTCGTTTCGTATCTAATTCCTACGCACAAATGAAATCATTCTCATCCCACGACAAGCTTGAGTTTGCTGTAACCGATTTAGTGACCCTACAACCTCCCTATAGAAGAGCGCATCACCGCGTAGGCTTTTACACCGACAAAGATGATGCTATCAATATTCCATCAATTCCAAGAACAAGGTCTCAGGCGGCCGGAATAGCGGCGCCGCTGGGTTGGATGGGATGAGTCAACGCTTACACTGGAGTATTGGAGGTCTGGGCGTTGGTAGAGTTGCTCATTGTGGTAATGAATTTCGTATTCGCCTATGGGAAAGGTTCCGTTCCACGTTGTCAATTGGGAGTGGGTCCGGACCAACTTGGAGAATTGTAATGTTCTACACAAACCCTGCTGATCTCTGTCGGAGGATTCACATCTTGAAACACGATCTAGAATGCCGCATTTAGACAAATTCCTGCTCTCTACGTCCTTCAACACACACCATTATTGCACTCACTGAGATGATTGTGATAGGAAATGCACTCGGGGTGCTATTTGGTGTCATTTTATTACATGGAAGTCACACTCATGGTGGTAATCCAGAAAGCTATGGGTAATCGCTGGGGAATACCATTGCAGCCAATTTCCGGTGTCCTCAGAACCCGTCGATCTCTCGTTTTACATGGTCTCTGTGTGTGAACTATCCAACTGGTCGACGGAGATGCGAGACCACCATGTCCGCCCACAGCACCGTATATGTGCTCTTCTTCCTCTGCCTCACCTTCCTCCCCTTCCGTTTCTTCCAGAGTAGTGGAAAAGATCCGTCCTAATGAACTCAAATTGACAAAGATTTGCTCCCCTCTGACAAGATCCGATGAAGACCTATGAGACATGTAGATATTCTACCATGTAGAGATAGATCTGCTCGGACCGGGCTATCGCGTGTTACCCCTTCAGCAATGCATACCTATTGACCGAAGATCAAAGCACCCTCCAGTGGGTTCCTCAGTTCTGCGATACCTCTTTACCATGCTCTTCATATAAAAGGAAACTCAGGATCCCTTCTTTACAGATCTTCATCATCATCACGATCACGATCAGTCACTCTTTCCTGCAGTTTCTGCAACCACATTCTTTTTCAGAATTCAAACTTTACACACACTCTTTACGGAATCCACTCCACCAGCGTATCTAGAACATTCATTTGATCCCAATTCGAGTTCAACAACATCTCCACCATGAAGCTCCTCCCTACTGTATTCTTCGCTCTTATGACCTCCACCGCCCTCGGTGCCGACGTTGAGGCCAGGCAAACTGGAGGCAGTGCTGCTGCCTCTGCTCTCATCAACCCTCTTAACCCCCTCAACCCCCTCAACTACTTCGACGACAAAAGTCCCCTCAGCAACCTCAATCCCTTCATGAGCAACAGCCCACTCAAGAACCTTCTCCCCGGATCTTCTAGTACATCTTCTGCTCCCAGTACTTCTGGGACGCCACCTCCTGCTCCTGGCGTTCCTGCTGCCGGCGCTCCACCTGCTCCCGTCGCTTCGGTAGCACCTGTTGCTCCCGTTGCTCCCGTTGCTCCCGCCCCTGCTGCTCCCGTTGCTCCCGCTCCTGTTGCTCCCGCCCCTGTTGCTCCCGCTCCTGTTGCTCCCGCCCCTGTTGCTCCCGCCCCTGTTGCTCCCGTTGCCGCAGGTGCTCCCGGTGCTCCCGGTGCTTCCACACCAGGCGCAACTGATCCTAACCTCTTGCCCCCTGCTTCTGCGGATTCAGTGACCACCACCGATCCTGCATCAGTTCCCGCAGCCGCCGCCATTGCACCACCAAACAATCCTGTTCTCAGCCGTAGGGGCGGTTGCAAGCGTGGACAACTCGGCGCAAGGTGCATCCGAAAAACCGCCATTCCTAAGCCCAACCCAGCTGGAAAGACCAAGGACACTTTGCGCTGTGGTGAAGCTCAGCCCCGCTCTGACCGAGGTCTAGGACTGGCGCGATACAATTGCCACAGGGCTTACATCTGCAACGCCGAAGGAAATCCCAAGCTCAGGACCAGGAACCCCAAGATTATTGATGCTTGCAGCGGAAGGTGCCATTGCATCCCTCCATCCTCTAGTGGTAGGGGCTCCCTAGGCCAATAGAGGTGAGAGGAGGCAGTAAAGGATATGCACTGAATGTGCTAATTCAGTGATGAAGATGGGTGAAAAGTTAGGATCGAATTTTATTTTCTCGGTTGGTGGTCTTTTTGGTCTATTCGGCGAATTGGAAGGGGGTGCCTCTTGCATGGTGTTGGATGTCGGAATGAGATCATTTGAATTTAGAGTTATTACAGACATGGTGGCAACACCGGTAATCATAGATATAAGCATTTTGTTTTGATTTTTACTAGAACCTTTTTGCTCTCTTCAATGTTTTCTCGTTCTTGTGATGAAAATATGGATCGTAATAATAAAGAAGTGACATGCACTGGTGAATCTTGTATTCAACATCGGTTAGGGTTCAACGTGTATTTCCAACATTGCCCTTCGCTAGACTATATCACTGGCTTGAGAATTGAATTGCAGTCTCGATACTTCCATGAAAGCGAACAGTTGTAGCATAAATGTCAGAGGTCAAATCTCGCGTACTTATCTACTTAGCATGAGTAAATCAAGTTCAACCCACCAAGAGCAAGAGGAACATGACTTACGAATGAGCCATGATCCTGTTCAGCTCCCGACAGAAGTTGAAAGTATATCTGAGAAGCGGAAACGCTGGGTGAAGTTACTACATAACCTAGAATACGCGCAGCTCATCGATGAAGTACTATCAGTGGAGTTAGCGAAGTACAGAAACAGTGCCGTAGTTTCTTCTACGAAGTCTCCAGAGACATATCGGGAATGCGCCTTGATTCTATCGTCGGCATCGCCACTATTTGAGGCAGCTGTCGAAGGCGTCTTACCGCTCCGGTTTCTGTTAGATAGCAAGCTGCAGGCCCAGCATGTGACTCTGCTGGAGAGAGCGAGGTCCCAGCCGAGTATATATGTTCACATTCTCGCTGACAAGCACGGCACTGCGCCAAGTGCCAGACAGTACATGGCAGTGGCAGACATTGCATCGAGATACGTTGGCGAAGCCAATGCCGAAAACAACAAAATAGCTGGGTTGATAGATTCAACCACACCAGCCCCTATCTCAAGCAATCTGATGAGCCTAGGACAGAGAAAGTATCTTGTCACCCCTTCATCTTCACGTTCGAAAGCCCGCATAGCCAGAATAAATCTCTTCTCCAACAGCATCCGCCGACGCTTCCTCTCAACCCCCCTACCAGATCGTGACCTCCCGCTGTGGCCTCCTCCCAGCGAAGTAGGATACTCCATCAACTCCCCATCTCGGCTATCCCAACATCGTCGCCACCAATCCTCAAACTACATCATGAATCTCACAGAAGACATATGCACCCACTTACACCTCACCCAACACGAACTATTCCGCACGCAGCACTTCATCTTGCATTCGTTCATCATATATCTCATCTTCCGCCCTCAGCAGGTTCACATTGCAGAGATTTTTACATCCGGGCTTCTTCAAGTTTGGATCGAGAATGGTGGGGGGTTCAATTACTACCCGGCTGGTAGGAGCAATTCATCGGGGGACAGGGTGACGGCGGAGGAGTGGCGGAATCATGATGCATGGGTAAGGGAGAATAGTGACTTGGATGGTAGATGGGAGATGCTGAGGAAGAGAGTTGAGAGGGATGTTATTGCGGTTGGGCGTGAACTGGCGGATATTTGGAGGGAGGTCATGAAAGATTGAAAAGATTCCGAATATAATAGCATTGAATCCAATTTGCAATTCACGACCCAGATTTCTTACTTAATTTATACCGCTTACCATTTGATGTCCAACAATTCTTTCGAATCGCTCTCTTCCCACGGATACTTCTTTAGGGACTTTTCGATCAATGCTCGATGCAATTCGCTTCTAGGCTTTATGCTTGTTCGATAGGGAACAGGATGGCTGATGGCCCCAGACTCGAATGCAACCTTTGGGAGTGCTCCATCAGGCTTGATATCAAACACTGCTAGAGACTGTGCGATGGTGATGAACAGCGCATTATCTGCCACATATCGTCCCGGACAAATCCTTCTACCGAACCCAAACACATAGTTTCGTGGATCTGGTTCAGGGACATGCCCATCGGTCTTGAGAAAACGATCCGGATTGAATGACATTGGGTCAGGATATACAGAAGGATCGTGCGTGAACCACCTTTGTTCTTGTTAGCCATGTGTGTACACAACAGAAGTGATGCGTGTGCGTTCACCAAATATTTGGGAGAAAGACCGCTCCTTTCGGTATTCGGTACCCTTTATATATGTCCTCGGTTGTGCTAGCATGTGGCAGAGCCATGGGCACAATGGAATGCCATCGGTGCGTTTCAAGCATCAAGGCATAGATATACGGAAGACTGTTCTTGTCGGCTGCAACGGGCAGCCGATCTTGCCCAATGACACGGTCGATCTCTTCCTGGGCTTTCCTCTGCACCTCGGGATACAGAGTCATAGCCAGGAAAAACGTCATCAACGATGACACCGTCTGCACCGCATTGTCAGTACTTGCAGGTGCAATGTCAACGCACCTGACCTACCGTATCGGCACCAGCACCGAACATCGACACGGCCGCCCACTTATGGGCATAATCCATCTCTGGATCGGTTCCAAAGTCCTGATTAGCCTGGGACAAGAAAGAGGTTTTCGCTCGCTTCTTACGCATCTGCTGTTTGACGAATGCGTATGGCTGTGCGACGCACTGATCCACCACGGCGCGCATTTCGCGACCTATCTTGCGGTACTCTGTGCCAGGGAATCCTTCCGGGAGGTATTTCACTACATTATACCAAGTCAATATCCGGTTTGTGGGAAATACGGGATAGGACGATGAAAAGCTTACAGAATGGTAAAGGTCGATCGCCCATTTCCCTGGGACACTCGACTCCACGAATATGTTCATGGCTCTACCGACGAGATCAATGAAGGGGTCATGTCCGTGACTCTCCGCCGAGTAGCCATATATGATCTTCAAAATGACGGTGCCGGCCTCCCGACGAATGTGAGCGGAAAGGTCCTCCGGATTAGCGAGAACATTCAACAGAAAGTGCGCAGCCTCTGTTTCCTGCACTCGGTCAAACATAGCAATTGAGATGTTAGAGCCTACGACTTTAGTGATATTCTTTCGGTGAAGTTTCAAGTAGCTGTTATATTGGCTCAGCGCAGTGGAAGAATTCCAACCGACGATGTCACCGCTGAATGTCTGGTGGGGACGGGACGAGTTGATGTTGGATCGGTCACGGAGTAGTTCGAAGGCGATGCTTGCATCGTTAATGATGATCATAGTCTGGCCTAATACTGTGACAGAACTAATCGGACCTGTGGGCTCCTCTTAGCGATCTCCTGTCACTTGGGATTGGGTTGATTGAACTCTACCGTAATTGTCCTTGTGCTTAAGCCAGTGCTGCCACTCCAATTCGTCCTTCTTGGGCATATCATTCACGTTCCCAAGAATGGGTATGCCCCGTGGACCAGGAGGCAGAGGGAGTAAAGCATTCCGCCGCCGATATTTACGAAGTGCTACCACCAGTCCAATGCTGGTACAAAAGACAACAAAAGTACCGACAGCAAATAGGGCTGCATTACCCATACTGAAAGCCTCAAGGATGATTTCAAGCACTGTAGTGAGTTTCGGTCCAGATTTCACGCGGATACTACTTGCGAGGCTGTAAACGAAGGGACCATGTCTAGTTATATCGTTCAGTGTTATCTACTATTGAGAGAAGGACGATCGGGCGGGGTTATGTTTCGAGCCATGCGTCCGAAGAGATAACAAATGCTGTATATGCAATGCGCTTCCTTCTACATTACAGCAAGACATGGTGATGGTACTATCAAGGCTCTGTATGGTGTCGGATAGCTGCAGCGCAACGGCAATCCTGGAATTGATATGTTCTGATTGGCAAGGCTGAAATTTTTCAATGGCCGATCGGACTGCCATGACAGGGCTGTTCACTGGGCATGCAGACGTTTGTGCGACAGGTGAACCCATTTGGGAATTTACCTATCTTGAATTCAAGCCTCGCGTTGAATGCAATAAAAAATTGGAAGTACCCACCACTCTACTGATCCACAGACTTGTAATACTACTTCAGCATTGCGATTCTCACTTTCAATCATGATTCTACACTTTTAGGAAAGTAGGAAAATATAAGGCTGCTCACAATAACTGCAGGGCGCCGCTGCCTTATATTTACCCGCTGCCTAGCTGCCGCAGTACGGATCCGCTCCTATGCAGCATGCATCATGCCATGTGCGCAGAGCAATATACGAATCCACTGTCCCGGGCTCATTTGACTAACAGCACCATCGTGCAAAGCGGTGCTGAACGGTATGCGATATTATCCGTAACCGTGCAAATGGAAGTGATAGGGCCAAATACAGAATGTAGTTGACTAGCATGATTCCGTGGGGTGCTTGCTGTCTATAAATTGTGAATGATGTATGGGAAAGGAGGTTGCAGTTGCAGGATGATGTATTTATCGCCACTGTACTAGTGAGGACCATGTCCAATCTAGGAATCGGGGACTTTTCGCCGAGAATGCGTCGTACACGATTAGTTCACTGGGATGATACATTGTGTGCACACTAATGAGCCTAACTTTCTATCAATCAATTAGATCTTTCCGTTAAGTATGATCACTGGGAGGAAATACTGACAACGTCAAGCCTCGGAGAGAACGGATAGAGATGAATTAATATGTAAAATACTGGGTAGCTCACATGGGTGCCCTCAACGAACCTCTGACCACGCACGATTTCGGTAACCATGTCTGTCAAGGTCGTTCCAAGAGTCTTCGTGTGTCATGGAAAATTTCCTTGATGTTGTACGTAGACTATACCTCCGATTTACAGACGGAAACAGTGGTATAGATTTGTTACCAGTCAAAGACCCAAGTTACGCAATGTTGTGTAAATACCTACCTAGGTACATACCTGGTGGCCAAAGGCAGGGATGAGCTAACCGTATCAGGTAACACGAGTGAATTCACTGCGATTGATAGATCTCAAAGTCGGCCAATATGAGATTAGATACTTAGCAAAAAGTAATCAGTAATTGCCAGTCACTGTATTCTCAAGTTGATAGAAAATAATCTTGCTCAACAACCTATACAGTTTGTGAGACGTGTTGCGTTCACCGTCCGGAAACGTACCGGCTTGAAAACCCAAGTTTGCCGTTACAGCATGAAAGGTGAGTTGAAGATACCATTCAAGATACCTACAATAGTCAATGATAAATGAAACATGATACGAAAGAAGATTTTGATGTGAATCATCAAATGTAATGGAAGATGCCAGGGGACTATCAATCATGGTCACGTGGCAATCCTTTGTATATGGTGGAGGGGTAAAATGTCGGAAGTTGGAAATGCCGACAATAGAGGACCGTGCGTTCGAGATACATCCCAGTCGTTAATTTAGTGAGTCAAGCTAAAGATAAATCCACATCTTTGCCCCTCCAGCGTAAACTCCACTACAATAGACGGACAGAACAGTCGCACAAACACCCAATCGTGGGCCTAGAGACCATACACGCCTAGTTTACATCTGAAATTGAATTCCCAACACACGCCGAGACTCTTCGATCCCAACCAAGCATGGCCGACGCTCCTACTGATAAGCCTACAGCTGTGGCAGACGCTGCCCCTGCTGCGGAAGACAAAGGCCCCTCAAAACGTGCGCTCGAGAAGGCTGCAAAGAAGGCAGCTGCGAAAGCGAAGAAAGCAGAACACGCCCTTCGTCCGAAGGAACCAAAGGAGCCCAAGGCCCAGGCTAAGTCGAGCAATGCCGAACCCGCGAAACCTGTAAGCATCTTCACAGAAGGATGGCTCCGACGAATCTACGACGAGAAGCCCGTGCAGCCCGTACGGTCTCGATTCCCGCCTGAGCCCAACGGCTATCTTCATATCGGTCACTGCAAAGCGATCGCTGTCAATTTTGGCTTTGCGAAACACCACAAGGGTGTCTGTTTCTTGCGTTACGACGACACCAACCCCGAAAAGGAGGAGGAGAAGTACTTCACGAGCATTCTAGATATCATCAAGTGGTTAGGTTTCGAGCCTCATCAGGTCACATACAGCAGTGACAACTTTGAGCGCCTGTATGAGTTGGCAGAGGAATTGATAAGAAAGGATAAGGCCTACGTCTGCCACTGCTCCCGTGAGTCTGTCCCATGGAACTCAAGATGAGTCCGCTAATGATTTGATTAGGAGAGGAAGTCAACCGCCAGCGAGGCGGACCCGATAATCGTGGCGCTCGCTACGCCTGCGAGCACCGCACGCGACCTGTCGAAGAGTCGTTGGCCGAGTTCCGAGCTATGCGCGATGGAAAATACAAACCCGGAGAGGCATATTTGCGCATGAAGCAAAGCTTGACGGACCCCAATGAAGGAAATCCTCAGATGTGGGATTTACCCGCCTATCGAGTGGTCGAGAAGAACCATCACCACCGAACCGGGGACAGATGGAAGATATACCCTACGTATGACTTCACTCACTGCTTGTGCGATGCCTTTGAGGAAATCTCGCACTCTCTATGCACAACGGAGTTCCAGCAGTCAAGGATCTCATACGACTGGTTGCTAGAGCAGCTTGGTATGAAGGTCCCTAAATCGGAGGAGAAAGGGCCCATGCAGAGAGAGTGAGTTCAAAATAACACGAAACAATGATTCTGGTACTAAATTTTTGTGTAGATACGGTCGCCTCAATGTTGGCGGTACTATCCTATCTAAGCGTCGGATTCTCATGCTGGTTGAAGGTGCTAAGGTCGAGAAGAAGAACCCCGACGGAACTGTAGAGGAGAAGATCATTCCACCAGCTGTCCGAGGATGGGATGATCCACGACTGTACACCTTGGTTGCTCTTCGCCGTCGAGGTATCCCTGCTAAAGCACTACTCAATTTCGTAGAGGAGTTGGGTGTTACTGATGCCCTTACCGAGATCCAGCCTTTCCGACTCGAATCCTCCATCCGAAAGTTCCTTGAGCGCACCGTCCCCCGGCAGATGCTTGTCCTAGATCCTGTTAAGGTTGTCATCGAGGATTTCGCAGCGGAAGACGATGTCGAGATCACTGTGCCCTACGATCCCAAGGGTGCAATTCCTGGAGAGCGTAAAGTGAAGCTTGGTAAGGAGGTCTACATCGATCGATCGGACTTCCGAGAGGTAGATGATCCCGAATACCGCAGGCTCGCCCCCAATAAGGTTGTCGGTCTCTACAACGTACCTTTCCCAATCCGCGCTACGACGTTCTCCAAAGATGAGAGTGGCAAGGTCACTGAGATCCGAGCTACCAAAGCAGCTTGGACGACTGAGAAGACAAAGACTCACATCCAGTGGGTAGATGCCGCAACCGCCGTTCCAGTTACCGCGCGCCAGTACAACTCCTTATTCAAGTCCGAGTCTCCCAATACCCTGGACTGGAAGACCGGTGGCTACGCCGATGACCTCAACCCCGAGTCTGAAGTCATTCATAAGGATGCCGTGATTGAACGAGGTATCAAAGACCTGATCAAGGAGCACTCACTCGACATTAGTAGCTCTTCAGATAACCTCATCCGTTTCCAGGCTCTTCGCACTGCTTACTTCTGTGTTGATACCGATTCTACCGAGGACAATATTGTACTCAACCAGATTGTTAGTTTGAGGGAGGACAAGGCCAAATGATTGACGTTGACCGTGCATTCATTTCCAGTAAGTCATGTAAGTTGGTCGGCAGCCTGACCAATAGTGTAACGACACATCATATGGAGGGGGAAAGGACTCTCACGCATAGATATCCCAAACAATGTTAATTTACTATTCTCGTTGTTCATGTACCTTCAACGCTACACAGCATGGCAATCGTCACCTGATTTCGCCCTCCCTTGTTATGTGATGGGGAGATGTTAATTGCTATGACATGCACTTGCTACGTTTCCATTCAGGACCACTCATTTATCATTATCCTTTGATGGAATCATGCTGATAACAATATCCCCCAGACGCCTAGAAAGTCGAGTGACGGAGACGGGAAAGCTTGTTCCAAGGACGATGCATTAAACCGTACCACGCGTGCATTTAGCCGCCGACATGGCAACCCATAAGTTCGCGCGATTCACTGCATGCATCTTGACCCTCGAAACACTTTTCGTCCTTTTCCGATCTCCCTTTCGCATTTTCATGTTTTCGCGCCATTCTAGATCCGATCGACGATCCGCGTTCCCTTCCATTGAGAGCCTAGCCCTGTCCGGGGATGCGGCAACATCCTAGCTGTGCGCCTGCGGTTGTTGCACCTATGGCATGCAGGAGGTCGTAAATGGCGGGCGCGGTTTGCACTAAACATGTGTTTTGAACAAATAGGCATGGGGAAACCTTGCCAGTCACATTGGGTTGCTTTGCGTCAAGGATTCCGCAACCGGGAGCAGACAAAGATGAAGGGGAAGAGGAAGGAGGGGAAAGTGGTTTGGTGGGGGGTGAACCCGGGAACAACACCATGCACTATCAACTCGAGGTTGTAACATGGCCCCATCTTCACCTCCATGGACTCACCAGAACATGTTCCGATGTTCAAGAGGCGACAGGTCATATCTACGCAAGCGCCGTGTCGCTCCACACACGGATGGTTCGTGTACCAGACGCAGCACCGACGCGCTGGTTCCTCTTTCAGTAGGACACGCATTTGAGGAATGCTTTCCAGGCTTGGCCCCAATTAGACCCGCATTCTTCAGCTTTCCAGACATTGCCATCCCGCGGCTCATAGCCGCCAGGTCGTTCAGTTAAACACAGCGCTTGCCCCCAAAGGTGTGATACAATCGGTGTGATAAGTCTGGTGAAGCACTCTTTCACTTGAAGGCATTGCCAAAGTTTCTCCATCGCGTAAAGTTTGTGGCTGCGGCACAGGCACAAGAGTTATGGCTATTCTGGAGTCTACCTCGGGTGGCATTGTCCACTGCCTGCCGCCATCGTCAAAATCCTGCGGTACCGATGAGGCGAAGGCGGCGTTGACCTCATCGGCATTATTGAATCCAGTATCCCCATGTCTGGGATATACCAAAGCATCAACTCACTCCACCATGCCATTACCCAATATGACCCGCAATTTTAAGTTCTTCGTGAAGACGAATGGGGACCGTCAAATCGAGCGCGCAGATAGGCTGGAGATCCGACGGACCGTCATGACAACAGCCAAGGATCGCAAACTGGAGGGCGGCAAGGAAAGCCAACGCAGCGCAGAAGCGATACTAAAGTCAAGGCAGTCCGATCTGAAGCAGCGCTTCAGGGTGGAAAAGCCCGGCGAGCCACCGAAGACAAAAGCCGATCGAAAACCGAAGAAGTCGCAGTTGAAGCAGAACCAGGAGATCAAATCAGAATCAGAGGATGGCCTGGAAGAGTTGTGCAATTTCGGGCCGACCACTACTTATGCGGAGCGATCTGACCAGTCCTGTACCTCTACAACTGCATCAACAAGGAAGCCTTCGACGAGCCAATCGTACAGCAGCAGCCGTCCAAGCTCACCTGAGGAATTGAGCCAGCATTTGATCAGGACGCTTTGGTCTATCTTGCAGTTCAACCCGAATCTGAACTACTGGTTCGATCCGTTCGATGTCCTACCCATACCCGGAACTGCGCAGCTAGACAGATTGCTCAAACTTTGTAAGTTTTCTTCCTTTTAAGCACGTGGTTCGTGTGACTTGGTCAGGCGAATAGCTTGGCTAACATAGTTAAGACAAATCGGGTACTTCGATTAACTCAATAGCAGCAGACGCACGCCAAACTTGGCGGATTGTTCTACACGATATAGGTCTCTTGCATGCTACCTTGGCAACATGGGCATTGTATGGTAGGATGGTGCGTGGGATGACCGATCTCACGGTCGATCAGTACAAGCACAAGGTTGAAGCGATCAAGCATCTGAAGGGAGAGGTTGCAAAAAATGGGTTCAGTCAATCAGATGAATGCGTTGCACTTGTTCTTATACTTGTACACCTTGAGGTATCACTACTCTCCTAAATGTGCCTATACTGTTACTAACTGATGTGCAAAAAGCAACTACACGGAGACTATGAGGAGGCAAGTGTCCATATGAATGCGTTGAAAGACATAACCAAAGCTCGCGGCGGCATTGATTCTTTCCGGACTAATGATGGGCTCATACGGGGTATTGTATGGTAAGCATAGTTTCACCATGTACGTTGTGCAAGTGTTCTAAATATCCGTAGGGCCGACCTGCATGAAGCGGCCGTTGCTCGTGCAAAACCAACGTTCCCAAGGATCATGCTAGATCCCGATATGCAAGAGCTTCCTTTTCCTGCAAGGACTTATTTCTCCGCAGGACCTCAGGCTCTCTTTCTACTTCCAGAAGGATGGGTATGGGTACTCATTTTAGGTCGACTCAAGTCTCTCTGTTCATGTTTTCCTGCGCCTGTGGCCAATCAGTCCGGTCGCATAAGCATGAGCAACTTCCTCTATCATACTGTCTACTCGATCGCCCAGGTACGCCCCGGTTCAGCCGAACAAACCGACAATGAAAGCAATCATCAACCTCTGGACGGCGGAGTGGATATAATACAGAGAGAACCAGATGCTTCCGACCACGCCTCAATACGTGACGCTCTTATTGCAACGACGCAGATACTTGTATGTATCGGCCTCCGCGACATACCCATCAAAGCAACTCTCATCGGCATTCACTTCGGGAGACTACGAGCGGCCTTGGACAGACCAGGTATCTCATGCATTGAGACGTGGATGGCCTCGCAACTCTTGCCACTGCTTTTATGGGTACTAGTAGTCGCGTGTGTAGTACTGTCCGGCGATGAACGAGAATGGTGGATGGACAACCTCGTTTCCGTCGCCGAGGAGCTTGGTGTTAGGGATCAATTGGACCTTCAGTGGCGTATGGAAAACATTGCTTGGCCCAAGCGATTCTTCGGTGGTAAGATCGAAGGGTTGTGGCGGGACATGGACGTATGCATGGCACCCAATATAAATATCCTATCTATCGAGGAGCCATACAATTGGAGCAATGGGGTGTGTCAAGGAGCCTTCTAATGTTGATGGTGCATGTGTGGAGGGGAACGTCACCAATTTCAAGATCCCGGACGACGACCTTGAGAGGGAGCGGGGGTGACAAGAAAGGTTCAGGCCCAGGACCAATTTGACCACTGGGGAGATTGCTGGCCCCAGTGTGCTACAAATTATAACACCACATGATTGTCGGTCTTTTGCTTCAACGGTTTGTCCTTCAATATCTGCATTATCTTGGGATTTGTCTTTCAGTTGGAACAATGTACAATTATAATTTAGGTATGTATTAGGCCGAGAAGAATCTTGGAGAAAAATACCAAAAAACAGAGACGAACACTTATTCGTGCTACCTTACCCCAGACACCATGACGGTGGTTCCGCGTGAAAGATGGTGCAAGTGAGGATACATAAGGATGAAGGATGATCCCATCTAGAAATAAGGTTTGGACTAATAGCCGCAAGAAACGCGAATGATGAATTGACTAGTTAGGAAAGTAGAACCTTCTAGCGTCACTGCCAAGACTGGACTCGGCGAAACCCTTCACCGAGGCGAGCGATGCGGCGACTTCACGATGCATCGTCGACATTTATTTCGTCACGACGAACGAGCCCATTTCCCCTCAACCCCCAACCCACCCCGAAATGCCGCTCGTCGACAACCCCCAAATACAGGCCGCGAGCCTTCATAACCCGCTGCCTCTGCAGCTGCACGCCTACGTCGCCCCATTCCTTCTGATTTGGCCCATATTCCTATCCATCTTCCTATCCCCCGTTCGCTACGAGAAGCACATTCAGTCTTCGGAATGGACATTCGTTTGGGTCGGAAGCATTGTCACAATCCAAGCTCTGATTTGGCTTACCACGTTCTGGAACGTTAACCTCCGAAGTGCGTTCACCACCACCTCCGCCCGCGACGTGCGGACCGCGAAGCTCATCAAGGTTATCCCCATTGCAAACGCCGGTTCTGCCGAGATCTGTACTCTCCAGCGAGACAACATCGGCGGAAAGCCCAGCATCTCGTTCTTATTTCAAAAGCGCCGCTTCCTCTATGATTTCGAGAACGGCAGCTTTGCCCCGCTTTCCTACCCCCTCGATTCCGAACCGAAGCCGCAGCTCAAGACTTTCCAACAGTCGAAGGGTCTGACGTCCCCCACCGATATCGAGCGAATCCAGCAGCACTATGGCGATAACAGTTTCGATATTCCCGTCCCGACTTTCACAGAACTGTTCAAGGAGCATGCCGTTGCGCCGTTCTTCGTCTTCCAGGTCTTCTGTGTTGGTCTGTGGATGTTGGACGATTACTGGTACTACTCTTTGTTCACACTGTTCATGTTGGTTGCTTTCGAGAGCACTGTCGTCTGGCAGAGGCAGCGTACTTTGAACGAGTTCCGCGGAATGAGCATCAAGCCTTACGATCTACTGGTATACAGGAAGAATAAGTGGGAGGAGGTTCAAAGCGACAAACTCCTCCCCGGAGATATTGTCAGCGTGGGCAGGACAAAGGAAGATTCTGGTGTTGCTTGCGATATGGTCCTTCTCGAGGGCTCGGCCATTGTCAACGAAGCTATGCTTTCCGGAGAGAGTACACCTGTCCTGAAGGAATCGATCCAGCTCCGTCCCGGAGATGCCTTGATCGAGCCGGAAGGTCTTGACAAGAACGCTTTTCTATACGGAGGAACCAAGATTCTTCAGGTATCGCACGGTCTTTCTGCAGAGGATGATATTGGTACTGTTTCCAAGCTCTCATCTGGCGTCCCACCGCCGCCAGACAAGGGTGCTGTCGCTATTGTTGTCAAGACTGGGTTCGAGACTTCCCAGGGCTCTCTTGTGCGAACCATGATCTACTCTACCGAACGTGTATCGGCCAACAACGTCGAGGCTCTGCTCTTCATTCTCTTCTTGTGCGTGTTCGCTATCGCAGCGTCCTGGTATGTTTGGCAAGAGGGTGTAAGGAGGGACAGGAAGCGATCCAAGCTCATGTTGGACTGTGTCTTGATCATCACTAGTGTTGTCCCTCCAGAGTTGCCCATGGAGTTGAGTTTGGCCGTCAATACCTCTCTCGCCGCCCTCAGCAAATATGCCATCTTCTGTACCGAACCCTTCCGGATTCCCTTCGCTGGTCGTGTTGACGTCGCTTGTTTCGATAAGACCGGTACCCTGACTGGCGAAGACTTGGTCGTTGATGGAATCGCTGGACTCACTCTCGGACAACCTGATGTCAAGGCTGGACCAGATGGCGCACATGTCGGCCTCCAGGCTGTCGATACTACTGGTACTGAGACTACTCTTGTCCTCGCTACTGCTCACGCACTTGTCAAGCTTGATGAAGGAGAAATCGTTGGTGAACCTATGGAGAAGGCTACGCTCCAGTCTCTTGGATGGACCCTTGGTGCCCATGATACTCTTACCACCAAGAAGGGCGCTCCCAGCTCCGCCGCCGAGCTCGTACAGATCCGTCGTCGCTTCCAGTTCTCTTCTGCTCTCAAGCGCCAGAGCTCTGTTGCCACCGTCCTCGTCAACGACAAGAAGAATAAGCGCAAGATCCGACGCACCTTCGTTGGTGTCAAGGGAGCCCCCGAGACCATTCGAAAGATGTTGGTAGATTCCCCGCAAGGCTACGAAGAGACATACAAGCACTTTACTCGCAACGGTGGTCGTGTCCTTGCCCTTGCATACAAGTATCTATCCGAGGACAACGAAATTGGCATGAGCCGCATCAACGATTTGAAGCGTGAGAATGTCGAATCCAACCTCCACTTCGCCGGTTTCTTGGTTCTTCAATGTCCCCTCAAAGATGATGCCCTTCAGTCCGTCCGCATGCTCAACGAGTCCAGCCATCGTGTTGTTATGATCACTGGTGACAACCCTCTCACTGCTGTGCACGTCGCACGCCAGGTTGAAATTGTGGATCGCGAATGTCTTATCCTTGACGCACCTGAAAATGATGACTCTGGCGAGAAGCTCGTCTGGCGCAGCGTTGACGACAAGATCAGCATTCCAGTTGACCCCACAAAGGCACTAGACGCGGAAATCTTGAAGACCAAGGATATTTGTGTAACCGGATACGCGCTCGCCAAATTCAAGGGCGAACAAGCGTGGAAGCAGCTCCTGCGCTACTCTTGGGTCTATGCTCGCGTCTCGCCGAAACAAAAGGAAGACATCTTGCTTGGTTTGAAGGATGCCGGCTACACCACCCTCATGTGTGGTGACGGTACTAACGATGTGGGAGCTCTAAAACAAGCTCACATTGGTGTTGCTCTCCTCAACGGTTCTCGAGACGATCTCGATAAGATCGCCGAGCATTTCCGCAACACTAAGATGAAGGAGGTTTACGAGAAACAATGCCAGTTGATGCAGCGATTCAACCAACCCGCGCCACCGATTCCTGCCATGATCGCTCATCTTTATCCTCCTGGCCCAACCAACCCCCATTACGAGAAGGCCATGACAGCGTACGCAGAGAGGAAGGGCATTGCACCTCCCGTGCCCAATGGCACGGATGCTTCGAACGGTGCTGTCGCTAAGGCTCAGCCGGCTCAAACTCCCGCCCAACAGAAGGCTGCTGGTCTCGCAGACTCTTTCACCTCCAAGATGATGGAATCTGAGCTCGCCGAATTGGACAGTGAACCCCCGACCATCAAGCTTGGTGATGCTTCCGTCGCCGCTCCATTCACGTCCAAGCTAGCTAATGTCATCGCTATCCCCAACATCATCCGTCAAGGTCGATGCACCCTGGTTGCCACTATTCAGATGTACAAGATTCTTGCCCTCAACTGCTTGATCTCCGCCTACAGTTTGAGTGTCTTGTATCTTGATGGTATCAAGTTTGGTGATGGACAGGTTACTATTTCTGGTATGATGATGAGTGTTTGTTTCTTGTCGATCTCTCGCGCAAAGGTAAGCTATAACTACTTTCTTGTGTAAACGCTGTATTCTAACATTTCTCTAGTCGGTCGAAGGGCTTTCCAAGGAGCGACCCCAGCACAACATCTTCAACGTCTACATCATCGGATCCGTCTTGGGCCAGTTCGCCATCCACATTGTCACTCTCATCTACGTCTCGCAGTGGGTCCAGCGCATTGACCCCATCGACCCCAACGTCGATCTTGAGAGCGACTTCGAACCTTCCCTTCTCAATTCTGCCATCTACCTCCTTCAGCTCATCCAGCAAATCTCCACCTTCGCCATCAACTACCAAGGACGTCCCTTCCGTGAGGGCATCAGCGAGAACAAGGGAATGTACTGGGGTCTTCTCGGCGTCTCTGGCGTTGCCTTCTCTTGCGCCACCGAGTTCATCCCCGAGCTCAACGAGAAGCTCCGCCTCGTCCCCTTCACCAGCGACTTCAAGTTCATGCTCACCAGCATGATGATCCTCGACTACGTCGGCTGCTACGTCATCGAAAAGGGCCTCAAGTGGGGTTTCAGCGACTACCGACCCAAAGACATCGCCATCCGTCGCCCCGACCAGCTCAAGCGCGAGGAGCAGAGGAAGGTCGAGGAGGAGCGGGAGGCCCAGAGGAAGAAGAACGAGGAACAAGAGAAGAAGTTCCAGGCTCTCAAGGCGTAGATAATTAGCTTCGGCACTTCTTTTGTGTATAGAGAACTCTCCCTTTCTCATTCGCTCGCCCTTTGTTTAAGAAAAACATTTTTTGTTTGTATCACGGTGGTTGCATTGTTGGGATTAGGGTCGACGGTGGAGTGTACGAGTAGAGTTGTGGGTTAGGGAGCGAGTGAAGCTCACACGCATATACATTCAATTAATAGACTGACTGGCATTTCACTCAATCTCGTATTCCCATTGATGTCCGCTTGTTGTGATGTTGTTTGCATGTCCACTTGTCTTATGCTATCGAGACATCTACTGGCCCTCTCTGAGCACTTCGTACTTATAGATGCTGCAAAGCTACGAACGAGGACATCCGCACAGCACAGCTAATGCCTCCTTCCTTCCCATCCACACAGGGAAAGAGAGGGTATCTATCCAGTATCGGCTCCCCTCCTCCTTAGATGGACCGTTCAAAGCAGTGCGAGACACTACGCGTGGATAGGCGAACCTCCGTTCTCGAGCACGCGTTCCCTCTCAACTACGACAGTGCCTATCATCAACTCAGTCGCGTGGGTTCCGGTCGATACAGTCTCTTAATATGGTTCTCTAGTACAAAGGGCAATCTCTAGAGAAGAACACGACAGCAACAAGTGACGGATGATCCACGAAGGAGCGTGGTGGTCGCCGTTTCGACGCGTGACGTGTATGTGGTATATGGGCGTCGGTGTCACGGTGGTACATTTGTTTGTAAGATTGGGATTTTTTCGATTGTGTTGGGATTGATTGGGAACGTACTTGATAGAATCAAACGCTTGGTAGAAGTTTGGTGTTCGATAGAACGAGGAGGATGGGGGATTGGTGGGGGTGAAAGGTTTGGCGGTCGTTTCTCAGCTGATTTGTATATGATGAGTTGGACTGACATCATATCGACAAGAGCAGTGCTGGGATAGTACGGTGGAATCCCTTTACCATCCCACTGAGATCATAGATTGATTCGAGCAAGCCAATCAGCAAAACACGTTCACTGTAGTCGCGGCCGTCCTTTCAAGCAGCGCGCGGCAGCTCTCTCTCCTCCCCGCCGGCCAATGAAAATGCTCGCCATCTTCCAGCGACCTGTCTACGCGTGACTTGCGTTTAGCAACCGCCGTCTCGCTTGTGGACTTCACGCTGCTTCCGTGCCCTATGTAAACACACCCTGGTCGTAACAGTTGCTTGCACCGCACGCTCACACCCAAAACACAACCTACCTACCTATCGACAACCTTTTTGCATACAAGCAAATCTTTTTGGAGCCGCTCGGAAGATTCTCTGGGTGTCTCAACAAATACACACCAGATATCAAGCATTATTGCTGGGGTTGGTTATTGGTGTTCATCGACCATGAACTATCCATCGCCACCACCCAGCCAATCACACGCCGAGATCTTCCTCACGCCTTACACGTCCATCCAGATGGGCGCGGTAACCCCCATGCACAATGACGAACCCAACGTTGAATTTCCAGCCGGATGGAATGAAGAACGTGGTTTTGTCTCGCCTTATCATAGAAACCCCTTCCTATCTACTCCTGTCCCTGATGGTGTTCAACATAGCTTGAATGTCAACAACGGTGACATCTTGCGATGGGACGCTTTTCCCCATGGAGTCGCAGCGGCAGAGGACTTCAGTTCCTCGTGGACTCAAGGTGGTGTTGACGGGGATCCGTTGATGAATGATATGTGGGGGCACAACAACAATACATTCTTCCCTGGTATGGTTCACTGCTTCTGTATCCATGTTGGTCGAAACTAACAGTGACATAGATGTCGACACACAAGGCGAGTTCACACAAGGCGAGTTCACGCAAAGCCATGTCAATGTCGGAACTCACATGAGCCCATCTCGTCCTGAACGGTTGTCGACAGTGTTCACGCAAGGCGACGCCGTTGCGTATGGACCTAGCGATGCGGTTGTAACCAGTAACGATAATGATGGCATTGAACATCTAGTTGAGGATGGCGTCGATGATCAAGGATCGTTGAAGTTTATCCAATGCCCTCAGCCCGCAAGGCCCAGGCGCGCGGCTGTGTCTAGGGGACAGAAGCCGACGGGGGTAATTAAGCTCAAGAAGAGTGAGGCATCGTACCTCACTCGAAGTTGTTATTGCTAACGAGTGACATAGATTCACGGCCCAGGCCCATGTATCGACCTATCGAGATGAAGGTTCGTTCTGCTGTTAGGAAGGATCCGTTGATCCAATGCACGACGCAGTTCGTCCACTATGAACCGCAAACGTCAAGTACTACAACGGACAGCTCCGATGAAGAATCCGATGAAGAATCCGTCTTCGATCCCTACGACCAGGTGACCTCCCATGAGGACAAGTTAGAAGCCGGCAAGCAACGCCTAGAAAACGACCGCATCCGCTTCTTCAACAACGGCTACGTCGAGCGAATCCCAGGCACAGTCGATGGCCATATCACCGCAACAGACTTGAATCGCTTCGATGAAGGCCTAGGACCCGAACGTAAATTCCGCCATAACGAAGATAAATTCCCAAGCGAACAACAATCTGGATCAACCAAGTGGCGATGGCCGGAACTCCGCATCAAGAACTATATGGAAAACAAGTGGAGGGTAGACGACTACGCGTTTGAAGGACCGCCTCACGCAGGTCGAAACCACTGGGCGCCTGCGACCACGGACTTGTCGGTTCTGGGTGACATTGACATTTCGGCGTGGGAGATTGTTGCCGTGAGTTGATTTTTTTGCCCTAAAGACTCCATGACTGATGCTAATGAATTCTAGTTCCTTCCGGCGACGATTTCACAGTACAATGTGAGCCATCGTCTAGCGGCAAACGGATGGATGCCAGCGAAGATCGCAGATGCCATTGTGAGTTTTAACTTGCGAACTTCACTTTCGCGTTATTCTAACACCCATCGTAGAATTACGTCCACCAACTCCCGTTGGAGTCACACATCAAGGGCGATACCGTAAAACACAAGGTTCTGGCTTCAGATAAGCGTCGCTATGGCCAATCCTGGGTGAAATGCTGCAAGGCAAACGGCTTCGCACAAGACCGCCCACGAGTCACGGATGGCACCGCCCGTTATCTCAGCGCAGCAGGCGGGGCTTTCGAGTGCTACGACCGGTGGCGCCCACGAGCGAACCCGTATCTCTTGAATCTCGCGGGGAACGCAACACAAGTGAAGTTCCCGGAGCGAGAACATCGTGGTGTTCTGACTGCGGCGGTCGAGTTCGCTATCAAGCATGATCTGAAAGATTGTCGACTGAGTGATGTCCCTGCACTCGTCGCTGAATACAATCTAGGTCAGATGAGCCATTGGCGTAAGGCATGGATGCCGACCCCAACCGCGGATATGAATGCGCTTGATGAGTTCAAAGTGATGATGGAGCCGATCCGGAAGGAGCTTGGAAGGTCAAGGCGAAAGGAGAATAAGATTAGTCGTACGACCAGGAAAAGGAAAAGGAGTGGTGATGATGAGGATGAGGATGAGGATCAGGGACGAAGGAAGAAGGTGTCGCGTGTTTAACTTAAAGAACGTATTCACCATGTATGATAGGGCACTATCAGTGATGGGAAACGTCTCGTGGGTGTGTGGTCTGGAACCATTATTGAGCCGTGCGTTCTGAAAGTCACGTCGGGAGATACTCAATTGAAGTCCAATTGACATACTTGAGACAATAGACTGTGAGAATAATGAAATTAGAGATAGATGATGCTAGCTGATCTAGTAGTTACGATTGTTGTCTACTATATTATGGAAAACAAGACCTTACAAGTCATGGACAAACGAGTAACACTTCTTAGAAATCATCATGCACAATTAGTATGCATAACCAATACTAAAAATACGTATATACTATCTAAAGACGTTACGATATTCTAATAAAAATATTTCTTTATCCACATCTACAGCGATGCCTTAGCTTTCGCCGAAATCCACAACGCCTTCGCATCAGCCTTAACCTTCCCATCCTCGCCCACCAGCTCCCCCTTCACAAACCACTTCCTCCCCTCCCGTCTCTCCACCCAAATCTTAATAGCATAAACCGCTGGCACATCTACCGGCGCTCTGTACGACACACTCAGATTCGCCGTAAAAAGCAGCGTTTCCCTCCCCTCGACCGTCTGCCTAAACCTCTCCAAGCAAGCCCCCATACTCTCATCGAACAGCGCCCCCAAAACCCCACCATGCGCCGTATCTTCAAACCCACTCAAGTCACTTCCAAGTTGAACAAGGTACACGAAATCCGCCTCTTCAGTTGCAGACTCGCCATTCTTCCCGTCGGCGAAGTCCGCAATGCGGGTTTCGAAGTTGTCGCCTTTGAGGACAAGGGATAACCCGTGAGAGACGGTGGAGGGGGTGTTGATGACTTTGCTGAAGAATTTATCTTCGGATGTTGACTTTGGGATCCGGGAGAAGAAGGGGATGGGGCGGTATGGTGAGGAGGGTTTTAGGTAGGGTTGCAGCCAGGGTATGGTGGTGAAGAAGGCTAGGTCCTTTGCTGGGGGTTGGGATTCGTTGACGAATTCTAGGTAGCGGGCCCATGTCGGTTCTGACATGATTGGGGTATTGTTTAGTTCTTTTTTTTGGTTTGAATGATATTGGAGATAGCGAAAAGGTCGAAGGTGTTTCTCAATGTACTGTAATTGCGTGAGGCTGAGGATGTTCCAAATTGCCGAGGTCCAGATCCAACACCAGCCACTTAAATTCAGGCACAAGAGGAAGCCATTATTGAAGACAACAATCATACTGCATTTTACACATTTCGAAGGGAGAAGTAGAAGTTACATCTTGAGGTAGAGAAGGAACTTCAATAATCACGATACACGGTCGATTTGTTTCATTTTTTTCTTCATTTTCCTTCTTCTTGGAAGTGATCATACTATAAATGTTACACGTCAATGCGATCTTCTAGTATATGTAAGCCTTCGTAGACCCCGATAGTAAACTTTTCCTTCGTCCCAAGTTTGCTCCCACTTCTACTACCAATGTTGATGCACCTTCGCCGCTTGGAGTAGGTTTCTAAGAGGTTGAGGACCCACGTGAGAGCCTAATAATGGCCATATCTGTCTGTCCAGGGACCATGTACACCCAGTATAGAAGTATCGTCCTATCCCAATGCTCCAACAAAAATACCCAAACATTCGTTCATCGATACAGAAGACTATTTTCATACGATACTCCGATCGCAAAAGAAATAATTGCGTCGTATGCTAAGATCTCAATCTCGCCGAACGCCACACGCTAAGTCAAGATGACGTACATGTCTAGAAACATAGTGCCAAACCTGGCACATTTCATCAGCATCAATATTCAACCTTAATAGCAACAGTAATGTAGACAAACAATCCAAAGACTCCCCGAACATTCTAAATGGCAGACAATAAACGAAACCAAAAACGCTCCCACCCAGAAGAGAATGAGAAAAAAGAGAACACCATTTCCGACCAGCAAGTCCGGCAAGAATCCTCAAAAGCCGCCTCCCAATCCCTCACCGCGCAGAAAAAGGCCACAGAACTCAAAAATGCCGCCGCAGGAGCCGGCGATGCGGATGAGCGCCAGAAACTCATGGAGCGCGCCATCGACCAGCAAATCGAGGCCGAGTCCCTCGGCAAGACGGCGAAGTACATGCGGTCGGGCACCTTCCAGGGCATGGCCGTCGGCACTGGGTTAGGAGTCGCACCGGGGGCGTCCCTGGGCGCGTTGACGGGTACGTTGGTCGGGGGAGTCACGTCGACGATTACGGGGGGCATCGGCGGGGGGATTGGAGCGGCGGCGGGGGCGCTGCATGGGCCGTTTTGGAATCTGGGGGAAGTGGCAGGTAAGGGTATTCAGAAGGTTACGGGCAATCTTCCCGGATGGGAGGCTACGGAGGAGCAGAAGAAGACTCTGGAGAAGATGATTGGGCAGATCAGTGAGGAGGATATGCCTAGTCAAGAGGAGTTGACGGGTATGTCGAAGGATGGGAAGGACGGCTCATGGTCATCTTGGGCTTCGAATGCCTTACCTAGCATGCAGTCGAAGAATGACTGCAAGGATGTCAAAGACGTGGAAGGGAAAGTAGCGACCGCTGGGAAGAAAAGCAGCAGTGGCAAATCCCAAGGACCTAGCACGGCGGCGGACGACAAGGAGAACCGTCGCAGACCCCGGAAACTAAACACGAACCAAGATGAAAAGAGTACAAAGCGCTTGTCATCGGATGGCGGAGAAAGAAAGAAACCACTCAAGTTGGAGACGCGGTCTACGAATGCAAAGGCTCCATCTGGGACTGCGAGTACGAGGAAATCGCCGCGGAAGCTGGAGAAGCGAACTTAGCCATCGACTAATCTGTGGAGACATTATTGTTCCTAATTTTTGATTGGCTTACATCCAATGATGATGCATATGTAGCAGTGATTAGGTCTGGTGATTTCAAGTTTGCACTTCGTTATGAGCTGTCGATATCAACATCAGTACCATTGCAACTGAACTAGCCACTAAATAGCATGTAGAACTACCAGATAGTGATTATTTCCACAAGCAAACCGTACCTGCAAGAAATCCCCGTCTTATGGACACCAATTCACTACGATCTCTTGTGAGGAGTGGGCGAATGGTCGCCGGTAAGTGTAGTCTCGACCATTCTGACCTTCTCACGTAACCTCTAACTCTACAAGTACTTGTACTGTCTAACAGGCGCACATGGTCGCTTTTAGCCGGTGCGGATGCAAACCAGCGTTTTGTGTCGTATCGCGTAGAGAATACGATACACGACTAGCCTGGTCAAGGTTGAGTGTGACTGGTACGGCAGTGCATGGCAGATGTTCAGGATGTAACCATTGAGAGGCCATCTAATCGTAAATTTTAACAAGACCAATTCTTCTGTCCATCCTCGCACCTACCTACTACCTAGATTTTCTTCTGTAAGAGTGTAGACTACGACTTCAGCAATCATGGTTCTAGCAGGTATCGAAATGGGGATCCATCCTCCGAGATCAGGGTTCTTGTTTGGCATGTTAACCCACTTTCCGCTTCTCGTCTCATCGCCATTAAATCTCCTCTCCGTCCGTAGAGTGCCCATCTCATCGACAACGCTTTTTTCGTCAAACCTCAAGATTCCGGTGAAAATAGACGAAGGAACACGCGACTTGAACTCAATGTTGTATCCCGCCCCGATCAGGAGGAATCGGTCTTGGTCCAATGCAATAACGATGCCGCAACCAGGGCCCTTTTGACCAAACACGGACGCCCTACTTATACGAAGTTCGTATGAGCCCAGCGTCCTGATCAGTGGTGGTGTAGGATCAGTCCCATTAGCATCGATCTCGTCGAAAAAGAAGCCAGTAATCGAGTCGGGCTCTAGGCGGGCCTTCATAATGTGACTGGACACAGAATTCAGTAATTCATAGTGAGCACGGAGGCCAGCTGTTTCGACATCGAGTGTATCGATGCCGAACGGACTGGCTCCAATGGCACCGAAGCGGCCAAGTGCCTCCCATATTCTCCTGGCATCGTATTCATCTCTGTGTTGCTCTGGTATGAAGAGAGCCTGGCCACCATGGCAGTAAACTGAACATATCCCGGAGTAGTCTGGTATATAGATATCAGGCGATATAAAGTCCAAGGTTGGCGCAAATGCGTGCCATATGTCCAAAACTCTGCTGACCGCACCTCCAGACGGATACTCCCCAGGCTTTCCACCGCCACTGACAATGCCGTCGTTAGAAGACGTACTCCCCGGCTTTGGGAGCCACACGTTGGTGAATAGTGGGATATCATAGGCCTGTCTGCCTGCAGCGGTAACCTTCTCCACGTACAAAGTGTAGTGGTATGCCATGAAGATCTCATCTGTGTAGATGCTCTCGCCAAAAGTGTCTTTCCATGCTCTAGTATCGCTGATATCGTGTATGAAATTGTCGGTGCTTCGCTCAAATTTTGAAAGCTTGCTTTTCAACTCCGGGCGGAGCGACGGCCAAGCGTTGCGGAGAAACTCCAGTAGAGCCTTGGGTACCGGTGATCCAAAAACATGTTCTGCTTTCTGACTGCGATCGCGAGAGTCGCCGAGGAGGCCGACCTCGTTCTCAACCTGGACCATGATCACTGTCCTTTCAATATCGGTCGTCTTCAGATGTTGCATTAGCCTTGCGAAAGCTTTTGCATCAGCTTGTACGCACTCGTCGTGCAATATCGAGATAACGCTGGAAATTTCCAAATCGCCTTCAGAATTGCGTGTCTCCATTCTAGGAAAACGCTGAGGATTGGTCTTGACCCACGAGGGTGTGTAACTCGACATTCCTGTCAAAATGATCAGTATTGATTCTCGGAAACCATTTTTTGTAAGAAGCAGATGGGTACCATTTTTGAAAGATCCGAACCAAATGAGCACAATGCGGAAACCATGCGCTCTTGCGCTAGCAAGCACGGCGTCAAGCTCAGTGAAGTCGAATCGACCTTCTTCAGGCTCTACATCTTCCCAAGAGACGGGGCCCAGCACAGTGTTCACACCTAACTTGGCGATATTCTCCCATACTGTATCCATGTAGCGAGCAGAGCTCATCGAGGAATTCTGCAATTCCCCACCTAGGATCAAGTATGGTCTGCCATCCACGAGTAGTTCCCATCTACTCCCATGCTTGATCAAGCGCGGATGCTCTATGAAGAGTTTATCCCCTCCATTATTCGATTCGGCCATTATGATCGAAAACGTTCAAAGGAGGAATTCGAATGAGAGGGTGAACACGGTAGCGAAGAAATGGGTTGAGGAATGATCGAAGTGAATGGACAAGGAAGCACTGGAATTTGAGACGCAGCGATATGATTACTCCTGCTAAAGGCCGTGTACGCGTTATGTAGGCAGATGATATTGTAACCCACAAAAAGCTGACCCACTAAGCCGTCGAGTACTTTTCAGTGTGCAGCTGGTGTATCCGGCATATTGATACCATGCCGAGCAGAGGCTACGACAAGGGCATGCCATGCAAACAGAACAGAGAGCAACGCAAGCACCACTCGGTGCACTATCATCTAATTAGCCTGATATTCGGCGATTTTGGGGACAATGGCTCCACGGAGGTTGAACTGAATCCTCCACAATCCGTGCGATCAATGATCTCTAGCATGTGAGATGTGGAGACATTAAGCAACTTCGGGAACATGGCCATCACTGTGACCAAAGCTGGCGCATACGCCGAGTGGGCTTACAGTGCTATTGAATCCACCGTAAATGTGATCCAATACCGAGATGCGTGAACCTTTTCTGTATAAGCGGGCAAAGTACAATACTGCCAATAGTCTTTGCTCCGTGGGAACAGTTTTCGAACCACCCCTTAGTGCAATTAGTAGGCGCATGATGCGAACCTGCTGGTCAAAATCTGTCGTCGCTTGATCCCGTCCGTGTAGTGTGCATGGCATGCCGCTAGAGATGCATGATGCACCAGGGATGAAATTCGTGGGGAACACGGGGAGAGGTAAACATTGGGAGGAGAGGCTGGCACAGTGTCCCAATACAGCATACAAGATCAATCATAACATTCACGGATTCGTGGAACATTTCCTCGAAGTAGAGTTTTGGGATTTAAATTCGCGGTCAATGAATTGATGAATAGACTCAGCCGGGGCATGACAATTCTGGAATTTGAATGTATAAATAGTACGGTGATAAACGTGTAATTCACCATCACAATCGACTTGTCAATACTGCAAATCCAATGCTCGCAATGTTGTTTCACACTATCACGGTCGCTTGCTATCTTGCTGCTGGCACTCGTGCCTCTAGCATCTTGGTTAGAGAGGAATCGAAGATTCCTTCACCCCCAGCTCCAGAACCTATTGAGGTGACCGAGATACCCCTGCCACCTGCCATCCCAGAGGGAGCGGCTTGCACGGTAGAGGTAAACCCAAGAGGCACCGGCTGTATCACTACAACATTGAACAAGATGCAAGCTGGGACGTTCACCAGAGACCAAAACCATATTATCGCTTCTGTACTTTTTGTGGGCGCGCCCGACACAATCTACGATGGCACGCAGATCATCATCATCAACGCACAAAATACTACGTTTTCAAACGGAGACCCCTGGAGATGCATCACCTGTGGGGTTCCGCCAGAGAACTCCATTGGACGCATTGATGCTATGCTCTATCCTCGAGCCTTTAACGATGGAAAACGGATTCTGGCTGGCCCCAACATCATCGAAACTGGTGGCTATGACATTACTGACGATCGTGTCTCTCCAGAGAAAACTTTCATCTACCCCATTCGGTGGAATGTTGCTGCTGACGGTTCCGGACCAGGTGGTGCTATACGTGAGCTTCGTCTTCACCCTGACGACACTCACTTGGCCTGGAGCTCGTTTGTTGCGGGCGGCGAGTTCTCCTACTATGGTCGTTTGAAATTTACCAAAAACCCAACTGCTGGTACCCCCCTTGCGCCGCGCTACGACTTAGAGAAAGTGAGCCTTCTCCACAACGACAAGTTTGGTAGATTCATCGACGTCAAGGGTGATGAGTTGATCATAGACCGCAATGCAATTATAATCGGCGAGCTTCGAGGATTCAGTGGAACTGGTCACGAAATTACTTACTTAGGTTACCCATGGGAATCATGCAACCTTGATGTCTTCGCAGTCTCCCTCCAAACTGGCAAGATTCGGCGCCTGACATCTCACCCGGAATACGTAGACCCTGTCGACATCTCTGCAGATGATAAATGGACCGTCATCCAAGACACCAGGGGTACCGACCGTCAGATGTGGTTATCAGGCATGCGCGGGATTCCTCCTATCATCGATTTAGTTGTCAGCGCTGCTGCCTCATCAACTAGAAATAACGGCGAGCGTCGCTTCTTCCAACCTTATCTTCTCGATAGATACGGGGACCGTGGAAATTACTTTGGCCAGCGAGTTAACGCAGCTGGGGACGGATCCAATGGTGCTGTCAACGATCCGAATTGGAATGGGAAGGCTGATCCGCATTTCTCTCTGGATGGCACACGTATTGTTTACCATCAAGATTTGCTGACTGCTCCCGCCTGTGGTGGAGAAAACCCTCTTCCTTGTCCTGTATTGAACGCCCAAGGTGGTCGAAGGAGCCGCATCATGCTTGCCTGGCTGGTTAGTCGCTCGCCTCAACGAATTCCCAAGTTTGAAGCTGGCCCAGACTGGATCTCTTGGGCAACTCCTTACGTCGCTGGAAGTCCACCCCCATCACGTTATGCTGTGAAAGGCGGCACCTACAAGCACCATGGCAACGTCTCTGGTACTGCTGACGTGGTTATCACAACGGATAAAACTGGTGCAGAACAGGGTGTAACAGTAGTGTACAAGAACTACTCCGATGGTCGTGATTATATCCTGAACGGATATGAAAACGCCACGATAACTCGACCAACGGAATGGGATGTTGTTAATGATTGGTACTCCCGGATAGTGCAGACTGGAGTTGTCAAAGGCGTTAAAGAAACAAGCAAAGATGGTTTTCACCTTTCCATCAACGTTCTGGAGAATATCTTCAACGCGAATGGAACGCTTACCACGACTTTAAATGGAAAGGTCTACAAACAGCCTCAGAACAAGACTTAGTCCCCGTTCCATAACAAGTTTGATTACTTCCGTAGTATGTTATGTGATCATATTAGTCTTGGTACAGCTTTGCACATGTTCAACAATACAAATTTTGCTAACTTGCCAGTCACCCAAGCCAACATGTATGTTTGTTGATATACTGTCTTCGCAAACGCTGAGACATACTTGCTCATTAGACTGATTTGCGCTCAATATTCCTTAGTCGAAGTTGTAGAGCCTCAGCTTTCTTACACGCCACCATCGCTATTCGAACAAGCCCAAGAACAGCACTTGATATCGTTTGTTCAATGTTCTGCAAGCTCTCCTACCTATGCGATGCGACAGTATGTTTGCCGAAAACACATCCTCTGATTGGTAGTCTGTGTCATCGGTTCTGTTGATCCTTGTCTCAGTACTTAGACGACAGACCCAGACATGGTAGGAAGACCTCACAACCAGCCTGCATGACTGAAAATCAAATCGCGCGTTATCCTTTAGGCACGTCGAGACTCTTCCAATAAGGAGATCTTTTTCTGGCTCATCGCAAGTACCAAACCAATAGTATCCTCCCTAAGTTGTAGCCGCGGAGTGGCAGGTGTTTCCCGCACGACAATGCTCCGGATCCGGTGTATGTATTACAATCCTTCTTTAACTGCCCATGGAGGATATATCCCCTTAGGATCACTCTTCATCCTTCTCAATTATCTCTCCGAGAGCCAGAGTTATGTTTCCAATGTGGGTAATCCACCCGGTCTTTTCCCCGCAAGTGAACCGATGCACAGTATCTAGTTTAAGCTAGGCAGTGCTTCTCTTCTAAATGTAGTGGATCTTCGCGTTGACATTGTTCCAGACTTCAAACAAAGTTCAAGCAAAATATACTAGTCCGAATTTATGTAGAGTCACCGCGGAAATTTCCATAAAATCCGCCGTGGAGATTAAACGTCAGGAGTGAACTGCCAAGCCTCCAGCTCAATAGCGCATCACCCCATACTCGAGAACTAAGTTGCCCCATGGGGAGAGAATCTGTGAAACAACTATATATTCTTTGAACAGAGTACAGAGCAGGTCTAAATGCAACCTTTTTCCAGTTCTTTGGATACACTGAACATCCATCTTCAAAAAGGCACATCCCCTTGCTTGGTTTTTCCACCGTCTAATTGACTCACTTGGACACCATACCAGCATGACGAGCGTTAAAGGTGCCTTAGTCAATGAGGTAGAGCGAGTGCCAGAGGCTTCTCCAGAAGCCATATTGGCGGATGATGAACGACCTATGCTCTCTCACTATATGCTTCACATCTACTTCCTTATGCTGGTGGGCTACCTAATATCCACCATTCAAGGCTTTGGTAGGCCTGCTCAGCTCCCTGCCGCTGCCTCCTCAATAATCTACAAATGCTAATATGTTACCAAAATCAGATGGCTCATTGATGGGCGCGATCAATGCAATGGAGCCTTACCATGAAAGCTTCGGGCTCACTGGCGCTGGTACTTCCACCGGGCTTGTCTTTATCATCTACAATATCGCCCAGATCGCTGCTTTTCCGTTTTGTGGAGGCATCAATGACAAGTACGGTCGTAGAGTTTGTATGTTTACTGGTTGTTTCATCGTACTCGTGGGTACAGCTGTACAAGGATCGGCGAACAGCCTTGGTGCGTTCATCGGCGGAAGATTTGTTCTTGGATTCGGTGCCGTTATCGCCCACGCTGCGGCACCGGCGTATGTCGTTGAAATGGCGCCACCGAAATATCGGGGTGTCACTGCTGGGCTATACAATAACTTTTGGTGGGTCGGGAACATCCTTGCTGGATGGACAACGTACGGTACTAACCGGTGAGTTCGATGCTCTGCTTCTCTCCAACAAGCCCCAAGAGATCTCTGCTGGTGATGGTCGTTTGGCCCAATCTTCCCCCTGAAAAACATCTTCAGCAACACACGCAAGGCATTCTCCAGACTGACATGACGTGAACAGACATTATGCTACCTCCTGGGCCTGGAGAATACCGACTATCTTACAAGCTGGTTTGCCAGCGATTTCTATGATATTGGTTTTCTTTATACCTGAGTCTCCTCGCTGGCTGATCAGTAAAGATAGAACTGATGAGGCTCTTCAAGTGCTAGCCAAGTATCACGGTGACGGGGATGCGAATGCACCTATAGTCCAGTTGGAGTATCGAGAAATCATGGACGAGAAACTTCAGAATCCCAAAGTTTCCAGCTGGTGGGACTATCGCGATCTTGTAGCCACGAGATCTTCCCGTTACAGACTTATGTTGGTCTGCCTGACTGCTTTCTTTGGGCAGTGGAGTGGTAATAACGTCGTGTCATACTTTATGGTATGTGGATCCCAACGCACTCGAAAAGCTCTGACGCTTACCGTGTATCTAGCCCGCCATGATCGAAAATGCCGGAATAACGGACAAAAACACCCAACTGTTAATCAATGCTATCAACCCCATCCTTTGCTGGCTTGCTGCTATGATCGGTTCTTCAATTCTGGACAAATTCGGGCGCCGCAAAATGATGATGGGTGGTTTGGCAGGGGCGCTTGCATGCTACATCGGCCTAACAGCATGCACAGCTCAGACTCCGAACGATAAAAATCTCTCGTACGGTGTTATTGTGTTTATCTATCTCTTCGGCATTGCCTTCGCCATGGGCATGACACCTTCGGCCACCCTTTATCCTATGGAAGTCCTAGAGAATCGAACCAGAGCGAAGGGCTCAGCACTCAAATTTGTATTCCTGAACATCGCGACGATGACTAATACCTTTGGTGTCAGTGTTGGTATCAAGAAACTGGGCTGGAAACTATATGTCATATACATATGCTGGATTGCGATTGAGATTGTTCTCATTTTCCTTTTGTTTGTTGAGACGAAAGGCAAGACGCTTGAAGAGCTTGGGGTCATCTTTCAGGCCAAAAACCCGCGCAAGGCTAGTACACAACGAGTCATCGATGATGACGACCAGGAGAAAGCTAAAAGTGTTGCTCACCACGACGCGAATCATACAGAGTAACGAGGTATCGTGTATCTACATATATCAGATATGTTTCGCGATGCCCCAGAAAATAGTCGTGGATTATAGCTGTGCCTCTGTGTCTCTGTTCATATGGGGCTACACTAGGAATCACCGTAGCGTTGATGTTAATCTAGACCAGCTCTTCTACGCCTTTCGATGTTGATCTTGCTCCTATTATACTTCGCGCGAGAACTAACCAAGCGATCCGTACAGATGCCCTCTGATACGGAACCATCTGTGAATGGATCATAAAAGACACAGGAAGACGCGGTTCCTTCCTTTGTGCACAGTGAACCATTCGCAGCGGCATCTGCTCTGCTCCTGTGACTAGATGATATACGCTTCACGAAGTCTTGCAGCCTTCTTACAAACCTGTACGGACGGTCAAGCGGTCACATGAGGTGACCCGAAGGCAAAAACAATAAAACAAAGAAGGACCCCTATTTCCAGATTCAATTTGGTGGCGAGCGAGCCGCAATAAATAGTCTAAGTGAGTTCCGCATGGATGTTGGCTGCATTAACCAATCTGACAGTCTCTAGCTAAGTACATCTAGTTAAGTACACCTCGTTTTGAGTTCCAGTGCGTTCTATCCACTTCCCAGGCGTCCCCATTCCACCCAGGATCCGCAATCTTGGACCTTCAGGATGTCCCAAAAAGCAGTTCTCCGGCGCAGGCGGTAGGTGTATAGTCATGATGTTTAGGACATTGTAGAATATTATATTAACTAAAGTAGCGAGCAGAATCCATTGTCATAAGGCAGAGAAAGCATAAATTTCTGCTAAATCCTATCGAAAACATCGCGAGCATCCCGCCATTGGGAGATTTATACTCCATTCTTCCCCTTTGTCCTCATAGCACTCGACGTAACATTGAACAAAAGAACACTTCCTAAAAGTCTCATGAGCAGATGTTGGCATTATTCTCCAGATCCTGAAGATGGTCGGTTGCTCTCGAGTCCAAACTGGAAAGGATGTCCAACAGCTTCTCGAGTTGGGTGCGTGCTCTTTTCTCAATTGGCGGGGTAGGCGGATCGTTCACGACGGCCAGCAGAATGCTTCCAACCCTACGGACTCGCTCGACCTAGGTTCAATAGCCTAGTTAGCAATTCGACTTCAGATGCCAACGTGATGCCTTGAACGCCATTACTTACTGCAGGTTCGCCTTGGACTCTGTAACAATTGAATGGTATGAGTGATAACTCGCGAAGGAAATCTTGGCAGATCTCAAGTTTACGCATGGCCCACGAGATTGGCATATTATTAAGTCCTACCACCTCAGCAAGATCGGCGTCAAGGCATAACTGTAGTATGACAATTCTCATGCAGTGATACACAGAGAGTATATTACTACGTTGGGCCCAGAAACTCAAGGCTTGGTACTGCACGACTTCCGGCTCCACGGGCCCAGCCGCAGCGTCTGGTAATTGCAAACATTGTGGAAGGTCATCGATGATACCACAAAAATGTAGATACAGACCATAGAGTTTTTCAGTGGACTGTTGATCTGGCCTGCTGTCTGCAAAGTCAGATCGATGATTTTTTGAGTGCAGTCTGATCCCGTGGACTACGTCTGCGGCTGCTGCCCATAGACGTCTTTTAAATTGAAAACCGAGCAGGAGCCTATGTTCAAAGCGATTCTGGTTCCATGGCCTAGACGGGTCGAGAAGAAGATTCTCGTGTTCCTTCTCCTCGTCAATCGTGATTCTGTCATCGCAAAATCCATCGCTAATGACATACGGCACTTTGTCGAAAGCTGCTGCAGTCTTATCGGCCAGGTACGACAGCCACCAATTCATGCGTAGGAGCCGTGCATCAACGGGAAGGAGGGAGCCGATAACTTTCTCATCATAGATTCGAGCTTTCAGTGCTAGGAAAGTCCCTTCGCGATGTATGTGTGAAGAGATTACGTCTCGACCCGTTGTGTTCTCCAATCCTGCCGAGTGCCATGTCCGAATGCAGAATGAGGACCAGTCGGGAAATTCCAAGTCATATTCCTCATAGAGCCTCAGCATTGCTCGTGATGCGTAGTAGTATGGCCAGAAAAGGTCCTTGGGGGAGTCAAGTAGCTCTCGAGGCATGACAGAGATGACAAGGGCACAGATAGCCGTGACCAGGGTAAATCGTCTCAGTGGCTCGACAGAGGTCGAGTCGGCGTAGGGCGGTGATGCGAGCAACATCACCGAAGTGCGATCGAAAAGTGCAATTGCTGACCGGAGCGTTGGTTCATGCGCGATTGGTGTGTTTGGAAACTGATACAACATGAAGAGATCGACGCATTTGTGCATGAAATCGGTTATAGTCTCGGTATGGCACGGCTGAACAGCATGAATGAGTTTTTGAGAAATCGTCGCGGCGTCCAGAGAAAAATCATGACGGGTTGTAATGCGCAGAGGACTTGAGAACGCAGACTGGATGTTTGACGTTGTCTCCTGGGTAGCGAGTGTTGAATTCAGGCTCGTGGCTTCTATCAAAGAACTTGGAGGAGTCGAGGTATCGGAAACGGCGTCACTAAGAAGCTGGAGATGGTCATGAGAACCCTCATCTGGGGTAGATGGGCCCATGTTGACATTGCTTTGCGTCAACACCAATCCCATCGCATTGTGAATTGGTGTATCTGCCGAGGGGCCAGCCGCTCTCGATAGACGCCCTCGTTTGCGAGGCAGCATTTGATGCTCGCATGTCAACTGCGATATGCGACAATTAGAACATGGATCCCCGGCGTCGCATTTGACCTTGCGTCGCTTGCATGCGTCGCACGCGGCGAGATTGTTCCGCGATCGTACGGGTTTATGAAGCTGATGTTGACGCATTGCGCTAGCTGTATTGCTCTGCCCGGACCTTGTCTCCATTCCAAGGTGAGGTTTGGAAGTCGTAGAGCGACTGATGTGCTTGTGCTTGAATTCTCCGTGGAAGAAGTATAGGTAGTGGGTGGATGGAGCTTGTGGGGCGATGTCTAGCCTGCCCGCCGAGGGAGGCTTAAACGACGCTATTTCAACCAAGCAATGATAAATGATGCGTCGAAAATGGTTTCAAGAATCGTCCGACATAGCCATAGGAACCCTCGTGCCTGTATGTACGCGCCAATATCCGTGTCAGTCGACACATCTACTGCCCAAGAGTCCGGTAACAGCAAACTTCACCAACTGGAGAAACTGGTAACGGAGTGTTCGGGCGTCCGTATCAACTAACATGATCAAGGCAATATATTCTACTTGTGACTGTGTTTTCAACTACTTCTAATTATATGTCTCTGTTTGGGCGGACCGTGGTTGCTTTGCAAACACCAACTACAGGCCAGACCAAGTGAATGTCTCAGGAAGGTTGAATCTTTTCTGTACCAACTCATCCGCTGGGTTGGAACTTCGAGCAATAATGAAATTGAATTCTCCAGCTTCGGCAACCCATTGATCAATCTTCTCGGACCAGAATGACACAGCGTATTTGTCCAATGTGACGCGGCATGTTCTCGTGTCTCCTTTTCTCAGAAAGACCTTTGTGAATCCCTTCAACTCCTTGCGTGGCCGCTGCACGGAAGATTCGCAGTCGGAAACATAGACTTGAACCGTTTCAGCACCATCTACGGAACCTGTATTTGTTACATCGACAGAAATGGTCAATGTGCCTTCGGCACCGCCTTGAAATACTTCCGGGACAACTACGTTATTGTAGTCAAAGGTTGTATAAGAAAGGCCATGGCCGAAGTAAAACAGCGGAGGCACGTTGAGCTTCTCATAATAACGGTACCCAAGGAATACGCCTTCACCGTAGTAGATCGAGTGTTCTGACTTGCCAAAATTTAGGAAGGCAGGGTTATCTTCGAGTCGTCTAGGGAAGGTCACAGATAAGCGACCAGAGGGATTTGTTTTTCCAAAGAGAATGTCCGCAAGAGCGTGACCAGTTTCCTGACCACCAAGCCAGCAGTGCAAAACACTTGCGGCTTTGTCGATCCACGGCATTTCAATCGGCATGCCAGTTTGGACTACCACGACCTACAAAGCCAATCAGCACGCCTTCCGCATTTTTGATCACGAGTGATGGATGACTCACGGTTCGAGAATTTGCTTCACAGACTCTCCTGACCATCTCATCTTGCCGCCTTGAGAGCCGTAGGTGAGTGCGATCTGAGGCTTCATATTCATAGTCCGAGCCAAGACCGACGACGACTACGGGAATACTGACTTCACGTGCAAGCTCCACTGCGTCCACAATCGCTTGGTCTTCATTTCTCAAGAACTGGCCGCCAAGTCGGACACCTCCGGCCCCCGGTGTACCAGCAATCGGTTGCAACGGCCTGTTGGTCATCAGTATGCACATCTTGTACTTGACACCCTTCTGAACATCAATATCATAGATCTCTTCGGTGGTAAGCTTGTTGAAGCAAGCTGTATCGTCTGTCTTGTGGGGCTGGCGTGACCATTGGTCGACAGCCAGATTATCATTGACCAAGAGTTTAGCTTTCCCACATGTGGAGAGAGCGAGACGGTAGGTCCCCGTTTGAGGTGAAATGTAATCGGTAGTGATGCGAATATAATAAGTATCCGGAACATTGTCAATCTTCAATTGACTGAAATACATCGTCGTATTTGTTGTTGTATTAGTATGGAGAGTCGGTGTTGTCGGAAAGTCCTGTGGATCCTCTCCGAACCATTCCAGAAACAATCCAGGTTTCTCAGTCCCAGGTAGGAATAAATCGGACCTAATGTTAGGTGTCCATCGCCGTGCTAGCAGTCCCAGATTAGCATGAATCATGATAAGTAACCAGTAAACGACTCACTGTAGCATCCAGGTTGGTAGCGAACTCTCCCGGCACCCAGGACTTCAGAGATGGCATCCAGTGGTGAGCTGACATAAAATGGGGTGGATTCGGAGCTGCCACCCCCAGCATGCGCAGGGTACTCAAATAATTCGCCAATGAAACCAAAAGAAGTATCTGCATCAGCAGCGCACAGTGGGAGTGTTTGCCTCGTATTTTTTAGAAGCACAATGGAATCTGTTGCCATTCTTCGAATAGTAGTTCGAGAACTTGGTGTGTCCTCACCATCTCCATCCTGACGAGGCGGATGAAGTGTCTTATTGATCAAGTTGAGTAGGTTTCTGACAGCTCGATCGATGGTTTTCACTCTGACTTTGCGAGCGTCTACTGCTGTGGCAAGCTGTTTTCCTCGCCAAATACTTGGTCCAGGCATCTCCAAGTCGAGACCCGCGTTGAGCGCTTCGGCGGTGCTGTAAGTTCCCCACCAATCACTCATGACAAGACCATCGAAACCCCACTCCTCGCGGAGGATCTTCTTGAGCAAAAATGGGTCCTCGCTCACGTGAATACCGTTAATGCGTTGATATGCTGCCATATACGACCATGGCTTAGCTTGATGTTGTACAATCTGAAAGGGAAGGAGGTGAAGCTCTCGTAGGGTACGTTGCGACATGAAAGTCTCATCTTCTAGAGCTTTGGCGGACTGGTCGTGAGCCACGTAATGTTTGAGAGATACAGCAACTTTGCAGTCTTGTACGCCACGGACATAGTGAGCAGCCATTGTACCGCTCAAAATTGGGTCTTCACCAAAAGCCTCAAAACCACGACCTAACAGAGGGGATCGTTGAAGGCACACTGTGGGAGCTAAAGCAACTCCAACGCCTTTACGACGACCCTCTTGCCCTATCAATTGACCTGCGGCATACATCAATTCTGTATCGAACGTAGCACCTAGGGCGGTCGCGGATGGAAATTGATAACCTGGTGGCTTTGAACGTATGTATCAGTATGCAACGCAGACTTTGAGTACCATGTATCGTCATCGAGCGTTGTGTCTAGCCACTTACCATGTTGTAGAAGCGTCCACCACCTCCGCGCAATCCATGGGGACCGTCAGATGTCTGGGCCATTCAGATTAGCGAGAACCAAAACCGTGCACACGCGATCGTAGATACCTCAAGGACCGGTATTTTCAAGCGTTCATTCGGCACAGTGCTGCAAGCACCTGCACCAGATAGTAACGCAATTTTTTCTGACAGGCTCAAGTCATTTATGAGAGCATCTACGTCAAGGTAATCTTGAGAATCCATATTTTGGGTAGCGAGTCGAACTTTGTTGGAAAATGAGTCTCTAAAGTTCCTATATTTATGTAGTTAAGTCTTTTCATGACTAGTACATACTATCGGTAGTTCGAAGCAATAAACGAACACGGGGAATTAAATCGGTCGATTGCCGCATGTTGCTGCATAACTGCCAGGCTTAAAGCAACCCACCCTCTGGAATTCCCCGCGGGATATTTATCTTGGCAAACCTTAGCCTTTGGACACTCGATACTATCATCTCCCAATATAAAATTTCGACGTGTTGTACGAGTAAGCTCACGAGTCATTGTGGTATTGCAAGTGCATGTTCCAACCATGTGTCGTCGATGACTAGGTGTGAAAAGGGTACGCAGCAGAGAACATTGCACTGTTGACATGATATTTTAAATCTATAACTATTTCAAGCCCACATTCTGGTATATTAGCAAACTTAATTTCTACTTTAAACTGTATACTATAGCTGCTATTATTTTTTAAGGGATTATACTATAGGAAGATTGTTTGTGTACTTGCTAGAGTTTCATGCAGGATTGTCCCGGGTACAAATACGCGTATAGCAATTCGCCGAATACGGCATTGTCCCGAATACGGCACTGTCCTGAAATGTCCTCATTATGTGCTACATCAGGCAAGGTACCTACTGTGTAGGGAAGTAATCAGCGTACCCAGTAGTTACCGGGTGAAGTTCGATCGTGACCATGCAGCCAATTCCCCGCATTTAAACCTACAATGGACCCCGTGTCGAAGGAGCACGGCAACTAGAATCACAGGAGCAAGAAAGGAACGTGTTCGATTGACTACTTTTACATCTCGGCAGCGGTAGCAATTGCCAACATCGCGTCTCGAGATTCGCCGTGGCAGTATATAATGCTACAGGTAGAAGCTCTGCCTATGTGAGCTTTTCCGAAGTACGCCATATAACCAATTCCACTACCATTTGGCTCAATAAGAAATACTCCCATCATGTTCACCACTCAATTGATGTGGCTTTTCTCACTTGCAGCATGGGTTGCAATGCCTACACATGCAAGCGAACACTCATCTAGGACAGCTAAACCTACTGTTGATTGGGCCCACGGTCAACAAAGAGCGGACGAGTTTATCAAAAAACTCCACATCTCAGAAAAAACATACCTTGTGACGGGAGCTGCATCGTTTCCTGGTATGGGCTGCATAGGTGTGATAGCTCCGATCCCTCGACTCAATTTCACGGGCATTTGTCTTCAGGATGGGCCTACCGGTCTCAATCGCAATGATCTTATCAGTGTATTTCCGTCTGGGATCACTGTCGGTGCTACATGGGATCGACAATTGATGTATGAGCGCGGATCGGCTCTTGGACAAGAGTTCCGTGGGAAGGGAGCGAATGTCTTTCTTGGGTACCACCCCCATTCTCGTTTCTCTCCCGCTGAGCAATGTTGGCTTATAGAAAGATGTACAATTCGATCCTTGATGACCTATTCACTAATATGTGCGGACCCGTAGCAGGACCCCTTGGAAGACATCCGCTTGGAGGCCGCAATTGGGAAGGATTTTCTCCAGATCCATACCTCTCCGGCGTGGCGATGGCCAAAACAATTGAAGGAGTTCAAGAGCAAGGAGTTCAGGCAAATGCGAAGCATTACATAGGGAACGAGCAAGAGACACAGAGAAGTGCAACAGTCATTGATGGTGTCACTGTCAATGCGTATTCAAGCAACATAGACGACCGAACAATGCATGAACTCTACTTATGGCCGTTTGCCAACGCAATCAGAGCCGGTGTAGCGTCAGTCATGTGCTCATACAATCGTGTGAATGGCACCCACTCATGCGAAAACAGCCATACAGTGGATGGACTGCTCAAGAAAGAGTTGGGGTTCCAGGGCTTTGTCGTTTCGGATTGGTCGGCAACGCGATCTCTAGCAAAAGCAGTTCTGGCTGGCCAAGACATGAACATGCCCGGTCCTGCTGACCTGGACGGATTCCGAACTGGTAAGACCTTGTGGGGAATCAATTTAGAGGCTGCTGTTCGGAATGGAACTGTACCAGAGTCTCGACTGGATGATATGGTTCGCAGGATCCTTTCGCCTTACTTCGCTCTAGGCCAAGACAAAGGATATCCAACAGTCGATCCAACATCAGCCCTGGCCATGGCGGCTCAGTACAATCGGCAGGTGCCTTTAGCCAATGTTGGAGCTGTCGAAGCTCGAGATGTGCGTGGTACTCACGCTGAGCTTATCCGAGAAATGGGTGCAGCCGGCACGGTTCTATTGAAGAACTCGAATGGGACGCTACCCTTGCAGAAGCCAAAGAACATTGGAGTGTTTGGCAACGCAGCTGGAGACTTGATGAGTGGTTTCACATCCGTGTCATATGCTGGCACCCTTAACGGGTATGAATTCGGGACCTTGGATGTTGGCGGTGGTTCCGGTTCGGCTCGACATTCTTCTATCATATCACCTCTCCATGCCATTATCATCCGTACTTCCCAGTGGAAAGGGCGTGTGCAGTATCTACTGGATAATGAAAGATTGGCCCAGGACGATTTCACCAGCATCTGGCCTGTTCCGGAGGTATGCCTCGTCTTCCTCAAAACCTGGGCATCTGAAGGAATTGATCGTACGTCCTTCGAAAATAATTGGAATTCAACGGCTGTCGTGGAGAGCGTGAGCGCTCGCTGTCCTAGTACCATTGTTATAACGAATTCTGCTGGGGTTAATACGCTTCCTTGGGCCGAATCCGACAATGTCACTGCGATACTAGCCGCGCATCTACCTGGCGAGCAAATAGGAAACTCAATTGTTGACGTTCTCTTTGGTGATCGAGAGCCAACAGGTCGGTTACCATATACGATACCAAGAAAGGATTCCGACTACGACATACCTATCCTTAATCTTACAGGGCCAGAAGCAACCGATTCCAAAGCGTGGCAAGCGAAATATACAGAAGGAACCCTGATTGACTATCGGCACTTTGATGCTAGAAATATCACTCCGCTTTTTGAGTTTGGCTTCGGATTGGGCTACACTGCATTCAAACTTACCAGCGAATTGTCGATCCACAAAACTGGCAATACTACCATCTCCGCTTTCCCGGATCCTGAGAGGACCATACAACCTGATGGCAATCCTGACCTCTTCGAAGAACTCTTCAGTGTATCTACCCAAGTAGAAAACGTAGGAGATCGTACTGGCTCCACGACAGTCCAGCTTTATGCCAGTATACCTGAAAGTGACACACCCAAGGTGCTTCGAGGATTTGAGAAGGCAACCGTAAGTGCGGGCCAGAGCATCAACATATCTTTCTCACTCCAGCGGCGTGATCTGAGTGTTTGGGATGTCGCTCACCAAGCGTGGCGAGTTCCTGAGGGTGAATTTACGCTTGCAGTGGGACTTAGCTCTAGAGATTTACCTGTTCAGAAGAAATTCGAAGTACTTTAAGGTGGGACTGTCATCTGTTCTATTACTTGCTCACTACTATGATCTATTCTTACATGCTTACAATCGCTACAGGAACAGAAGAATCTAGCAATTGAGCTCCCATCATTACCACAAAAATTACTCATGAAACGATCCGATTTCCGCGAAATCCTGCCTCATTCAGCGCAGTAGTGACACCCGCCCGAACATCATCAGACATACTGTCCAAACCGCGACACACTAGGGTCGAACGAACACGATACACCTCAGTGAGTTGAGTGTGATGTGTACAATATCTCCAGCTGGGTCCATCTCCTTCAACCAAGGCATGAATCGTTCTGGAACACATCCGCAGCATTCCTGCTGTGGCAACAGTCCAGATTGCATGCACAAGGCTTTCAACATCGACAGGGGCGTTGACGATGTGAATGGAGCGAGAAATGAAATCAACCTCTTCGGAGGCGTTTTCTGGAGTCTCGTGTAGACCACAAGCTTCTTCCTTGCAATATTGATTCCAAAATACATAGTTCGAGCCGGTCTCGTTCATGCTACAGCGTTGTTTTTACATACTCTGGCCGTCGTCAGACCGTACCTCCGACACGGCAACGTCGAAATCAGCAAGTGCGAGTGCACCGCTCTCTGGATACAAGCCAGCCGTCTTCGCCAACGAGGCGGCTGTACCCAAGCATGGTGTAAGTGCTGTCCAGTGAATTGTGTTCGTCAGCACTCTTAACTCCTTTCACCGAGTTCTATCCACGGAGGTAAAGTCTGACGCTGCATTTTGGTAGATTCGGGGTACAGATTCGCCTCTGCTGTGGAAAACATTCGGAGCGGCAGACCTCCCACTCGTATCGTAGTACGGAATACCTACCATCTACAAAAACACGAGATATCTTCCACTCAACTCCGGGCGGGGATACGAGACGAGATGAGGAGAGACGACACAAACGCGATGATGGCAAGTTACCTAGGTATGTACCTAGGCACGTAGTTGCCCCATCACCTGACCGCCCGACAACCTCCGCACCGCACCACACCGCAACACACCGGATAGCTATCTCCATGGGGCAAGAAACAATCCATCCCAGCCGTCCCGCCGGAGTGTCAGGAAAGGAAAGGAAGCGGAGCGAGCATGGCAAACAAGCAATGGTGGCGTGGGCGGGCGGTGGTCCGTTCTAGCGAGTCATGGGTTTGGTTTGGGACGTCGACGTTCACCGTCGCCACCAGGCGGTGGCAGCCTACCAAAGCGCCGCAAAGCCGGTTGTGAAGGCCAAAGAGGTGGCTTTGTTGCCGAGGGTATCGTTGTACTTATAAAGTACGCACATGCGCACGCACGCATGCACGCTACGAGTAGGAATAGGAACCATGCGCTAGGTGGGAATTTGGACGAATGGAAAGCGAAGTGTCCGCAATCTCCGAGGAAAAGTCTCGATACTTTTTGAGAAGATTGTACGGAGTATGGAGTAGCTTTTACTACTTGCAGTGAGAGAGCGCGAGTCTTGTTATACACAACAAACAAAGGTCAAGCAAGAAAAGCAAAAGATCTGCGTGTCCAATCCCCATGGGAAATCTCATTCACATGTGCTGATATCCAACTCAACATTTTCTCAAGATCATTTATGCTGCAGCTGTGGTGTGGTGTGACAATAACCCGCACCCTATGCTTTACAGAAGCCCGGTCTGCCAGGTCTGACAGGCAAGGCAAAAGGCAAGGCAAGCCGTGTCCATCTTACATTCAAGGCAATAAATCGTACAGCACAATATTCCCATCTTGCATTTCCATTGGCGGGATGGGGGAGCGATGGTATGATGGCAACACCTAGTGCGTGTACAAGCAGTTAATACTCCTTCTCCACCACGAAAACGAATCGCGATTTGCGTTCCCGCTGAAGAGCCTCATCGAACAATTCATTGTATCATGACGATATTCGCGCCTTGACGTTTGCTCAGGCGGAAGGGTTCCCCATACAGACCAAGCGTGATTTCGGGGGCTGGCGGCGGGTGGTGGTCAATGTGGTTGTGGCTTGACAATCCCGTCACAGGCAAAAAGGCGATGGGAACAAGAAGGACAAGCTCAGACTACCAAGGAACCGTTGCGAAATGCAGTATAGGCTTCTTTCGACGACACGTCCGTCCGTCGAATAACAACAACAACAACTCGCAGCGTAGCTCCAACCTCGTGCGAAGGAAGCGCAAGGCGGGCTGGAAACAACATAAAGTGAAAACAAGATTTCCTAGCCCTCGAGCTTTCCGTTCCCCAATTAACTAACGGCCGCGATGCCGCGGCTTGGGAAAAGCTGAGCTTGTCCCTCGAGACGCGGGGACCCACAATCGCTTGCGCGAGCGGTCTGAACTGCTGCAATAAATCGTGGGTCGTACGTTAGTGCACGTCGCGGAGGCGGAGAGCTGGAGCGATACGGATTGTTCCAGATGACTTCTACGGTCGGTCGTGGATCCCGCACCACACTTACACTTACACATACACACGCGCCTGCGTAAGGTAGGAAGGTGATCATCATCGTGCGGAGTATTGGACCCTCAATGTTACCCCGGAGTATGGCATGGCTTTTGTATGGCGAAGGCTGCGAGCCGTGTTCTGACAATGTCGTCCTGCTTATGTCCAATCAGCAAGGCAAGGAGGACAATCCAGCACCCAAACCGACTGGTCATGGGCCTTCCTTCGTTTGGCCCTTGCCGAAGGATGCGAGCGTGCAGGCCTGAGGTTGCGAATGAAAGAGTACCTCGTAGTGAAGTGTAGGTAATAGACTAATAGTGTCTCCGTGACACCACAACCGTCCAAGTTAGCCACCCACCTAACTAACGTAGGTAGGTAGACCGTATGCCATTCTTGCAGGGTTACATAGGCTGGTTGTCTCCACCCCCGCAAACAAAAATCATGGTCCTGATCCTTGGCCAGATGTTCCACGAATGAAACTAGAAACTATTTCGCAGATTGGCTAATTCAGGCGCTCCGTAACCTGTCGCGGAGCCCCGCGGGGGGAAATGCCCCAGGGCCAGGGTCAATCCTTTGGTGGCCGGACGCTGGTAGCACAGACTTACCCCGAGAATCCGAGATCCATGCGATGCTCTTTAGCAGCGTACAGCTCCGCACACGCAAGACGAGATGGGATGAAAATAGACGCAGAGCTGGAGACGGGAGAGTAGAGCTATCCTAGCTAATTACTTTTGTGAAATAATTCCAAGAAATGGCCGAAATCGTGAGGTTCTGTCCAACGGCGTCTAGCGCAAGAGCTAGGCTGGCAGGCTGGCACGACGTCTCCAGGATTCCAGGGTGAAGTGAGAGAAAAGGCATCGGGTGATAGGACGGGCACTGGTATATTCCATATTCACCTCGGGGCCAACTAGGTAGCTGCTACCTAGCTCAAATGGCAGGGCCCATTTCCCCTCCTGGTACAATTGCCGCCCGACGTAGCGGATCTGAGTCGTAACCGCACGTTCGTTGCAAGGCAACTCTAGGTGAAGTTTGTTTGGGAAACTTCCATTTAAGCACCCCAGCCTGCCCGCTCTGTTCTTGTCGCTTTCTTAGGGCCACTGCTTGTTTACCCTTGGCTTTTTGGCATAGACACAGACAAGACAAGACAAGACAAGACAGAAACACAACCGCAGCAATCGACACTGCAACATGTCGGAACTCGAGCCAAAGCACCATGCGGCCGGCGTCGAAAAGGCCGAAGCAGGCCTGACGGAGAAGGAAACCGCGAGCAGCAATGCAGTACTGGGCGACCACGATCTCTTGCAGAATGCCTACGAGGGAGAGAACCGTGAACACGCCATGGGGGCTTGGGAGGCTGCTAAGCTCCACCCCATGGCTTGCTTTTGGGCGTTCATCTTCTGCTTTACAATCGTAAGTTTGCCCTAGCTCCCGTGTGGCTGCAGCCATGGGCAGTCTGCATTGCACATGGAATTGAGAGATGCTAATCTGCTTTACAGGTCATGGAATCGTTCGACATGTTCTTGAACGGCAACTTCGTCGCGCAAACCGCCTTCAAGGAGCGGTATGGTGTGTTGCACAACGGGAAGAAAACCATCGAGACCAAGTGGCAGAGTGCTCTCTTCCAGTCTGGCCAATGCGGTGCCTTCGTGGGTGTGTTCCTTGCCGGACCTATCACCAACCGTCTCGGCTACCGTTGGACTTGTATCATCGGCCTTATCCTTATGAACGCCACCATTTTCGTTTCCTTCTTTGTAAGTTATCACCCCCACTCCCTGTTTTCGAAATGCAATGACTGATAGACATGCTGTAGGCTCAATCGCTTGAAGTCCTCACTGTTGGCCAGGCTTTGGAGGGTGTCCCGTGGGGCATATTCATCGCGAACTCTCCCGCGTACGCCTCGGAAGTCGTCCCAATTCCTCTCCGTGGCGTCGTTACTGCGACACTTCAGATGAGTTGGTCGATTGGAGGTATCATTGTCGCCGGTGTCACGTATGCTACCAACAAGCGAACGGACGAGTGGGCATGGCGACTACCCCTCGCTCTTCAGTGGCTCTTCCCCGTGAGTATACGCACCTCCGACACAATGGATAATAGCCAGCTAACGACTGTAGACCCCTCTTTTGCTTATCATCTTCTTCGCTCCCGAATCCCCATACTGGCTCGTTCGCAAGGGCCGCAAGGAGGAGGCGCTTAGGTCCGTCCAACGTCTCGGCCGCAAATCATCCCAGAGCGACCAAGATACACTGGCGATGGTGGAACGAACCGTAGAGATTGAGCGCAAGATGGGCGGAACCCCGACTCTCATGGACCTCTGGAAGGGTGTCGATCTCAGGCGAACATTGATCATCTGTTTCATGTACGCATCCCAGAACTTTGCCGGCAATTTGATTGCCAACCAGGCCACTTTCTTCTTCGAGCGTAAGTACTTTCCGCTTTCCATCATTACGTTTTATGAAGGAAAAATCGCTAATTCGGTTCTTAGAGGCCGGCATGTCGACCGATTTCTCCTTCCAGCTCAGTTTGATCAACTCCTGTCTCGGTTTGGTCGCCAACATTGGCTCCTGGTTCCTTACCGCCTGGTTCGGTCGCCGTGACATCTACCTCTACGGAACGGCCGTCAACGTCACCTTCCTCGTCCTCCTCGGAGTCTGCGCCTCGATCCCCCAGAACAGCGCGACCAACTATGCCCAGGCCTGCTTGGGAGTCATCATCTCCTTTGTCTTCGCCGGTGCCATGGGCCCCATCACATACACCGCTATCTCTGAGACCTCGGCCGTCCGCCTTCGAGCCCTCAGCACGGGTGTCGGTCGCGCCGCCTACTACGTCGCTGAGATCCCCATGATCTACCTCGCCTCGCAAATGCTCAACCCCACGGGCTGGAACATCGCCGGAAAGTGCGGATACATCTGGGGCGGAACCGCGCTCATCTGCTGGATCATCGCATACTTCTTCTTCCCCGAACTCAAGGGCCGCTCCTACCGTGAGGCCGACATCTTGTTCCACCGCAAGATCCCCGCCAGGAAGTTCAAGTCCACCATCATCGATGTCAGGGAGAACGAGTAAGGCGATTCGCATCTTTCCTTGCGGCTTGTCGAAGCGTTGGCGCGGCGTCGTTTGGCATGACGTGTCGCGTGTACCGTGCAACTCTTTTGTTCTGTAGATGACGGTCTAGCGATGATGATGCATCATGTATCGTCCGATTTCAAGACTGCATCAATGAACAATCCTTTTACTTTCCAAATACCAAATACCAAATCTTATACTGTCAATAGTGTTTGTAGTCTACTCCGTCACTCACTTTCATAATGAGAATAATACCCACTGCTTTGATAGCTCTGAATCTCAGTTTCTTCAGATTAGTCTGTTATTTCTCCATCACACTGATTTGATGTCATTGGATTTGTACTGCAAACGTGAAATCGGTGAGGCGCTTATTTTCATGGCGGAGATGCATCTCCATGCACGAAATGTTCCCAGCAGTCCAGGAAACCCGGTCTACGGATTCCCATCACACTCCATGCCATCCCATCAACGGCCCCTGCCAAGCTATGGGACAAAAACCCGGGATTCGAATCTACAGGGATGGGGTTTCCTGGTAGAATGCGTACCGCCAGGTCGGGGCGTAAACGTCATTGAATTTCGTTCAGTGGTGCATGTACATGTAATATGTATACACGAAGGGCCGGTTGTTGGTATCACGTGACACTGTCTTTTCAATTTGGATGACTGTGTGGTTTGGTGGAAGGCTTAATTCAAACGGTGTATCATTTAAGGGCATGGTGAAGCATGCCACAGAAACTCTCCCAAAGCGTAACGTCACGACCCTGAAGCCAATGCAGGAGAACCTCTCTCGAGTCGCCGTCCACTTCGATCCTGCACGCCAGGGCAGTCGTGTCTGGTCTTTGGGCAGTCATTGCGGGGTCACCACCATTGGCTAGATATTGCTGGTGCTTTTTCATGAGTCGACGATACGAGCGGTTCCAGACGTTTTGCGCGGCGATACTGACCCCTGACTTCTTTTCTGGATCCCATGTCCAGCGAAGATCGAGGGAGGTTAGTTGGCTGTTTAGCTGTGAGATGGCGGTGTCTAGATCTTTTTGGATTGGTATGGGGAATTTGTAGAGAGTGGGAAATGGTAGGTATTCGTTCGCGATGCCTTCGATACGAGCGATGTCGTTCGCGGGACGCATATCGCCGAAACTCCAGGCTACGACCCATCTCTTTGTCAAGCCCTGATCCATGCAGCCTACTGCCCAGTTGTTGATATCGTTTTTCTTCAATAGATCGATTATGGCTTTCGCGTTGCTCATTCGACCAAACAGGCTGCTGTACCAGGTGACTTTGTCGCGCAATACAAGGCTTTCGTTCACGATGCGCGTGACAAATCCAAGATCGCCGCCTTCGCATACCATTTCCACTTCCGCGCCAGTGCAGACGGCGGGTGGCTTCCGTTTCCGATCTTCACCTTCGAGACTGGCGTGCATGTCGGCGTGACTGAGGAAGAAGGGAGGGTTGCAGATGGTGAAGTCCAGCTTCTCGACAGCGAGGTATTGTAGTGGTATCAGAGGTTGGTCTTGGAGAGTTTGTAACAGTTTGACGCGTGTCATCATGTTGTTGATGGCGAGGTTCCGCGACGCATAGTCGAAGCTTTTCTTGTCGATATCAGTGGCGCACATTGTCCAATTGGGTCTGCATCGTAGAGAGAGAAGGGTGTAGATCGCAGAGGCACCAGTTCCAATATCAAGGCCTATGACTTGACGCTGCGGATCATATCCACCCTGGAGATTCGGAGCAGTGGAGTCAAGAAGGCGCTGAATCCAAGCCACGTAGTTGCTTCGATTCGGAATCGGTGGGCAGAGCCGGTCATCCGGGAGGTCTATAGGCAAGCCAAAGTCTTCCTGTAGGATCGCTTTTGTCAACGTCTTGTGGGTTTCGGGGTCGTGGAAATCGAGTTTGTGATTGTTGGTCTCCCATATTTGCCTGAAGTCTTCATTCGCATTGGCCAGGAGTTGAAAATCTGTCTTTTCGTATGGAGAAAGAGTTGCGAGGTCTCTATCTCGAGATGAAGTGGTTGCGTCTTTGTCTTGTGGATGCATAGCGGACGATTCGAAAATGATATATCTTCTTCTGGGACTCTTTGTTCGCGTTGGTACGCCAGTCCTACGTAGCAAGAGATGGAAACTGAAGGCCAGGAGCTTCAGAGCATCAGTAGTTTTTGAATGCTGTGTTTAATTGATCACGATTATGTTGGCAATGCTGAACCGTCTCAGGTATTTTCAGTAGGTAGTGCTCTAAGGTGGGCTGAATGGTGATAAGTTCCTCGTAGGTAGCCAGTTGACAGTTGTTAGTGAAAGCAACAGACTGGAATAGGAAAGTAAGAAAACGCTTGGGCCACCTTTGACTTGATTGGCCGTTTTCAGGGACAAAACAGTACCTGGTAAGAGATGAATTGAATCAAGAATTGCATCTTGTTGAATATATTCTAAGTCTTCTGGTGCTGGTCTTATCTCTGGAAGATATTCGCTGGAAGATATTCGAGAGTATGTAATTACGAAAGCGGTTAACGATGGACAAATGAACAATAAAAGCTTTGCTGATTTCAACATATCTACCTGGATATTATAGCAAACCCACATATTACAATACGGTCTTACAAATTCAAGATTGATAAAAAAAAAAGGTGCTCCTGTTCACCAGCCGACTTGTAGCTGGTGTTCCAACCCAATGCTAAGAATTCGATATCACGTGGCCGAGCACCACATGGAAAAAAGTGCGTAGAAATTAGTGTAGAGCGGATATCATGCGCGATTATATCAGAAAGGGTCCATCGTATGCTCCGTCAGGCTCCCCAAGGCGGACAGATTCGAGGCTTGGGATGGTGTTCGGTTTGTAGTATCCTAGCAACTCCTCCATGTCCTCCTCCGTCATCTCGCAGAGCTCATCCAAGCTCCATTGTTCGCAGACCTTGGACATCCTAGTGGGGAAATTAGCAGCTGCAACCAATAGACTGATCATTGTTATGTTCGTACCATTGCATTCGCTTTGGACCCTCCTCCTGTGCCGGCGCAATCTTCCTCAGCTTCCGCCGGAGGATTCCTACTCGCGTCACCGCAGCCCCAATGTTACTCGGGAGACCGTCCGCAATTTGTCGCCGCACGATATTCGCCAACTTCGGGCCATTGCCATTCGTGCTGACCATAATCTGTAGCGGGCCGTCGCGATGGACACTGCCGAAGTAGAAGTCACACTCCGGAGGCACGTCTGCGATGTTCGCCGGTATCCGCTTTTCCTTGCATAGCTTAAATATCTGTGAGGAGGCTTCCGGGTCGTCGACTGCGGTCAGGACCATGTCGACGCCATCGAGATCGGAGGGCTCGAACTTGCGGTCGATGTATTCGACCTGCTTTTGATCGATGCGGTAGGCGACTTCATCGTTGAGGCCGGAGCGGGGGGAAACGACGGTGACTTTTGCGTCGGCGTTGAGGACGTTTACGATGCGACCAGCGGCAACCTAGACTTTGTCAATGTGAATGGTCGTACAAGGGTCGGTAGGCTGTAGGGTATCTTACCTCTCCTCCTCCCACGACGAGGATGCGCTTGTTGCGGACTTGCCAGGCAAGGATCAACGAGCCTCCACCTTGTATATCGGGATAGGGGCCCTTCATAGCTATGGTCTGGTTCGAATGTTTGAAGGAAGAACGAAGGAGATGCACGGAGATGTAAAATGTTATTAATTAATTGTTTTTTCTTTTGGGAGAGGAAAGATGCAGTTAAATGCCAAGCCCTGACATCACCTTATGAACCCCTGTCTCATCTCTTTCACATGTCTGATAGCAAATAACATTGATCACGAACATCTACTTCCGTTAAACGATCAATTGATGCCTCTCAAAACGATTAAATCATTACATTTCATCGAATTCGTCCAAATTACATAAATAGCATACAAGTATTTCTGGCCCCATTATTGAAGGATTGATGTATCGATACGATCCCTGCATTGAGCTAATCAGCCCCAAAAGGGATTAGCGTGGGATGACCAGCTACCCCGAACTCCGTTACAGTTACTTATCCAGACCAGCCATCAGCCATCAGGCACATCCACTACTACTAGGCAGATCCAGGAGAGTTGCGACGATTCACGAAGGTTTCCTCCTTTCCACCTCCATGATCTCTGCATCCTCCTCTGTCAACCTCCTTCTATCATGACCTCGGGCAGGTCCCTCGGCGGCGGACGAGTCCTGGGTAGTGGAAGGAACCTGTCGCCTGCTGTCTCCCCGCAACCGCCGAGCCAGCACCGCCGCAATGCCAGCCTGTTGTCGCCGTCCGAGAGTTCTCTGTCCTTGAGTTCTCAAACCTCGAATAGCCCCGCGAGCACTGCAGAGACAAGGGAGGATATCACGAGCAAGGTTTTGCTTGGGAACTCGGACAATGTGGCCGCGGCGAGTGCCTCCAGTAGGCTGTTCTGCCCGATATGCAGCGAGGAAATGGTATGCACTGTGACTACTTCATGCGGTCAGGAATGATGCTAACATGAATAGATGACCCTGCTGCAGCTCAACCGGTAGGTCATGTACATAATCACAGCCATGGACTGCTTTTCTAATCATTGCAGACATCTGGACGATAACCACCAGAACCTGGTCGAGGAAGAGCAGGATGAGGTCAAGAACTGGTTCGAAACACAGATGAAGAAGGCCAAGCGCTTTCAACCTTTGGCCGTGCTCAACCAGAAACTCAAAGGGTTGGACGTCTTCGAGCCCAACGATTCTCCCACACCGCCGCCCGTAACGGTATCACGGCCCCTCGCTGGCGCTGCCGCCTCACCCGAACCGGTCGTCGTACGCCGAGACCCCGACGAGGAAGTCACACGAGCACACTGGCAACGGCCCGGACAGCGCGACGTATGTTTAGATCCCTTATGTGGACGACCGATAGTTGCTGGACCGCAATTGGCTTTGGGTGGGACAAGTAATGCGGTGAATTGCAGGAGCTGTGGAAAGTTGTTCTGCGAAGACCACACCATGTACCAGATGAAGCTATCGCGTCAGGCAAAGCACGACCCAGTGCGGGGATTCTGGTGTCGGGTATGCGAAACCTGCTACAAATCAAGAGAAGGATACAACGATCACCACGGATTTGAGAGAAGTCACTTCAAGGAATTTGCAAGTATAAGGAGGCAAAGAGTAGACAGAGCGCATATGGAGGCCAGCAGACTGGAGAAGAGGCTGACCAAGCTGACACAATTGTTGGCCAACCCACCGCCGCCGGACGACAATTCAGGATCTGGGAGTTTCTGGCCGCTGTCCGGAGGAGCCAAGGCGCAACGCAAAGCACTGGAGCAGTCGATTATCAACTGGGAAGACGACATCAAAGTCGCAAGTTGTCCCTTCTGCCAGCAGGAGTTTTCGAGTTACACGTTCCGTCGACACCATTGCCGCATGTGTGGGCGTGTGGTGTGCGGCGATCCAAAGACGGGATGCTCTTCCGAGCTAGGGCTGAATGTCGCTGCAGGGTCTCGCAAATCCGAGAAAGCTGGCCAGATCAGCATCGACGTCCGCATGTGCAAGGAATGCCATCACACATTGTTTAGCAAGGCCGACTTTGACCGCGAGCTCTCGCAACGGCCAGTTGATCAACGAGCATATGAGAACCTTGCGCAGTTCGAGCGGGGGATTCGCCTTTTGCTTCCTCGTTTCCATAAATTGCTAGTAGCACTTCAGGACCCAGAGAACCCGCCTTCGGCACAGCAACTCACGGATGCTACTAAAGTGCGCAAGAGGCTTATGGATGCGTTCGCACAATTCGACAGCGCGGCGCGTAGAATACGGGATTTGCCCACTGAGTCGCCAACACAAAAGAAGCTGCAGAAAGCAGTCTGGCAACAGGCGTACAGCTTTCTTAGCCTACACATGCTTCCACTGCGCTCATTACCAAAGGTGCTCAAGCATGCTGCACCACATGGCAACAAGAGCAGTGGCCGTTCCGGAAGCGCACTCGCAGCAATCAAATACAATGACATGGAGGCAGGCAGTATTGTCAGCAGCAGTAGCGCTGTGTCTGCGTTGGAGTCGGAAGAGAAAGAGCTTCGGGAAAGGCTCATCATTCTCGAGGAGCAGAAGTTTATGGTCGCCGAAATGGTAGCGGATGCTACCAAACATCGCAGATTCGACGAAGTGACGAGCTTATCACAAAACCTAGAAGACTTGAACACGGAGATTAACCAAGTCAACGGACAATTGGGTCAATTGGATTTTGCGGGGGCCTATCAGAGGGACGTGGTCAGTCCGACGCCAGGTTGAGCAAGACGAATGAGTTCACCACATACATACATTTATATACCCTTGGGAGGAGTTACAACAGACACAGCATGTACTATTATTCAGCCCCGAGTGCACGCATGCTCATCGCAACAGGGCTAGCTGCGGCAGATATCCAAATCTATGAAGACATCACAACACCCGCACCGCTGCGCGCGCATAAGACGTGCTATTCACTGGATAACTAGAGGTGCATTCAAGACAATCGAAGAAGAGATATTACCACCACAAACGGGCAAGCGCACCATTATTGTAAATACGACCAATAATAATTAAAGGAATATTATTAAGGCACCGATTGTCGAAAAAGGTTCGGATACTGACCTGCTCAGCATCCGTCAGCAGTCCGGCGGGTGTCCTTGCGCGACTAAAAGAGCTTATTGGCTCGCGACCCACTGACCGGACGACATTGTCTATCACGATTCTTCGACGCCTCGAATAATGCGCCGCATGTGTTCGTTGTCTGGAAACAGAAAATGGTTTTCGATAATGAGTCGCCAGCAGTATTGCAATAGTTGCAACCCACACTCAATTCATTCCACTTTGGTCCTCCATCATCCCGGCTCCAGAGTCCACCTACATCCATCAAACCCAACAAAGTCCCCTCAAAGCCACCCCTTCATACCAGCACAAGCCACCTCTAACCCAGTTTCCAAAACCCTCCTGCTTAAACATCACCACGAACAATGACATAACCCGCTTCCTCCCTCGCCATCGCGCGTAGTCACGCCTGCGGAAGCGCCGGATCGCAGCCCATGCGCCCAATAGGCGAGTTTTCTCCGAACATCCTCACCTTTTCCGTGGGCTAGTCATCTTCGCGATCGACTTACCTCAGCACCGGTTCCTCTGCCGGACCGTTCCTTGATCGTGCCAAAGTGAGCGGATTTAACCTCGTCTTTTCCTGGAAGGGTAGGGAGGAAGAGTCCGGGTCTGCCGTGGGTGCCGGCGTATGCGGTAGTCACCAGGGAATAAACGAGGCGGAAGGGTCATGACGGTATGATGGTTGATGTCATCGTTGGAGAGTGGGATGATAAATGGCGGTAGGCCCCGGGGTGTTTCGTCAGGTTGCCAGAACGCGTGAGAGTTTGATTTTGAGGAGCATTGATTTTTCTACGGACTTCCGCTGGACTGAATCGGTTGAGAGACTTGGGAGGGTTTATATCGAAGGACAGCACTCTTAATATCGCCAATCCGTCAGACGTATTCGTTGGAATTATCACACCGCGGAGCTTGAAAGCTGTTATCGTCGTCCTGTACACACTGTATAACAATTCACCACATCACAATCACACTGTACGTACCTCCCTCCACCCCAACCGTCTACCAAACCCACAACCAACTAACCCCCTCCCCAGACTCAACTTCTCTCCCATATACCCGCAACCACTACAACATAACCACCTTCCAACCATGGCCATCAACACCATCATCCCCCTCCTCCACCTCCTCACCCTCACCCTCCCATCAACCAAAACCATATCCATCCAATCCCCCCTGCAATTCTACACATCCCTCACAACCTTCCCCCGCCTCCCCGCCAACCCCACCCCGCTCGACCGCCTACGCTACACATGCCACAGAGCGTACTTCCAATACCTCGTCACCGGCCCCGGATACGTTCTCGAGACCCCGGAGCGCCTTGTCATGGACGCTGTGGTGCTGACGTTGCTGGCAGCGGTAATGTGGTGTGCTGCTCTGTTTGGAGCTATGGTGTGGGGTGTTGTGGGCAGGGGGTTGCTGTCGAGCTCCGCCGTGGCTCTAACGCCTGTGGCGATGGGAGGTTGTGCGAATTTGACGGACGCGGGGGTGGTAGGTGTGGGAGAGGGTTTGGGGGTCGTGGCGAATTTGAGTGTGAGTGTTAGGACGGCGGCGGCGGTGTTGAGTATGTAAGAGGGATCAGGGGATCAGCGATAGGGGAGAGAAGAGGAGAGGAGAGGGAGGACGAGAAGGAGATGTTGATTTATATACCCATGTACCGCGAGTGAGCGAGCGAGCGAAGGCAGTGAAGGCAGCGAAGGGCCTGATATGGAGGGTTTGACCTCGAAGTCTTTTAATGATATACGGAAACTATTAATATACCACATTTCACACATTTCACGCACTTCTTGTCACCGGCAATAGCAGCAGTATTCGTTTATCAATTAAACTTCGTCGCGAGATGGTACGTAATCCAATTTTAGACAGGTGATGCTCTTCAGACATCACGCGTAGAGGGAAAGACACCAGGTAGAGCATAGCTAAATTGACCAATGCAGTCGAGAGAAGATGAAGGCATCATCCACCGTACCTCCAGAGGCCCATCGACAATAGCTAATATCTTATCCTATCCTATTTTATACATGAATACATGCATTTTGAACATTTCTCATAGTTGACAAAGGAACGTTTGGTTATTGACTAAAGGTCAGTCGTGAGATAGTAGTCCGTTTTTGGACATCGGAAGAGGAAATCCTCCGATAAGATGGAGAAACAGCCTTATGATCGCCAACGCCAGCCAACGCCATGCGATCCGTCCCGCACGCACGCCACGCGATGCGCCACATCGACTTCACCGTTCTTTCATCCCCAAACAAAATTTCTTGCTGTTTCTTGAAAACATATAATCACAAGCATGGCGATGTCATGCTTGAAGGAGAGAAAGAGTTCGTCCGGGTGCGGTTCTAGACGGCTTAACCCCTCCAGCTCGCCTAAACTTTGAACCGCGTCTACCGTACGTAAAACGCAGTGCAGGTCTGTCTAATCGGTATGTACATATATTAACTGCTTATCCTAGTCCTTTGCGCTCGGCAAACTTCTAATTTTGATTCTCCACCTTCCTCCTCGTTATCATTTGTGCTAAGTATCTCTCTAGAACTACACAGTACTAGGTAGCCCCGGCCGTTTACCAAGCCCTTGGAAGAAACAAGCTTTCTGTTTTTAATATGGGAGAAATATGTACCTGCTCGTCAGGGAAGAGAACGCTCGTATTGCTCCATCGCCCAAGGCTTTTGCAACATTCGCCAATGGTTATCCCAATTCCGACCGGCTCTGACCTTCTGGATTTGTGATCGTTGCGGGAGAAGAGCAGGAGAAGGGAGCGATTGCGACATCGTGGGTTTGCCCTGCGTTTTCTCACCACCACACTTTGGACGGATTATGGATATCACACACATACTACGAACAATACATACACACATACGAGTCTTGGCCAGCCCAGACGCAGACATATACAAGCCCACCACGCACCCCTGCCCTAGATCTCACGCGCTCTTAACAACACTCGCCATTGTCCAATGGAGAGCTCGAAGCAATCTAAACACCTACCGGATATAGATACACATACCATGTTATCGAACATTGGCATCCATTTGAGCGGGGACCCTGGGTGCGAGATTGGATTTCGATAGCGGCTGCGGGGGCGTTGTCGAGAAACCCATGTAGGAAGGAGGAAGCTCGCCCACGATAGGTACCTGGCTGGGCTCCTGGGATAGCTCCCCGCGACGAAATCTACTATCGACGAGGCAGACTCCCGTGGCGATGGTGGTAGAACTGCTCCACACGATATAAACCCCCCATCCACCCCTCTCAATCCCCTCCCCTTCTCCCCCTACCTACCCTTTCCCCCATCTCCAACAATGAAACCCACGCTCTCCCTCCTCGGCGCCGTCGCCTTCCTCCCGCTCGCCCTCGTGGCAGCGAAGGAGATCCCCAAGGACCCGGAGCGCGCGAAGCGCTACGACTCAGGCGAGGTGCACGACGAGCTGATGGCGGCGAAGCAAGCAGTGTGGGACAGGCAGGAGAGACTCGGCGTCATGAATAGCCTCGCGGGGCCGTACTACCCGGAGTTGCACTTTGCGCAGTGTAAGGATGGAAAGGCGGTGCCGTTTAGGGATGAGCCGAATAACTTTTATAGGTGTAATAACGTGAGTGGATTTCTGGGGAGGGGGTTGTAGAGAGTGAGAAAGGAAAGTTAATGTGAGAGTAGATCAATCTTCATCATTTCTTGTCGCATACGGATCTGGGGAGTGAGGTCGGGTTGGGGTCGTCGTCTTGGGGGTGGGTTGCTCCTGACGGCAGGGAGTTTGCGATCATTGCGCAGGCTGATGGAGCGGCATTCGCGGAGGTGAATTCGTATGAAAGCGTTTGGATGGGGAATTGGATTGCTGAAATTTGAACATAGATTACCACTGCTGGAAAGCTCCGATATCTAGGTCGTCTCCCCCAGACTCAGGGCGTTGAGGCGAACCGCTGGAGAGAAATCAGGACGTACAAGAACTTCATCGTCATCGGCAGCGAGACAGTGAACCACCACATCCAGATCTTCGATCTAAGAAAGGTAATGATTCCCCTGAATCCATCTAATGCATGTTTCTAACCCGACAATCAGCTCCTCGACATCGACTACCGCAACGGCCCAGTCACCTTCCACCCGAAAGACAGCCTGACAAGCTTCTACGGCAACCTGCCCGATGGCCGCGCCCACAACGTCCTCACCAACGAAGCCACCGGCTTCGCCTACATCGTCGGCGCGCGGCCCCGCAACTCCACCTGCCGCAGTGGCCTCATCTTCGTGGACCTCAAGGACCCCACGAACCCTACGTCGCCCGGGTGTGCCGCCAATGACGGCTACGTCCACGACGCCCAGTGCCTAATCTACAACGGCCCGCACACCAAGTACGTCGGCAAGGAGATCTGCTACGGCTACAACGAAGACTCCCTCACCATCTGTACGCCCCCTCCCCCTCCTCCTTCCCTCTCCCTAACTAACACCCCCCAACAGACGACGTGACCGACAAAAAATGGCCCGAAGTCATCTCCATCACCTCCTACGAAGGCGCCTCGTACACGCACCAAGGCTGGGTCCTCGACCCCGCCTGGCAAACCCACCTGCTCCTCGACGACGAGCTCGACGAGCGCGAGAAGCGCGGCCCAGCCGCCGACGGAAAACCCGTAACCTACATCTGGGACATCTCGAACCTCGAGCGGCCGCGCCAGACCGGCTACTACAAGGCGCCCCGCGTCTCCGTCGACCACAACCAGTACGTGTGGGGCAACTACACGTATCAGAGCAACTACGGCGCCGGGCTCAGCGTGTTGGATGTCGGTAGCATTGTTGCGGATCCGACGGGTAGGGGCGTGAAGGAGGTGGCGTGGTTTGATGTGTATCCCGAGGATGATAATGAGGTTGGGGGTGGCAAGGCGGAGTTTGTGGGGACATGGTCGAGTTACGCGGGGTTCCCGAGTGGGTTTATTCTGATTAATACGATTGAGAGGGGGGCTTGGGTTGTTAGGATTCAGAAGGAACTGCCATAGAGGAGGTCGCAAGGAAGCTGAATAGTTGAGTAATAATGAGAAATGTGTTGTGATACTACCTCGTGAAATTTGGATAGCAGTGCAAAGAGATTCCCGCGCCTCATTGATATTTACGTCAAACTCATGCGTAGTACTCATGGTCGTTTGCTTCTCCAATTCCCCAACCCATACCTGGAGCATGACTAGAATTGACAACGTACCTAATTTACTCCCGCCGCGAAAAGTACAAGGAAGGAGATATGTGCCTATGTCTGTTGGTGGGTAAGGGAACATCCAGCGTTATCTTAGCAATTAGGTCGTCACTATAAATTTCAGGAGTTGTTGTTTAGTGTACAGCACGTTAAGCGTTTTAAGAGAAACCTTTACTCCTTCGTCGTAAGAAGTGCACGTATCTATCGAGTAAAATATCATCCTAAATCAGCTATAATCATATTTTGCACTTAAAATAACCACTTAAAAGTAGAACAATAACTGAACGATACAAAACCAACTACAAAATATCTCTCCACATCCCTTCGCAATTTTAAAGAAGACAAGAACTACGAGACGCATAAAATGATCATCTGATACCAATATAGAAACACCCCATCCCTCCTCCCCTAGGCAAAGAGAAAACAGAAATTCCTTCTAGAACAAGTGCCCCCGCATCTCGCGCCAAACACCCGGGTTGATAGACTGTAGTGTACAATCTATGATCCTCGCCATACATGCATGCTTGCATGTGGTTGTCTGCGGCCCACCCTGGCTGAACGTGGGGAGTGGAGAATCGAGAACGGGTTTGGCCACGGTGTTCTTTGTGAACGATTGAACTGGAGAGGTTAACTTGAGGAAGAATTGAGGTGGATGTGAAGGGTGATTTTGTAGGTGGGAGAGATGTACTTAGTGTGGAGGGTACGTTAGACTCCACACTACACGTTAGAACAATCTACCCAGAAAAATGAAGTAGAAAGAAGGAAAAAAGGAATTGTCACAAGCGATGCAACTCCCGCAATTTGCATCTTATTCTATCATTCCAATTACTGTTTTTTTCTTAGCGACAATCATTTGAAGTACTTAAAGGCCAAGTAGACATTTCCCTCTATTCGGGTTGGACAATGGAAGGGTTCCGGCTAATCTAATAAACAACCTACACTGTACTTTATATATATTCCTTATATTTCCCACCACAGGGCGACTCTGCCTTTCCATGTTCAAACCCCAATGGATGTTCTTTTGCCTTATATATTTCTGTATAAATTGCCTTTCCAATGTCGTCCCGGTATTTCCCCCATCCCTCTACACTTTACCATGCCATGCCATGCCACGCCACGCCCTGCCATGAGGATTGGGATGGGATGGATATATAGTTTTTCATCTAGTCCGTATATGGTTGTTTTGATGGTTGGGGGCGTGGTTGGTCGTGTTTCGCGTCGTGACGCTGGGTTCATATAGGGGATTGTTGTTTTGCTTTTTGGGTTGGATGATGAATGGTTCTGCTGTGGCGATCTACTATATGCCGTGGAAGGTTCATGGAAGGATGGGTTGGTTCGTTGATAAGGATATGACCTCCCTTCTCTCTCTCTTTCTTTCGTTGGTGGATTGAGAAGAAGAGCATATATGTATAAGTACCTCACCTTCATCACCTTACCGTATCACCTCTCTCCCATTCACCATCCAACAGCCAAACCTCCCATCTTCATAAAACCTACCTAAAAATGCATCTCACCATCCCCCTCCTCACCCTCCTCCTCCCAACGCTAACTCTCTCCCTCCCAACATCCTCATCCTCCCTCGCACTCCTCACGACCCTCCGCACCGCCACCCTCCAAGCAGACGAATGCAAGCTCCCGCGCCCGGGGTTAAGCTGCGCCGAAGTCCCGACAAAAGACATCATAGTAACATACGGCGGCACCGCGACGGACGAGCAGAAGGCGGTCGTGAAGGCGGCGGTGGAGGGCAGCGGCGGGACTATGATTAGGGATTGGGCGGGGTTCGGGTGAGTACTTTGTATTCAGTTGTGGAGGACGAGATGGGAATGGCGGATTGTGTGAGAAGCTCGTCGGAAGCGTTGCTGACTGGTATGATTTCTAGATTCACGGCATTCGTCCCAGAGCCTGTAGCTAAGCTTGTTGAGCATCATGGCGAGTCGTTTGGGTTGAAGGTGTGGGAGAATGCATGCATGGAGATTCCGTGGTGTGGTGAGGCGCCGTGCTAGATGGGACTAGACTTCATTGTTACGAGTGCATTGGGGGTTCGGGGGTTGGGGTAGGAGACATGAGGAGAGGGAGGTTGAGGTTGTAGATGCGGATCGCGGGAGGGATATTAGGATGGGCAGCATTGCGTTGTGAATAGCCGGTGATGGGTTAGTTGTGTATATACCGATATGTTTCTGTTACGGCGTTCGGTTTCGATTGGGAGAGGTGGAAGGGTTTCGGTGGTTAGTGGGAGCAAAAGCATTGATTTACTCGAACGTTCTGATACCCTCACGTCTGCCTGTATAGGATTTGATATCCAGCACCACTGTGCTGTCATCTCCAGTCGACCACAGCCAAAACCTTACCCATCAACTGATCATCATCACAATCTCCACCAAATCGTCATACGTTCCCACAACCTCGACCTCCATCGTCATCCGAAAACCCAAATATTAACAAAAAAGGAAACTTCACAAATCCCCATCGATTACTCTGCCCAGTTTCTGTGAACTCGAGGTCCACCTCTGCCAACTTCCATCTCAACTCCCCGGCGTGAACCAAAGCTTACAGCGTAATAGATCATCATCATCGACAGCCCTGCGTCATACCATCTTCAGAAAAGGCTTGGACCCTGAGATCAACAAGTCTCGCCACAGCACAACTTTCCGTTAAAGGAAACTTGTTCAATTGCCATCGATTGCTCTGCCCAGTTTTTCGTCTTGCTCTCCAGGAAAAAGATGGCAGAGGGAACTTTGGTTCCTGGATAGATCGACGCCACCCCCCACATCGTTGCAATCGCCGTCCAAGAATCGTTGCTTTCCAAGTACTGTTGGAAGGACACAGCCTGGAACCTCCCTAGATGCTAAGTCTCTGGGAGCATAGCGTCCACGCCTGCGTCAGTCGGTCGTCCAAAGTTGGCAGAGGGTCGCTCGTGCGTGTCTTGATCGAGTCCGCCAAGATTATTGGAGTTGCTGGATGGGGAAGAATGGGCTGTCGATCGGTCCGAACTGGGAGTTGGGGAAGAGACGGTTAAGTTGGATGGAGGTTAGAGTGATCGATGGGCGTGCGCGCGCGGGGCGGACCAGTCAGTTGCGGGATTGTGCTGATCATGATGATGTCGTGCCTGGCCTGGCATTTGCTCATCTTGTAATAAGGCGCGTTGTTCCATCTCCTTGTCTTCTATCCTCTTGTCTTTTGTCTCCCCGAGAACAATTTTCATAGACATACTGATCATGGCGATGGCGATGGCGACGGGGCTGGGTGTGACGTCATATCTCTACCAACCATTAGTGTAGTGAAGGTCGACACTACAGCAATTGCAAGTCTCATGTCAAGTCATTGAATTCGTACAGGTATCCCACAAGCATAATCCTCAAATACATAGTACCACTCGCAGTGGGTTCGACTCCTTTGCCATGCTCCTACTCAAACATATCCATCATGTGATGGGGATATGAACTTGGAAGTGCCTGCCCTGCCACATGTGACTGTGACAACCAGTCGACTTTCAACTATACCGTCTATCTCTCGAACTTTTGTGATGCTTCCTCCTTAATCTTTGATCAGCGCTTGCTCTCCATCTTTGTGTCGCATGGTGCCTTCGGACCTGGCCCCTATCATTTTGCATAAGGCTAATGCCAGAAGATGTCGTGCCGGTCACACACTTTCTTATGAGCCTTCCAATGCGCACGTTGGCATCGTTTGCTGCAGTAAACCCGCTCTCCACACCATCCGCAGCATAGCTCAAATGTCTGGGTCCCGCTCTGTTTGGCGCCGCATCCTCCGCAGTCGCCCGGATTAAGGCGCATGTCTCGTATCTCATTGATCACATGGTATCTCCAAGGATCCTCGATGCTCTTTTGCAGAATACCCAATGGTTTGACGATCTCAGACTCCTCATCTGCTGAAGATTGCTCATTCTCTTCCACTGCGGTGGTAGTTTCGATCAGTTCCTTTGATTCGAAGTCGAATGGCACGCCATTTTGGAAATCATGGGGCCCAAATAATGCCTTTTCGAACCTTTGCATCACCTCGGAGCAGAATTCGCCTTCGGTGTATAGCTCCTTCATCAACACCAGAGAGGGGTTCGGCAGCCGGAATCCATAGCTCATTGCACAGGCACCAAGAATCATGTATTCATGTACATTAAATTCTTCTTGCTGCGTGTCGCTGAGAATGTGTCTCTCCATCGTACGCGCAATGATGTCAAACAATTCCCTGAGTTCCACAAGAATAACATCAGTGTGAGTACACCACGGGCGATAGAGAGAGAGATGAAGTTTCCAAAGATCTTCACCCAAGATGATCTCTTCCATGTCAAGCTCGAGCTCCATCATGTTAAACAAATCCTCGATGCGGCTTAAGGCATCGAAATCCGCATCCGTTCGGAAGAGAACTGCGATCCCATCAGACAAATAGATCGCAGGCACTTGAGAAGTTTCAGCCTCGCTTACCACTTTTGTAATGCCGACGAACCATGGTCGCTGTTTAGGATCTCAATCAAGTTCAGAGTTACTGGGTGGAGGGTGCGTCCAGGAGTGAGGCGAGGAGAGAAGTGTGTTTGTAATCCGAGGGTTTGTATTCTCCCAGTAAAGGTAGGTCAGTCGTATGAAAGTGAACTTCTCCAGGAGAAACGAGAAGATGGCGAAGAAGGTGAAGAAGTGAGGAAGTGAAGGGAAAAGGTTGTTGTGTTGCGAAGGGACCCGCTTAGACTCAGGTTGCTGTTCGTTGTGGAAGGTACGCGTCGACACGCGCCGTCATGTGATATCGAATTCACTGCAGGCGCAGACTTACTAACATCGTAGAAACGCCTTCTTAGTAAGCAAGGTCAGGTATAATTGACTCGGGACAAGACAAATATGGGCTCATTAAGTACAGAGATGGACGGGTATACAAGAGATATCTCATATTGAGGGCAGTGTTTTCTCGTCAATGAGTTCAGTCTATCTAATCTTTCGTACAGAATTGATTATTCCTCCTCTCTCAGCTTCATGGTATGGACTTCAATGAAAAGACATCTCAAGTGCCCTTCTTGCCGTGAAGTATCTCTTCTCCTCTACTTACAAGCCCTCAGCCTCAAAGTAGACGAAGAGAAGAGAAGAGAAGGCCACTTGATCAGCGGTCCTTCAACTCCACGATCGGTCCATCCCAGAAAAGATCCTTACTCAACTCTTCCGGGAACCCCTTCGCACAAGGAAGTACATCCTTCCCCGGCGGCTTCATAGCAGCCGTATACCCCTCGATGCCCTGCTTGAACGCTCCCTCACGCATCGGCATACCCATCATCGGCCCTCCCCTTCCCTTCTTCTTCCCACCTCTGCGTCCTTCACCTCCTCCTCCGTGCATCATCATCATATGCTGGTGACCATTCTCCCGCTCTCTAGCTGCCCTGTTCGCCCGGTGCAATTGGCCGCCGTGGAGATCGCCCTTGAGCTCCTCCTTCTCGTCCTTGTCTTCGGTGGTGTATTGCAGTGCGTGCCAGCTGAACACGACGGCTTCGAGACCTTTGGGCGCTACGCCTTTGGCGACGTGGATAGGGCGGTTGGCGAAGAACGCAGAGTCGCGGTCGCCGATGGCGGCAGTGTCGTGGTCGAAGCGGGTGTTGCCCAGGTCGTGAAGGGCGCCCATACCGGCAATGTCATCATCTTGAGAGTAGGCCATGGTGGGGTTTGTGGTATCCTTGATGGAAAAGATAGTGGAGGATATGGGTCTTGCGGCTGTAGGTGTAGTGAAGTCAAAGAGTGGGAGATTGAGTGATTGCTGCTTTTGGATTGATTTTCCGCTGAGAGGTTCGTGTGCCGCAGCGCTTGAAGTTCAATTTAAAGTGCGTCCGACCAACTTGAAGCCTTTACTGAAAGAAACTCCCAGTGTGTGTGAGATTCTGTTCCTTCTGGTGTTGATTGAAGGCAGTGTTCTAAGGACGGCGCCCGCATAGTGAGGTGAATGCTCGATCCCGTGACACGCAAACTTGATCAGCGACTATCAATCTATCTTCACAAACTCTCTCCCTTTAGAATCTATTCCAGCCCGTCAATCCATTAAATCTCCCTCATATTCGCAATTGATGTCCCTACTCGGCCCTCACGAGTGATCACCTGCTCGCAGGATTCCGCCGCTGCGGCTTCCCTGTCGTATTCGACTGTGCCGCATGCGCCTACGCCGCACCCAATATAACTACACATCACACCTCCTTAAAAGCTCAGCGTCTATCGTAACCTTACAGCTTCTTTCGCTATCCGCTTTCTGTAGACACAAACCTTTCTGTTCACATACTACTCACGACGCACTAGCCCTCCGTCGAACATCGTTCGCGTTCGTGACGAAATCCGCCAGTGGCGCAGGCGCGCGCATCCAGTCCACATAGCAACCATCCGATGCCTTTCTCGCTCTATGAGATCCACGATACTTATTGGGAGAACTAGAGTATCGAGCTACATTTTCACGACGCGAAGACCTCTGTGGGTAATCTGTACGGGCATTGCAGATATGCGCGGCTTCGAGGATCAGACCGCAAAGACCAGTTGCATCAGAAGAGTCGGAACAAGGAACAAGGAATAACGGGGTGACATGATGGAAACTACCAGCAGACCCAACGAAGCATCCATTGTAAAGTCGATAAGAGCGTTCGAGCAATGAGGAATCGAGATCTCCATCAAGGAGATTGTGGAGGGTAGGGGGGACAGGCTATACTTCAAGGGCAAATCAATACATGGGAGACTGCCAATGCAAGAAAAACCAAGAATATGCAACCGCATTAAACCGACGTTGAAGGAACTGACGGTTTGCGTTCGAATTTAACAGGGTTCGCTGTCATCAAGCGGAGAGATAATTTCGCCGAGCTACTGAGACGGCAAACAGTGCTAATAGGCAGCATGCATCGAGAAATGGTGCTACCAGCGAACGAAGTGTATCTGTTGCTGGATGAAGGATTCGCCAATACCAAAGACCGTCCGACATTACATTCAGCTTTCATCTTAAATCACCCTGGGGATTTTACCAACCCCAACCCCAGGCTAGCTCACGATACAACAGAACCTGGAGCGCATAGCATGTAAGTGAAGTGTGAGTTGGATTCGCTCCGTTCAATGCTGACGTCCACTTACTCACGTTAAACAGAATCTCACAATCCTCCATTTACTTGATACTGTGATGCAACTGTTCGATGATTGCAATTGGCCGGCTATGAGACTAGTGCGCTGATGGAAAGTAACGGGCACTCACTTTGTGCGCCCCCGCGTACCCACTCGACTATTGTACAATTACACTACTCAGCCGCAACGGCCCTCCCGAGGCACGGCGCACCAGTTCTAGTGGAGAGAGTACGATACGACTACATCGAAAGATGAAGAGAAGGATACATTTACACGGAATATCTCAACTGCAAAGACCATAAACCAATAGATGTGAGATGATGCACATCGAATCTGAAACAACTACATGGCAACCCGAATGACCAGGCGATCCCGCCTTGTGAGAATGCACCAAAATCGCCAGACCTTCAAACCCATGACCAGTGCCATGGCAATTCGCATAAAGGGATAGTTACCGCCGATCCATCATCTCCCAAGCTCGTGCGATCAGGCCGCCGAGGGGCCAAAAGTGTTGCACTTGTACATTCATGGACTACACCGATTTGCGCCAATCGTTGTCCTCGTTTGGCGCCCATTCCAATCACCGCTTATGCAGGTACATGGGAGCCTCAGCGGCAGGGAAGACAAATAATCACAAGGAAAAATGTTCCGCACGAGAGAAGCCGGCCTGTCCTTGCTGCTAGAGAATTTCTTATAACCCTCTTGAGGATTAGAAAATTCTCCTAGTCGCGATAACCTCTCGACACATTTGCATAAGATGAAGAGCATATTCGCGCGTCTCGCACTCTTTGGCGCCAATCTACTCCATCCACGGGGACAGGATGACAACGCGATCCTCGCCGCGAGAGGGTTCGACGATATCAACGAGGAACCATATGATCTGCCGTGGGGTGGAGGCTTCGTGTTTCCGCGCGAATACCCGACGACGGTGCAAGTCGGCGAGACCGCCACCCTGAAATGGAACACCAACTTCACGTCGCATGTCGTCTACATCCATCAGCGACTGGGTAGTAGCCTTAAACTGACAAGTACGCATCTCAATTTACACTCACCCATCCTGCGAACATCTGGTTGCTAATTCTACTCTAGCCGACGCAAAAGGCCAATCCTACAAATGGAAAGTCGCACGCATCACCCAAGAAGACGACCCACATGAACCCTATCTCCTTCGCGTCTACGAGTCTATCGACGGCAAAGCCAACACCAACGGCTTCGCATTCGACAGTCCTAGTTTCTGGTTCGGGGCCGATGGCAAGAACGTCACTATTGTCAAGTCCTCCACGCCTACACCCGAACCCACAGAATTCGAGTCCACCGTCGTCATCACCTCAGTCTTCAAGGTTACCCGTTCCAAATCAAACTCCTCAGCCCCCATTGCGACAACTGGCGCCAGCAACAACTCTTCGTCGACTCCAGCAACCGCGGGTGCAACGACGACAAGGCCTGTGGCATCACCGACCGACAATGACATCTTCACCCAAGCCCCAGCCGCGACGGGTACTCAGGGAACGGGCGAGCCAGGCGCCGGTGTAAGGAGCGCGGCAGCGGGTTTCCTTTCCATCGCGCTGATCCTGCCTGTCGCACTGCTCGTCCTCGTTTAGCGTTCCGTTCTGCATTCTTCGTGCGCTCATCTACTTATTGATCATGATCATCGACATACATTTCAAATGGAGAGGCTCATTCCATGTATCGGTTTTTCAGCATTATTCCCTCGGCGGCGGCTGCAAAAATCTTATTTGTGCGCATATGTCTACAATAGATAAGAAAAGACTGGGTTGCATTTTATGTAACTGTTTATTACACTACCCGTTGATGCCTATGAAGTTCCTTTTCATTGCACAATTGTGTTCCTTCAAGCGTTTTCAAGTCTCTAGAAGTCGAACGTCCATGGCATTCAACCAAGATTGCAGGAAAAGAGATTTGGATCTCGAAACCGTCCATATTGGGAGGTTACATAAGAGTGGCAGTTCACAATTTACTGGAAGAGCAAGAGAGTCAAGGTATTACATTACAGTTCATTTTTTTATAACTCGCCATTCTGATCTTGAGCAAAGCTTATAGTCTTCGAAAAGCCAAACACCCAACAATAACCGCCACCAATAAAGCTTCTAAAAATTCAAAACCAATGAAGACATGCTGTATCATCACCACCCCCCTCAACACTTCCCCACCACCGGCGCCGTCCCATTAAACGGCTCAGTGACATTCCAAACATGCGCAAACGGATCATAAGCCGCATCAACCCACCTCACATACTCCGCGCTGTTCGCCAAATTCTCCTCAACCTCCTTCCCATAGTTCAACCCCACGAAAGCATACGTAGCGTCCATACCCGCAGACACCCCCGAGGACGTCACAATGTTCCCGTCGACGACCCAGCGCGCCTCGCCGACCCAGTTGACCGCTGGTCCGGTCCCCGTCGCCCATTTCCAGGCCCGCTTATTCGTCGTCGCGCGCTTGTTGTCCAGGATGCCGGCGCGGGAAAGGATGGTGGCGCCAGTGCAGATGGACATGATGGATTTGAGGGAGGGGTACATTTCGCGGACGAAGGCGATCTCAGCCGTCATGTCTTGCCGGGTGCCTGCGCCGCCAGGGACGATCAGAACGTCAATTTTCTCGCTGGGGGTCGTCGCGTTGACGTTAGGGTCCGTGACTGGGGCCTGGATGTCCGGGAGGGCTTGGAGCGCGAGTTGCTCGGCGAAAGTGCGCTCGACGACGAGCTGTTGGTCGAAGTCGGTCAGCGCGTTGCCCATCGTGTGGTTCATCTGCGTCTTGACGTGCGTGCTCACGGGCGATAGCACGTTTGCGAGAACGGTGAGGCGCATGGGGAAGGGGTAGAGGAGGCTGAGGCCGTTGAGCACGTCGAGAGGTCCGAAGACGTCCAGAGCTTGGAATCCAGGGAAGAGGAGAATTCCATAGTGGATTGGTTTTGTGCCGTTGGCGTCGAAGAATGGTTTGGTGTCGTTTTCAATGCACGATGCTACCGAGAATATCGAGAAGACAGTTACTGAGACGTAGTTTGAAAATTTCATGTTGGAGATGTATGAAGTTGTAGATCTATGACTTCAACTGTCTCGGTTCGACTGCAGCTGGGTCAGTTAAATAGATCCAGGACGTTTGACAGTATACAGCGCACATCCAACTACCCAACAACAAAACTCCGTTCTGTACACATCATCAACAATTCGCATCTCGTTCGCGCTCCCATGTCTCCCACCCTCGCCCTACGCCCCGTGCGGACAATGCATTCCGCAAGGCTAGCGTGGCATATAAACCCGCTCACCTCATCTACCCAAATTACGAAGCGCGCATTAATCTTACAACAAACTACTTCTTTTCCAACACACGCAGTGTCGATTGGTAGATAAAAACGTGCTCAATGTCACTGTGTATACCGGGTCGCGCAATCGGGCGTTGGCACGTGAGGAGGCGACGAGCAATGTCGGATGCGGAGGGCGTGAAGCGAGATTAAATTTAGATTAAATGCGAAGTGCGGGGGATGAGAGACCGGGGATTTGGGTGGGCTTGGGGGGTGGGAATAAAGGTGGCTTGCATATAGGCTTTTTGTTGAAACTTGGGGGATGAGGTGCGTTATCGTGGAGGCGTATGCGATTCCGGTGGCGGATCACTGTATAGAGTCTGTTATTTTACAATGATGCATGTATTCGAAAAGGGTGCCAAAATTTTAATTCACTGGAAAAATAATGGGAACATCGCATCGATTCCTTTTCGTGCGATGGAACTGGTCAACCTTGGGCAAATTTGGAAGCAGTGAATAGAATGGATTCGACCGGACAGGCGTACTCCAGCCTCTCAAGTCCTAATCCAACAGCTATAGTCAAAGTATCCATGCGCAAAACCTCTTCAAATCCCATAGAACACCCGTACGGATTGTTTGTAGATTGCTGCACAGACACAGGAGCTGGGCGAATATGGAGGTTCACTACAGCCTCTGTCAATCGGACTCTCGGAAGATATTGTAGTCAACAGTGCTAAAGGTAACTTGGGTCGATGTTGACAATATCAACTCGCTATATTACTTTTCTTACAGTGCGGATGTTATGTCTGTGGTCTACTATGACAGCGGACAGCAAGGCGAGTAGAGGGCGTATATCCCGTTTCCCATCTCCGACATAATCCTTAACAACCGACAACGCAAGGCGAAGAACGGTATACAACCGGAGCGGACCGTCGGAGACCCACTTCTTAACTTTATTCATGCAGGGCGGTTGTAACAACAGGGCCGAGGGAAACAATGTTCAAAAAAAGGAATCAATTAGCATCCTTACTCGCAATATGTCATGGAACGAATTCAACACATCACTGAGTAAAAACACAAGGAACCCTAATACCGACTCTAGTTCTGGATTACCATAATTTGAGGTACTGATATATTTTTAAAACTATTTACAGAAAGTTCATTCTGTTGTCCTAAACGTTTCCTAGCAACAAGTATAAAATCATCACTCCGAACCCAATCAACCCCAAAATGCTACAGCCTGCTTTCCCAGTGACTGCTGTCCAACAGTGTTAGCATGGCAACCATCCTGCACCTCCCCCGGCTTCAACAAGAAAGATCCCGGGTAGATAACATTCTGCGTCGTATCCTTCGCCGCCTGTTGCGCCAGAGCATCCGTCGACTCCGGGCCCTTCGGCCCCGCCAACTGGCACGTCTGTCCCGCCTCATACAGCGGCTGACCCGTGATATAAACTGTAGCATTAGGCGCCGCATGCTGGCGAGTATTCGCAATGAGCTGCTTGACCTCGCTGTACGTAGCCCCGTTGGTGAAGATGCAGATCTGCACCCAGACTGCGGTGGGCTTTCCGTACTTGGCGGCTTGTTGGTCGAATAGCTTCCAGGATTGCGAGTTGGTGTTTGTCCAGGACTGTACGACCATCCCGGATGTGCCGTAAGGTCCCCACATGCGTTGGCCTTTGACGGCGACGTAGCCTTGCGCGACGTTTTCGGCCATGGAGCACCCTATGAAGCCCATTGAGTGGGCTGGGTCGGCGGTTTGGGCGGATACAGTTGCTACGCCTGCTGCGGCGAAGGGGAGGATGGAGCTGAAACGCATGATGGAATCGAGGAGGTAGATTCAAGTTTAGACCGTTGATCCTAGTTGGAAATATGTGTTTGTTGTGTTCGATGTCGATTACTCCAATGGTAGAAGAATAGCTTTATATGTTGCTATTGACATACACAGCTCCGGACCAACGGCTTGAACTCATCTGTCTCCGAACAATCTCCGGTTTAGAAGTCATGATGCTAAACATATAATATCAGATAACTTGTAGAGTTGCATGTGGTTCGTCACAGTTAGCAATGGACCTATCTTGTTTGACAATTGCTTGTGGAGGTCCGTAGATCTAGCAAATAGAAGATTGTTATGTGCGGAAACTCAGCAGGCTAATAAGGGGGATGTATGTCATGGTAATATATAAAGACATCGGCAAGGTATAACGGGATCTACGACGCAGATACCGGGTTGTCGGTAGTATAAAGCGGGACTTTTGTAACACAACAAGTGCATCGGTAGAGACTTGCGGGATGTTAGGATTAGATTAATGTTCTGCTGGTCTTTGACATTGCAAAGGCATAATGAGGTTAATGTATTAGAAGTAGAGAATGAGCTTCCTTTATCCTCTTTTGGGGTAACCCATTGGACCCAGACTAGTAGCAACAGAGAGATATTCCGGCGAGCTAGGAAATTCAATCGCTTTTGCAAGTTGACATATCTGAACGTTCGAACTCGCGATCAATAGCACTGCTAGGTCCCCGTTCCTTGTACTGGTGTGTTCAGCCAATCAGAACGTGTGAACAGCATCGTCTACAGCCAATCAGGCTCTTATGCAGCGCCAGCACTCATCACAAAAACTACCCATTATCGATACTCACTTCATTTTAAAATCCCCCGAAGTAGATCTGCAGGGAACTGACATTGTTTCAAGCGACAGCATGGTAGCTGTTGAACCGCGCTAATCCACCGGTATTCGAAACACGACTCATCTCCTATTGCTCCAAGCGCAGTTTGTTTCGCCTAATATAGTCGGGAGAATACAAGTGCGTGCCGCTGTCAAAATATGTCCCCACCCCTTAGTACCTGAACTATGCACTTTGTTGATACAGGTAGATGAAATTGGATCGATTTCACTTGAAATCTTAATGCGAAAATGGGTGTCGCTTGGTGCGAATTGCGAGCTTTGCACTTAGCTACGGATGTACAACCGTAGTAACTTCTTGGATCTTCAAATCAGTTTATCTTTATTTCTACACAGTATACTGCCCTATTTTCTCTCGACGCGCACTGCTACTCAAATAGCAATGACATATGTCCATACAAAATCATACGAGACTAGCCTTTCAATTAAACAGCTCACAATCAGGAGGTTGATTTCTGAGGGGGTGGGGACTTATTTTGACAGCGGGACGGACTTGCATTGCTCCGACTAACGCCTCCAAGAGCCTCCGGTGGGTCCTGTCAAGATCTCGAATTTGTTACCGAGGCGCTCAAAACTTCCGACGTGGCGGTAGCTGCGAAACTTTGAAGTACTGGGGTTGATGAAGCGATTGGGGATGCTGCGCTGCGTCCCGTATATGCGGAAGTCAAGAAGTGTCGTTGTTTCGAAGAAATTTGAGTCTGTCTGACTGCGGGTTGCGTTCATACACATGGCAATGATGTATAAGATGAAGAGGACTCGCATACTAGGTCTCTTGTTGTATCGTCCAACTCACATTCTTTTCTTGCATTCAGCAGCCCGGCCTGTCATTCGTTTGATTCAATTCCATTGTCTCGTCCACTCTTTTCCATTACACTCGTTACCAACATCCATTCATCGCTCACCGTGAAAATGCATTTCCAAACCGCCGCCCTCGCCCTCATCGCCAGCTCCCTGCCCGGAGTATCAGCGCACTACTTCTTCGACAAGCTCGTCGTCAACGGCGAAGCGTCATCCACCTATGTCCGCGCCAACACCCGAGCCGAGAAATACATGCCAACCAAATTCATCAACACCTTCGACAACCTAACACCCCTAAGCACCGACTTCCGCTGCAACCTCGGCGCGACGAACAAAGCTGCGCAGGACACTGCGAATGTGAAGGCCGGTGACTCGCTGGCCATGGTGTTGGGCGTTGGTGCGACGATGAAGCATCCTGGCCCCGCGCAGGTGTACATGTCGAAAGCGCCCAGCACTGTGGCTGCGTACGAGGGAGATGGAGAGTGGTTTAAGATTCACCAAGAGACGATTTGTAACCCGGACGGGGATATTAGGACTGATGCGTGGTGTACTTGGGATAAAGACCGCGTGTCATTCGAAATTCCTGCTGGGATTGAGGATGGCGAGTATCTTGTTCGTACTGAGCATATTGGTAAGTCTTCGTAGCCTCGCCCCTTCTCAAATGTTTCACCAGAATCTAACGTTGTGTTTCCTAGGTCTTCACGGCGCTCATGCCGGCGAAGCGGAGTTCTACTACGCCTGCGCCCAAGTCAGCGTTTCCGGTGGCGGAAGCCTGGTTCCTAAGGATACGGTCAAGATTCCAGGCGTGTACGCTCAGAGCGATCCGGAGGTCAACTTCAGCATCTGGGGTACTAATAAAGCATATCCCGAACAAGGTCCTGGGCCTGTGGTGTTCTCTGGTAGCCTTGCTCCTGATACGACTCCTACGAACGAGAACACTCCTTCTAGCACTCCTACTAGTGAGAGCACTCCTTCTAGCACTCCCACCAGCACTCCTACCGGCGAGACCGCTCCAATCAACGAGAGCACTCCCACCACTCCTACCAACGGACAGCACTCCTGCCGCGCGCCTACCCGCCGTCACGCTCGCGACATGAAGGTCTAAAACCCGGGACCAAGCTCGTCATTCCAGTATCCGTTTGCCCAGAATTCTCTCGGGCAATTACCGACGCCGACCATGTGGATACAGCGTTTGCTTTTCTGCGGTTGGGTTGCGAGATGCTCCTCTTTTCCTGTATATATTTGGCTGGGCCAGAATTAGTTACTTTACTTTCTGTGAGATATTGTACTGTCTGCGTCTGCTGCAGTACTTTGTCTATATTATTGATTGAATTATACAAGTTTGATTCTCTCTTGGAGAGGTCCAAAAGGATCGTGTGTATGTGCCTAGCGCTGTTTTATAGTGTAGTGTGAATGTTATGTATCTGCGTCTATATTCATTGGTTCAGTATATGCCTTGCTAGTTAGCACTTGTACCTTTTATATATACTTAGGTATGCGGTACACTTTTGAACACCTACGAACAAGTATCCGAACAAGATAATGGGGAGCTTTTCAATGCGAAGGTAGAGTTCCAGTAAACACGACACACTACCCCACAGCCTACCCCACGACATCGTATTCGAACAAACCAAATTGCGCCGTTTGAAAGTGCTCGACTTGAGTAACTGGACGCTAGGTAATGGGCAGGGAGATTTGATAGTTATGAGCTAATAGTGGATAATGCTGAATCGTGATTGGCATGGCGAAAAAGTGTCGGAGCTCCACATAAAACCTTCCCATTTCAGGAGCCGCAGCCCCCCGCTTCTTCCCCATAGTGGTAACTTTTCGCGGAAGATGACGCCAAATCAGAAGCAAATTCGAAATTGGCTGCATCTCGGAACGTCTGCCATAGACTTGAAATCATTGTGTGCGGAATTTGATGCTGGTCGAATGGCGGGAGACGGGCTTAGACTGGGGTAGAACAAGGGTACCATGCGTTTGCGGAGAAATCGTGCAATTCCCCACGTTTCGATGAATAAAATAGACAAAACCTTAGGTTAATCCTCGTCACCGGACTGGTGGGACTTGGAATTAACGGTGTTAGCGCGCAATTGCATGCTTCGACCTCTTGACACATAAATAGCGAGCGACGGAACCAGCGGTGAAGTTGAATTATGCTGTAGTCCATCCCAACTCCTCAATCTTGAATCTGTTATCTCGCCTTAGACCGGAGATAAGAAGCCGTCCATTGAAATTGAAGCCCCCACCTTAAAATCCCCCAAAAAGCAAACAGACCGAAGTCGGACGCTTTCCGAAAGATGAGTGGCAGTGTCCGGGTACTGTCGGCATCCGTTCCGAGTTTCTCACCTTCGCATGCACAGTTTCTGAATCTTGTCTCCTCCTCTTCCCACAAACCCACCATGTCCGAAAAGACTAGGGAGACAGATGTCTTTTACGATTTGAGAAAGGCCTCATTCCCAGCCGACCTTAATGCGGTCCGGACGCTATTCACCGAATACACATCAACGCTCGGAATCGACCTTTCATATCAGAATTATCAGGACGAGCTTGCGAATCTCCCGGGAAAATACGATGCCTCTAGCAGTGGGACTATTATCCTCTGCTTCATGAGCCCCACGTCGAATTGCATGTCTGAATGTATTGTCGGATGCGCTGCCGTTCGTGCATTCCCAAGCCGGCCAAGTGCATGCGAATTGAAACGATTCTATCTGGTGCCCGAAGCCCGAGGATGCGGCTTGGGGCGGAAGCTGCTGGAGCAAGTGGTTACAGACGCAAAAGCCCTAGGATATAAAGAAATTCTCCTCGACACATTGGCACATATGGGCGCGGCGAGAGGCATGTATAGGAGCTTTGGGTTCGAAGAAGTGGAGAAGTACTACGATACCCCGATTGAGGGGACGATTTTTATGAAGCTGGACTTGGAAGACAAGTCGGAACTGATCGAATCAAACAAAAATTTGGTCGCCTGAATGACTGATGAAAAGGAAAATTGAAGGTCAAAACCAGTTGACGTTGTGGTTTACTTAATGTGATGCTTTCAATTGACAGCAACCGGAATAGCGCCGAATGCTCCCTCACGGTCGATGACGTAGATCAGAAGGCAGGTCCCAGTGCAACTCTCGTGATAAATTTGATGCCATAGCGACGATGCTATGAAAATCTTGACAAATAAAACAACGCTTTGTAGACAGAGAATGGGAGAAATGGAAAACCGAATGTGGGAAATTGGAAACCTTGGCAGGTACACGTCATGTGAGTTCGTGGACGCGAATCCCTGTCGCGATGACATCTTCCATTTCAGCCCAGCGCGTTTCGTCTCCCTCACATATCTCGCTTTGTACATCTTCTTTGCCACCACACACCCCTGAGAAGCTTTTCTGCTCAGGCAAATTTTGGATTTATTACACTCTTCTCTGAGGCGAATTCTTAACCTCTATGACTGCATCTACTTCGACTACCGGCGTAGATTCCGCCTCACAGAAATCTACCCCTGCCTCTTCCCCTCCTCCGACCGACATGGATGTTGACGATGGTGTTTCCAAAGAACTGCAGGCGGAGGAGGACAGAATGCGGGCGTTGCGCGAGAAAGAAGATGCAAAACGCGATGCAAAGCTAGAAAAAGAGCGACAGGAGGATTTGGAGAGTGGCAAACAGCTGCTGGACAAGAAGTTCCAGCAATTGGAGTTTCTAATGAACAAGAGCAAGGTATGCCGCATGACCATGCTTTCAATACCGAATTATCATCTTGGGATGTTGCATACTGACTGTTTCGCCCATTGTAGCTCTACGCCAATGTCATGCTTGCGCAAATGCAGCAACAAGAGGACGAGGACAAAGCACGCGACGAAAAGACACACGGCCAATCATCAAAACGCGAAAAGGATGCAGAGCAGGCTGCTTCTGAATCGCAACGACGTGCTACGCGCAATTCGGCAGCGGCCCGCGGACAAACAGATAAAGAGAATGTAGTGCCACAAAAGAAAGGCCGCGGCAGGCCGAAGAAGACAGAAACCAAAGGAGGAAAAATATCAGACTTTTTCAAAAAGGAGGAACTTCAGCAAAAGGTGGAGGAGTCCGATAAGAAAGAAGAGGACACTGTTAAGACGGGCGACATTGGTATACAAGATCTGAAATCTGCACGGCAACCGAGGCTTGTAACCGGTGGAACGATGCGGTCCTACCAGCTCGAAGGTCTTGAGTGGATGCTTTCTCTCTACAACAACGGCATCAATGGCATACTCGCAGATGAGATGGGACTCGGCAAAACTATTCAGACCATTTCGCTCCTGGCCCATCTTTGGGAGAAACAGTCATATGGGCCTTTCCTCATCGCCGCACCACTGAGTACCACCAGCAATTGGGTGGCAGAGTTCAAAAAGTGGACACCCAGTCTTCCCGTGGTGCTCTATCACGGCGATAAGAAAGAGCGGGAGAAGATCCGACGAACAAAATTCAAAAACCCCGGGACCGAGCAATTCCCCATCGTGGTGACGAGCTACGAAATCTGCATGAACGACAGGAAGTTCTTGACGGGTTTTGGCTGGCAATTCATCATCATTGACGAAGGTCATCGCATAAAGAATCTCGACTGCCGTCTAATTCGCGAATTGCAACAGTACAGATCCGCTAATCGTTTGCTCATTACGGGCACGCCACTTCAGAACAATCTGATAGAACTCTGGTCACTTCTGCACTTCCTCTTACCAACAGTCTTCGATAAGCTGTCCACTTTTGAGAGCTGGTTTGACTTTTCTGGTCTCAAAGACAAGGCCAGCTACGAGCAGCTGCTCTCGGAGGAGAGGCAGCAATATCTTGTCAAATCTCTTCACGCTGTTCTCAAACCTTTCCTCTTACGTCGGGTCAAGACTGATGTTGAGAGTTTGATGCCAAAAAAGCGAGAGTATGTCCTCTATGCGCCACTCACACCAATGCAACGCGAGCTTTATCAAGCTATTCTGGACGGCACCAGTCGTTCATATCTGGAGGAAAAGGCAATCGAGAGGCTCAGCGTCGGCCTCGCCAGTGGGGCTGCTACTCCTCTAAGCATCCGGAGCAACAATGGGAGCCGTAAGCGGAAGCCATTGGCAAGCGGCACTAGCACACCAAACAAAAGTGCAAAGACGTCAAGGGAAGGCACACCCGCATCTATCGCGTCTCGTCGTAGCCGCACACGGAAGAACTACGAGGAAGTCAGTGACAGACAATATTTTGCGGAGCTGGAGCAAGAGAGTGAACTCGAAGCCGAAGAGGAGCTTGATTCTGAAGCAGAGGAGGAAAAGGTCAGAGCCGCCACCTTTGAGATCGCAAAACGGCAACTCCTACAAAAGAAGCTGGGCAATCCGATAATGCAGCTCCGGCTCTGTTGTAACTCGCCTTACAACTTCTTCAACCCTTTCATTACAGCCGAAACTTCAGGCACAGAGACCTTTGCATCCGAGACTGAACCTGATGAAACTCTCGTCAGTACCTCCGGCAAGATGCTACTCCTCGATTCACTACTCCCAGAACTTCTCTCCCGTGGTCACAAAGTCCTCATATTCTCTCAGTTCACCACCACCCTCGATCTGATCGGACAATACCTCGCTCTCCGCTCCCATCCCTATGCCCGCATCGACGGCTCTGTTGCTCAATCAGACCGTCAAGAGCAAATCCTATCCTTCAACAAGTCCTCGACCTCCAAGTCCGCGAAAAACGTCTTCATCCTGTCCACCCGCGCCGGCGGCCAAGGCATCAACCTCGCCTCCGCGGACACCGTCATTCTCTTCGACTCCGACTGGAACCCGCAGCAAGACCTCCAAGCCATGGACCGCGCCCACCGCATCGGCCAGACCCGAAACGTCATCGTATACCGCTTCGCCACGCGCAACACCGTCGAACAAAAACTCCTCGAATCCGCCGAAGCAAAACGCCGCCTCGAAAAACTCGTGATCCGCAAAGGCGGCGTACGCAACGACCGAGGCGGCCGCGGCAAGCAGCTCGACAAAGAGCACGAAGTCGACGAGCTCCAGAAACTGCTCCGAAAGAGCGACGGCGAAGCTTTCGACGTCAAGGATTCGGACGGAGGGAAGAGCGTGCTGGGTAAGAAGGAGATCGAGATCTTATTGGACAGGACGGACGAGGCGTACGAGAGGGCGGAGAAGGGCCTCGATGTCGGCGGCGAGGACCAGGTTTTCCAGGCCGTGGGGAAGAGGGACGAGGGTGCACTCATGGAAGGTCTACGTGCTTGACTCACAACACAGAGGCGTCTTATATCCCATGTTTATCTGTTTATTTTTCTGATGTGCGTTCTAGCGATTTGCATTTTGGTATCATCGAATACATATAATCCTTCGATCACGTTTCCTCATTCTTCACGCATGCACGCTTTGATTCGATGACTGTCACGACACCCACCTACCCCCTAAACCTCCCAACCCACACCTCAATGTACGCACATTACCTTCCCCTCCTCCACTACGAAAGAAGGCGGTCCAGCATGCAGTATACCACCGGAGGCTGCAGCTCTCCACAACCTGGTAAGACACTCATGCACCCTTCGCCTTCGACCTCGTGGTCCGGCACTGCGTGCTTTACTCACACACCATAATGTCCACCGTCTCCTCATCTAGAGACGCGTACCCGCTGTTTACTCTTGCTTCAAAGCAACGCTCTGTTCAAGATCCTCGATGTACAAGACCTTACTTACTTGCCTCTTTACGAAGGGTAAGCGAATTGTGGGAAGGAATTGAATGGACAGACTTGAAATGGGGGTTGGTAGGTTGACGTATGTCACAGTAACGGCGAGGTGTGTAGGGATTAAAAAAAGTGATGGCCATGGAGTAGTGTGGTGCATATGTACACCTTGGTCTGTCACTGGTCACTGTAGGAGGTGGAGGGATTGGGCTTAGAATGTTAGGGGAAGGGAGGTTTGTTGGGTGAGGTGAGCTGAAGCATGGCATTTACAGATAATCATAGGTTTCTAGATGTTTTGGGCATTATCCAATTAAACATATTCCTTAAGTTGGGGTATAGACAAGAAAGGGTAGAGTCTGGAGCCGTTTGATATTGATACACGAACGTATTACTATTTCAGTATAGCATTGGGAAGTTCACCTGAAGTTAACGACCAGCACGAAATAAACAGTAATGAAATACGTGAAGCATTTTGGCCTCTCTTACTTTATTTTGGACTATGCATTCTTTAGCAGTAGATTTATTTTAGGAGAAGGTCGCTTCGCCAGTGCGGGCTCATTACCATTCTCACGTGTCACCACTCCCCACACCGTCACAACCTCGTTCCTGCATCCTCACCCCTCCACCCCAAACCCCATCCCAATATCGTCCCCCAGACTTTCGGCTTTACTATCCGTCATCTCGATATCGCTGTAAGGTCACGCTTTCAGTCATCCCAAGCCGAGCGCAGCAATATCGGCCTGGTCTCGGCAACTTGAATTTAGCCTTTTTTGCTGGAAAGACTTCCCTTCCAGCGACGAAAGCAAATGAAGGGTTGATTTCGAGAGAAGGTTCGATACATGAACGGCCAAGAGATAACAGGGTGCCCCACCTGGTCGTCGGGATAATGTGGGAGGGGGTTTTGGCTTTACGCGCACACATGTTGGCGTAGTAAGAGTGTATATGTGGGTGGATGGCATAAGGGTCGCGCGAGGGAGGTGATCGTCCCGTCGAGGATCGACGTTCTATTCTCTTTCAAAACGTGGGCGGTCGATCGCATCAAAATGGAAATTCGAAAAGAAGTTTCCTGTTCCTGACTTTTGCATTCGCTATGGGAATGTTCAACCACGGCTCCGATGTCATTCCACATGCGGCTCCTGCGTGCACCACCACCACAAATGCCCCACGTTCGCTATCAATCCAGCAAGCTCGCACCGATGTGTATATTAACACGACCCTGCACACTCTCCCGCTTCCATCTGTGTGCAAAGTCCAAAACGGAAATACACATTACGCAAATAATTCCGGCTTGGAACCAATTAATTATGCCGAGAGTCCGTGGAGCTATGGGAATGTAGCTCACGCGTCTCTCGCGTATCCGGTCTGGTCATGGTCGAGGCAGGCGAACGAATGGGGTGAGTGAAGAGAAAGAGGTGTAGATATGTATCTTTATTGAGCTATTCTTGTCACTTATATAATTCGACGTGGGCGTCGGCTTCTGAGGGTGACTTATCCGGCGAGCCTTTTTCATTAAATGCGACGCGTCCGCTGTTGCTCTATCTTAATTGTACCCGAGCTGCCTAGCTTCCATCCTGTCCCTCTACAAGTAAAAGGTCCGAGAAGTAACGTTGAGCTATGAAGTTGACTAGCTTTGCCTTCGCGGCTTGTTTGAGCTTTTCGGGAGTCTCGGCGTCGGTGAATGGAATTTTCGGAGCTGGAATTGGAAGCAGAAGCTCTGAAGTGTTGGGAGAGGTTCGCCGTTCCGGGCATGAGGTGTTTGAAAAACGCAACAATACCACGCCAATTGCAAGCCTTTTGACGCGTTTCCTTGACAGAAGACAGCAGGAAGGTCGATGTGGAGCAGAGTATGGAGGGCAGCGATGCTCTAACAACCAATGCTGTAGGCTATCACCTGCCCTTTGCACACTCCTGGAGAAAGTGACTGACACCACTTCATAGGCTCAGGATATGGCTACTGCGGTAACGAATTCGAATTCTGCGGCGAGATCGTAGGATGTCAGCCTCAATATGGAAGATGCGGCGACGCACCACCTCAACCACCATCATCCAGCGCACCACCACCCAGCTCAACACCACCGCCTCCACCATCCTCCTCGTCAGTAGTACCACCAAGCTCAACCGTCGTCCCTCCATCAAGCACCTCAGTCCTCCCCCCTCTCCCATCAGGAACCCTCATCTCCTCCAACGGCCAATGCGGAAACTCGACTACCTGCGCCGGCTCCCCCTTCGGAAACTGCTGCTCTGAATGGTACTTCTGCGGTAACTCCGCCGCGTACTGCGGTACGGGCTGCCGCTCTGGCTTCGGCACCTGCGGCGGCGTGCAGCCTCCAGTATCTTCCTCAGCACCTCCTTCATCGACCCCAGCACCACCCTCTTCAACTCCCGCACCCCCATCCTCCACTCCACGTCCTCCGTCTTCAACGCCCATTCCACCACCCTCGAGCACATCTTCCGCACGCCCCACGCCAACTATCCCCGTTAGCACGAACGGCCAGTGCGGCAACGGCGTATCGTGTCTAGGGTCCGTGTACGGCGACTGCTGCTCAGATTACTTCTGGTGCGGGAACCAGAATGACTATTGTAGTATCAATTATGGATGCCGGCCGGAATTCGGGAGGTGCAACACTCCGGGGTCTTGAGTAGGGATGAGGAGAGGAAAGAGAAGGACATGATGGTGAAGGGGGTGAAATGATAGGGAGAGTAGAAGAGGGCGTGTATATAGTGTGAGGTTACTTGTTCATAGAGGAAAATGTCAAGATTGTTGATGTCAGTCAGACGAGTATGTCAATCATATGTTCTCATATTGAAACTAAGAAATGGTCTTAAAATAATCTCTGTTTTGCTATGTGTTTACTACCCCAAACAAGACACCCCTAAACTTTCAATCGTACCGTAGTCTAAAAAAACTATTAAATGATTTTCTCAAATATCAAGAGCTGCCCATGCTATCAAGTGTACAATTGTATTTTGTGACATCTCCAATGCAACGAATGCTGAATCGGACTTAACCTAAGAAAGCAGAATCAATGCTTCTGATTGGCCAATTCATCCGTCCCTTGCTAAGCCTCTAGTAACAGCGCCGAGAACTCTGACTTTTGCTGCCTACCTCGTTTGAGTAGGTCGCATGTACCTAAAATCATTGACTTTATAACATGTGTAAAATTAGGACGTTTTTAATTTCATCCGTTAATATTTGCTGAACTGGTGCGCGTTGATTTTTAGTTGAGAACCTGTAGGAGACAAACTAGGCTTACATGTGCCAGTTGCACAGATGAGGGGAAAGGCAACTTGGAATGTCATATGACGACTGTGTGTATCGTCACAGTCTTACAGGTCACATTGAATTATTGTCCAATGTTACCGAATCTCTGATCGACAAATAAATCCACGAACTCGCGACATGGATGGTGTATCTGTACTTCGATCGGCGAGGGAGCCAAGATCAGCTATGGAACATCAAGAGGTTCGAGTATTCTACCGATTATAACCTACAAGACCAATTATGCAGGAATGTGGAAGTATTCTAAACCATCATTGGAGGATTGCTCTTCTAAAGATACGCAAACTCCTGACCATAGAAAGTTGGGGATTGATGCTCAACGTCAAAAAGAGTGACATGCTCGTCCAAAGGCCAAGAAAGCCGGTGCCGTAACCCGCTCACGTGCCTCCACTTTTCTTCACCTGCCAAGGGCATCGTTTCCTACGTAATCCTTGACCTTGTTGAGAATTCTGTGTGTTATAAGACCGTCATTGTCCCCAATAGATTCTTCCTACTGTTACCATCATCGATTTTTGCAACTCAGCTCCATTCTCACATCTTCCGAAGCTTATCATCGAGCCTCGCGTCCTCAGCCTTGCCAAAGTTACTATCTCGACCACTCAACCACTAACACTTTCACCACCCGCCAATCGTGGCTTGATTCTGGAGGAGTCTGTCCAATACCCCGTGCTGAAGTCCTCTATGTCTACCTACATCAACACTACTGCTCAATTCGTCCACACTGGGACGAGAATCAGAAGATATCTATATCGTTAACTACATAATTATCAACAACATCTGGGAAACAACCCACAGGAAAAGATCTTCTACCAATACCACATCCAATTTGGAATTCGAAACATTCACGAATCACTTGATATTCACTACAACTCATGGGCAAAAACAAAGCCATAACCCCCCACGAGGGCCACGTGAGCGGGCAGTCCAACAAACCCTTATCGCTGCCCGCCCACAGCCTGACTCTCGCCCAAGTAGTGGACGAATTGAGCACCGATACATGGCACGGACTGGACACTTCCGAAGCAAAACGGCGCCTCGACGAACATGGCGCCAACGACCTTGGAGAAACGAAAGGAGTCTCCGTCGTCAAGATTCTGATCGCCCAGGTCGCCAACGCAATGACCCTCGTTCTGATCCTCGCTATGGCCGTCAGTTTTGGTATCAGGTCTTGGATCGAAGGTGGGGTTGTGACGTTCGTGATTCTGCTTAACATCGTTGTAGGGTTCTTTCAGGAATGGTCGGCCGAGAAGACTATGGATTCGCTGCGGTCTTTGAGCTCGCCGACTGCAAAGGTGATAAGAGATGGCAAACAGTCGACCATTCCGTCTCTTGAAGTCGTCCCTGGCGACGTTATTGAGATCAAGACAGGTGATACAATTCCCGCGGATATCAGGTTAGTGCATTTCTCCGAGCAATAATGATTTTCCCGATCCTCTAACATGAAGTTTTAGAGTTTTCGAGGCTGTAAATTTCGAAACAGATGAAGCTCTTTTGACCGGAGAATCTTTACCCGTTCGCAAGAATGAAGAAGCTACTTTTCCCGAAAAGACTGGACCAGGAGATAGAATCAACGTCGCATACAGTTCATCAAACGTGACCAAAGGCCGTGCCAAAGGCGTGGTTTTCGCTACTGGTGTCTACACGGAGATCGGAGCCATCGCTTCTCAACTTCGCGAGACAGAATCGAAAGTTCGACCGGTCAAGAACCGTGGCCCTAGCGGCCATGCCAAACCACACCGTTACCTCGAAGCCTACACGTTGACCTTCACTGACGCGATAGGACGGTTCCTGGGTTTGAACGTTGGCACCCCGTTGCAGAAGAAGCTATCGAAACTCGCCATTCTCCTGTTTGGAATTGCTGTGCTCTGTGCCATTATAGTTTTGGCTGCGAACGAGTTCAGCTCTCGTCAAGAGGTCGTTATCTACGCAGTAGCTACCGGGTTGTCAATGATTCCAGCCAGCCTTGTTGTTGTACTTACAATTACTATGGCAGCCGGCACAAAGAGCATGGAAAAGCGCAACGTGCTCGTGCGAAATCTCAAATCGCTGGAGGCACTTGGCGGCGTCACTGATATCTGCTCCGACAAGACGGGCACCCTTACTCAAGGAAAGATGATTGCTCGTGGTGCGTGGTTGCCTGGTGTTGGGACATATACTATTGAGAATTCGACTGCACCTCAGGATCCAACAGCCGGTGATGTTCGGTTCAGTTCTGCAGAGCCTCGAAGGATGCAACTCAAAACTGGTGGTTCTGCCTGCGGTGACATCGTAGACTCGGAGAAACTTCATTCCCGTCCGGATGTCGCTTTACAACATTTCCTCAACGTTGCCTGTTTGGCAAATATCGCTGCTGTGAAGAAGAACAACGAAGGCGCCTGGGAAGCCCATGGAGACCCCACCGAAATTGCCATCCAGGTCTTCGCAGCCAGATTCGGCATGGATCGTAGTCGTCTTACCAAGGGAGGTGAGGCCGAATGGGAAGACCTGGTTGAACTACCTTTCGATTCTACTGTCAAGAAGATGTCTGTCATTATGCGTCACTCGAGCGGCAATCTTATAGCCCTCACCAAAGGCGCTGTCGAACGCGTGATCGCGAGCTGTTCTTCCGTGTCCAAAGTTGGCTTAGGGGATGAGTTGGAAGACATGACTGACGACTTCTGCGAAGAGATCTTGCGTAATATGGAAGCGCTCGCTAGCTTGGGACTCCGTGTACTTGCCCTAGCCAGCCGTCCTTACGAAGGACAAGTCGAAAAAGGAGCAGACGTTGATCGCCAATCTGTCGAATCCGGTCTCATTTTCCGCGGACTCATAGGCCTCTACGATCCTCCACGACCAGAATCCTCCCCTGCCGTCCGACAATGCCACGAAGCCGGGATCGAAGTTCACATGCTCACTGGCGATCATCCAGAGACAGCCAAAGCGATTGCTGTGGAGGTAGGCATCCTACCATCTGCCGAGCGTATGAAGCGAATCTCTGCCGACGTTGCGAAAGCCCTCATCATGACAGCTGGAGAGTTCGACAGCCTGACCGACGATGAAGTTGACAAGCTGCCTGTCCTCCCGCTTGTCATCGCTCGCTGTGCGCCCAGCACCAAGGTTCGCATGATCGAAGCCCTTCATCGCCGCGGCCGCTTCTGCGCAATGACTGGTGACGGTGTGAATGATTCTCCCTCCCTCAAGCGGGCAGACGTCGGCATCGCAATGGGCCAAGCAGGATCCGACGTCGCCAAAGAAGCATCCGACATTGTTCTCACCGACGACAACTTCGCCTCGATTCTCGCCGCCGTAGAGGAAGGGCGTCGAATCTTCGACAACATCCAAAAGTTCGTCCTTCACGTCCTCGCCGAAAACGTCGCGCAAGCCGGCACCCTCCTCGTCGGCCTTGCCTTCAAAGACAACACCGGTCTCTCCGTCTTCCCGCTCGCCCCCGTCCAAGTCGTCTGGATCATCATGGCCACATCTGGAATGCCAGACATGGGCCTCGGCTTCGAACGCGCGGTCCCCGACATCCTGCACCGACCCCCCGTATCCCTCAAAACCGGCATCTTCACCCTCGAATTCCTCGTCGACATGGTCGTCTACGGCCTCTGGATCACCCTCCTCTGCCTCTCCAGCTTCACCCTCGTCGTCTACGGCTTCGGCGACGGCGAGCTCGGGTCCGGCTGCAACGAAACCTACTCCTCCTCCTGCCATCTCGTCTTCCGCGCCCGCGCCACCACATTCGCGTGTCTCACATGGTTCGCGCTCTTCCTCGCCTGGGAAATGATAGATATGCGTCGCTCCTTCTTCCGCATGCAGCCCGACTCCACCAAATACTTCACGCAGTGGATCATCGACATTTGGCGGAATAGGTTCCTGTTCTGGGCCGTGGTCGTCGGGTTCGTGACGTTGTTTCCCCTCGTCTATATTCCGGTCGTTAACACGACGGTGTTTAAGCACGCGCCGATTACGTGGGAGTGGGGGATTGTGTTTGTGAGTGCGGGACTGTTTTTCGCGGGTGTTGAGGCGTGGAAGTGGGCGAAGAGGGTGTATTTCCGGAGGCAGGAGAAGATGCAAAGAGGTGCTAGACACGAGGATATGGATGTAGAGGATCGTGTTTTTGGTCGCTACTATACCGACGACTCGAGTGTAACGAATGAGGAGAAGGTATAAGTTGTCGAGGACGGAGTGGCGTTACAGGGGAAGCAGGAGTAAGAGTGAGAGAGAGGAAGAGTGTGAGTTGACTGCGGAGGAAACAGATTGCCATCACCAAAATTGTCCTTGTCTTTTGTCATTGTAAGAGGTGGTCTCTGCCCCTCGTCCACTCATTTTGTCGTATATAGTATGTTTAGTCGTTCCTTACACATAAAATCCCCCAAAAAAAACATTGCTGCGTTTTAGAACCAAACTGTCATTGTATGACAATTGATCATGTGTCTATGGAAATTTAGTTTGCCAAATTAATTGGGGACAATTAGCAGGTGAACGAGATACTGTCTTCCCTTTGTCTGCTGAGAATAACATCGTATTTGTAGATCATCAGCTCTGCGTGTCGTCTCAACTGCCCACAACCACTAACATCCAACACGCACACCCCACCCCACCAAACCCCCCCTGCGGATACCCCAAGAATCTCCAGCCTTGAATATCCGAACACGAGGTCATGCTTCCCTCAAAATTTCAGATTTAGCTGCAAGCGTGAGTCGTGATACTCCAGTTGGACATTTCATGATGGTTGATTGGAATCTATGTCGGCCCGACATGACGTGGGAGAACGTCGGGAGAGCGGGGGACATCTCCACCGGACCACGTATACGGGAACGGGGAATAAGGTATTGTGGGGACGGATCGGATGTCCTGATATAGATGCAAAATATATATATAAGGTACACAGTAGTATATAGTCAGGTATCCAGATCAATTTTTCCTCCAGCTAGAACTTTGGATGGTTGTCTGCTTGACCGACTGATTCCTTTTTCCCCTTTCACACGTTTTTCGGCACTACGTCACGGAATAAGAGTTGATACATAATGGCGGCCTCGAAAGAATGGGCGAAGATGCTGCGGGGCGAATTGTACTGGGCTGGAGATCCGGAGTTGCAGAAGAATAGGACGAGGTGTAAGAAGGCATGTGAAGCATTCAATGCGGCGGGGGATGCGTCGAGGAGGAGGAAGGTTGAGCTTTGGAGAGAGTGAGTTAGGATTATACTTTTCATTTACGGTACTTTGGTGTTGGAAAAGAGAAGTCATTCGAAGTTACACATCCGTACATCGCCTCCAAGGAATTGCTTTGAAAGCCTCTGAAACGATAGCTAATTCATCAATCCTTCACAAAGCATAATCCAAGACGCCCGTCCCCTCCCACCAGTAAACCCCGACCCCGAAGCCGACGAAGCCCTCTTCGATTCCACCGACCCCTACGTCGACGGCCCCATCTCCGTCGACCACGGCCAGAACTTCAAAGTCGGCAGCGGCTCTTTCATAAACTTCGGAATGATCGTCCTCGACACATGTCTTATCACCATTGGCGAGCGCGTTTTATTCGGACCCGACGTACGACTCTACGGGGCGACACATCCTTTGGATCCAGCCGTGCGAGAGGGATTGAAGGGGCCAGAGGGTGGAAAGGAGATTCATATCGAGGATGATGTGTGGATTTGCGGGAGTGTGATTGTGAATGCGGGGGTGAGGATTGGGAAGGGGAGTACGGTTGGGGCGGGGTCGGTTGTTACGAGGGTAAGTTGCCGTTATGGTTTTCTTTCCGTTTCTTCAGAATGTGATGGCTAAAATTGTTATGATATAGGATGTGCCGCCCTTTTGCTTCGCGGCTGGGAATCCGGCGAGGATTATCAGACGAATCGAGTCGGCTATGAATCCTGAAAGTACCAAAGCAGATGCCGCCAGCTAGATTCGCGAGATGAAGGGAGCATTAAAGAGCGCCGGATATTCGAAGATTCGCTTGGATACTCATGATTTACGACGAAGTTGCTTTACGCATCTAATAGATTTCTTCCTGGGGCATAAGAGCCGGCCACGAGGTATTAGAACGTCGTTGACGGGGTACAGGCGAACTTAAGACGCAGCCATCTATGAATAAGAATTCCTTGAATGAAGTACCAGCTGCTAATATCAGCTAAAAGTGTTGTTTAGTTAGCAATGCAATGAGATTAAGTGGGAAATGGAATTTTACCGACCGGAATGCGAATCATTTTGTCAGTAGTAAGTCTCTGTAACTATATGTACGTTCCTTCTGATTTATGTGGTAAGTGATAACGCAGCTAAACAGCGTAGTTTCCAAGTTTCTTGAAATGATGTTAAAAATTAGTGCGTGATTTGAAGGTGAACAAGGTTATTTGGACATGTACGGAAAGACGATACTAGAGGATGGAGTCTGTGATGAGCGCGCTCAAGATCACTAGTTCTCCTTGATATGAATGGGTAACTCTGTATCTACTCGTGACAAAACACGGAACGGAGTAACAATTGCAATGGCAAGTGAGTTACGCCGTGTCACCTCTTCTTCCGACAATGTCGTACCAAAGCATTCACCCCGCCCGACATTGCTTGGCAAATGGAACAATCATAGTCCTCTGACCACAGCCCGTCCGACCCTCCACATATTTCTACTCAACGGCTTTGAAAGACCCTCCGTGATCCGTGATCCGACTTTAGGAATCGAGCAATTCCCCCCGGGTGTCCACGCTAGAAATTGACGGGGCGACGGTAGCTTCGTCGGCTACAAATCTACGCGAAAGCCAGACCACTAAGATTGGACGAAACAAACGATCGACATGAATCGCGATGATGACGTCCTTTGTGCGCGCATCAACCCCAGCTCCCGATCGCAGCTCTCGCCAGCAATTCTCGATCCATGTTCTGGGCGCAGCACGTAGCCACAGACGTGGGAAAGCCCAGCAAAACCCATGCCGTCTATTTGTGTCGTGCTTCTATGGTGTTTTCTCGCTCGATAGGTTGGACTAATCCTGTTTCGGCTCATTGCGCGCTGGAGTACAATTTTGCTGCTTTCTATGACGGGTGTCGCGTGGTGATGGGATTTAGTGAGTGCTTGCCATAGGGTGCAATGTGGACATCAGTTGATGGCTAAAATGAATTCTGGAAAGGCGGGTGCGAATTGGGAAGCATAGTGCGCTGGAGTGTAGAAGTGACGATTGTGATATATCGCTGGATCTGTGTATACTCTGTACATACATATATAAAAGCGTAGGACGATGGCAAGGCGGTATCGAGGATCTGTTCAATCATTCAGAAGTCTTTCTCTGTGTAACTTCAATCTCTCCAAACCTTAACTTACCCCATTTGTCTCATTTTATCCAAACTTCTCATCCACTTTCCTGCCACCGCACGTTAACAGACGATCATCATCATGGGCGCCCTTGAACCTACCACCAAACAGCCAAAGGGCTTCAAAGCCTTCTGTAGAAGGATATATACCACGCTTGGCTTCCAGAAAGGATACAACTTTGTGCTGTGGTTTACTCTCGCAGGGGCACTGTTTGGCTGTACGTGAATCGAGTCTCAGCACCATCAACATTTCTACATAGTATCGATTCTACAAATACTGATAGTAGCTCTTCCGTTATAGTCTCCATTGCCCGCCTCGCCTATCTGAACTTCAATCAAAACCTCTGTCCCGCAACTTCTGCACCCGGCAACAGCGCTGCCCCTGGAGAATGCTACTACTACAAAACATTCACCCAGTACAAGGTTGGAATCATGCTCCACCTCGCTGGAGTCCTCCCCGCCGGAATTATCGCCTTCTTCCAATTCATCCCCATCATCCGCCATAAAGCTATCCTCGTCCACCGAATCATGGGATACATCGCTCTTCTACTATTCGTTGCAGGCACTATCGGCGCATTCATGATCGCTAGACACTCCTTCGGTGGCGGCCTCGACACCCAAGCCTTCATCGGCGTCGTCGCAATCGCCACACTAGGCTCCTTCGCCATGGCCATCATCAATATCAAACGTCTTCAAATCGAGCAGCACCGCGCCTGGATGCTTCGAGGCTGGGTCTACGTTCGTCCTCCCTTCCCCTCTCCCCTCTCCCTAACTAACACTCCCACCCTCAGGCCGGCGGAATCATAACATCTCGCATCATAATGATCATAACCGCCTCAATCATCTCCTCCACCCACGCCTACCACGCCGTCTGGCCCTGCGCCAAAATCGCACACACCCTCCCCGCCAGCACCGCCCTCCTGACCGCCTACCCCGCCTGCGCCTCTTACCTCGACGGCTCGAATCCAAACCAGGTCGCAATCGTCGCCGCGGACATGACCGCCGGGTCTCCTGTCACGGCGGGCGCGGCGCTCAACATCGGGTTCGGAATGGCGCTTTGGGTCGCTGGTGCTATTCATGCGGTCGGCGTTGAGATTTATGTATGTACTCCATTCTCCTCTTTTTGTTCTGGACCAGAGTTAACATATACACAGCTCCATCTCACTCCCAAGGAATCACAGCGCCTCCGCCAGGTCAGCTACCAACGACAACTCGAAGCTGGGATGAGGAAGCCTGGGTCTGCGGGCTTGACGGCGGACCGCGTGGGCGATGCGCCGCCGTTTGTGCCGGAGGTTGAGGACGGGGATAAGCTGACGAAGGATGTTAGCAGTAGGTCTGCTTCTGAGTCTGAGTGATAGAGAAAGGATGGGAGGGAATGTGGTGTTTTGGTTGGTTATTGGGAGCAAGCGTTTCTATTCTTTATTTTTTTTAGAGATGATTATGCTGTTATTTGGTATCATTGGGAGTTGGTTTGATGGCTATGCATAATTGGGCGTCCTTTTAGTGTTTGGGATGGCAGTTGCCCGGAAAACATATACCAATTTTATACGACATACCTCATTTGAGAGCTCATGAAATGAGATGAAACATTTGGTAACATCGTCGGAGCTATTTGGAATCTGTAGACCGGCTGCTTGTGTTCGAATTGATGGCGGTACAATGAGGCCAATGTCCTTGTTGGGCAGTGCGGGTAGATACCTAGGTAGGTATATACGCACTCGAATTTGCATGGTGTTGATGAGTGAACCATCTAGGGGGAACTTGAAATCCGGGGTAAAATGCGGGGTTACGCTAAGCAGGTAGTAATGAATGCGGAGGATTTGCTCACCAGTCGTTTGTTTAGTATATTTTTAGGATTGGGCGTAGAATAGTACTGGAGCATTCTTTGGTGGTCTGGCTTATCAATTGAATTGGTGTATGTACGAGTGACCTTTATAGACATGTTGCCAGATCAACGTTGATCAGAGTAGGAGTTTCCCTTACGACTTCTTGTCTGCCTCAATGAAGTCCTGAATAGTCTGCTCCAATCCAATATCCTCGTGGAATCCTAAACTCTTAGCTCTCGACGTGTCGTACCTCGCCGGCCAGCTGAGCACAATCCTCTGCACAGTCGCATCCCTCTTCTCCTTTACAAGCGCCCTCGTCTCCTTACCAGCAACCTTCTCCAGCGCATCCAAGATCTCTCGACTACTCGCCGTATATCCCGGAAGCAGGATATTCCTAAAGTGGCCCAGCTTTTCCGCCTCGACGTCCTTCGCGTGCACCAAGTTGCGCGCGAGGGTCTTAGGAGACGAAAGCCAGATCCCGATGTCGGGATCGACGGGGAGTTCGCTCTCCTGACCATGGACGGGCTCCCTGACGATGCCGGACACGAATGACGACGCAGCAGCGGTGGGAGCACCGGCCCTCACGAAGATGGTGGGGAGACGTACTGCTCGTCCGTCGATGAAACCACGGCGGGAGTAGTCATTGACCAGGAACTCGATCATGAGCTTTTGGGTGCCGTAGGAGCTTTCAGGCATGGGAACGACGTCTGTTTCCGTCGCGACGTTCTCGACTGCAGCTCTGCCGAACACGGCGCAAGATGAGGTGAAGACGACCTTGGTGCCGGGCTTCTTCAGGCGGATGGTGTCTAGCAATTGCCGGACGCTGTCGAAGTTGACCTTATAGCCCAATTCGAGGTTGGCCTCCGCGCCGCTGGACATGATGCCATGGAGGATGTAGACGGCGTCAGGAGAGGTCGCTATGAGCGATTCACATGCTGAGGGATCCGTAAGGTCGGCTGCGATGCTCTTGACATTGCTGGATCCGGTGGGGTTTGGAGGTGCTTGGACATCTGCGAGGACCAGATGTTCATTGGCATTCCTCTGGATCAATTCCTTTGCGAGGGTTTGGCCGACGAAGCCACCGGCGCCTGTTATTACAATCGTCATGGTGAGTACAGTTGTTCAATGTTTTGTTTATGACTGATTGAACTCACAACAAGCCGAAGTACCCCTCTTGAATGACAAGACATTGTACCGAGAGGTTCGGAAAGAATGCCGAAGGAGCTAGAGAGCTCCATCGTTCTTGTGAGGGGTTAAATCACGATTCACCCCTCAATTGACTTTATCACGTGACCGAGCAATTCCATCGATAAAAGAAGACTCCCCAACAACGATAATGAGTGCATCAGAACCTCAACGCCGTCCGGAGAGCCCCATCAAATCGGGTCTCTTGTAGTCCGGTTTTCTAGAACGTGGCTCACTACGCCCATATCCGTCGTATCACCTCAAAACCACCAATGGGGACATGCACTTGTCTCCTTACAGAAATACAGTCCGAGCAACGTGCCCGATATAGTACATGTCTTACTGCCTACTAGAAAATCTCCATTGATATGAAATTATCTTGCATAGATGGCTTATAGATGGGGGAATCAACGTCATAAGACTACTACAGATTCAGATGTCCTGGTCCGAAGGCAATGCAAGTTCGATGAATGTCAAGACGCCTCATCGCCCTAGATAATTGTGCCTTAGGTGGATGCCTGTTCATAAATAAAGATTGTATTCCGCGACTTCACTGACTTGTAAATTTAGCAATCTATCGCCAAATTGTAAAATGTTCAATCTGTCGTTTTCGTACTACGGCAGTCTCTTCCTTGGTGTGCAGCAATGGCGCTTTGCACAAGCTGTGAATACTCTGAATATCGACACTACATCAGGCTATGTCACGGGTACAGTGGATCGGACTGCCCCTAATGTTGCCCAGTTTCTCGGCATCCCATATGCAGAACAACCCGTAGGGTCACGACGATGGCTTCCATCAGTGGCGAAAGAAAGGGCACAATTCATTGATGCGACAAAATTTGGTCCAAGTTGCCCACAATTCGAAGGAAATGCATCGAATGTATGGCGAACCGACGCACCTGAGTTCTTACCAGAGCCTGAATTTGGCGAGGATTGCTTGTCTGTAAATATATGGGCACCATGGACGGGGAAGAGATGGAATGGGACATCAAATGACACACGTCCTGTCATCGTGTGGATTCATGGTGGTGCATTTCTGACAGGAGGTGTGAACACACCATACCATATTCCGACTCAATGGGTTCAGCGAAGGAAAGATCTGATCGTGGTGGCAATCAATTATCGATTGAACATCTTCGGATTCCCGAACGCGAGAGGAACAGTTCAAAATCTTGGCCTTCTCGATCAACGCCTCGCCTTAGAATGGATCCAAGAAAATATTGCCAACTTTGGTGGAGATCCGGAACGAATCACACTATGGGGTCAATCCGCGGGTGCCATTGCAGCAGATCTCTACAATTACGCCTATCCGGAGGACTCAATCGTGTCCAGCTATATCCTGTCGTCTGGGAACACATACACCCCACTGCAATCCCTTGATTTCGAGCAAAACAATTTCACCTTCGTCGCAAAGCACTTCGGTTGTGGCAACCTGACAGCTACCGCAGAGTTGGATTGTATGCGAAATGTCAGCTCCACCGACATCATAGGCTATCTTAAATCCCGTGTCGACTCCACCGCTACTCCTGCACTAAGCTTCAACATTATCGTAGACAACAGCACGAAATTCTCCAACAATACCGCCCGCGCCATCGCAGGAAATTACACCAAGAAGCCCGCCATCATCGGAACTACATCAAACGAAGGCATCGCATTCCTCCCATACAACCGAACGTACGGTCCAGACCAGGCAATTGGAGACTACTACACTCTCTGGCTGTTCATATGCACGGAGGTGAAAACCACCCAGGACCGTTTCATGACCGGCTCTACCACCTACCGCTACCTGTACGCCGGCAACTTTTCGAACATCAGTCCCTTGCCTTGGTTGGGTGCATATCATTCCGCAGACCTCCCTCTCGTCTTTGGCACGTATGATATTGCAAGGGGCGAAGGGACGTCCTTCCAAACTGAAGTGTCTGAACAGTTGCAGGACTACTGGACTGCTTTTGCGAAAGATCCAATTAACGGACTACCTGAATTGGGGTGGGATGCCTACGAGCCGGAGGGCGATGCTGTGCTTATCGGGTGGGAGGGTCAAGTTGTTCAGCCGTTCCCTGAAAGTGACATCGATATCCAATGTGATGGGTTGCTACCTAGAGAGGGTGCTGTATCGCCACCATAGTTTGCTAGAAGCATGCTTACAATTATACAAATACTTTTACTATCAACTAGACTAGTCCTCTGGTCTATTCCTCGACCGATAAGTAAACCACGCATGAAGAAGCAAATAAATAACATCCAGCCCAACAACAAGAAAAATCATATACCCGAAAAACATCAAACAATAACTCACCAACAGCCCGTTCCCTATCGTCGACGGATCGTTCCTCAGAATGTTGATATACTGCGCGAGGAAACTGATACAGCAGCCTATGAAAACCAGTGGTAACAATGTCCTGTAGAACCGTGTCCGAATGAAGCGGACCTGGAATACGTATCGCTTGATGTGAAGGAATAGGTCGAAGCCTTTGTAGAATATGAGCATAATGCATGCCAGTACGAACGCGAAGATGACCATGTCGCGGAGCTTGGGGAGAATATCGTGGAATTGATATTGCATGCTTAGTGTTGATGCTGCAAGGGAGAAGGGGAGGCAGATGGCGGTGATGAAGGTGAGGATGAAAAGACTGGATGATTGTTGCTTGGTGGAGATTGCTGTGTCGTAGGAGAGGAGATCCTGGATTGTCGCATCGACTCTTGAAAATTGTTTAAGGAAGCTGGAGCTTTGTAGGCGCATGATTTGAAGGGTGTAAGAAGGCGCTGGGGATAAAGATGCAACGGCACTGGATACTATTTCTTCTAGGAACTTGCGGTCGAGATTGTCCTTCATATCTTCGCATTTCTCTACGAGACGCTTAACTGGCCGCGAGGGATGAAGTCCAAGGAGCAAGAGTCTATCAGATTGGTTGTTGATGCTCCAAAGTCCAGATTTACTTGTATCTGGACGCGTGTAAAGATCCCGAAATTGGATTTCGAATTGCTCGAACTGATCTACGTCCATCTTCAAGATATCCAATAGAAGGAGTTTGACAAAGACCTGATCGTTCGTCGCATCATCCTGGCAAAGGGTGCTTCTTGTATTCAGGCGATTAACAAAGTCTATGCGAGTTTTCTCTACTTTTTGTGGACGATATTTGTAGGGGGATTCCTCGGTGGTCCACACAACTATTTACTTGTTAGCCTTATCCAAGTATTAGATGCTCTATTACGTACGAGTGTACTGCCCATTTTCACATCGCTTTAGCTGAATATGCTCAGTTGAAAAGAACACTACTGCCCTAGTGCGTTCTGGAGACATATGCGCGGTGGTAAACGAATATCGAAACCAACCATCACTCTCAGCCCCCTGCGAAGACAATGCCGCCCAGCGATATAGCTGGGAGACACTGTACGGCGGTGTATCGAATTGTAATTTATCATCAGACAGATATTCGAGAACGCTTTCTCCAGATTTTACATTCGGGCAAGAGAATATGCGAAGACTGTTGTGAGGCTGCTCTTTTAAAGGCTGTCGAGATTCGCCATCACGACCCAAGTCGTTGAAACTGTCTCCGTAGATTTTCGTCCCTTTCACAGAATTGTATTTCCGGTTCAGATCGATATCGATAACGGTGATTCTCTCGTCATGGCTTTGGGGGGCTTCAGGATCTTTTACTTTGGTTGCATTGTTGGGTTTAGATTGGGTGCTCGAAGTTGCACCTTGCGAGGCTGCCGAATTCTGGTTCCCAGCAGTAGCCATAGTATTAGAGTCTCAGAGATCAATAACGCAGGTTTGTAGGTTTTTAAACCTGGGAGCATGTACAAGGCAACAGCGAAGGTAACGTGCGGCCAAGACTAGGCCAATAAACTCTGTTATTTGATTCATCGGAGGCTGTAAGAGCAATCTCGTTTGCAGCGTTGCTGTTGGTTTCTGTTGGCAGGGCGATCTCAGCCTTGTCGCCATGTGTCGATCATTGCAACTTGGCCCCAAACACTGACATTCTACCCCGCCATCCTATGTGTAACTCCAGCGCATTTTCAGCTGACAGGATGTTATTATCAGGGAACCAACGAAAAGATGCACGATTTGAAATGTATTGGGAGCTTGAGGAGCTACTGCGCCAGAGTGCTCTTGTGGCAATGTGACACAAGGCTGAGAGCCTTGTCCTCAACACGACCTCCAACACAGTCTTGCTTCACATGTTTTGTTTTATGGCTATGCTCGTCAGTACCTAGAGTAGTAAGAAGGACCGCAGCCCAGTTCGATGAATGAGGTGTTCTAGGCAGGTGAATCGAGCAGAAAGTCATATTAAGTTATGCAACTCCTGCAGGTACGGCAGGGTCTTAAAGAACCAAGTTAAATTGTCGAACTGATCATTCAGAGATACATATATTGGCTGATTTATTCTCATGGAATTAGAGGTGCCAGACATGGATGCGAAACATATTTGGTGCGATTCCGCTGGACCTTATCTCCGGTGCTTTTAACAAAACCAATATCCGACAAGACTCATCTAGGTGAACTGTTACTTACCCATGGCGATGTTGAAATAAGCAAACGATTTTGTTGTGCTTGGTTTCGCCACCCCTAAGTTGACTTATAAATCAGAAGGGATGTTGCATTACAGGCCCGGGTTTTCGTACACTGAGCTTCGGAAAAGACTCGGACACAATGCAAAGGTCTGGATTCTCATCAATCGCCAGGTAGATGTTTCGCTGATGCTTACACATAATGGATGCAGTAGTGGAACATAGTCTCAAGCCATACAAGGCAGAAGCTACGAGGTGGTCGGTCGATGATGTAGGGTTCATTTGTACCTAGGCATCTCCTGTCATCTTACTGGCCCGAGGCTAAGACGCGGGGTTGTTATCTTACACTTAATTATTTCATAATCACCATTCGGGAATAATAATCTTTCCCTCGAGGATTAGAATTACCATCATTGCTGATATAGCAGAGCGTCGTGCTTTGTTCAAAAGTGTATAAAGGGACAAGAAGAACGACCGGTCTTTGATTGAATCAATCATTTACCAACATCTCTTCTAGATTTGTGTATCTGGAAACGATATCTCTTTTCCAGAGACGAATTTACTCTACTCCAAGAACATATCCGCATACGTGAGAGATTCAATGTCTGCGTCGGCTGATAAAACGAAACCGTATATCCCGGTATCTGGGACTGGTGGAGATGGCTGGTCAACCGACACTCATGCAACTGCTACCTGTTTCTGCGGCGCTGTTCAATTATCATTCGTAAGTTATCCCTCAACTCCATCCGAATCCACATTATTCATATCTGATTTCATTAAAGCCTACGGAAGGTCCTGGCCTTGTGAGCACTTTCGTCTGCAACTGCACCGACTGTCGTAAAATCACCGCCTCAATGTTCGCCTCCAACTTCACCGTCGACGACAACTACCTAACGCACGTGCGGGGCCGCGACAATCTTAGCACTTTCTCGCAGAATAAATCCATCGCCAGTGGAAAGCTGATGACCAATTATTTCTGCAAGACATGTGGGACGCTGATGTACCGCGTTGGTGAGCTATGGCCGGGGAAGAGCATCTTAAGGATCGGAACAGTAGACGATTTTACGTTACACGAGACGAAATTAAAGCCAAGGGTCGAGTTGTTTACCAAGGATCGGGTGCAGTGGTTCTCGGGAGTTGAAGGTGCGAAGAAATTTGATTCGATGTTGTAACAATCTGCTCTGTATAGCTGTAGTAAATTCTAAGTTCGTTGCATGTCTCTGCTTGCTCTCAATCTCTATCAATCTATATAAGCACTATTGGTTTGTTGCCAAAGTTTCAACTCCGTGGAGATTTCTTTGAGGTCCTCAAATGATAGTGGGGGCTCAACATAAAATGAAATTTCGAATCGGACAGTGAAAAGTTCGCCAGGATCAACTATCATTATTGAAGAATCGAAAAGCACACCCCCGAAATGCTAGAACCGGCCAACTGTTTGGGCAAATTGTTGTTGGGAGTGATTTCAGCTAAGCACCTTGAGAGACCAGCACTCGATTGGAGGACATGCCAGTCGCTTGTACAACCTCATGTGTGGCTATGCTTGCCATCATCTCACAATGTGATTGGTTTTGCGTAGGGCCCATGAAACCCCACATATAAAGCGAATGTTCTCAGTAGCACCTCATCAGGCTGAAATGTTTTCGAACATTGCATCTTGCTTTCAAGACTCGAACCCTTCTATCGCATACCGTGAGAATGGAACTTGCAGCTGTTGGTCTGGCTGGGAACATCGTCCAATTTGTTCAGTTCGGCTGCGAGCTTCTTTCGACTACTGTCGTCGTACTAAGAAGTGTCGACGGTATTTCCACACAACATGGGGATTTGCATTTGATTGCTGAGCATCTCAAGCGACATTGTGTCAACTTGAAGGTAGAGACTTATTCGGACCCGAATCTGGTAGAACTCGCAAAGCGCAGTCAAGCAGCTGCAGAAGAGCTGCTCACCGCTGTCAATGCTGTGCGATTAGACAAGAAACCAGGAGATAGCCGAATATTTGCTGGATTTCGCAAAGCTTTGAAGGGTATTTGGAGTAAAGAGAAGATCGAGTCTCTTTCGACAAGATTAGACAGACTTCGAGATGCTATAATTCTTCATTTGACAGTGCAAACGAGGTATACGCTTCTCGCTTACATATATTGTATACATTGACTAAATGCAAGACTAGAGACCTGCAGACGAAGATCCAGAGAGCCATGTCGAACAATCACGATGAAACGATACTAGAAATTCATCGTCTGTCCCAGAAATTTGCAGCCTTCATACAGGAAGTTAATGGTACAAGCCAAAACGTCCAGGCGAACGAAACCAGTTCATATGATCTCCAGAAAGCATTCTCGGAATTCGTCATCAGATTTGAAGATACGGCACAAACTAGTTCAATCTTAATCAGTCTACAATTCCAATTCATGGGCACAAGACACGAACAGATCCATGAAGCGTACAAGGAAACATTTGAATGGGTATTTAATGCAAGTGGTTTACCCGAATCTGATCCGCGATCGAGAATCACCTACTCTTCGTGGCTTGCTGGTGGAGAAGGGATTTATTGGATTACTGGAAAACCCGGCTCAGGCAAATCGACCTTGATGAAGTTCCTTCAGAGTCACGCGGAAACTACACGACTGCTGGAGATTTGGGCTGGGCCCTCACGCTTGGTGCGCGCGAACTTTTATTTTTGGAACGCGGGTACATCGATGCAAAAGTCCTTGCAAGGGCTATTGCAGTCATTGCTTTCAGCGATATTGAAGGACTCGCCCGATTTGATCAAAGTCCTATGCAAAGACCAATGGGGAGATGGCCATATTTCCACCGAAAAGTCACGGTCATGGTCACTTCGAAAGCTGAAAGCATGTTTTGAGCGTATCATGGCTCTTGAAACGCTTCCCGCGAAATTCTACTTCCATATTGATGGTCTTGATGAGTATGACGGAGATCACTTTGAGGTAATTGATATTGTCCGTCAACTATCTCAATGTCCGATGATCAAAATTTGCGTCTCCAGCCGACCCTGGAATTGTTTTCATCAAACCATAGGCAAAGGCAATGCTGGCGTCATTTATCTTCACGAACTTACGCAGAAGGATATTCAGAAGTTTGCAGCGGAAAGCATCATTGCTTATACCGGTGACAGGTACACCACAGATCACGAACATTTAATAAGAGATATCACTAAACGAGCCCAAGGAGTTTTCCTTTGGGTGAGAGTTGTTGTTAAATCTTTACGGGACGGGATTACCAACGACGATCCAGTTTCCCTTCTTCGAGAGCGGTTGAACCAGCTCCCTGCTGACTTGGAGGAGCTGTATGAGGTTATCATCAAATCGGTCGACCCGGTATATCGGAAAAGCATGGCCTACACGCTCTTATTTTCACTTGAATGCACGAGCTCACCATTTGGAATTGGCATTATTTTACATTACTCATTCATAGATGAGTACGCGGATAATCCAATATTTGCTAAGGAACTCGGCTTCAAGTCAATGTCCGCTCAGGAGATTTCTAGACTGGTCATACAGACAGGACACAGGTTAAATGGTCGCTTCAAAGGCCTCCTCGAGCCGTGTAGTGTCCGTACCCGTATTCCCGAAGATGCTAGTATTTCTGTTCAATTTCTGCATCGAACGCTTAAGGATTTTCTCCAGACCGTTAAGATGCAAAATTATCTAAAGGCAGGACTATCAGCAGACGAGAACATATCATCAGTAATCTTGGACGTGCTTCTCGCAAACTGGAAAGTACGACCAAGCTTTGAGAGGGCTATATCAGCTATAAGATGGGCTTACAAACTTGCCCGGGAAAGGAAGGATCCCACCATTGAGTTTGCCTTCTTTGATCACATTGAGGAAATGTTTGAGTTGTATGATACAACATACTCCCTCGGTGGAAAACAAGCTGTGCTTGACGTCTCAGTTCGATTTGGTGAACGTAACTATATCTTGTATCGGCTCCAGTGTGGCAAAGTAAATTCATTAGACAATCTTCTTTTTCACGCATTCATATGTTCCGATACAGCGAAGCCGGACCGGAGATTGATGGGTTTTCCTGATGCTTTTCAAAAGGGTGTACTTGATGATAATTCATTGGAGTATTGTGAGGGTGGAGTGCCGTTCCTCATGGGATGGGAAGAGTGGGATATGATGAAAGAGATACTCGACTATGGCGCAAATCCAAATGCAATAGTCCGCGGTATCCGAATCTGGGAAACATTTCTCACCGAGGGTCTTCTGACGTTAATGGAGTCCATTCAGGGACCCTGGTGGGACATGTTCCATCAGATGGTTATACACGGCGCGAACGTCAAAGAAAATACTCGAATATGGATAGACATATTACGTTACGGGCAGATTGCCGCTGGAGAAGAGGTTCTCTCCATCATCAAGGCATTTTCCCTCCTTCTGCAGTATGGCCTGGAGCCAAATGCACGATCAGAAGAACATACGATATGGCAGGAAGCCCTCAAAATGCTGTTCTGGACGAAGGATGTTTCTGATATCGAGTTGGTAAAAGATTTGCTCCGTGCATTCTTACGACAGGGTGCAGACGTAACCGCAATCTTTCATGCAAGCGTTACTTCGCATTGTAACAGGTCGTTTCTAGAAGAAATCTCGCACGCAATGCAAGAGCAAGAAATCATGTTGGGAGGTCTATGGCCCGTGGATGTCTTTGAAATCTGCTTTGGTCATGGACTAGATCCTAACTTTATCTTCAATGGGACGTCGCTGTGGGAAACCATTCTCAGCGCCGTAAAGAATAAACTTGAAGACCCAGCCAGCCGGACGCCTGAGAGACTCCACCGAATTAAAAACTGCTTGATTACGTTTTTACAATATGGGGCAGATCCCAGCGTCGACATCCTTCAAAATCTCGTGAGCGGACATTCTCAGCCACAGTGTGCATTCTCTCGTGCCGATGCTCGTGAGCTGAGAGGAGTAATGGTGAAGGAGATTGAACACCGAGAGTCACAGTATACGCCTACTATACAAAATAGGCGTTCAGCGCCTGGATACAAGAGGAGTAGATCACCAGCAGATCTGAGCTCTCAAGATGGAGATGATGACGATGGGCATAGTTGGATCATTGTTCCTAGAAAGAAGACACGTATGAGGTAGTATAGTTCATGAGGAGTATCTCCAGCACAAATATGTACGCCGTTGTCAACTTTCCTGTGCGTGATAGAAGGCAACGCATATAGTGCGGTTCTACTATCATCTACCGCAGGGAAGATTTGTCCATGTCTCATTCCTTCTCCGTGCTTACGCATGAGCAACATAGCATCCATTGCATAGATAGCTGCACTATACTATATATATTTGTGTAACACTTGTGGGTCCTGTCAAATATTAATAAGTTGCAGGCTATACATTTCATAACATCTGCCTCACTAGATCAATTGGATTTGTACTACTGTGAGAGCTTTTTCAAGCCACCACTGTACCTTATCCCCAGTTTTGTAACTCGTGGTTGACATACACATCTTGGCAGTGTCACGGACCAGCTCCGGCCCCGCCTTGAGCTTCACCTTGACCTTTACGTCAACCTCACAACATCTAACTCCCCTCTCGCTATATATGAACCGCGCATTCTGCCAACCAAGCAGTATTCGACGTACCATCGCATCTATAAACCATATCCGCACCCTTTCAAATCGAACTCGAAGGATGGCCGACCCGATTCCACTCTCCGAGATCCCCACCCTCAGTCTCCTCTACAAGCTCAACCGAATCACATCCTCGACCACCAGTGCACCCGAATCCGTCCCAGCCCCAAATAGCTCGTACAACGACAAAATATCAGTGATCCGACAAGACATAACCACTTTAGTCGTCGACGCGATCGTCAACGCTGCAAACAACTCCCTCCTCGGCGGCGGAGGCGTCGACGGTGCAATCCACCGAGCCGCAGGCCCCTCCCTCGTCGAAGAATGCGAAACGCTGGATGGTTGCGCTACTGGTGACGCAAAGATTACACAGGGTTACGAGCTCCCCGCACAACACGTCATCCACGCCGTAGGACCAATATATTGGCAGACGAAGCGCGAGGGGAAGCATACGCAGTTGTTGAGTGGGTGTTACCGTAGGAGCCTGGAACTTGCGGTCGAGAATGGGCTGAAGAGCATTGCTTTCGCCGCGCTGAGTACGGGCGTGTATGGGTATCCGAGTGGGGAGGCTAGTAAGACTGCGCTGGCGACTGTGAGGGAGTTCTTGGATTCTGGGAAGGGCGAGCAGCTTGATCGTATCATCTTCTGCAATTTCATGCAAAAGGATGAGGATGCTTACTTCGAAAACATACCGTAGGCAGCACTGAGAGCTTTCTTTTCACATTCCCATTTCTCACCAATAACAGGAACTTCTTCCCACCCGTTTCCGAACCAAGCACAGCAGCGACAGAAGAAGCACAATCGAAATCAACACAAGAAGCCGAACAGCTCGCCGCCAAGCTCCCCGATCCCCCCACAAACGAACCCGTAAACCCAGACGAGCCGTCGCAGAAGAAGCAGAAAACAGACGGTATCGAGGACGACTTCGTAGTCGTTGAGAAAGAAGATGCGAGGGGCTCAACACCACCACCATCGAAATCAGATCTATGATTCGTGACCTAATGACCTACACTATGACTGATGACATCACAATGATAAGAGTCGAAAATTATCGATGGCGTTACGGGGTTGGGTTCCACATATTCAAGTTATTTAACATCCTCGCTATGGAAGGGTCTGTTCGAGGTTGTTCGCACTGGGGCTTATGAAGCATTGGAATGCCGCCCCTAATAACTATCTACCTAGGTAGCTTGGAGTAACCAATGAATTGGAATAATATCTGCTCTCTCTCTCTCCGAATCACATGAAAAGTTTGTCCACATCCATGTCTTCAAATACTCTAAGGGAATCATTTCCTTGGTCTAAACTTACTGACTTGGAACTTGCCTTGCATGGCCGTTCTAAAGCACTGTTCCTACGCAAGGCAACCGTCGAGCTATGCGACACACTCTCTGCGTAGTTGCCATTAATCTCATCGGGAAAGATGATGATTTAATATTCCTTATGTTCACGTTCACGTTTACACTCTTCACCATACAATCCCGATATTCACACATATGTGACGTTCAAAAAAGATGAGATTCCAAAATGCTACCGACAGGCGTCTCACGTCGTCTGCCGAAAAAAAAGTCTAGTACTATATATGTGACTATGCTATCTGACAAGTCCGTCCGCCCGTCCCTCACATCAGGGGGCGTCATATGCCAGACCATGCCATGCCATGCCACGCCATGCATGCATTTCTAAGTGTCGCGTTCGCATCCCAGCACCGAGGTGTTGAGATAGCCGCCAACCGAGCAAACAAAAAGGGGAAGAAAAAAGAACGCCGATGAATGCATCTATATTCGTCAAAAGCCCGGGTGAGGTGTACCCAGGGTTGGAAGGTTGGTGATTGGGGTTTTTTTATACAAGAGTGTTTATACAAGAGGGTCTTCGACCTTGACGAGAGGGTGGTCTTCGAACCAGCGGAGGAGCGTCTGGTAGAGCACGAGCATGGTGCCGGACTGCACGGACGTCCAGACGAAGCGCGGCCCGACGCCTCGGAACCAGCCTGCGAGGCCTTCGGTGCGGTAGATGATTTTCAGGCCGGTTGCGACGGAGGAGGTGTCGAGGGTGGCAGCGGAGTGGTTTCGCAGCGCGGTCGAGGGCGAGGAAGTGGAGATGGGTCGGTTATGAGAGGGGTGGGTGCCGGTTTTGGAGGGGGGATGCTTTGTTGAGGAGTGTGGGGATAGAGTTGCGATTGGGGGTCGAGTGGATGCTGATGGGGATGGAGCGGGTGCTTCGGTGATCTGGGTTTGGATGCGCGTCTTAACGACGTCGAGGGGGGTCGTGAGGACGCCTGCGGCACCTCCAGCGCTCGCTGCCGTTAGGATCTCCAGGGGCAATCCGATGTTGTTCGATCCCACATACGACTTCGCCAGGCCGCGGGCCTCCTCGTAGAATGCGAATTGCAGGGCGGAGAACGGGAGATCCCGCCAGAGCGTGGCCTTGTAACCGTAAAACAGCGCACTGAAGCCCTCCGTCTTGACAATCGTCCGAGCGGCATGCATCGCGCCGCGGTAGTTGTAGCCGGAATTGAAGTAAGGATTGTTGTGCCGTCCTTGCAATTGAAGTCGTGTTTTCAACACCTCCGAGGGAACGTATGCGGGCGCAGCAGCAAGATCTGCGACTAGACCAGCCGTGAAGTAGGATACCGAGGGCGCAATTCCGTTATCTATCATCAATCGTTTGCTCCACTCGTACGTGCCGAAGAATGCGACAGTTCCTGCGAACGATCCGAGGAAAGCGGGCTGGACACCTCCATATAATCCCCTTCTTATTCCTTCGTATCTCCATATTGTGTAGTAGGTGTTTCCCATGGATGTGTACTTCGGGGGAATGTGGGGGTCGCCCTGCTGACGGGTTTTAACGGTGTCCAGCGAGTGCATCAACATGTCTCCGGTGGTCCCTCCGATGCCTCCTGCTAACATGGCCTGCGATATTCAGTCAGCTGTTATCCCTCAAAGTGACCAGATCAATGCGCCTACGTGAATATAGGGTGGCCGGGCAGATTCCGAGTCTATCTCCTCTTCGACTCTGACGGCAGATCCGCCGGCCTGAGGCAGCTCTTCCGCATGCGGCATTGCAAACGAGCTGCCTCCCCTTCCATCATCCACAATATTCGAGCCCGTGTCTGCAGTGGTGAGGAGGTTAGCCAGGCGGCCAAAAACCATGAGCGTCTGATGGATACAGCGAAGGCTGCTATGTGAGGTCTAAAAGGTGGGGATGTCGATGGAGAAAAGAAATGCCGAAAGCAATTGAACAGACGGATGAAAGAGAACTTCGACAAGGAGCGACAGTGGAGGAGATTGGGGGGGGAAGACGCAAAGGAGAGATATGATGAGGGAGAATCAATCAATTCACTCAATCATGACGAACGACGACGAATGTTTTTTCGGAAACTGAGATTTTGCCAAGCCCGTCGTCCCTTGTGGCGGTGCGGCTGTACCCTTCTGTGGCGCAGGGATTACCGCTTCCAGCCGCCAATCACGTGAGATACATCAGTCACCCGTCCGAAAGCGGTTAGATCCCGAAAGCTCCAATGTTTTGGTTTTTGGGTTGTTTGGGACCAACCCGCGCACTTTCCATCATTCACTTCACCCACATTCACCATTCACCCACCACTCACCTCTCTCTCTTCATCCCATCCCCATCTCAAACATCAATCAACATCGCGCGTCTTTTCTTCTTCCCCGCCAAACATCATACTTCCACACGTCACTCTACCTACCAGTGACCCCTCCAATTCTATCATATCTATCCCATTCCATCATGTCTGCATCCTGGCTTCAGAGAAAGCGCAAGGGCGAGCTGTTGGACCTTGCGCGCGAAGCTAACGTGCCCGAGTCAGTATATTTATATACTTATGTACACTCATAAAAGGTGTAACAATGTCATTGCATTCATACAGAATGGCTAACATCATTGCGCAATCAGTGCCGAGGGATTGCTGAAGGATGATCTCGTCGAGGCTCTCCAGAACCACCTTGGGGCCAACGAGTCAACATATGGCAAGCAACCCAGCTTCAGCGAGTTCTACAGGCGCGGGTCGCCTGTCAAGCGCGAGCGCTCTTCTCCCACTGATGCGCTCGTCGCCACCAAGCCAGCGCGCAGGCGCACTATCGTGAAGGCCGCGGATTCGTAAGTCCTGATGCTGATGCGACGCGTTACGCGCCGGCGCCAACTGACAGTGATATTCAGTGAGGAACCCACCCCCGAGAAGGCTCTGGTTACGCGCACGCCTCGAACTGTTTCGCGCGTACCTTCGCGCATCTCTCAGGTCGACATCCCCGCATCGCCAGCGCAACTTGCTGAGGTCGCCGACCAGTCCTTCCAGGCCGCAAAGACCAAGGCTAGCGAATTGTGGGATAAGACGCGTATCGAAGAGTTTGTCGAGCTTGCGCGCGAGAATGCAAGCTCGGTCGTCTTCATCCAACTCGCCATCCTCACGATTGAGGGCATTGGCCTCGAATGGAACACGCTGAAGAGCATCTGGGCGTTCGACATCCCTGCTGTACCCGCGTTATCCCTCAACACTCACAATGTTTACCTCCCAGATCTGCAACTCCTTCTTACCAGCGATTTCTGGGCTCCGGCCACCCTCTGGTCGCTCACAAGCTGGGTGCTTCCTCTGTTGGTTTCGTACTTTTTCAACCTGACTCTGCGTTCCAACACGCGTCATAAGTCCTCCACTCGTCAGTACACTATCGACCCATTGACTTTCAACATTGTCAGAGCTGTCCTGGCATACTCAGCGTACCACATTCCTACGACCAACCCAGGAGTTGTCGGCAACCCTGGGCCCGTTGCGGGCTCTACCCCCGGTTGGGGACCTTTCGCAGAGGGCACGGTCCGAACTGTTCGTGAGAACGTCCCGGGCGAGTATGCCGGGCTACAGATTGCTTCGTTCATCGGCGTTCTTCTCAGCATCTACGACGCTGCGCTCAAGAAATAGGATTGCGATTGATGGTATTGTTGGGACGATTGAAGGCGGCCTTGCGGTTCAGGATCGATATGAAATCATGTATGGCTGTCTATGGTATATGACTTGCTTCACGGGCGTTTTTGGAAGTTCTCGTTCGTATCCTGGAATTGGATTCTGGGCCTATTGAATGTTGTAAAGAGGACGGCGTTGGAGGCGCACTGCCAGATACCTGTTCTGGTATTCTTGTCCTGAGGGTTTGGAGAGGGTACCGATTTATTTTTCCTCGCAAATTTCATTTCAAACTTTCTGTGTCAATCGCCACGTTATATTGCCTTGATCCCCTTTGTCTTGCCGGAGCTCCTCCACATATTGCAGGGGTGAGCTTTTTGCCGTTTATGGTAGCCGGTTTATAGTACGAACAGCCGGCCCCCGCAACCCCAATGAATTGTTCGGTGCATTGGTTCCCCGCACACCCGACGTCGTGTCCTTTCAACTGCATCGGAATCATAGGGAGGCGTTGTCCCCAAGCCTATCGTCTAGGGTGTGGGGTAGTACAGAGCTGCAAGGAATAGGAACACCCGTCTCGCTGGTGTCTGGTTCCCCGGGTTCAGATCTAAGGTCCGACGTTTAAGATCGCGTCTCAGCTGCTTTCCTCAATACCCCTCACACATATCAATTATTGCGTGCAGATCTTCACTCTAGCGTTGGAAAGTCAAGCATGTTTGAGAAATTCGATATCATAGTCGTAGGAGCAGGGTTGTCGGGTCTAGCTGCTGCCATTCAGTGTGCACTGTCTGGCCACAACATCACGATCCTAGAAAGTGCCAAAGAACTTGCCGAAGTACGTCATTAACATCCCCATTTGATTTCATTCTCGTTCAATGCACCTCTTCTACTATCGTCTTCTTCATCTTCTATTCATTCTAACCAATCCAAGATCGGTGCCGGCCTCCAATTAACTCCCAACTCCACCCGCATCCTCCAAAAATGGAACGTGTATCCCAAGATTCGCGGACCCTGTGAACCCACAACTTGCACGGTATATTCCTACAAAGGCGAGACCCTCGCTCACGAAGACTCTTTCAACACAAACACCCGTCAGAAGTACGGTGCCCCATTTGCCGACGTGCACCGCGTGGACCTCCAACAGGCGCTTGTAGCTCGAGCCCGCGAACTAGGCGTCACCGTAGTCCTCGACGCACGCGTGACTTCAATCGACTTCGGCACCAAAGAAGGCGACAAAGCAAAAGTCGTCACGGAATCCAAGACCTTCGAGGGTGATCTCGTCGTCGGCGCAGACGGCCTGTGGTCAACATGTCGTTCAGCACTCCTGGGCACCGAGGACAAGCCCCTTCCGACGGGCGACCTGGCCTTCCGCATTGTTCTTCGAATCCATCAGCTCTGGGATGAAGATCTGCGTAAGATGGTCCAAAATCCCGGTGTTAGGTTCTGGATCGGACCGGACGCGCACGTCGTTGCGTACAGCGTCCGCGGCGGCTCGATGTACAACGTCGTGCTGCTCGTCCCCGACGACCTCCCCGAAAGCGTAGCACGCACCGAAGGCAGCCTCGAAGAAATGAAGAAGCTATTCGAAGGCTGGGACCCAGTGTACGTATCCCCCAACCACATACCCCAAGCACCCACTGACAACCCCCCTTAGCCTAACCCGCCTCCTCTCGCACGTCAAACACGTCGACAAATGGAAACTCATGCACCGCTCCGCGCTCCCCACTTGGCTTCACCCGCACTCCAACCTCGTCCTCATCGGCGACTCCTGCCACCCCATGCTACCCTACCTCGCCCAAGGCGCCAACTCCTCCATCGAAGACGGCGCCGCGCTAGGCCTCCTCCTCGCCCCCTCCATCTGCCCCACGAAGCCCCAGCTCCCGTCCACGCTCGCGCTCTTCCAGCGCTTGCGGAAAGCGCGTGGCGAGGCCATCGCGAACGAGACGTTTAAGCAGCGTAGGGACTTCCATCTGCCGGATGGAGAGGAGCAGAGGAGGAGGGACGAGGTGTTTAAGAGGTGGATGGGGGAGGGCGAGGTAAAGGGCGAGTTTCCGAGTAGATGGACTTGTCCGGTTGTGCAGCCTTGGCTTTGGGGGTATGATGTTGAGGCTGAAGTGGAGGGGGCGGTCGCGGAGATGGCGGTTATGTGAGAGGGGGGTTTGAAGGGGAGAGGGGGGTGGAGAGTAGAATTGAGGTATAGAGAAGATGTTATCATTTATCTGCGTATCTCTATCATGCACTCATGGACACGTCACACAATCGATGAACAAGTCGTACAATCATCCAAGTGACTGGACATTTATCCTCGTGAATTATATCCCAGCACCCCACAACCTTTCCCACCTAATCTGCCATATACCTCCAATTCTGCCAGACATCTTAAATATCTCAAACCTCACTGTTTCCCACCCAAATCTGCCAGCCTGGACGGTTCAAACCATCATCCAGTCAACCACGCAAAAGCACCGATGATCATGTTGATAACGACGCCCACGACGATGAAGGCGGTTAGGAATTTGGATGCCATTGTTCCTGTCTTTCTTTCTTTGCCTCTCTCTTCTGTCGTGCGTCGGGTTGGAGAAGGTTGGAGAGAGTGTTTGTGTTTGTGTGTAGAGCCGGTTTGAATTGCTGCCTGCCGCGGGAGGTAGATTCCGGGCTGTGAGATGTGATTTGTAAATTGCTTTCGTGCGTTTAGTATGAATTTTCGTTTGGTGTGGGGAGAGTGAGGGTACGTACGGTGTGAGGCTAGGTTCTTGTTTGAATTGTAGAATACTGATCCCGTGGCGATTTTCTGGTTTGATAACTGGGTTGTCTGTCTTTTCTTCTGGGGGCAGATGGGTGGGCTGGCTGGTGGAAAGATTTGGATTTTTGTGGCGGGAGAGAGGAAGAAGGGATTTTTATATTCAAGTTTCATTTGTGTGTGAAGGAAGATTATGAGGGCGGCCGGTGAGCTCAATTTGCATTCTTTCTGTCCGTGTTTGGAGTGGATAGGTATGCTATGGGTTTGTGCCGTGTTGGTTGGTGCTTTGGTAGGGGGATGTGTTATTAGCAGTGGAGTGGAAGTGTGCAAATGGTAAGGTAGATACAAGGCACTTTGGGACATGTTGGTTAGATTGAATTTGATTAACTTTTGAGAAACCTGGAAGCCTTTCTGTTTTCCGATCTCATCCGAATCTTGTGAGAGAAAGCAAGGCCCATCTTCTCCGACCCGTTATAGGAAATGCATCTCAGAGAAACCATGCCACGTACTCCGAAGCCTCTCATACTCCCTTTAGCCGTTGTCGTTAAGTCGTAGTCGAGCGTGCAAAGAAAGACGAGGTATTAGATCGAGGTCTAGCATGGGAAAGCGCAGTCCATGTCGCGGTGCTATAAAGTGTGGTCAGTTTTGATCTAATTTCCACCCAGGCGAAAGACGCAAGCTTACCCTAGGAGCTGGCTTAGAAGTGTGCGCGCACTTGAAAGGTACATTGTCCCAGCCATAGGTCAGGCATTTTCCCAATCCACCCTCTCCATCGGCTGGCCAGCCTTGGTCATTGTACCAGAACCCGAAACGGCCGTCGACGGAGAAGCCGGTCGCAACCTGTCCAGGGAACCCCTCGATGTGGACCTTCACAGTGCTCTTGTTCTTGATTTTGATCGGGTTCTTGGGGTTGGGGTAGCGAACGACGCTGTGGTCGACTTCGCGGAAAATGTTGGTCATCTCGATGTAGTCGTTCTCTTTGCCGTCGATGCACTGCTCGAATTGCCGGACGAGGAAGCCACAGGTTATCACCTCAGTCGCGTTGAGTGGGGCGCCGGCCGACAAGAGAGGATGAAACATGAAGAGGAGGAAGAACCAGACGATGTTGAGGATCATCTTGGCTGGATTCCGAAGATTTGACCTTTGGATTGCGACTGGTGAGGAAGCAGTGAAGTAAGAGGAAGGTGTAATAGTGGGAGGGTTGAGGAGTTTTTATAGCCTGCAGGCCGAGGTTTTGACTGGTCGGATATGAAAGGCTGATAATGAAGATAGGGTAGATAAGAATGGTGATAGGAAGATGATTGAAGAAGGAGATTGAGGTTCAGAGTTGAGCAGCTTGAGTAAGAAGGATTGAAAGATAGTGAGGGGTCTGGAGAAGTTGAGGAAGGTGTTGGGGAAGAAGGAGAAGGAGAGATTGATCGAGGGAGGAGTTTATATAGAGGGCCTGGGTGAGGATAGTCGGTGAGTTCTACGACAATTTACTGGCAGCGGTGAGAGACGAACGGTCACATTATAACTCAAGTTGATACCAGATTCTTTCAAGACAGCTTCGGTTCGAAGTGAAGTCAACCCGGACGGGTAGGGTCCCTCAATCAAGCTTCAAGCCCGAAGAAAATTGAAAGATGGATGTAATCATAGTCATATTGCAAAAGCCCATCTTACTCATCTATGAGGCTGCTCCGTTAAAGTTATCTCTAATTTTTCAGAGCCACAGACTGTAGCAGGCATACCATCCATGAGGTGTCCTCTGATGGTGATGATAACGCTCATCACTATGACACGGTCAATCAAACTTCAAATGAGCGACAACTATCTCAATTATTGCAAGACTCAAGCCAGTATCAGCTTTAAGGACAATTATAAATACTGAAACCTCCATCTCATTGCTACCACTCCTTGTGTTCTTCGGAATCAGCCTGGGAAACTCATCGTCAGCCTTTCATTCCATAATGCCAAAGGATAGAACCAAGTCAACGGCATTGAGTTTGAGGTCCTTGCATGAAAAGTATAAGAGGATCAAAAACTACCATGCATGACCCTTGTTACGATTGTCTTCGGGTGGAATGTACTTCCTTCTTGGTATTTCTAAGTAAACTAAACTATGTCTGCGATTAAACAAAATAAATTCGACAGCTCCCGCATGGTATAGAGGCGATGAATATCAAATATCAAGATAGTACGTTAGCAAATTAAGAACACATACTGTACTTGGTAAAGTAGACTTGATTGAGAAGTGACATTTTCACACAGTGTCCATGGAATAAGGGATATTAATAGTCCAGCTTTTAATGCTACCAATTTCCAGTTGCCTCTACCTTCTCCCAGCAACTAATCCTTAAAGAAGAATGAGAAAGATAAAGCTTTATCAAATGTGGATAAAATATTTGAAGTGGGATGTCTTGGACATAAATTTGAAGAGATGTGCTGATGCCTGTATGCTCAACCTCGCAGGTCTTGCAGACTACGAATGACTAGATAAACCAGGGTCTCTTACATTTGGGACTATGCAAAGAAAGCAGCTGCTATCCACCCCCACATCCTCATTGCTCTCTTTGAATCTACTCCTTTTGTTATCCCCCTACTTGTTCCTGCTTGCTTGCTAGATCGTAGTCTACAAGTAGTGCAGAGCTACCGACAAGGGGTCAGGAACGCAAGTATGTCTAGGCATAAGAGGGCTATATTCAGACTTCTGAACGAGCTCTGCATTCTTGTAGCATCATTTGATGGTTAGCTTGCCTCATAGCATTTCCAAAAGTCGAAATCAGTTATTAGATCAGAAATGAGAACGTGCCTGTCCAAGTTTCAACAAGGAACAAGATGCAACAATAATTACACAGTGTCTATCACTTCAGCAGAAGGTCAGCATGGTATGTAGACTTGGTGACAAAACATTTTATGTTCGACCTATAGGTTGGGTAGAACTTGGGCTCTTCAGATCCACCAATTTCTACTTGATGCAGGATGCAGGAAACTTGAGGGATGAGCAGAAGTATGTTAAGTACATCAAAAGAGGACACAGCTTCCCCGACATCACTCAGCGTCATTCAAAAATAACCTTCTGGTATTGATTATCTTCCCCGCTGCACCGGCAACTCGTGGTTCCGGCACGCGCGACATCGACGTACCTTGCGCTAGCCACGATGCTAAGCTTACAAGTACTAAGCTTAACTAACCTTGGTCCTGATTCGTCGACAACCGAGATCCATTCACCCAGATCGATCATGTTTCCACGGATGCGCAGCTATCCGGGCAACACTTCTAGAAACAAAATCGCCAGATTAGGCATCGAGTGTCTCCCGAACTGGTAGTGCAATTGCTCAAAAGAGGATAGAATGCCTAGAAGAGACTACTCTGTTGATCGAATGAGTATCGCGAGAGGCAGTGCTCGGGCTCTGTCATTTCCAGATCGTAGCTATCGACGTTTTGAGGTCAAGATTGTCTTACGGATATGAGACTCTCCGTTGAAGTCATTTCGATGGCCGGTACATCATCATAGTTCACGATGAAGTGATGAAAGTACTAGAAATGGGAGGATTTGATTGAGTATAAATCAACACAGCATGCGCCGGTGAAATGTTTCCCTACAACTCTTCGAACATCTGCAAAGCATTCAGAAACGAATTTTCATATAAAAGCAATATTCAGTCATGAAGCTCTCCACTATTAGTTCTCTTCTCCTCTCAGGAGCCTCCTGCGTGGTTGCACATCCTACCAAAAGGGCCGCCCCAAAGATTACTGACATCGATATTCTCCAGTACGCTCTTACTCTGGAACATCTTGGTAGGCGTCGCGGATCCATGTACCAAGCTAGATGAATCTGACAATTGGGAGAGGACAAGTTCTATCGTGAGGGTCTTGCCAATTTCACCCTGAAGCATTTCGAAGAGGCTGGGTTTAATGAGACTTTCTACAACAACATCAAAGAGGTCTCTTACGATGAAACCACTCACGTCTCTTTCCTCACTACAGCCCTAAAAGGTATTATAGACCTCAAACCCTTCTGTTCTCCCCCAAATGTAACTAACATCCGTCCGTAAGGTCTCAATGCCACCCCAGTGGCAGAGTGCACTTACGCTTTTGGCGTGACCGACGTCGCTTCCTTCATAGCCACAGCCTCGATCCTCGAGGGCGTCGGCGTATCCGCATATCTCGGCGCTGCAGCCTCTATTGTCGACAAGGCATACCTCACAGCCGCCGGCTCGATCCTGACCGTCGAGTCCCGCCACTCAGCATACCTCCGAGCCGCACAGAAGCAGTCCCCGTTCCCACAAGCGTTCGACGCGCCTCTAGACCTCGACCAAGTCTTCACGCTCGCAAGCCCATTCATCAAGTCCTGCCCCGAAAGCAACGGAAAGTTACCCGTGAAGGCGTTCCCCGGGCTCATGGTCGATGCGGCGTCCAAGGATATTAAGACGAACGCCACAATCGCGCTGAACCTTCAACAGCCCATCGACTCGCACGAGAAGTTGTATGCTGCTTGGATCGCTGTCACCGGCCCAACGTTCACGCCTGCGACTTTGGTAGGCGGCAATAAGATCGAGACAACAGTCCCCGAGGGCTTCCACGGTCAGACGTATGTGCTCATCACGAAGGATAACGAGAAGGTGTCTGATGACTGTGTTGCCGCTGGCCCCGCGATCGTTGAAATCACGGGGGCTCAAGGATCACCGTAGAGCCTGGTCTAGCCGCCTTGGTAAAGGATGGGGGATCAGTCGCTTGAGTCGGGAAGCGAATATGGAGATCGCGATCTCATTGAATTATCGTACGGATGGATCTCTAAAATAATTTGAATAATAATGTAATACAAAATCTACTAGGTGTTTTTGCCTCCTAGGTACTCATAGCTCTTTGTGAACGTATTTTTCTGTTACAAGTCATGAGGACCGGGAGGATACCAAAAGTATGTGCTCCGTGAAGGTAGATAAATCTCTCTATAGGGTATCAATCAATAAGAAATGGAAGAAAGCCGCCGGATGCAACGCTGATAGAACACATGGGGAGGTCTTGTCTTTTCTTTTTTTTAAGTTCATTTTCTCTTTTCTTTTTCTTGCTGGGGGCTATTGCTACCTCCTTTTGCCATTCGTCGCTACCTCCGTCACTACGGGCACCTTGCCCGTTACATGGTCCACCACGAACGGATCGTTGTAGTTTGTTTTCGCCATGGTGGAGTAGCTGCCCTTGTGCGTCAGACCCTCCTGGCTGTTCATCGACTTGACGCTGCGCTGTTCCATCTCGTAGTTGTTGTCCTCGAGGCGTTGGTGCGTGGTAACGTGGACTTCCTGTGTGACGAAAATGCCAAAGGTTTGTTGAAGGTGGGAAACGAAAGCAGGCCAGAAGATGGGCATCGAACAGGCCATGATCGCGAAGTCGACCTCCAGACAGGAAAGGATGATCATCGAGGGAGACCACCATGTGAAGTCCATGGTCTCGACATTCGACGCGTCGCGCTTTGCAACTGTCGAAAATCGTAGACTAGCGAAGATAATGACCAGGGATGCGAGGAGGAAAAGTGCCGTCTGTGCCATGTATTCTCTCCGCGATAGACCCTTCTTGAGGTATTTGAATAGCGGTAGGAAGAAAATGATGACGTCGAGGACCATGTTGCTCGCGGAGAAGGCCAGGAAAGAGACCATCGCGCCCTTCAAATCAGCCCATCCAAAGGCGTAGCACTTTGCCGGCGGATCGCGATCGCGGTTCCAGAATCCATCGACGGGGAAGCAGGGGAACCATGTCATGAAGCAGAAAGCCGCGCCCCATAAAGTGACCACGGCAGTAAGGAAGATGGTGAACATTCGGAGTTTTCCTGCTTGGAACATGCGTAGATATTGGCAGAGAAGCGAAAGCTTGATGAAAAACGAGGTGGTGTGATAGGCGGCGTTCTGGAGGTACATATGCTTGAATACGGCGTCGACATCGAGATCGGTAATGAGGAGCAGATGTTTGCCCATACCGGCGCTGAGACCTAGGCGATGTTAAAATCACAATTCCTCAAAGTGTAAATTGATTCGCTGTACCTCCATAAAAACCGATCAAAGATGCTAAATTGAAGGCAGCCGCGAAAACGACAAAGACGTCGTCAAATCCATATTCGCGTCCAACTCTTCGCACCCAAAGTCGAAATGCTACAGCTAGCCATGACAAAATCTTGCGCGGCGTAAGTGATATATTAAAAACAATTCCTCGTCGGTCGACCTACATGAAATACAGCTGTGATTGCAATGATAGGACCAGGCTTGTGGAGCGTCGGGAGTGGCTCATTTGGGTCCGGAGGGTGTTGATTTAATTGTCGGTAGATTTCGGTGAACGGGTTATTAGTAGACATCTTTGCCGCAGCAGCCTAGGTCGCTGATTTTATCCTCCAACGATTACCGATACATTAAATGTCGAATGTGCATCGGATGGGTGCCAGAATATGAAGCCTGTTGCGTGTAGATTCTGTTCTGGAGTCGGCCTCAGTGATAGGGAACCCTCAATAACGACGACCAAAGCAGAGGGAACACAAACGTCCAACTGGGGCTGAATCGAGCGACCTTCCCCTCTTTTCTAAGAAATTTAATCTCCTGGACTTACCGCATTCTTGAAGGATGGGAAGGCCGGACGGCACGGCTTGCTCCGCGAGCCCTAGACGACGTGCCGTGGCAGGGATCAACAACGTTCTTCGCTGCCCCATGCATACGGGGAGACGGTGGAAGCAATTGGCCTCTGCGCTAAACCTGCCCTAACTGTCTGTACTGTGGACTATTGGTGCTTGTAAGCAGCTTCGCTTGGTTTCAGTTCATGCATCTTTTGCTGTTGTTTTCCCTGTGGCTTGGGTCTCGGGCTACGGGCCGAATGCATGCTTTCAGCGACCAAGCCATACTGGTAAGCTGCCATGCAGTAAGACAAATGCAGGCTGCTAAAATCATTGTTCTTCCCATTCCCCACGTGTAGCTGCAGAAATGGCTGCGAGTTTAGCTGTAGCTGGTCTTTGTCTTTACCACGTAATCCCAGTTGAAAATGTCGTCGCATGAATGTGGATTGGACTCGGTTGACGCTACTATGTGGGCAAGCTGACTCGTACCCTGGACACCAAAGGCGGGCGAGAAAAACAAAAGTGGTCTGAACAGCAGTCGATCGCACTCGGAACCTCGAGACGTACCGCTGTCAAAGCGGACCGGCCTCATTATTCACGGCTCGAACCTTTTGCGCGATTGGACAAAGTTTGTGGCTTTCCCCTCTTCTAGAATGATGATTCGCTGTCGCGATGGAAAAAAAGCCACCCACGGCTCGAGTAAGTGAGCTGGATAATACCAGTCTGAATTGCAAATCCTTCTCACTTTTGGGGAATGATCGGCAAGGGCATCCAGGACTATGGCACCAGACTTTACTGCTACTGTAGTCGTGCGTAAAAGATAAAAGGCCCTATTGTTCAGTGCGTCTTAATACCCCTTTCTCTGAGATGTGGCTACGAAAACTGTCGGATTAGAGCGCTACCCAACAAGCAAACATTCTTCCATAGCGCTGCTCTAGAATGTCAAATGCAATCGCTTAGTAGACGCGACTGCTGCATAGAATGCGCTGTCCAAATATGCACGTATATTGTAACGAGAGGCAGGTTTGCGGCTCCTCAATTCCCACGCCGTCGCCACGTGCAGGAAGACCCAGAGGGGCGGTTTCGAGACTTGACCTATCGCCAGGCATTTCCCAGCTGTATGCTTGATACCCAAAGTCTGCTAATCTCCTTTTGGGTTCGTCATTTCGCTGTTACGTGGACAGGTAGGTGAAATCCTGCTCAAGGTCGGACGTGGGCACAAGGCCCAGCAGCCACCACCCTGGGACGTCTTGAAACCGTATCAGGTGTTCCTCCTCAAAAAGGTCTCCTGTTCTTCGTGTCTCTGCGAAAGTCTTCGGCAGTTGAGAGCCTACGACCTTATCTCATTCGTCTCTTCCCCACCGGCATAGGGGCAAACTTAAATCTACGCTCTATGTGGCGGCACATGTCCCTACACTGGGAAACAAGTCCGATCATGCCGTCTAATCCATGTAGCGAGCGACTACCAAACCGGCTAGATATGATCCCAAATACCATGGAGGAAGGAATGGCGAATCGTATCTTCTAGCAGTCAGAGGCAAATCAAGCAACCTGCGCCGAGCAGAAGACGAATGTCTTCCTCAGAAGATGCCTTCGCATTGCTCGTCAATAAAATGTCCGATCAATTGTCCGAGATCGATACATGAATGACATAAAGGTGGCTGCCCATCGCTAACTATAACAGTGATATTAATGACTCTCGCCCCTGATTTGTGATTGTTTTCTTACGAACGAGAGCCCTACTTCGGTCCTTATGGGGAAACTCTACCGTTAGTTGTCGTAGACTGTGGTGTCTAACAGACAATGGACATTGATCTTCTTCGATTGCATGCTCCCGACTTCACGTCTCTTAACAAGCATTTGCCCTACAGCCTCGCATCGAGGACCTATATACCGTGAGCGAAGCATCGAAAAGAAAAGAAAGCCATGAGGCCAAACCATGAACCAACTCCCAGGAGCACTCATGGAAGCATGAAACCCTCAATCAAAGGGGGTCCTGAAAGCTTCCATCCGATGCTCTGGTCAGTCTCACTCTTCTACTCCGTACCTAGGAGGACTACTGTGGGTATCCACCACTCTTGTAACAACGACCCACGACAGAAATGTCAGAAAGGGCGGGCCCTGATCACCACGTTGCCAAGGTTCTCCACCAGTCATGCGTGGGAAGCCTGGCTTTTAAGATATGCCTGATGTGGAAATGCGATTCCTGCTTTCGTCGCGCCATCCAGGAACGCGTCGACGCTCGACGACGGATATGGTGTGAGCTTTTGTGACCCACACGACCCGTCTGATGCATCCATGCGAGCCCGTTCTATCGTGATGTAATTCTTTTCTTCGTGGGAATTTGGTTGAAGCTGTGGATATATGTTTCCCAATTGTCGGAATTAGGGTGCTCATTCACTTCACTCACTTCCCTGGAAGCGGTTTGAACGTCCTCTTTCATTGAAAAGAGCAGCTGGTTCGCCTGTCAACGGCGTCCAGAGACCGCGTCATATTCTCTCCTTTCTCTAAATGCGCCTTCAATGCCCATGGAATGACTGCAGCCCAATTCCTTTTCCCTCTCCCTCTCGTCGCACCAAAAACGCCGCGTGTGTGCCGATCTCCATCATGCTGCGTGTGGACGCGACCGACTTCGACGATCGAAAGCATTCGGCGATTTTTCTAATCGGCCGTGTGCATCCGATGTTCCAACATCCCCCTATCGCGCAAACTTTGACTACGAGTGGATGGATGTACTTTGACATCTGTAGGAATTGCATACGCGACGTCGAAGGTCATGTCAGCATAGTAAATCTACAACCACGATCGAGAACTAGTAAGCAGACATCATGGAGATGCGACGAGATGACTAGCATCCCTAATCGATCACCAAACATGAGCATGATGTAAACGCGACAGGAACCCTCCGTGAATGTGGAGTGTCAATGTTGTAAACTCATAAATTGCTGTATGTTTGACTCATACCGTGCGCGTGCATACGTGTGAAAGCTGTAAGTGTGCGACTCGGATTCAACCGCGTCGCAATGGTCTTTGGGAATACAGTACATGCATGCGCCTCAAACAATGTTTGCAGAATGCTGATGGAAAACCATTGGATGTGTTGATGCTATTCGAGAAGAACTGCTTGGTAGACGGATCTTGATGGCATAATTCAGGCATGGGCAAACTGCAACGATGTCTCGGAATCGCAGAAAGCTCAGATTTGTATTGGATCCTAACTGAGTTGATCGGATTGCTGTTGATCTGAAACATGTGACGAAAGATCGTATTTCGCGAAGCCAACGGAGCGAAGCACTCGATGTCATGTCTATATGGTTTCTTGAACGGCAATGGAATATGCATAGCCTGTGTGATCAATTTTTGTGGTGGTATATAATATCCCCCTGCTGCGTCTATGTTGTCTTGTAAATGGGCTGTGGGATAAAGTCATGGGGTATCGTGGCGTCGAAAGTAAAACATTGCGATCAGAATGCCCCGCCCGCCCTCAAGGTTATAAGTAAATGACACAAATCCTCCTAGCATTACAGTAATCTGTCTAAAACCAGTTCTCCAACATGTTTGTGTTGTCTATATATGACCGAATATCGTAAGCCTTGACCGCATTCCTCGGTGAGATGGATGCAGCCGAGGCAGCTCAGCATCGACCTCCACCCTGGTCGTGATTCCAATGAATCGAAATTACACCATTTCCAAACCCAATTAAGGCATCGAGCCTCGTTGATGTTCTGCCACCATAATCTAAGGTTGACTGGAGTGAGGTAGAGTATTGCCGATCGCTTGATCGAACGTCGAATTCCAATCATCCTCCATGTTCTCGTTAGACACTGGTGCTGCCGAGACCGAAAAGTTTGATGGCCAATTCGGTTTAAGATTTTGCAAGTAAGGCTCCTGGTAATGTGGCGATGTTGTGGCCCTGCCGAAACCATCCATCTGATCATATGTGGAGCCCATTGTCGAATTACCTGTCGGGGCACCCATAGCGGTTGCACCCAATGTACCAGCAGAATAGAAGGATTCCATACAGGGATTTAGATGCGCACGATTTAGATCCGGAGCAGGAAAGCCATTGGAAAGTATTTCTGACGAGTAAGTGAGAGGAAATTTACTTGAAGTATCGTGACGATGAAATGTCCAATCGATTGGAGCAGGTGCCGAAACAGGCTTTTCTCCAACAATCGGGCTTGGAAGAATCGGCCGTTGTTGCTCGTCTTCCTCAAATAGATCGTTTAAATCAGCCTGGACATGAGGTAGGCTTGACCTGATCATGTTAAAAATGATATCATATGCATTTTTCCCCACGATATTCTCTTCATGCATCGCCCGAAGCCGTAGGACGAGCTTTCTGAAACTCGTTCTTATGGTTGCATGAAATACCTCCAAAAATGTGGGTTCGAGAGTCAGCTCGAGTAGAAGAATTGTTGCAGCTTGCATAATATTGTGGACGATAGACCACCAAGGACCATTCTGATAGAGCCAAGTCAAATCCATGTGGTCAGGAAGTAGTTGGGCGACACCAATTGCCGCTATCAAGCAGTACTTTTTCATTTCCTGGTCGAACTCATTCGATCTCTCACTTTGATTAGGATCTGTGTCATGGTATCGTTGATTGATATGACAGAGACAAGGCCTGCTCAGCAGAATCTTGGCACTCTGGACATGAAAGCTGAGTATGTATTGTTCGCGGAGCGCATCTCTATCTGCTACGCTCCGGTCGAAGACGTCCGGTCCGACCACACCGTTTGGAAGAGCTGCGAGAGCCCACCGGTCTACTTCGGATGACAATGAGCGAATTGAGCTCTGTATCTGCTCCCATGTTTGAGCTTGGGCTTTGGGAGAATACAGCAGGACTTGTGCTTTCTGTAGAATGAAGCCAACGCGGATTTGGGAGTCCAGGAATGAGGTGTGTGATGTGCCGGAAGTCATGTTTTGTCCAGGACCCGACTCCATCATGATCGATACATCTGATGTCATGTTACCAGAATGTGGTCCATGAGATTGGAAACTACAGTTCTCAATACCAATAAGGGTTGGCCTTCCTGTCAACGAACTCAGCAGACATTCAATAGAGTACAACCCCCACCATGATCTTGCCAGACTGGTTTTATTCTCCTCGCAAGTAGAGGCATCATCATTGCATAAATTCAGTCCAATGGCGATAGCACACCGTAAAGAAGTGCCGATGACGACCCAAGATCTGCAGAAGATGTCAGCGTCGGGTATGTACCAAGCTTCGTCGATGTTTACCTATTGACATGGCCAGTCACCACGTAGTACAACGCCAAGAGACCAGTGCTCTGTTGTAAGATCAGCAGGAGAAGATAGTTTGATAGCGTGGTTCCTTACTTCGACTGATAGAAGGTCAGGGTTGCAGACGAGGATGCTCCCCCCTGCATGCAATTCCATCAGCTTGATTGCCCTGTTCATGTAGAGATTGTGATCAAGCTCATCGGCGCGCAATGGTGCCTGGATGAGGTGGGAAAACTTTGCTCCAATTGCCAGGATCAAGTTCAGGATTGCTCGAACATTGTACGAAATATCTTCATAAAATCCCTGACGCTTTGCTGCCTGTATGTAGATGACGAGTTGTTCTTGCAATTCCCTGGGTACGATAGGAAATTGATTGTGGATATTGGTCATATAGGCGGCGACGAGTCGCTGGGCAGTTCCGGGGAGGGGCAAGAGATCGTGCTCAACGTTGACGTTTATGTCGAGGTGGTCTCCATCAAGATAGAATGTGAAATCGGAGACCGGCGCATTGTTCCCAGTAGAGATGTAGGTTTTGGATTCTTGATGCCAGCGAGGTCCTTGCCCTCCCAAACCTGTGGCTGGCAAATCATGTGCGCCGGCAGGATCTCCGTCGAATTGGTAGGCATGTTCATTAGATCCAACAGACTCCGGTGCGTTCCTCTCACTGGGATTTGTAGAGAATCTAGAATGTGTCGAACTCGACGCGGTTTCCCCGCCAAATCTGCCATCCTTCCCACCATCCTCCACTTCCTATCGATGCCATCAGGATGTGGACACTACGCATGGTAATAAACTAACTTACCGGTGCAAGAAGTTCTTCAACCTTCCTTTGATCATCCTCTCCCAGTAGACCTCGGCGGGCCAGGTCTCTCAGCAGGGAGGAGAGCGACTCGACACGATCGGTTGCACTTTGATGCCATTAGCAGGGACGTGGGCAGTTGAGTTACTGGCCGCTGACGCACTCCCTTAAACGATCGCGGCGACCTGGTTGGTATTCGCATTCAACATCTTGTTCCAAGCAGTATCGACATGGCGTAGTCCCAGAACATCGGATCTTTCTCCTTCGACAATTGTGGCAAGCCTTCGTTGTGCGATACCTAGCAGCGGAACTCCGACCTGTGGTAGGTGATTGAGCACTTTTCACTTGGTGGCTCTGCGTGGTAAGTCGAGGTATGGCGACCTTGGTATTGTTATTGACATTGTCGTCATCGATGGTATGCTTTCCGTCATTGCGAGAGTGAGAGGGGTTCATATCATCGTAAACCTCCACTGTTTGAGGGTTGGCGAATATTGTCAAAGCGGTGACCGTCTTGGATGTGGGGCGCAGTGAGGATCGAAAAGGGAATCTCCAAACGGCGATGATGAGAAGAACTCAAGTGAACGAGACAGATAGAGGAGTAGAAAATTGAGAATAGAGAATCGAGAAGCAGGGAGAGGAATAAGAGATTGGGAGGGGGAGGAGACAGGAAGTCTGAAATGGTCGCCATCTATTGGTCGCGGTTGTCACAGCCGTCTGGCCAATCAGCAGCTTCATTTGCCACGGGATGGGCATAACAAACCGAGCCAATCAGAACTACCAGGGTCTCTTCAAAGCAACACAACCGAGCATCGCCATCGTCTACCTAGGGGAGGGCAACCAATGTCCAGATATCGTCCGACTCTGTGAGATTTTTCTCGACGTTGCACTGTGATTTTGGAACTCAGCTGCGCGCATGGAGCGAAAAGGACGATGTTTGCAAGAATGATGCCTTTAACTGATGTGAGGAGCACAGCGTTATATGCTATGTCACTATGACGCTGTTGTGCAATAATGACCACATAATTCTCTGAATCAAATTAAGAGTATTGAAGTAACATCAAAAGCTCAACCTCCTGCTCTCATTGTTCGATAAGTGTGGTGCACGTATTGGCCAAAGGGCTATCTGAAATTACCCCCTTAAGACCCTCCACAGTATCCATCCCAATACCGTCCGAACCACAATTTTCACACCATCACTTCTCAGAGCAGTGGCATATCACCGGAATATGGGTACCCGGTTCCTACCAGATCGTACCAACAGTATAAGCGAGCGAGCTACCAACGCCAGAAGTCGTAATGAGCATCAAACGACACCATCTCAACGGCCTCCCACCGGCAAATACGTCCTTAGTTTAGACTGTGAGGAGCTACTCAAACTCAGTACAAACAGACCGGGGATATACGTGGCCAAAACCGTGGACGAGTTGATGCAACATCTCCAGTTAGAGGCCCTCATTGCGGTTCCTATTCTACACGAGATCAAGATAAAGATGTTCCATACCTGCGGTCCTGTCGAACTACAAGAGGGATCGTGTCTGAGGGCATTGACAGGAATTGGTGCTTGGTTGGTCAGTCGATATGAAGAATTTGGGAAACCTGCTCGATGTGAGCCTGAGGTTGATGTCGATACCAGGGATTGGGCTGATCCTGACGCCATACTGCAGGTATTCATTGATCAGGCGGGGAATGGCGTGGATTGAATTCTCCTTGTGGGCACGGCTTAGTTTTTCACCAGCGCAACGAAAATTCCGATGCAAGTCGGTATAGAAGGTGTTACCGCTGCCTGTCACCACGTCGAATCACCGGAGCGCGAGGCGGCCAACAACTGTCCCTTGACAGTCAGGTCGGCAAGAAGTTTAGTTGACAGGATCGGTATATCGGCATATTAGCTGTTGCCAGATTCTGTCAATTTAAAGCAATAGCACGACAACATACTTATCTTTCGGTCACTGCTGACACCTGACCATTGCATCGAGGACTGCGTGTATTCTCGTAGGATCATAACATCGCCCAATAATTCTAATACTGATGTTCGCGCAGCCGCCCAATCGTGCTATGACAATCTCTATCAATGTCAAAATTTACGGACAATGATTTACTTGCACATTCTTTGCAATTCTCTGTTCTTAGAGAAATACTGTCAGACGAGATATTTCATGTGCGTATGTGAATGTTTTATCATCTTATATTCGCTACACAAACATGGCGCCTTTGAAGACAATTGAAGATATCTTATGATGTTTAACGCTGTACACCTCGCTCTTCTCGTCCCTACTTACTTCCGAAAATTCAATCATTGCCATCGATTCGTTGATGTAAAGTCTGGAAGATCTGGTTGTATGAATAATGAACGCCCATCGGGTTACAGCACACCAGAACCCCTGAGGGACTCTACATAGTAATGCAGTTTCTCTGGATGCCCAAACGCCGTCACTAGCGCTACGTCCCAGTGCGTCCTATATGTATCCCAATCTTTGATTCCTTTGAGCTACCCAGCTTCGCTATTTTGTCTGCCTCTCTTTGCACATACGCTGATAGCCTCGAGTCAGGACAGGAAGAGTGCTGGATCACCTCATTCATCAGACTATGCAGGTCGTTCTTCAACAACTCTGCTTCTGATTTCAACAACTTGTTTTTCATTCCCATCTCCCTAGCCACCTCCACCAGTTCCGCCTGCTCCTTTTTCTGTTTGCTTCGACATTTCCTCGCAGCGTGCCGGTTCCTCTCGAGGTGTTTCGCCCTGGCTGATTGATGTCCGGTTTTCGACCCGCTGTCAGCCTCTCGACTCGATCGGTCTCTCCCGGTGCTGATGCTTGTAGAGGAGTCTGATGCTCTGCGGGTGTGCGTTGGGGATGTTGGTGATCCGGACGGTATCGAGGACGGCGCGTGCGGTTCTATGGGTATCTCGGTTTTGATAACATGGGGAGTCCTCCTCGGCTCTGCGAACAGGTTGGAAACAGGCTGAGTAGATGGCTCGAGCTCGAGTTGGGCTAATGTCAATCTGTCGCCCATGTTCGGATAGCGTTGATGTCCCCCTACGGCGCCATCAAGTTTTAAAGGAGACACAGAATCCTCCTCGGCAATCAGTGTGATGGCACCATCGCAATCTTGGAACAGTTGTGCCACTGGCAAGTCGTCAAAATCTAGGGATTGATCGGGCTCTTGCCAATTTATCTGCGTGCTGTTTTCGTCCTTGATGTCGCCAAAGAAGTCCGATCGGGCCGACGCCATGCACGAATCGAGACCCAGGGAGGACTCATCAAAGCTATGAACAGCAGCCATCGCAAAATCTGATTGGGCCTAAACCAACTGATTGAGACTTATCGTCGTGAGTGTCAACAAGGTTCTATGGCTTTGGGGCAGTAGATGGGAGGATTCGTCAATGTCCGGGGATGGTCGATGAAACATCGAGGTTCATAGGAGAAGAAAGCACTGGGTAGTTGGATGCTTAAATGGAACACGTATATCGCAGATTCAAGAATTTGTGATAAATGGATAATCCCCGAATCGTACTACTAATAATAAGGTGTTTTGATCACATGAAGGTAAACACAAACGTCACTGCCCAGGGATTTGCATTTCGTCGACTTATCTCACACTTCAATAAGTCAGTTCCAATAGACACCAGCGAAAATGACTCTGCAGTGGTGCTGTTTAGGCATACTTCTAACATGTAAATCACCTTGGTACGAGAACGTATCCGAAGAGGGAGTCCGACGGCTGGTAGGCTATGATTGATTGGAGCTGAGTGCTCGGTCAAGTTTGCCGACAGGTGGGCTTTAGCGCAGGGAGTCCACAAAGCCTTGGTGTAGAGTACCGTTAGACAGCCGCCTCCAATAACATCGCCTGCTTTCGGTTCAACCACGTCATATCGGGACTTCCCTGTTTACAACCTGACACGAGGTATGAAGCTGCTGGCACCCGTCCTTAAGCACAACGGGTGTTCCGTCTGCATCGAGCAACAGGTCTTACTGGTTCGAACCAGAGCAGTGCATGGGAATAACGAGGCGCAGATAACAGCATTATTCTACGAGGTAGTTGGGCTACTCGTAGAGCTTGGTACCATTGTAAGCGGAGCTCAAAGGCTGTCGCGCGATGTAAAAATGTATACCACAGACCAGGCACAAGACGGGAGCTAGAGATCGCTCTCAAGCGGTCTTGATGCTTTCGAATTGATAGGTTAATTGGACAGATATATTAGAGGACCCTTCTATGAAAGGTAAATTGACTCTAGGTGAACTCTATTATCAGGATGATATAAAGTTTTTGTTTTTATATGTACATATGAGATCGCGCGCAAAGGTCTAGGGATATGCTGGCCTACTTTGCACTCAATTACATTTTTCAAGGTGACAAGTGGTAGGGAAAAGCCTCCTTGATTTCCTGACTAGTATTACGTTTACTCTTAGAGGATTCCTTGACAACGGCAGGGATGAAGAGATTCGGCGAACATTGCCGACGACCCCTCAGTTGGTGAAAACCTCAACGTCCAAGCCGAGAATATTTGCTTTCCCCACTCGAATTTCGTCATAATAAAAACAATAGGCTAAGCTGCACGCCAGTAGAACACTTGTACCTCGAGCATGCATTGTCATCCTGCTCACCTGACCCTCATTTCGTTCCACACTTGCTTTTCCGTACGAAGTACTGGATCTAGCTGGATCGAGGCTGCACAGTGTTTAATAGATTCCGAAGAGAACGTCGTTCACAGCCAGAATTCTTGCCATCATACATTTGATAGGTTGGTGGAAGACTGATGGACTTCAGTATACTCACATTTCTCTGTGATCATTGATTATTCTTCACCTACAAATCCACAAGAAGAGATCATTGAACCTGCTCGTAGCGACGAAAACCATAGAATAGTGAGAGATAAATTACGAGATAAGTACTGGCTACAAGTCTCTGAATCAAGGCTTCCTAGATTTAGAAAACCATGATTTCGTGGTTGCTATGTCGATTGGGGGACTTCATTTGCTGGGCTTAGCTTCCTCTACATCTTGGACATCGTAGTACAGATGTTCTAGGTTGTAAGAACTATATCTGTAACTTTGATATGGAGGGAAATGTGGACTGCGATAGCCGTCTTGTCATAAGCGCAACAATAATGGATGGTGTCCCCATTCGGACAGATGACGCAAGGGTGTCTGTGTATTACCTGCCGGTCCTGTGGCACGAAACAGAATTATAAACATACGACCGGCCTCCAGAGCCGCATGAATCGATGGAAATTTGATTAGATACTACTTTAGGTAAACTTGGTGATGATGGTGTCTTGGATGGAAAATTGATGTCTCACCACCGCCATCCACACGGATGCATGGCGTAGCAAAACAGCGATGGAGGAATTAAGAAGGGAATTGATAAGTGCGTATGATGTCCGCAGTCTCCTACAGTATCTCCGCATCTGCCATCTGGGAAGAGAAAGTTGGCTTAGATTTCAAGAGCTTGGATAGGAGATAGCAGTGCAAGGTCTCAGCACTGTACGGGAAGCATCTAGAGCGATAGTTAATAGGCTGGCAGAACCTGCCGTAGACATGCATGAGTCCAGGACAATTATCTGTTAGGGAAAGGTAAATGCTGGTGAAAGATATCCAAAGTTGATCACGACAGAGTCGGATAGAAAAGGATTAAGCGGAGCGTGGCTACCAAGCCTAAGCCTGACCATGTTGAGCTGAGAAAACAGGATTGGATAGTAAGCATCAATATAGTTAATTCAATCGTTCAATGGGCATGTTCCCGGTGGTTATCCCCCACGAACGGCTTGAATTTACAAACTGATCTACACATGAAGAGGCTGGAATCATGAAAGAGATACAGTGGTGCAAAGGCTGGGAATAAAATGGAAAATAATCGCGATTTCGTGTTTGCAAGTGGCTCAACTAAGTTGAAAATCAGAAGACTCGAGATTTCTGTTCATTTGAAGTGATTTCTTGTGATGGCTTCTACATCCAGGCATAAATGTGCGGCAGGCCCCTTATGAGAAGATTGAACGTGCTTAATACCTTGAAGCAACCCTTGGTGGTATCAATCCTGCAGCTCTATAGCATCTACAATGTAATTGGCGCTCAACCAACTCGCATCTCCGCTCCCGAAGACACCGACAGTAAGAGTATTGGAACCAGTCTTGAAGGCGCTCGCGGGAACATTCCATGTATAAACATCGCCCCAGCCGCGATAGGCGCCTCTCGTAACCCCACGAGAGTCTATCAATTTCTGCATCAATGTCGTCAGTATTCGCAGCTCTTATATAAGGGTGATATGATCACTTACCGGTGCGCCAGGGTCACTTCCAGTCCAACTGCCAATCTTGATGCTTGGTCGACCACCCTTGAATGAGAGTGTCGTGCCAACTCGCAATACATGAGCTTTCACTTGCGCATCGGTCAAGGTGAATGTTACTGTCGCAGTGCCACCTTCCTTGGACCATAGCGTCATCGGAAAGTCCTTTGCTTGCGAGGAGCCAACTGTGAAGGTGCCGCCCCAACTTCCCATTCGGACGTCGCTAGGGTGCATTCTAGTAATCTTATCGCCATTCTTCAGTTCAAACGGCTGCCCATCAAATTCACCGATGCGCCAAATAACACTCGGATTTGACTCCTTGGATGCGATATTTTTCGACGATGTCTGCCCGGCAGTAACTGAGACGGAGTCGTTCGCGACCAAGTATTCGCCTTTATAGAGTTTCATATCGTAGGCGCCAGGCTTCATTAGCGGCGACTTGTAGGTTCCATCTGCGCTTGCTTTCGCCCAGTACTGAGCACCGGTATTGTGCCAGTGAATCACCGTCTCGAACTTCTCCGGAACCCCCGTCGCTTTTCCAGACACGGAACCGCGGCCACTCGCGGGAACGTAGCCTTGGATGCTGAGCTTTTCAAAGAAGGATGTATCAAGACTTTCCGATGGTTTGGAATTTGGAGCACTGCGCGTTGTAAGTGGTGATTCCCATACAACTTTACTTCTAGACTTACGTGAAAGCCATCGCATATGGTCCTTGAAGACCAAAGCGCCAGGGCTCTGTACGCACATGTCCGCTATTCATGTACCAGTACAGCTCCTGATCACTGCTTCCGGTCTGACTGTTAATGTCGCGCATGAACGGCCCACTTGCAGAAGTCTCATAGGCAGTGCCTGACATAATCATCCAGACGGAAGCTTTCTATAAGGCGGTCAATATGATCTCGAGCCATGACAACCAACAATGAGAGAAGAGCCATACCGGTCCAGAAACCCCGTGAACGATGTCCTCAATGAATCGATCGCTTGTATACATCTTGCATCTGGTCTGCCCATTGGGACATTTGAATGTGTCCTTTCCTTCAAAAGCTTCACAACCCCGTGTATCGCCCACATCGCCATGCACTCCGGTTGGAAGTTCAGATGTCTTTAAGCGTGCCAGCCAGCGCAGCTCGCCTGGATCAATTTCGCCCGTGATGTACGTCGCCATGTAGATGATTGGGTCCTTTGGCTTTGCGACATAATAGTGCGTGAGCGGAAGAGATTTTGCCTGCACTGTGATTTTGATGTACCCGTTGATCTCTTCGGCTTTGGTAGTTGAGCTACCTAGGCCTGAATTGATGGCGGAAGCCTTGCCAGTGCCTTGGTACTCGACTCCGTTGTATTTGAGACCAGTGATGTCGCCGTTGGCTCTGTTGACCTCGAAGACGAGTCCGCCATCTGTATCAACGATGAAGCGAGCATTGGTGGAAAGTAGTTCGAATTTCGCTAGTACTGACTGACCTAAGGCCAGCGCAGCCAGTGTCGAGCTTGCCAGGCGCATCTGAAAAGGATTAATCCGAAATAAACAAGTGCAGTATTCACATCGCGGACATGAACGGAGGAAAGCACTTATTTGTACAACGTGCAAAGGATCTGCGCAATCTAGGGAAAGTGTAATTGAGTTCTTCAGAGGATGATTGCAGGTTAATTGTTCCAGCTATGATTTTCCAGGTACGATATTAACCAAAGATTGCAAACCCGGTTCAGAATCCCATATTAAGCGATCACCTCGAGGGACATCTATTTTAATGACATTTGAGGTGTTTTGAATCGTCCGGCCCTCTTATTGGCTATTTTCTTGCCACCTCTCCGCATCTTGGAGGAATGATCCTACAAAGAATGTGGGGAAGCAACAGTGTTGCATACTCATTCGGGTCATGTCCAACCGAGATTGATTTTATTCAGTTCTAGCTGCGCGATTCCAGTGTAAGTATTCATGAACCAGTAATTCCAAGGCATCTCGTGAAACTAACAGTCCAGGCGGTGCTGAAACCAGATCCAACAATCCAAAATCATGTTAAATAAAGCCCTTGAACATGAATGGAACACAATTTCAATTATGCGACATAGTAAACCTGTCCACTATCCCATTCAAACATGAGTAGGCCAATTATATTGTAAATTATCAAAGTACGCTCATGTATGTGGGCGGCGACAGTCCTCGACTACACTAGTGGTCGCTTTTCTAGGTCGGGGAGGGGCAAAAATCATCGAGATTTATTGAAGTATCACTATGCAACGGCTCATTGATGATGAATCAAAAGACTGTTTAGGGTATCATTAGGAAAAACAAAAACGTTATCGTGCGCAAAGCACCAAGTCCCTTCGGACGACCAAACCCGCTAGCTAGATTCCCTGCGCTCAATTTCAATAGTCACTTCTTCATGTACCATGACCCCGGCCTGGCGCTCGAACAGACTTGAGGTGCTCGTATGATCGTCATGCCTGCTTCCCATAGCCAGGTACTTGTGCCAATCTGACATGCCTTTATTACCATTCCCGCTATTGTCTGTCCCCGACACGACCGTCGTGGTATACTTCGTCGACCGCGAAGGAAGTAGTTTCAAAGGGATGCTATCGGTTTTCGACGTTGTTCTTTGTGCAGATCGCACGACTTCGCGGTCGGATATTCGTGCATCCAAGAGGCCGCTTCCAGCGACTCCAAGGAGCCTCTTGACCCGAGGCAGACTGGCGAGAATGAGTGACAGACTTGTTACGGCCTGTTCCAGCAGAGCTAACTCGAACATATCGTTGGTGGGATCGGTGCTCCGACTCGCCCTCCACACAGCCCATATTTGGGGAACAGCCACCATTGGCACGATCGCTCTTGAACCAAAAAGAACGGCTACTGTCGTACGTCTCTCCCGATCTATATTCAAGTTCCGCAAAATGGGGACGATCCAACCTGCAAGGAGAATGTCGGAGATAATATTTAGTGCAATGATCGAATACATTGGCCCGCCTTGACTGCAGACCGGAGGGTTGAGAATCCAAGGCTCCGAAGCACCACACTGGAAAGCGAAGGCGAAAATTGAGTAGATTGTGTATAATCCGATACTTCCGAAGAGTAAAAATCTCTTGTATCGTGCTTGGGGTGCAATGCGATTTATCAAAAATGCGCCGGACAACTTCGCCAGTGCCATTACCATAATGTGGAGAAGTTGTGCTGCGTACACCGCCTGCGTAAAGGTTAGACCGGCTGGCGCCACAGAGATGTCATATCTTCTTACTTTGAAGTATAGAGAGATTTCTCTTGCACTGAGGCTGGCGAAGTGTTGTCCCAGGCCTCCGTTGACTGCATATTGCCAGCTGATGGTGGAGCCAATGTAGACAACCTGATCAACCCTTCGTTAGGAACCATTAGAAGAAGAACAACGGCATACACGACTTACACTTCCAGCAAGAACCATCCAGTCATCCAGTCCAAAGATTATTTGGTGTACCAGACCTATGATGAATCTGGTTACAGCCACTCCGATGGCCACGGCGGTCCATGAATACAGTGAGACCAAAACGACACCAACTCTTCCGTTCGTAGCGATGCGTGGTCCCTGGCCGCTATTGGTGTAGTCCATGGGCTTTAGTCAAACAGAGATTCGAAGCTAGTCCAGTGGAATGCGCTGGTCATAGTTAATGTATTGCAGGTTACATGCTTGCGCACTCAGGAGACTCGACGAGTTGATATGATGTGTGTCTCGCCGTCGAGTGCGGCGGGACAAAAGGAAGCTTCCGTGCCTCTTGGATGGTCTTGGACGTTCCTTTTTCTTTCTAAGAATTCCCTGACCGGGGGGGTCAGATGGTGGGAAAGGATCGACGACCCGACCGTATGATTGCTTAGAGGCGCTGCCTTGATCATCGGCCTTTTTCTTTTCTTTTTTCGTACCGAGTCCATGCATCGACTTCCACAAAATGCACAGAGTATTTTTTATACTGCAACTTAAGCGATTCATCCTGGCTTATATGACCACCGGTAGACATGATTGGCGGAGGCTACACGGGAGGACGCGAGGAGGAGGCACAGCTCAGCTCGGGGAAGCGGGTTTCGCTTGGCTGAACAGCACCATCACCCCAGATAACACTCAAAGCGTGCTGGTGCAGGCAGATGACTTGGATGTGATAGATACGACGAAGTTTGGTCCAGTTGTAGAGCTTTTAGCATCCTTTCTAGGCCCAGTGCGTATTATGAAGTACTGAGAAGTTGTTAACATGAAGCACTTTGAAGTACGTGACAGTCGCCATACCCGCGGCGCAGCTGCGTTTACGCGGGAGGGATCGCGAGTCCAGATGGCGGCACGGAGATTCATCCAACTTGCGACATTTATTGGCTTGCCACGGGATGCATTAGGAGAGTTGCAAAGGGGCTTGCTGCTGCAGACGCAATGTGCCACGCACGGTGCGAACCTCTTACGGGAGCTTGCCGCTCGACAGAAACCCAGGCGACTGGTTCCAATGTACATCTTCTCCCTATCTTGAATGAAGAGCAAGCCTCGCTTGACACAACTTGCATGCACCAGCTCCGGGGTCCCTGATTGAGCTTTCTCATATCATTAGCCATTTCCCCCACCCAGTATTGTCGCTCAGCTTGGATCATTGGGATTATCGCGACAATGGGACTGCACGAGCTTTCAGAAGTGAGAGCAAACGCCACTTTGGACGAGGCCGAGAATGCCTCGGGCGGTGATCAGAGATCAGAGTCTCTCGCAGACCCTGCAGAGAAGACAACCCAACGTGGAGGGGTTCAACTTCATGGACTGGAGGTGCGTGTGGATGGTTTGGCAAAAGAACCGGCGTGCGTTGCTAACAATCACGAAAGCGCTACATCAACCTTTCGTCGGTAGCCAATTTCGGTGTGATTATTCTTGGATCGTGGCAGACCTTTGCTTTTACGTTCCAGTTTGCTCTAACAAATGGTGGACCTGTTTCTATGTTCTACGGATCAATTCTGGCTGGTGTAGGCTGTACTGCCGTTGGCTGCTCTCTGGCCGAACTCGCTTCTATGTATGATTCTATTGCCCTTTCAATGAATGCCGCTCACACAGTCTAGTGACCCAACGGTTGGTGCCCAATATCGTTGGTCTGCAAATCTCGCCCCGTCAGCACCCAGATTCTGGGGATTGATCCAAGGTAGATCCTCTTTAGGTGACCCAAATCGGGTCAGACGCTGACATACATAGGTTGGATTACCACTGCCGCTTGGTGCTTTGCTTGCGGAGGCCCACCATCACTCATCTCTAACATCATTACCTCGCTCGCGATCTTCAATTACGAGAACTACGAACCGGAGCGATGGCATACCGCCCTGATCATGATCGCGACAATGATCGTGCCCTTCATACTCAACCTGTTCTTCCGCAGGTTGCTCAATTGGATTGAGATGCTGGGCATAATCTTGCATGTCGTCTTGTTCATTGTCATGATCGTAGTACTCGTTGTTTTTGGCCCAAAGAGCTCTCCCGACTTCGTTTTCAAAACTCTTGTCACCGATGTGAGTGGATGGAACAACCCTGGAATATGCTGGGGACTGGGCCTCTTAACAGTCACCTTCTCCGTCAGCGGTAAGTTCATAACGGTGCGTAACTTGAGGGAATGATGCTGACAGAGTAATAAGGATTTGACAGTGTCCTCCACATGAGTAAGTCGAGTGCGCATTCATTCGCGGTAGAAGAACTAACAAAAGGTCAGGCGACGAGGTCAAGAAGGTCCGCACGAGAGTGCCTCGTAGCATTATCCTGGCGTGCGTGGTCAACTCGACCATGCTATTCATCTTTGTGACCGTCATGCTATTCTACCTAGGTCCATTGACCGAGGAGATCACATTGGCACCACTGCCATTGATCTACGTCTTGTATGGTGCTACAGGCTCCAAGCACGCTACCAATGCCCTGATTGCACTCATATCACTGACAACTTTCTTTGCGCTCTTCAATATCTTCGCTTCGGTGTCGCGATTGGTATGGGTATTTGCGCGCGACAACGGCATGCCATTCTCGAACTTCTTCGCATACGTAAGGCCTCGCATATCCCTCGCACAGACTCAACTCCTCTGACACAACCTCTCCAGGTTCATCCAACCCTCAAGCTCCCATTGAACGCCCTCCTCCTCGTCGGCTTCGTCGTAACCTGCCTCTCCCTAATCTACATCGGCTCCGCCACCGCCTTCAACGCCCTCATATCCCTCCAAGCCCTCGCCCTCCACATATCCTACTTCCTCCCCATCCTCTTCATTCTCCTCCGCAAGTTGCGCGGCCCGCCGCCGCCATACGGCCCCTTCAAACTCGGAATTTTCGGCATCCCGATCAACATCTTCAGTCTTTGCTATCTGATCTACGTTGTGCTTTGGATGCCGTTCCCGACTTTGCTGCCGGTCACGAAGGATAACATGAATTATGCGGGGCCGATCTTTGCGGCGGTGCTGATCGGTGCGCTGGGTCATTGGTTTATTAGTGGGCATAAGACGTTCCAGATTCCGATTAATAGATACGAGTGATGGGTGGAAATTATGTGGTAGGTGCGGTGCATTGGATGAGACACGCTGGGTATGGGAAGATGGATTGCTATGGAGATTATGCTATTGTAGATAGATTGTGGATTGCCTTGGAAAGGGGTGTACATGGAATGATAGTGTGCGAAGACGGACGAGAAGGATATGAAAACGACGTTCCAAAGATAGATGAGAAATGAGCGACGAATCCTACAGTACTGTATGCCCCGTGTGCCCGTGTATGGTTTCCGTCTGTGATGATGCTAGCAGCCGGTTGGCGCTATCCTGTTGCCCGGAGTTGACTCCGTCCACCTATGCGTAGGTGGAGACCCAAGCCGTTCGAGAACGACAAGCTCGAGCTTCCGACACTTTGGTAACAACACCTCACCGCCAAATCTCTCCAAATCCAGCGAGCAGCGTAAGGGACTATCGAAGAGCTCTGATCACTCCTCGTCGACTGGTCGAGTATCAAAGTCCCAAATCAGGTAGCTTGGCCGGCCCGCTTCCGCATCCCGCTTCCCCCCACTGGTCCACCGTGCCGCACCGAACCGCGCCGCCTTTAGCTCTGGCCTGGCTTATCGCGGTTCCTTTGGAAAATCTTGTTTCACAAGAAACCGTTCATCCCTTCCTCTCGGTCAAATGCTCAACCCCTGTCTTCGTCTCTTCATGCTTCGTCCGGAGCTTTGTATGCTTGACGAATGCGCTGGCGAACACGGCTACAGCTGCGATAGCCGTATAGGTTATGAACATATTGCGCATGCTCCACGCGAACGCCTCTTGCACCGCTCGTCGCATTGCAGGATCCTGAATCGTCTTGACGATGTCAACATTCGCAGCCGCCTTGTCAGAGGCCAACGCCTCGAGAGCCTCGGCACCGAGCCCGGCGGATACGAGTGCTGAATGCGTTGCGCCCATACTGTTCTGGAAAACAACGCTGCCGATCACCAGCGATAGCGATGTCGCGAGCCCACCAGAGAAACCCAGTGTAGAAGTTGCAGACGAGGTCTCGGCCTGACTAACAGAGTTCTGAATGATGATTCTTGGTACTTGGAAAAGCATTGCAGGGCCAAGTCCGGCTACAATTTCGATTCCAATGATCTTGGCGAGCGGGATGTCCACATCGAAGAGTATGAAGAGACCCGTACCCAGGGTCATCATTGAAACACCCACCCACATGATTTCCCTGTACCGTCCTGTTTTGTGGATCAGAAACCCCGATGTCATGTCTGTCGCGGCCATGGTCAACATCATCGGCAGCACGAGAACTCCGCTGCGTAAGGGCGAGGCTTGCTTCACGCTTTGGAAGTACAGTGGGAGGTAGTACTCCACGCCCATCGACACCATGTTGTGTGCAAATCCTACGATGAAAGCTGCGTTGTTTGAGCGCGTCTTGAAGACGGTTAGTGGCATGAGTGGATACTTTGCCAGCTTCTTCTCGCAGAACAGGAAAAAGAGAATCATGGCCCCACCGACAGCAATCAGACATATGACCCTTGGACTGTTCCAGGGAAATGTCGAGCCGCCGAAGTCTAGTCCGAGAAGGAGGAGGAGAGTCACAGCGAGGATCGAGATGGTCCCGAGCCAGTCGATCGCCTTGATACCTTCGCTGAACTTCGTGCGCGGGTTGTGCACGTCAAGAAACAGGAGCAGGAGAATGAATGCGCAACCACAAACGGGAAGGTTGATCCAGAAGCACCAGCGCCAGCTTGCTAATTGTGTTAATGCTCCTCCGATGGGTGGTCCAGCGGATCCTGCAACAGCCCACATGACGCCTAACATCCCCATGTATAGGGACCGCTTTCGTACACTAAACAGATCCGAGATAGTGATGGTTACAAGCTGACCGAGTCCTCCTCCTGCTGTTCCTTGGAGGGCACGTGCAGCAATCAACATCTGCATCTTCGTGCTCACAGCTGCAAGAATACTGGCGAGGGCGAATAAGGCGACAGCACAAAGTAGAGCGAGCTTGCGGCCCCAGATGTCGCTGATTCGAGACCATATCGGACCCGATGCAGCGGTGGCCAGAGAATATGCGCTTCCAATCCATGTATATCCCATGGCTGAGTGAAGTGATGCAGAGATAGTGGGGATTGTGGTTGCAATGATAGTTTGGTCCAAGGCGGCTACGAAGAGTACAAGCTATTGCGTTGGTAAGTTAATTGCTCATTTCGACGTTTCAATAGAAAGACAAACGTATAAAGATGATAAAATCGCTCCTATACGGAGTTTCGTTCTTGCTTTCGGGTCCTCGATTTCGTCGAATGGCTTAGTGGGTTGCTCCTCAGGAGGTTGCTCAGCTGACACCTCAGCATCTGTTGTGGTGAGAACATCTTCAACGACAGGCTTAGAGGGTACGATAGAGTCTGCCATATTTTCCCTTTTTCTGGTAATTTAAGTATCAGCGACGATAATCCCACATCTTAGACATTGAAGATGTATGTATGTCGTGATATTTAACCTCCAGGAGCGGTAGTGAGCGATCTCTGAAAGTCCGTGCGCTCTAGCCCGAAAAGGGAATTACATGTAATCAAGAGCGCGCCCTTCCAATCAATACGACGAGTAATTATACCTCACGCCCTACGGGTTCATGATGGCTTCTCTACCTTCCTAAAGATTCTATAGTATAAAATTGCATTTGGGCAAACCGAACACATGTACTTGAATGTGATACGAGATATCGGGTGGCAAGGGCGTGTTCGACACGCGTGTTCTCCAAGCGCATCCGATTGCCCGTCCATCGTTGTCCATAGTAGAATTCCCTTTGCCATAGTTTGTGTAGCGATATATAAAATACTACAGTAATGCGCTGATTCGATTTACAAAATAATCTAGAGAAAGCAAATAATATAGGAGTTGCGTGGTATCTTCATGTCAACGTTCTTCAAGTCAGAGCGCACCAAATTGTGCGTTGGAGACTTGATAGCTTGACTTGACCGTTGGATGTACAGTATTCATTGGCGTTCGATTCCCCCAGTTGAGAAGAATATCGTTCGCATCCGCGCAACTTTGTATCAAGGCGTACATGATATCGAGATGACCGTATGCGTAACTATCTGTGATGGACCGGTATGGGCGCCAGGGCATTGTTTGAACTTTTCCAGATAATCCCGACGCTGAAAATCGAGTTCTCGACGGGGCGATTACTCATTTTTGCATTATTCATAGAATTCTGACAATCCCACGGTTAGATAGCCACTGTTTTGAAGTTAGTAGCTGATAGAATCGGAAAGTGTAAGTGCGACTTGCATGACCGTATAACCTTAGCCAACCGCAGCAACCCTTCCGTTCGGGAATTTGGGAGATTTTCAATCTTGCATTTACGAGAATACGACGAGAGGAGCTCTTATCTATCATAAGATTTTAGGATCCCGGCCATAATCTATGCCAATCCGTGTTATTTGCGTAAGACGATTGCAGATAACGTCACGTAAAATCATCAGACAATCAATTTATTATGCTGCGATATCCTGTGAAGGGTTGAGCAGACAGTTTTATATGCATCATGTCCATATTGATAGTGTTTAGAGATACGTCACCTTAGATATAGTGCTTGGTGGGGATCTTCTCTTCCGCGCTTAGATGTTCACATTCGTTCAGCCGCAGTAAGATTATCATGCGAGGTAGTGGTTCGTGAATTATCGGTTGATTGTTCTATGTTACACATTGTATTCCTGCCTTACGCAGCAATTTCATTCTCTTTGTCCAAGTGCTCTTGAAGCATCTCCAGGTGCCCATGTTTGCTACTTGTAGTAATACAATGGGGAAGGCAGTGATAAATGCTCGGAAAATATTGGGATGGAATTCCTTAGTGATACTAGGGCTCGCTTGCAAAAACATGAAGTGGAAAGTAGGAATTTTTCTCAGTGCCGTAGGCCTTCACCAACTTGCTCTAGGTAGGGTCCCAGAGCTGGTCCGGTCACTCGGTGACTCAGGGAAGCGGTGAACACACCAGACAGGTACTCCATGGCGGAGGATAGGCGGGCGTTCAAATGCTTCGGGAGCGTGGTCGCCGCATCCAAGGACGTTGTTCCGAAACCTTGGCTTGAACCATATCATGACCTTCGACTCCCCGCTTTATCCTCTTGGACCATGGCTCTGGGGAGATGCCATCATCATCGTCCTCATCAATTTGTTTCCTCTTCCTCCTCTCCCCTGTATCTTGATCATTCCCCACTGTCCTGTCTTTCTGCAGCATCTCGGCTTCCATCGCACTCGCTTGCTTGACGATCCACCTCACCCGACTCTTGTGACAACGGACAATCATTTCTGCGCGTCGATAAGGCCTCGAATCATTGATGAAGTCATTGATTCGTTTATTAGACACTTTCAGCGCAGTGGGCCGTGGCATCTTCAATTGATGTCTCTTCGTGCCTGGGAGCTGCTTTTGAGACGGCGAAGTCGCTGAGCCTGTCGCAGCGGGGTCATCATTCAGGTCTGACATCACTTTCCCCGTGACCTGAGTCTGAGCCGGCGGTGCTCGTGATGGGTGAATAAACTTATACCAGGCTTCATAATACCGCCGCGTACCACGTTCCATTACGGCAGTATGTTTATCCAGCCACCATTTCTCGTAGCTAAGGTATTCAAGCCAAGTCGTCCAGTCAGATTGTTCGCGTGGATTCTCCATTAACTGTAGAGGCAGTTTGAAATTGTAGATTGCTAGGTTTCTCTCCACTGCGTCCTCATAAACGGGAAGCCCGTCTTTAATAGGGCGATAAGGAAATGCTTCGAAGTTATCCTGCCACATGCCCAGCTTGATCCTCTCATAGGACTTGTCGGCTATCCATCGGTGCTCTTCGAGGTACTCATCTATTCTCCGGTTTGATGCAAGGTACTCAGGGAACCCTTCAAGTTCATCGATGCCTCGGTTGACTAACTGCCACTTGCGAAAGTGCCACCACTGCTCGAGCTGCCGCGGAAACACTGTTTTTATCTCCTCATTTCGACTGTGCGGGTCTAGGTCTATGAACCACGGCCGAGCAGGCTCGTGACTGGCTGTTGGTTCAGCCAACATATGCGATGTTTCTTCGATCGAGCAAACGGGCTTGCCGCCATCTTTAATGAGCTCGTGATAACATATCGCTTGGTACCTTTCAGAGTGATCCGGTAAAGGCGGTTCGGTGCATGTGTCCGACACGGGCGACATAGGCGGCGAGCATAGACACTTGGGCTTTGAATAGCCATCTGCATCTGCTATGCTCGTCAAGCGCTCGGTCAGTGCATCCATGCCGATGGATTGTACAGCGCTAGCGACTTCTGCAGCATCACTATTCGTGATAAACATTAGTGATGAAAAGTTACATGTAAAGGGTAATAGAGGCTTTGTTCTCACCTCAGTCGCTTCCCTAGCTCGTCTCGTTCGCCCTTCGAGAGTTTTTCAAAGCCGGCAGGATTTGACAAAACAAATCCACCAGTGTCCCCACGTTTGCTTTGCAAGTACCGAACAAGCTCGCTCTTATCAAGCGTCAAGAGGTCCCAAACCGTGAGTTCAAGAGGTGTGGTTTTGGTGAAAGACATCTTAAGGGTGTCACTGATCAACTTAGATGTACGTACTTGTGAGTTGGAAGTAGGTAAGAGGAGTTCCTCTATGGCTGTGGCAAGGCTAGCTCCCAACTTGTGGCGCTTGTCAAATCGTTAACCTCTTTAGGCATGCGGGGGTGGAGCACGGTCACCATTTAGGCAACAACAGTGAATTATGAAGGTCAAATGAATCACATGACCTTTCATGATTGATCACTGCAAGGCACGATCACATTATCCATTCTATGTAGAAGCATGAACACATAGTGGCAAAGAGTTCTTATTTCTCGAGATGTACACAATGATTTGCGATGTAAAAAGTAAAACTAGATCTAGATAGTTTACTGCAAGACATTATTGTTATATAGTGAGATTATATTATTTGGTAAATCAAATAATATGACTCTCATCGAGGTCTTTCGATATTAGAGAATAGGTGATACCCATCTCCGGATTTTCCCAATCTACTTAGTAAACGTGTGAGCTCCACAAAAATAGAAAGAATTATTTGAAACCTGTCTAAGCCCAGTACGCTTGTCTTTCAACATTGACAAAACTTATCCACAGCGGACCCACCTCGATCTATATTTCTAGAGGTCGGAATTGCTCCAAGAGACTTTGATTGCATTGTAGAAGCTTGAAACCATTGGTCGGACTCTTCTGGTCAAGGAGAATTGTACCATCAGGACTTCGAATGCATGGTCTGCATCGTGACCGGAATCAATGGAGCTTGCACACGAGTATGGGAATAGGACTCCTGCAAACATGAAGACAGCTTTGAAATTGCTTTCATTGATGTCACAAACAGAACCTTGAAACGATGCAAGCGCAATGTCATGGTGTCTACTCCCTATCAGAGCGTACTCGACGGCTTCTGGGCCACACTCTAAAAGCCGACTGAGATGGAGGGCAGAAAGAGCAAGTATCATGTGAAGGAGGAAGGGACACTCAAAAGCGGTGTCTACTACTACGCTTGCGTAGGCTTCACGAGCCTCTGGGTCCGCTCCGAGACTTCGAGCAGTGACAGTCGTATAATGATGCAAAAGGCGCAAGTGGAGGACGTTGAGCGCAGTTGAATTATGGGCTGGTGTAGATAGCAGACTTGGAGACTGCTCGAATAGCCCGCCTTCTGTTGATGAGGGTGTATAGATCGAAGTGACAAGCAATGGCGAGTCTTTGGACCCTTCACGACCTTTTGTCGCTGGATATTCACACGGCGTGTCTTGCTTAACACAGTTCGCGCAGATTGGCTGTTGCTCATCGCACTGTATGAAATGATCAGCCTTGTTTCTCTATGTATGGCTGATATGATTGGAGCCAATCATACCTTCACATGGCGGGCTTTACAAGCAAGACATCCTTTTCGCGACTTCTTGTGTGTCTTGCGCGTCTTGATCTCCATTGCGGTGTCGTCACAGCACCGGCCTATTGATGGTTCGACGTATTCGAATTGATTACGGCAGTAAAACATCCGAGTAGAGAAAGATGGGTTGGGCTTGGCAGACAAGCTTCTTTGGTGAAAGGAGACGATGCGGGCACTAGTTGGACCCTCGGCCCATTGTATGAGCACTTCAGAAATCGTGGTCCGTGCATACGCGTATTGAGTTCTAGTGTAATGTATGAAGCCGAAGTACGAAAGCAAATGTCATTATATAGCTCGACGATCACCATGAGGCAGAGGAATTGCTTGTGTCATCACAAGTTACCAGAATGCCACGACCGGATAGTACACAAGCACCGATTCCGGTATGGGAAGAATACGACAACGGTATCCGGTCGAGAACTGCTCCTCCACCATATAGTGTGAGAGCGACCGCAGGAAGGCCGAGTTCTAGTGAATCGAATTCACATCAAAAGTACACATACAATGCGCTGTCTCCGGTGGACCCCTCAATGCCATACAGCGATTCCGGTCCCTCCAGCGCACCCAGCTCAATTCATGAATTAGGGCATGGGGAGGGCTCAATACCTCCACGAGGCGATACTGGTGTTACTCGTACGTAAGCCTCTCTCGAGTCATGAATTTAACTGATTTCAGACCTTAGACGATGGTCGTATCGAGATCGACCTCAAGTCTCGGCTTACCAAAACCCTCGTCAAGCTTGTCCCTGAGCAGAGCAAAGAGCCGTTCGAGCGCAGCCGCCGATTTACCGTGTATAGAGGATGGAATATACGTATGAACATCGTCATTCAAGTCGTTGGTAGCCGTGGTGATGTCCAGCCATTCGTCGCCCTTGGTCAAGAACTTCAAAAATACGGTCATCGGGTTAGACTGGCAACACATAATACCTTTAAAGAATTTGTTACGAAGTCTTCTCTGGAGTTTTATCCTATTGGAGGCGATCCGAAAGAGCTGATGGCCTACATGGTCAAGAATCCAGGGTTAATTCCTTCGATGAAGAGCCTACGAGAGGGCGATATCAAGAAGAAGCGCGTTATGATGACAGATATCCTCAATGGTTGCTGGCGATCATGTGTGGATGCAGATCCAGACTCACACGAACCTTTTGTAGCCGATGCGATCATCGCGAACCCGCCTAGTTTTGCACACATTCACTGCGCACAGGCACTCGGTGTTCCCCTTCACATGATGTTCACCATGCCTTGGAGCAGCACGAGAGCATTTCCTCATCCTCTGGCGAACTTCAAAGTGGGAGAGATCGATCCAGCTACGATCAACTTTGCCTCGTACGGCATCGTGGAGTTTCTTACATGGCAAGGCCTAGGGGACGTTATCAACAAATTCCGACATACTCTGGATCTCGAACCTGTCCCTGCTACGGTTGGACCCGGACTTGCAGAGGCATTGGAGGTTCTATTTACCTACTGCTGGTCTCCCGCTCTTGTTCCAAAGCCTGTGGATTGGCCTTCTCACATTGATGTCTGCGGCTTCTTCTTCCGTGATCCACCTCCTTACACTCCGCCTACAGTGATTGTGGAATTTCTTAAAGATGGCCCGCCTCCGATATATATCGGGTTCGGCAGTATCGTCCTGGAAGACCCACCCAAGATGACATCTCTAATCTTAGAAGCTGTGCAAATGTGCGGTGTTCGAGCGATCATATCCAAGGGCTGGAGCAATTTGGGTGAAGGGCATGCCGATCGTGCAGGCGATATTCTCTTCATTGGCGATTGTGATCACGAGTGGCTATTCCAACATGTCACCGCTGTGATCCATCATGGAGGTGCAGGAACGGCGGCATGTGGCCTGAAGAACGCATGCCCAATACTGGTAGTGCCCTTCTTTGGAGATCAACCGTTCTGGGGCGAGATGATCGCTGAGGCTGGTGCCGGTCCGAAACCCATACCACACAAGATGCTGTCCAGCCAGAACTTGGCTGAAGCAATTCAATTTCTTCTCGCGCCCGAGACCAGGGCAGCAGCATCGAATATATCTTCGCAAATGGCGAGCGAGGAAGGTGTGAAAGCGGCGGTCCAATCTTTCCACGCCAACTTGCCATTTGAGGCCATGCCATGCAATATCATGCGCGACCGGCCTGCCGCCTGGATTTATAAGAAGGCTCCAATACGACTTTCCAAACTCGCAGCACAGGTTCTTGTCGAGAATGGAGTGATATCGCAGAGCGACTTGAGGCAGTAAGTTCGCCAGCAGGGAGCCATCGAGCAAGCACTGATTATCGTAGCTATGAAACACACACTATAAATATCACAAATAATCGCTGGGATCCGATCACCAGTACAACCTCTGCAGGTCTCTCGGTCGTTGGCAATATGAGCAAAGCAACCACCAGCATGATTGTTGATCCTTGCAAAGAGCTTAGCCGAGCAAAGACTGAGGGAACGAGCGATGCGGCACATGGCGCAGTAACTGCAGGTAGAATGGCTGCTGCTGGTGCGAAGGGGTTCGGTAGGTTCAATGCCGCCTTGCTCAAAGGTGTTGCTGTCGATCTACCACTGGCAACCGCTGAGGGTTTCCGAGCCCTGCCAAGGTTGTACGGCGAGGAGGTAAGAGACCATGGAGAAGTAACGAACATACAGAGCGGTTTTGGCAAGGCTGGAAAGAACTTTGCATTCGGTATGGCTGACGGCTTTTCTGATCTTTTTGTTCGGCCTGTTGAAGATGCAAAGAAGGATGGTGCGGCAGGGTTTGCAAAAGGCCTGGGCAAAGGTGTCCTAGGATTTACGTCCAAAACGGTTTCTGCTACCGTTGGAATAGTTGCATATCCTGGTGAGGGAATCTGCAAGAGTCTACGACACGTAGTACATCTAGGCACCCAAAAAGACATTAAGGGACGAAAGATATCCGAAGGGCAATATATTACCCAACGGCGGGTGTTCGACGAAGAAGCCATCGGCATAATCAATGCCTTTAAGTCTCTAAGAAGCGAAAAGGGCCGGGTTAGAATACCCTGTTGAGTATTATATTCACCATTGAATTGAGCCCTACCTTCTGGTTCTGATACGCGATGCAATAATGTGTTCTCGCGCTAAGTTACTCATACAGCGAGACTACTAGTGGACTGAATCGAAGAAGTTCTAAGACGTCTCCGTTGTCACCCTAGACGAAGGGTTCACTCGAATAGTTTCAATGGCTTCGAGAGAGGAGTTTATTGCATCTGCCACCGAACATCGAAGGTGACTGGTGTGGCTGCGTTTGATGACGTAGCTTCACTGCCCAGGCCAGTTCGGCACATTGGTTTCCGCTTGAGCGATGCAGCAAAAATATAATAGAATAGCATCGGACAATGCCGCAATTATAAGAATTTGGTGATGAATAGTTTATTGGCAGTCTCACTAATTAACGAAGCTTGTCTCTTTCATTCATCGCCCAAGGCACGCACAGACCACATCAGGAGTCCTCCCAGTCTTGCCGATGTTAGCGTCTTTTGGGTGTGGTCCTACGGATGTGCGGATGGAGGCATCCAGGGTACATTGGATGAACGTCCTCCTCACCAGCCACAGTCAAAATGCTCAAGGTACCCGGTTAGATCAAAGCTATGGATCAATCAAAAACGCGCAAGGCGCACAAAAAGTCTCGGAATGGGTGTTTGCCCTGTAAAGCTCGCCATATCAAGGTATTTGGTGCCTCATGTGCTTGTGAAGCAGTATGGTAGACTAATGAAGATCCAGTGTGATGAGCAAAAACCATATTGTGCAAACTGCGTCAAGCAGGAAAAGGCGTGCGAGTATCGTCCTTTCAAAGGCCGACATTTCACTCCTAATGAATTCCCTTCGTCTCTTGCCCAGACCTCAACCCCGATGCCAGCAGATGCGCCCGCGTTGGACCACCCATCGACTTCACCAGTAGCTACCCGCGAGTCTGACTATAATATCAATGTCACCCAGTTACGACTATTACAGTATGTGATGATCAAGTACGCTTCTGGATTGGATTGAGTCTGACCAAGGCAGCCATTACACCATGGTTACAGCAAAAACTTTGGCAACACATCTGGACGCCGAGGAGGTTAACAGTGTGAATGTTGTTCACATCGCCTTTGATCATGTCTATTTGCTTCACAGTCTGCTCGCTTTGGCCGCACTACACATCAGCCATATGGAAAGGAGTCGGGCGGAGTCTCGAAGTGCCTATCTCAATTTAGCTGAGCAGCATTACGCAACAGCACTTGACAGCTTCCGACTCCTGGTGTCCGACATCGACGAGTACAACTTCAAAGCCATTCTCATGTTTGCTGGGACTCTCTTTCCTTACTCCTGCGCACTAGCCATGGCAGTTAGTAGTGACCTAGATCATGCTTTCGACATTGTTTTGTCCAACATGGTTCTCACTCGAAAGGTCAGGCCAATGGTCGATCGATTCTTCGATGCTATGAAAAGCTCGGAGCTCGGGCGCTTGATTCCAAAAGACGTAGAGCGGATTGATTGGAGCATTATCAAGGTCCCCACTTACACAGAGCTTGTGCAACTGCGACGGTTTAACGCTGTGATCGACCAGGTGTACCCTCCAGCTATCGTGGATGCATACAGCAACGCGATTCATCTGCTTGAGATGGTTTTTCAGGAGACAACGCTTTCACCGCATCTACCTTCCATTACTCTATTGAAGATTTGGATGCATTTCGTCACCAACCACTACGTGGAGCTACTGTCTGAAAAGCAACCGGGGGCACTCATTATCTTTGCTCACTATGCGGTGTTGCTGCATAGAAGCGATTACTATTGGTTTCTTCAAGGAACCGCAGAGCAGATACTCAAAATAGCTGACGTTCTGGTTCCGAGTGAGTGGAAGTCGTGGCTGGATTGGCCCAAGGAACAGATCTGGAATCAACAAGTTCCATCCAGTGCAGGCTGAACAATTCACTGCGTTCACCATGACTGCCCAGTTCCGACATATCCGAGTCATAAAGCTGTGGGCAACGACGGTGTATGAGATGCTTGTCAAGCCTTGAATGCCTCAAGCTCTACCCAAGAGGGAAATGCTTGCGATTGTATAAGTACTCAAGCAATGTACGCCCAGGAATTGCAGGAGACCATGGAGAGATCTCAAGAAAATAGTGCGTATCCATGATCTGCGACATGGATGGAAGGTTTAATTCCAAAGGGGGTTGAATTTGTCGGCGAACTCCCAACCCAAGAGCCCCAATTTTCATGGGAAGCCCCGCAATTCCACTGTTACGAGTAACTATTAATAGCGGGGCTCCTCTTCGTATAGTTCGATACGCGTATTCGCCTAAAGCCCTTTGAATAACATCCCTGTCAATGACATTGCTGTCTGAGGAACAGCTCCATGCTGCGAATACCAACTAAGACGACAGAAAGAAATTATGCACTATTGCGGTGACATTATTCAAAAGCACGGCTTCGTTTGAGCTTTTCAGACCAAGCGCCTCGAAATCGACTATAAGGGTCTCAGTCTCTGCACGATGTATGCTACCAAACAACCTCAACTTACAGCGGCGGCCTGGCCTCGACCTAATAAACCCCCCTACTTTTCTCCTTTGCATCGTTTCAGCAAGCATTCCACTTCATATTGAATCAATAAAATGCCTGGCTCTGAACCCCCAGAATATGTCCTTTGGCCCTACCGCCCCTCCATTGCGGGCGGAGTCATTGCATGCATCGTCTTCGCTATCCTGACCATCATCCACATCTATCGTCTCATTCGCAATCGGACATGGTTCTGCATACCTTTTGTTGTTGGCGCCTTGGTAATTAGCAATCTTTTCACCCCTCTAGTGTTCTTACATTGACAAAGTACAGTTCGAAGCCATCGGATACGCCGCCCGCGCGAAAGCCCATTCCGACACGACAAGCAAGAACCCCTACATCATTCAATCGATGCTCATTCTTCTCGCCCCTATCCTCTTCGCCGCCTCCATCTACATGATACTCGGTCGCCTAATCGTACGCACCGACAGCGTACGCCTATCCATCGTCCGCGCGAACTGGCTTACAAAGATCTTCGTCGGTGGTGACATACTTTGTTTCTGTATTCAGGGTGGTGGTGCCGGACTCTTGATCAAGGCAAAGGACGAAGATGGCTTCAAGATGGGCGAAAACACCATTCTGGGAGGATTGATCTTGCAAATTCTTATCTTTGCATTCTTCGTCGTGGTAGCGAACATCTGGCATAGGAGACTCAATGCTGTGCCTACGGCTGCTTCTGCCCAGATCCCGTGGGGGAAGTACATCTGGATTCTCTATGCGTCGAGCGTATTCATCACGATCCGAAACTTCTGTCGTGTCATTGAGTATGCGATGGGCAAGGTGAGGTTTTCGGTTGGGATAAAGTTGGATTATACTAACGAATGACGCAGGACGGATATCTACTCTCGAATGAGTGGCCTCTGTATCTCTACGACTCTTTACCGATGATGCTGACGCTCGTTGTGTGCATCACATGGTATGACCCGAACATCAAGCCGGGAAAAATGGCAGACCATGAATATGGTATGTGGTGACGACGGTCTACACCGGAGCAAGCGGTACGTCGAGACGTGTATGAAGAGTCATTGCTGGAACTGTACATTAGATAACATTGAGCGAATTCTTCAATCTGGAGTTGTACACATGGGTGTAGGTCAATTATAAGGCATAGAACAATGGACGCGGAACACGATAATAGTGGGCTCTATCGCCGCGGAGAGGAAAAAACAGACCTTGCAGCCCACGCTGAGGGTATCTCCAAAAACCAATTCTTACTTCAAGGACTAGGACAGGAGGATGATCACCAATCGTCGCTCGACCAACATCTTCAATAGATCAAAGGGTAATAGATTCACTATGTAGATTCGCTATGAAATGTCCTTCCCGCTATCTATAACAAACCGACTCTCCTGCTCTTTCCCATCCAACACGAGCGTACGATCCAGATCTGGTACGTATACTTTGATAGAATCGCCTCCCTCGAGCTTGATAGATACCTGCACTTGGTTCGACGCCAGCGGCTCCCAATATACTCGAAGATTCTTCCCTTGGTTGGAACCCTCTTTCCCTCGAGATAAAGGCACCCTGGCGTTTACTTGACTGAAAAGGGTGGTCCTTGGACGCAACTCAATCGCTGTAAATCCTGGTTCTACTGGGCGAATACCCAAAACCTCGACAAGCAATTCATAAATCGCCACCGATCCCCATGCATGACAATCCGAACGCTGGGATACACCATCTTCAATCCAAGTCGTGAGGTTCAACTCCAACTGGGCTCTCCACGGTCCCCATAGTTCATTGAACCATTCGTCATACAAGGATCCACCCGCCAGGCTCAGTGCTCTGAATGTGTAGAACGACATTGAAGTCGATTCCTGAACGATGTTTCCCGCCCGCGCACTCGTTAAACTACGATGTAGTAGATCTCGTGCGATGTCACCGGTGAAGATGCCGCTCAAGACGGCCCATACCTGGCAATGCTGGCTCCGATCCACTGAGCTGGATTCAGTCGCCAAGGTATCGGTGAAGAAGGAGCCGTCATAGCAGTGATCTAGCACGGCTGCAACAATGGACGAAGATCTCTGTCCGTATTCTACGGCTAGAGATGGCCGACCCAAAGCAGTTGCCAACTTCGCAACCTTCTGTAGCGTGTAGGCATACAGCTGGTTCGTAAATGTTGATATGCCCACTCTCTTAGCTCCTGGTGGTATGCCATGGGGTTTCCATTGCGTTGTCCAATCGACGTAGTTCCAGATCCCGACCTCCGTCTTCGATGTCACCAAGCCATCTGTATTGACAGTACGATCAAAGTAGGCAAGAATTGCGTCAATAACGGGCATGAACGTGCGCACAAAGTCACCGTCAGCAAAGAACTCGAAGTGATCGCAGACCGTACAAGCCCAGAAGAGCGAGAAACTGGGAATGAACTGCTGGCGATGCGAAGGCGCCCGACTTGCCGTCAACCCTTTCTGGGCCTGGAAAGAATTGTGGATCTGAACGATCGCTTGCCGGGCGAGACGATCGTCTCTGGAGAGAAGATAGGTGAAGAGAGCGGAGCTTCGAGTGTCCATAGCATATTGCAGCTGTTCATAGAACGGGCAGTCCTCGTAGCAATCGTGCATACAGTTGCGGAGTGTGCGTACGCTCGTATCCCACATGCGTTGCCAAAACGCACTCTCACTACCGCTCTGCGCGACGTGAAAGTCTGCCTCAACATGAAGTGGATAATGGACTGTCTTCATGTCTATTCGATGAAAGACAAGATCCGAGGAACCAACTTCGATTTCCAGCTGCACAAACCGAAATGTGCGCCAGTGAAACGGGCTATAGACCTCGTAAGGTGACTCGTCATCATCAAGCCAGTTCTTCGAATGATCAGGCTGATGTCCTTCAAATTCATATATATCCGAAGGCCCATATAGTTCTTTCCGGTAATCGCACCTACCACCTTTGCGCCTAATCCAAGGTGCATCTTCAGGTTGATCCTCGTAGCATTCGGAGTACTTTACTCTGAGTATACTTCCACTCTGAGTTGGCCTCTGAAAATGGAACGAAAGAAAAGCGGTGGTGTGATTCGTCATTTCCAGATCAATTCGATGTGTTGTTCCAGCGGGAAGGACTAGACCGCTGTCGACCTTTGGAACAGTACAATCAATGAGATGATGTTTCCAGGCATGGTCAGGTAGGCTGCTTTTGATATTGTGGATCGCAGCGAAACCAGTGCTTTTCATTTCAAACTCAGGTATGCGGCGAGATGACAGGTTCCAAGGAGGAGCATTTCCTGTTGAATCCTTGTAGTACAAAAGCACCGTGGGGATCCATGTCAACGCTGTATTCCCTCGAGATGTCACATGCTCGTAAATGTGAAGAAAGGCGTCTTCTGGCTCATCTACTCTGAGTTTCGTAGCTTCATCGATGGCAGTTTCCCACTCTGTACTGCTTTCCAACTGTGATTTCAATGGGGAGTAGTCTTCGGGAACTTTTATCCTCAGTCCCCCGAAGGCTGATCTTGCGAAACTGGGCGCGTATGTCGTGCCGTAGAACAGGCGCAGGACGCGTACAAGGATACGGTTGTCTCCTTGCTTCAAGTAGGGTCCAATATCCACCTCGTCATAAAACCATAGACTGGTATCTCCTTTTACGGGCCCGTATGCAACCTCGTGACCATTGACATAAAGCTTATAACGCGTGTCTGCCGTGATATGAATCGATACAGGGTGTCGGGTCCAGTTTTCGAGGAAGAATGATCGACGAAACCCGACGATGGAGCCGGAGGTATCTTCTCGATCTTCTTGAAATGATGGATACCACATCCAACTGCTATCGAATGATAATGCCATGGTTGTGCGTTTGGTCTTCTTAGTTTTGAGGGTGGACGCAATGGTTGAATGAATTAAAGAAAGACTGTTGGTCTCACAAGAAATAACAATGGTATATACTGGATGATAACTTCTGTTGATATAATTCACAGACGAAAGAGGGAAACACAATACACCCGGTGAAAAGACCAACGTAGAGCTACCAAGCTGGTTTAGGAAATCATGGAGTTTCCGAGGTATATTCATCAACCAAGCTATAGGTGGCTGCAATCTCGGGCTTATATCTCCCGGATGATGACTCGTATAATCCAGTGTATCGAAAATTACAGCAGGGCAATCCTGTAAATTCGAGAGAAAACCTGGCACCTCACGTTGGCTCATGGGGTATTTTCTGAACAGGTGAGGTCGTCGGCCTTTGGATCAAAGGCCGACGTAGGTCACATCCCGATAATTATGGCTGTCGGCTTCATACTGACCAATGCGATCCTGGTTGAGAGGGTGTTCCTCGAGCATTCTTGCGTGGCGTTCGGCTCCCTTTGTTGCGACTTGCGAGATATCACGGGAGACCTTCACTAGTGCTTTGAAGATGTAGTTCGTTATACTGGGACTTGATTGGATAAGAGTTGGCGAATACGCAAACGAATACGAATCTACCGCTCGCTCATGTGAAGCTACCTCCTGGATTTGTCCTGTCCCGGTTCGAAACCATCTTTGTTTGTCGTGGTAGATCTCGAATGCATTGTTGTGCGGGGAAAATCGATCAAGAAGTTGGGGTAAGCTAGGATCAATGATGAGATACCAAAATCGTCAATGATGAGATAGCTTTCAAACCAGTATAAATACTTCGAGAGATACACGGGATGTATCGTTGATTGCAACTACACTACAAAATAATCCATGATGAGAGCTCTATCAATTACACTCGGCCTTGCTGTAGGCATCTTCGCCAACTTTGTTCAAGCAGATTCTGCTCCTCCCCTCGAAAAGATCATAGTTTCAGAATTACCATTGCCTCCCACATCCCCGTCTGAAGATGTTGGAGCTTGCTCAGGAACCATCAACCCTCGCCGTACTGGCTGCATCAGCAAGACTCAGGAACTTAGAAATGGCAATTTTCTTCCCAACAGCCGTTATATCGTTGCGACTATTCATTTTGCAGGAGCCCCTGCGGCTCCTGATCCGGGAAGCATATACACCGGGGAGCAGTTGATCATCATCAAAACGGATGGCAAGCTTTTCCCTAATGGGGACCCTTGGAAGTGTATCACCTGCGGGATGCCAGCTGAGAACAAACAGGGGAGCACGGCGATCCTAGAATACCCCCAAGCTTTCAAGGACGGGCAACGTGTTCTAGCGGGGAATAATATCATCGATGGAGGATACCCACTCGACAGCCCGAAATGCACTCCCAATACAACACACATATACCCAATTCGGTGGGGTACCAGTGCGGACAACTCTGGCAATGGTAGCTCATTTCGGGAAAACCGTCTACATCCCGACAACGTACACATGGGGTTTAGCGCATTCACCTTCACTGCCACGGAGATAGGGGAGTTTGCATTCTTCTCACGGTTACTATTCAATCCCGCGCCCGTCTTGGGTCTTCCTCTCGTCCCTCGCTACGACCTTGTAAATGTTACGCGCCTGTTCGATCCAACCGCACCGCAGCGCATAACTGTGGATGGGAATCAGCTAAAATTCAACTTTAGCGCTGTTAATATTGGTGAGCTTCGTGGGTTCTCTGGCAGTGGGGACGAGATCACATATGTTGGTTTCAATCGCGAGTCGGGGAACACAGATCTTTTTGCTGTCAAAATCCGCACAGGCACCGTCCGCAGGCTCACGGAACATCCTGGATATACCGATCCCATTGACTTTAGTCCTGATGATAAGTGGATGGTTATCCTCGATACCCGTGGAACGGATCGGGTTGAGTTCGTGAGCGGTATGCGTCACGTCCCACCATTGATTGACTTGGTCGCCAACAAAGCTACAACCGCTGTTCGCAACAATGGCGCACGTAGGTTCTTCCAACCATGGCTTTTAGACCGATCAGGGGATCGAGGAAGCTATTTCGGTCAGAAACTCAACGCTGGGGATAACACCCCAGGTAGCATAAGCGATCCACAATGGAATGCACAGGCAGACCCGAGATGGTCGTGGGACCAAACACAAATTGCCTATTACCAAGCCCTTACAGTGTCTCCGGCTTGTGGTGGCATGAATCCATTACCATGCCCCGTATCAACAGCGCAAGGTGGGCGCACGTATCGAATCATGCTGGCTAAGTTTCCCTCACGAACTCCGCTCAAGATACGGGAGGTATCTCCAGTATCTGACATAATCCCATGGGGCGTCCCGGTTAATCCAGGAGACAAAAACCCTACCCGTCCTGGTCCGCCGCCGGGAAATTACGTTCTGAAAGGTATCTCATCTGGCTTCGCCAATGTAACCTTTAAAGGAGATGCCGCCACGAACGTGTTGACCAGTGTCGCTGTCACCTACCATCAATTCTCAGATGACGGACTCAATTTCCTCGAAGGAAGCGAAGACGTGAACTCGACCACCTTATCCGTATCAAAAGTCAAAATTGACTGGCACTCGAATCTCACTCTGAGTGGCCAAATGCAGAGCACCAAAGTTACCAGCCCAGAAGGATTCCACGTGAGCATTGACCTATTTGATACGGTATTCGAGGCAAATGGCACATTGACTACCACTGTCAATGGCAAGGTTTACAAGCAACCATTGAACAACGCCTGAAAAGTGTGACAAGATTGGACTCTTGAGGTTTCTTAGTCTCATTTGCGAAATTGGGACTATCCTATCTTGCTAGCCAAACGTACTTCTTTGTTGAACGTTGATAGAAAATTCACAGCTAGTTGCATTAAAATCGACGTCTCTATTATCTAATGATTTCTTATGTGAATAGGGTAATTAACTCTCTCAATGAAATTATAAGAGTGTCTTGTTAAATGCCCGGTAGCCCGGTAAGGAAGGCTTGACAGACACTACAGGCATTTAGCACGAGGAGGTGAACGCTAATGCAATGAACTGCATTGTCAGCTCGCAACAAGCCTGTATTTTCCCCTGATCACCTTGGTCGAAATTCGTCAATTAGTTTGTGCATGCCGTGGTGACAAGGAAGCCCCTACAATTTTCGTAAATGACGTCTTTTCTGACCCGGCTACCTTAGGAATTGAGATGACTTCAGCGAAAATTACAGGGAAGAATAGCAAGTTTTAGAAAAGGACAGGAACAGGAATAGAATGCCTGGAGGTCATTGTTCCGACCATCGCCCAGGATAATGCTAGGGTTGGGGACCATTGCTTCTCTCTTCCCCACTTCCTAAATTGTCCTGGGTCATAGAATCCCTTGTCACCCTCTACACAATTCTGTGTATGAACAACCAGCTTGACTAACCTTGCGGTTGTAGCACGGTACACCTTAGCCGTACCCCTATCACTAGAGAGATACGAAGCAACCAGCTAGTATTTCAACCTCGAACCCCGCTAATGCTTAGTCTGTAGTATCGTATCCCGGACCGTACTCGCTTATTGTTAGGGCCTTTAGTAGACTAAAAGGTAAGCCTAACGCCTGTCCTTGTCGTGATAGTGCGAGACGAACTTAACAGCCTATCAGGTAAAGAAAGGCTTGCTACAGAGGGTTGACACGTCGGGTCGTCCGCCTGCTCGTGTCATGTATAATTGAACCTTATCCAGCTGCTTTACAGCAATAAGACGCTATATATGCACGTATATTTCCTTGTATCTGCTGAAAACACTTGTAGTCGGACGACCTGGTGTGTCAACCCTCTGTATAATCGAGCCCGTATGGTAAAGTATCTTTGCTAGCAATATCCCCCCTTGAACTTGTCTATCGCCGAGGGACTTTCAAGATCGAGTATTCTTACTCTTCTATGGGTTGGATCTGTTAAAACTAAGATATATTGGGATAAGTCGCACTGTCCAGGGCGGGATATCACTTAGGTAGAGTCTGTCCCTTCCTGTCCTAAAATGACTTCCCCGCAAAAGCAACCCCAGGCTCGGACATGAGAGCGTTTGGTCAACTCTTAAACCGGTGTACTGCACACGATGTGCACGTTCCGAGGTCACTACTTATGTATGTGTGGCGGCGTTCTTCTCATCCTCTAGACCAAAGCATTCGCGGGAGTTATGCAATAGCGTGAAGTCTATTCACGGCGTACCCCCTCCCCTGACTTTGTCTTCCCCGCACGAAGACTCTCCACACTCGGGATACAATGACCCGGGGTACTGATTCTAGAACTCCTGCATAGGGACATCGAGCTTGCCGTGTAACTCTTGCAACATTTCAACAGACATTATTCCTCGAGTACAACACCGTAACTTTACTATAAAATAACTACACTGCTCCTGTCTTCCAACACAGAGCACCACGCCAGTGATCTCTTTTCACCAGTCTCAATTTCTCATAACGATGGCGAATTCGGACAAAGTTGAACAAAACCGTGCAGAGAGCGTGGTGGATGATCCCAAAACCGATGCCGTCGTTCTCAAGTCGGGCAATGATATACTCGGGACTTTTGCTACCGTGAAAAAGTTTTGGAAAGTATGTGGTCTACCACTCTTTCTACGTTCAGGCATACAGCTAACAATAATTTTAGGCGGTTCTTATTTGTAATTTGCTCTGCATCGCAGCGGCATGTGACGGATATCAGATCAACTTGAATGGTAAGTGGTTTTATTCAAGGTAGGACAATATGATGACTGATTTGATCTATCACAGGCAATATCATTGCAAACCAAGGCTTCACGCACCATGTCGGCTTCCGAAACAGTAAAGGTGTTTATACGCTGCATGCAAATTATACCGCACTTTGGGGTGCAATGCAATCGCTGGGTCAACTCATTGGCATGGTTCTCATGAACCCTATCTCGGATATTATCGGGCGTAAGATGACATTGTACGCGATTTGGATCATCCTCGTTGCTGTAAGTGTGGTGTTCATCTCGATGACATCCAAGATCTAGGCTGATTTCTATGGCATAGTCGATCATTGTCGAAACTTTGGTTCGCGACTGGAGAGACTGGGCTGGAGCCAAAGTTCTAGCGGGCATTGGTATCGGCGCACTTCAGGCTACACTTCCTGTTTATGTTACAGAGTGGTCTCCGGTCAATATTCGAGGAGCTATGATAGTCTGTTACGGCTTTTGGACCGTTATTGGGAAATTTCTCGCGAATCTTGTCTTGATGCTCGTCCAACAGACCAACCCAATGAACTACAAGGTTCCGATCCTTACGCAGTGGGGTTTTGTTGGCATGATGCTACCAATTTTCCTTTGGCTACCTGAGACACCTGGTGAGTAACGATTGTGACACCTCGCCTGCAGGATGCTGACAACCTAAGCTTATTACGCTGAGCGTGACTTGCACGAGGCTGGTAAGAAAACCCTTGCGCGAGTGAACGGTAAGGTTGAAGGTTACGACATTGAGGTCGAATACGCAATTATCCTAAATACAATCCGGGAGGAGAAATATGCACGAAGCCAAGCTGGAGAGGACAACATGACATTTTCGAAGATAGCATATTCCTATATTGAGTGCTTTCAACGGGCAAACGTCCGTCGTACTCTTGGGTCCACACTTCCAGGCTGCGCCCAACAGCTTGCTGGCTTATCCTTCTTGAACACATATGCCAGTCTCTTTTTCAAGCAAAGCGGCTTTCAGAATGCATTCCTTATCACGACTATCATGTGTAAGTGGTTGCGAAAATCATGGAGAGCGGGCGGCTGACTGATTATCGATTCAAGGTTCGATTCAATTGTTTACCGCGATTTGCCTTATATTCTTTACAGATCGGTTTGGTCGTCGAAATATGGTCTTTACTTCTGTCATAATCTGCACAGCTACTCTACTTATCGTAGGAGTCCTTGCTTTCGTAGAAAAGACAACAGCAGTGAAGAACTTCCTGATATTTGTGGCTTGCACCTGGGCGTTCGCCAATGCAACTGGTTAGTCAATATGGAAACGTACCTACCACTAAGATTTACTAACACTATGAGCAAAGTCGGAAGTCTGGGTTATGCTTTCGTAGGTGAGGTTGCGTCCCAAAAGCTACGCGCCCGAACTGCAGGCGTCGCCAGTGGACTTTCAGTCATCTTCGGCCTTACATTCAACACCTCCCTGCCAATCATACGTATGAATCCCTCCGAAAATCTCTAACTAGATGTCTCTGTAGCTAACTTATGTCGTCAGTGGACGTAAACGGTGCCAACTGGGGCTACAAGACAGCGTGGCTCTTCTTTGGAACCGGTCTTGCAGTTTGTATTGCTCTGTATTTTTTCCTGCCCGAATGCTCCCGCAGAAATGCTGCCGAAATTGATGAGATGTACGAGAAGAATGTGCCGGCGTGGAAGATGCACCGATACGTTACGGATATTCAAGCAATGCATCAGGTTCGCACGTAAGCATGACGGAGCGTCTGTAAAGACATTTAACTGTGAATGACAGTTGGATGGCTTGGAGAGCAATTCAAAGGACATACTTGTAGACGGAGGGGAGCATAGGAACATTCTATGTAACAGAGCTTCCCAGGTCAAGGTTTTAATGGACAGCACAGGGGTTTAGAAAGAGATAAGAGGTACATAGGTGATCTGATGCTATCTATCGAGATGATCGTTCAATACAATCCTATGACCCTAACCTTAATCCACTATTCATCCAGGGTGTTTTGTTCACCAGGTGAGCGTGTATGGTCGTTTCACGCTAACCGTACATGGAAGTCTCTCGCTTATTCCACGCTGGCCTTGCATAGTAAACCATCATACAGACGTTGGAGTTTCGCAAGCCTTGGGTAGCGTCTCTAGTGCAGCCGCAACAACTGCGGTGGCTACAGTATCCCGAGGCATCGAGGTCTGGTTGTCTGTCGCGTTGTTCGTGCGAAGCTTCAAACCTGTTTGAAGTTCATGTGGGGTTCGGGGTTTGTTCGTGTGGGGGCTCGGTTGTCGGTTAAAGGTTGCGTAGTTACATTCAGGTTTCTGCTTCGTACCCTTTCGGGTTCCTCACGAATCAAGAATATCTCACCAAACATGTCGTCGAACAACTACAGAGAGCGCAGACATCGCGCTCGTATGGTGTGCACCAATTGCCATGGACGGAAGGTAGGTTGTGGCCCTGTTCAGATGTCTACAACACTGACTGATCGCCGGTATAGATTCGATGCGACCTTCAGGATTGCCACCCGAACAAGACTTGCGGGAACTGCGGCAGGGCAGGATTGCGCTGCCGGTACGAGAAGACGAGTAGATGAGTGGATCAATCTCATGAGAAATTGAGAAATTACTTTACTCATCGGCCTCACAAGAAACTACTCGTGCTTACAAAACCTAGTCCACATATTGGCGTGCGCCGTAGACGAGCCGGCACTGGAATGGAGGGACAGGACCGAGCTGAAGCTGATATCATTGCGACTGCCACCAGTACCAGTCGGGATACCGAAGACCTTCGTGGCAATAATCTCGGCTTAGTCCGTTCGCAACAGGAGGGTTCAGCCGAAGTGAGCGCCGACCAAGGACGTTGCGGCTATATCGGCGGTGGATCGGTCATGGCTGATGCTTCTTCCAGCGAGCTCATATCGTGTCCGCCCATGGGCAATTTGCGGCCCAGGGAAACGGATCTCATTTTCCGCTCGACCAAGGCACTCGAAACACCGCCGCCCACACTGGCAAACGCATTGACAGACAGCTTCTTTGACGAGCTGTTCCCTATTGCGCCCCTTGTAGATCGCCATGAGCTTACAGTGGATGGCGCATCGCATTTGCTTCGGCAATCAGTTTACTTTGCTGGTAGTCTGGTGCGTCGATCTTGGATTCATGCCCCGGCCTTCTCCCCACGCGAGTTTTATGTCAAGATCAAAACGCTACTTTTCCTAGAGATAGAACAGGATCCAATGGTCGTCCTCCGCGCGTTGGCTCTAGTTGGGCTTTGGAGTTCAGGCTCACCAAAGGTAATCACTCTGAATTGCCCCTGGCAATGGACAGGAGAGGCTCTGCGACTTGCTTCACAGCTCGGCCTTCACAAAGAATCGAGTTACGAACGTCTTGGTTCTAGCAAAGGTTTAGGCCGCAGAGTGTTCTGGGGTCTCTTTGTATGATCTGAGCTCTGCGCATATTCAAGTTCGCCACTAATTTGGATAGATCAATGATACATTGCAGTCGGCTTGCTATGGGCGACCCCCGATGTTTCGGGAGCGGGATTTGGATGTTATCCTGCCGACCTCGGACGACTATCTGCAGTCGTCTCCTTCGTCGATGGTCTTTTGTGCAATGGCACGACTATGCATACAGTTCTCCAGAGTACATGAGATGTGCATTCGACAGTCGGACGCAAAAGCAGCCGACGTTGCTGATGTGATCCGATCCCTCCAAGACTGGATGCGTGACCTGCCGGCTGACCTTCGGCTTTACGACGACTTGGGGCACCGGCAAACGTGGAGTCGCCCAATTGTGGAGCTTCATATTTACTACTTTGTCTGCATCATTCTTGTCTATCTCCTACCAGGCCCTCATCGTCACTCGGATCCTCTCTGCACTGCATCAATCGTCGCCTCGTCTTGCGCTATGCGTATGTATGAAGAGATCTCTCATCGTGAGCTAGTGCATTGTCTTCTCGCGATTCACAATTGGACCACTATGGTCGCTGCAGTGCCGCAGAAACATTGCCTCATCAGACATCCGAGTCTTTCGGCTGCATGTACCGAAGAGCTTGAAATTGGCCGTTCAATCCTCGTACAGATGCGGGAGAAGTATCCATCTGCAGATATAGGTCTATCTATGTTCGACAGGTTGGATGAACCTGGGACCGTTTTTTGTGGACAGGCCAACTACACATTGGCCAATCATCGTAATGGTGCTTCTTCTGTCGGACAAGAGGGAATTTGTGCTAGTCTTTCAGGAACTTGGTGCGATACCGCAAGTCTTTTTCCTTTTCCAGACAGCTTTTCTGCAAAAATGCTGCTGTTAAACCAACCGGCTTCTTCCAATGCGGATCAAACCACAGAGGACATATCGTCCCTAGAAGGTATAGGCCAAGAAAACTCAGCCTGGCCCAGTGACATGTTCGCTCTGGAGATTCCTGATATTGATTATCTTTTCCCTTCTGGAACGGCTTTTTTTGATGTACATTTGTAATTATAGTATCGTTGGAGTACCTGACAGGCAATTCTTATTTCTATTAAACATCTGCGGATCTATGCTCTCTACACTAAACCATCGACCCAGAATACAAACCAAGAATACCAGCCATTGATTGCAGACCGCCGGTTGCTGGCTGACAATTACCGATTGCCGTTGGCCGACTGCCGATCATCCCATCGCTGAGCCGAGAATCAAGCGTACATGGTACGTATGTAGGAAGCATCAGTTTATATTTCCTATATAGCGGCATAACCGCTCCTCCGTTGCTATGAATCATTCTTGTTCCACCTCATCACACTCAAGTGCCTGTTTCATCTACAATCAGACTACTATTTACGGCGGCGTTGTATAGAACGCGCAAACTCCAACGAGTCCATCCGAAGTCATACTAGTGCTTCTAAAACATCTGGGCCCTCCAAGATCATGTCAAAATTACTTGTGGTCATCGGCGCAACTGGTGGTCAAGGCTCGAGCGTTGTCGATGCTTTCCTATCGAATCCTGATTATCGCATCCGCGGTGTTACTAGGAACATGTATACTGATAGAGCTAAGGCACTCGCCTCAAAGGGCGTGGAGGTTGTTGAAGCGAATCAAAACGACGAGGCGAGCCTCCGCCGGGCTTTCGATGGTGCATACGCCATATTTGCCGTCACGGACTACTACGACTTCTTCTTCAAGATAGGCAAGGACGCTTCGATCGAACTTGAATACACCTACGGCACCAACATGGCCCGAGCTGCATCCCAAATCCCAACTTTGCGGTCTTACATCTGGAGCACGTTGCCTAACACGCGCCAAATCACGGGTGGCGAACTTGTCGTGCCTCACTTCCAGGGTAAGGGGCAGGTTGATACGTATATCAAAGAGAGCCTCCCGGAGCTATATGAGAAAACCACGTTCGCTGTTTTCACCATCTTTGCAGTGAACATGCATCAATATCCCATCTTTCGCCCCACTTGGCTGGTGAGTTTTCCTCGTAGTCTATGATGGGTCGCGGTGCGCTGACCAAACCGCAGGCAAGCGCTCGAAAATGGGTACAATTCTACCCCACATCGCCCGAGTCGCCATACCCGTGTCTTGGAGACCATACCGTCAATAGCGGTATCTTCGTGCGAGCGATGATTACGAACCGTCCCAAGCCGGGCACCTACGTGAGATGTAGTGTCGAGAATCTGACGCTCGAGTCGTACCTGGCGTTGTGGGGTAAGGCGAGTGGTCTTTCACCAGCGCCCAATTCGACTAAAGTGGTTGAATTGACTGTGTCTGACTATGTGTCACTTTGGGGCGATATGGGCGAGGAGCAGGCTAGTCAATGGATTTTCTTCAAATGGCTAGCAGACAAGAAGGAGCAAGGTGTTCTGGGAGAAGGCTTTCCAGGGATGGAGATAATCGAGGGCACGACATTACTTTCAGATGAAGACAAGGTAGGATTAAAGTCTGTAGAGAAGTCTCTCAGGGACCTTGATTGGACTGGTATTGTTGAACTCCCGGATACTCCAAAGGGGACAGCACGGGACGTCAGAATTTGAGATATGCAATCCATAGCACCAGTTCTAGCCGAATCGAACGCACTTCGTTGATTCCATACAGGACTGTTATGCAGGGAATACTATCGCGCTTGTGTAGCTCTTAAATTCTGATTAACTTCTCCTTGAGGACGGAATTCTTCGCATTCATCTACCCTGGGATGATAATTAAAGCTGGGAAGAGAAATCCTACATTCATTTAGCTTCAATCATGTGACCGTGGTGAACATAGAAGATTCAAGAATGATATTAGATTTGCAAAGAAAAGCTACAGCGGAGTGCTAGAAATACTAATGAGATTCCCCTAAACCTTCAATAGTGATTTAGCTACAGTTCTTCGTCCATTCAACTCTCAGTGAGCGTGCGCCGCCTCTTCTAGACCATAAACACTAGGCGTCCGTATCTTCAAATTCTTTGCTCTAATCAAGCACAAGTCCAGATGTAGAACAGGCCCGCGTGTTGCGGCATCGCATAAATTTCCCGGAATGATAAGTAATATACTTGGATTTCCAGAATAGATGGCTGTGCCCTTGAGCTTCCACGCATTAATGCTATCTTCTCAACTAGTACAATGAAAAATAGAAAGAAGTGTATCGACTAATCTGCCTTTGGTCCTCGTTGCTCAAAGGTTTTTAATGATAAGCTCGAATTTCATTCTGCGTCCATTCCCATAACTGGTCCGAAAGTTCTTGAGAGGCCGAAAGCTGTGACCCTTTCCCTGGCACGCCGACAGGATGATAAAACTCTCCACTTTTAGCATCCTTGCTGGTCGATGCCCATAGCTGATTCAAAGCACCCTGTTCTGGAGGCACGACGAAGAGCAAAGCCCAGATATGGAAGAAAAGTTTCAACGGCAAACTTGCCGTCTGGAGAATGGAACCCGCGAGGTTCGTGTTGACACTTCCAGGGTGTACGGCGATGAACTTGATGTCACTATATCTCTTAGATAAGGCAGTGTTGTAGTGGATGTTGGCCAGTTTTGAGATCGCGTAACGTGTTTGGGTTGAGAGATTTGACATCGTGGTCTTGAGCGCGGGTAGGTCGTAGATGCCTTTCTTTGGAGCATACGATTCAGTGGCTGAAGACAGTGTAATAACTCGTACGTCTGGATTCGTTTCCGCAGTGTTTTGGAGACTTGGAAGAAGTAGTTGAATGAGTAGGGCGTGACCCATGTGATTGGTACCGAATTGTATCTCGTAGCCATCTTCCGTTAGACCTTCTGGAGTCATCATAATTCCAGCATTGTTGATCAGGAGATCTAGTCGGGATGACTGCTCGGTAAAGGAGCTCACAGCAGACTTGATGCTGCGAGAGGAGGCGAGGTCGAGCACCAACGGAGAGATGATAGATGTATCAGAGCATGACTTTGAGAGGTCTTTGATGGCTATTTCTGCCTTCTCTTTCGATCGTGCTGCGAGAAAGATACGGGATGGTCTGTGTTGTACCAGTTGGCGCACGCTCTCGAGACCCAGACCCGAGTTCCCGCCTGTGACAAGAATGACCTTGCCGTGCAGACTTGGAATATCGCGATCTGGGCGAAATTTTGCGCCTGAGATAAGAAGATTGCGAAACATGGCTGTTTTTGAGTTTGACTACACTGCAGTAGTTTTTATGTGTTAATGTTTGGGGTGCCCCATGGTTTTATACGCAGGGCGGTCCACCAGGCGGCTAGGCCCAGAAAACAATCAAAATTCGAGGCCATTCCTTCCTGTTCATAATTGGGAAAGAACCTTAGGAACAGATTATACGCATGGACCTCAGTTCCTTGATCAGCCGAAGGCTCATTTGCCAGCTTCGGGCATCGTGTGGCACTCCCCATACAACCAGTGGAGCCAAAGCAGTATCAGAACCGTCCCAACCATCTGGTTCGCCCCACAAGTTCTTGCACAGCATGTCGTTAGTCAACCCGGTCGTTGTGTATGCGGTTAGAATACCATCCCGCAAGCTTGGAATCGGAAGCAGGTCTAGTAATGGGTGGTACGGCACTGCAATCTGGAGGTCGGTGGGACGAAGATCTTGCGGAATCGTTGGCTGAAGGCTTAAAGCATCTGAATGCTCCGGCCCATAAACATTGAATGGTGATAGGGCGTCCTTATTAGCGAGATCAATCGGAGAAATGGAAAGAGTAGCTGCATTGCTGAAGAACGCATTGAGAACATTCAGTTGCGCGAGAGTGAGAGCACTCTGCGGTACTTGCAAGGGTACGCTCGTGTTGAACAGCACCATGTGGACAAAAGCAATTGCGCTTTGGTGCTTTCTTTCATCGGACGAGTTTAGCCACGCAAGCGGGTGGCTATCGGAATCTGTTGATTCGCGTGAAAGTGTCGTAGCACATCGCTCAGTGTGCCGTCGTTTACCTGTAAAAGTCTCAATTCCAGGCCCCGAGTAACTTAGGGACAAGGGGGGTTGATTTACGCCAGATCCGTTGGCTGATACGATTCTGCCTCTTCCGCCTCTCGTCAGGACATTCCAGCGTCGTCCAGTCGTCGTCTGCATCCCAGATGCCCATGATCTGTTTCGGCGGCATCCTGGTGAGGGTTAAGCACTCACCGATCCTGATGTTTGATCAGGTCCGTCCCTGACTAGGGCTATGGTGCTATATATGCGCGCTTATGCCCCTGTCCTGGCATCTCGTTGATCACCCGCGCTCCGCTCTTCGTCCGGCACTACGCGCAGTGGAGGCGCCCTAGCGCTTATGCCCCTGTGCCTTCGTAGCGCTGTAGGAGTGCCGCGAGGATGGCGAGTGCCGCTGCCGTCGGCACGGGAGAACGTATAATGCCGTCCTACAAGCATCATGCCTAATAGTGAATAGTGACATCAAGGACATATCCACTAACCGACTACAGCCAACCTGCGGTGCGAAGATCACACAAGATTTCTTCCAAAAATCGACGAGCGTCGGCTCAAACCAGCGGTACTATAATCCCTTGGTGGCCTGTGCGCGCATATACCTGCACAGTATTTGTCGTCTAGTCCAGGTTTTGAACAATAATTTCTTCGCGAGAGACCTCAATTCCACGCCCTGTGCTCTGAATCATGACAATTGAAATACAGATCATAGAGACCGGAACTATCCGTGTTCGTCCGAGCCAACTCACGCAACCTCCAGGGAATGTTCTACTTCGCCGGCTACGATTCCTGACAGATTGGAAACTTACCGACCCAATCCCGATCTATGCCTTTCTCATCAAGCACCCCGAAGGCAACTTTCTATTTGATCTGGGTGAGACACCACGATGCCTGGAAAAGGGTTATTACCCCTGGTGGCAGATTGGCCACCATGTCGTCTCCATGAACATCGGCCCAAATGACGGACTTGGCTCTCAGCTTCGAGAATTGGGAGTGAATCCAGAAACTGATATCAAGGCTGCCATCATCTCGCACCTGCATAGCGACCATGCGGGCGGCCTATCCGACGTCCATGGAATGACGGAGATCTACGTCGGCTCGGAACACTGGGCTGCCTTTCAAAACACCACGTATGCGACCATGGAGGGCGCAAACCCATCAGCATGGCCCGAAGGGTTCAAGCCAACAATGCTGGAACAAAACGGTCCACCTATCGGCCCCTGGGAACATAGTTACAAGATATCAAGCGACGGAAGAATTCTGGCTGTCGACACTCCCGGGCATGTACCGGGTCACCTTTCCTTAATCATCATCGACGACGATGTCACGTATTTCCTTACCGCAGATGCCGCGTACAGTCAGACGCTCCTCGATCAGCAGCTCATCGACGGTATCAACACTGACCCGTATGTTGCGTTGGAGTCGCAACGGAGGATCAAGGAGTTCTGCAAGTCCAGGGATGTCGTGTTGCTCCCCTCGCATGAGTTTGACTCGGTACGACGGCTGAGAGAGAAAGAGGTTTATCGGCCAAGTGAGACACAATAGATAGTATTTCAGAATACGCATGCTATTTGAATATGTATTTTTCAACGTCTGTGACTACGTACTGTACAATCATGATTCCTTTAAGTTCTGTCGTAAGAATTAAGTTGTAATTGAAAGGGCGACACAAGCCTTAGAAATTACGAATAATCACATATTCACAGTAACACACATAAAAAATAAGTCTGCGAGGATACTTGTCGTTGGCATAGTACTGTATCATAGATTATAGATCATTGAGCTGCACTGAGCCAAATGACACCAAAAATGGGGCGACCGTCAAGCCCATAGACAACCCGCGAAGTCCAAGCATCATACCTCCACTTCTCATTTGCGACCGAAGCTCATTTTAAAGATTATGCGCGAAGATACCACGTAGTGTCTGAGCCATCCAGTTCTTTCAAAGACACTCCATTGCCCAAATACGAGAAGCGATTCGTCTTGGTGCTGTACACATACTCCCAATCCTCTCCCCTGAAGTGCTCGAGCATATGGAAGAAATGAATCCTACTTCCTGGATGCAGAGCTGTCACCGGGCCGTCTCTGGTGCCAGCTTTGAACCACGACGCACAGGGACCAGCCCAAGCAGTCCGTGGCATGAACGTGGCAATGTGCTCAGCAAACTCGTCAACAGCGGCACGGCTTGGTGATATAGCTCTGATCTGTTGTGTCTGACATTTCTTGATGATATCAGTGACGTATTTCGAGATCAACTCGACAATAGTGAATACGCTTCCGTGGCCGATTGGAGCATTCGGACCTAGAAAGACTGCTATAGGATCAGGTTCGGGTCTTTTACATGATACATGTCAAGGGCAGGTAGATGGCGCACGTACCGAAGTAATTGGGAAAGTCGGGCACCGCGCACGACATGTATGCAGATGGGTGGGTTTCGGTCCAAATATCCTGCAGGTTGCCCTTCCGACCGACCAACGGAAAGCGTGGTCGAAAAGAGACGTTGAACCCTGTAGCACAGACGATAGCATCTACCGCAATCGTTTCTCCAGAACTTGTTACGAGGCCTGTCTCGTTGATAACTACAATTTTGTCTGACACGACTCGCACATTGTCTTTCGTTAGCGAGGCTAGATAGCCAATATCAGGAGTCATTCTACGGCAACCCAGGGGAAAGTCTGGCACCAGAAGTTTGATCAACTCCTCATTGTCTCCCAAGGAGGACTTCATGTAGTGGGTGACCAGCTCTCTGGCATTGCGGTGGTTCGTGGTGTCCTTGAGTACCTGGGGCATATGAGCATTTAGGGTTAATCAATAATACAGACCGCTTACGATTGAGAAGTTGTTGTTCACCTGCTCCTCAACAGCCTTTATGAAGCTGAGATAGAAGTCTGGGTCTAATTTGAATCGTTGGATTTGTTCGGGCAAGAAACGTCCCTTCTCATCCATCTGAATCTGAGATAGAATGTCACTAGCTTTCGAGAGCGAAAGACTCTGCAATTGTGGAGGCACCATCCACGTCGGTTCGCGAATGAAATGTACGAGCTCCCGCACACCTTTTGTGTGAGGCGTTTATCAGCAATGTGACGAAAAAGACTTATCCTCTCAGAGCCTTATGAAAACTTACTTTCTTGCATTGCAGGTACAATTTGAACACCTGATGAGCCGTTGCCTATCACGGCAACTCTCTTACCAGCCCACTCAAACGTTTCATCCCATTTGGCGCTATGTAAAAGTGATCCGGCAAAATCGTGTAGTCCTGGTATATCAGGCCACTGCCAATTACTGTTCGCCCAGAATGTTAGCGTTAAACAATTGTGTAGTGCCCATCCTTGGAGAGTCTTACTTCAAGATGCCACTTGCATTCAAGAGAAAGTCGCAATGGTCCTCGAACTCCACACCTGTGCGGAGCGACCTGATTTGCACCCTCCACGAAGCAGTGTCTTCATTCCAAAAAGCACCCAAAACCTCGTGCTCCAAGCGAATCCGTTCCTTCATACTTGCGTCTTCACATATACTACAGAGATACTCTTCGATTTCTCTCGCCGGCGAGAAGAAGCTGGACCAGGCGTAGTTTGGCTGGTAAGAGAACTGGTAGTTGTGGGAGGGTATGTCGCACTGGCAGCCAGGATACCTATTCTCAAACCAGGTTCCCCCAACACGAGAGTTCTTCTCGTATACAACACAGTCAAAGTTTGTAAGCTCCTGGTCAAGTGTCTTGAGGATGTTGATTCCACTGGCTCCTGCACCGATCGTGATGATACGAATAGGTCTCACAGTACCGAGAGGCTCCTCCCTCACCGTGTAGCGTCGATGGCTGTCGCATCGTGGCCCTGATTCCTTATCATGACTGCTTGCAAGCTCCGCGCTCTGCGGCCCCATCTGACTAACCAGCATCTTCAAACGCGAGGCTGACATGTCTTTCGAGATTTGTCTGGGCCGGCTCGGAAAAGGTAACAAATCTGGGGATGTCCTTCAATGGTAACACTGGGGTCAAATGAAACTCGATCAACATGTTTCTACTTGTATGACCATTGTCCTAGTATTCAAATCGTGCATCGGCAGTCAAAATAATCGCACACTCTCACGGGCCTGTGATGCGGCAGTCGGCAGGCGGCAGTCGGTTACTACTCTCCTCTCCGTTCTACCGCTCTTCTAGCAACAGACGGTCGACTTGAGCTTGCAATATGATATGTAGTTCGCGGCAATCGGTATTCGGCGATCGGTAGTTGGGATTTGGCGATCGCTAGCCGGACTGGAGTATTTGATCAATGGTGCTTGTCAGAGGCCCTGTACGACTATATATTGAAGCACCACGTAGGATTCCTAGAGACGCAGTGATACTCGGAATATTTCTCAATCCTGAACAGAGGCTTCCTACAACAATCATGGCACCATCATCACCATCCGAGAAGGCCATCATTGGTGCACAAAGGGCACAAGCTTTCCTTGGACCAAAAGTACTGAACCGAATTCAGCAATCAGCGGTAAGCAGGCCCAATTCAATGCCACCCAAGCACTTCGTCTGATCTTGATTGAAGCGCAGCGACCTCCCCACTGAGGTCAGCTCTCAATACATAGCGGAGGTCTGCTTTTCCGGCTATGCAAACGAAGCTCTTACTTTCAGGGAGCGCTCGATCTTGAACATGGGCATGATGATTGCCCTTAATCGGACACCTGAGCTTCGCATCCACATTGGGGCAGCACTACATAATGGATTGTCTCAGGAGGAGGTGGTAGAAGTCTGTCGGCACGCAATGGTGTATTGTGGGGTCCCTGCCGGAAGAGAGGCGCTGTCTGTAGCGAGTGATATCTTTGCTACTGCACAAGAAGCACATATCTGAAGGATGATACAGTTACCTTGTACTCTGACAAGCTTATTGACTTAGCGTTATTCAATGTATTTGGCTTGGTCACATTATTAGAGAAGTAGTTTATAGCAATGCAGTAACATTATTTATTGTATTATTGTCCTATGTTTTTCTACCAGTTTGGACTCAGCCTCTGTCGGTTAACAGCCACTAGCTCTGTCCATTGGGCTAGTTCTTTAGCGTCGACTAGTACTACACGTACACGAGCCACCAAGCATACAAAAAATCGGCAAAAAAAACTGCAAAAAACATACAACAGCGGGGATTCGCTGATGGTCACCCACTCAACTACTAGTCCGCCGGTACATTGCTTAAGTATGGCTGAGCGAACGGGAAGCCCTGTTTTCAATGTCCAATGGTCGTATGTATCAGATGTGCGCAAAAGAAAGGTCTATCAAGCAGGATGTTTGGATTATGCACAGCGGTATCTCCTCAAACATCGGGGCTCGACTCAAGGGGACTGTTATGCAAAAGGCAATTGTCTTTTGGGGTTATTTGTATGTCTTTCAAAGAGCCTCCTCGTGGAGCCGTTGACCACTATATCGAATACCTTGAAATATGCGAGTTCTCGCGACTATTTGTGTGTGGATATCCCATTGGGAAAGATATGATAATCAGATCAACAAATCGATGACATGAAAATGAAGTCAATGTGTATACAACTTAGTTTATTCAATTGCTATTTGAGGATGATTGTATTCATCAATCATGTGTAGTGTCCAATGTCCCTGGCAGTAACATCCTGCGCCTTCCGCCATTCATGATACATGGTTACATTTGCGCCATGTAAATTACAATTATCCGTTCCCCACTTCTTGACAAACAGTGCACGACCAGCTTCTGCAGTCTGCCACCATGCGTCTTGAAACCCGATCGGGTCGTAAGTCCAAGGTTCACCTTTGCCTCCTTTCTGTTTGTTCTGCCACGTATTCCTGCCATAGGGATTTCTTAATTTCTTGTTGGACAATTTCTGCAACTCGTTTCTGAGCGATCTGTATCGCTCCGACTTAACTTCGTCGCCTGTGGACTTGCCACTTTGCGCGGAGAGCTTTTGGCCGGAAGCCGCACGAGCGTCTAGCGGAAAGAACTTCAGCTCAGGGTTTGACACGACATCAGCAACATCGAAGATATGTCCTGCTCTGACATTATCTGTCGTGTGCCCGAGCATTCGCGCTCTCCCATACGCATCGCAGTCTGTGGCGTAGTACGGGATAAATGCATCCCACTGTCCGATGTTGCGCCACACTTCCACATTCACCAACATCAAGTTGTCGAATTGGAAGAACTTGGCAGCCCAATTCCCGTCGATCCTGTCCTTGGTGACATTCGAGGCCTTCATGATATCGAGCACTCGGTGGTAGAATGGCACGTAAGGGACATCTTCCTCCTCACTTAATATTCCAACGTCCATGTGGCTCCAGAAGTAGTAAGGCCAATCGCGGGCTAGCGCTTGTCGAAGAAGATAATTTTGCAGTTGCGCGAAATTGAGCAGTGTCGGGGTTTGTTGGATGGATACGCCGTATCGATTCCGGAACAAATCATAGTCGAGGAAAAATGGGTTCTGCTCGGAGAGTTGCTTCCTGTCATTTGCGTCGAATGTGCCGCTGTTATCGATAATGACGATATCAGTGCGTGGCCAGCCAGCTGATATATATCCGAGGACGGTTTGTCTTAACATAGCGTTGTTGCGAGTGAAAGGGATAAACAAAGGCGTGCGGAGCCGCTTGGTTGGGGGTCGGTTGTAAGAGGCGATTGCAGGTACATGTTCGGTTCCTTGAGCCGCAAAGTAGAGCTGGGCTGAAGATGTCGATGAACCAAAGATAGGTTCGTTCACTGCTGGCCAAAGCGAATCCGGTCCGGACACCTCTTGCGCTGTGCCATAACCAAGAAAGCCGACAGCGATACAGCCGAAGACGATGGTGATGATACCTACAAGATGTAGGAGTTGTAAAAGTGGCCGGAGATTCCTTTTGCTCACCATAGAAATCTCGGAAGCTAGAGACTCTGAGGAGGAAGCGTGTTCATTGTGAAGAAGTGAGAAACGGTAGGGGTCCTGGGAATGCTGCCTGGCAAACCTGCCGAACGCCCATGACATCAACGAAATTCGAACCATTGAGCAAATGGGACCATAATCTCAACTTTGGAGGTGAATTAATCCACTTTCAGTAGTACGATTGGTATATGTGACAATAAAACAAATGCAAAGAAAATGCCCAGTGAGAAGTCGCACTTCCCAGCCGTAACTTTCAAGTAATTTAGAAAGCAAGAAAAAGGACTGTAGGGTTCTTCGACGATTGCGAGCCTCCAACGCATCTTGTATAAAATCAATAGAATACAGCTACAAGTACTGAGGTTTCATATCCAGGACATTCCACTACCTGTGACCTCGCCCGCAGTTTCGCAACATTCACAGACCATCGATCAGCAAGCAAACCAGTAACTATGGGGATCGAACGACAGAGGCGTTGGGCTTAGAGAGACTGCAGAGGATATTATAAACCAGAGAGTTGCTTATAACTCCGATTGATCTCGAATAAATTCACTAAATTTGTTGGCTGATCAATGATCTGTGAGGTAGTGTTGCGAAGTGATGGACAGGAGGAAAGCGAAAGGTTCGAAACATAAACCCCGTGGCACGTTGGAAATCAGATGTCCTGCACCATCGTTTCTATCAATGTAGGATTAAAGAAGCTAATCAGTTGTTCATTTCTCCTTTGGCTGCTAGTCAGGCTGCGGAGATGTACATTGCTCCGGACATGTGAGGAGGAGTACATGGGTGAGCAGTGTAGAGTGGGGCGACACTACACTGGACTGGTAAGGATCTTCAAAGGCCCTTAGCATGAGCAAGCCAACGCATTCGAAAATCGTAGGTAGATAATGATATGCTATTATCTGTAAACTGTAACTGAAAGACTTTTCCTATTTACAAACCTGGGCATACATAGTATGGGATGATGGATCAATGAGTTGATGGTTAATCACGTGATACTAAGTGAGCATTCGCGACAAAGACCCGGCAACTACACCCATAGTGTAACCTCCAGAAGACGTATTCTATCGCACCCACGCTGATCAATCCGTTGTGATCAGCAGCTAATACTGCCACATGTCAACTCTCTGAATTCGTTCGGAACTCGGAAGGAGATACGTTTCTCATTTAATGTTGATACAGGATTTCTTATTCCCAATGCCATAACTTCTTTGATAACATGTACATAATAAATCAAGCTATCTGAACGGACTCCCGACAAAGAAAATACACTTTCCCCTAGAAATTTTCATAGGTGATTCTGATACCCATTTTCCAAAACGCCTGCAGTAATCTATCTCAAGCGAACGCAGGAGGTACAACAAAGCATACCGAACGACAGCTAGAATTGCGCGTGGTCCAAGGCTGATGTACCCAGAGAACAAGATTCTCTCGGACCATCAGTATCTAGATATGTGCACGTGCGCACATAGTACACACCGATGATTGACACCCTCGACAACCTGGAATTTCCTTTGACCAGTGCGCAGCTGAACGAAGCTGTAAGAAGGTGTCGCCAATGAGCCGGAGATCTGCATACATGAGGCTGCGTCACAAATATACCCTGTTTCCTAATGAATTCGCCCGTGGAAATCGGAACGGGTTCTATCGTGATCAACCGGACGCCTACGCAAGGATCGCCCGACGGACATTAGATGGGGCGATCCGTACCAAGAGGAAGATGATCCACCGGGAAACCTATATAGAAGATGCCAATGACTCTATGAATTTTAGTTTTATCTAGCAAGAAGTGAGAATAGAAATTCGTGGACGCTTTATCGTACACATGACAACAACATTGTCGAATATAAGTACCTAGGTAGCTACTGTCACCAGGAAATGTAACGCAGACTATAAGAATGCAATCATCCTCGAGTAGAGTACCATAATCGCCGTCATTTCCGACATTACAAAGGATGCTTTGTATCGGCAAGCACTTGATGTATCTAGGGTAGGGGAGCTCTTGTGCCTAGGCTAGCTTTTCTTCAGTTCGCGTGTTGGTATCTTTAGTAAGGTAAACGAAATAAAGATTTTATACGTAGACGATTTGAATTTCCCAAAAGATTTTGAATCGTATGCATCATCCTATTTAAAATTTCGGGTTCCTTTGAGTGCGTTAAAACATGTATGACTGACTTGGTAATGCTGAATTATCTACCGATCGATCCACAAAAAGATAATCACTTCCAGTTTAACAAATAAGTCATCCATTTCCAGTGTCATGTTATTCCTTTATGCCATGTGAGAGGTAGGTAGTGATTCGTCTGGATGAGTACCTACTTGCTTGCATCTAATGTTGTATACACAGTTCGCGCAACATGTAGTGAGGCTGAAGGTCCACGGTTGTATTTTTGAGATGGCTAACAATCCAAAGCATCATATCTCTAGATACTTGTCTTTTGATTCGAAATCTATCAAAATTCGTTGGGTTTGACATCAATCTATAAAGCGAGGCCAACCACGACGACAATCAGCCTGGCGTCGCGTATTTGGTATAGAGAAATTGTGCAACTGATAGAACAGTTCTTCTAATGCGTTCTACCACTACCTCATATTACGATGAAAGAGAGTTTCCACGTCACTTTTATTCATCTGCAGCGTTCTTTGTTGTTGCGGAGGTGAGCAGGAGCCTGCAAAAGTGAGTACAGAGTTTTAGTAAGCAAACAATGGTGCCGCTCGTTACTGCCCAGAATGGTCGCGCCCTCACCATCTTCAGCCTTACCACCCCACCCTCCACCTTCACTCTCGTACCTTCAACCAAACCTCAAGAACAGATCCAGCTCGTTTGTTCCGTTGGGATACATCGGAGATGGAGGTTTATCTCAATAAACTTCCACCGGATCTCACCGATAAAAGCTTGAAAGAGCAGTTGGCGCCGTTTATTCGAACCCTCGGCATCAACACCTGGGCGTGCGAGAAGCCGCATAAGAGACCTTTCGGATTTATCACCTTCTTGCATAAACATGATGGACAGAAATTTCTCTCTGTTCATGGGACGAGGAACTCATCCTTGACTCTTCTTGGAGGACGAATCCTCTGCAAGGCAAGCGACAAGGCGCCGGACCCATTCCGCCTCAAGAGCTTAGAGAAGGCAGTGGAAGACGAACGCGAAGCTCAAAAGTGAGTAAACCCAGTGCCCTGTCGTGGTTCTGCCTTTATTCTTTCATATCTAACCATTCTCAGAGTCCCACCTGTTGCTCCCCAGGCAAAGGTAATCTTTGCGACGAGACGCGTGACCTGTGGATATTACGATTACAAGAGTGGGCAACTCACCTACTGTCCGGAGGTTCAGTGGGAAGCCAGCACTGGTTTCGCGAAATTTCAAAAGCGTGCCATTGTTGTTGAATTTTCCGGACAAGGTGGCAAGATACAGATCCAGATTCCATATCGAATCGTCGAAGCTCTTGTTGTATCGTCTGTCAAGTCGTCGTTGACACTCACCTTGTGGGAAGTGCCAAGCTTCTATAAGAATATGGACGACGAACTTGAAGCCTTGTTGGCTGCCCTGAATGTGAACCGGGCCAAGATGGGGCCCTCCCGTCATCGCTTAACTGAAATACCGGGCGGCGACAAATCTCACAAAGAAATTGTCGGACAGGCACTCGTGTATCAATTTGAGCTTTCGCCCTACGACTTCAGTCTCATGGTAGGCCGACTAAAGGCTCGAGGTGCCATACCTATCTATCACCATAACCTCCCAATCTGTGAGCAACATAGGCAGAGAAGTCTTGCAGAGGGTTTGCAAACATTGAGAAATGCAATGGCCAAGCACAGCACTTCAGTGCCGTTTGGATTGCTGTTTCAATTAGAAGCATTGGTAAAGAATGGTTATCTATTACCGTGGATTGTCCAAGCCCTTCTTGAAAGGTTAGCGAAGGAGTACAACACCATGGCCATGAAACATGGCTTCGTCGTTTCGTCGGCAGCGATCAAGAAACTTTTCTCCCAGATACAATTCCCAAGTGTCTACGTTGATGCTTCGGAATTTGAGGTTGACTGGCTTTATGAAACCATATTGGCAAATGAGAAGGAAATCCAAGGAGGAGGTGGGGCCGTGCTGATTTCCGAAAAGGGACGTCAAAACCTGACTATGATTCACAAGGTGAATGTCACACCTAGTGGCATCACTTTGTACGGACCGGATCCCGAATCTAAAAACCGCATACTTCGACGCTTTTCGGATTACACCGAATACTTCATAAGAGCTCAGTTCTGCGATGAGGATGGTACAGATTTACAATTCAATCAGAAAGTCTCGAACGAGAATATCTACAATCGGTTCAGGCAGGTTTTCAACAAGGGGATTCAGGTTGGTGGTAAAGTATTCGGATTCCTTGGATTCTCACATTCTTCACTGCGCAGTCATTCAGCGTGGTTTATGTCTACATTTTTTCACCAAGGGCAGCTTCAGGGTTATTTCTCCGTGATTGCGCATTTGGGGAAATTCGACAACATCTATTCACCAGCGCGGTGTGCCGCGAGGATCGGACAAGCCTTCTCGGAGACTCCCATGGCAATATCTTTGTCCGACAATGGCATCGCAAGCTTTGAGATGAACGATGTCCGGTCGAAGGATGGCAATCGCGTTTTCAGTGATGGGGTTGGAACGATTTCCTGGGAAGTTATGGAAGCTATTCAAGCTGCTTTACCAAATCTCCGACATGGACCAACTTGCTTCCAGATACGTTGGGGGGGAGCGAAAGGAATGCTTGCTCTTGACTCTCGCTTAGAGGGAGCCTGCATGTACCTACGCCCTTCTATGATCAAGTTTGACAGCAAGGACACTGCAAATTTGGAGATTTGCGATACGGCCAAAAGGCCAATTCCAATGGTTCTCAATCGTCAGGTAGGTGTTTCCGGCAATTCTTAGAGATTAGCGAAACCAAAAGCTTACCTGAAGTTTAGATGATCAAGATCCTTGAAGACATGGGCGTATCGAACGAGTGGTTTCTACGCGAACAATCAATCGCTGTCCGAAAACTTCAACTTATAACTGCTCACATTGCCAACACAGTTGGCTTTCTCAAGCGATTGAAGATTGCGGATAGGGTGGGATTTCCTCAATTCCTCCGGCGTCTAGACTCCATCAAGATAGATTACCGGAAAGATCATTTTCTTGCTGCAGTGGTCGAGGCAGCCGTTCTTCGAGAGCTTCGACTTATCAAGCATAAAGCAAGGATTCCGATCTGTCAGGGTGTAACTCTGTTCGGTATCATGGATGAGACCGGCTTTCTAAATGAAGGGGAAGTCTTTATTACTTTCGACCCTAACAAATATATAGATGGCGAGACTTATAACCTGGGTGAACGACGAATGATCATCACGAGGTCGCCTGCTCTTCACCCGGGTGATATCCAGCTTGCGATCAACACAATTCCACCAGATGACTCGCCACTACACGACCTCCGGAATTGTATCATTTTCTCACAGAAAGGCCATCGGGATCTTCCAAGTTGCCTGAGTGGAGGAGATTTGGATGGTGACATTTATGGGGTCATTTGGGATCGTGACGCCGTCCAACAATGCATAAGAGTGTTTCCACCCGCAGACTATCCAAGGACAGAACCACTGAACATTGGACGACCAGTGGAACAGAGTGACATGACGGATTTCTTTATTCAGTTCATGTCAACAGACCAGCTAGGACGTATCGCGGTCCGCCATATGATCCTAGCTGATCAAAGGGAAGCAGGAACCGATGATCCAGGTCAGAAACTCACTTGTTTGTATGTCACTGAGCTAACCATTTGATTTTCAGACTGCAAGCTTTTGGCGGAAATGCACTCAACTGGCGTGGATTACTCAAAAACCGGAGTGCCCGTTAACATGGACGATTTTCGGAAGATGAAAATGAATAAACTCCGGCCGGATTTGTGCGTAAACTATCTGGTACCTTCAAGATAATTTCTAACTCCTGTCAAGCCTGATGCCTGCACCTGCGGCCACCATTCGGCACCGGAGCGAGATCAGCTTTGATGATCCATCAGGTCCAGGCTCTCTCGATGACGATGAAGAAGGATCTGGTCCAGTCTATGAGTACTACTATTCCGAGAAGATCAATGGAATACTATACCGAGGTATCGACGAGAAGAAGATTTGGTTTCAGGATGTCCACCAACCGTCGCAAAATTTTACCAACATTTGGTTTGGCTTGCTCAATTATCTGAAAAGAAGTTGCATGGACGTAGCATGTGACTTACCGTGGTCTCAATATGTTCAGAAAGCCTGGACTATTCGCGGCGTGTATGTACTTAACCGTTTTTGATTGATTCCCACTGACGTTGTTGCAGATACGAGGATGCGATCTGGGGCGCAACACAGGAATACTCCGATCATGCGAGGATGGGCATCACGGAGCTAGAAGTCTTCACTGGTGAGATCTTCAACAAAACTGGGGTGCAAACTCGACGTCAGCGCGACAAGTCTATCTTGTTGAAGGATGAGTTTGATCGCATTTCGCAGTCAACTTCAGCCATGATACGGAAACATGACGACGAATCAGCAGGACCCACCGACGGTCTAGCTCTCAGCATTGCCTGTTTGGATGTTGGGATCAAGAAGCCACGGAGGAATTACGGACGTGAGCGTGAAGAAGGTGATTTCCAGAGTTTCAAGGTTATAGCGGCTTGTTGCGCCTTCCGAGAGTTGGATATAGTAACAAGCATGCGGCCGGGGACAGAGGAGGACTACGTATTTTGACGAAGTGAACGAAGGATAACGGATTGAGGATCTTTGTGGTGCACAACGCGCAAGTAGCGACTTCCATCACCTGCGCGTTTGCATCTTCGTTGATTATGGACTGCTAGTCATCATCCAGACATTTTTGCCATTATTTGGAACCGGCAATGTCGCTTGAGCATAGATAGGGTATCATGCTGCTCATGAATGAAATGAAACTTGTACACTACAAACACATCTTTGACTCTACTATGAGCCCTCATAGAGTATTGATTTCTTATCTATGTGTATATGCGATATTTTCAGATCATGGTAATATTTCAGATTTTGGACTGAGCCGAACAATCACGTCCTGACCATCTTTAGGTGTCACCAACCCGGTCGTCGGCTTCGTGAGATCTAACTCCGGAGCCTTGCCCTCTCCAAGTACATCGGTGTTGAAATTCTTCAACAGTATAGCAATGACGACAGAGCATTCTTGTCTCGCAATAAATCTGCCAGGACAATAGGTGGTCCCGCCACCAAAAGGCTTGTAGCTCGGGCTCTTCGTAAGCTTCTCATCGCGGATGAATCGCTCTGGATTGAAGACATCGGCATCGTCGCCAAAGGCTTCTGGCATGAAGAGAGTTTGGCGAGCTGGCACAGCGACGCGAGAGCCGACTGGAAGTTCCTTGCCGCCAATGATGGTAGGCGCCGTGACCAGGCGGAGGGATGTCGATGCGCTGCACCAGCGGAGGGCCTCGTGGAATACGGCGGCGATCCAGGGAGAGGAATCCATGAGCTGCTTGGTCGACAGTGTGCCGTCTGCTTGGAATGCTGCAGCGCTTTCTTGCTGTACTTTGTGGAGGAGGTCTGGGTCGTTGAGGATGTAGGCTAGAGCCCAGAAGCAGACTTTGTATGTGTTTGTATTTGCGCTGTACAGCATCAGTCAATGGCTTGTACGAAAATTAGATCGCACTATACTCACACAAAAATAATCAGGACCAGGATATTGGCGAGGTCCTCGATCGGAGTCCCCATCGCGCGTTGTGTCTTCTCAAACGTCTCCACGATGAAAGCTGCACCGGGTCGTTCTTCCTCTGGTGTGTTGAGCCACCTCTGCACAGATTTGGATAATTTCGACTTGGCTGCAAACATTTCTTTCGCATCGGGCCATTTGTACCAGAGCTTCCAGTTGTCTTCGTCGAAGTCAATGAAGTCTCGAATCAGGTTTGGTTCAAGTTCCATCATCTTGTCGCCGAAGAAGGCGCGTAGAGCAGCATCCATGAGAACGTCTTGCATGAGTCGCAACAAAGATACAGTAGTTCCCTTCTCGTCTGTGGGTCCCTTGTAGTTATGTGCAATGCTCTCGGGTTTCAATGAATTATCTAGATACTGCAAGCACTCATCTTGAAGCTTGTAGTACAGCGGACCAGGGACCAATTGCTGTTTCCAGAAGTCGTTGTTCAGCTCCGCAAGGCTCTTGTTACGAGGGTTCTGAATTTGCATGATCTTGGCCGGCACATCAACCTCTTCGCTATTAGGTCGGCGATACGTGGTCTGCAAAGTCTTCTGGGATACACCAAAGGTTGTGCTGAGTTCTTGTGCGATCTTGTCGAAAGCGAGGGATGTTGTGTTCTTGTGGAAGTCGGCAACTTGCTTTGGATCGGTGAGGAAGAACATCTTTTCGCCACCAAGAGTGAGCGCAAAGGGCGCGCGCGTGTCGCCGAAGTACTTCCTACAATGTTGTTAATTGTGGGAAGTTCCAATATGTTTAGTTGGTATACCTTGCTCTGGTAATAACATCTTGTCCACTCTTGACATACTGAACAGCGTGTCCTAATACTAAGAAAACATTAGTGTATTCGAAAAATCCAAAGGAGAAACCGCTTTACCTGGAATCCAATAGGGGAGCTCCCTCGGTTCATATGGACGGAATGCTGGCTTGATGGTAAATGCCCACAGTCGAAAGCCCAAGCAGAGAACCCCAACAGCAATAATGGAAGAGAGTAATACCAACACTACTGGATGGACGCCAGCGAGCCAACCACTCGAATCTTTAATAACGGTGAAAAACATTGCGGATGTTCTTACTACGCTCACAACTTTCACATTCCTCGGAAGGAGGTTTATATCAGTGGCATCATCTATCAATTATCACGATTGATGACGTCGGTCAGTGACATCCAAACAAAAGCAAAGAGACCGGAATGCATCACGCTGAAACATGGAACATGTTTGGAGTTACAGATTCCGTCGATATCGATCCTAGCTTGCTGCCTGCTGCGCTTGACGCACTTACGCGGTTACGACGTCTATTGCTAGTCCATTTGATAATCACTCCCCCAATTGGTCGAGATGACGCTGAGTGGGGAGTGGGTGAACTGGGGTATGATCCATGATCTGCATCTCTTGCAAGATTGACCACAGATCAATTTCGGTTACCACTTCTATATATCGTTGAGGGTGGCGATAATCATTGCTCGAGTGAGCTTGGCGTATCCCGAATACGAGTAACACTAAGTGTGATGCTCGATGCACTTCGGGGTACAATATCTTGGCTCGGACTCAAAAGTCGAGCGTTCGAACGCTGCACAACCCAAATGGTCACTGTGCAATCGATTTAGTTCACGTTTGGGTACTAAACGGGCGGATCTAATCTACTATCAGGGACGATTTGCGCTCTTATCTTGTTGGCGACGAAACACGCGGCTCCTCAACTAGTTTAGTGAGCATTAGGCGCAATTAGGCGTGGATTCTATTGTCGAATGCATTTGGTTAACTGTATGCTGTGACGAAAGTTTCGGGCTATGTTCAAACAGACTATGCATCGAGAGAGCGAGGATGGATCAAGGGCCAGGCATTGAGTACGCAAGCAAGTCTACGCAATCAAATCTATGCGTCGAAAAGCTTCCATGAACACATAGATTCCCGGGCCTCGGTGTCATTGCGCGTTTGGAGATGTCCGGTCACATCAAGGTACTTGAAGACAAGTCAAATATGCAGAAGGAACATCCAAATTTTATTCATGTCAAGATTCATTCATATCACCAGGTTGTGAAATGTCGAATGCGACTTTGATTGCGCGTTTCTCTGAACAAACGATATCAAGTGACAGTGGGAATCCGACTGTTTCTCGCACTATTCTTTTTACCTTACTTGGGACACTATTCACCTCAATCACATTCAACTGGGTATCGCAATGGCTAGAAAGGGGACGATGGCTCTTCAATGGCCCTCAATTACTGGCGGAAAAATACGTGAGATTCATCTCTTCCAGAGTAATTGTTTGGCCCAAGGCCCTGACATGACGATTAGAAAAATGGCATCCCCTTCACGATCAAGACGCCGGAGAGGATGTACACACTGGTCTCATCTCCGGAACATATCAAAGAGTTGGGTATCGCGAGCGAATCAAAACTCTCTTTACTGGCAACCGCAGAAGAGGTCTTTCAACCTCACCACACAATGAACGGTGTTGAACTGAATCGACTGGGTCTTCAGCATCGCATTCTGCGATCTCTGACCTCTAATTTTCCCCGAATGCAGGATACGTTGGGGTCTCTGGCACGAGAATCCCTTACGAATGAGTTGAATAAATTTCCATCAAATTCTTGTAAGCACTAGATGAGTGAATAATCAATTCAGTTTGTTTACTATACATTAGGTTGGAAAAGTGTGAGTATATGGGATCTTGCCCAAAACGTAATCGCAACCACGAACACATATACTTTTTACAGTGAAGATCTTAGTGAGTTCAATTACTCGTTCCACTTTATTTTATCATTGCTGAGCAAGAAAATAGGCAGAGATTCTGAATTTATCAAAGCTGCTGTTCAGTATCCCCAGGACGTCTTTATTGCTTCTGAAGTCCTGCGTTGTACCCCCTCGTTTTTGGCGCCGTAAGTTTACCTTCACAACTTGACAACAATTTGATGACGACTGATTGCCTTACGCATCCAGGCTAGTAGCCTGGATTGTTACTGGCGGCCATAAGGCTTCCAAGCACCTGATCGACGGTTTGATTCCCATGGTCAAGGAGCGAATCGAGACCTTCTCCAAGACTTCTCAACGCCCGGTAGGTCGATGTTGCCCATTTTTCCATAGCCATGCTAACTTGTGTCCTTTCAGCGCGACTACATTGAACACATAATCCACCTCTACCCAGAAGGTATAGCCAATCGTGTACCCAATATGGTGCGACAAACTCTCGCACTTTGGTTTGCTGGTGTGCACCAACCTGCAATTGTAAGATCGAGCCAACTCTCTCTGTCCTCACCTTGTTAACCACAGAGCCAGACTCTTTTTCATGCCCTCGTTGATCTATGTAAATATCCGGAGTACCAAAAAGCATTATACGAAGAAATCCAATCGAACATAAATGACTACGGATCTCTACAAATCAACAAACTCCCCCTCCTAGACAGTTTCCTGAAGGAGTCCGCGCGACTGACCACCTCAGAGACAAGTGAGCATCGCTCTATACCACCATATATTATCTATCACTAACCGTCACTGCGCCACAGTCTCCCTTCGACGCAAAGCAATGAACGACTATGCCTTCCAAGATGGCACGAAAGTGGCCAAGGACGACTGGGTCTGTGTTCCGCAACGCGCGCTCATGCGAGATCCCACGATCTACCCCAATCCGGAATCATTCAACGGATACCGCTTTCTCGAGCAGCAGCTCGAATCATCTACCAAGCGAGCAGCCAAATTCACGGATCTCGATCCTGCATATCCCATTTGGGGACTTGGGAAACAAGCTTGGTATGACATCCTCTACGCGACACGTTAGATATGATTAGCCGACTCACATAATATAGCCCTGGGAGGTTCTACGCTGCGTTCATCCTCAAGATTGTACTCACAGAGATTATAACGAACTATGATGTCAGGCTGCGAAACCCCAATGAGCGCCGGACGTTCAGTTGGCGGTCAAGTATGCTTCCCTGGCCTACCTCGCGGATCGAGATGCGGATGAAGGAAGAGGCAAATTAATCAGTTGCAAGCTTTGATGGACTTGTTAACAAATCCAACATGCATTTGGTATCTTAGATCTCCACGAAAGCCGATTTCAAATGTTCTACTTTTTTATGAGATTTTATTGTCGCATCTGTCTGGACCTTAAGGTGATGCTAGCTGATTGTCACCTCCATGGTCACTATCAGCGCAAGGTCGTGTCGATAAAGCGATTGTTCTGTGATTCCTCGTGATCTGCTACATGTTTTTCTGCATTCAAAGTTGCCCTAGGCCGCTTTGATGTACCATATTTCCATGGTTATCCGTAATCGGACCGATAGTCCAATCCCAGGTCGGGTTTATCTATGCCACTCTTTCACATGCTTCTTGCTCACCTACCAAGTGAAAAAAAAGTATTTGACTCAGCATGGGAATCATGGAAACCATTTAAACCGGGAAGAGGGAAAATCACACGCAGATGAAGCCCTCGTCCTCTTAGATTGTGACCTATGGAGTGATACGAAGCCCCTTTCAGTTCGAGCCTCGGCCTAGGAAGGAAAGGAAAACATGTTGGTTGAGATCTTCCTATCAAGGGTTGGAAGGAACGCCTAGCTGGTATTTCCCATTGCTCGTTACAATGTCAAGGCATATGGTGTTCGAGACAAAATGGATTTCATTTTAGTCTGTAATATAGTGCGAGGAGGTTACAGAAAAGTCCATCACCATCAACACCATTCACTCTCACGCTGTCGGACCGATCGAAGGTATTCAGTAATTAAGTAGACGATTCCTCCACCAGGCGCTGAATTTTGCCGAGTTTCTCTGAATGCCGGTCTTTGTTGGCTGGCCAGTAGTTGATCCAAGGATTACTGATCGGATTAAATTGGCCTAGCGTCCATCGGACATCAATTATCTCCGATGGTGAACGCAACCTCTCTTGTGAAAGGTGCATTTGGGTATACCATTACAAGCTGCCATACCTCCACTGTTGCGCTCATGCGTACGCGTCAGGCCCGTCTGAAACGCATAAGCAAGATCAATATCGAGTAGAGGAATCCACCGGACATGGCCGCACCGGATGAGCGCAGCAACGACGATGACGCGAGGAACCCATCCCCAAGACCCCGCAAGAAGCAAAGGAAGCAAAGGCCTTGCTATAGCTGCGATGGTGAGGTTTCAATAGTAATTAACTTCAGAGAAGTTTATTCACATCATCCAGAATGTCGCAGACTAAAAATGAAATGCGATCGACAGGGTTTGTGATCCCACCGCGTAACCACATATCAGCTGATTGTCTTGGACAGTGCCCTGTTCAAATTGTGTTCGCAGGAATCGATCGGAAATGTGCAATAGGGTTGCGACTGACCGGAGGGCACCTTTGTCTGTTTTCCCCGATTGAAGGTATGACGGAGCTAATTGGGCGTATAGTCGAGGCTCAGACCCACAGTCCAGACGACAGCATGGCACAGGGGATAGTTCATTACCAACAGCATTGGAGGACCGTTCCCGTAACACTGAAATGCTAGCTGAATCACATCCAAACCAAGACTCGCAGCAACAGCTGTTACATCCCGCAGAATCATCAGGAGGTCAATCTTTAACACCGGTGCCACTTTGTCACAACGACCGGGACAACCATGGTTCTTCAAACCTTCTGTCCCGTGCAATCGAACCGTACAATGGACAGGAACAGCCTTCACAGATATCACCGCCGGTGCATACCTACGTCTACAGTATTCCGACGGGAGCAAGTGGATCCAGTCACCCTGGCCAGCAATCTGTCGATGATGAGCAAGACGGCTCTCATGGCACCCTAATGCTGAGCAAAGGGGGGAGATCAAAGTATCTTGGCCCTACCGCTGGTAGCGAATGGCTGAAAGACGTACGTTATATTATCTGTCTTGCCCTGCAACCTCTAATTGTAACCTAGTCGGAGACTCAAGATATTCATGATAGCCCACTAAACACGCGAGCTCCTTCTCCAGTCATCCCTGAAGTTTCAGTCCATCCGCAGCCCGGTGGGATAGGGCTATCGGCCTTTCCATTTCATGCCTCGACTGCGTATATCAGCACTCATGATGTGCTCTCACGCTTGCCTCCAAAGGATGAAGCCTGGACCTTGGCCGAAGCATACTATCGTTACTGTGCCTGGCAGTAAGTTTCATGCGAAAATGATATTGGTCTCAACTTACTGACCATTTCAGTCATGACGTAGCACCCAAAGATCGTTTTGAAAAGACCTTTGAGCGAGTATATTCGCTTGCGAGTGGAAGCGCCGTAATTCCACCGGTTGACCCTCAAGAAATTGCGCTTGTGTTCATAATCATGGCCCAGGGAACTAGGTTCAATATTGAAATGCCCATCAATGATCCGTCAGCCGATGAATGGTTGCATCTCTCGGAACAGGCATTGGTGAAGGGAAACTTCTTGTCCAACAACACAGTTGCTGGGCTTCAAACGCTGGCGAGTACTCAGCTTCGTACATTTAACACTATCTCTAATATGTTCCAGCATTTGATGGCTCACTGGCACCTGTGGGCACAATACTCCACTTTTTTGACATCTTCTAACTCGTCGGTAGGCAATTGGATAAAGGGAGGCGTGGGGATATTGCCTGGCCACTTTGGGGCCTCGTTATGCGGTTGATTCAGGCAGTGAGTACCGTCCAAGAAATTAGGATTGGTTTCTAAAGGTTTCCTTCAGATGGGTATGCACCGCGACGGCGCGCGCTGGAATCTACCAGAGGATGTGGTAGAAGAACGGCGGAAGGTTTTTTGGGAGTGTAATGCAGCTGATACTTTCCAGGCGCATTGTTTTTCAAGACCGTTCGTCCGCTCTTTCTGCTGATTTCAACGTTACTAAAATATATTAGATGTGCCATCAACCCCGAGCATTGCGATACGGCATTTCCATCTGAACCTCTTAACTCGAGTGGGGAGAAAAGTTATTATCTTCATCGGTTCGAGCTATCTCAACATTCAGCTGAGTAAGTCTTGATTCAGAATTTGGGCCTTCCATCACTTACACCTGATCAGAATCCTCAATATGGCAATGAAAGTGCGCAAACCGCCATATTCAGACGTGCTCGACCTGGATTCAAGACTGTAAGTACTATAGCAACTAAGGCTGGATCACACTTATGATGATTGGTTCCAGTTGCGAATTCGAGCGCAGTCTCCCCTTCTCCCTGCGTAGTCGCGCAGCATATTTAGCTATGCCCTCTCGATATCCTCAACTAGCAGCTGCCATCGAAGCGTCTCCCGAACCTTCACTGAGGTCAATGGCTCACTCATTCCAGGTGAGACTATCGATATGAGGTGAACTACCGAACAAGCTAACTTAGGTTAGCAAATGAATCTTGCTATAAATATTTCCGAAACTTTTATGAACTTGCATCGCCCTTATTACGCAAAAGCACTTTACGACGAGGAAGGCGATGGCTCCAGATCCATTTATGCGCCTTCATTTCTTACCGTTATTGAACGTTGTGCAGTGAGTATAATCGTCTCTCAACGCGCGAATCACATCTTGACTTTTATAGATGATCATATCACTTGTAATGGATATACACAAAAGGTTTCCAGCTGTTAGTCTTAGACAATGGAATCTTTGGGTAGGTGAATTCTGCTCCATGCAGTCATTGGTTCTGACACAGAGGTCCAGTATCACGTATTTGGTTCCGCCTTATGCTTAGGAACACTTTTGCTACGGGATCCGACAAATGCCATGTCGGCATTCGTGCTTTCGCAGATCGACGCAGCTGTTGATCTTTTCACTTCTCTCATCCAACATGGTGCTGGCTCGCCACGTTATAACCGCAATCTTGAGTGGCTTACTAAACTGCGTGCCCGCGCATCGTCGAAAATGGCTTCATCGTCGCAGGTAGCTGCAGTCCAGTCGAATCATGACGAAAATCAGCGAAGAGGTGATGGAGATGTCGATGATAATGAGGATGTGGAATTGCTTGGTTGGCGGACGAGGCTAATTGAGCGGGCGGGCCAGGAAAGTCCCTCGGTCAAAACAATTCATCTCCCATCGACACCAAACGCCGTCAATAGCTTGAACCGACATCATACATCAGATCAAAGCGAACCAAGGGGCCCGCCAGGTCAGATGAGAGCAACGGAGACACTGCTTGGTTCCGCAAACCCTGCGGCAATTGTCCACTCGACGGACGATCTAGTAAGATTGGCAGGGAAACACTTCTCAAATTCAGATCTAACAGGGTTCAGTTGCACGAATTCTGGGATCCTATGCTTTTACAGGATATCTTTGGTAATCTTCAGGATCAACCAAATGTAAGAATCTCCCAAGTTCATTTTGATTACAACGTTGACTCTTCTGAAACAGCTATCTATTAATAGCGGATCGGCCTGGTGGGCGAGTGATACGTCTGGTTTGGATGTTGCCTCTTGGCCACAAGATGATCGCCAGGCCGAGCATTGATTTGGGGAAGATTTAGTCGTATCTAATATCCCTAGCCATGGAAAAGTAGATCTGCAACTCTGCCGTTCTCTATTGCTATGACGACCTCTGGAATTGTTTCCACAAAGCCAGGAAACTTAGTGATCACTGATTTTGGTGGATTCCATGATAGGCGAACCGTTATCGTCGAAGTAAACAGGTACATTGTTTCGAAAGGAGTATTGTAATGCGGTCGCAATCTTCGCTGCTTCGTAAGCATCTTCTGGGGTGCACGTAAGGGCTTTCCCGTCAAGAATGGCCTCCGAAAACTCAGAAAGATCGTTGATGAACGATCTATCATAGAGGACGAAAGCATCCGGAGTCGTAGCTGTGCGCACACCATGCTGGTCACGGATCTCCACACGGTCCATCGTCGAGTTGCCGTTGATTATTGAGTGGCCTTTCGTGCCACAAACGCGTGTCATTCCTTCAAAGCCATTTCTAAGTGTACGACCCACATGGGTTGTGAGAATTTTGCCGTTCGCAAATTCAACAAGCCCCCATCCATTGTCGCAATCGCCGTATTTTGCCAGGTCACCGTAGACAGCTTGCTGGCCCATGGCTATCACTCGGTTGACCTGCTTTTTAGGGTTTTGGAGCCCGGATTTGACGTTTAAAAAGTAGCGTCCGATGTCGATCTAGTTTTCTGTTAGAAGATGACTTCTTAAGGGAATCATAGGACTAACATCATGAACGCCCATATCGACGAATATTCCTCCAGACTGTGCTGAGAATGAAACGAAGAAACCTAATAAGCGTTAGTAAACCCTTGGGATAGGGATGTTGTGGAAGGGCTGTTGCACCAGTTGGGTCTTGTTGGTCAAGACAGGTTGTTTCCACAGCGTGGATATCACCGAGTGAACCGCTCTCAACCAAGGTCCTTGCAGAACGGTAGGAATCATCATCTATGGTCGATTAGATCCAGATTGGACTGTTCACGAATGAGTTTACTAACATCGCCGGCAAAAGGGCACAAGAAATTTCAGATGAGGTTTAGCCGCAGCTTTCGCTAGGACTTCTTCGGTAGTTATGACATCCACCGAGATGGGCTTCTCGCACATCACATGCTGTCAAGAATCAGCTCTCTATCTTTTCCTTTTCAGAATTCGAGATACCTACAAGATCTAGATCGAGACCCTTGCATATCAACGGCGCATGGGTGGCAGTTGCAGTTGAGATTAAAACAGCCTCTGCACCACTACTCTTCATGCATTCCTCAGGATCATCGTAGAACTTGACAGTGGATGGAAGATTGGATACTGCCCACTCTCCAGCGCCAGGCTTCGTGTCGCAAACAGCTACCAGCTCGATTCGTGGCTGTTGATGTGCAAGTATGCGCGCTCGAATGGCGCCTAGACGACCAAGGCCGATGAGGGCGAGCTTGAGACGAGGTTGCGTTGCCATTTTGCTTTCCATTACAAGATCACTGTACGTGCTTAGACATTCTAGTTATATAGATGCATTCTTTCTAATGAGGAGATAGTTGTTCGTAAGTCCATTCTGTATACAAGGCTCCATGGGATCAGCCATATGCCCGACCCTCCACTCAAAATCCTTGGTGGGTTTCAGAGATAGGAAACAGATCGTGAGTTCGGTTCGAAATAATGGTTGTGTGGCACCGGACTTATTTCTTACCCAGAATGTGCCGGGCCGTTGTGGTCGGCCGAAATGAAAATAAGTCCGATCTTGGTTTTGTTGACATGGCTATCCCCGACCCCTTTCACCCGTAAGGAATCCAGAACGGAGAAACCCTGAGATCGACAAGACAACTACCGATGAAGTCGGCGGACAAATTGTCGCCAACGAAACACCATGTGAAGGCATTATCGATGTCGAACGATAGTCAGCAGGACTATGTGTCGGATGTATCTGGAGGTGGCAATCATGAAGCACTTGAAAATCAGCGTGTCGGGGCCTCAAATGAGGATTGGACTTTCAGCTGTATTCATCCACAATCATGCCTTCAATTGACATTGCCAAGTTCTCCGATAATAGCGAGATCGCCATTGCGGACGTGAAGGCCAAGGTCGTAATTGATCATGTCGAGGTCGAAGTTGAAGTCGACCCCAAACCTTCCTTGGATGATAATTACATGTACGATTTCAAGTACAATCATGTGCTTCCTACCACCAGCGAATTAGGGGTTGAAGTACCTGTCGACTGCGATGCACAGAAGGAGGCTGACAATATCCTTTCACGCCTCTCAAAATGCATGGGCGAAGGAGACGCTCAAGGTTTCGCTGACATGTTCTTGGACTATGGTATGTTTCCCTGAACACGAACTTTTGGCAACGTCTAAAACTTAATGTAGGCGTTTGGCGAGACAAGCTGTCCTACACCTGGGACTATCGCACCTTCAATTTCAAATCTGCAATCTTCAAAGCTGCAAGCGACCTGTTCCCACGTACACGAACCACCAACTTTCGATTCCTTCGACCGGATCCCAAAGTTTTGAGACCCTACCCTGACTTTGCTCAACTACAACTTATTGCATCCTTTGACACGGAGCTCGTCAATGCCTCCGCCGTTATCAACTGCGTTCTTACGAAAGAGGGCTGGAGGATTTACACCATGCACACAGTGGCGGAAAAGCTTACACAATTCCCTGAAATCCCACCGACAGATGGACATATGACCGGAGCAGTCAGTTGGGAGACACAGAGGGCTATGGATATTGATTCTGCGAATCCAGAGATTCTGATCATTGGTGGTGGACAGAAGTAAGAGACTGTATTCTATGATCATCCAGCATGGACTAATATCAGCAGTGGCCTTGCCCTGGCGGCTCGATGCAAAGCATTAGGAATGAATTGTCTTATAATTGAGAAGGACGAGGCAATCGGTGACGTGTGGAAAAAGAGATATGAATACCTGTCTCTGCATTTCCCTCACTGGGCGGACGACCTCCCATACTTCCCATACCCAAAGCACTGGCCGACGTACACTCCCGCTCAGAAACAGGGACTCTACATGGAGTGGTATTCTTCAGCACTTGAGTTAAATATTTGGTGCAAGTCAACCGTTGCGAAAGCTGAGCAAGACGAAACTGGTGGTTGGACAGTAGTGGTCAACAAAGAGGGCAAGGAAACCCGAACATTGCGACCTAAGCATGTCGTAATGGCCACTTCTCTCTGTGGTGCCCCTTCCACTCCAGTTATTCCAGGTATGGCCAGCTACAAGGGCGGTGTGATACGTCATTCTACCGCGCATGACAGCTCTCGAGAGTTTGTCGGAAAGAAGGTCTGCGTAGTTGGTACCTCTTCTTCTGGCTTTGACACGGCCTTCGACTGCTCGCGCCGCGGCATCGATGTCACTCTGTTGCAGCGCTCTCCGACATACATCATGTCCCTCACACATTCGGTCCCCCGTGTCATCGGCAACTATAGTCCTGACACTGATGGCAATCGACCCAGCCTTGAAGAGCAAGACCGCCTCTTCTTTGCAACTCCTACTGGCCCTGGAGAAGAACTTTCTCGACGAAATGCCAAAGTCCTTGAGGATCTAGACAAGTCTTTGCTCGAAGGGCTCAACGCGCGTGGTCTACGTACATGGCGAGGCCAACGCGGTACTGGCGGTGCGACACTGGGCCAAACTCGCAATGGCGGATTCTATTTTGATGCAGGCGCTTGCGAGCACATCATTAATGGCAAAATCAAAGTAGAGTCGGGATACATTGAGAAGTTTACAGAGGACAAGGCCATTCTTAGCGGTGGCCGGGAACGACAATTCGATTTGATTGTTTTCGCAACTGGGTTCTCGAATGCAATCGACTCAATTCGCAGCACACTTGGTGAGCAGATTGCAAGCCAATGCGGACCTATATGGGGCATTGATGAGGAGGGTGAGTTCAAAACCGCTTATCGAGAGACCGGAGTGTCGAATCTATGGGTTATGGTCGGATACCTGCCATATACCCGATTTCACTCCAAGTTACTTGCAATGCGCCTAAAGGCCCTACAAGAGGGAATTTCTCCGGAACCCTACAAAAGATAGCTTTTCTGTTCGTAGACAAGTAGCTTTCTTGAGCAAATTGGCAATCTCTTAATGATATTTGACGAGCACTCTTTCCATTCCGAATCTGAGACGCATACCTCTTATTTGATCTAATAAATCGGGCTCTGGTATCACACTCTCGCAAGTCCAAGACAGGCGATACCAGCCGCCCAACGCTGATAGTCACCAATAATGATAGCCGGGGCGCATCGTTTCACAGTATTGATAGTGAGTCATTTAACCTAACTTGACCGGACCAGGGCCCACATCTATTGTTTAAACATTCTAACATGTTTAGATCTAGCTTCTTTCTTTTGTTACCTAGACCACTTGGGGTAAAAGGAGGTTGGCCACCAATGTTCAGATATGGAAGAAGAATTCTCTAAGCCTGCAGAAGATCACAGTGTGCTGATAATAAGATAAAGACATGTCAATAGTTACATAGTTTTGGGATTTCTTTTATCTACGAACGAATCTGTTGCACTAAATATTGATAGATAGTATCATATTCAACGGCATCAGGTGAGCTTAGTCTGCGGTGTGGCAATATATGCCGCACTTTCTAGGCATTAAACTATTGCGGCTTGGTTGGACCATACCAGTCAGCGAAACCGAGGTCGAAGCCCCACAAGGGTGTGTTCAATCGTTGTGCTTTTCCGCTGGCAGCGATGCCATCAAGAATAGCAAGATCCTCTGTGGGAAGTGGGATGATCTCCTTATTGCTCGTAATTCTCTTCTCGGTGACAGATTTGGGGAGAACAACAACACCCTTATTAACATGATAGCTGATAAGAATGGTGGCGGCCGAGACGCTATGCTTTTCGGCGATTGCCTGGATTTCTGAATCGGCCATGATGGGCGCACCTAGCGGAAATCAGTGCTTGCGACTTATGAAGCATGCATGACGTTCTAAACTTACCAGTAGACCCAAGTGGGGAGTAAGCCTCAAGCAAGATTCCAAGTTTGTTACAGTACTCTCTCAGTTGGTGCTGAGGCAGGAACGGGTGAAGTTCGACCTGATTGACGGCCGGAACAACGGTCCATTTCTTTGCCAGCTCCTCTAGATACGCAATTGACCAGTTAGCAACACCGATTGCCCTGACCTTTCCTGACTTGTAAAGTTCTTCCATCTGGCGCCAAGTCTCACTCTGGTCCCATGATCGGTCAACTGAACGACTACCATCTGCATTTACTGGAAGGAGCTCGCTCGTCTCGTTCTTCGTAAAAGTTAGGGTGGGATTGGTTGTACAATTAATACGGGGGAGCTTACCGGGATCAATTTAACGGGCCAGTGAACGAGCTGTGATTCGATTTAAGTTTGAGTAATCTCTGGGGAATGGGGGGATACCCACGTATAGGTCGAGGTAATCTGTCCCTAAGGCATCTAGACTCTTCTGAAGTCCTTCCCTAGCATTATCCTGATGGGTGTTCCAAAGCTTGCTCGTGATGAATATCTCTTCACGTGGGATACCGCTGTCTTTGATTCCCTGCCCAACTTCGCTCTCATTACCGTATATGCTGCCACCTCATTCAGTAATCGTAATGACGGTAGAGGTATCAACGTACAGTGCTGCATCGATATGGCGATAACCTTCTTTTAGCGCATATGCGACCGCAGCTCGAACCTGTCCAGGCTCTGACTTCCAGGTTCCTTTCATTTGACATTAGTGATCCCAAAACACACGCCAATGAAGATAGACTTACCCAGACCGACAGCAGGAATTTGCATTCCGGTGTTGAGTTTGAAGTGAGACGGCACTGTCATTGGTGTCGCCATTCTGCGGAACCTCACTTTTTCGATTGGGACAACTAAGAGAGATCAAATTAAGTCAGAAAGAGGAATCTCGGCAGCCACCAAATTTCTTTTTGTGCTCTTCTTTATGATCATGATGTACTCTTAATGAGATTCCATATTTTTCATTTCTTATAATTCATCAAAGATACGCCGATGAAGATAATACAAGAAAGGTTGGAATATCGGACATAGGACATATTTTCCTGAGTGTGCCTCATCCTTGGCTACTGAATCATGGGCATCGGACTTATTCGGCTGTGTAAATCTAGTCAATCCCCAGAGCCCTATCCCCGGTTCTCAAAATCTGACCTGGCCGTCTTGTGTCGGACTTTGAGAACAATCGTATCCATATGGTGAAACTACCGGCAATTTGAAGTTCGGAGATCCACGGTGATGGGAACGGGCTGATTTGGCTTTTGGTACTATGTTTAAGCTGAAGTTGTTCTAGATATCAACGCAATTTGGTAGGATGGCTTTGGATGTGTGCCATGCGCTTTTAGTCGCGAAGATTCGCATGGGATGCTTCTTCGATGGTATACATCATGCACTCACACAAGCTGCTCCTTTCGGGTGACAGGGCGAACTTCACTATTATCGAGTTCAACAGCACAGGAAAGGAGATAAGTATACTTGCCGAGTACCCTTCTCCATACAATGCTTCATGGATTGAAGTAGCGTCATCGCATGGAAATATCAGCAACCTAGTTGGTTTATCAGAGGGCGAAGACGTTGGCCTGTTGTACACCTTTCAGATTGATCACGCACACAAGACTTGTCAGATCACAAGTCAGCAGCCAACATTGGGAGCACCTGGTCATTGTGAGTAATATCGATTCTAGCGAATACAGCCTTGATTACTAACGACTATGGATAGTTCTCACCCTACGTGACAACTCCGCCCTGGTGCTTGGCACTGTGAGTATATTATGGAATCCTATGTGTCTGGCACTAACGTCAGTCAGTACCTGGGGGGTTCCATTGCTGTGTACCCCATAGAAATTACCGATGATCATTCACCCCTCCTATCTGATGAACCTCGCACAGAGATCTTCCCAGAATTCCCCTACAGGGACGTCGGGCATGGTCCAAACAAGGCCAGGCAACAACAATGTCACGTACACCAAATCCTAGATGGGCGGGGAACACTCTACGCTCCAGACCTGGGTTCAGACCGTGTATGGATCATCCGTCGCAGCGGTTCGGTTCAGGTGGATATCACTGGCTGGCTGCAGTGTCCACCTGGAACTGGAGCTCGACATGCAGTAATAGTCCCTGATAGTGAGTATCTCCACACGTACGTTGGATGGCTACTGACAAACCCTAGATCAGATCATGTATGTTATTGGAGAGCTGTCGCATAACGTAGTCGCCTTCGATCTTTCGACCATTCTCCCGGGTGCCAACCTTCCGATTGAAGATTTCGCTCCCCACGTTATACCCCAGAACGTGCATCCCGACCACCAATTGATGATGGACTCATCCGAGATCTGTCTTCATCCCAAGATTCCTAACGTCCTATATGTCAGCAACAGATGGGAGCGACACGTCTTGCGGAGAGAACCACATTTGAAGAATGTGCCTAAAGATCTGCCACCGGGCGACGCTATCGCCGTCATCCTTCTTTCTAGCTGTGGTAGAAAGGTGGAAGAGAAAAAATATATACGTACAAATGTTGACGTTATAAGAGGCATGAGACTCAGTAATGATGGCAGGTATATGGCAGTTGTTGGTCAGGAGGGTGGAGGTGTAGAGATCTATGAGATAGAGGGAGATCGGGGCGATTTGTGGACCAAGATCGCAGGCCTGAACAATGATTTAGAGAATGGTCTGAAGCATGTAATTTGGCTTTAATGGTTATTGTTTTGCAATAAGGTCTATTGTGTAGTATGGGCCTGGAATTGGGGTTCTCATTCGATGATGTCTCTGATTGCCGAGGATAGTGACCAGTGACGATGTCGACCGAAGGGGCCAATATTCCTCCATTGGAACAATCAAAAGCCCGCGCTTTGAACAAAATATGTTGGCGTCATTATACTACAGCTATACTATCTTGAATTCAGGTTCACTGACTCGTTGTGGTGCTCTCCCACTTAAACACACGCGACTGAAGTTTGGATCGGACATATCTTTCTGAATCGGCCCTTCCAATATGTCCGACTCGGGATCCTCTTCCCGACAGTCTAGATCATACTACACGTTGCGGCAGACTTGCCTGGCCCTAATGAGGAAGCACTAGCACTCAACGATGGACCTAGCAAGGTTTAGAATGACATTTCGTCCGGGGTTCTGCATGGGCTAGCTACCAACACCACCCCACAGAGTGCAAGATCCACAAAGTCCGGGGACCCCATGGGCGCCAAAGCGAACGGAAGATGCCCATAACATCCTTAGCCTCATGGCTATCAATATATAAGTCCGTCTTCCTTCCTCGAAAAAAAGAATTCAGAACTCACCTTGTTCCACACCACTGAACTTTACGAAGTATACAAGCAACATGGCCAGCGAGAAGCCAACAGGCACCTTGTCCATTGACGAGGCGAGGGCACGCGGCAATGATGAAGACATCATGTTTGCCAACGCCGCTGCGGCGACAGGTATGTCGGACTCTTCATACTGCGCCCAAGATACAACGCTGACCTGAGACAGACAAGGAGCACAAGATGACCCTCTTAGAGGGTGTCCGCCTTTATCCCAAAGCAATTGGATGGGCCGCTCTGATTTCACTATGCTGTGCTATGGAAGGCTACGACATTGCCCTTATTGGTTAGTTATTTATCTCATCTCAAATTCTAATCTAACGGTCAAACATCATAGGCAACTTTTACGCGTTTCCTCCCTTCAATCGAAAGTATGGAGAGCTTCAACCTAATGGATCTTACGAAGTGCCTGCCCGGTGGCAGGCAGGTATTTCCAACGGTGCTCAATGCGGCCAGATTCTTGGTCTCCTATGTTAGTGGCCCATTACACTCGCACAATCATCATTTGCTTACAAGTATTAAGTGACTGGCTGGGGTGTGGATCGGTTTGGTTACCGCCCATTCATTCTCGGTATTCTATTCTACCAGGCCGCCATAACAACTATCTTCTTCGTTGCACCTAGCGTCCAAATCTTGCTCTTGGCCGAATGTCTCGCCGGTATTGCCTTTGGTGTCTTCATGTCGGGTGAGTATTCGAATCTGTGCATTGGATTGATTCAGGTTGACTTATTATGCTATAGTTGCAATTTCTTACGCCAGTGATATCTGCCCTGTGGCACTTAGAGGTTACCTCACTACCTGGGGCAATTCCTGCTGGGGTATTGGTCAACTTATCGCTATCGGTGTCATCAAGAGCCAGTTCAGGCGCGATGACCAATGGGCATATCGCATTCCTTATGGACTTCAGGTACCGTAGTCCCGGCTCGCCTCACAAGAAGCTCTAGCTAATTATTGCAGTGGATGTGGTTTCCCCCTCTAATGCTCGGCATCTTCCTAGCTCCCGAATCGCCATGGTGGTTGGTACGAAAAGGGAAATTAGAGGAAGCGAAGAAATCTTTACTTCGACTCACATCAGCCAAAGCAGATCCGGATTTTGACGTCAACGAAACCATTGATATGATCCGACATACTGATGAGCTTGAGAAGACCTTGACCGAAGGCGCTTCTTACCTCGATTGCTTCAGGGGCGTGAATCTGCGACGAACCGAAATTGTCTGCATGCTTTTCGTCTCCCAAAACTTCGCTGGCAACACCTTCTCGAACTACTCCACCTATTTCTTCGCGCAGGCCGGATTGACAGGAGAAATTCCTTACAACTTTGCTCTCGGCCAGTACGGACTGAACACGATTGGCGCGTTCGTTACCTGGGCATTCATGGCCTATGGCGTTGGTCGACGAACGCTCTTCCTCTGCGGCTTATGCGGTTTATTTTGCACGCTCCTCACCCTCGGCTTCCTCGGCCTCGTCGCCGACAAGCACGCCGCCTCCCTCGCAACTGGCTCCCTCATGATCGTCTGGGCCGCCTTCTACCAATTCTCCGTCGGCACCGTTGCCTTCTCCCTCGTCGCCGAGATCTCATCGCGTCGCCTGCAAGTCAAGACCGTCGCTTTGTCTCGCGTCGCCTACAACATGGCCGCCATCGTCGTCAACATCCTCACCCCATACATGCTCAACCCCACCGCGTGGAACTGGCGCAACTTCGCCGGCTTCTTCTGGGCTGGCACTTGCTTCTGCGTGCTGGTGTATCACTACTTCCGCCTGCCTGAGCCTTCGGGCCGTACGTTTGCGGAGATGGATCTTCTGTTCGAGCGACGCATTCCGGCGAGGAAGTTCAAGACTACGAATGTCAATGCTTTCGATGTTGCGCTGCGGGATCAGAAGGCTGATGACAAGCCTGAGGTTCTTCACTACGACCGTGTCTAAGAGCCATCAGTGGTAGATTATGGCCGCACTGGTATGACGACTAAGGTCTTATCATGCGCGGTTTGAGTTCTCATACACACAGTTCTCATGAGGAGGCAAGACTGTTGTTTGATTGAATATCATCTTTGAGCAGGGATCAAAGCTCATCTGTACCATGTAAAATTACTTCGAGTGACGTGCTCCCGTCCTTCCACATATAGAAGTGATCAATTCAAATTTAACAAATAAGCACACGCTCTACGTTGCAGTATTCCATGCCCGTAAATCATTCATACGGCATGTCTGCTAAGTATTTTGAGGCAGTCTCATTCTTCCTCCTATACAGTAATGGCACCCAGTCAGGTCTTGAACTCCAGTGAATCATGGTTTTCAGTTCCTTGTAGTTCCGACCGTTTAGTACAAGTAGGTGCAGCGATGTACAGGCGACAACACGCTGCCAAGCCCACGCCTCTCTAAGGAGTCCCCAAGCGCGTGTTCCAAAAATAATGAAGTCCGATCGGCAAGCGAGCATAATCTCGAGCTGTAGGATTCTTTTCCTCTCCACAATTTCCGGAGAAAGTGTGACGAAAGAGAACACCCGGATCGACTGTGATCAAGATGAGCCAGATCAGGAAGCCTGAAGTTCTAGATGTTCATTTGTTGGCACTCCATTTTCGATTGAATGGAGAACGGTGTTGTGAGATAAAATGTGAATATGACCCCAAAATCGGGCATGGGTAGACTTGATGTGGTGATTTTTCGGGACATTCGCCAATGACTCCAAAGGGGAAGATGTAGTTTGGTTGAATTGTGTATGCTTGAGTTCGATATTGAGAAGTAGTGCAAGCAGCAACATTCGAGAAACCGCTCGGCCATTGTTTGTATCTCATGATCTCGTTACGCCGAACATTTGAGTAGATATGGCTCACTTGTGAGATAAGATAACAGCCTCTGTTCGAACGGAAGTGGCTTCGTATTGTGCCACCTCAGGGGTATCCCATGAAGCCTTTCAAAGCTTTTAATCCTGAGATCGATCTTATTCGAGAGAGTTCCAGCCACATTTCTCTGTCTTTTGGTTGTTTTGAAATGCCTTCCATCAAACGTGTCGAACCCATTTTGAGTGCGATCAGGAAAGCGAATGCCACGTCACACTCCATCGGCATATAGTTTATATCCTCTTCAAGGGCATGACCCAGTCCTATACGAGATGCCGTCGTCTTTCCCATCGAGGACCAAGGTAGCAAGTTAAGATTGTCGAACCTTTTTCATGGAAAGGAAAGAAAAAAATCATAACCAAGAATAGCGAATGGTACCAGGTGTAATGTCTTTCCCTTGCGCAAGTTGCACATTCTCTCTTCCTCCATGGTCTTTTGGTTTGCATTTATCTGGCCAGCTTGGAAAACCGCCTCCTCGGTGGTTGCAAAATTTCGGGTTCATCTTTCGAGAGAATCTCTCTCAAAACATGAACATATAGATGACTACTGCTTTTCTTTTTCCTTCCTCTCTTTTTCATGACCAGTTCCATTTTTTTATTTCGGGCCTCCTACGCGCCTGTATCGCGAAAACGAAGGAAAAAAGCACACTCCTCCAGCCTAAGCCATCTTTTCGGTACTTCTCTCAGTACAGTCAATGGCATTTTCGGAGCATGATTCTGGGACGTGCGAAAGAGCTATGACGAAAAGTCGCATGATCGATGATATTCTGGACTTCAAAATCAAATCTCGCGTTCATGGCACCAGGTTTTATTTTTTTAAATCTTTCTCGAAAATTCTGTTTCGATTTGCACATGTCGCGGAGTTTTCTCAGCATTGTGAAGCTGGTTGACGTTTTTTTTTTTGGAACTTATTACAGAAGATGTTGAGTAGAGAAAAGAAAGGATAGAGCGCAACAACGCAGCTTCTTATATACCCAAGGCCTCAGCCCATCATCTAGCCACCGTTGTAGCACATAATTAATTATTCCTCTCATCTACCTGTCTATTCAAAACGACGAACAGAACCTGCACTTCACCGCTTGGTAAGGTAGGTAAACGGCTACACCTCAGCACCCAGCACGCTCCACTGGCTACCATTCCGGCCAATCACGTCCGCCCGCTCCCCGCACCGCACCCATCACGCCCTTCCAGTGACGCAGACGCAGACTATTGTACCTAGAGTGCCTAGCTACAACAAGCTCCACAAAACGTACACACGGCGTCCAGCGCGTGAGAATCCAAATATAAAGCTCTCGTCGCTTGCCTGTCTCAATTGAACCAAAGGGACAAAAAACACAACTAGGTACCAACAAGGAAGAAACAATGGCCGAGACTACGCTTGAGAACGGCGCGACGATACGTCATGCGAGGAGAGACGGTAAGTGCGAATGTTGCAATTCACATGTATTCTTTTCCACACTTCCATGAGTTTAACTAACAATCTCTCCCAGACGTTCCCACGATCCTCGCCCTCATAAAAGACCTCGCAACCTACGAAAACGCGCTCTCGAGCGTCGAAGCCACCGAAGAAACCCTCTCCCGCACCCTCTCCTTCGAAGAAACCAACACCTCCGCCTTCACACCCGGCTACGCGAAGACGCTCCTCCTGACGGACCCGGACAGCCGCGAAGTCGCGGGGCTTGCGGTCTACTTCTACAACTTCAGCACGTGGACGGGCGTCCCGGGGATCTATCTCGAGGACCTGTATGTGCGGGAAGCGGACAGGAAGAAGGGGTACGGGAAGGCGTTGATACGGGCACTGGCGAGGGAGGTGGTGAAGGTGGGAGGGAAGAGACTCGAGTGGAGTTGTTTGGATTGGAACGAGAGTAGTTTGAAGTTTTATGAGGGGCTAGGGGCGAAGAGGAAGGGGGAGTGGGTTGGGTTGAGGGTTGAGGGGAGGGAGTTGGAGGAGATGGGAGCGCAGCTCTGATGTTGATTCAGTTTTGGTGTGGGTTAGTCTATCTGGGTGGGGGTATATATCATGAGGTTCGTTTCAGTTCGGGTTGGGTTGACGTGGAGGTGCTGGCGGTGGTTGTTGGAGAATTCGGCCTTTGGTGTCGACCCCCGAGAAGAACAAGTCGCTGACGGATTGTGGGAGTGCCTCTGTCTGTTTGTTCGCCTGCTTGACTCCCCAATGCGCAACCCATTTCTTGGATTTCTCGTTGTAGGCCAATCTGCAGCTCAGGGCAAAGAGTCTTGCATACAAGCGCTTCATCATACGTGGCGTCAGTGCGTGTGGATGTATCCTCCCACCGGGTCTGTCCGCTTTGCTAGGCCTCTCTAGCCAAAGCCCTTCTTGTATTATCTTCATCGACCGCTCCTCTTCGCTGAGCTCTGTTTTCCCCGCATATGTCCTTCGCGGCACAAAGTCCGTCCATCTCTTGATTCCCATCGCCAGGAACTCCAATTCTTCCCATTCTCTCGTCGGTAATGGAGGCAAAATCCTAGCCATCGTCCTCGCATACCACCTCTTCACATCATTGCGCGCCCGTCGGACCGGCATTGGGCGTTCCCAGACATTGTTCACCGGTGTTATGAGCTGTCCTTGCTTTATCGTTGGCCCCAGTGACACTTCGTTCGCGAGCTGACTCGCCAGCACAGCTCTCAATCGCGGGTATCGTTTGGAAATAGAAATGGAATGCTTTGACGTCTCGTTCGCCTTCTTCTTCACCTCCATTGGCGCATCGAAGAATTGCAGATATCCTTTGCCGCTGTAGTACATTCTCTGCAGCGGCGGTAACAAGCCTTCTTTGTCAGGGACATCTTCGACCAGAATCTTCTGCATGAGCTTGTATCTCCTCGGTCCCAACCGACCGTACGTAAAGAGTAAGACCTTCCATAGCGAAGTGGGCTCGCCAGTGTTCGCGCGGCGGAGGTAGTTCAGCGCCTTGTGTGCTTTTCGCTGGACGTCCGGCGTTCGTGCCTCGATCACGGAGGTTGGTCGACGTTTGTATTTACTTCCGAGCCTATTCGTCGGCACTGCGCATTCCCGAGGCTGATAAGTCTTGAAGCGCGTTATGATGTAGCGGTGGAAGAAGCTGCGAGCGTTTGCATCGGGGAGGTATGTGGTCTCGCGGAGGAGTGCGCGGAGGAGGTGGAGCGATTTGAGGTTCGAAGGTGTGTATTGGCGTGGATATGGCGGTGGCATGGAGGAGGAGAAGAGCAAGAGGAGCGAGCGGGAGGTGAATATGAGGGAGAGGTTTCAGATGATTGCCAACTGGATCAACACATAGCCATGAGGTAGTTAATTAACGGATTTGGCAATATAATTGAATGAGATGGGGGTGGGAGAAACGGGAAACGGGAAACGGAAAACGGAAACGGAGGCGTCTGATTGGCCGAATTGGCTCGACGCGAACACGCACGCGCTTCTTCTCGTTCGCTTCCCCGTCTTAACATTCACCCTCTGACTGACTCCCAACTACCATCCCCCCATATACCATCGTTGATACTAACAATACAGGCCTATCCATAGTCAATTTCGCCTTCGCAGTGCTCCAGCTTTTGCGACAGGCTCCCGGGAGTATCACTGGGCCATGGTCCGCGCAGCTGCTACAAGTCCTACTGCTTAACACTCACCTCCCCACTTCGAACTCACCTCGACTCATCTACCCTTTACGGTCTTCCATACCGCTTCCTTCCTGTCCCGATTCTGTCGCTGGTATTATGCAAGTCGCGCGCTCCTTTCCTTCAGGTTCCTCCTCCCAGCCCGCCATGTATCCCAATTCCGCGCCACATGGGATGATGGCCGCGCCATCGTTCAACCGCTCCTTCTCCGACCATAACGGCCTCCAGCAACACGCCATGGATAAGCCTCAAATATATACGGTATGTGATTCTTGCGACTGCGCCGGCGGAGGATAGATGGATGAGCTAACTGGAAAGTAGGCTGTATACTCGGGCGTTTCCGTGTACGAAATGGAGGTCAACCGAGTCGCAGTCATGCGGAGGCGATCGGACGGCTGGCTCAACGCTACACAGATCCTCAAGGTCGCGGGTGTCGACAAAGGCAAGCGCACGAAGGTGCTGGAAAAAGAAATTCTGACTGGCGAGCACGAGAAGGTGCAGGGAGGTTACGGAAAATACCAAGGCACATGGATCAATTACCGCCGCGGGAGGGAGTTCTGCAGGCAATACGGCGTCGAAGATATTCTCCGGCCTCTCCTCGACTACGACATCACCGCTGAAGGAAATGCAGGGCAAGGCATAGAGACTCCGACCAAAGAGCAGGCCATGGCAGCAAACAGGAAACGTTTCTACACGCAAAGCATGGACGGCCGCCCTTCGACCACAAACCTTGGCGGTACCTTTTTCTCTAATATCTCCTCAACGGCGACGAGCGCACTTGCCGCCATGAACAAAGTTGCACGATTGAATTCACCCGCTCCACGACCTGCAAGCTCATCGCAAGGACGTCACCACAGCATGAGCCGGCCCTCACAAGGACCAATGGGAAGCCAGGGATCCTTCCGAGCCAGTAGCCAGCAGAGTGTACAGAGCCTTCATTCCGAGCGCAGCTTCGGCGCAAATGGTCACGCAGACTCCGCGTATGGGACCGGAATGGATGGCGAAGTTTCGGCGGAGCCACCCAGGAAACGTATGCGGACAGAAGAGTCTTTCTCACAACCCAACGGTGCTGACATCTCAATGCGCGACCATGGATCACCTACTGAACCTAGCGAATCATTCTACCAGACGAGCCATCAGCTCACCACGGCCGATGGAGAAGTTCCCACTGCATTGCCTCCCTTGCCTCACCCAAGCGATAAGCTCGCGGAGGAGAAGCAGGCCATGCTGACAGACCTCTTTGCAGACCAATCGCGGACCGATTTCACCAACCACCCCGCGATCCTCCATCTCTCTGGCGCAGATCTGGATATGCCCATCGATAATAGCTCTAATACGGCGTTACATTGGGCAGCCACTCTTGCGCGCGTGTCGTTAATGCGGCTTCTGGTATCCAAGGGAGCAAACATGTTCCGCGGCAATGCTGCCGGGCAGACACCTCTGATGAGTGCCGTCTCTGTTAATAACAGTCTTGACCACAGCTGCTTTCCGGAGACGCTGGAGATTCTCGCTCCACTGATTGAGCTCCGAGACGCCCAAGGACGAACAATCCTCCACCACATAGCGGTTACGTGTGCCATTAAAGGGCGAGCAGCCTCCAGCAAATACTACCTGGAAGCATTGCTTGAGTATCTTGTCCGGAGCAACATTGGGATTAGCCAGCCGGGGTCGTTCGAGGGCAGCGTCAATTATCCAAAGCCGATTGGATTGATGCGATTCATGCAGGAGATGGTGAATGCGCGAGACAAAGCCGGGAACACGGCACTCAACCTAGCAGCAAGGATAGGAAACAGGAACATCATCTCGCAACTGATGGAGGTTCAGGCCGATCCGTCGATACCCAACCACAAAGGCACGAGGCCGGTCGATTTTGGCGTGGGTACTGATGCGGATGTGCAGGTGTCGTTGGAGGCTAGTAGCCCGAGCAAGGGCAAAGCACCGCTCACGAAGGTAGAAGAGACGAGTCGGGAGATTCAACCTCGTATGTTCTGCCAAGCTCCCGTAAATATCTATATATACTAACTGAACAGTCATGAGCGGAATTCTTCAAAGCGCCAGCATGCAATTTACACAGGAAGCAAGACTAAAGCAAGATAATATCGACCGGACAAATGAGCAGATTGCACAGCTATCTGCATTACAAAAGACCGAGCAGCAACGCTTAGAGTCACTACGAATACGACTTCGCACCCGTCACGACCGGGCCAAACGCATCACAAATCTCCGCCGCTGGCTCGAACTCCAAAAACATAACCTCTCCGTCAGCACAGGCACCGACATCCGTGAGAGACGCAAAGTGGGCTACGCAGATACGGACGGCGCAATGGTTGTCGTCCGCAGCGAGGACCTCCCCGCCGAAGTGCGTGCAGCAGGCGATCTCCTCCTAACCAACTCTTCCGACGGCGCATCGTACGTCCAAACGCCCCTCCCAATCGACGTATCTACACTCGGCCGCGACCACGCCTCCGCCATTGCCCAGCTCCCCTCCATACAAACCCTCCGCCACCGCCTCGATGTCTACGTCCGCAATAACGAAGCCCTCGCCGACCGCCGCCAGAAGCTCAAGGAAAAGGACGGCCAGCTCGAAATGATGTACCGGAAAGTCGTATGCCTCTGCACCAAGACGGACGAAGATCGCATCGACAGCGTGCTGGAGGGTCTCGTGCAAGCGCTCGACAGCGATCCCCTCGACGGCGTGGAGGTCGGACGCGTAAGGGAGTTCCTGAGGAAAGTCGAGGGCGCCGATGCTTAACGCATTTCGTTTTTTCCATTCATGTACCACCACCGACTACATTTCACGGTGGTCTTTCTCTTTTTTTCCAACTTGGCCAAGGCTAGTGTACCGTAACCGTACCATCATTGCACCGTTTGCTCCCAGAAGAGCCTTTCTCCTTGCATCTTCTGCCTCCACTTTGACTAAAATCCCTTCGGGATGTGCGCACGCTGATTCTTGACCACGGGAATCTTGAAGTTCATGTTCATGTTCATATAAATATACCTACCTTACCTTACCTACCTAGATAGGTAACTAAATTAAAGCATCGATATCTCGGAAAATATATTTTCCATTCCTTCCAACGTCTATGTTAACGTCACCTTATGTGACACCCCTATCTCTCTAACTCACCTCTCTCAGTCCTGCTTGAGCTGTTGACGCTGATGGCGTGGTTCACGATTCGTATGCTGCATAGTTGGGCTTCGGGTACCCTGGTCAACGCCGGGGAAGCTTTTCAGTTCGCGTGGTGGGTTATAGTCCAGATATGTCGCATCATGGTGGTTGGTTTCAAGACACAGCACGCTACACGGGATATCTACAGAAAGTATTGGTATATACCATTCCCGTGGGCTGCGCTCAGTTGTATGGAACCTCTGCAGATGAATTAATGGAAATGTCGTTGACACACTTGTCGTAGTGGCCCTGCATGCCTTCGCCGCTCATCGGATATTGTCGCGTACAGACCCCTCTATAAGCATCACAGGCACGACCCGCAATCGGTGATCAGGTAGGATAGGTAGATATCATCTACTGTTAATAAGCCTCTAGAGGTAGGTAGATTAAGGCAGTGGGGGAACCTGTCCAAGCCCTGCCTAGTCCTTTTTCTCTACACGTGATCCCCGAATAGCTTCACTTATCTGTTGTGTCACAATATCAACATACATTTGTTTATTCACAAGTTGTGCAGTTGTCATGATTGTTTTTTGGTTATTGATAGATTGTTCTATATATCACTTATTGTTGCTGAGTGTAATGAGTGTGGTTGAATCGATAGAAGCCAAATTTTTGCAACTGAGAGTAACGCGGTTAGGAAAATTGACTGTGTTTGCCCGTTGCTTAGGACAGAAAAGGCAGTATCAGAGCCATGGGACGAAGGTTCAGGATCAGGCGTTCCTCAACCCACTCTGCAGAAGGAGCCGCTCAGAATCGTCAGAAGCATCGCGCCTCTTCTTCTTGCTTTCCTCTGAGTCTAATTCATCACGCTTCCTCTTCTTGCCCTCCCCCGAGTCTGGAACATTCTTGCTTTGCTCAAGCATCTCGGCCTCCATTACACGTGCTTCCTGGATAATCCACTTTACTCGGTTCTTTTGCTGGCAGAGGACCAAATCTGCGCGGCGAAAGCGCTCCGTATCTTTAGTTAAGTCGTTGATCGCTTTCACAGCGCTGCCCAGATCCTTCCTCGTTATACCATACCTGTAATCCATGGGCTTGAGTACCGGGTGCTGCGACGTAAACGCCGCAACCGTGTCAGGGCAGCTTTTGTCCAAGAAGGCTAACTCTTTCTCCGAGAACGGAGGTAGCGAACGTGTTGCTTCGAGAAACCTTTCCCAGGCCTGATGATTTTGCCACTCCTCGCGTTCCACGGCAGGGACGCATTTTCCCAACCACCACTGCTCGTAGTTGAGGTATTCAAGCCAGGTAGTCCATTGGGTTTGTTTCCGTGGATCCTCCATCAACTGCAGATTGTCAAAGTTGAAGGGTGCCAGGTTCCTCTTAACTGCTTCCTGGTACGCGTGAAAGCCCTGCTCCTCAAGGAGTCGGTCCTTGCTCATGAACTCCCACCAGTTCCGAACGCTTTCCTCATACGAATCGCGGCATACCTTCTTCAATTCTCCTCTAAGCGTGTCCCTCCTCCTGTTTGAAGTGAGATACTCAAGAAATCCTTCATCTCCAGTCGCACCCCTGTTAACCCACTGCCATTTGCGAAATTCCCACCACCGACAAAGCTGGTCATCAAAGACATATTTTGTATCCTTTGCCTCAAATTTACGGCTCCTTTGTCTGAGGAATGGCAGAAAAGGCTTATGATTGGCTGTGGGCTCGTGCATGATTTGTAACACATCATTCACCGGGCAGATAGGCCTGGAGCCGTCTAGGACTAGCTCTGTATGGTCTGCTATCGCTTTTAGTTTATCGCCCGGTTTATAATCATGTCCTGCCCCGAATTCTTCGACCCGGGTCTCAGAGCATTCGGAGGTTTCGGTGGATGACATTCTGTGAATTGCGTATGTGAATATAGTGGAATGTGTTTGTAAGGAAGGGTTGTTCCTCTGAAAAGTGCGACCGCGGGGGTCTTTATATATAGCAGCTGTCTGTATGAATCCAGGACAGGTATATTGTTGTAAGTGAAGTATGATCTTGGGCCGTAGTAGTGAATGCTCTTTGTGATATACGTAGAATGGGCGTTTAGGTTGTCATTGAAAACGCACAATGGCGGTTAATTGAGGTGAGAAACAAGGTTTCTTTCACCATTGCGATTTCAGCCTAGCATTGTTAGCACATTGTTGTTTGTTCATCAACAGCCACCAAACGGGTCGGCCATGGATTCCCCGGCAGTGACCTACCTCCTGTAATGAAGCTCTACTCCCATCTCCTCTGCCGCTCCCCGATTTCATAAAGAGCGACGAGCTTCTAGTAATCGTGGACTGTCGGTAGGTACCTGGGAATTTCTCGCAGTCGCTAAACTGGGTATTAGCTAAGATATCTCTCTTACCCCGCAGGGAAAATGAATGAACGGGTTGTACCATTTCCCACCCTGTAGCCTGTGTTGTGTGCATTGAGAATCATGTTTCCATAAATATACTTGTATATACTTCAATGTCGCCAAAGGAAATGGCTTGTCAAGTTTCATTCAGTTCTACGGCTCACTCCGTACAGTCGCCTCTTAATATAGGTATCCGTTGTTGTAGAACAAGGAATCTTGAGATCAAAGGAAGCTTGGCTGTCGCTTATGCAAGGGCTCTGAAGTACCCACGCACCATAGATTGTCAAGCTAATCACTGTTTCGGAATCTGCCCAGCGGTTTTAGGAGTATTGGTGAAATACATGCCGTTAAGGTTATTGCGAATTCAGGCCCAATGAGGATCCATTTAGGCGCATCATTCTCCAAACGACTAGTGCGAATTTTTGCATTCATCTTCTGAGTCTTTTATTGTGTATGCGCTTTGTGACATGCGCCGTCTTTCCAGCACTCCCACTACTACATGCAACCCGAGAAACATCACCAACCCTACCGTCCTCTACTACCTCGTATTGTACAAGCTCTATGATTAAGCTGCGTTGTTGACTTGTACTGGAATACTTTCAGTCTCTTTGATGTCTCTAGAGGTAATTTTTTGGTGGTCGACAATCCCATCTCCGAAAAGCTCGTCCATCTGCTCCAATGTCTTTTGCTTAGTCTCTGGGTAAAGAAAGACATAACATGCAGCGGCTACAAGATTAAAGGCAAAGAAGGCGTAGAAGTATCGGAATCCAACGTCATTCAGGGCTAGGGGACTGAACTGAGCAAAAACGAGGTTAAGAGTCCAGTTAGTGAAAGTTGTAATAGCGTTGCCTAGAGCCCTGGCCTGGATTGGGAAAATTTCGGCTGGGTAGACCCAGGTAATGATTCCTAGTGGCGTGAAGAAGAAGCTGAACAGGAAGTTCATCGCGACCATAGAGCGCAATTGATTGGTGTTTTGTTCGTTGAAGTACTGAGCCTGTACTGCGTTGACGAGCAGGCATAAGCCCAGTCCAATAGCCGAAACGATGAGCGGTTTGACGCGGCCCACTCGGTCGATGAGATATAACCCAATGGTGCAGTAGACGATAGACAAGGCACCGCTGATCCCGATTATCATCAACGATGTCTGATTCTCGATGCCAAGTATGCCGTAGATGATTGGTCCGTAACTGTTCGCTCAGTCAGTTCTCGAAGATGCGAGTTTGAGAATTCCAGAATACTGACTAGTTAATGACATTGATTCCAGAGAGCTGTCCGAAAGCCTGAACACCGCATCCCAGAAGCAAGCGTCGGCGCCAGGAAGGCTTGATTACAATCGATTTCCAAGATACTTGGGCGATGTCCCGATCTGCTACGATGGTCGCGTGGATATCACGGAACTCAGCATCTATCAAAGATTGATCCAGTCCGCTTCTGAGCTTCTGAAGTGCAACCCGAGCTTCTTCGACGAGGTCCTTTTCAACAAGCCATCGTGGGGACTCTTGGAGGAAGTAGATGCCAGCTGCTAGCGTCAGACTTGGAACAGTTTGGAAAGCAAGCGGGAAACGCCCTAAGACGATGATATCAGCGATAAAGTACAGCAAAGATAGATTCTGGAGCGCGTTTACATGAGAAATCAGTTTTGCTGAACGAACATCCGTAGCCTATCCACTGTGCGGCAAAAAATCCCCAGGATAGCATCCACTGCAATAGTCCCGCAAGCATGCCCCGGTATTTAGCCTCGGAGAGCTCAGAAGCATACAGAGGTACGGTCGATGTCAGCATTCCCACGGCCACTCCAGCAATGAAGCGGCCAATGACTAACATCGCAATGCTTACAGCACCGGCTTGTATAGCGCATCCAAGTGTAGAAATCAGAGCGCCTGCAAAGATCGTGTTTCTACGACCGGCCCAGTCCGCTCCAATCATGTTGATCATGGTACCAAGGATAGCGCCCCCTTGGAAAGAAGACACGATTCCGCCAACCGTATTTGAATCCGGAGTAGAGAATGTTGCCTTGAAGGTTGGAAGGGAAATGACGGAACCGACGATACCAGAGTCATAGCCGAAGAGGAAGCCTGTTATGATTGTTTTTCTTTAGTACTAGACGAAAGTTTATGGATACTTAGTCTCACCTCCGATAGCGATAAAAAGGGCAGATATAATAGTAGTAAGCCTCCCCATGATTCTATCTTTGACTGACTATGCGCCAAGTGTTATTGAATGTAGGTTCAAAAGGGTACTCGACCGATCCGTGAGGTGAGAGAGGCTCGTGTTGTGATTTGGAAACAAGTGATTGGTGTCTGATGCTGAACTCACTATTTTTGAGAGAGAAGGCATAGTTATAGATTCGATGCACTACCGATGCGTCCCAAAAGCATGTTCGAAATGTCTGTTCACCGGCTCGGAATGTGGAGATGGTTCTGTAATCGGGTATCAAAATGACAAGGAAACATGTGGAGCAAAGGAGAACAGAAGTCGTTGAAACATCTCAGCCCTCTGCAATCCTTTCGGGCGCATTGCACCGAGCTGCATCGCTCCCGGGTGGCAGAACGAGAAAATTCGGAACAACTGCAAGCGAATGAATTCCCTGACTATCTTCTGATGGCTCGGGCTTTTCCCATCTAATCACAAGCTGCACAGGGTTTGTAAATCTATCAGCTTCGGTGAGATGTAGTACATTCACTGGGTACAGTCATGTCCGGCTTGAACATTTTCTGATGTGGTGTTCCTCTAATGTTTAGAACAAAGCTCTCAGCAAATAGCTCAGCGTGAACTCCAAGCGCGACAGTAGCTATTGTTGCGATAGTCTCTATAAGGGCTACTTTTGCCATCATTTAGATCAAAACACTTCCAAAATGTATCTTCATCTGCAACCACCATCGCGCCCCACAACTCTCGAATAAGGGTAAGAAATCTCACTCCAACCACTGCGACACTCAGGGCGTCTGCCCTGTCATGGTAGAGATATGGGGTCGGCAAGAGCTGCCCCGAGATACGCAACCATTCGCGAAGGCGAAGCGGACAAAATTGGGATTTGGCCCGTGATATAGCGAATTTGTGAGTGGGCATAATGTCTCCTGGCGGTAACGGGGCTCATCAGCGAGCGTCTCATGTGGCAGAAGTGTGCCTTTCATTCACGAGCCTAAAATACAAGTAATACCGAAAGCCACCTGGATTATATTTGCTATGAAATATTCTTTGGAGTCTTACTTGAATGTAATATATTTGCATAGAAAATCGACATCAACTTATCCTATAAATTGCAACAGGTCTTCTAGTCTGCTGCACGCATCATCGTGGAAAGGACACCTCGGTAGCTCGGTACATAGAATTCCACAACAAGGTATATACAACCCATCACATGTTTCCAAAGCCAGTGGTGGCCTTGACGTTTACCGCGCTGGCTTCAGACTCCTCCCCCAGAGAAAGAATCGCGAACCCCGGATTGGATCACCAATCGGCTCCACAGGCGGATAAAGGTGGGGTGGCGGATGATCCATCCCGTTAGGCACATTTAGTCAGCAGTGGGCGCAAGGGTTTCTGAGCTGCCTCTCTTGTAGTGGTTGTATGCTATCAGGAAAGAATGTCGTGTCTACGTATTTCCCTAGGCATGTTGTCACCAGTATTCTGGGAAATGGACATACTTTGTTCACAGTAGCTAGTACCTGGCGCCGGCTGGGCCCGTCTGGAATATCGTCTCCGACTACTTAGAGTAGGATTGCATGGCGTTCTATCCCATTCTCCACATTCCGCGTCCCGCAGACTTTCAGGCAGAAGTGTAATGAGTGAAGTCCTTATTCTTTCTACTTGCAGCACACGCTAGCCAAAGAGCACAGTTATAGATCACCAGGGAATTTAGCAAATCACGTTGAGTATTCTATGATATTTCGTGATGTTCATTGGCGCTGGTACAAAACCTCATCTTCATGCGTTACATACTTCTCACGTCTAAAGCAGTTCCAAAACTAGATGCTTGTGATCACAACTTGTGATCTGGGACTTAGGGTCGCCTGCATTGCCATGATTCTCGCAGATCAAGTGGACCACAAGCAAACCAATGAGCTGGGAGATATCGTTGTAATCACGTACTCACCCCTACCCCACTCCCCTCTCCACATCCCGGGTGATGAGAATCGTCAACATCAGCAACTTCTTGCAGAAATTTCCACAGATTACAGTTGAACCCGAGATTATGGCAAGTCTAACAGTACACGACTTGACGTCGTTCAATGAACCCCGCGTTTCTAGGCAGGATCAAAATGTGTGAGGAGCGAGGAATTATAAAATGAGGACTCATTCAGAGGAACGAGCTTCTAGGGAATTTTGACTTTCAAATCATATCAATCACTTGAAATTACTCCCTCTTTCATCTAGCATGCTGTTCAGCACAGCCTTCGCATCCTTGGTGCTTCTGGCCCAAGCCGCCCCAAACGCAGCTCGCGCTACCCCCTACATCAACTGGAAAACCTTCGTGGCAAGGGGTGTCAATCTTGGGGGCTGGCTGCATCAGGAAGCTGTCATCGACCCCGTATGGTGGGCCCAGCATGGCAACGACACTGTTGATGAGTGGGACCTATGCACAAAGCTGGGTGCTCGGTGTGGGCCAGTACTGGAACATCGATACGCCACCTATATTACCACGGACGACATCGACAAGCTTGCAGAGGCTGGCATAAACCTTCTTCGCATCCCTACAGGCTACAATGCGTGGGTCAAGGTCCCTGGGTCACAGCTCTACTATGGAAACCAGGCTCGGCACCTTCAAAGTATTGCCAACTATGCTGTTCGCCAATACAACATGCACATCATTCTTGACATTCACTCTCTGCCTGGAGGGTTGAATGGCATGGGGCTGGGGGAGAAGGAGGGAAATTACGGTTGGTTTCAGAACCAGACTGCTTTGAGCTACTCGTACAACGCTGTGGACGCTGCGATTCGTTTCATTCAGAGTTCCGGTTTCCCGGAAGCCTTCACTCTAGCACCTATCAACGAGCCCGTTGATAATAGGGATCTTACCAAGTTTGGGACACCTGCAGCTCTGACGGATGCCGGTGCTGCATGGGTCTTGCATTACTTCAAAGCCGTTCTTATGAAGGTACAAGCTGTCAACCCAAACATCCCTCTGCTGTTGCAGGGAAGCTTCAGGCACGAGCAGTATTGGTCTCCTTTGTTTTCCAGCACGGATAATATCGCTTTCGACGTGCATAACTACTATTTCGCTGGTCGACCTACTACGTCTGCCAATCTTCCTGAGTGGATCTGCTCTGACGCTAAGGAGTCAGCTGGCGATGGGAAGTTCCCCGTCGTCATCGGGGAGTGGTCGATCCAGGCCACAACTGCCAATACCTTGGCTAGTCGGAAGGCAAATCTCAATACGGGCATTGCAGCTTGGGAAAGGTTCACGCGCGGCAGCATTTACTGGACTTATGGGTTTTACGGTAATGTACCTGTGAGTGGTGAGGGTGTGCAGGGCGATTACTGGAGCTATGAGAAGTTTATCAGTGGCGGTTATGTGGACCCATCTGCTGCAGTCCCATGCAATTAAGCGCGACCTGTCATCTCAGACCTTGATGTAAGATTGTTGTGTCACCATTGGAAGGTGTGTGGCCGCTGCACTGTTCAGGTAACTATACCTGGCCTAGGTGACCAAGTTAACTGCATTATCATATCGGAGAATGTATTTTTCCTCTTTCTAATCCTAACATCAACATCACATCTTCTTTTATCATCATTTCTTCTCCAGACTGTTGAAGCCATCCCTACATCCTGGAATTACATGCTTGCTTACCTCTCTATCGCTGGTCGGGCCGAGCCGAGCCAGGCTGTGTCACGGGCAGATGCGACTGGGATTAGGTGGCGGGCGGGACGGGTATGTACCTGCAGAGGGATGACCGGTCATGTTTCATCCACCCCAAAAACAAAGAACAGAATTTGGCGGTGAGAAGCTGTCCTTTTTGATTCAGGTATGGTGGGGGATTGAGGGGTCAGAAGGTTTGTAGATTTGTCGTGCTTGCCTACCGCTCAGGCACCTTTTGGGGGCACGTTTGTTTGGTCGTGGTGGTGGCGACGTTGCTCCTATTCGCTCTTATGCAGAGTATGTTTGGATGATATCAATATTGAGGGATGGCTTTGTACATACAGAGGGTAGACCACCTGGACACCTCTTCCAGCTTCGCGGATCTCCGAAGACCTGCTCTAGAGTGCATTGCTTCTAGTTGCGAGCGCTCAGGCCTCCGCAACTTGCTATATCAGACTACATTATGTCCTAGTCCGCAGTTCAAATCTCTTTTGAATTTTCGCATATTCATGCTGAAGATTATCACCACACCAGCAAGGAGCAACACATATCCCGCACCGTTCCCCTTCAGAATCACAGACTGGGCACGCCTTTGCTTCGTTCACGCCTTTGCTTCGTTGCAATCAAATCATCGTTTGTGAGTTTGAGTTTCTTTGATCTGACTCTGCGGTGTGAAGCAAATACAGACTGACGGTAACCATCACAGGTCGCGGGCCAGAGACAAATCACATATTCAAAACCGTACCTTCTACACAACCACTCTCGAAATGTCCGATTCTGATGAATTTCTCCGCTTATACGCGCATGAACGCTCGTCTGGCGCGATGAAAATCATCAACTTGACCCAAAACGAATGGCGGCGTCGCGGCGATGAGTCCGATCCGTATCTTGTGTTCAAATTCAGCGACCCGGTAACAGATTATCGTGGCATAGTGGTCGGATGTGCCAAGGACGTCGACGTGCACCTCCCAAAGCGAAAGGGCTTTAGCCGAAACCACTTCGCCTTCGCCTTCGACGACCAACATCGACCAATAGTACATGACTTGGGTTCTAAAGTGGGACTAAGGGTCATGTACAATGCAGAGCCAGGATCTCGTCGATCGGGTTTCAAGTTTCTACTTCGAGGCCCTGCAGTCTGTAAACAGTCTTATTCAATTCTAGATATCGGTGAACTTAGGAAGTTTAGGGCTGTTGTGTCGCCTTACGATAACACCTCGCCAGACTATATCGCCGGAGTGTCTGCATTCCGCCAATGCATGAAACAACTCTCTGATGCTCGTGATCTGAGTCATCTCGAACTTACTAAGAAAGGAAAAAAAACGCCGCGACCATCCAGATGGCAAACAGCCCGGCCAGACAATGGCCCAGTTCTTGTCAAAGACGAAATCGGCAGAGGAGCTTTTGGAATCGTATATTGTGTTTGGGATGCGACGACGGGAAAAATATCCCATGCCTTGAAAGTACCCTTGAAACCCTTCGACCCTTACCGTGCATCTTTATGGAAGCGCGAACTCAAAATCATGGGATGTGTTAAACATGTAAGTCTCGCATTCTTACCCCCAATGTTGTCAAAGATAGCCGTATACCTATTGTCCACGGCTTTAGGAACACATTGTTGAGAGTGAAGTTTCCGACCCGGACCCATCGTCGGGCCAACTGTTCACGTTGAAGATGGAGTATCTTCCACTCGGCTCTCTTCACGCACTGCCAACACCCCTCACACCTTCCGAGAGAATGGAAGTTCTCTGTCAGCTCCTCTCCGCGTTGGAGTACTTACATGGAAAAGAACCCCCAATCGCCCATCGGGATATCAAGCCAGACAACATCCTAGTTGCTTCCCGAGGCCCCAGCGGTATCCATGTCAAGTTTGGGGACTTTGGACTTGCCAAAGCCGAAGAGAATTTGCAGACATTTTGCGGCACACCGGAATATCTTGCCCCAGAGATTCCGGTTGGTCGAGACACCACTGCCAATGACACATACACTGTGGCTGTAGACATCTGGTCTCTGGGCCTGGTCATCGCGAAATATGAATGTGCTGCCCCAACCTTCCCGAAGAAGTACACCAAAGACCCCAAAAGGTGGGCAAAGGTAGTCATTGCGTACTTCAGAAGGGAACAGGAGAAGAACGGAAGCAAATTGCTCCGTTTTCTCTTGGACACAATGCTTGTCGAGAATCCGGATGACCGTAAAGATGCCGTAACGTGCTTGGAAGGAGCTCTAGCTCTCAAAAAAGAAATCAGCAGAATAGGCACTCCCACGCCTTCAGTCCCAAGCGCAGTTACGCCTTCAGGCCCAAGCACCGTCATCACCCCTTCGATTTATGGAACCCCAACGCCTTCATTCCAAGGCACTGAACTATCCATGGTTCCTACAGGAGCAAGCGCTGCGACTGTCAGGTCATCCGAAGTACCGACAGAATCCAGGAGTCACAAGAGGAGTCGACTAGGAGAACCCCTCTCACGACCGGCCCTTCAACAGTCTGATATGGCTGCGACTGCAGAGGCTGAAGATCATCAACTCAGCGAAGACGACCATTCAGATAATCCGAAGGCGAGCAAGCGGAGGAAGGTTGGAGAAGGGTCAAAGGGATCAAGGGTTTAATGCCCACCACTGCCCATTCAAGGGTCACGTTGGCGAGGACTTCAGGGTGGCGATTGGATAGGTAGTTGCAAGTGCTCTTGAATGGATATCGTGGTCAGCTCAACTCAGTTCATCCTGTGTGCGTGCGTTCATGAAGCTACTGTGTATGTAGCAGTCGGTTAGCCTGACATGCTTGTCAGCCCTCTCCCGGTTGTTGGTGATGATCTGTTTATCGATAAGCTAGCGTGGTTTAGTCCCATTGACTCCCGTAGCAATCTAACCTCCTAAGGGCATAAACCCTGATTTTCCTCATGGATTCGGAATAATGCTATATCGGCCAATGATAAATGTACAAAGCACGAGTATTCGTTCAATGAAACTCTTTGGCCTTGCCTTCCATACATTCCTAGGTACCTAGCTGCTTAGGTAGTCGGTTTCTATTGTCCACATGTCCCCACCAAAACAGGTTAGGGGGCCTCCGTTTGAACGCCGCGCTAAACTCACCACTCTGTGCAGCGGGATTCCTTCCCCTTACAAGGCACACAATCTTATTCTACACGCATTACCCTCACAATGTCCTTCGCCGGCGGCGTTACAACTCCTAAATTTACGGTTGCAGAACTTAAAGCTCTCAACAAGACCCAGCTGGTTCAGTTTCTGCAGAGTCGCCACTCCCATGGCAACGTTTTCGAAATAAACGATGTTGAGGGGCTTCGAGGACTATCAACGAGCGAACGAGTTGAATTGGGGGAACATATGAAGTGAGAAGGATTCTGATATTGTTTGCATCTATCTATTCATCACTAATGTGTATTTTGGACAGGGATGCCTTCGAGATCGCGGCCTCGACACGAAAACTCGACGTGGACGAACTTGTCGCGCGCTTGAGGAGCATAGCAGATGGGCAGGATGGCTCTACGGGACCTAGGTGCTTACAATCGCCATCCGCGTCCTCCGGGTCAAGCACATCCTCGATAAACTCTGTTGAACTCCTTGAACAGGAGGGAACAGCACGCTACAACGAGCTCATCCGAAATCTCGGCAGGCCTGTCGCCTCGATCGAGACTTTCTTGCACTTCTTGATCGACCCTGCAGCCAGCGACGAACCCTTCCTGCCATGGTGTTCTGACACAACCCCGTACGGACGAAGGAGCAGAATAAACAACGTGTTTAGTCTGCAACTTGACCGGTGGTGGGAATTCCGCAAATGGCAGTTGGCCAACCGGGACACCCCTGATGCTGATGGAGGATTCCCTGAGTATCTGGCATCATCACGGAGGATTGATGAGCACGTGGGAAACAGAAAAAGGCTAGCTGAAGAGTCATACGATGACGACGAATTGTGGTTGTGGCAAGGGATGCGAGAGCGTCGACTACTCCCTAGTGAACAAGGGTTTACTGCCTACAAGGAGGCAGTTAAGAGACAACTCGCACCCCACAACTTCAAACGGTCTCTACAATTGTTCAAAGACCCACGCCGCCAAACCGAATGGACGACATGGCTTGAATACCTAGTCTACGAGCAATGGTGCTTGGAACAACAAAATGCCTCCGTGGAAAGTGCGCGGACACAATATATTCATTGCCACGAGAAACTTGTCGACGCGGGGAATTATCTGTACGGCTATCACACGAGTCGCCTAGATGAACAGTTGGCCACCATGAAACCTGACCTGGAGATGGCCAAGAAAATACTCAGTGACTACATCCGTGATACGGACGACTATCGGTGCAAGGAAGAGCGTGCCCATGACCTGAAGAACCGAGTGAAGTGGATTATCAGTGAGGCCCGTAAGATGAAGACCGATATGTTGCAAAAAGGCAGCACAGCGGGGAGAAAGTCAAACATCAGGAAGAGCAAAGATCCAAGCCATCTCGCTGATGATGATGGCATAACCCCCCAGCCATGGTCTGAGAGAACGAGACAGGGAGTTGCAAAAGCAAAAAGACGTGCAGATCAGGACAGTATGCCGGAGCAACCTCGTCGGAGCCATCGGAAACTCACTCAAGGTCCTTCCGCAACCCAGGGCGTGGAGTCGTCCGCGCGCGAGAAACAAGGTTGAACGATCTATGGGCGGCACAGTGGGCTTTGACTGCAATCAGGGTCTCTCCGATTCCTCTTTCTTACTGTCATCGAGTCTTTGTCTGGGTTTCTTTTTCGCCTTTGTCTAATTCGCCGAGTGGCTTGACTCTATGCTTTCTTGGGCCACACGCCAAACGATTTCACGAAGCCCGATTGTGTTAAGGAGCATCTCGGCTTTCTGAATTCTGAGTCTGTCGTGCTGCAGCGTGGGATAAAGAGCGTCTGACGCTCAACCTTGGTCCTATGGCTGTGGAGGGGATAGTAGCGAAGGCGCGCCTAATCCTTGCGAACCCTCTGGGAGTAAGCAAAGAAGGATAACGCCTTTGTTGTCCTCACCAACTGAAAAGATAACGGCAAGACCCTCGTTGTCCTGATGTCGGCAAAGATTTTACCATTTTCTTTTTCAGTCATTTCGAATATTCGGTTTCTACCGCTGCACAATGCAACAATACATGATGTTTGGTATTTTGTATATTATTTATGAGATATTAATAGGGTATTCATAGGGCATTTAGGGCATTTTCTATTTTATTTATAAGATATTTATAAGGTATTTATAGGACATTTAGGGTATTTGTAGGATAATAGTATTCTGTTGGTCATTCGTTGATTGTTTAATCCTACTCCTATGGAAAAGGCGTTGCGGCTGAGCGGACGTACAAAGTGTTTGGACTGGAGGGGGAGATCCCCATCAACTCCTATTGGCTTGCCCTTTGACTTTCGATGCAAAACATACCCCCGCGTTGCTACTCACCAATATCTGACTCCAATCTTTGCTTCCGTACTCCCGTCCCACTTCCTCGATTGGCCGCTAGCAGTTCCTCGTCCCCTGTATGTATACACAGCGCACGATGGTTCCCTCAGGACAGGGTTGCGGGCTAGCTTACATTCCAACCGATGAAATGTTACCCAAAAAGGTAATCAACCATCCTTCTCCCCCCACCTCTTCGCGCTATGGACATCCCTCACGCGGCCTGAATACAGATGGTAGAAACTCCTTTGCACGCAAGCTCGCAGGGCAGAAAGCGTCCGAGCAGGTGGAGGGGAGCACTTGGATATTTACCGAGGTCGAGATCCGAGACTAGTTGGGATCAACGAACGAACATGAACGAGTCAGTCCTGTCGAGCTACCCACCAACCACCTCGCCTTTAATGATTACTAGCCAGCGAGACACACAACGCAACCTAATTGTTCGAGTGCCTGTCGCACGGCATCTTTTGGTGACAAATCCACGTTGTGCTAGAAGGGTCGATGGCGTGCGGCTGTTGGATCGGAATCGTAGGCTACCCGGGCGGCGGATTGGGATTGGGTTCGATTGCCCCTCGGGTACTCGTCGTACGTCACGAGCTGGCTTTAGTTGCTACGGCTGGGTGAGGTGGGGTAATTGACGGTTTTTATATAAGTGGAATCAAATGGCGCGTCCAGCTGAGAGTGATTGTACATCTTACCCTTCGATCCTCTTTGTCTTGAGTTTTCATCGCTGGCTGAGGAATTAAACGTCAAAGAAAGAAAAACCATTGGAATTATTGAGTCTTGATAAAAGCTACACTAGGTACTATATAACGTATCGATTCATATACAACAGTTCCATTCTCGAGAACCAACGACTAGCAATTCATTCAAGATGGGCCTCGACTGGAAGGTGTTCCAGAACACGATCAACGGCAAGCAGGAGACGACGCAGCAGAAGCGCCATGGAGTAAACCCAGCGACGGGCGAAAACGGTCCCGAGGTCCCCGTCTCCACGAAGGAGGAGGTCGACCGTGCGATGAAGGCAGCAGCGGACGCGTTTGAGAGCTGGAGCGAGGTCCCATGGGAAGAGCGCAAGAAGGCCGTTTTGGCGTATGCGGACGGTTTGGAGGCTGAGAAGGAGAACTTTGCGCAGGAGTTGACGAAGGAGCAGGGAAAGCCCGTGAGTATCGATTCCTTTCAGTGATCCAATTGGGTACATACAGGAGGCTCAATGCTGAATTACCGAACAGCTAGCCTTCGCACGAGCCGAAGTCGACGCAGCGCTCCACTGGATCCGCACTGTCGCTACCCTCGAGCTCCCCGAGGAGACAGTGACAGAGGGTGACAAGGAAATTGTCGTCCGCTTCACACCACTCGGTGTCACGGTCGGCATTGTGCCATGGAATTTCCCCATCCAGCTCGCTGTCGGAAAGATCGCTCCCTCCGTCTTGACCGGAAACCCAATCATCGTCAAGCCATCACCATTCACGCCTGCGTGCGGCCTCAAGCTTGCAGAACTCGCTCAGCAGTATTTCCCTCCCGGTGTCGTCCAGGGATTGTCTGGTGGTGATGACTTGGGCCCTATGCTTACGTCCCATCCTACCCCTGCTAAGATCAGCTTCACTGGATCGACGTTCACGGGTAAGAAGGTCATGGAGAGTGCGAGTAAGACTTTGAAGCGCGTGACATTGGAGCTGTAAGTTTTCCCAATATTATATGTTTCGCGGATGCTGATGGTTTATGCAGTGGAGGAAATGACCCCGCAGTCATTCTCGACGACGTGAACATTGATGAGATTGCACAGAAGGTTGCAGGCCTTGCATTCTTGAACTCTGGACAGGTATGAGAAGCTAGAATCCTTCCTTATGATATGAAGTCGCTAATCACTCGTCAGATCTGCATCGCCCTCAAGCGCATCTTCGTCCAGGAATCGATAGCAGACAAGTTCCTTGAGGCCATGGTCAAGGCAACCAAGAACTTCAAGGTAAGATCAATTTGCTCCCTTTCTACGAATCTCCACTGGAAAATCTAACATACACAGGTTGGACCGGGAACGGAGCCAGACGTCTACCTGGGCCCCATCCAGAACAAGATGCAGTACGAGCGCGTCAAGGGCTTCTTCACCGACATCGAAAAGGAGAACTGGAAGGTCGCTGTCGGAGGCAAGAACCCCGACGGCCCAGGCTACTTCATCACTCCCACCATCATCGACCGACCAGACGAGAACTCGCGCATCGTCACCGAAGAACCATTCGGTACGTCCTCATCCCCTCCACCCTCCCCCTCCCTGTTATCCACACCCACTAACAGAACCCCACCCAACAGGTCCCATCGTCCCCTTCCTAACCTTCAACACCGACGCCGATGGCATCAAGAAAGCCAACGACACGTCCATGGGTCTCGGCGCCTCCGTCTGGTCCAGCGACCTCGAGCGCGCCGCCAAGGTCGCACGCAAGATCCGCGCCGGAAACGTCTGGGTCAATGCGCATCTCGAGCTCGACCCAAGATTTCCATTCTCTGGCCACAAGGAGAGCGGCATTGGATCTGAATGGGGCATTACTGGGCTGAAGGCGTATTGCAATACGCAGACGCTGTACTTGAAGAGGAAGGAATGAGCTGGCGATGAAAGCGAGGGGGGGTTGTATTATGAGCATTGAAGTTACTGATTTGAAAGCGGGAATGAGAATGAAATGAGACATTAACTGATTGATTTGTTGTTGGGCGCATTGATCGTGTCTTGCGTGTTCGCGAAAAAAAGTAAATGGCGATCTGTTGTCGGGTATGCATTGGACAAATGAAGGTAAATTGTACTAGCCCGTTGCGGAGATTTTGATGGATAGAACACATCAAAAGCAGATTGAACGAACTGTATCTCTGTTCCTTTCAAGGGTAAGAACAAACGATTAGGTACAGATATCTTCACAGCAGATATGTCAGACTAACGGATGGAGGTAGGTGGTCACGTAAATGCAAGGGTGTTGATCGGTTAGTGTAAAGGTAAGTAGTGTGGACAGCCCAGGGACAAGTTGAGAAGAAGAGAGTTTCACTATGGAAATTACGTAGCCTAACAAACAAATAAGAAGACAAGTCGTGTGCAGAATGCAGTCAGCGGTAGGTCACGTCGACGTCGAGATATTCCAATGTTGAAACGAAACATATCCAAGCATGCCAGAACAATCACCAACTCTCGCGTTATTGTATACGGGTTCCAACGAAGTATTCCAAGCCAAACCAAACCAACTAGTCGTAGTCGTAAGTCGTTGGGCTTGGTGTTCTGATCCGTAGACGATGCGTCCTCGCTGCATTGTTGTGTCCCCGCCTCGGCCGCACTGTTGCTTGACATCGCGTGCATGCCTTCATTGAACAGTGGGGCCATTGCAGCAGATAGGTTCAACTCTCATTGCATCTTGGACATTCTGCGTGACCTTGGATTTTGGGCCACCAGCCGTCATGTTGGCAAGATGTTGTGTGAGTCTGAGGGCGGCTGGCTTGAGGAGAAGTCGAAATCGCGGATTGTTGTTGCCGTTTCTTTCCCTCTCCATTATTTCGCCGCCATCTGATGTTGTACTCTTCCTCTCTTAGCCCTTGTGCCGTGCGCATGGCCGCCTGTTGCTGTCTTGCTGCTTCTGCTGCTTGGCGTAGCCATTTCTCTCTGTGCTCCCTTTGGCGTCTCGCTGCTTCGGCCGCTTCACGTTGGCTTTCTCCCCATTGCTCCTGCTGCTGTTGACGCAACTTTTCTCTTCCCGCATTCTCCCTTTCTCTCCGAAACCGATGCATTCTTGCCTGTAGAGCCTTTTCAAGAACTTGTATCTCCACGTCGTCCCTTGAGTCCGCAGTGTCGAACTCATTCTTCGAAGTTCTCATCGAGGTTTCCACAGTCGCCAATGCCGCTTTTTGATGATATAGCCGCCGTTCCTTCATGTCTTTCTCTATCCTTCTTTCCTGCCTCTCCCTATCCTTACGGTCCTTCTCTTCTTCAGTATCTTCCGCCGTCTTATATATGGGCGCCAGCAGCCATGCACTCCAACTGTTCTTGTATGCCTCGTCTGCCGCCTCAGCTTCTAGGATGCTTTCCAGATCTTTGATTTCTTGTTCCAATCGCCGAATCACCCTCTTCAACTCAAAGATCGACGACTCGAACGTCATGTTCATTACCCGCCATTTTGTAGCACGTTCGTGTTTCGACTTGTGAATCGCGGCAACCTTCGCGGCAACCCGTGTGGCTTCGCTCAAGGGTCCCGGCGACCGGGCGAAATTCGAGTACTGCTGCTCTGTTGTGTGCTGCGAAGACTCGGCCGTTTTCCCTTTGATGGAAGGGTAGATGAGGTCGTATCTGCGCCGTTCATCCTCGTTGCTCAGCGTCTCGTAGGCTTTCGAAAGCTACCACCAATTAGCACCAGCATCTATGATTTGGCAGCGACAATGATTGGTATATCCCCTGACTAGTCTTGAGCAACTAGTGAGTATCCGTGTACCTTACCCTTTGAAATGCTTCGGTAGCGTCCCGCTTGGGATTACGGTCTGGATGGAGCTTTAGTGCCAGCCGCTTGTACGATCTGACGATTAGCGCCAGTTCGGCAGTTGGATCGACTTCGAGTATCTGGTAGTAATCTTCGGTGATTGCGGATGGAGCCATGTCTCGTGAGTCGTTGGTCGTATGTCAAGTTTTCGGCCTTGCAGAAATGCAGAACTAGGGAAAGATTGATTCGAAGGTCAACACGGCTGCACCAGACATCCGGTGTGAGGGAAGATGGCGGGGCTCGACTTTGTGATACCACGTGACCTTGAAAAAGGAAACATGCCGCGCCATTTATAGAATCTGCTGGGACAATGAGCGTACTATTTGTTGGCTCGATATCTCAGGTTCGTCTTGAAGTAGTGCCCTCTGTCGGACGATGCCAGAGGCTTCCTGCCTAGCTCATACTAGTGAGACCGGCCACATACCAATACAGCCTTATGTAGCCTTGCAGAGGCATGGAGACAGGACATTCTGAAGAGGGTCTTGATGTTCTACTAATTTCCACATGACCCGTTTCATCTACAATATCGAATCTGCGTAAATAACATCTTTGTCACTATACTTTCGGCAGTAATCCCCTCTTGAAAGCATGTATAAGGCGAAACCCTATCCACAAATGACTAGGCTTTGTGAATGACCACAGCTACGGATTACGATCCCACCATCGCCCTTCACGCTCATCAATCATAACGAAAAAAAGAAAAAAAAGAAACGAAAAATCTTGTCAATCTTGCATCCGACACGTTCACGTCGCCCTCACCTTCACCAACCATCACGATGGACAGTAGCGTTGCTACTCACTTACCCCAGACGCCACATCTGCGCCACACTAGCGCACGTGGCAGTGCGCACGGTACAGGCGTATCCCTGTCTTCACCGTGTGCAGTTGTTCACTCTAGGAGGTTCACCATGTGCTGCGTTCGACACCTTCGACAGAGAACCTTCCCGATTAGGAAGGTTAAATTCTGAGAGATGGGATGACTGTGAGGGAGGATGTTTCGGGGGTAGATGACGTATGATGGGTGAGGATAGGTGACATTGAGGGTTTTATTGGTACTTGAGATGAGTTTTTAGTGGTTGCTTCTATTGGTTATTGGTTTTCGTCGTTCCTGATGTCAGAAGGTGACATCTGTTAGTATTGGTACCGTGCCCGTGGTTGACATTAGTGTCGTTGTAGGTCATATCAACTAAATATACGCAACATCTCGGCCCTACACATTATGGTATTATAAAAATAGAAATTTAAGAAGCCAATCCCTAAGGTGATTATCTCTGAATAGATCTCATGGTACATGATGGGGCACTCTGTGGTAGTGGGTACGATAGCTCTTGGTGGTGGGAGTTGGCGATTATGTCAGCAAGCTTAACTCAACATTCACTATCCTCAATGTTGTGTCTTGTACCTCTTCATCTCGTCGTAACCGACTTATTCGTCGTTTCGATTAGCTGACTCGAATTTCTTCGTATCAAAACATCATGATATCTCGAGCTACCAAGCGAGGTGATAAGCCTGTAGAAGTACTTGTATACTCAGCAGCATCCCAGCCTCTTGCGGTTAGAGATAGTCAAGAACATACTCCATAATCAATCAATCTAACCTCGCGACACAAAGGCTCACCGTACTCAATTATCTAACGTTGGGTCTTTATCCACAGTGGTACGATGCAGGTCTCTGAGTGCACAACAGCATTGCAGTCCGTCGTTGAACTGCGCAACCCAAGGGACTGGAGCGGTACAACCTTCCCTACCCAGCATTCTCGTCCCAGTTTCTCCCCTCATCGTTCCCCGGCACAACAGCACCGGTACATGGTTCGCAGCCAGGCACCCCATGGTCGAATGACCGCGCATAGCGAAGCGAACGTTTACATTGGAATTATGGGAGCCAATCTTGCTGGAACAAGAAGGTCGTACAGATAAGCCAAGGCCGGCTAATCTGGTTCAGGCATCTGCAAAGTAGGTTCCCCATCTTTTACGAGAGGAAGTCGATGCGCCTTCGTGAGTGCCAATTTACCAAGCACCATCGGGGTATTGGCTATCTGCCTGGGTACCTGGTTGCCAGGAACCCTTGGTGTGACCGCCTGCAACTATATATTGTCGTCATGTCTCCAGAGCTCCCGGATCTTTTCCTTCGCCATCGCCACCTCCCCTTTCTCCCACTTCTTCCTCTTCATTGCAGGAACCTGCTGCGACAAGACCTTCAGCATGGTGAACAATTGGTCGCGAGCCGCCTCAATGGCTGGCGCTGCCGGTGTGATCAACACTGCCTTCGCCGTCCCCATGGTCAACCGAGCCACCTCGGGCGATCCTTTTGCCATTCTCGACAAGCAAGAATGGGTCAACCCAGACAACATGACCTGGTCCGACTGGAAGACACCCCCAAACACGAATTGGGCCGATCCCAAGCGCAAGGGTTCTAAGCGCAACTTCAACATCGCCATGGTTGCTGTTGACTACCCTGACCAGCCGTTCGTTTTGACCCTCCCAGCCAAGTCTGACATCTTTGGCAACCCCCAACCTCTCGCTTCAGGACTGAAGCGCGAGGACGTACCGAACTGGTACCGTGATTTTCTGAACAAGCCTTCAGAGATTAACAAGGGCCATACTCTGCACGAATATTGGATGAGTGACTCTGCGGGTCAGTATGGAGTTGACTTGACCGTTTTTGGAGCGTACCGTTTGCCTAGCAACTCCTACCAGTATGGAATTGACGATGAGGAGGGCGGTTTCAATCCGGGTGCTTGTCCTGAACCAGGTCCTTGCTCCGTGGATCTCCGCACTGATGCGCTGGGAGCGTGGCGCGCAGACGTGGGCAACGCAACTGCGGACCAGTTTGAGCTTGCGTTCATTCTATCTGCTGGCCAAGACGAGTCATCTACATGGCAGGAGTTTGGAGAGATGAAGTTTGCGGGTCCAGAGGATGTTCCCGAGGAGTTTGGTCCTCCTGGAAACAGCACCTTGCCTAATTGGGCCAAGACCCGATATGTGAATTGGACTTCATGGGCGGCCGCCTCCACCATCTGGCCCAACGCAGGCGGAGGTTCATCCACCCAGGGCGAAAGCTCTGGCCTGGCCACCTTCGCTCACGAGCTTTCTCACTTGCTCGGCATTGGTGACAACTACAACAATCCGTACGGTGTACCTGCCCGCAGAGCCTACACTGGCCCCTGGTCCATGCTTTCTCGTGGTAGCTTCAACGGACCTGGAGGACCTCACACCCGTTGGCAAATCCCTCCAACCGCAGGTGGATCCATGGGGTCTCTCCACACCGTTAGAGATAAGCACCAGATCGGATTGCTTCCTACGAGCAATATTCTACAGATCGACCGTGCCGCACTCGCAGATTCTGGTCTGGTGGTTGCCGAGATCACCGCTCGTGCAGTAGATCCTGGAGTGAACGGAATAATTGGCTTCAATGTATCCCTCCCGAAAGATCTGTCTCCTGCCTGTGACACCAAGACCGATCCGCTCTGCGACGGCGGTAACTACAACGCCTACAATGTTGAAGTCATCGACCGCATGGGAGCCGATTCTTTCTGCCCCGATTCCGGCGTCATGATCAGCAAGAGCAAGAACAGCGACCGCCAGCAGCCCTTCCAATGGACTATTGATGCCAACCCTCAGGACATCAACGTCATTGATTTCTACCTTCCCAACGGAAAGCCGAAGTATCTCACCATTGGCGACTACCGCCAGCTTGCGGACGCTCTGTTCCACGCTGGCACACGTTCCGGCAGCAAGTTCGAGTTCGAAGACGAGGCCAACCGTCTGCACTTCTACATCGTCGACATCAACCGCAATGACAAGGGCGAGCTCAGCTACACCATCGGCGTCCGCTCCCTCGACGGCAACGGCATCAGCAAGCGCGGCCTCAAGCTCGACAAGCCCGTCCTCGCGACCGAGGGCTACTCCACCAGCCCAGCATCCGGCGTCCTCTACACCGTGGAACTCAAGAACAAGGGTAACTACAAGAAGAACAAGGACGCCAAGGCCCAGCATGGCCAGGACCTCGAGAAGTACCTCGAGTACGACGTCTTCCGCGCCAAGGTCGAGATCGACGGAAAGGGATGGAAGGCCGAGGTTCCCAATGCGCTGTCCACCGCGAAGAACGGCGAGAAGACCAGCGTGAAGATTGCGGTCGCTGCGGGCGAGGGCGCGAGCAAGGAGGCGACTGTCAAGCTGACCGTTTCGTCTGAGTCTGATCCTAGCAAGGTCGACACTAAGACTTGGAAGGTCAAGTTGTGAATGAAGCATGTGAGGAATGATGATGATAATGAATAGTATAGCGGATGGATAGTACTAAAGTAATACAATATATGTATCTTACTACACTATGGTTCAAGTGCTTTTCAATTCTTCTTCCTTGGATTGCCATGTGATGTTCGTGAGGTAAATGGGAATTGGATGTGACGAGCCACACGAGATCCTACCAACAATCGCAGTCATCTTGTCCCGATCGTCATGATGTACCAACAGAGCGGCTTCAAGGGCTCTCGATGCAAGATCCTCTCTCCTTGTGGACTAAAGGTAGTGTTCTGTAAGTTGTAATGCCTCAATTGAGATGTAGTGTTAATGCCTAGGTAACTTTCCCGTTAAGGAAGGGGATGTAAGTGGGCTGCATTGGTGTTAATTGACGATACGTAGGGTGATTTATGAGAAAATCATAGAATGGTGGAGGAAATCTCGCATTTTCTAATTAAAGATAGGAGTAATTAATAGTATCTGGAGTAGCACAGGTACGTACGGGGCTGGAGATGAAGGGTGAAGTCGGAGAAACGGGGTGAACAACGCCGGTCGAGAAACGTCGGATGGAGGCGTGGGAGAGTGGGAGGCTATGACGTGCCCACCCAATGAACAGCGGGATTCCTCCACGCCGCCCGTTAAGTCCGCCAAAAACCCAGTCCAGCCAGCCTCAATCACTTTTTACTCTCCTTCCGAAGGCTTAATCCAACGCCCAGTTGTATCCTATTTTTCCTCACCTTCTTCTCTTCTCGTCCGTACCCGGATCAGCATTACGATCACGACCTGACACCTTTCCTATTCCCACCCTACCTTCCCCTGCCCCTCACAGCCTCACCGTCCCTCCGACAACCCTCGCACGAAAGTAATCCGCCCGCGTCATCACACGTACAGTACTCGTAACCACCCTACCTTGGCCTAGGCACCTAGCATCGATTACAACTATATAACATCCAAGCGACAGACGTTCCCCTCCTCTCGAGGCGAACCGTCCGTTGCTTACCCTCGCGACTGCAAAACTGACACCCCCAACCACATCCCCGCTGCACAGGCTGCGGTACCTACTCAACGCCTCGCGCCTCGGCACCAGACGAACGACCCTATACAAGACCGTCGGCTTCACCGGCGCGGGATACACCTTCCTCGCGCTAGGCACGCCCATCCGACTCGATTCGAAAGAGAACAGCACGATGGCAGGCGACGCCGTCGACGACGATGTGAGAGTGCAGACGCAGCAGAGTCCGCTCGCGAGCCAGCGCGCGAAGGAGGAGGGACAGGCGCAGACGGGCAGGTTTGCGACGTGGTTTCCTCTCGGCGCGAAGGAGGGCTTCAATCAATGGGTAGGTTTACTCTTTTTCTACGGTTGGGTTGAGGATGGGGCTGACATGTGTATAGTGGGCTGGTCTCTCGCCTGAAGCTACGGAGCATCGCGTTTTGTCGTTCATACCGTATCTGCAGAAGCCGCCGACGCACACGCAGACAGGGTCCGCGCCCGTGTCTGCTGCGCAGTCGTCTACAGACGTTGCGTCGAAGTCGGAAGAGCATACGACTACGAATAGCATCACAGATCCTTACGGCCCGCGGAGGTGGAACTCGGAGATGGTGGAGCTGAGCGGGAAGGGCCGCGCGCTGAATGAGTTCTCGGTGGAGAGGATAGGGGAAGAGGTGGAGAATAACTTGGTGATGGTGCACGGCTACGGCGCGGGACTGGGATTCTTCTATCGCAACTTCGAGGCCATGTCGAGAGCAGAGGGATGGAAGGTTTTCGCGCTCGACCTGCTCGGGATGGGCAGGAGTAGCCGGCCTGCGTTCAAGATTCATGCCAAGGACAAGGAGGGCAAGATCAAAGAGGCGGAGAATTGGTTCGTCGATGCGCTAGAGGAGTGGAGGATCAAGCGTGGTCTCGATCGGTTCACTTTGCTCGGCCACAGTCTGGGTGGTTATCTCGCAGTCGCCTACGCACTGAAGTACCCCGGGCGCCTGAACAAACTGATCCTCGCATCCCCCGTCGGCATCCCAGAAGACCCGTACGCAGTGAACGAAGACATACCCGCCGAACAGGACTCAGCAGCCGCTGAAATCGCACACGACGCATCCGTGACGGTGAAGCACCAAGGCGACAACAACAACTTCCTGAACCAGCGCGAGAAAGCCGACGAAGTGCCCGACGGCAAGCCCCCACGACGACGTCTACCCGGCTGGTTAAGCTACCTCTGGGACACCAATTCCGTCTCGCCCTTCGCCCTCGTCCGATGGAGCGGTCCCCTAGGCCCACGCCTCGTGTCGGGCTGGACCTCACGACGCTTCTCGCACCTCCCGCAGGAAGAGGCGCAGGCCCTACACGACTACAGCTATGCGTTGTTCCGCCAAAAGGGCAGTTCCGAGTACGCGCTATTCTACATCCTCGCGCCGGGGGCCTTCGCGCGCAACCCGCTCATCCGACGCATCGAGGGGGTGGGACGACAGTGGATACAAGCGCACGACGCCCCCACCGTCGACGGCGACACCCCCCCGCCAAAATCATGCAGCAAGTCCTCGAAGCCGTCCTCCACCGTTGCACCGTCATCGACGCCCGCCGCACCAACGCAGCGCGAGCACGGCATCCCGATCGTCTTCATGTACGGCGACCGCGACTGGATGGACGTGGCGGGCGGGTACGCGGCGGAAGAGAAGATCAAGCAGGAGCGTGCGCGCATCTTGGCGACCGCGACGAAGGAGGAGCGCGAGAGGGACCAGGGCGAGGCGAAGGTCGTGATTATCAATAATGCGGGGCATCATGTGTACCTCGATGGGTGGGACCAGTTCAACAGGGTCATGCTGGAGGAGATGGAGGATGTGAAGCGGAGGGAGCGACAGCGACTTGCTCGATGATATATGATACACAGACGTGGACTTTGGTGGTTTTGGGGGGAGTATTCAACATGGGACGGACGGTAGGGACGGACAGTCATCTCTACTACTTACTTACGAAGACGGCGCTTGAGGAGTTCTTTTTTTCCCACACGTCAACGCACAAATGCAGGCATATATAGACCGGAGGCATCCATTTCCCGCGTAGAACAACACTTTCGCCAACGCATATAGCATTCAAGATACAATCCAACGTAGACATTTATCGAACACACGAATTCCAATCTAGACTCTCCTCTATATAAATGTGAACGTGAACGCAAACACATGCTTCCCTCACACACAGTACTTCTCCGTACATACATAGCCACCTACACCCACCCGCCACGTCGAAAACACTTAGTCGCTTTAGGTACTTAGTTACTTAGCTAGAACGAGCAACGGCGAACGGATCCTCGGGCGCCCTCCCGCGGGGTCCAGGTGTGTAAGGCTGGAGACCATCTATCAATGTCCATCATTCTATAGTTACGCACTAAAGAAGGGAAAACTACTCATGCGGGTAATGGGACGGGGATGGTGTGATTTATACGGTATAGCATGCAAAGCAATCGACAGGGGCGGAATGACGGTGAGGGAGGGGGGGATGAGGATTGGGGAGTTTCCTGTTAGAGGAAGGGGATGTATGAAAGTTTGAAGAGTTAATAGTGTATGTGTGTAGTGTGTGTAGTGTGTATGTATGTGGTGGGTGTTAGGGGATTCAAGTTGCCAGCGAGATCCCGGTCACACCGCATCTTTGGCAGTTCGCGACTAAACCGGATCGGGGGTTAGCGTGTGGCCTGGTTCGATGCAACTGACTGGCATCCCAACTCTGTCTGTCTTAGTCTTCAACGAACCACGACGACGACGAGAAGTCCTGAGTGTACGAGGCGAGGTATACAATTCTTCCAACCCCCCGCCCGCCCGCGAGTGCAGGTCGTTTTCATCCTCCAACACGTCTTGCTAGATAGGAGCATCGTGCTTCTGGTTGAGCATTGATAACGAGTTGTGCAACGCCGTACGAGTAACGTCACATGCAAGTACCACGGCCTCACACCTAGCAGGCCCACGACAACTCAATGGCGACCTCGCTGGATCACATCGTCAAGGGCACTCCGGCACCGAATGCTGAACAGGTCCGTCAGCACATACACGAGGAGGAGTCTACGTCGCCATCACACACTGCCTACCCCTCAGGCCAGCCCGACCAACCGCCTGCCTACTCCTCCACATATCCATCTCAACCCACAACCCACTCGACATACGCAACATCACAATTTGCAACCAGCCATGGCCTCGGAAACCCACCTCACGATGCAAATGACCGGCTGGCATCAATCAAGACACCGCGGCCCGCCCACCTCTACAACGATCCGACGTCACTCCTCCCTTCCTCCCCACCGCAGATCTACCTCAACCTCCTCATCCTCGAAGCCAGCCTGCGCTCCCAGTACCTCACGCTGCGGGCCCGCCGCCGCCAAAATACCTTCTTCCTAACCCTACTCACCGTCTGGATCCTCTACTTCGGGTACCTCCAATGGCTGCGGCCGCGCGAGGACGGCAAAGTCGGCGGCTCCCAATACTGGCTGATCAACGCGATGCAGATGCTGTGCCTCACGACGGGCGTGCTCACCGCGATCCTGTTCTACGCGATCGGGCAGTGGGAGCGCGGGGTGCGGTGGCCGCGCCGCTGGGTCGGCACCGCGAACCGCGGCCTGCGCGGCATGAACGTCAAGATCGTGATCATCCGTGGCAGCTGGATGGAGGAGGTGATGTCGTGGCTGGCGTTCATGATGCCGTTTTCCGGTGGGCTGTGGGGCGGCGAGACGGCGGGTTCGTCGTATCATTACATCAACCTCGCGCAGGAGAAGAAGAACGATTTGTCGTCTGGGTTGCCGAGGCATAGGATCTTGGAAGACGGGAAGGAGTATGCGGAGGAGGATATCGCGCCCGGTGGGGACTTTATCCACTTGTTGTTGCTGCCGAAGCCGTTCAGCCCGGACTTCAGGGAGAACTGGGAGTTGTATCGCACGGAGTACTGGGAGAAGGAGAACGAGCGGCGCTCCGAACTGCGGAAGCGCGTCCGTCAACGACAGCGAGAGATCGCGCGCGCAGAGGGCGGCTGGCTCTGGTGGACCGGCTGGCGAGGCTGGAAGCGCGCCCGCGGCGTGAAAGGACGAGCCGGCGACGTCGAGAAGACGGGCCACCACCACGCTCACCACCACCACTCCCGCACGCACTCCCTCTCCGCAACCAACTCCCTCAAAGACCGCAAACGCCGCGCCAGCACCATCCGCGGCCGCGACAACAACACAACCATAACCTCGCACTCCCGCAACTCCTCCCGCAGCGTGACACCCTCCGCCGCCGACCTCGAAGACCGCCTGCGTCCCGCATCCGAGTCCCGCGAGCGCCGCTGGAGCACCAGCACGACTGGGTCCACCGCAACCGCAGCCTCGTCTTCACGTCCGGCCCCTCGCGCGGCACCCCCGCTCCTGACGTCCAACTCCTCGTCGTCCACCGCGTCGACGTTGACCCAAGGATCCGCGCACTCGGCACGCCAGCCCCCGAACGCCGCTCGCCGCCCTGTCACCCCCAACGACGCGGCATCACAGTGGCAGAGCAAGCGCGCGAGCAGTCTGAGTACGAGCGAGAGTCTCAGCGAGCGGGACGACGCGCAGATTGCTGCTGCTGATGGCAGTGAGGGTGCGAGGCCGGCGGTTAGGAGGAGGACGAGTAGAGATGGTGGTGCGGGCGCGGGCATGGCTTAAGTGACGTTTATTCTGATGAACCTGAGAAAGGTTGAAACTAAAAAATGGCGTTTTTGGCATGGGCATTTTGCATTTTGGGATGAAGAGATGAAGGTGATGGGACGATGAAGGGAATGAAGGGAATGATGGAGGGGAAATGAATCGTTCTGTTGCTTCTTTGTACTTTTAGGAGGATTTTTCTCGTACACATTTACGAGATGAGCATGTATGAGCGTACACTTTTTTTTCCTTCAATGGTATTTTCTCGGGGGTCTGGGGGAATGAAAGAGTCGAGTGAACGAATTGCATGCATGGAAGGAAGGTATAGCGTAGTTGAAAATATATTTCGTACACATCAACATCGAAACATCAAAATGCTCAAAGAGGTTTAGGAACAGAGCTTGGACGTATCGCACATCTCCACATGTCTCCATAGGTGCACACGCACGTGCATAGATGCACCTACCACGTGCCTTGAAGACGACAACCACAACCGCAACTATCACATACGGACACTGACCACTAGCATCGCAGACAACCAACCAACCAACCAATCAACCCCTCATGTCGATAAACATCACACACAAGTGATTCTCCACATCACTAAACATCACGCCTGCAATGACGGGCGAGACTTTCCATTCCCCAGCTTATGAGAGAAGCATCTCGCGATCGATGTTCCGCGGGGTGTGGGTATGAAGTTTGAGATGGTGGAGATACCGGGTACGATTGATGGTGGATCGATTGATTGTATCGGTGCTTGCTCGCGTCGTCGTGGGATCAGGGTTGACGTGAGGGACAGGGTGTGTGATTATCTTATCTGATCTCGGTGGAGAGAGTGTTGTGGATGATGGATGATGATCAATCGAGGGAAAGTACAAAAGGGGCCTAAGAAATTGAAAGCTGTGAGATCGTAAGGGTACGGGAACGCACGTGTTGAGACTACTGTGTGGGGAGATGGGAGGGAATATCTGCATGTAAGGGGCTTGATGGGTTTGATAGGTCTGTTTAGTATGAGATGGTTGTCAGGTGTCTACTGGTATTTTAGAAGTTGATGTTGTGACGGGAAAATTGATTGGGCAAGCAGCACACTTCGGTATTGAAGATGTGACATTTTTTTCCGACGATTTATAGGCTGAATAAATTGATAAAAAATGGTTAAGTATTAATTCACTTGTTGGGGGAGAGTTGAGGTCCGAAAATACCGAATTCTATGTCGTCACTGCGTTGTTCTACTGACCTAGCGAGAGATGGCACAAATCCATGGCATACTTCCGGGGGAGCGTAACGCATGCCGTGGAAACATGCCAACCAAGAATAACACCGATCGTTTTGACATATCTTTGGAAGTTCATAGAGCAGCGGCGAAGTATTTGAGAACTTCTCTTTGTCTGGCACACGCGTGGAACAATATCGAATGTGGAAACATGAAATGATGGATCCGAGCAAGCAATCTTTCCATCACATGTCTCGATTTTATCTGCGAATATCACGAAATGTTTGAAGCTAGAGGTCATCTGGTATGTTGTGGTTGTAGTTCATACAAACTTCTGGTAGTTTGACCCATTCCATTTTCTTTCAACGACCATGCAGGCTGCACAATGCAGTATGCACAGTGAAGCAGCTCGAAGTTTGCCTTGCCACGGCAAGCCTTTCTAACCCTGCGTTCCGTCTGTTATAGAATGGGTATATATTCCACATTTCGACATCTACAAGACAGCATCTCCATTCGGTGAATCAATATCTGCTTCCACAGACATATCACCACTCAGTCAACCACACACTCCCTAACATTACATCACTTTACCATTCGGTAATCCGATATCTCCCTTCACACCAAGATGTCACCAGACCCCAGGACCACCACTTACAGTGACGGCACAAACAGCGCCTCCTCAGGAGAACGATACGATGACCGAGACCTGAGCAGGCCCGCTCCGCTCCGACCATCACAACTTCCACATTCCCCACCGTACCATCCACGCGGCTTCGACCGACGACGAGAACACTCTCCCCAGTCGATCGACACCGCGGTTCGATACATCCCATCGGAGCCACGCTCGATCACTACCCGAGCACTCGAAGGGTCATCTGCTAGGATCCCTTCCTCATCATCTGCCAGGATCCCTTCCTCATCATCTGTCGGGATCCCTTCCTCATCATCTGTCGGGATCCCTTCCACATCATCTGCCCGGATCCCTTCCACGTCCAACCCGCCATCTCAGCGCTGGCCAGGGAGCCCACGAGTCGACCCGCCCATCCGTCGACCAAGCCATTCCCACCCTCCCAGCGAAGCCGACAATCCACCTTCAACCATCCTCGATCGCGAGGCAGAGCGCCTCCGACTCCTCCTCAACCTCCGCGACCACCAAATCAACACAAAGGCCGACAACCTCCTCAACGGCATCACGACCGACAGCATCCTCATCGAAGACGTCCGCCCCGCCGGCCAAGCCCTCATCTCCCGGATGCCCTGGCTCAAAGAACAATACAACCGCCAACGCCTCCGCATCTCGAGCCTGGCACCCGGCGCCCGGCGAGCTTCAAGCGGTCAACTCCTCAGTCCTACTACGCGGTACATCGTGACGGGTCGAGAAAGCCCAGGCGCACTGCGTCCTTCGACAGCGGCGCGGCATCCAATTCGCGCGTACGCTCCTGCTCCTTCTCCCCGTAGCGTGTCGGCGCACACGCTGCGCGACACGACGGCGAACTTCCGCGCTCAGTTCGAGACGAATGCGCACTTTGCGGCGCTGGAGGCGCTGTTCGTGGGGAGGCCGGATATCGTGGAGGAGCTGCAGGATCTGAGGGAGAGGTGTGGGGTGGCGTTGGAGGGAGGGGACAGGACGCCTGTTGCGGGTGTGCGGTCGGTGAGCATCAACAGTCGGGATGTTGTTGAGAGTGTTGAGAGTGATGCCGCGTGTGGTCAGTGTCGGTGGGAGTGAGGCTGACCCTTGATCTGGTGGAGTGGAGTGGCCTGTTGCAATGACGGAGAGTTGAGTTGGGCGTGGGGAGAGAGCAGAGGGATGGTGAGATGGGTTGAGGAGTTGATAGGTGGTCATATACGGGAGCGTTCATTCTTGTATCTAGTGCAACTTGATCAATGACCATCATCAGTTTTCTCGAAAGATTGTTCAAAAGGTACTTCCATGCGTGAGTGAGTCAACATTGCGAGTGTCCGTGGCTCGCCCCGTCAAAGTCACGACTTCAAAGTCACGGAGAACTAACCGGCATCTGACATCGAAAATGACAGTAAAATGAGTGTGACTAGTAGTATAATTTGGACGTTTCCGAACGCGAAGGCAGCCCGTTCTAACCCGTGATTTCAAAGCGAGGCGAGAAGGCCAGAAGTCAAGTGATGATCCTCCATTGCCCGCAGAAGTCCAGAACGAAAGGACGGCTCATTACCGCCTCAACACTGCTCAGCTGGATTCCACCCCGGAGTCTTAAGGCGTCGAAAGATGCTCGTGGACGGGGCCCAGAATCCAGATGTCTTGACGCATTATACACGCATGATCAGGAAGTTGCCCAGACCAGACACTTCCCCACCGAAATGGTCAAACCTAAACCAAGCCCCCTTATATCCGTGGCGAACGACCGTACCCCAATCCCGAGGGACACTCCCTTGTCATGCGCGCCTAGTGCAGCGAGCTCATCAGTGGGCTCACTTACCGCTCAAGGACAAGACATGGCGTTAGCATACATGCTCAAGACGCGAACTATTGGCGGCGTTTACAGACGGTTGGAACTTGGAACGTCTGGCTTGCCACCTCGTCGAGCCCTTGTACGATCTATACCAGACCTGGCTGTGTGTTGGAGTATGGTAGCCAGTCATGAGTTCAGAAACCAAACAAGCTCTGTTGGTTGGAGATGGAGGGGTTTGCTTGGACACTGGCGGGTCCACTCGTCCCTCGGGGTGCAGAATGAGGGATGTTGTATGGACCGGAGTCTGACTGAATCATGCGACGCGGTCTGACTGATCCATTGAGCTATTGATTATCCCAGTATATCGGGTTTCGGGGTCCTTCCCATACATAACGCTTCACATGTGCATTGGAATGGAAATACACATAATACTGTCCTTCCAATGCACAAACTCATTCACGATCTAGTATTTAATGATTCTGCAGCCGTCACAATATTTTGACGCATTCGTAAGATTTCGAGCATATTTCACGCACTCAATCACGATTCGGGAAACGATAGCACGTGAAGATCACAACAGCATAAAAATGCCAAGCTATGGAAAAAGAACTCGAATCTCATGTAAAGTCATAACACGTTTCCTCCCACCCGATATCTATGCCTAGAGAGAAAGAAAAAGACTAATGCTTTATCTAGAATGTAACCCAAAAGCATAACGGTTCTAATGCGTCTTGTCTAACGCGTGCGTCTATGCTCGATGCCTGAACTCATTCGCGCAGAAACCAGAAAAGGGGGATATCGTCCTTAGATCCTCCACCTCAGCAGTGTGAGGGAGTGCTTGGGGAAAACGTAGGAATCCTTAGCATCCCATTTCGACTCGACGATCTTGACCTCCTCCTTGCCGCCCATGTTGCCGGCTTGGACGTGGTCGCCGCCGACAGTGTACACATCGACCTGCTTTCCGCTGGGGATGCCGTCGAGCTTGACATCGTAGCTCTTCTCCTCATGGACGTTGACGACCGCGAGCGTAACAACCTCACCCTTCTCGTCGATCGCAGCGCTGACGTCCAAGAAGGGCGTCTCGATGGTCCCGCGGATCCACTCCGGGTTCGTCCTGCCCTCGTACTCCTCCGCGCGCACGTTGACAGGGATCGTCCAGCCGCGCATGTATCGCGAGAACAGCATGTACGGCCAGTAGCTCGCCTGCTTCACGATGCCGTCCTTGGTGGTCATGAGCGGGGAGATGACGTTGACGGACTGCGCGATGTTGGCCATGCCCATGTCGCGCGCCTGGCGGATGAAGCCGTTGAGGAAGATGGACACGGCGAGCGCGTCCGAGAGCGTGTAGGATTCCTCTGCGCCGAGCTCGCCGGGCGCGCGGACTGGGTCCCACACGTTCCATTCGTCGAAGCAGATCGTGGGGCGGGGGACGGTGTGCGGGACGTTGTTTTCGATGCGCGCGAGGTCGATGAGAGCGCTGGTCATTTGGATCGCGCGTTCGGCGCCGCGGGGAGCTGTGGTGGGTTAGTTTGGATGCATGCAATGTTGGAGTGATTGTTATGTTGGCGGAATTGAGACAAAAGTGCCAAACTTACCAGTAGCATTGGCATAGTGCTCCTTATCCGCGGTGTAGACGTGGATGCTGTGCATGTCGATCAAGCTCTTCGTCCTGTCACCTCCCAAGCCGTGCACATCCCACTTGACGCACTGTTTCAGGACGTAGTAATCCCACGATGAGTAGCCAGTCTCACCGCAGAGAATAAGAGTAATGGATGGGTCGAGCAGTTTGAGGGCTTTGGCCCATTGGTAGGCCTTCTTTGCGTAGTCTTCTTTGGTCATTTGTTCGACCTGCCAGGGACCCCAGCATTCGTTTCCGAGAGCCCAGTATTTTACCTAGGAATCAAATTAGTAAATCGATTTTTTAAGGTGTAGGTTTGCGACGTACATTGTAAGGCTCCTCGCGACCGTTCTTGCGGCGGAGATTGGCGTAGTATGTGTTTTGTGTAGAATTGCAGTATTCGAGCCATCCGAGAGCTGTGCGCATAATCAGTACTTGTTCAAAAACGTGGAAAATGCAGCTACATACCTTCGTCGAGAGTTCCAGTTCCAAAGTTAAGGCAAAGGTAAGGCTCAGTACCAACGACCTCGCACCATTTCATAAACTCGTCCGTACCGAACTCGTTGGGCTCCAAGCCGAGCCACGCAAGCTCAGGTCTACACAACCGTCAGTCGTGAAAATGCAAGACTTATAACAAAAATAATACATACCTGGCGGGCCTGTTTTCCTTTGGACCAACACCATCGAGCCAATGGTAGGTAGCGACAAAGTTGCCGCCAGGGTAACGCGTGACTGGGACGTCTATCTCCTGGAATGCTTCTATGACGTCCTTGCGGAATCCGTTCTCGTCTGACAATGGGTTTCCGGGGTCGTAGATGCCGCCATAAATGCAGCGACCCATGTGCCTGGTATGCAGTCAGCATTGTCCATTGTGGGTGCGCGATCCCGCAAAAACCCAATGTTGCGTGCGTGCTCGTGTGGGTGCGCGGGGAGGTTGCTCGTGGCTCCTACGTACTCTGTGAACCCTGAATAGATGTTCTTGTTGATCTTTGCAGTTTTGTGCGCGGGGTTGACGGATATGGAGGGTTGCTCGCCCTCTGCAATCTTTGTAAACGTTGCCATGGTGGAAGCTGCCTGAAAGTCGTTTGAAGGGAAAATGCAATGCAATGACGGTGAATTGGAAGGACTGTGAATGGAAGAGAAAACGAGATCAGCAGCAACCTTTTCTTGCAACACAATCACAGCCGAGGGACAATAAAAAGCGATGGAAAGAGATCAGAAAAATGTCCGTCCAAACAATTTAGGCATTCCCAGATCGAGCTACGCGGACCTGAAATTCCGTGTAACCTCTCGTGATTATGTTCCCGTAATCATGAGTCCCCGCTCCAAACATTGGAACGTGTACATTTCTGCTGGGCACCCCGTTAATGTCGCGTTCCCCCCCCTCCAAGTGGAGATCCCCCATTAGACGAGACATGGCGTTTTGGCCTTCCCTTGCACGCCTCGGCCGCTGGGCTGGGGGATCTCGGGATTGAGGGTGAGTGATTGGTGGGACAACCAAATGAATCCCTAGTGTCCTCCGCACTTTTTTATCCAGACATCATGTCGCCCTCTGATCTAGTCTGTTATGGGACCGTCTTCCGGACAAAGGCACTGACAAGTCTGGCGATTGCTATGTCCAATCGCATGCCTCCAGTCCCATGTCCATCCAGTCAGAGCCTCCCACCCCCGAGGGTATCCCGTTGGCGTCGGTGGTCGGTGCGACTTTTCTCGAGGAGATTTTCTAGCTTTCAAGCCATTGAACCCACCGACTCGCGTGGGCGGGCGCGTTTAGATTACTGTTCTTTCGCTTGCCTCTCCATGGAGAAGAAAAGAGAGCCCAGCGCGGGGCTCCAATGGAGATGCAATCTGGGGTATGGGAAGAGTGCGGTCAGTGGTGCCATTGGCCTTTTCCCCCATTTCGGTCGCATCTGCCGTAGTCTACCGCTCGCCGCCCGCCCTTCCCTGTGGGAAAATAGTACAGCTACATGCACGGTCTCGCCATGTTCTTGTGACAGGCCCGGCCAAAGCGTCGGGTAGACCAGTCTGTTAGTCCATTAGTTCTTTCTGGTTGTCGGGGGGCCGGGTGTGGGTGATCACAAGAGTCGTTCGTTCGTCCTTCCTACATCGACCTTGTAATATAAAGTCACACCGGGATCCGCAGTGTTGGGAGCGTCAAGACACCAGCTTTCTTCGGCTGCTTCTTGTTACTTCTTCTGTCCTTTATCACGCATCGAAACTTCTGTGATAGTCGCCCAACATGGCCCTCCCTCCCAAGGTCTACCAGTTCCTTGTCGGACTGTTCGCGTCGCTTGGATCGTTGCTCTTCGGTTACGATCTCGGTGTCATCGCACAAGTCATCGCATCGCCAAACTTCAAGGCGAAGTTCAATGCGAGTCCAAATGAGGTGTATGTACATGGTCATGTTGCGCACCAACACCACGTTGTATGCTAACGAAAACATAGCGGAGCTGTCGTGTCTGTCTTTACGGGTGGAGCCTTCTTCGGTGCAGGAGCTGCAGGTGTGATGGGTGATGCGATCGGACGAAAGCTTACCATTATGGCCGGCGCCATTGTGTTCTTGCTCGGTGGAGCGTTGCAGACAGGTGCTCAAGCTCTGTCATATCTCTATGCTGGTCGTGCCATTGCTGGTCTTGGGTAAGTTCGACAATTGTTCTCGGTACAAGCGTGCAATGGGGTGGCTAATTGTGAACCGCAGTGTTGGTATCCTCTGCATGATCATTCCCCTCTACCAGGCTGAGTTGGCACATCCCGACATCCGCGGTCGAATCACTGCTCTCCAGCAGTTTATGTTGGGTATCGGTGCTTTGATTGCCGCGTGGGTGTCTTACGGTAAGTCCCTGCACACCTTCGACGACCACACTGCTTGACGACCACACTGCTCGACGACCACACTTCTCGATGCTGACGTCGACATCTAGGCACCTACATCGGCTTCCCTGACTCCAGCGAAGGCCAATGGCGTACCTCGCTCGGCCTCCAGATGCTCCCTGCCCTCATCCTGGCGGCCCTCATCCTCTTCTTCCCTGAGTCCCCCCGATGGCTCATTGATCACGGCAAGCCAGAGGAGGGTCTTCGCACGCTTGCGAAGCTTCACGCCCATGGAAACGAGAACGACCCCTGGGTGCGCGCCGAATACGACCAAATCCAGGAGGCCATCACCATTGAGCACGAGCTTGAGGCGAAGTCTTACATGGAGCTCTGGGTCGACAAGTCTTGCCGTCGCCGTCTCATCCTCACCATGGCCCTCCAGGCCTCCGTGCAAATGACCGGTGTCTCCGCCATTCAATACTACTCTGTCACTATCTTCGAGCTCATGGGCATCAAAGGTGACGAGACTCTGAAGTACCAAGCCATCTCCTCCGTTCTCGCCCTCATTGCCCAATTCTGCTGCGTTCTCTTCATCGACCGTCTTGGACGCCGCGGGCCTTTGATTGGAGGTAACCTGGCAAACATGGTCACGTTCATCATCTCGACCATCATGCTCGCCAAGTTCCCCCCTGGAGACTCCCACAACAAATCCGCATCCTGGGCCTTCATTGTCGTCACCTGGCTGTACAATATATCGTTCTCCGCGACTTGTGGGCCTCTCAGCTGGATCGTGCCAAGTGAGAGTTTCAACACAAAGACCCGTTCTAAAGGTGTTTCGATAGCTACGATGACCTCGTTCGCCTTTAATACGATGATTGGCCAGGTGACACCGATTGCAATGCAGCAGGCCGGTTATCGCTTCTATATCCTCTTCATCGTATGCAATTTCACCAATGCCCTTTTCTTCTGGGCTTTCCTACCCGAAACCGCAAAGGTACCGCTTGAAGAGATGGATGCGTTGTTCACTAACACGCCACTCTTTGTACCTGGTGCTAAGAAGCGGGATTACATGCCCAGAGACCTTGAGAGGAGAGTCGAGGAGGTTGAGGCCAAGCAGAGCTTCACCGCTCAAGAGGTCGAGAAGGTTTAGATATTTGTCAGGGGTCGTGTACATAGGGCTAGCCTGGGCGGGTTGGACAGGTCAGTGCATTCTGCCATAGAAATTCTCTCGATTTCTATGTAAAAGATGTACAGATGTGTGGAGCCGGCTCGGGGCCACCCCTAAAAGTTGGGTGAAGCTGTGGTTGATGTGAGGTCGTTCATCGGAAATGTCTTGGCACGTGCGACATAGCAAGTAGAGTTGATTGAAATGTCTAATAATACCCACCCCTTTCTACAAGACTTGGCTGCAGTGCTTTTGAGTGATTGGTTAATGCTAATAATCGATTACTTATCGAGTTCTTGGGTTTCTTCAAAGAGTAAGTTTTGTGAAAACCTGTGGATGACGGGATCGATGATCGATCGTGACACCCTTGCATCGTGGTGGCTTGGGATCGAGATGGATCGGGTGGCGTGTATGACAATAAATAATGGTGAACCTAATCAATTTTGCGTAACATTAATTTTGCTTAAAATGTCTTTACATAATTTATACAGGATTCTGTTAAAATACTGTTACCTTATCAATTACTTCAAGAAAAGGCTAAGTTTAAGCAAGTACTGAAGGTACTACCACGTAAGGTCTATTTAACGTTTAATTCAAGCTTTTACTCTATGTAACACGACACCATGTAGCTCTTATCGCATGTAGTTTGAAGCATTCAACTTTATGAACTCTCTTAGTACATACAGAGTCGCTTATTGCGCCTTCTCCTACTGATTCACTATACGATGGTAATTCAATCGCGCTCGACGAGTCCCATGCTTCACGATTTTTACATGAGCGGCGTTACTCTCGCCTCTTTAGACAATAATGCCGAGGCGTTGTTGCCGGTACGTTGATATGCCTCAAGCTGCAGTGGATCCATCACGTGCTCTTGGTATCTCAAGTGTCCCAATTTGCGACCGCCGGTAATCTTGTGCCCCAGATCTATCTTCATAAATCACATGAGCATTCTTTCAACCAGCGCATCAGCGCATCAGCGCTGCCTTGCCAAGGGCTCCGGAGAACGCCCGAGTTTGACCAACAATGACATGGTGCTGATAGAAGCATGCTAAACGGTACGATGTATACATTGAGCTCGATGGACACTGACCGCGCCGCAACCCTCCAGGTCGACTACTGGCGATGGTGCTACACGTGTGTTCAACCGATTGACGATTCCGAATTTGGCTGCATTCAACACTTTCGCGGACGGTGAAGGATGCTTGGACTACATCGAATGGCTTGTCAATCTGCATGTCTCACTTCATTTTGATGGATTCTAGTGATGCATTACTACACTTGATCACTTCGAAAGAAAGACAGTATTACCAGGAAGTGAAGTCTCAAACGGTGTTGAGCCGTACAAAAAATCTTGAATTATGCTACCATATTGCCAATGTGCAAGATGAACCCTACTTGGCTTTGTTGATGTTTTATTTCTCACTCCCTATGTCCCATGGTGTACTTGGGCACGACATTCACCCAAACCGTACCGTGAATCAGCGTGCCGCTATGGGCACTGTCTCAGAATGCATGCAGCCATTCAGAAGAACCATGACCCTGACAGGAACATCGTATCAATGTACAACTCTGTCTGAAGCCTGACGCTCCGGCGAAAAGATATTCCTTGAATAGCAACTGATTGGAGGCCGTTTGGTGGGAGCGCACGGACTACACACGGACCCACAAGATAGAACAGAGCGCGCCCCCGCCTTCACTTTTACTTCCTCAGCTCCACCTTCGCCCAACTTTCAGCTCTTGATGAGGAGTCGAATGCTCGATTGTTGCGGGTTTGTTCCTGACCGTGCTTTCAGGTTGACGACGAGTTTCAACCGCTTGTAACCCGTTGAGTCACTCTACCTGCGGGTGCATTCGACTGGGTTACAAGTGGCTGGATCCCGCCGTGAATCTGGGAAGAGGCTGGATACAAACTCGCTCCAATTTGGTATTCAATCTCTCATCTGGAGTTGACTGTTGCGATCTGGGCTCCGACTGCCACTATGGCGCAGTCGATGACCTGCTGCTCCGACTGCCACTATGGCGCAGTCGATGACCTGCTGCTCCGACTGCCACTATGGCGCAGTCGATGACCTGCTGCTCCGACTGCCATGATGGGACAGTCGATGACCACCTGCTCCGACTGTCATGATGGGACAGTCGATGACCACCTGCTCCGACTGTCATGATGGGACAGTCGATGACTTGAGGTCCTAGTCATGTATTGTCATGCACTAGATGACGGGATTGTGCCCCAAGACCGTTCTTCACTGGTCCATGTGGTAAGGTGAAGGAAAAGGAAGACAGCCTCAAGGCCCTGGTCATGCATGGCATGTACTGGATGATGGGATTGTGCCCCAAACCCATTCTTTCTCTGTGGCACTCGCCTGCAGTTGAGGACAAGGGCTCCTGGTCATGCAGTCGCATGTACTGGATGATGGGATTGTGCCCCAAACCCATTCTTTCTCTGTGGCGAAGGAAAGGAAGAGAGGAGACAACCTCTTTAAAAAACATGCTCTGGAATGCCTATCCTCCACGGGGTCAGAGTGGGAACTTTGCAAACTTCTTTCCGTGAGTTTGCAATGCTAAACTAGGCAATTATCTGCGACCACGTGTGCTTCTTCATTGCGGTGTTGAACTGCCGACAGTATGTTTTTATCGTGTAGCATCTCAGGAACACTTGATGAAGTGTCATCTATTAATGTACTTTCCATTTTTTGATGCAATGTGTATTCCATACGTGATAAAGTCCCCCAAGAGAAGTCACGACGGGCATGCCCATACGACACTCCTTGGAAGTGATTGAATTCGAAGAAAAGCGTTACATGTCATTGCTTTCTGATTTGAAAGCCTCCCGTTCTGGTTCACCTCAAGATTTCATCTTTTTGGACTCGATCAACGACACTACGCGGACCTCGAATTGCTACCTACAGGTACGTACTTGCTCACTCACTCACACCCGCAGATCGATTTCTACAGCGATTATATTTACAGAAAACGATTGACCGGATCGGTACTTCCACCTGAGCCGCTCGTCCAGTTTACCGAAAACATTTCGACCGCTGTTCGGACGGTAGCAGTCCTGTTCTCCCAACTTGAGATCAGTGACAATGTTCCCGTGACCCACAATCCGATCATCAGTGTAGTAAGATTACATGCTAGGTAACTCGTTTTGTGAATATTTGGAAACCTGTTTCCAAGCCTCCTTCTCGCGACTGACCACCCCTTTTCCTTTGCAGTCCACATTGAATTTCTTACCTTGGTCACGTGAGGCGACAGGAAGGTCAAGTCTGGGCATCCGAACGCGCCGAGTATCTCAAGAGGCGATTCAAAGGCACTAAGAAGTTGCATTTCTCCAGAAACGATCGTTTGAGAATTTCGAAATTTGATCAATTGCCAGGTTATCAAATGGGCTTGCTCTCTATTTAGATTACAAACACGAAACTCAAATTTTCTCAATTCTCGATCCCGAAACAGTTGTATTACATTGTCACGGATATTCCTTCCCTTGTTCACCTCAATTGAATCGTATGTCCCGTAGCCAGAGCGAACACTGCCTTACTGTCTCGCTGCTTATGTCATGCTTGTCCTCTTGGTTGTGGGAGCAGGCTCAGGCGCTATAGTATGCATACCTAGAAGGCAGAAAACGCACAGAGAGAGCCCTAAAGGCTTTGTGGATTTGATGAGGTGGATGGTCCTGGGGAATACTGGTCCCGGCTTGAGTCTAACTTACAATCGCCGTCGTCTGTTTGGTCATCCACGTAGCAATGCAATGCACACAAGGTCATGCGCCCAATGCGTTGGGAGCGAACGGTCATTGTAGAGTGTTGTTCCGCGTCGGCAGTATGAGTAGCATTTTCCGATGCTTCCTCGCATGCTTTAAGGTATATGTTGTGTTTTCGATCGAATGTAGCAATAGTCAAACCCACTGGGCGGATCGGTACGGCATGGAGGTAGTAGTAGGTCACAATGCGCCGTACCAACCATTCGGTGAAGACTACCAGCTCTCGACTCGTAGGGCTTCTGGAGACAAAGCTGTGCCACGAAATTGGTCATCGAAACTTGGTCCACCAAGGTTATCATCGGTATGAGGTTCAAGGTGCGGAGACCGGGCGAATAGCGACTTGAGGGGCAGATTATATATATTGTCGCATATAGACGCCTCTGTAGTAGGGAGCATCACAGGCACGACCCGCAATCGGTGAATAGGTAGGAAAGGTAGATATTTGACTCTGTCGATAGGCCTCGGGAGGTAGGTGGATGATGCCTCAATCTCTTTCGGCAGCCCTGATCGATCTATCTATGCCCTGCCTAGTGCCTTTCCCCATACATGTGATCACTGAATAGCCTCATCTATCCTTAATAAAATGTTTTGAATACTTATACTGGTAATTTGCACATTGTACGTCTTACATCATCTTCAGCCTTGCATATAGGGCGGAGAAGGGAGATTGTATGCTAGTTTACGCTTATGATTACATGAACGGATTCTATATATTAAAAACACAATTATATTAAATTCAGTTACATGAACACGTCCAACATGTGGCATTTCAGTTCTCCAAAGTCCCGAATCATTGCCATCCTCATGAACATTGTATTGAGGATATAGCTAGGTCGTTAGAGCCAAAATTTCAAAGTATGATCACATCATAAGCACTACTGCAAGGCATTTAATAAAGCTAAGGGACAGAACAATGCCGAACATACGCTGACAGGGAGACGGCAATACCCCCAGTTGACAAAGAAATGGAAGAAGAAAGGTCGTGTGTGTTCAGTCAAGCTAGTCGCGCATAGATGTTACTCGCGTCACGAAAAGTACAGTTGAAGGGGAAATATCGTGCTTTGGATGCGGGCAACTGTGACCAAATAGCGAGCTTCATAATGAGTATGATTGAGGTGATTTCTTGTACAACTATTTACAGGGACACGTAAACCCGAGTTCAATATACTAGGACATTACAGTCATGAGCTATAACATTTGACGACTGGCTTGGCGGACAACTGGTACCAAGCACGTAGGGGAGGCGCCACTGAAACCTATCCTGGGACCTACACTCCAATGAGATCCAAAACGCGCCTCATCGTTTGGACACGCGAAGCTAGACATCACGTCCGATGAAACTGCAAGAGATGGCTCACATCAATTAATTATGATTCCGCGGAACACAACTAGTACCTGGTGCGTTGACGCCTTCTGCCTTTACCTGCCTGGGTATCCCTGTAGATATGGTGGTGTAGCAGGATAGATGAGGCTATTCAGTGATCACGTGTATGGGGAAAGGCACTAGGCAGGGCATAGATAGATCGATCAGGGCTGCCGAAAGAGATTGAGGCATCATCCACCTACCTCCCGAGGCCTATCGACAGAGTCAAATATCTACCTTTCCTACCTATTCACCGATTGCGGGTCGTGCCTGTGAGGACGTGCGTATGTACATCACCAGGGTCAACATGCGTGGTATCACCACAGATCAAGCAATTGCGTACTCGTGGAATTATTGAGATGTTTTCTTAGGGTAGCTGTTGGGTAGATAATGAATTGCTGTATGATATTTGGAATAGTCAGAGAAGAGATTATCATCTCACATATAAAAACAACTGCCTAGTTTAGCATCGCGAACTCTTCGAAGAGTTCATAAAGTTCCCGCTCTAACCACGTGGAGGATAGGCGTTCCAGAGCTTGTTTTTTTAAGGAGGTTGTCTCCTCCCCCTTTCCCACTCACTAGAACGGGCGTCTGGGCACAATTCCGGATCCAACCGCAACATTCGTCTCTAAATGAGTAGTCCAATACTTCTTGATTGGGGTGAGTTCTCAAAGTACTTCTAGCCATTTTGCGATGCTCACGTCGGGATCCAGTCGCTTGTAACCCGGTCGAATGCACGCGGAGGTAGAGTGATTCAAGGAGTTACAAATGGTTGAAGCTCTTCGTGAACGTGAAAGGATGATCAGAAGCGAACCCGCTCCAATCGAGCATTGCGTTCGACAATCCATGCTGAGTGGCATGTTGGGCGAAGGATGGAGTATAAGTCAAAGAAAGCCTGCGCTCTGTTCAAAATCTTGGGGCTCCCATTGAATGGCGTTCTATTAGATGCCAAATAAGGAAGACCCTTTCGCCGGAGTTATGGTGGTGCCTTGAGAACGAGGTTTACGTTAATATCTCGTATATATCGAGATTCTGCTTCATTTGAGGCCTTTGTGGTCCCTTGAGGATTTGCCACTAATTATTGGTGTTCGCTTCCAGCACTCGATCCTTCTACCCATATCATGCTGACGTACACCACCAAACACGGGATATTATGAAGAATCAAATACAAACGATTCTCAGATATGGCTGACGTTGCAGACTGATCTCGGGACAATATGGTACAAGGTTTTCTGTATGACTCCCACCATTTGATATCTCACTGCTTGGAAGCCTTGCATGGATGACAACCTTCTTATATCAGGTACTCAAGCATATTATTATCATCGGTAGTTCATGTTGAAATAGAATAATACCTGTAAATTGGTTGTTTCTTGATCGCATACGAGCTCCAGGGGCTCGGACCAAATATGGCAGAACTGATATATCCGCAGGACCACACGCAGCACATCCATCATGCCCTCTGTTTGATACTGCACTACCATATGCTGTCCACTATCTCCGACACATTTTCCGGCGCCAGGGCCCATAGGATATGGCGGAATCTGCCATTGCTTTCACCTAGATCAGTTTTGCAAGCTTCAATTCCATTTAAGATACCTTGTAGGACCCATGCTACTTGTTGACCCAGCGGGTGGTGGCGCTCTCACAGTCTCCGTTGGGCTCCATTGGTCAATTGTCATTCAATAATCTATCAGGCCAGAGGTGTTCTTCGTTAGTATGATCTGGCGCGTAAGTAGCCCACTGGACAACCAAGTTTCTTGATCTGACGCAGAGCGGCCTCTCTGTTTCTCTCCTCCTCATAGTAGGACCTTGGAAATCGTCTCCATGCGTATACCTGCTTGTGTCCAGATCTCGCAGTAGGTGAAACAGCTCATGTGTTTGGCCATCGGAACCGAGGATGATGAGAATGTGGGTTGCAGGTGCAACCTTGCGGGCTGCTCTGGCAGAGTGATATGTTCGTCTAGTATGTTCGCCCAGGCAGGATGCCTGTTGCACGAAGACAGGCGTGTTGAAGAGTGCAACGAGGAAGGATGTTGTATAGAGAGAGGTGAACTGCGGCACAGGACCTTCCCATGTGGAAGTCACAGATCGGATAATGTGACAATATGTAGGCACGAGGCACGCCCTCGTCGTGAGTGATTCTCAAAATGGTATGATCGGTTCGGCTTCCTTTCGACACTAGGAGGGCGCGGCGGCAGTGAGGCAGTGCTTCGAGCGCCTGCATAGCTTGCGTCTATACGTGACAATACATAACTTTTAAAAGGTCAGAGATTCGGGCGAGGGTAGTCACTGATCGCAAGGGCGTGGGCGACGCACGGTCCCACGAGGTAGTAGTAGAAAGAATATCCTCCCCTTCCCTTTACTTTCTCCCACACAACTTCACGCACATTCGCCACCACCCGATTTTTTCACTCTCAATCAATTATGTGGCCACTCAAACTGCTTTTGTAGTTACCATCTAACAAGCAGCGTAGGCGAATTCAACGGGTTACAGATGGCTGACTCTCGACGTGAAACCGATTCCCACGAGCCTAATGTGGTGAGTGAAGCTCTAGCTCATGTAAAGACAGAGCCAGAGACGGAGATCCCTGGGACTGAGCAGGCTGAGGTCTACATCAAGACCGAGCCTCTCTCCGACGCGGGTTCTGACCGGGCTTCAGAAACGCAAGGGTGGCTGGATCGACCCATCTTTGATGGGTTGCGGCTGCTCTTGTCGAAAGAAGCATCCGATGCTGAGAAGACTGCCGCGGGTCGAGCCGTCAAGAAGCGGGTCGACAACTGCAACAAAATGTGGAGTAAGGCCGGGAAGCCTGCTTGTTGGTGTGACGGGCCGCATCCTGCGGAGATGTGTCTCCCGGGCCAAGAGTTCGAGGAGTATAGACACCTCAGGGGCGTGGGTGATCGTCTCTGGAAGGCATCTCAGGCAGCAAAAAGGGCTGCGGAACCGGCTGAAGGTGCTGCTGAACCGCGAAGAGGAAGTCCAGTGCCATCCACTCAGGGTGGCACTGAAGTCTCCGACGCTGGAACCGCTCGGTCCAGTGGAAAGAGATCCCGCTGCAATCATTGCGGCAAATGGCACGCTGGAGGCACGAATTCGTGCAGGAGTCGTGCACCCAGTGAAGGACCTCGCGGTGCTAATCCGAGGAATGTCACTGAAGACTTCCCACGCTTAGAGAATCGCGCGCGCGAAACATCGAGGCTGCGGGAAGGCCAGTCCGTGCTAGGAGCAAGGACTGAAGACGTCGAATTCGGCGCGAGGGGACTTGATGCTCTACTCGGCGCCATGGAACGGGCGGGCCCTAATAACCACAGGGCTCAGGACGGATTCCTTCGTATCATTGAGCACCTGGGTGGGGGCGGCAAGAGGCCGGCTGAGGACGACGAGGACGATGCTCCTGGTTCCTCCAAGAGGTCGAAGAGGGGTGGCGACCCTAGGCGTGGCCGAAAGTAGCTGAATTCCGACCGCAGAAACCTTTTTGGCATCTGCCTTGAGTGGACAACGCACAGAGGAGACAACCTCTATAAAAAAACAAGCTCTGGAATGCCTATCCTCCACGTGGTCAGAGCGGGAACTTTGCAAACTCTTCATGAGTCGCAATGCTAAACTAGGCAATTTACTTGCGATCATGGCAGACATGATCACGACAATCACCTGTATCTACTAGTGCAGTTAAGGGTCGCAGGGAGTACGAGCCTGCATTCTTATACTCGAGGGGTGCCCGGGAGTGTTTCTATTCACATTCTTTCATAGCTTATTTGGTACATTGTTATCGTACTCGTAATACTCCTGTCGAACAAAACCCCGAAAGGTCTACAACTGTATAAACATTCTTCTCTTATGTTGTCATCAAGTAGTGTTTGATAGTAAACTTCATCGTGATGAACATGACTACGCATGTCCAGCAGTGACCTATCGGCCTGTTGATAGCATTGTGCCACGGGATGTACTACTACGTCTACGAAGAGAAACATCCAATGAGCCTTGACGTTAACGTCCATCTCTCCAAAATCTTGTCATATTATCAATGGATACTTCAATTGATCAAGAGAAGCGTACAACAAAGGCCTTACCTTGCGAAGAAGAGAAATGACATGGCCACTCTGCGTTTGGTTAGACCACTTCAACACTGCAATGATCCCGGAGGCTGGGAAGATCAGGCAAGATGCAGAGTGACCAGATCACTTCAACACTACAATAATTCCACGAATAGGGAAGATCCACCAGTCCCTTCTAACTACGCCATGCACACCTCCGAGCAGCCTCCTACTCTACACCGGTTCTCCAACCTTCTGATAATGTATCAAGTTTGAAATTGATGTCTTCACTGCGGACATCGATTTGTAAACACTAGGTCACCTTCAGAAAGTAGGAAGTCTTTGTCCGATAATTTGATAAGCCTGGCTGACACACTCTTCTCCAGTAGTTGAGACGACCGATCGAGCATTTCCATGCTCTATCACACCTACAAGGAACACATTTGTAGTACTTGATGGGCACCTGAGGTCTGATGGATGATTGAATGACGAGGACATACTGGGAATCAACGGAAGCTGTGAAGGCGGCACAACCCGCTGGGTTGACAAGCAGTAATGGTCCTGCAAAGTATTTTCAATGGAATTGAAATTTACAGAAGTAAACTCATTCAATGATGGTGACCACCTGTAGCCTCTGAGCTGTAGTATCGGGTGATGTGTCGGGGATTCATAAGCTGGCAGCGCAGTGACGAACGACGGGCAGAATGCGTGTGGTCCTTGGGATATACGGGTTCTGGCACGATCGAAACGAGCTCCTGAGGCTTGTAATAGATCAAGACACAAAACATTTGCGTATACAAATCTAATTTAACGTGGGCCATGGGCTCATTAATACATTTCATATCACAAGTGTCCAGGTCATGTTGCTCTACAGACAAGGCTTCCAAGTAGTGATTCCTCCAATGGTGGGGAGTCATACGGACCACCCTGCCCTATCTTGTCCCCAAACCAATCTGCAGCTTCAACCTCATCTAAGAATTTTCCGTATCCCATTCTCCATGTCCCGTGTTTGACGTTGGTCAATTACCGTGATCGATGGTATGCATGTTCCCCGTTTTCAGTGATATGCTTTAGTATGATGTAGGTGCCAGAATCGAGTGTAGAATGAGGCCAATAGGAGCCACCGTCCAGATGAACGTAACATCTCGAATAAATTGTAACTCCGGTAAAACCGTCTTCGTTCCCTGTTGCCTTGGCCGCAACACGTGGTACGGCGCATCACGTGAAACAGCGCAGCGCACGGACCAGTCCAGAATACATAAAACCAACCACGGGCTTGCCTTCACTTTCTCTCCTCTATTCTTTCGCTCAACTTTCAATTCCGCCTGGCTGGTCGAACGCGACGATTGATTCAAGTGGGTTTGTTTCTACTATCTTCACAACGAGCTTCAATCATTTGAATGCCCTGAAATTACTTTGCACTTGTGGTTGCTGGTATTTCAACGGATCGCAGGTGGTTGAGTCTCGGACTGAAGCTGTTAAGATGGCTAGTGTTCATACTTACCCCAATCAACAAGTGTTCGCCTGCTTGTGTAGAGTTGAATGTCGCGACTGGATTCGGGACTGCCCTATAGACCGTTCGGCATCTTGAGCTTCGGCCTGGGATGGCGAAGAAGGGAACCACTTCTTACCACACACCACATCTCTTACAAACAAGAGGAGAAAACCTCTTTAGAAAAAAACAGGGGAGACAACCCCTTCAACAAACAAGCTCTGGAATGCCTATCCTCCACGTGGTCAGAGCGGGAACTTTGCAAGCTTCTTTCCAAGATGTTGCAATGCTAAACTAGGCAATCTGCGAACATGTCAGGAATGGTTGGAACGATCGTGTGCTTTCATCATTGCAGTTTCGAATGAAGGAATTTCCACTTCTATGGTTTGGTATCTTAGGAATCCTGGGTCAATCTTCATCTCTCAATGTACTTGCTTTCTATGTGCGTTCATCTTTCGTACGTGTACAGTTCCTGTGGTAGAATTTTCAATCATCCGTTCATCGACCTTATCAACGCTCTCTCGCTAGATTGCCACTACACTCGTGAAAATTGACTTTGATTGAATCTAAGAATTACTATCACTCTACAGCACCCCAAAATGTCCGATGCCGCCGTGTTCTATGATGTAGTAGGAGAGCAGCCTCGCCTTCACCTGTACTGCCTCGCCTTCCCCTGCACTTCCTCGCACAAAGTTTCATCGGACATCAACACAAATCAATCTTAAATCAATCTTTTCACTCTCAATCAAGTATGTGGCTGGCTACTTAGACTGCTTCTGCACTTACATTCTGACCAGCAGCATAGGCGCATTCTCCGGGTTACAGATGGCTTCCACTCGACGCGAATCCAGCAACAACACTTAATGAAGGCGTGATAAGAGAAATCTCATCGGGTGGACTATGCAAAGAGCAGACAACCTCTGTAAAAAGGTGCTCTTGCATGCCTATCCTCCACGGGGCCAGAGTGGGAATTTTGGGAATTCTTCACGAGCTCGCCATTCTAAACTCGGCAAACACCTTGCAATCATGACCAGATACCGTGGTGAGTTTCAAAATGAGTGGGCTGCAAACCTATGCTGACGGACACTACATAGGCACCATTCTGCCGAAGAACCTCTGGCATACGAATTGCTGCCCTTGCTGCTGGAGGACGGCACACGACGAAGACGACATCAATCGAGCGAATCGGCGCGAGTCACGTCGGCATTGGTGATGATCAAAGGGAATAGTGAAGCTGATGTTACGGATTGGCACGAAAGGGAATGGATGAATACTATGTATACAGCCTGGATGTGCGGTAAGCGGAAGTGATGAATGGTACGTGTTCCCCGCGAAGGTGTCCATTACGAATCCTTTTGTGCCACAACAGGTTGTCTCTGCCATGAGATGCTGAATGGGCTTCGGCTGCCTACATGAGCTTAGGATTATGGTCACACAGGAGATTGCTCTAGCGTAACTGATGACACACTATGGGGTTAAAGTAGAACTCTTTACGCCGACCACGCTACACTCCATTCAAGGCTTCCATTTGTCCATTTTGATGCCGTCACACAATTTACACCGACCGGTCCATGACGCCGAACAACTTGGTCGATCTCGAATGATATACTCAGCTGATCTGATGACACGTTGCGCAAAGTCGCGTCGCGCTTCTTGCCTATGAAGTCACTGACGAATTGAATGCAGTACGTTGCCATAACATTCTGACTACAAGCCCGCATTTAAATCCATAGTCGAAGCACGCGTTAGAAGGGTTATTTCAGATGTCACGATCTTCGGTTAATGTCTTACAGAATGGTAAAAACAAGTCTTGATTGTTTGCTAAAACTTCCCATCGGTATACTTTACATGAGGCGTATCCTCTTTTCAACGGGCATACTCAAAAGCCAATACATTTGCTTCGTCACCTGCTCAAGCTAATATACCCTACCAGGATCTTCCCTTACCAACGGCGGCGAAAGAGCCACCTCCTCGAACTGCATCTCCTCCTCCAACGTCTTTTCCCGCCTCGTCGCGTTGTTAGTGCACCCTCACGTGACCTTCTCACCCTGATCCCCAACAACAATGCTCGAAACATGGTGGTTTTTGGGCTTCGAAATGCTCTGCAAACTCTCATGTCGTACGTCATCGATTTGCAAGGAGACTGTGGAGTATCGGGACATATTAGGAATGCTGGATAGTGGAGGTAGGGTGTATGGTGTTTGGGTCCAGTCGCGACTTGACGATTGCAAAGGTAGTGATGTGTACTCTTCCGCTGTAGGGATTTCTAGTACGATATCAGATCTAGGATTCCTAGGGAGTGTAGTTGAAATGTGATGTTCTAGCGGCTGCGGGATGAATGCCCTTGTATTGAGCCCGCTCGGTTTCGACATCACGGTTCTATCGCCTGTGAACTGGGGCAGGGGCGGAGGCGCTAGATGATTAGACCTCTCATTACTCGACTGGCGGAAATGGTCGAGAGGAAATATTTGGTGACCGGCGAAGTTTCGCTCCGTTGACGGCTCTGAGTAGGTATCTTCTATAGAGACCTCTTTCGCCCTCCGAGCTCTTCTCTTCCGCTGGCGGTGAAGTAAAACTGCTAGGAGAATTATGATGATGGGCATCGCTAGAGACACTGAAAGGAAGACTATTGGAATGATTTCATTTTGGTTTTCTTGTGGCACTTTCTTCTGCTCTGTTGAAAAGCTGGGGATTGGTGATAGTTGTTTGGGTAGACGCGTGGGCCCGGTGAAATTTTGCATTTTGTAAAAGGCGTAGGTGATGTGTCTGCTGACGATCCGTGTGTGTCGGTTGTGTATTATCTATATGGGCGAAAACATTGTGTAGGTTGTGAACGTCAGTATACGACCTAAAAGAAGAACGCCGGACAATACGCTGAACATTGCGCTTTTTCAGTAGCACTATGAAGAAAGATTCGTTTGGAACCCTTCAACAAAGCCCCACTCACTTTGATTATTCGTTGTAGCACACTGAACGCATCTAGGCCAGATATTGAGCCGTTGCAGCCCGCTTGAACAGGAGAAGCGATCCAGAGAGTTGACGTATAGCAGATTTGTTAACTGTCTTTAATGAAGTCGTAAACGATCAAGCATTGTTTCTGACACTTGAGAAGACTGTAACGTGCCGATCTCCATTCACGCATCTGCAGGGTTGCGACACCCTTTGCGAATCGCATGCATCAGTATAGTGTCCTCTGGCCGATCTGGTTTGGATTCACTTAGATGCGATGAGAAAAAGGCAACAGAGCATTCACATTTGACATAAATTGCTCACCCACAGGTGAGATTGAGACCGGCTCTGAATTGAAAAGCTTCGATTATAAGGATAGGTATATTGATGTGCAGTGCTGTGCTTCGGTCAAAGCATAACAAAGCTACACTCACGAGCTTTTCAAACCATCTCTTCTTAATAATACATGTATCGAAATGTTCTACAATTCTTTCTTTTGTCTCATCAATTCTAATCAAGAAAACGACGGAAAGAGCTTGGCGTCGCGGAAGTGATTCCAGAGGGGCATCTCCCTCTCCGTGATAATGGTGATAACATCTGTTCGAGGAAGTAAAGGAGCGTGACTTTGCAGCTGGATCTGCGCTGCGCGCACCGTATGTTCTTCTTGGAACCATTAGAAACCGTCTAGATTGGTGTGACGCCGATTGACCTTGCAGTTGTCCGGGTATGATGCGAAACCTTTTCCATTGCGCCGATGTGAATCCCAGGTATTTGAAGTATACAGTCGTTATTTGAAACAAGAAACAATGTGAATTCCCCGTTGACGCCTCCTAGTTGTAGCAATAAGAACTGGCGAAAGCATCATGGACTGCTAGATCCGAAGGGGTCCGCGTAACCGATGTTTCTGGGGCATAGGATCAGGCGAAATCGCATCTTGCTTCTCGATCGTGTCTTCAGTCGAATTTGTCTTCCCGGAAGAATCCGTCGAATCCGACGGTGATTTCTTATGTTGCGGCGCCTTGGGTCCAGCCGCGGTCGCAATTCGCACAGCCTCTGCTTTGCGCCGGGCAACTAATGCGTCTTCCTCCATCCTCCTCTGCCACTTCTCGTCTGACCTTATTTGCGCTTTGCGCATCCATAGACACCCGCATGCGCGTTGTCGACCGTAGCATGCTAGTAACCATGTGACCACGCATGCGACGATGATGACGGGAACGACGCCTGCGAAGACGATGCCCACGATAGACGATGTCATTCTGTCGTCCTCCCCGCGCGGTGCTAGTTGTGAAGTTCTCGGTATGATGGCTGGCATTCTTGCGATGGTGAAGTGTAGTTGGTCGGAAGGTCGCGGAGGATTCGGAGATGGTGGGAAGGGAATTATAAGCTAATGGTGACATAAAGAGTGAAAAGTGAGGTTCAGGGTCCAGTCGTGAACAAAGAGGTCTCGGGGACACACAATAAAATAAGCCCGTTTTTATTATTGTACATTGTGAGTTTATTGTTCTATTGTTGTTTGGTCGTGATAGAATAGGTAAATGTGGCACGTGGAGATTAGCTTGCGCTTATGTTTTTGTATTAAGAATATACCTATCTACAATTGGCAAATGCGCCTGTCAAGTTTGAGATTTGTCTCATCCTCACTGCGCATGTAAATTTGCGAGATTAAAACATTCAAGAACTGCGAGGGAGATGGGTCCCCATTTCATCGTTGTATTGTGGCCTGCACAATAGCTTAGTCAGTGTGTGTAAAGTGGGTGGAGTGGAGTTGAGAACGCACCGCCATGCTTTGCGATCAGTTTGCTGATACTTATTCCAGAAGACTTCCAAACTTCTTGACGGCCCGCTTCGCCTAGATCTATAATTTTAAGTCGTTTGTCGATTTCCTGGTCGGAAGGGTTGTCGTCTGCCACGGCGCGTGTTGTAGCTTTGAAGAGTTCTTCGGTGTGACTATAGGGCATGGTTCCGTCATCGACTGCGTGCACGAGAATCAAATTAAAGGCAGAAAGCTGCTGTACAAGCATCACGAGCCTCTCCTTGGTCTTCCAAGTATCTCTCATACGATGATTGAACCATCTCTGCAACGCCGGAATCATCTTCACAGGCGCAAGGACCGGGATGACATCAGCAATGGAATACGATGAGAACGCATTGCCCGAATCCGTAAACGCAGCGCAAAGTATCAGTCCGGCAAATTGCACAGGTGAGTCGAGCCCACTGTAGCGATGCACAATACCAGACGCGACGGCGGTGCCGAGTGAGTGCCCAAGTAGGACTATCCTGTTGGGAGGTATACAAGCTACCTTCAACGCCCATTCTACCACTGCTTCAGCATCACCAAGAAGTCCGGATTCAGACGGCGTTCCTTTCGAGATTCCGAAACCGCGATAATCAAAGGCAAGGACGAAGATCTTGTCGGATGCGCCAGAGGAATACATCCGATACTCCTCCGTCCTACGCCCTTGCGCTATGGTGGCTGAGTTCTACATTGTTGGTGATTTCTTCGACACATTCGGAAGTATTACTTACTCCATGGACTACAGGCACCATTAGTCTAACATATCATTGTGGAGAAGGTGTTGTGTTACAATAGATTAGAAGCCGTGCTTCCGGGTCGTCCCGGAGGAGTCTAAAAGCTAGTCTCTCCTCGATATCTATATCAGATCCAGACGGTTCTTGAATGAATCCATCTGCATGTTTCGAATAGACACCCAACGGAGCGACGAGCCATGCGAACAGCCGTTCACCATCTACAGCCGATATCCAAAATGGCGAAACCTGGTTCTCTACATCCGTCAATCAAGTTAATTCCCACCAGAAAACGAATCGTACTCAAGTAACCAGCTCTCTCAGGCTCTTTAAGCCATTTCCCAGGCCACATCGTCACCCAGTGCAGATACAGCATCCTATCGTCGTATATCAGCATTCTGCCGGCGCTACCCGCGGAGCTGATGGGCTTACTGCTTCTGCACCCACGGAATGCAGCACAACAGCGTGATTGGGATCCATAACCCACTTATGCAGACAAGCGGTATCACTATGGCATCGTAAAGGCCGCTCATGATGAACCTGTCACGATCGAGATGAAGAAGCGAATGCGAACTGCAGTCAGGCCGGACGCGTAAAGTGATTGGAGGTCTGTGTTGGGTTTAGGGGCCTTCCCGGATGTGGTTAGCCTCGGATACATCAGCATTCACCGCCGACAATAACTCACACTGAGTCATTCTTCCTCTTTATCAAATATTAGTTTGCATCGACGGCGACGCTGAATGGTGAAGATTAAACGGCAGGAATACGAAGTCAGATCCTGTACGCAGTTCCTGGATCTCACCGAGTACAGGAACCCCGCTTATGCACAACTGTCACAACCCCATGGCCATCTATTCCCCCTTCTGGCCAAAAGACTAAAAGTCGCCGACGGGAGATAGCGATTGCTGCCTGCTCAGAGTGCCACCTGTACTCCGCGAGTATTGCCCGAAAAGTCTCCCGACGTCATTATAAAACACAGAAGGCCTCCTAGTAAATTGATGGTTCTGTCAAGCCATTCACCACTTGATTCATCTACACAACAACAATGGCGAACCGAAACGGCGTACACCATGGCTCCTGCGCCTGCGGGAAAGTGACCTATCAAATCAAGCTCACATTCCCACCCGTTCTCGACCCAAGCGCCGAGTCAATTCGTCTCTACAGATGCAACTGCACGCAATGCCAAAAGATGGGACGTTTCCACTGCAAGCCGATCGACATGACCAATGATTTCATCCTCACCTCCTCGTCGCCCTCGGAAATGGGAGACTATCGCACCTGTACGAAGAGGATCGGGTTCTACTTCTGCAAGAGCTGTGGATGCCATGTTGTCGGGGTCGGAGGCGAATGGGAGGAGGTTGAGCTGGATGTCGAAGAGTGGGCTGGAAAGGAAAGCAAGGGCGAGGTGAAGAAGGTCTGGAGGGTCAAGGCTATCGAGAACGCGACGTGGGTAATAGACGGAAAGGAGATCACGAAGAGACTGCTATATGTCAGTGTGAACGCGGGGACTTTGGATCAGGAGGACGAAGGAAGTGTGGACTTGATTGAGTGGCACGATAAGGGATGGTTGTTTTACGTTGAGAATAAAGACAAGGCGCAGGGCACTCAGATGCGCATGGCAAAGCCCTACCCAGGCGGCATGTATTGATCAGATTTGTCCGAGGCTTTGGTCATTGGTAGTTCTGTGAAATTATTCTGGAGCTATGGAGTTGAAGCACTCCGCCATCACTTGAGTGTTACATCATTGGATCGCGATATTAAAAATAAAATGTTTCTTATTAATTCCTTTTTACATATTTTACAGCATCGTCCTTATTCTCATCACTTGACTCTGCAAGAGGAGTACCATGCAATCGCGCTGCAGCAAACGCCACCTCCTCGTATGGTGCACAATGAGAAACACGCCCGTAACTATTATTGACAAAACGCTGAGGCATTTCTGTAGTTTCACGCCAATACCCGTAAGGATTGGACCGATCGGTACCTACATGAGCTTGTCTCGCAGTTGTTGATTTTTGCCACGGTTTGAACGATATCCCCCGGGGCCAGGGCGTCAAGGGTTCGGCTTGGTCGTCCTCATTGACCCCATTCTGCGACTCCATCGTATCACGAGGAGTCGAAGTCATTAGTCCGTTCGGCCAGAGCGTCTTCGACATCTCCGCCCGCGACAATTGTGGACCTGAGGTAGTGTCAGGCCCTTTTTCGAGATCCGCCAGCGCGGTTTTGCGATGTCTGAAAACACTCGAACGGATGCGACAAGAGAGTGGTTTAGCGACATTCGCACGGTCAGTGACGATGGCGTTCTTCGCGATGTTGGTCTCCAGTCGGCGGATTTTATCTTCTAGCGATTTGCAGCTCGGACATCGCCCGCGATGGTTTTGAAAGCATACCAAGCCGAAGAGACCGATTAAAAAGAGTATTGACAAAACCACGAATGTGAGGAAGAGGTAGACGATGGTATTGTTAGGGGGTTCGGCGTGGGGATCCGCAACTGGAGCAGGGGGAATTGGCTCGCTGGAAGTCGAGGGCTGGGAAGATGTCGTAAAGGATGAAGATAATGTTGACAATGAAGAAATGGTTGTTCCTATCGATGTGGTTACAGATGATGTGTTTGTTGCTGAAGTAGCTGTCGGAGGTACAACGAAAGTGTAATCCGTTACCGTGACAATCACGATTGATTGTGACATTATCAATCGCAATGCCCACTGAATGTTAGTTCGATATGTCCAACCAGAGATTCTCGGCAAAGATCCGGAGGAGTGCGTTATATATGTAGCGGGGAAGAACGGATTTGTACAATGCGTGCCACATTGTGTGACGTTGAGCACAATGGTTTTGCACAATGCCAAAAGGCAAGCAAGATAACCATGGTGTGCAGTGAATTTCACATCGTTATTGACTAATTTCACATGTTCTCACGGAAATGACAAGAGAATAGTTTCACTTTCCAAGTTTACCAATCGCTACCCTCCAGCTCATTTTGGCCAGATCTCGTAAGTCCAGTCTTCCATCCTTCCAGTCCAAGGCCAAGAGAAATCCATAGTACCAGCACTGTTCAGAGTGATATTAGGGGTCCCCCCTCCAATCGAGAACTTCTTAAGCTGAGGCAAAGCATCGTGAACAATGCGCGAGGCTGCTTCGATCGTCTCAGCAGTCTGTTGAGCCACCATGCGCCCGTACGCTCTACCATTTTCCCCCTCATATGCATTTCCGCACCAATGGCCCCCTTCAAAACCAAGATCAAGGTCCTCAGATCGTGGTAAATTGAGCTCCTCGAGGTGCGGAAACTGTGCCAATATGGACAGGTAGCGCTTGAGTGCTTCGCCCACCGGTATCTTCATATAATTGGTCCAGTTCAAGGGCCCATCCATCGTGAGAGTTGTGATATTGGGAGCGTTGTCCAATATTTTTTCGACCAACTCCAAGTTCCACCTTGCATACAAATCCAGGTTTTTGATCGGCATGTCACGCATGTTGTTGATGAATGCCACCCGTTCGGGGTTCATAAGGCCCCAACTCCAACTATGGTAGTTTGGACCATCCATCCTCTTTACATTAGGACATCGCGACAGGAGCCAGTCGTTGTGGGCTGCGCTGCGGAATATTGTGATGCTCGGTAATGTTACATTCGCCTCCGCAAAAGCCTTCTCGAAAGCCGGCGATGACGCTTCAGTCACGCCAAAGCCAAGTATTTCCAAGGAATACATGCTAGGAAGGACTTCTGCTAATAGCTGAGGGACTTCTGGAGGGGGCATCGTGTCTTCGATGTAAGGAGGACCTTCCCAATCATGCACAAGCATATTGATGCGCAAATGACGCACATCGTGCAAAGCAGCGGGACAACTCCTCATCTCGCGTAATCTGTCGTGGGCATTCTGCCAGCTTGGACGCGACACTCCCGCCCTCATGTTGTTGATATTAAGCTTGCGAAATAGATCTGATGGTAGACTTTTGCTGGTTTTGTCTGCATTCTGCCAGAGAGGTGAGCTTTTGTCGCATAGCTGCCTCTCGATGTCAGGATGTCGAGCGAGTATTTTCTCATTATCTTTCAGCCACCGATGGTTGATATCTAGAACGAATTGGGGGATAGGACTTTTAGCTGGCGGACCTATCCTAAAGATATTTTGTACGATGGAAGGGAGATAAAGAGATTCGACCACGCTAAAGGCGTACGCCAACAACAAAATATGATATGTCTTGACTCTCATTATCTCAATATCAATGTCAAGTTGTGATGTTGAAAAATGTGACGCTCGTACTGGAGGGAAGGTTCATATCGATCAGTGAAATAATAGCACTGAAATTGGTTGCCTAGATTTCATCACAATATGGCGTGTTGATGCGCAATTTCGTTGACGCCTGCATAGATACCACAATTGTCAAAGGACACGTAGCGCGTGTGTGGGCTCCTAACGGGTGTTAGAGGTGAGTCGATGTCAGGCGTTCCCTAAACACGACGTTTGAAGGAGTCATGCCAAGCATCTTACAAATACAAAAAAGTACAAACCCTAACGTCAAAGCCAGGCGCTATATTTTATTTCCAACACGTTCTTGACTTCGATCCAAATTTTCCAACATTGAAAACCTGAGCAGCATGCCGCTATTTATTGCACCCGTACGACTGGAAGATTTCGATATCATTGAGAAACATGCCGACATATATGAACCCGGCGATGATCTTGTAGCTCCGCCATATCCTCTAGCTTGGCCAATTACTACCCGAGAGGAGGCACAGCATCGGCTCCAATTCGCCATGGCCAAGCAAAGACGACGATTCCAGGAGGATTCGACCGCTCGATTTGTCAAGGTGGTAGACGCTCCCTCAGCCACGCAGATTGACCAAGGAGAGATTATCAGCATCGCTCGGTGGCATTATTTTCCGTCTGGTTATGACTTCCCAACCATGATTGACTGGGAGTTGGCCGAGAAAGTATCTGGTCAGGATTGGCCCCAAACCTTCAACCGGACACTCCACGACTTCATCCTTTCTACCCGTGATGAGGCGAGGAAAGAATGGATTGGCCAAGGTTCCCCCGTGTGGATTCTTATGCACATGGTTACGCGGCAAAGCCATCGGGGTCGGGGTGCTGCTGCCATGCTGATTAAATGGGGGATCGAAGAGTCCGAGGAGAGTGGCATTCCTGCATATCTAGAAGCTGGGGCACAGGGGCGCCCGATTTACGCGAAATATGGTTTTGAACAGGTCGGCGATATCAGAAAGCTTGATTTGAAGCCTCATGGTGCGGATGTAGTCTTTGAGTTGGTCAATATGGTTCGATTTCCGCAGAAGCAATTGGCATAATATGAGCAAAGTTTGTACATCTTGGACGATGAGTCATTCTCTTAACAGTGACACGCGGTGACCAAAAAAATACAGCAAAGACTCGTACAGATACAATTTTGGACCAAAAAGCAGACTTGCCCCTAGATTGAATCATGTCATTATATTTCACAAAAGGAAGATACAACGGGAGCAATTTCTCCCAAAGAAGGCATGTGTTCATGGCGAAGCTGTAAAATAGGATCATCAAGAGCCATCAGGAATAGTGATTCATCTTTGATATGAAAAGGTAATGAGGCAGTTGGCACGACCTATAGCTAAGGTTAACCAGTAGTGGACTTATGGGACGAAGTTGAGCCGCGTATGCGGTGATTTTGACGGTTTATTGTGTACTATCTAACCAAATGAAGGTGGTGTAGATCTAGTGAGCTACTAAATCATAACAGGGAATATGTATGGGGAAACCCATATCAGGTACCTTCAGTCCAATTATCCATCCCCCCAATTTCCTGCAGAGACAGTTCGATACGGATCACTCATCTGGGCGAAGGCTGCTATGCCAGGTCCCATTGCCCAGAACGGTATAGGCCTTGTCCAGGTTGGGCCAGACCTTACCCGAGGTGAAGGTGAGGGTGGTTCCGGTGTCATTGTTGATCAGCTGGATGTCGATAGTGGCCGCACCCACGGTCGAAGCGGCCTTGATATCATATACACCGCTCGTTCCAGTACCGTCGCTAGGAGTCAGGACGAAGGTAGTGCCCGACCAGGCCGGGAGGGCTGAGCTGAATTTGCCACTGAAGTACTTGTGTACCCCGTCTTCGAGAGTGAAGTCGAACTGGAAGTTGCCGTTGCTGTCGGAGCTGCCGATGCCGGACATCTGAGAGAGAAATGGGTTAGATGCTTACTGAGTATAGCTTGGGGAGTGATGCTCACTTTGGTAGATTGGGTCTAGAGATGAAAAGATAGTTGGTTGAGAAGGTCTGAATGATTCTGGACTTAGGTTCAAGCTGTTGCTGATGGTTTTAGAAATGATGGAACAGCAGAACTCCTCCCCTTATTTATACATGGGTAAAGGGGGTCGGCCACCCGGAGCCTTCCATATCGCTTTATCATAACGGTGAGCTGAGTCTGAAGCGGAGTTAGGCGTGATGAGACAAGAGAATCTCGTAATATCTCCAGCATGTCGTGACAGTGACTTCTTTGGATATAGCATTGGCCTTGCATGAGACCGCATCCGGCTCGCTGAGACCCGCCATTCTCCGTCATGTCGTGAAAGTGACTCTGTTGGACATAGCATTGGCTTGTGTGATACCGCATTCGTCTCGTTAGATCCGCCATTCTCCGTCAATTCATGACAATAGTTCTGTTGGATATGGTATTGGCTTCATGCGATACCGTATCGGGATCGTTGGAACCCGCCATAGGCAGGTATACGTGGGGCAGAGTCTGTCCAGACCTGTCTTCTGGTCAGCCAGCCACGGTCGAAGCAAGATATAGCGTAAGTCGCAGATGAGGACGTGATGAAGTTGCATATGAGAACATTCATTCGAGACTCTCGGGATACCGCTGCCTAGTGGCTCTGTCAGATGGTGTGTTCCATTGATATGAGCTCGCTACATGGATTTCAGCTCATTTGATAACGACACAAGTTCTGTCTGAGCACGAACGTTGAATGTCGGAAAGCTCGGCAGTGACAACAACCTTGGGAGCGCAAAACTTCGATGAAACTCTTTGTGAGCAGCTTTTTGGGTGCAGAACATTGGTTGCCAAATCCAACAGACTTGTTCCATTGATTACTATTGGTTAGACCGTAATTTGTATCGATCTGCTGAAGATCAGTTCTTGCGTGCGAAGACGTTTACATGGTGGCGCACGGCCCGCTCCGCGGAGTCCTTGTCATTTGTAGGACCAACTTGACACAGCTCTGAAAACTCCATCCAAAAAGCGCCATTTGCGGGGATCTAGAGCTGACGGCTAACTCCTTGTACAATGTCAAGGTCGATCAGATGGCATTCGCTACTTCAAAGCCAAACCTAACGCCACGGGCCGATTCCGATAAAGTTTACCGAGGATCAACCTGTAAAAGCTTAGCTCCTGTGTGTCAACATGCATACTTACTCACACAAGTCACACAAGTCACACAAGTCACACGGTCACACCAGATGCATCGACTGCAAGAGTCTCGACTTGTCTTTATCGAAAGGCATTTGGGCATATTTGTGGAAGCTACTGGGATCTCAGAGCAGCATCCTCATTTGTCTGTGGCGCTCTATTTGTCCACTTCAGTGGATTGCTAACCTTGTTCGTTGAATCACGCAGGTTGTATGTGGTAAATCATTGTAGTTGACTAGGCGCTGTCACGAGCTTCCTCAGACCTGTTTGCCATCACCAAATCGCGCTCGAACCCTATTGAGTGCAATCGTAGATAGATGAACAATAATGTATGCATTCCCAGGTATTGAGTAGGTCAACCGTTAATCGTAGGTTGTCGGGATATGATTAACCATCCCGCTCCCGCCTTCTCGGAACCCCACCGGCCCGAATTGTCCCCCCAACAACACAAGTCAAGAATGTACATTCGGAGAAGGAGTGGTGCAAAACGGACCGACAGGCTACATGTACGGCCTCGGGAATGCTGGATCCAAACATTTGGGGGGGCTGGTCGGTGATGGTCATAATCATAGCACAATCTCGCACTCCACAAGTCCTCGACACTCGCCAACATGGCGACTTACCACAATAATGCTACTTTGGACCGTTATTCTATTCGGTCAAGTTCTCGCCCATACTGGAAATGAGCAGCTTACTTCAATGAAAGGCAAACAATTCAATGATAGTAGTGAGTATCATCGCGGCTGCATCTCTCGCTCTAGTGATGGCTCCAATGATGGTACAATTGAGTGTCATCTTCCACCTCTTCCATGACAGTAGGGTAGAACGAGAGTTGATGGTTCTGATTTGTTATGTGCGCCAACTCAACGAAGTGCACATCAAACAAACATCCGCTTGCGTCTTAGAGCACCGCCTGGAGCATTTGTCCCTATAAACTACTTTGACAATGGACATTTCACGCAACCGGAAACCCAACCTTGGAAACGAGTTGGTATCGGGACCGTATGTATGTTTGAATGGGTCGCCCCAATGATGAGTGAGTGAGAGGTGATGTAAGTGCAAGAATGTGCACAATCAACCAGTGCTATCTTAAAGAGAATAGATATATTTTCTTTGTCATCTCTAAGTTTATTTTGAACCCTAATCTTTAGTTTTCGATGTAATGTGACCGCCACTTTGCAAATTCTAGGTTCAGCTGTGTGTGTTGGACCACGCCAGTTCTCAGTCACCAAGCCAGACAACTAAATGAAGTTAAAACTATAGCAACCATAATGAATAAGTGACATCATCTAAAAGTTTTGATGTTTTACACTGTCCGTTGGAACAAGAGGTGATGGCTTGAACATAGCTGCACGAATCGATCATGATCCCAAACCTGTGACGCATCATCTATGGTGTATTAGCACGCATTGTTTAATTCATATTGAGATTATTTCTATTCAAGTGGAATCTAATCCCACACTTGTCTTTGGATGGCATACTATATTAAGCGAAGCCCTGGTTCCTTCAGTGACCCTAATCTTTCATGATGGAACCGAGATTCCAGATGCATTAAGAGGACATATGCACAGCCATAGACCTTTCGAAGATCACATCTACAAGCACGGGTCGCTCAGTACTCATTGACACCGATGTGGCCGTGCTAATAGTAGGTGCTGTGTACCCAGTTTCGATGCTCGAGTCAAGAGAGATAGCATCATCTGCCGGAACTTTGGGCAACTGCTGGTCATGGACACTGAATCGCGAGATCCTTGAACAGGTAGTGAAAATTGAAGAATTGCCACGGGCAAGCTTACACGGCTGCATGGGTTGTAAGTGCGGCACTTGGTCCACTAGCCCGAAAGCAGACTGTTCGCCGGGATGGCCAATCGCCATCGGAAGCCCTAGCCCTGAAAAGTCCATGCTGTCAGGGTGGTAATGGCACACGCGAAAGACAGCTTGCTCGATATCGCTGATACTATATGCGGGCATGGACATCGGGAGTCGGGGAGTAGACCAATCGTCAATCGGGAATCGATGCTTTGATCGACGACAATAGAGACGACTTCGTCGAAGAACGAAGGAGAATGCCACAATCGCCAGAACAATCATGCAAGCGGTGGCAATGATTAGAGCGGTGACGACTCCAGGCTTTTCAATGAACCTGTCAGGAGAAGAGCCTGTAGACATGACTACACCTCCCTTTGGTCCTTGAGCGATCTGACTGTTGGTCTACTCCCGTTGACTCTCTGGCGATCGGATAGTTGGCCTACTACCCTACGCAATTGAGTTCGGCTCTGCACTGATATTATGGTCTTGCGATGGGTTTATAACCAATCCAGTTTTGACATAATGTTGCCCAACAATGCTTGCCCGGTCATTCACTGTGACCATGCAGTTACAGTCACAAAGAACACTGTTAACATCCCGTACCTATTCCATACCCAATATCGAATGGATTGTTCAGCTCATTGTGAACTGACAACAGGTGGAACATATCTCATGAAATCACCCGTTCAATGATGTATGACATACGGAAAGTACGACGGATGTGATGGGTAGAATTCTGTGGAGTTCATGGGACAGTGGCTAACTTAGCTGATAGGGGTAATGACAAGCATGATACAAGGTCAGTGACATTTCATTATTTGCATCGGAGAAATCGTCAGGCTCATTATCAGACGCATCTTCAGGATTATCATCGGACGCATCTTGAAAAACATCATCAGATACATCTTGAAAAACATCATCAGATACATCTTGAAAAACATCATCAGATACATCTTGAGGATTATCATCAGACGCATCATCCGGCTTATCATCAGATGCATCGCCAGGCTTATCATCAGACGCATCTTCAAGATGTTCATCAGACGCATCGTCAGGCTTATCATCAGACGCATCTTGAGGATTATCCTCAGACGTATCTTCAGGATTATCCTCAGACGAATCTGCAGAATTATCATCAGACGAATCTGCAGAATTATCATCAGACGAATCTTCAGAATTATCATCAGACGAATCTTCAGAATTATCATCAGACGAATCTTCAGAATTATCATCAGACGAATCTTCAAGATGTTCATCAGAAGAAGACTCCTCTGACCCATCCTCAGGTATCTCATCCGGTATCTCATCTGGTATATACCCCGTATCATTTATGAAAGGCTCAAGCTGTAGCTCCTTTGTCGTTGCACGTTTTTTTAGATCTGCAATGAACGTTTTCTCCAGGTAGGGTATTAGAAGAGCAAAGAAATCTTCCTGTTCCTCGTCGTTAAGACTCTCAAACAAGTCGTCGTCGTTGGGATGGTTCTTGTCTTGTTCTCTCCCACGCTTAGAGGACGAATGGAAATCCTTCTTAATTCTGTCAGGAAAGGGCAAGGTCTTGATGCCTCCGAAGCCTTTGGTAAGAATTAGCTTTTCGCTCAGGTTGAGGATTAAGATTAGACCTACACTCGCTGCCTTGAAAATCCTTCCACTTTCCCGTAGCCAGACCAGTAATCAATTGGCTTAGCATCCAAGGGGCGGCGGAAGGGCCTAGTACTTCGAATATCTCCGTTATCATACATCGTCTGTCCTGCTCAGGCGAACGAAAAAGGGGATCGTTTCCACAAGAGATGCCATATGTCTAATCGACAATATCAGTACCTTGAGCACGAAGAACGTATGGAAATACTTACAACACATCCTAAGGTCCAAATATCAATGGAACGACCTAGTGGATGGGAAAATATCATTTCTGGTGGGGTGAAACTGAGTCGCGAGTCCACGTATGAAGGTCGCTCTGATTCCAGGAAAGCTGCACGTACTTAGCTCCGCAGACGAATAGGGGTGTCTTGTTACTTACATCTCGAAAAGCCGAAAAGTTGAATATTGCTGATCTCTTCCACAATGGTCTTGGACACGATGTCTAACTCCCCCACGACGTATTTTGGAACTCCCTCCGCCAGTGGCTGCGCATCTTCTCTAATGACATCTCCCTTCTTTATTTTACTGAAATTGATGTCGCTAACCCTAGGAATCTGGAATGCAATGCGCTCTCCGCTGATGTCTTTACAATGTTAGTTAAGCCCTGTGAATCCAGATCAAAAGTAGTGCTTACCTCCGTGCACTACCCCAATAGAATGAAGAAAGTCGACTGCCAGAAGAAGTTGTCTGGAAACCTCGCGCGCAAACTTCGTGTTGAACTTGGTGTACAAGAAAGTATCCCACCTCACATCATCTATTGTCAGTCCGAATAACTTCGTCACCAGACAGAGATGTATACCGTTGGGTCCATCGATAAAGAAATGATCTACAAGTTCCGAAATATACTTGCATCCGGGATGATCGCTCCGGTTTGCATCGATGTATCGCATGATCCTCAGCTCCTTTACTCCTTTCTGCAACATATCTGCCGTTAGGATCTTCAAGGCTACAATGCCGCCTCCCCAACCATCCTCGGCCGCCCACACGGTACTACTATACCCATGCGTAATCTTATTGATAACCTTATATCTTTGATCCTTGAACTCATCTCCAATTAGAACAGGATGAAGTCCTCCATTGACGTATCTTGCAGGCCGCTCTGCCATAATTCCAATGTCCTTGTATTCGCCGACCTTGTAGCCCCCGTATATTTTTTGACAACCTGAAACAGGTTTGGCGACCTCGTTATCCGTGATTACGTACACTTTGGTTGTGTGAGTCGGAAAGTATGAAGGAGTGATTTTGTTATTCCCTACGTCTTGCCGGGATGTCTTTTAAATCCGCGATGTGCTATAGTTTGCTGTAAGGTGGAAGAGAGCATAGGGAATAACAACGATCTTATGTAGAAGTTCATGGAAAGACAGGAATTGTAACGCTGCCAGGTTGTTGCCGAGACAGCTCTTCAGGATCTTGTAACAAAGAAGTGCATGTGGTGGCTTTCGATGCATGACCCGGTTGACAACATGGCTGAAGTTGATACGACACGCTCAAAGAAGTCAAAGATAAGTGACTGTCTCGATGGGGAATAGATTAAAACTGATGGTGAATGGAGAGTTGTACATCTACATTCGATGTTCCGAGAGTGTAATTATAATGTTACATTTCAAAGAATAACCCAAGATTGTGCACATTTACACTGTCCATAATTCTTTCATGCTTTGGAATAAGTGAATTTCACACACAGTTGACAGGTTACAACTGGTCGCATGTTCGCAACGCAGTTCTACTTAGAATCCCTGCATACGCCTGCAACAAAGAAAAATATGCATGCGCGAAAAATAATTTGCAACATTCAGTCCTGATCTTGTGAAAGCGCGACGCCTGACTAAAAGCTGGACTCGTATAGGTGGCGGCTTTCATCGTGACGCAATATCATCTGCACACCTCCGACGGGGACGGGCAACAGTAGAGAATATTAAGCGATAGGAAAAGCTCATTGATCAGGAATTGGGACTTCAAAAATTACATGTACCGACCTGTCTCCAAACAAAGACAAGGATTTCTAACGGTTAAGTGGTGTAGAGAGAAATGGCTTTCTCCACGGCAAGCTTGCCCTAGTAGCGTGACATTTGGCAATTCGGGGTCGGACGTATGAACAAAGGTACCCTTGCACGTGGCTTACTGGATTCACTACCACAACCTGCTTGTTCTTTGTGGTTGTCAATTCCCTTGAGAGTGAGCTTAGCGGAGAACCGATTATCGTTCTATTCATGCCACATGATAAGGATCCTTGGAGTGCTTTGTGTACTAGGCATCTCTGGTTGGTTATAGGCTTGACTTGTGGACCTGATTGTCCTGGCTTGCCAGACTTCCATTCCATACTAGCCTAGTATAGGAAATGAAGCATTGGTCCACATCGGGAAAGGAATTTGGCAGCAGGTGAAGACCTTTTCCATATTACCCTGGAGCAGAATGTTTCTTTTCATACCGGCGGTGTCGCTGTCAGAATCATCAGATAAGATGGGTGGGTTTTAGATCAATATCAGTACTATGTTTTGTTCCATGTTCATAATTATTGCATTACCGAGTTGGATAATTGAATGAGAGAGCATAAGAGATAATATTAACTAAGGTGGGCGAACCTGATCCTATATACTACTCAATGTGGGCTGCACAGACCCCTGCACAGACCCCTGCACAGGCTTCTGCCTGTGGTGCACGTGACTCACTGATTCACCAGACCAACTTACCGCCTGTGGATGCAGAAACAACGGGTTTCAAAAGTGCGCGAGGAGTATCAGATCCCGGGTAGGCCACTGGCACAGCGTAGAGAAGACAGAAAGCGCGGTCTTGGTATCACAAAAGAAACTGTCGTATTAGTAGTACTTTATTATTAATGTCGGTTGCTGAGTCAACTGGAGGAGTTGGCACTTCAACATCTCCTTTTGTAAGCTTATTGCTTAGCACGTTTATGGTCTTAACGGCAAAGATGTTCAAGTGTTCAAGTGTTCAAGTATTCAAGAGCAAAACATTCATCACATGATTGGAACAAGAACTATTGTGATCAAGCAATTGAAGTAATTGTCATAAAGATACAGTTCTAGAATACAAGCAACACATACGCCCCAAAATCCATCGTCATCTCCAGTGAAACCAGCGAACGAACTGCAAATGTCGATCGAAACATTCTAGCATCAAACGGACTACGGAGCTGAAATCTTGCTGCAAGTCAGACAATATTGTGAACAAGTTAGAAGAGAGGACGTCATGTTGTGCCGGCAAGCGAGTGGCCAGTGGCTATTGTCATCTCTAGTGAACACTCTAAGGAGAGCAAATGAGTTATGTTGCAGAAGATAGTGTGAATGTGAAACGAGGCATCCCAATGTCGGGCGAAATCCAAGAAAGTGACGATTGGCGCAAGCCAGAGGCGTAGGCAACGAGTTTGGAAATCAGATGTTTGTCCGCGATGGGGGCTCTTTTCATCTCCAGCCGTCAATAGAGAGATGGCCAAAGGGCAGACATGGATCTTGGCTGTAGATTTTGATAATGGATGAAGAAAGCGTGGAGTAAACGAGGCATTTCGACGTCGAACAGAAGTCGAAGGGGTATGTGAACATGCGAAATCGTCTGTTGTTGGTAGCACACGGCCGGGAATCAGCGATATTGTTGCGCGTTTCGATTCCGTCGATATCGATGTCGACGTGGACGTCGACTCCTCGCCTCGTCATCACGATCTTCGCCGAAAATCTGCGGTGGCATGTCTTCACAGGGCCGGTAAATATGGGCGACAAACTGTCTACCATTGAGGAGTTGTTGTGAGGTCTTGAGGCGCACAGTGATATGCAGGACAGGGTCTTTGCTGGTGTGCAGACAGACCCAAATGGACATCTCTGCATATTGTTGGAACCGAAGGTCTTCCGAAATAGCGTTGCGACAGATGGTCTCTGTAAGTTGTCGCTTGGTTTTATTTGGCGGCTTTATGAGAAGTTCATGACCCCAGGTAATCGGGGGCGTGTTGGTTGTCATTTTGGTGTGTTCAACAGACAAAGTATCGATTGAAGATCTTGGAATTTTGACAGGGGAAAAGGAAGAATTCGAGCACTGGAAAATAAAGCGCTGGCAATGAAGCAATTCAAATACTAGAGATACATCAGATCGAATGTAGGAGTAAAGGGAAGCCTGCGACGGCATTGTAACCCATAGCATCGCACATGATTCTAGATATCCAATCATTCCTACAGCGATAGTCAAGCGTCTGTATCCAGCGAGTCAAGTTCAAAGAAAGATTCACGGTAAACGAAAGAACTCTTGATTAATTTTAGAAGTCATTTTTAGACGGCCACGCAATATCTCAGCACTGAAATGCTCTGGAGGGGCACAAAAGCTTCAGAATTTTCCATTTTCTGTGCGATATTCTGGATGACTTCATCGTTGCTACCTATGTTTGCCGTGAAATGTTAGTACCTAAATCGCAGTATTGGTCGTGAGTGTTCGAAATCGTGGTGTTGAAAATGCACGGAGCGACCCCGTGACCTGTGTTTTGAGAAACATTCACGAATGTCTTAGTCTGAAAAGATGGGCTGTTTGACCAGTGAATCAAGAAGCGTGACACGGATTGATTTCTTGAAGGTCGGAATACACCTAATGGGCAACGAAAAAGAGGATATGATGCCTGTTTTATGAAATAAACTGAATAAAATTCAAATTCACTCTGCATAGCAAAACACAAATGTAGGCGAGCTGTCATTTTTAGCGGGACACTGAAATGTCCCCATTTTCCCCTCCCAGACTGAGTGAAACAAGGAAAAGCTGCAAACATGGCCCGTGAGAAGGCAGAGCCTGTCGGTACCTTCGCGCGAAGGTTATGGCTATTACCTTACAACGTGACGATGCAGAAACACATGAGAACACTTTGCGTGTCTTTCTCTCTATGGCTGGCCGTGCAACCTTTGCTATTATCATGCTCAGTGTTTTACCAGCAGTCCGAGCTTAGTGGTGTTAAACAATATGACTGATTTACCTACGAAAGTTATCTTTAGAGATTTCCCCCGTCAATCTACACATTCAGTGCGAAACAAGTTGTAAGACGCGGGACAAGTTTGGCTGCACTTGTAGAAGCGCACACAGACTGGCGACAATCATTCAGAGGGCGAATTGGGCGTTGACTCAATGAGACTTTGCTACCCGCAATGGTCCGCGCGTGCACTCCTTACGATAACTAGAGAGCTGGATGATAACTACTAGAAACTCATTGGGAATGCCTGTCGTGGAAGTGGAGAGCTAATTAACGTCAGAGGCAATATTCGCAAACACATGACGGGTGTTGTCGTCGTCTTTTGCAGCATTGGTATCGGTACAGGACCAGGACGAAACTGGAAAAATCATAACTTTAAACCTAGCATCACACCATGAACAGCGATCTATAACTACGTATAGGTAAGGTGTCTGGGTTTTGCCCGCTATATGCGCTTTTTAAAGATACAAGTAAAAGTAGTCTTAAATAATTTTCTGTTGTGAATGTATTTTCGTACGCTACAGCAGCCTTAGGAGAATATTTAACTGAGGTTTACCTAGTCTAGATGGGCACTGACTTTTGGGGGGTAGCCGCCAATCCTTATGGGGAATTAGGCGCTCACCTCCCCTAAAAATCAGCACATACCCCCCATAAGAGTGGGCGGCTACCCCGCCTCCCGAAAATGGGCGCCCCTTCCCCCCAAAATCAGCGCCTACCCCCCGTAAGAACTGGTGCCTATCGCCTAAGAAAAGAGCCAATCAGCGCGAGCGCCAAGGTAGTTTCTTAGCAACTACTTGCACCAAAATCCTCACCTTTATACCCTTCTGCCGTACAACAGAGAGTCGTCTATATTCTATAATAAGTCTGTCGTAATATAGTACTATACGCGTCCTGTAATTCAACGTATTTTTCGTTTCTCTACGACCTCTCTTTGTGGTAGTATAGGTGGTTGAAAAATACCAATATCTTACTCTAATTTCGGCTGAGGTTTTGTCCCAGTCCTGTGTATCAATCCATCTTAGTATCGGTACAATACTCATTTTGCAAACGAGAGCCTGCCGGGTATGTGGCGTATTAATCCCGTCAACGATGAACATGTTTTTTTTTTCATGGAGATCCGCGATGCACCACACAAGCCGTAAATTATCCCGTGGAGAGAGTCCAAAGCTATCATGCTTGGTAGGGCATCTACGGTCAGGACCGAACCGTCCACATTTTGTTCAGCTTAATTGTGCCAGAACTTATCACGTCGACAGGAGTTCTTAGGTTTAGAACGGATGAGCTTGGTTTCATTTTCGCAGCGTCGTGACCTTTTGGCGTTTGGCTTTTTTTTCGAATCAAGTGGACGTACTGATCTCCGGTTCCGTTCTATTCAGACACTTGCGTAGCAATGCAAACCCGAATCATCTAAACTTTGTGCGTTGAATGGAAAGTAGATAAATGCAAGTGTGTGTAGTTATGACAATAGTTAGTTAATAGCGACGATTTTCATAAGCTCGACGGCATCGCGCTATTCTCAACCGATTGAACTTACAGGGCGACCGGACATGCTTTGTACTTCTGTGGAAAGCTCACTGAGTTCATTCAATGCTGCACCCTGGTTTGGGGTGGAAGAGGTGTTCAGCGAAGGAATAGTACATTGTTGAATATGAAAAGCAGAGGTGGGGGCACCGGAGTCTTATGTCCTCTATCACTCACAGCAATGAATGATTGACCTCACTCTAACACTCTCGCGCGGAAGGAAAATTAGCGTTTCGCTGCTTGCCCTGCCCGGGCTTTTCAATGTACATCTAACATCGAGTAGTCCTCAACCCAACGAATCAATGGATTGAAACGCTATGTCCTGTCCCGCTATGAATGGACGCGGATTCAAGAGACATTTCAAGCTCAATTGCTCGATGATCATTCGCGAGATGTTAACGTTGACCCGAATAAGCATTAGGGTGCTGGCAGGGGTGTTCTAAGCGGCGTAAGCGTCATTGCCGATGTGCTACATTGCATGCCAGGTACAGTAGATCCAACCCCGCAAGATGAATAGTAAGTGGGGACCATTGGAATTGAGAGTCACCGAAGGGGTTGTTCAGTCTGATATTCATCTCGTGATCCCGCGAACATCTAGAATGCATGTATGAGGCGGAGAGCAATGCTTCTTTTGATTTTTTATCAATATTTTGCACTTCTCTTAGACAAAATCCTGATCCTGCCGTACCGTGGTTTTAAGAGCGCCCGCCCAATTCCTGCCATGATGATCGGGTCTGTGTAATAGCCCTGATCGACGCCGATGACGTGCGAAAAGCATGCGTCATTAATGGAATCATACAGACAAAAGAAAATAACGTCTATCCCTCTTTGCGACGATAGAAACACAGCCCGCAGCCTGCATAGTCCGACTGCATGGCCCGGTTCTCGTGAGATTGCTTGGTAACTACAAGACATAGTTCAGTCGCTGGGGTCTGTGGAATGATTGACCCCTCATCAATAGAAACATTCAACTGGTCGTTTCATGTATACCCGTTGTTTCTTGTGTCTAGCGGTGCTCTGCTATATGCCCATGTACTCATTCTGTTTTACATTCTGTAGGTAGGACGTGTACAATACACGACTAGGGTACGCCCAGCAAATAGGATGTACCCGAGATTGCCGAATTGAGCATTGCCTACTTGATCGGGTTAGGGCGATTGCCGCAACGGGCCAATGGGCGCGGACTCTACATAGGAAACATCGGGAATGTAAACGGCATCGAAACAAAATATACCCGATCGGTTTGATGTTTCGTAGACACTTGTACTGTCACCTCGCTCTGATATAAGCGATTCCTTACTGGTGCCTTGTTTAGATGTATTGGGCGCAGAGATACGGCCCCACGGCCCCCAAACCAGTATGCACGTGTTCTGCATCTGCCTCAGCAGAGATGTTTGAATGCAAACTCTTCTCAACTTTCCCATTGAGAAGTTCGCTAGTGTAGACCAGTTTCAGATTCGTGGTTCCATATGGACGCACGGGTCCAGGGCGTCACGACCATTCCCGAGCCACCGTGTCGATCAACAAGGCTCGCTCTCACACCACGCCCACGGACTGCACCCCCAGTTACCAAGCACAGCCTGGGGAACGAAAGTCATCCACGGCCTCTCAAGCTCTCCCATACAAACCCGGAGACTTCTGGGTGCCCGCACGCTGCGGAAATGTGAACGCTCACCATCTCGGGCACCATCTTGGTCTTCGACGATTGATCTGTTACGTCTCCAGACCTTACTTATTCGTCTGCTCCCGCCCAGATCTTCGTCTCGAAAAACCTACCCTCACAATTCCAGCACAACGCCATTCGTTAAGATGTCTTCTGTGGAGCTTCTTTCAGCTTTGGCGCCGTCCAACCTAATCAGGAACTTGACGATAAGTCGGGCATTCCTTGGCCTCATCGCTTTCGTATGTATCAAAATCATGACAGTTCGGCCATCGATCGCTGACCTGTGATAGTTCGCCCTTCGCTTCGTCGTAAAAGCCGTTTACAGATTATACTTCCATCCACTCCGGAACTTCCCGGGACCAAAGCTCTATGCCATCACACAGATTCCTATGGTCTCGCATGTATACCGAGGAACGTACACTGATATGATATGTGGGCTCCATCAGAAGTACGGAAAGGTGGTGCGCGTGTCTCCACACGAGTTGAGCTTCAATGACCCGCGGGGGTGGAAAGACATCCATGGCCACCAGAAGCCAGGCAAGGCCAACATCATCAAGCACCCGGACTGGTTCGTGCCCGCGATCAACGACGTCCACACTATCATCTCCGCCAACGACGAGGACCACTCGCGCATGCGCCGCATCTTCTCGAACGCCTTCTCCGACAAGTCGCTGAAGCTCCAAGAAGGCCTCTTCGCCAAGTACGCCGACTTGCTCATCCACAAAATGAAAGAGGTTTCCAAGGACCCAAAGCACCAGATCGACATGGTCCGCATGTACAACTACACCACATTCGACATCATGTCTGACCTGACGTTCGGCGAGCCGCTGTACCTTCTTGACAACGACGACTACATTCCCTGGGTCAAGAACATCTTCGAGTCCATCCGCACTGGATCCAAGATCGGGATCGTCCGCTACTGGCCCAGCGTCATGAAGTTCGTCAAGGCCATTGCCGGAAACGCCGCGCAGAAGAAGCGTGTCATCCACTTCGACTACTCTTCCAAGCGTGTCGACCGCCGCGTCGAGCGCGGCTCCAACGAACCCGACATCTGGAACCTGGTCATGAACGCGAAGGAAGGCCGGGGCTTGACCAAGGGCGAGATGTATGCTAACACGACTGTCTTCATGATTGCAGGAACTGAGACTACCGCCACTCTTCTCTCCGGTGTCACTTGGTATCTTCTCAAGCACCAGGACAGCCTCAAGAAGCTAGTGGACGAAATCCGAGGCGCCTTCAAGTCCGACGACGACATTACCATCGAAGGCCTTCAACGCCTGAAATATCTCCGCGCTTGTCTCGAGGAGGGTCTTCGCATGTATCCTCCCGTCCCGATCGGTCTCCCATGCCTCGTTCCCGCTCAAGGCTCCGAAGTGTGCGGCGAATGGATCCCCGGAGGCGTAAGTTTTCACTCCCTTGCCCATCAGACTTCACGATCATTCCTAACTCCCCTCCAGACCACCGTTTCCTGCCAACAACTCGCGATGTACCAAGACCCAAAGAACTTCGTTGAGCCACTGTCCTTCATCCCAGAGCGCTGGACCGGCGAAGACGATCGCTTCGACGGCGACAACAAGCACGCGCTGCAGCCTTTCTCTTATGGGCCGCGCAACTGTCTCGGCAAGAAGTACGTATACCCCTCGTCCCCATTTTCCCCTCACCACCACCAAAACAGAATCGCTAACGATGAAACCAGCCTCGCCTACCACGAAATGCGCATAATCCTCGCTAAGATCCTCTTCCACTTCGACCTCACCCTCGAGCCGGAGAGCGACAGCTGGCGCAACCAGGAGGTCTACACCCTATGGCAGAAGCCTGCGCTCAAGGTTAAGTGCACGCCTGTTCGCGCTTGATCGCTTCCTTCCTCTCCCTTTATCATCTTCCATTCTCACTCTCGTTGTCGTCATGATTTGAAGCCTTTCCAGACGATCAACCTACCATCGAAACCCTTGTATATAACCAGATGGTAGGGATATCGTCCACACCTACATTCGCATATGCATCTCCATCCTTGGCATCTCCTTCCTTGAAAATATATAAGACAACAACCTTTCTGCATTTTCCCTCCATTCATCACATAGAGCCCCCACCCCCCATCCCTCCCTTTTCCCACTTATTGCATTACCTCGGTGTACTTGTACATATTTCTCTCTCCCTCCGTTTCCTGCTCTTTGTTTCTTGCGCTTGCACTTGTATATAACCACACACGGGGCACATATGGTAGACTAGACACAGGGTGGATAGATAGTAGACACGCGAGTCTCGACCTGCCGGGATTGTCCTCTTGTATATATTTCCGCTTTTTCCCCGGCTGGGTCGAGATGGCGTGGCGGTGGCGGCGGAGTTCGTGGGAGGTGAGGTGGAGTATCGAGGCGCGTGGAGATAGATTAGATGAATTGAATGCGTTGGAATTTGTGTTGTTCGTATGCTTGAGCGGTGCTTTATGAGATGATGGTGGGTGGATTCGTGGGCGTGAAAGTGTGAGGGACAGGTCGTGCTGTGATGTAAAGTGTGTAGGCGTATATCTCATCACGGAACGACTATCTTTTCATCAAGGACCCGTGGTTGTACTCGTAGCATTGGGTCGGCAGATGTAAATATGAAGCGTCGGATGTGAGTTGATGAGATTTCCAACGTGTCTCGATACCTGATCTCGCTCTGGCTTGTCGTCCACAATCGTGTGAAGTTAAATCCCAACGGCGCCAATCCAGCGTTCGTTCGTTGGCCTGATCCATAGGATCGTCTGCTTGGTCTACCTCGACCTTCACCTCCTCCGCATTCGCACATCTCCATGATGCGTGCATATAGCTTGCGATAGATTCAACACCTTTTCCAGAATCACTTCACACCATCCCAGCATACTGTCGAGCGAAGGAGGCGAATCGGACGTCACGGCATGAGGAACAGACACTGAGTGATAATGAAGGCAAGATGGTGGGAATCATCTGTTAAACTGTATGCACTGTTTGTTCTTTGCTACCGCCTGTGGGCCGAGTTTGTGGTGTATGTCGCTTTTCGGTCAGGTGCCGGGATGAGAGAAGTTATGGACGTGGAACGTGATGAGGGGCATAGTGAGTCTAGCCAAGGGAACATAGTGAGAAAGTTTGTATTGAACTATGTAGCATAGCTGTTTCTATCTATCTCTTTTCTGTTGTGTTTATGATGTGTGTGCTTTCGCCCGTCGGGGCGTTCTCGTAAGGCGATAGAGCTGAGATATGGTGGCGAGGTGAGGTGAGAGAGGCAAATTGAGTGCGCGGGAGTCGCAATTCTGATGGAGGAGGGCGTTCGTACGTGTGTGATATGGCTTCAATCTGACGGTTGGTCTTTCTGGCGACGTGTATGTGTTGTGATTCAATGACGAGGAGGTGAGTACGGTGGTGATGGGCGGCTTCGTGATAGTCGGCGAACTGGGCGGCGGATGAAGTTTTCGATGAAGCTGGAATTTTGGATGCATTTAGTGGATTCAAGTTGTTATGTGAGCAATTGAGGCATGCTACTGGGTTACGGATCAAACGGCATGGGCATGAAGCAACAAACTCGCACTGTCTTGATAGCACTGCCGTGAGTTTTACTACGCAGAGAGGCATCATCAAATGAACCACCACAATCTCATAGTCTCACGATCTCACGATTTCAGTAACGTCTTTGGATGATAGCTAGAGCATGGAACAGAGTACTCGCGTCATCTTGATGGAGCTGTCGTACAATCTGATACAAATGGTAGAGCTGGACAGGACAAAGGTCTCATCAATTGAAGCATCACGATCTCACAATCCCATAACGTCACGACTTCACTGTTATAGACGGATGTCTACCGTCCCCCAGTTCTATGCATGCATCACCACCTCATGCCAGAGACCTTGACCCCATGCGTCCACCCACGTCCACCCACGTCCAACCACCTCTCTACCAATCCACCTACTCAGCTATCTTCCTATTCGCCCAGCCACCCAACCTCCCTCCTATTGATCCTATTGATCCTATTGATCCTATTGATCCTATTCATCGTCACCCTCTTCCTATTGTGCGAACACATGGACCGTGCTGAATCAGTCCCAATTGGGCCGATTGAGGTGATAATGGCCAGGCAGCCTCGCTTTCACGTGACACTTCCGCCATATCACAATCACCCAGGTCGCCCGATTTGGCCAATCTGGCCATTCTGGTCGATCTGGTCGACCCTATTCTTCCACAATAGGCAATGTGATCTGGGAGGCAGCGCACGGTCCCTCCCCCCCAGGAATGGGGTATATAAACCCTCTTCTGCCTCCCATCCTCCGTCTCCTCTTCTTCTTTTTCCTCTCCAGACACTCAGTCCCGAGCTACTTTCGACCTCCTCTTCATTCTCTTTGCTGCCCACCCTACCTGCCCTTTCTTCCCTCTTCTCCCTTTCCTCCGTGCACTCCACCTGAACTAACCATTTAGCTCCCCTTTCCCTTCTGCCCTCCCTGCCCTCCCCTTTCCCCCCTCCTTCACTTCATTTGCAACGCAACGGCTCGGTTTCCGGAGACTCAATGACTAGTATGCGGAGCCGCCGCGAACGTCCTGGTTGCGAGTCACGATTAGCAGCGGGGTTGGGGCTGCTAATAAAGTCTTTCTTTCTTTCTTAGAAAGACTTTGAACCAATGAGCTTTTTCTCACTTTACTTTTTTCTTTTCGTTGATCTTGCTGGCTTGTTCTGGCTGATTGAAGAAGAGTCACCTTCTCTCATCCTTCCCTTCACACTCTCACCCTTGGTTGCTGTTCTGTCGTGCTTCTACTTGCTTGTGTTGCGCTGCTCCAAGTGAAGCTATTCCCAACCGCCACCGACCACCTCCATCGCCCACCTTCACTGACATTGAGGAGTTGAGAAAAGGTGCCGCATCCCGACTCTCTGTCACTTTTCAGCGTTTCAAGCACTGCATTCTTCCAATTCGCAAATTTCGACGAGCCCTAGGCGATCCACCCTTCCCATCCTCGCTCCTTCCTAGTCATCTGACTTGGACATTCACAATCACTCACTCACTTAGGTACTAATGTCCACCTCCCCACACACGAGTACGCCTGCATCATCGACATCAAGTTCGGCCTCGCCTTCGTTTCCAACATGCACCTGCCTTCACTCCTTCCCACCCTTCTAGCTCTCCCACATCTCATAAAAGCTGGCACCGTCCCTCGCCATCCCAATGCTGTTCAACACCAGGACGAGATGGGCAATTTTGAAAACCTCGCCACATCTGAAGTACCTCCCAAAGCCCTCTGGCTAGGAGACGGCCCGCCTCCCGTCGACGAGGAAGCCTACCAACGCCTCGTCTGCAAAGGCGGGCAATTTCTCGCCGTCATGTTCCTCACCTCCGCCCAAGCCGGCCCCTACCTGACGCCTCCTCAGGTCTCCTCTGCCAGCACTTGGGTTTCCTTCCCCAAGCAGCTTACCGACTGGGGTTATAGCGAATCCCAGAAGACAAACATACTCCTTGGTCCAGGACAGTACGGCATCGAGCCCCTCCTCGCCACCATTGGCGCTTCGTTTGACTCCAGAGATTGGTTCTTCTCCATCATCCAGCACGGCGACCCATACACCACACAACAACTCGACATACAAACCTACGTCAGTCCCAACGGCCGCGTCCTCCGCAAGACAGGCGCGCACTTCCACCTCGGCTCGCACGCCGCCTCAGGAACCCTCATGGTATCCAAGCAATTCAGCGCACGGCACGAAGCCACCTACCGCTCCCCGCACATCCCCGACGCGGACCTGCCCGCACTGATCCGCTCCTCCGACATCGTCTACGCCTTCTGGTACCTGCACACGTACTCCAACCTGCGTGGCCTGCGCAACATCATCATCTGGTCCGTCACGAATCCCACCACCCAGCAGATCATCCGCAGGGCGATCCAGGACGCGCCCCCGGACGTACCCGGCGGCGACCCGACCAAGAATAAGTTGAAGCCCTGGCCGGGGTACTACTTCGATGCGTATACCAGGGCGTGCAAGGCATTGCTCGGGAGCCCGAATGGCTCGGGTGTCGCGTGGATGCTGATACAGAGGAAGGAGGAGCTGGGGAGGAAGACGGTGACGGGGTGTTCGGTGTTTGTGAGCGAGGCCACCTTGATGTTTGAGCCTAGCATCGTGTTTTACATCGGGAATGCGGTAGCCGTGACGGCGAGGAGTAATTCTACGAATAGTGAATGACCTCCAGCACGCACGCGTTGATCGACGTCGTTGTCATCGTTGCTACACTTTGTTCTTCTAGAACGTCGAAGAAAGGATGGGAATACAGTCACGGCTTCATTACATGCACTAGCATAGAGTCTGTACTGAGATAAAAAACTACTTATACTGCTGCCATATCATTTGTCTTGTCTTCCTGATTGATTCTTGTTGATCACTATCCCCACTATCAAATCGCAAACAAAATCACCAAAAATCAAACACAGCATCGCATCAACCAGAACCCATCCAAGACCAATGAAAGTGGAAGAGGGGAAGCAATGAAACACAAAATGAAATTAGAATAACGTTGGGTTGTAGCATTACGCGGGCCATAGTCACGTGTAGATTTCTATTAGCAAGGTTTACTAGCTAGCTTTGTATGAACGACTTCCATTCATCCATCACTGAGCGGGAAAACACATTGATCTTTTAGGTGGGGAGAATGGACAAGATAGATAAAGGGCTCTGTCGTATATAAGCCAGGTCGCAAGCGTGGTGCCGTCGTGTGTTATGCAACAATTGAGTAGAGAGGGAGGAGAAAAGTAGGGACGGTGCATTGATATTACCATCATGATCATCACCATATCAAGTCGAATTTAGCCTGCAAGCAGAATTTAAGATTGATTATTCTACAGACTGTTCTCATTGGCGTGTTGTAGGGTTGACATACATGCAACGGATGGGCACTGTGGGGACGCTACTGGAGGTAAACCTGTATGCCTTGTAATGTGCTGTCAACGTGAAGGGATAAGTTTGGTACACCATAAATGCACCTAGCCATACACCACACACAAGCCACTCTTTCCTTGGTCATCTTCATCCGCTTCGAAGGCCAAGAGGAGCCACCTTCGTGTCCCTCTTGCATATCTTCATTGACCCTTCCCTCGATGTCGTCCCGGGTCTGGCGCTCCACAGATAGGTTCTCACCATCTCCCGTCACCGCCACTCCCTCGCGAAGTTGAGGAGCTGGGATCGAGTAGAACTTCCGTCGGCAATCACAAGCAAAATTCAACTTCTTCCCCGGTCGGAGGGGCCGATCCCATCGACGGTGTAGAATACAGTCGTCCGCGTCATGGAGAGCGAGGACAAAGTCGGAGTAAGGGTCCTTGTCGTGCGCGATGTTGTCTTTCGCTTCGGCTGCTGCTTTCTCGGAGGTCTTGGGGGGAGGTTCATTGGAAGCTGATGTGTCGGCGGAGCGCGTCACTGACGCGCTTAGTACTGTCATTCTCCATGAACGATGGGTTGGGATGAAAAGACTTACAGTCTCCAAGGACTTTGACAATGCGGCGGAAAGCTTCATTGCTGTCGTGGCCGTGTTTCGTGTAAATATCTAGGGCGGCCTCGAGCTTCCTCGTGTTAGCTTAGGTGCGGGAAATGAAGGAAATGGGGCGTACGTGGTTCTTTGCCATGTCGTAGTCGGCTGCTTCTTCAGATGTGTTAGCAGACATAGCGAGTGGTTGGGATGACGACGAGAGTGAGAGTGTAGAGTGGAGGGTGATGGTGGGAGGACGAAGGGCTTAGGCGGTTGGGAGTAGGTGAGCGCGGGATCGGGATTGTGAGATTGATCCAGCGGCGGCGGCGGGAGTAGGTGATAATCGTGGTGGAGAAAAGTGAAAGATGGAAGGTAGAAGATAAATATTGAGGAGAGCAGAGACGGGCGATGTCTGTGATTGAGTGTGATTAAAGTTGCTGACGTCCGATTTTCTCTTGTGCGTCGTAAGTGAGCGATGGCAGATGGCACTGCAGATAATGGAAGGATGTAAGTTCGGTCGACCTGTATGCACAATAGGACCGTAAAGACACTTCTTGATAATATATGGATGGATATCAGCGATTCGATGCAGTTTCCGGAAATCATGGGATGTTTTCCAAGCCGATGCACTATCATCCTATCTCACGTACTAGTACACCAAATGCCATGATCTGCTTCTTACTGAACAATGACCTGCATATTGCATTCGTCTATCAGCATCTATGTACCGCTATCTGGAATGACATGTGTAACGCCGTCAACTGTAGTTTCGAAACTGCCCTCCCACCCAGAAACGTCAAAAATTTTCAAGTTCACCTTCAAACCCGCATCGCCAGTCCGCTTCGTAGCCACCGTCTCTCCACTCTGTGCAAGATCTGAAAACCACCATATAGAAGCCTTCCCCTGCCCGTCCTGACTGGTCTTTGCAGACTCCCGGCCGTTGAGGAACGTCCTCCCATCGTCGGTAAAATTGTGATACACGACCTCCACGCTCTTCACACTCCCACCACCCTCACCCGTCCCGATCTCAACGTCCGCGTAACCGCTCGTCTTCCCCTCAAGGATGTACCTCCCGCCCGGCACATCGAGTTGTTTCTTCGGCGCCTCGCCAGGGACGTACTTCGTACCCCACACCACCTCATCTGCATCAAACTCCACCGTCGCCGGCACCCTTGGCTTTCTCCCCGTAAACGTCGCAACAACCAGCCTCTGTCTCCTCCCAAACGGCTCCTTGGACTCATAACACGGCAACGGATTCTCACCTCCGCATTCCGGGTACGTAGTCTGCGCCTGCGCATACACCAGCTGCGTCGAATCGAGCGACCATCTCGGGTCCGCGAGGGAATTCCACTCCGGGTCGTCGAACGCCCCGCTCCCCGGCGTGCCCTGTCTTCCTTCAAGTTTCGCATTCACCTGCTGTCCATAGTACGTCCCGCGGTCACCCCAACGATCTAGAAGCCAAGGCTGAAAGAACCTTCGCTGGCCGTTGTTGCGTAACCCCGCGGCCACGACGAGAGTTACCAGGTCGATCAGCGGCGGGACGGACCGCATGCCGGATGCCCACATCATGCGTCCAGACGCGCGCGTGTCCATCACGACCATCGAGTCGCCGGATGGGGAGTACGTGATCGGGTCGCAGTAGTCTGGGTGCGATGTCAGGCGTCGGACGGCGCCGGTGCGGAGATGGGCTGCGAAGACGTCGACGTTGGAGGATTCGGTCGGCGGGCCAATATAGATTACTTCGTCGCCTGAGGGTGTGAAGCCGCGGAGTTCGCCGATTGCGAGGGCGCTGGAGTCGATGTGGATGTTTCTGCCGGAGATGGAGTAGGGTTTGGGGCCCGTGGCCGAGAGTAGAGTCGTGACGTTTGTGAGATCGTAGCCGGGGTGAGGGTCGGACGGGTTGAATTCCAGGCGGGCGTAGTAGCATAGCTGGCCAGGTGTCTTGTCTTCGTAAAGCGTGAAGGCGCTGAAGCCTATGTGGGCATTGTCGGGGTGTAGGCGAAGCTCTCGTATGGCGCCGAAGCCGTTGGACGCCGGGTTGTTCCAGCGGACAGGGTAGATGTGAGTTTTTGACGGCGTGCATTGGGGGTCGGTCAGGTTGAACGGGGTACATGTGAGGATATTGCTGCCGATGAGCAAGCGCTGGCTATCGCGGAAGGATTGAGGGTAGTGGAAGCCGGGGATCATGTCGATAGTGTTCTGGGATGGTAGGCCGCAGGTGATGCATTTCCAGGCGTCACCATTGGGAAACAATGATCCATCAGTCTTTATGATGATGACCTGCTCGCCGGTGTAGATGCTTCCTGGGGATGGAGATAGAGGCGCGCCAGTGAACGTTACTCGTGCGAGGACATGGGCGCCGTCTGGGAGGAAGTCTCCGGCTTGGAAGCCTTTTTTCATGACCATACAGCCAGTGCCATGGGGATTGATGGTCGAATTGCAGGATCCGGGCTCATCGCTCGCGATCGATGGTGGTAATGGAAGAGTTCTCAACGAGATGGGTTCAGGCGCTGGCGGTGGTGGGATGTCTGTGTACGTCAAGTCGGTTGGAAAGGGTGCCTGTGGACATGTTACTACGAATTTAGCAACCAATTTAGAACAAGTTCCAAGTAACAAGCTCTTCAGAACTTACAACGTCATATCCCATCTTCTCCTGGCACCCTGTTGCCAACATCCAGCACCTCAGGATCCCCGCTGCCGTTTGTAGCACGTTCCATGTCGACATCTTCGTCCTGGAAGTACAGTTGACTTCGAGAACTCAATAAGGGACAGAAGTTTCTCTTCGTTCCCCATTTGAAATTGCGGATGCGATTGTATTTAAATGAGACGTCGTTCAAGAGGGTGGGCGAGACCCACTTCTCTAGCGTATTCGCCGTATTGAGGGATACGGTGGATACGATGACGCGAAATCCCTGTGGCGATCATAGGGCGGTGGCACTCCGGGACATGATTGTGGGCCGGAAAATCATGGGGGCGAATACAGAGGCTTGGAAAAAGTTTGCTCTTAATTGTCATGAAGATCGAACTCATAGAGCGAGCTGTTCGGAGTTTAGATCATAAGATCGACACGACAGGGAAGGATCAGGAGAAGCATATATGGAGCGCGAACTGTCGCCGTTTGATGAGAGGTTGAATTAAAGTATGACAGCAGTCAAGACAAAAGGTCAGCGATCACATGCATTAACATGTCCGAGAATTGATTCTTGCGAGACATGGGTTTGCTGTTTCTAACTGCGAGTACATTTCTTACCAATGCAAGGGCTCGGTCATTCGAAAACGAGACTTGAGTTGCTTCAGCGCTGGTACAGGTCTACTTGCATCGAAAACAAACCATTAACCCATTTGCAGTGCAACTTAACTTGATATATGGAGACATGGGGGGATCCACATCATTAATGGCGAGGAGATCGGACCATTTCACTGGACTTGAAAGGGCTAGTTCCCGTTAGATCCCTGTGACGGTCTTACCTGACCTTATTTCTACGAACTAAGCAACGCTCTGACAGAAGTTGTAGCTAACTACCTTCTAGCAGTTAGTGTTGACGAATACCTTATACGTAGAAACCTTGGTTTCGAGATATCTTGGTCATGGTATTCATTCTCCATTTTCCCAATGGCCCTATCCACTCGAACGCGTAGGACATTTGCAGGCATTTACCAGTAGATGATCGAGATTAGAGATAGTTCCATCCTATCATTCATAACAGGTATTAGCAACGTGATCTTTTCGCCGCATTTGGAAGTTGCTGGATTCTGTGTTACCCTTCGCTGAAACGTCATTTTGGCTCTTACAGCGTAGCGACTTACACTACATATCTCGCAACAAGATCTTTGCACGGATCCTACCATGAATGAAAAAATCGCTATATAAGCTTACACTCTTATTATTTGACTGTGCCACAGGACGTCCTGTAATTAGTAAAGAGACGGACGAACAACGTCACCATGCAGCATATTCATTTAACCGCGTGTGGCACGGTATTCTGAACTATTCATTTGAGCGTCGGCTGTGTCCGCTCCACTACATGTTCTTCTTTTCTCTTTTGAAGAAAAAAAGAGAAACAAGAAAATTGCAGCACTCTCTTAATAAAACGAGCGTGACTACTTCTTCATCATGATTTATGCAACGACTTTCGCTTTCTTCATACTTTGCGTCGTTCTCTTGTGGATCGGAATTCCACGGAGAATTTCAGAGCCATGGAAGTTTCTTGCACGAGGACGCCAGATGTTGATTCAACGTGCGCGGGAAGTGAGTCCATCCACAGTTGTCGTTTCGTGACAGGAGTTGAATCAACTTTAGCACAATGGAAAACCATTCTCCATCCTCATCCCTGGAAATCGCCTCCACCTCGTTTCAAGCAAGGCCCACTGGGAAGATCTCAACAACACGAGTCTCAATCATCTCTCCAGCCATGTTTGGTCGAAGGAGCATTTCCAGCCGAAGTATACTTTCGGTTATGAATGGCCAGATCGGCGGCAGGATGACGGCATGCCTGTTATTCGTGCCATACGAACGCTGTCTAATCAGTTCTCTGGGCTACGGGAACGATATGTTAGTCTCATGGAGTCTGATCTCAATGATGCATTGAAGATATACATTCAGCCTAATGGTAAGTTGCATTTGTATCTCCCAGGGTCTTGTCTTCGTAGAGTTCTTGCTAATTGTCACTAGGAATTAGCGTTATTCCTTTGTGGGAGACAGTGAAACGACTCGGAAGCAGAATGAACATAATGATGTTGTTTGGACAACATATCGGTGGGTAAATCGCACTTGATATTACCGGACAATCATGCCTAACAGCACCTCTAGCGAATGATTCAGAATTCGTAGATCGAGGCTTGAAATACATCGATGAAGTTACATTGGTATCTGAAGCGGCCAAGAGTTTTCCGCTATTTTTAATGCCGTAAGTGAATACCAGAACATTTCTCTGCAATACGTTAATTGGATCCATTGAAGTCTCATGTCCAGAATCATTCGCGGTCGCAACTTAAACGCTCAATATGTTCGCGAGGTAATAAACACAGAGATCAAAAACCATCGCTATAGAATAGCTTCCGCCCCCTTGGAAGCAAGCGAGAAGCCTGTAAATCTAACCTTGTCCCAAATTTATTACAGACCTTCGAGCTCATTCTCTACAGGAATCCATAATAGAAGCACACGTGAGGAATCTTCCAGGCATTTCAGAATCCAAGAGAATCAAATTCGATATGAATACCACGTTTATATCAACAACTACAGCCACCCCAATAGCGAGTAGCACGCCCATACTTTGAGGCCTAGTAACTGATTCTGTATTCAGATTGCAACTCACCTGATCCTGGACATTTTCACGCATCCGGAATATCTTCCTGCCTTGCGGGAAGAGGTCAAGGATGTACTTGGCAACCCAGCATCCGACATCAACAAACTTCCATTGCTGGAGAATTTCCTCATTGAATCGATACGCTTTCACTGCTTTCTCTCAACGGTAGTTCACCGCGTTCCGCTGAAATCATTCAGCTTTTCGGATGGTTATACAGTTCCTAAGGGTGAGATTGTGGAATTCTATCAGTACAGCGTCATGAACGATGAAACCATTCACTCGAACCCGAATGAATTCAATCCTAAAAGATTCGAAGGAAAAGCTCGAAAGGCTACTGATATTAGTATGGAATGGCCGTTCTGGGGCAATTCGAAGATGGCATGGTAAGTTCTTGCTTCGATAAGATTTAGCAGAGTCTAATTGTTACCAATTTGCAGTCCAGGTCGGTTTCATGTTTGCAATGTGGCAAAGCTGATTGCAATTTACTTCATCACGAATTTCGATTGCGACGTTACAAATAGCCATAATCCAAGTTTCGAATTTCGAGACGTTAGTGTACCGCACCCAAAGTGGGAGTTGATCATGAGGAGACGTACTATGTAGCGATAGTCAACTGTCTACTCGGGACCATGACACACAATCATCCCGGAAGTTTTAGAGATCCTTGGGAAAGCTTTATTGTCCCTATATTGGGTTTTCCATCAATGAATGAACTATCCCATCGACATCGGACTTTTTGGACTCTCAAGCCTCATTGTGCACAGCTGGAGATGTAGTAGGTAGAATGAGTGGTTCGACATCCTCCATTTTGCAGATTTAGTAGCGAATACTTCAAAACAAGATTAATTGCCGGCAAACTTTTTCATTTGAAGTAACAATTGAGTTACAATTCACTACCACTATAAGTGAGAGTACCGCTATATAGCAGCTTCAAAATAGAAACCTGGTCCTGCAAAGAAAATTCAACCTGTTGTGATAGCAACCACACCACCCCGGCCCCCCACTCACCACTCACTCACCTCCGAACCCATTCCCCCTGGGGCAAACTCTTCACCTATATGGCTAGACGCAAGGTCGAAACAAAAGTAATGGACTCACGTGATCGGTATCTAGCGGATATCGGGGGAGCTCCCGAAACCGGCCCAGCAACCCGATGAGGTTATGCTCAAGAACTTCTCGAACATTTCTGGACCTTACACTTATTCCTATCTCAATTAATTTCTTCTCGAAAACATCATCTAAACTCTTCTGTCATTCTTCCCCGCATTCGAGTTTCTTATCTTTATCATCTTTGCTATAGTAATATCATGTCTCCCGCAGCAAATGTTCCTAGGTCCGGGGTCTGGTGCCCCGCAGTAACCTTCTTCGACCCCTCAACCGGCGCTATCGACTTCGACTCACAAAAGAAATACTTCAAATACCTCTCAACAACCGGACTAGCAGGTCTCGTTGTGCTCGGTTCCAATGCTGAAGCTTTCCTTCTGACACGCGAGGAGCGACGGAACCTCATTGTCGCCGCACGTGAGGCCGTTGGCCCTGATTTCCCATTGATCTGCGGTGTAAGCGGATTCTCCGTAACCCAGACTCTCGAGTACATCCAAGATGCGATCAGCGCTGGTGCCACATACGGATTGCTCCTTCCAGCAGCATACTACGGCGGTGCTACGACCAAGGAGGTAGTAAAAGGCTACTACGACGAGGTTGCACAGAAGAGCGACCTCCCACTCGTTATCTACAACTTCCCCGGAATTTGCAATGGCGTCGATCTTGATTCGGACACCATCGCGGCCATCGCAAAGAGCAACCCTGGAAAGATCGTCGGCGTCAAATTGACCTGCGGAAGTGTGGCCAAGATCACCCGGCTAACAGGCCAGCTTTCTCCCGATCAGTTCGCTACGTTCGGTGGACAGAGTGATTTCTTGATCGGCGGTTTGGCGGTCGGAAGCCAGGGTTGCGTGGCCGCATTCTCGAACGTTTTCCCCAAGACGATTTCTAAGATCTACCAGCTCTACACGAGCGGCAAGGTCGAGGAGGCTTTGACGCTGCACCGAAAGGCTGCGCTCGCTGAGAGCCCCGTCAAGGCCGGTATCGGAAGCACAAAGTACGCCGTTTCGCAATACAGTGCGGTGGCTGCTGGAATCTCGAGCCCAGAAAGCAAGCTCGCTCCTAGAAAGCCATATTTGCCCGTGGGTGACGCGGTGAAGACGAATGTCGCCAACGTCATGGCTGAATTGGCAGAAATCGAGGGGAGTTTGTAGATCTTCTGGATGAATAGAGCATGACCGCCTTTGCATAGAGCATCGTTAGGTTCAAAAAGGAATAATAGAATCAATGTAAAACCAGTTTGGACGTTTTCCGAAACGACCAGTCATCATGATCTTGACGATAGTCAAATATTCCCGTGAATTGACTACAAGCAAAGAATCTTTTACCCGGAAATGGAGAAGATGCCGAAACTTCAAGTCCTCGATATTTTGTCTAAACAATGGAAAAAGACAAGATGACACACCATATCGGACTGGTCATCGAGTCTCTCTCAAACATCACCAGCAGCAGATAAAGGTCACCATTTCCAACAATGATTGTTTATTCTCACAGATATTGCAAGTGAACAACAACGGGTATCGAACAATCAAACAACAAATCAGCAGCATTTCATCGTCCGGCGAGCTTCTTCAATCCATCCCTCCAACTCCTCCTCTTCTCTTTCCCATTGTCACGATCCCCGCCTTTAGGTTCCAGACCCCCCTTGGTACTACTTTTCTCCCCTTCGACTTCGAACAAGGTATCATCATCCCCAGCGTCTTTATCTTTCTGAGCCTGCTTCTCGGCTGCTTCTTGCTTTTTGCCTATGCGCAAGTTAGTAAATCTCGTCTCTCACAAAACAAGTCCGTGGTGGAGGCGGAAATTCAAAACGCACGTTGCTCTTCCTCCCATTCCTTCACGATATTATTCTTCATCTCCTCCATGCGCGCCTGGCCTCTCTTGCCACCGTACGGACCCTTGCCAGCGGAGAGCGAACCGAAGATATCTGCGTTGTCCATAATTTCTGTTTATACGGTGGATTTGGAGTTCGTGATGAAATCTGGTTGATTAATTGATTCCCAGATCAAGGACAAGTCGTTTTCTTATATATTTCATTCCATAGTGATGTCAGATGGAGGATGCGCTAAGGGTGCTCAGCCATAACGCGCAGCACAAGACAGGGGGGGATGCGTGCGGGCGATCTGGGGTTGGTGCCTACTGGTATCACCCAAATTGGGTATGCTCTGTGTTTCACAGCATTCTATGCTTGATATTGCCACACCTGCATAAATTTCCTAGGAATTTTTGGAGGTATTCTATCTTCCACAATGGCAGCGCTCGCTCGAGAGATAATCGGCCAATCAAGCCGCCGCTACATCGCCAGAAGCGTTCTACAAGAAAGCCGTGGTCCACTGGGTCCCGTGCTCTTAGCTATGTAAGAGCACCCAATTATTCCATCTCCATTCGCTTACACGCCTTCGCAGGGCCGACCGCAAAAGATACGTCCTAAAAAGCGTACCAGACGACGTCTTCGGATACTACCAAAACATGTTCAATGACCTCCGTCCATGTCCATACGTCCGCGTGGCTGCGGATGCAATTCCTGAGAAACACATGTTTGCTTATGGATATCTGGACGACCATCTTCTTTCTTTCGCTCAGAAAGACGTACCCTTACCGCTCACGAAACGCATCCTCAGGGACACTCTCCGAGGTCTCGCAGCTCTACATGAAAGAGGCATTGTGCATACGGATGTTAAGCCTAATAACATCATGCTGAACTGGAACGACAAAAATAGAGACATTGCCGTGGAGAAAGTGCAGCTCGCCGACATAGACGACGCCGCGTACGTGCCGGAAGGAAGCGCGCTTGTCGGGAGGGCGTTTGGGAATTGGATGTGGCGAAGTCCCGAAGCGCATGCTTCGGCGGCTTGTCATACGCCTACGGAAATGTTTTCCTTTGGGATAGTGGTGAGTTTTCTTCAGTTGTATGGTGTCGTCGGAATGAATGTGTTGACATGACCATCTAGTGCATTTATGCGCTACTCAAACGCGTGATATTCGCAGTTGAAGACGAGGAAATTATTGAGGGAGAGGTTAAAGAGGCGGTTGTCCTCGAACGGCAATTGTCTTACTTTGCGGATGGGGACAGCTATCAGGGATTGTTGAGATACTTAGCAGACAATCCTTGGGTTCAAGTCTTTGAAATCGTGGCAACGACGTTTGGGGAGAAGTATCCCCGAGAACCGTTTGCATTGTGGAACTATCTTGATGCAGACTTCAGAGACCTCGTTGGACGCATGTCGACGGTTGATCTGAGGAAGAGAATTACAGCGCATGAGGCTTTGGGGCATCAGTGGTTCGCAGATATCCAGGATTGAGGACGCGGTTTCAAGGCTATGTTTCCTAGAGAGGGGATAGTAGCAGAGGTTACGGACTACCATGGAGAGCTGGGGGCAACTCATTCATTCGATCGACTTATCGACTCTAGGAGACCAGGATATCATTCTATCGACTCCGCATATGCAGCAATCACAGATTGAGCATAATCAAAAAGAATTTGTCACTCCGCCATGTAAGTACGCAAAGCGAGCTACCAGGCTTCAAAAGGATGAAATGCATAACATGAACTACCAAAACACACATGCTACATTGAATGGACATTGGTACATTTGATAAGCTTTTATCGGGAATATATACGTTGAAGGGCATGGGTGCTAGTTATATTAACCTCCGATCCCTAAACACCAGCAATAAGGCACACTGGCAGTTCATTGGCCAACCTATATTGTACAAATACCCATCACATCTATCCATCCACCCCACATATAAAACAATGCCGGATTACCAATTGATGGAAAGTGGGGAAAGCACCCGACATTGAAAAAGGGTTGCTCGTACGGACATTGTGCTCTATCTGCACCAGACTTGAAGATTGTGATAATTATACGAAATGTTTTGGAGTCGCAATTGCGTCGCTGTTGCGGCCTGTATGGCAGTTTGTGTCGTCGCGCAGAACACATCGCTTCCTGGAGGGCCGACGTTCAACGACTTTCTACGGTTCTCGTGTTCGGAGCTGAACATTCAACGTATAGACCCGTAAGTCTCTTCTCGTTCTAGGAAGATAACAGGAGTGTTTGACAGCTACATAGACTCGTCACACCCGGATTGACTCCATCGCCTCACCTGCATCAATTCGTGGGAGGAAATGCGCTATCAGCGAAGATGGATCCATCGGTAGACATCGCGGAACAAGCCACCTGTACGACTTGTACCTTCAGCGAAGACTTTTCGAATTACTGGACTGCGGTTCTGTTCTTCCGTCATCGAAACGGGTCGTATCATCGCGTGCCCTTGATGGCCAATCTTGGGCTCGAAAAGCAGCGGGGAGGCATGACAGTGTATTACACGGCGCCGTACGACAAGAAAACGAAAGTAACTGCGTTCAAGCCGGTGAGTCGAGTTTAGATCCTTTTCACACATAGAAAATTCAGTTAATAAACGAATGTTAGGGTTTTCGAATGCTTATCGGCGATCCATCCTATCGCGCACCCAGTCCCAATACAAAGGAGTTTAGAAGTATAGCATTTCGCTGCTTCACCGAACCCTGGGGTCCTGCACCTGCAAATTCGGAAATTGGTGGGGAATGGGATACGCGCAACTTCCCTAACAAACCGTGCCCGTATGGTTTGAGGGTTAACAATTTCTTCCCAACGTGCTGGGATGGAGTCAATGTTGATAGCCCCGATCATAAGAGTCACGTTGCGTATCCGTCGAAAGGGACTTTTGAGACGGATGGGGAGTGTCCAGATACGTAAGCAATGACACGAAGATGTGCGGAGAGAAAATGCTAATGAATGCATATCCAGTCATCCCGTGAGGCTGCCTCAGGTCCTATACGAAACGATCTGGAACACATCTGCCTTCAATGATCAATCCATGTGGCCTGTGGATGGTAGCCAGCCCTTTGTGTTCAGCATGGATGATTCCACTGGATACGGTTGGCATGGGGACTATCTGTTTGGGTGGAAAGGTGATTCGTTGCAGAGAGCAATGGATCAATATTGCGGCGTCAATTGTCCGGTGTTGAAGACGCAGAGTGTGGAGAAGGCAAATGAATGTGCGAAAGCTCCAATTGTCAACGAAAAGATCAATGGATGGCTAGATGCTCTACCGGGAGGGGAGAGCAAAGCGCATAGGTAGTTATGACTTTGATTGCTAGATAATGCTGATTATAATGTTGTAAGAGGTTCTCCAGGCGCATCATGGAGCAGAGCAGTACTCCATGGTTTTCAGTTGTAAAACTGGCCGAGGCCCGTTTGCTAGTTCGACTATCATAGCATCGGACCGCGACAAGCCATTTGCTGGACTAGTCCGAGATAGAACAAAGACCCGAAAGGGATAGCCGAAGAAGATAGCTAGAAAACTACCAAGTATGTTTACACAGTGCTGTGTACAGTCATCCGGCTAAACTGCCGACGACGTGAGATGAGATGGCGCGTGGGCATGTTCGAGAGATGGAGGGAAACATGGGGTGGCATTCGAGCGGATAAGAGTTCATCTTTTGGGAGGATCAGATATGCGGCAGTTTGTCAGTAATCCCACGGGATTAATGATCAGTAAGGAGTTGGTGTTTGAGGATCATTGGCTCGGAGGTGCCTAGGTTAGAGTGTTGGAGTGGAGGCAAAGCAGTGTGGAGTGGAGGTTGGAAAGTTGTGGAGTGCCGAAGGCCACGTGACGTTGAGCCGAGGCTCGACGGTACTCTGGAAGACATAAGAGGAGCAGTCCAACATTCCTCCCCACATCATCCTCTCTTCTTGTCGTTCACATCTCTCTTCTCCTCCTAAGCCTCTTCTCCTCCTTAGATATCCAATCCCTCTATTCACATCACATCTGCAAATATGACGGAACGACTGAAATCCATCGTCTCTCAGATCACTCCCGCCCAGAGCGGCGTTTCCGCCATGTAAGTACCCGAAACTCTCCAATGGATGCAAACCATGGCTAATATGCCTCGATAGCACTACACAGAACCCCGATGACATTGTCATCACTCTCGCTATCCGAACACCCCTCGCGAAGGCCTTCAAGGGAGGATTCAAGGACACACCGCTCGATGGCATCGTCGTCAAGATCTTGAAGCAGGTTGTCGCAAAGTCGAATCTGGACCCTGCGCTCGTTGAGGACATTTGCCTGGGAAATGTATGGTTGCATTACTTCGCGGTTTTATAACAACGTCTAACAATTGATACAGGTCTCCGACGCAAAGGCCGCCTACTACTGCCGTGCTGCTATGCTTGGCGCTGGCTTTCCCATCACCACCTCCGGCTCCTCCGTGAACCGTTTCTGCAGTTCTGGTCTTAAGGCTGTGCAGGACATCGCCAACCAGATCTCTCTCGGCCACATCGAAATCGGACTTGCGCTCGGCGCCGAGTCCATGACCCAGGGTGGTGACAGGCTCGAGCGACCCTTCTTCGACGAGATCCTCCAGAACCAGGATGCTGCGGACTGCATGCAGCCCATGGGACAGACTTCTGAGAACGTCGGCAAGGACTTCAACATCTCAAGAGAGAGGCAGGACAGGTTTGCTACCGAGTCTTACAGGAAGGCAGAGGTCGCACAGAAGGCAGGATGGACTGAGGACGAGATCGTCCCAATCCAGGTACACATCAAGGACCCCAAGACCGGCGAGGTCAAGCAGGTTACTCTGACCAAGGATGAGGGACCACGATGGGGAACCACCTTCGAGGCCCTGAACAAGATCCGACCTGCATTCATGCCCCACGGAGACAAGTCGACTGGTGGCAACTCTTCCCAGGTCACTGATGGTGCCGCAGCTGTGCTTCTTATGAAGCGATCCAAGGCAAAGGAGCTCGGCCAACCCATCCTGGGCAAGTTCGTCGGAGCCACCGTTGCTGGACTTGCGCCCCGCATCATGGGTATCGGCCCTTCGGTCGCCATTCCCAAGCTTTTGAATAAGTTCAACCTCACTCTCGACGACATTGACCTCATCGAGATCAACGAGGCTTTTGCATCCATGGCTGTCTACTGCCAGGAGACTCTCAAGATTGATCCCGCGAAGCTCAATGTCCGTGGTGGCGCCATCGCACTGGGTCACCCTCTCGGCTGCACAGGTGCACGACAGATCGTCACTGGACTCAGCGAAGCCAGGAGACAGAAGAAGAAGATTCTCTTGACGAGTATGTGTATTGGAACCGGCATGGGTATGGCTGGTCTTTTCGTCAACGAGCAATTGTAATTTGAGATGGCATGTAAAAATCTGTTTAGCATTTTCGTAAAATCTGAAATATTTTGAGCGCACCCGACTTGATCTTTTTAAACTTCATCCAATATCGTTCCATATTTGTGCAACAATTGTCTCATGCAATGTCATACTCGTCAGTTGGTGAACAGTATATCTGCCAAGACCTACTTCCATTTCGGGAAATTAGCTCCCAGAAGGATTTCCTGACCGGACTGTTGCCTTACGCCTTAGCGGCAAGTGCCTGGCCAGACGATATATCAATCCCTTCTCTTTATCATTTCAATTTCTCTCTTGTCCTTCAGTTTTCATTTTCTCACTTTTCCAATCATCTTCTGTCTCTTTACTTGATACCCATTTGCCGCGAACCTTCTAGCGACAGAAGAGTGCAGTTCAAAATCACGTGCTCTCGCGTTTCCTCCCCTTTTCCTCGTCTTGTGAGATTAGGCGTTCAGCGTAATCGCAGAAAAGCTTCATATACCCATTGCGTATATCATAGGGCTCGACCCAGATCGTACATACATCGAAAATCTCAATACCTTCCGGGGAACACAACGGAAGTAATCAAATATGGGCCAAGGACAATCGCAGCAATCGCAAACAGTGCTCCGCAACAGAACGCCCACGCCAGAACCGCTCGATCCGGAGGAAGCGAGGAGGTTCAGGGAGGAGAAGGAAAGAGTGCAAGCAGAGGTAAGTCTCTCACCATTGCTCACAGTTTTTATCCATATCTTCATATGTATATCTTTTCACGGATATTTCGCCAAGAACCTACTCTACCCCCTGTCGGTCGAAAGTGATCTTTAGATTTCAACATGATAGTGTGTTGTTAACAAGGAAACAGGAGAGAGCACGTCGCGCTGCAGCAGCCGAGCAGCGCTTTGCGTCTAGCCAGCAGAGCAAAGCTAAGAAAGCCGCGGCAGCAGGGGGAACTGGAGCGACTCAGCAGAAAAAGAAGGGGGAGAGTGCGCTGGAGCAGATGAGTAGGGAGAATAAGGGGTGGAGGGATGCGGATGCGCAGAGGGACTTGAGGAGTTGGAATTGAGGGACTTAAGGGGTTTGAACATGGGGATGGAGAGTCTCTGAGTATATCTTGATGGAGCGGAGGGGATGAAGTTGGTGGAGGGGGTACATGGATTTCGTTTCTCTTAGTATATTTGATTAGTAAGGAGAAGAATGATGCAATCCAAATTTCATTGACTAAAGAATCAGAAAATCAAAGAATGTGCCATAATGATCGTCAAGATATTCTACAGCGATATTTATATATTTTTCTTTTCATCATGGGGAACTCGGTTGGTTTTCTTACCGAGTGCCGCGCCACTAACCGGCTCCCGTTAGCAACACGAATCAGATGCTTCCAACCGACGGACGGTTCTCCAGCCAAAGCATTCGTTCTTCACTCATTACCCAGCTCAGTACGTCTTCGTATCCATCTATAATCCTCTCTCTCCGACAAACTTTACGCACGGAAACAGAACATCTTGTGAATCTATGCCTGAGCCATGTCTGAGAAGGTCGCCAAGCGGAAGGCGCATACGAAATCGAGAAGGGGCTGCTTTCAATGCAAGCAGCGCCATACTAAGGTACGAATTGCTTCAAAACTCATTGTATATGATTTGTTGCGCTGGATTCGCTGAAATTATCCTCGCTCCATTAATCGATTGGAGGTCTTTTGGAGCGTGGTCTCTAACGTAACGGCGACCTGCATTTCGAATAGATGAATGTTCATAAGCTACCGCCAATAGACCAATGCCGAGTACCGCTGGATTGGTTGCACTGTTATTCGCGATCTAGCAAAAATATTCATTAGACATTTCTTTTTCTGTTTCTCTAGCTCTGATAATTTCTATCACGCGCTCCATACGATTTCAAGAGATCTTCTGTTCGCTTACGGACTTATCCAGTGTAACGAATTGCACCCCCAGTGCGGTAATTGTGTACGACTGAATATCCAGTGCACATGGCCTACAGTCACCAGTACACCACCTTCGGCGCATCCAGAAAACCATGTTTCAATGGTGATGGAACACCGAAACTTCAGTAGCCCCGACCTTCATCCAAATGGAGCTACTTCAACACTACCTCTGGACGACATGCGACTGCTGCATCATTGGTCCAGGCGGACATCTCTCTTCCATCGCCCGGGCGCCAGCAATCATGAACAGATATGGAGAGAAGATGTGATAGACATCGCATTCGATCACCCCTTTCTCCTCCATGGCGTTCTCGCCCTCGCAGCCATACATAAATGTAGCACGGAATATACAACCCAGTCGCAGCGTGAAAAGCTACTCCAACAAGCAGATTCCCACATGACCCGCTCGCTTGGGCCTTATAGAGGACACTTGGAGAACCCATCAGAGGTGACTGCAGTGCCGATGTTTGTTTTGTCGTCAATACTTGTGACATACAACTTAGGCACGGCTCAACTAGGCGCACCAGAGAAACCCATCGATGCGCTGGTTCACTGCTTTCGATTGATCCAAGGCGTCAAGGTTGTCATCTTCCCTCATTGGGAAAAAGTAAAGGCAAGCCGGATTTTTTCTCACGTGGCTTCTGGGGCCATGGAATCCAACCCACCAGAGGCGACCTCAGAAGAAATGGAGAAATACATCCCCGGGTTGTATCTGCTTACTGCGAGACTGGAATTGGAAGGAGCGGAGAAGGAAAGCTGTGACGAGGCCATCGAACAGTTGTACATGATTTGGCACAAGAATCGATGGAGTACCGACTACGAGACTGGCAGAAGTATCTTAATGACCTGGTAGGTAAAAAGATTCTTTTACATAGCCAGGACTAACCTTGTCTAGGCCAGCAATCATCGCGACCGAATTTTTGAATCTCCTCAACAACGCTTCGCCTGCTGCTGTCATTATTCTCACACATTTCGCAGTCCTCATGGCTAGTTCAGAAGCGTCATGGTGGCTACATGGATGGCCAAAACGAATACTGAGGGCAGCCGAAGACTTGTTTGTCTCGAGGCCTGACCTACAGCCTTGGCTTGTATGGCCGAGAGAGCATATTATGGCTACAGAGTCTGGCGTCGCGGCGGCGACGACTCCCAGCACGGCTACGAGTCCGCGCGCTGATATCATGATGGCCGGCAGTTGAACGAGATGCTTGCGATCTTCCCTTGATGCGGACGAGCGCTACACCAAAAGTCATTACACATGCAACAATGATACCAACATCTGACCGGAATTCAATGGTGCATCCATTAAAACAATATGAGCATCGCACCTACATCCAGCGCTGTAATCCATCATTGAGAAGGCACATCTAACCATGGTACTTCCAGGGACTGGATCGCTTGTATCGATCGCTTACCTGCTTGATGGAGCACCCATCCCCCTCAACGCCTAATCGGGATCATCTAAGATTCATTGAATCGTTCCGCGCAACGACGAACTCTGACGCACGTAAAGTGTACAGTGCACCTAAGGTTTTGGAGCCTTTGGCCAAGATGAACCTTGATGTCTGAGTGGATCCCCCAATCGGGAATGTAAGATTGGAACAAGTGAAGCTTACAGAACATGGGGCATAACTAGTGTACGACGATAGAGAGCGCACATACGCGTACTCTCTTTCGAAACGAAAACAGGAGCGGACTGTACCTTTTTTGTAGTTCGAGAAAATTCCCGGCGGCCCGTCTTACGGGATCCAGGCAAGGAGGCGACGGTTGATACCAACAAAATGTATACGGTGCCCCACATCTGTATACGGTCTTGGCTTTTAGGAACAAACGGAGCTCTCTCATTGGCCAAAAGTTGATCAAGCCTCTACCGTTGCACCGCCTTATCGTAGTAGCCTCACCGTATGGAATACGGTCCTCCTATGAACGTATTTCCGTATGCTGAAGCACAACTGCATTCGCGTCCTGAGTTCCTGATACGCCGTATAATTACTCCCACGCCCGCACCATGTCGTCCCCAACTCTTTTCCTCACTGCTCTTCTGCAGCTTCGACTGCTATCCCATAACTTGACTGCAACTGTTTCTTTCTCGAATCGCGGATTCACTGGAGCACAACATGGCTGAACAGTACCGTCCGTCGCTCGACGACCCTAATGCATGGGTGCCCTATCGATATGTTCCATCCATGCCTGCGGCAGTGGTCTTCGTTGTCCTCTTTGCCATCACCACTGCGTTTCACACATTCCAATTGGTCAAGAAGAGGACATGGTACTTCATTCCTCTGGTTCTGGGCGGTTTCTGTAAGTTATGACGCCAATTCTTGAACTTTTGATTACAAGTATATTCATCTGAGAGTTGATGTGCTTATTTGTTACATCAGGCGAAGTCATAGGTTACGTAGGACGAATCCTTGGTCACAAAGACATGTGGGCACTTGGTCCATTCATCATGCAATCCATCCTCATCCTCATCGCCCCCGCCTTTTTCGCCGCCTCCATCTACATCATCCTCGGACGAGTAATCCTCATGGTCGACGGAGAACGCTTCTCCCTCATCAAGCAACGCCGCCTCACGAGCATCTTCGTCACCGGCGACGTCCTCAGTCTTTTCATGCAGAGCGGCGGCGGAGGAATCCAAGGCATGAAAACCGCCAGCAGCATGAAAATGGGCGAGAAGATCATCATCGGCGGTCTCGTCGTCCAGCTCCTCTTCTTCGGCTTCTTCATCGTCGTCGCCGCCCTTTTCCAACGCCGCCTCACGTCAAACCAACCCGTGAAGCGCCACCTCACCCTCAAATGCTGGGGCCGCAGCAAGGAAACCGGCACCCAGCGCCTCTCAGGAACCCCCGGGTTCGCCTCCAACCCCGTCAACCCAGACGATCTCCCCTGGAAACGCCACATCTACACCCTCTACGGCGCTTCCACCCTCATCCTCATCCGAAGCATCTTCAGGGTCGTCGAGTACATCCAAGGAAACCACGGGTACCTCCTCCGCCGCGAGTACTTCCTCTACATCTTCGACGCCGTGCTCATGTTCATCGTCATGATCCTCTTCAACTGGGTCCACCCGAGCGAGGTTACGGATATTTACAACAAGAGGTTGAACAACCAGTCTGACGTCGAGCTCCAGGGCGCGAGGGACGAGTACCTTGGGCATGAGTTCACGGTCGAGCAGACGAAGGGTGGGCAGTCGTGAAGTCTCGCACATACCTTTTCAATCGAGTCTCTGTGCGCGTCGGGTTTGAAAATTAGAAAGAGTGGGAATTATAGCATACCTCGGTGCATGTTCATTTTCGTTCCTTGGGTTCTGTCTGGGAACGCATCGCACCCAGTCCAGGCGTTTTCAAATCGGCGTTATGTACTCGTACGAAGTCGGCAACATATCCTTCGCTGATTTCTTCATTTGTTCCTTACAGCATAATCCATAACAATTCAAAACCCGCGGTGAGAAGTATCGCGGTAATCAAGATAGCAATAAAAACACAAATCTTCAACTCTTCAATTTCTACACCCAGTACAACAAACTCTGCCACAGATCCAGCGACCAATTACGCAAACCCCGCCACCCAACTCACAACAGCGCCCGAGCGGTAGGGATATATTATAGATCATATTAGCGTTTGTACCACTACCGGGGCGGCGGGAATCCCGTTTTAAGCGGCCGAATGGGGCGTTGTTTCTATTTTGGATTTGCTGTTTCTGGGATGTGGGTGTGCTGGCATTGGTGGGAGTATGGGGTACTATGATGGGAACACGCATTAGGTTTGGTGAACGGAATGGAATGGAATGAATGGAATGGGCATGTGGTCGGTATGGTGGGCGTAGGGCTGTTCGTGGGTTGGTTGGGGTTGTCATCTTAGGGTTAGGTAGGTAGGTAGGTGCTTGGTGGGAACGTTCCCTTGCACTATCAATGACGTTGCTATGTGAATTGGTGGGTGTATGCCCAGCTATGGTATTGAAGAGAATCTATGCTTTACAGGGCCCCTGCTTTGCATTGGGTTTATCGTATGATGTAAGCAATCTTTATTGCTTTTCGGATCTGTTATTGTTTTTCGTGTACAGGTGCATGAGTTTTGATGTGCTTATTGTAGGCGATGAACATCATCTGTGAATTGACTTATACTATGTTCCATAAGATCTCTCTATAGGGTCAGTAGAAAATTAAGGAAACACTAAGTAAAGGATATTTCGTCCATTCTGACCGGGTAGCACGACGTCTACACTTCGTTCCTCGACATATGTCGTGGACAGCCGTGCACATGAACAAAAGCTTGATCCCACTTCCATCTATGGGAAAGTGATGCCCAAAAGACTGACCACAACAAGGCCACCAATCAAAACACCCCCTTGCATACAATCACGCCGAATCGCTTGACGCTGAATGCCCATTTTCTCCATTCGCTCTAGCAGAGCAGAGTTGTGTCGCCATGTTGACTAAGTGGGGTCCAAAACCTCAGCCCCAAGACCCCTCAGCAGCCTCGAGGATCATCATTTGATATTGTGATTCCAGAATCCTGCACCTAACAATTGACCGATGAGACCGAATGGGATTTCGCTCACGCACAGTGTGCCGGGCATCCGACCAACGAGCGCGCACAATGGGCCGCAAAGAGCATCCGCTGGGGGAGTTTTGGACCCCAAATCCGCCTCCCCAGCGCTCCAGCCGCACATCTCCACATGCCCACCCCTGTCGGCCTGGAAGCCATCGCGAGGCTGAACCCCCGTCTTCACGAGCAACGGAATGTAATTTTGGAATGACAATGCGCAATCACCTTCGTTTTCTGGGAGTTGGGCATATGCACGCTGATGGATCATATAGAAAGCACAGGAGATATTTCCACATCGTGCAGGATTAGACATCACCACCAACCCTCTTACAAGTATCACCAGGGGTGCGTTGTCTGGTCGCATGAGAGAGGCCGCTAATATAGTGTAGCCTACGCAGCCCGCTCCACCAGACGATTTAAGACTACATTTACCCTCACCACCTCTCGCCATTCTCTAATTGCTGTTTCTTTTCTTACTTCAATTCCTAGAGTGCCCTGCCGAGTGCATAGGCAGCTTCAAAATGGGCGCAGACGGTCCCCAAAGCGAGGCCACCGACCTTGGTGCGCTATGGACCAAAGCCATCCTCGACTACAAGAACAAGACCGGCACAGATCTAACGCACATGAAGGCGATGAGCATGAGCCAGGTCCAGCAGAATGCAGAGGGTAGCATGCAGAAATTCAAGTCCTTCCGTCACGGGGGCGGTAAGATGGATAAGGTGCGGACTGCATTCGGGAACCATCTCGACGCCATGCAGAAATGCATGGCTGGAATCGAAGCAGTCGGTGCGGCCGCGGGAGCGTTTCCGCCAGCGATGCCTGTTGGGCTCATCTTCATGGCTGCTGGACGTTTGCTAGCGGTGGGTGGCATTTCTCACGAGGCGGGGTGGCCGTTCTAATTGCGCACAGGCATTTGCGGGCGTTAAGGCGGATTACGACAAAGTCGAGCAGTTTTTCGCTGTCTCGAATCGCTTCTTTGATCGCCTGTCGTTGATCGAAAATAAAGGCGCCGGACATGGTCCGATGATGCGAGCGATTGTGCGCGTCTTCTCTGCGCAGCTCTCGATATGCGGGACGGTCGAGGCGAAGATTAAGGAGAGCGCTTCTCGATTGAGTACGGACACCAGTTGAAATACTTGCTTATCTTTTACTAAATCAACTAAGAGCAATTCTTCAACAACCTCTGGAACATGGAGGATCCAGAACTTGCAGGCCAGTACGGCAGCATGCAAAACGCAATCGAAGAGCTCGACCAGACAGTTGGCTACGCCAGCTATGCCGCGATTAAGGACACGCAGGATGTGACTGAGGAGATGAGCTCCAGCATTGACGAAATCGATGCAAACATCAAGAAGTTCCGTGACCAATTGGGACAAGACGTGCAAAAGCTTTATGAAAGTAGCCTCGACATCAAAGCCGAAATCAGCGTTCTTCGCACTGACCAGCGGGCGGGATTCTCTTTTGTGACCGAGCAGAATAGTACTTACCACGCTGAAACAATCAAACTCTTGAAGAGTATACAGTCGACGCAGCTAGAGAAGAGTAGACCCGTTGGTCAGGGAAGCAAGGCCAAACAGCAGAAAGGTTCCGGCAAAGGTGATGCTGGAGACAAGAAGAACAAGGCGCTCAAAGGCATCAAGAACTTTTTCGACGGGAAATCGGAGGTTTTCCCTGAATGGAGAGATGCGCACAAAGAGAATGCTGCCCAGAATCGGGAGATGAAAGAGTCGTGCATTGCCAAAACCGGTGATTGGCTCTTGGAGACTGAAGAGTTCCAGAGCTGGTCAGACGGCAAGAATCCATTCCTCTGGCTGCACGGCTCGGAGGGAATAGGAAAGTCGTTTTTGGTGCAGGCAGCGCTGCAGAAGTTGTCCGCCAGAGAAGACGCCACGGTCGCGTACTTCTACTTCAAGGAAGACTTTGCCTATCTGCAGTCAGTCCAGAATGCTTTCGCCAGCGTGGCCATGCAAATCGCAGAGCAAGATGCGAAGTATGCTGAATCGGTTGCTGCCAAGTTGAAAGACGCGGATAGCTCCCCAGACACGCCCACCTGGAAGCGTTTCTTCCTCCAGCCTTTCCCGTCCAGCTCCAGCAATACGGAGCAATTGTTCATCATTTTCGATGGCCTGGACGAAGCTCCCGAGCAGCAAAGGCAGGCTTTGCTAGAATTCGTGGACAACCTCAAGGAAGAAGCTTCAAGGGTTCATGTCATGGTCACCAGCCAGCCTACCAGTCTGAACAACGTCGAAGAACTCAACCCGCTCACTTTGGAGGTCACGAAGGAGCTGATGACGCAAGACATTCGATACTTGGTTCGTGATCGGTTGAAATCTCTAGCTCGCCTTAGGAAATTCAGCCTTCCTACGAAGAAATACATTCGGAAGAGAGTCGTTGCCCAAGCCGATGGTAAGTAGTCCAAACAACTTTTGACAATAAGAGGCTGACATTCTTCTCAGGAATGCTGTACGTTGAACACATGCTTCGCCGCCTGTCGTATATTGGACGAGAGGGCGCCGTTCGAAAGGATCTCGAGAACATGCCCGAGAACTTACACGCCCTTTACAAGCTCATGCTTGACGAATGCCGTCGGTATCGAACGCCAGAGCAGTACGAAGCTCTGAAGAAACTGTTCGCCTGGCTCGCGTTCTCAAAGCGCTCGCTCAGTCTTGCAGAAGCATCCGAGCTTGTCAAACTTACCATCAAGGATAAAGACGACGACTTCGACGTCGAGGCAGAGACAATCGGTAGATCTGCTAGGCATGTATCTCTTGGTGTATAACGCTATATAGTTACTCATAAATCATAGGCTCTTAGAACTGTCGGGCCCGCGCACCGCTGAGGACGAGACGAAAGACGAGACAAAGGATGACGATAACGATGACGAAGGAGAAGACCAGATCACCGAGATCGACGACAAGGAACGATCAATCACCTTCCAAGAACGATCGCTCCGACAGTACTTCAAAGCCCTCAGCGTCGAAGAAAACCACGGCGAAGAGCTCCGGACTCCAGCCTCTGCCGCCCACTTGACGATCCTGACAATGTGCATCGACGTCCTCATGGACTCTGCAAAACTGGGCGTCACTGCACCCGATGATTCGATCCTCGAAATCAGGGGCTACGCTCTCAAATTCTGGCACGAGCACTTCAACGAAATCGATCTAGAGTCCGCGTCAGGTGAGGATCTCGCGCGCGTCCTAGCCACCCTCAAGAAAGTCCTCACAAATGAGAACAACATCGCAAACCTGTTCCAAAGGACAATCTACGCCGCAACAGCGTACCCCGAGAGGAGTGAGGAGGGTACACGCCCATGGTACGACCGAGTGCAGCCGTGGGCTGCGAAGGCCGTGACGAACTCCCCTCCCGAACTCGATCCTGAAGTGAAGAGCTGGGCCGCCGACATTGCTGGGGACTCCGGCGAACTCCTACTCCCTCTCGCACAGGGACACTTGAACGATTGGATCGTGCAGAACGAAGCTTTCTTCCTTGGCGAAGCGTACCTCTTCGCGCAGGAGACCTTAAAGCTGTGCAATAGATTCACGCCCGCCGAAGACGACCCGAAGGCAGAAATCTTCTCGATCCTCAATGCGTTTGGCGAGAGAGAAGAGAACTTCCAGACTCTGCGCGCCATCGGATTTCAGCTCGACAACGCGTCAACGACGTTGGAAGACGAGCGCAAATTAGAGGTCCAACAGGAAGCAATCGACTACCTCAACAAGAGCATCGAAACGACAGGAGATGATTTCTTCGAGAAGAGCGCCACGTACATGCTTCTCATCTTGTGTTACGCCCGCAAGTTAGACTGGCAAAAGGCGATCGACAGTACCGAGAACTCCCTCTTGTACTTCAAGAAGGCACATGAAGGCGCAACGCCGGAAAAACTAAAGGTCCTCGAGGGGTTTGTCTACGAATGGTGGTTCTACACGGAGAAGGCTGGTTACCTGGATAAGGCGGGCAGCAAGGACGAGGCATTGGAAATGTACAACGAAGCCAGGAGATTGGTCAGCAGCACCAAGGAGGAGATCCTCGATGGTTGGTATCTCGACGAGATCACGAGAATCCTAGACGAGTCTGTCGATCCTGACGGCCAACGCTTGATGAAGGTTCTGAAAGAATGGACCGAGAAAGAGCGGAACGCATGGGTCACCTACTGCATTAACTTGAATCTCGGCATCGACGTCTTGGGCAGGATGTATCGCGCCGCGAAGTTGACCGGGGAGATGGATCTCGTGATCGAATGGTTGGTCACCATCGAGAAGACGATCCCGCCCAAATCCTTCCTCGCCTTCAAGTTCAAGTTGACGTTGGCGGAGGTGCATTCCAAAGTCCTCAAGGACGACGAGAAGGCGAAAGAAGCGCTCCACGCCGCGTTGGAAATGCACCCCAAAGTCGACGGCAGCGACGAGGACGCCGTGACATTTTTCATCTCATCCGCTCGCATGGATCTCGCCGCGTTGATCTGGAACCAGTTCCGCGCCTCGTCCGACCCAGAGCGCAAAGAGGCTCTGTTGGGCGAGATCAAAAGTCTCCCCGGCATGCGCACAGAAGACGAGTTGCGGGAGTCTCACATTGGAATGTTAGTCGCGAACATGCTGCGCATCATGGGGCCGGCAAGGGAATATCACAGGCAGATGCAACTCATTTTCAAGACCTGTATTGACGGACTTGAAGACGATGTTTCCTACAACGACAGCGATTCGCTCAGATTGTTGGCAAAGGTCTTGAGTTCGTTGGATGGACTCGAGCATGATGCAAGGATTACTATTTCTTCGCAGTTCTCTATCATGGACCGTAACATTCACGACAATGAGAGCTCGAACGCTGGTTCCGAGAACGGAGACGGCAGTAACGCGGGTGATGATGCTGAGGGAGCTCCTGATGTTGATGCGGTAAATGAGGAGCCTTCACCCGAAGCCAACCCCGATGGAGGAGAAGCAAAGGCAGGGAACGGTGAAGGTCAAACTTCAGCAGACATGAAGCCAGAAGAGAAATCAGTAGAAGAACCCCCGAAACAGGAGCGTCACGGTAAGCAGGCCCCAAATATCTTTTACTTTATCAAAGCTAACGAAATCAGACACGCCACTCGATGGTTCCGAGTCGCCTCAAGTCAATGGCAGCACAGACAACAAAGAGGCTACGAGCGAAAATGTGGACGAAAGCAAAGCAGACAGCACCGATGTTGACAACAAGGATGGCGACAAGCCTGCAGAGGGCGAAGCCAATGGCACCGATGCCGAAGCAGACAAGAGCGATGAGGAAGGCGACGAAGAGAAAGAGGACGAGGACGAGGACGACCAGGACATTGGAGAGTACTACGTTGGCTGCGACGGCGGCTGCGGAACTTCCATCTCCAGATACACCGAGTCCTTCTACCTCTGCCTCGTCTGCCCTAACGTCGACCTGTGCGAGGACTGCCACACGAAGCGACAAGCCTGGAACCGCGGCGAGAGCGAACCATCATGGCAGAGCTTCTGCGGCGACCATCACCATTACATCAAGACGCCCATGAAGAATTGGAGGGGTATCAAGGACGGTGTGATTAGGATTGGAGAGGAGGAGACGACTGTGAAGGAGTGGATTAAAGGGCTGAAAGAGGAGCGGTGGCCGGCAGCGTGGAATAATTACTGGACGAGGCAGAGCGGGTTGAAGGATATTGACGATGGGGAATGATTAATGAGGTCAAGATACTATGGAATTGTGTATTTGAGCGAGCGTTAAGAGCGTTGACTTCTTGATACGACTGGAAAGCATCTAGGCAATATGAAAAGCACTTAGCAAATGGCGTCCCCAGAATTTGGTCATACGACCCGAGTATTGCCGCACCATCGGCAATGCACTCCGTGAAATGAAGAACTTCGTCAAAGGGAATACTGCTGGCAAGCGTATGTTCGAGCATTAACTTTGTAGGATCACGTGTAGGTAACAGGCCCGTGCCTGATTGGTGATTCTCGGTGAAGATGGTCCTCCATTGACTCTCAGCCACTTTTGCTAAAACATTACACTTTATTATTCCGAACACAACTAACTTGTTTTTAGTGAATACTGAACCGACATCCGATCGATCTCGCCCTGCAATAATAGAAAATATGCCAATGGCGTCTATACCTCACTCTCGGTGGCCTAGCCCGATCACAGAGCGCCTGAAGTCGGAGGACTAGGGCTTCAGCGCGTGTGTATGGTCCATCGCTCCCCTCCCATCCCATCTCGGCACTCCGGAGGGTCTCCCCCATCATCTGATATCCCGCCATTCTCCCCCTCCCTCCCCGCGACCCCCACCGGCGCCCCAATTCGCGCCATCTGAACCCGCTAGCGGGAGCAGAACCGGGCAGAAACATTCGAGAGCACAGACTCATTGCGATTGTGGGGATTCTGGTCCTGTTACTGCCATGCCCATGCCATGCCATGCTAGGGTTGGCTACCCCATGGTCGAAAGCAGGAACCTGGGGTAAGTTAGCTGGGACAGCGCGTGGTCGATTGATTGATAAAGATCGGCTGTTCTGCTGCTTCATCCTGTTGTTTTACAGCATCATTTGCGAACTGGACCAACATCTCTCTGCATCTCTGCCCCCGCAGTGTCCTTTTGCATCAGCGAATCAACCATGGCGGTCGAAGTTCTCGATGAGAAGACTGTTCCCGTCGAGCACACCGAGACGGTGAAGAGTAGCACCGATGCTGAGTTCTTGCACATGGGCAAAGAGGCCACCGAGTTCGAACAGAACATCTCCCTCAGAGATGCTATTCGGTACTACCCCTGGTCGATACTATGGTCCGTCATGCTGTCGTGCTCTATCATTATGGAAGGATATGACATCGTACTCATTGGGAACCTTATGGCCCAGCCAACGTTCCAAAAGCAATATGGGGGTTACTATGGGGAGAAATTGGGGTATCAAATCAGTGGTCCGTGGCAGGTTGGGATGGGATGTGCTACGGCAATTGGGACGATCGTCGGAGCTTTTGCGAATGGATGGTGAGTGAGATGAGATTAAAGAGACATCAGATGGTCAAGCAGGAAACTCATTTTTGTTAGGTTGACGCAGAGATTCGGATATCGAAGGACGCTTCTCGTTTCCATCACCGCCATCGCCGGCTTCATCTTCATCACATTCTTCTCCCAGAACCTCCCCATGCTCATGGCTGGTCAGGTTCTCTGTGGTCTCCCTTGGGGCGTGTTTGCAACAATGGCACCCGCCTATGCCTCTGAGATCTCCCCTATCAAACTCAGGGGTTATCTGGCCAACTACGTCTGTCTATGCTGGGCTCTCGGTCAGCTCATGGCCGCAGGCGTCTTGTCTGGCTTCTCTTCCAACACCACTCAATGGGCCTACCGTCTTCCCTTCGCCGTTCAATGGGTCTGGCCCATCCCTCTCATGATCGCCTTGTGGTTCGCACCCGAGTCACCATACTGGCTCGCCCGCAAAGGCCGTCACGAAGAAGCCGAAAAGACACTTCGACGCCTCACCTCCAAGGACTTCCCCTTCGACCACAGCAAGCTCCTCGCCATGGTCATCCACACCAACCGCGTCGAAGACGAATCCGGCATCGGCTCTAACTACCTCGACTGCTTTAAAGGCACTAACCTCCGCCGCACCGAAATCGTCTGCCTCGTCTTCGTCGCCCAAAACACAACCGGCGTCGCCATCGGCGGCACGCCCACCTACTTCTTCGTCCAAGCCGGCGTCAGCGCCGACGAGTCCTTCAAATTCGCCACCGGCGCGCTCGGCCTCGCCTCCGTCGGCGTCCTCATATCCTGGTGGCTCATCTCGCGGGTCGGGCGTCGCGCACTCTACGTATGGTCGAGTCTCGCGCTCTCCGTCCTCCTCCTCCTCATCGGCATCACGGCGACCGTGTCCCAGAATTCGCAGGCGAGCTTCGCGCAGGCGGGAATGGTGCTCGCGTGGGAAATCATCTTCTACTCGACCATCGGACCCGTGTGCTACGCCATCATCGGCGAGATCCCCGCCGTCAGCGTGCGGTCGAAGTCGATTTGCCTCGCGCGCATCGCGTACTACATCAGTCAGATCTTCAATATGGTGGTTAGTCCGTATATGATCAACCCGACTGAGGGCAACTGGAAGGGCAAGGTTGGGTATTTCTGGGTAAGTTAGTTAACTTCATCGTGGACTGTGCCAATGCTGACGTTTTGATGTAGGCTGGAACTTCCTTCGTCACTTTCTTGTGGGCGTTCTTTAGATTGCCGGAGACGAAGGATAGGTCGTTCGCTGAAATCGACTATCTCTTCACGACGAACACGAAGACAAGGCAGTTCTCGAAGACGCAGGTTAATACGTTTGATAAGGTTGAGGAGCGTGTTAAGCATGTCAATAAGGACGTTGAACAGTAGAAAACCATCGAACCTGTTACTTGTAATTGGAGATTGATGGGCTGGTATATAGGTGCGATGGTTGAATGAACATAGGGATGCCGGTTCGAGTTGGAATTGGCAGGGTGTGGTGCTTGTACATGATCTGGATGACACTTCTTTGTTGAACATAACTCAGAATTTGTGTCCAATAATAAGGATAATGTTTTTGACAATTCATCCCCGCCTTGTGGCTGTAAAATAGTGTGAAGCCATAGAACGCACCTCGAGAATAATGCTCAAAATCACGTCCAATCATTAATGGATATACAAAAGAATAACATAATTAATACTGGTCCTTTTAGGAGACACAAGAAATAACACGTGCATCCATAGTCTTTTGTTTGCAATAATGCAGCTAATTAAGGTTAAAGTATACATAATACAAGGAGGTGGGCGGCCCAACGTGTCAACAACCCTCTCTACTGGTGAATTCACTACCTTGCTATATCCTTACTCCCAGCATGAGCACGCTCAAGCTTGACCAAAAACTCCACCCAATAAATCCTCGCCTCCTGCCAAGCCCCAATCGTCCCCAGGAGCATCCTCCCCTGCCCCAACACTCTCAGCGCACCCTGCGGCCCGAAAAGATCACCCACGCCTTTCATGTTCGCATGCATCTTATCTCCCTCTCTCACATAGTGCTGCACAAGCTCGTCATCCGTAGGGCGATCGAGGAGAATGATATCGCAGTCCACTTTCAGATGCGCAGGGCTCGCGTGATCGACGCCATTCGTGGAGCTGCGTCGGCTGCGGACGTAGAACTTGCTGTGTGCCCATAGCACCAACGTGGCCAGAGCGACGCATTCAGGCTCGTAGAACGCGCCGGTGGGGTAGCGTCGGAAGTGCCAGAAGATTGAGCCAGCGTGTACGGTGGCCAGGCGGGCTTTGTATTGGTCTTGCACGACCCACTGCTGCAGCATGCGGAGGTCGCTTTCAGCCTCCTCGAGGGACGGGGTCGAGGATGTGCGTTTCTCGCCGGTCAGGGCGAGGAATTTGGCGAGGCGGAGGACTTGGCGGACGGGGCAGAGGAGGACGAGGCGGGAGAAGTGGAGGTGCAGGACTGTGGGGTGTTCGAGGCCTTGGGCGAGGCTGATGAGCGCGTTGGCGTTCCAGTGGAGCATGTCGACGCAGTCGAGGGCGGCATTGCGCCATTTGTTGAAGGATTCCATGTTCGGGTGCCAGACTGGGAGGGGGGAGGGCACGTCGGCGGTTGATTGGCGTTGTGCGGATGGTTCGAAGTGGGACAGCCGCTGTTGGAAGTATTCGCGGACTTCCCAGGTTCGTTGGTATAGGCAGTGGATGATGACTATGCGGGAAAATTCTCCGAGGTTTGGAGGGAGCTGCTTCTCGATGTACATGCATTGTAGTGCACTTTCAACGGTGGGAGATGCAGGGGCGCTGGCTTTCTTAGCGGCTTCCCACGACTCCCACGATTCGGTCGGCCACATGGATTCGATACAGGGTAGCTGGAGGTCTACGATTGCGGAGAGCCTGAGCATAGGCTGCATGCCAGTTTGTGAGGCCACCATGCAGTCGGTTAACCAGATGCAGAATATCGTCCTTTCCAGCTCTTCTTGTCGTACCCAGGAAAGCCATTCGACCTGGCTTTGAGGTGAGGTGCGGTTCTTTGTACGCCGGTCGAGAATGGCGTCGAAGACAGACGTGCATGCTTGGAGTGAAGCCATAGAATCTCGGTGCAGTTGACCTTCTCGCGTATACCTGACGGAAATGGAATGGAGTAGTCGGATTTGTCCCATTTCGTAATCGGACGGGATCATTCTCTCTTGATCCTCGCCAATATAAACAAGGATTCTTCTCAATAGTTCGGTCAAGGGGTATGCCAGTGAAAATGCGGCTTCTTGTTCCACGAATCGAGCACCCAAGGCTGCCATGGCGAGGAGAAGCGCGAAATGACGCTCGCGTCCACAGAAGGTTGGTCTGTGTAGAAAAGGCAACACCTGGTGGACGGAATCGAAGTAGCTTTGAATCAGACGGTGGAAGATTTCACGAGATGGGAAATCAGGCGTGGAGAACGCCCGGAAAAACGAGGTGCTCACACATAACGTATCGAAGAGTGTTGCAATTCGTTTATACTGTCGTTCGTCCATGTGATATTCGTTGTTATCAATATGTCCGAAAGATATGTCTTTAGAGGATGAAAAGGTTAATTCGGATGTGTTTGTAGAAGATGCAAAGGTCATCAACCTCCGTCTCTTGAGACGAGTCCGTCTTGCCTTGTCGTTGTCGACATAGTATGGGCCACTTTCAGCTTCTTCCTCGATGAATGTACCATTCGAAGGCTGATGCCGGTCGAAAGATTCTCGTTGTCCATTTACGCTCGGCTCGATACCGCGTGCTTGCTGAGAACCATCCGTGATGACGGGTGAAGCAACCGAGTAATTCCATGAACCAGGTGAAGAGAAGGCATCTCCAGCAGTCGCAATTGGGAAGAAGTCGCTCATGGGGGCAAATTCGGATGTGGGAGCGTCCAATTGTAGCCAATTGATAGTCGACAGGGGAGCAGGTTCCCAGTCAATTTGATCGAATGTAACGCCATAATGTGCAGGAAGAAACGAATTTGGGGGCATACTCGGGGCATCTCGATTCGCATTGAGCAGATCTGGTGTCTCAATTTCTTGAATATTCTGCACGCCAGGACGATTTTGTAGCGTTTGGATATGATTCTGAGGTTCCACTTGATGGGTCTCAATTTGGGGGCCGTCATTGAGTGAGTGTTGGTCAAAGATTCCAGGGTGCTCCAATGCGGCTGATGGCTGAGAATGGTCTTCAGATGGTCCATCCAGAATGGCAGGCTGTTCTTGCAGCCCATCAGTGCTGTCTTCGGCAGCGGTGGAGATATCCATCGGCATCGGTGGTTCCATGACTAATTCCGATGATCGGGTTGATGCGTATGTGCACTCAACATTCTTGTCCGCGCACCTCTGGCATGGCAGAGTGCCGGTGCATCTGGTTTTTGCAGAGGCACAGGCGGCGCATGCTCGTCCTTTCGTTTGCACCAATGTGTTAGAGTCCCGATGAATCAATTCGTGTCTTTGCAGAGCATCCTTTCTCGCGAAAGCCTTTGAGCACACCCGGCACGAAAATGACCGACCGGCTCTGTGGCTCAATTGGTGGCGCTTGAGATGCTTCACGCGAAGGAAAGGCTTTTGACATATCTCGCAGTCTGGCATGGAAGCATTTTCCCGATCGATAAAGCGCTATGCGAAATGGAATGGCGATGTTGTGTGCAGTGTTGGACCCACACTGCGTTTTGTGGGGTTTTGCTCTCACGTGAATTCAGCCGAGGTACCTGTGGTCACGTGGCAGGACTCTCACCATCAGGTACAATAAATTATGGATGTAACGCAACCACACACATTGGTATGCGTGTGGGCTTTTATGCTCAAGTATTTACTCAAAGGAGAAGACATTCTACATATTTAAGCACCGGTTGAAACTTCCTGCAGCCAGGGTGTGAATTGGGCTCGTAAGCATGGGCACATTATTGTGATGAAGTGATGAATCTGGAAACCAACAATTTCACAAAATGATCAATTCCCATAAGAGGTTGGTCTAATTTATAACAGTTTGTGGGCACATTTCCCATTGGCTTATCGAGCACAATCCTTTTCCAAGATGGACGTAGTCTAGTGATCATTGATGTGGAGTGCATTCTAGATTAGATTTTTACATTACTTGGCAGCGCGAACATGGAAGACTACCGATGCCATTGTCTTATCCCTACACTAGATTGTTCATTCCCGCCTCGTAATGCCCGGAAGAAATTTTCTTAGGCGAAGAGCCCTCAGGATCATCCCGAACGTAGATTTCCGGGCCGAGTCGCCTCTCCCAGAAGTACAGGAACATAAAACCCTTTGTGAGACCGGGACTCCGCCTACTCTTTATCAAATCCTCAATTGTTTGTTATGTCATGGAAGCGTTGAACAAAGACAAGGTCAATTCATATATTACCGGCACGGCTATCAAGCCCCGGCATCTCACGGCCAACTCTTCTTATAAACATTCAGCGAGCTACTCCAACCATCCTCATTCAACTGTACTTGCTCCCCCTACTCACACATCACCATTCCAATTCATGTATCAAAACAACCAGCTCTCCTTCCCACCGTACTGTTTCAATCATCCTCATCCTCATCTACACATTCATTAGCACACTACTTTGCAACCACAAGTCCTGCATAAACTTACGCATCGCACAGTTTCCCCCAGGCCTTTCGGCCCTCCCCGCACAATCCCCATAATGACATCTATCTATTCCAAGTCAACCTTGCCCCTTCCTCTTGCCAGATATACCTACGATTGTTGCAGTATGGGTATCTCGTCCCCGTGTACTCGTTCTTGTACGACTCCTTGCGGCAGTCCATGACTGTGCAGGAATCTGTTGAACGTTAGCAGGGTTCAGGGAGGGATGTGTCTGAGGTGCCTACGGAGTCTGCAGTATTTGTAGACTGTGCCCGAGGGGCTGGTATATTGCTGGTTGTAGCAGGTGGAATAGTCGCAGTAAGCCATGATGGTGCTGGAGCAGTTGCTGGTGTGGTAAGTTGGAGAGGATAGAAGATGAGGATAGATCTGGGGAATATGGAGAGATAGAGGGGTATTTATCTATGTTGAGTTCGCATTCGACACGGTTGGAAAGCGACTATGAACAGTATTGATATTTCCAGAAGGACAATACAGTTGCGTTAAAAGGCCATCAGACATCTTGTCGAAGCGCGAAGGGACATATTCGTGGCCACATGTTTTGAGGCCATAGCCGGAATGGCCAGAATGGCGCAAGGGCAAGTCGCATGTCAATCTGCGAAGAGAATGCTACTTAGCATTGCTAGCTATGCATAAGTACTTAGTAGGGGATGAATAATTCCTGCTTGCTTTCCCGCTCGGTCTGTCTGGAGATAATTCGTAGGTGGGCTGATCAGCACACAGGAGGACAGGATAGGTGCATGTTCGGAAGCGCTAGGTCAAAACCGGTTTATGTCCTTTTGTTCCGACATCATGTCCTTCTGTGATCCAATCAGAGCGTGGTGTTACGCGATTCCTTGGAAGGCTGTGAGGCTATGCGGCTTTGAAGGATCACTCTGCAACTTTGTGTACCGCCTGGTCGCACTCAGCCTTATCACACTTGTAGATGAACATTGTCTAGTGACTACAAACTTATATAGTATGGCTCGTATCCGGTCCTCGATATTACACGACCTCATCATTTAACACACCGAACACACTATGTCGCAAGGTCAGAACTTCTGCCCAGTGTACCGAAGTCACATTAAAGCGACATATTCCCGGGCAGCACAGAGACATCTTACAACACTTCCACAATCAGAAGATAGCGCCCATTCGCGGTGTACTGAACATGGATGCAGGGGTCATATCAAGAAAGGCAACAACAAACCCAAGCACTGCAGCGACTGTGAGGGTTGTGGACTGGTGGGCCCCTCGCTGACAGACATCAAAGATTGCATTAGGAGCGGCAGCATACCTTTGCTTCGTTTCAGAACTTCTGGGAAGGGCAAATTTGGGATCGAAGTAGTCAAAGCGACTTTCGAGGCTCGATATGTGGCTGTGTCACACGTATGGACAGGCGGTCTTGGAAATCCCAATGCCAATGGGCTGTATGAATGTCAACTCCGAAAGGTTGCAGCGTCCGGAACACAGATTCGGCGGATTATCGAGGCAGGGAGAATGCCCTCATTTCGAAACATGTTCCGCCGCATACATCGGCAACTTGTACTTGGGGATATTGATCTCTTCTGGGTTGACACACTTTGCATTCCAGTGCGCGAAATGAGCGGCGAAGATGAGACAGCGGCAAGTAGGGAGATGCGCGGGATGGCCATCGACCGCATGACACATATATACGCTGGTGCGCATTCTGTGCTAGTCATTGATCCGGAGATGCGCCATCTAGAAAACGATATGCTGAGGACTGATCCCAACCAATTATATGGCCGCTTCATTCGCTCGGACTGGATGCGACGATGTTGGACCTATCAAGAGGGCGCCATGGCTGGCCGATTATTCGCCTTGCTGAATGATGAACCTATCTATTTGACGCGTCTCCGCTACCTTATCTTTCAAGGCAACCCGGAACAAGCCAGCGCATTGCGTCAAGAACTCACTAAATGGATCTCCGATCTTCCCGGCCCTCGTCAGACTCAAGAATACGCATCGCGACGCTTCATCATCGGGCGAGATCAAGAAACATTCGCTGAGGTATGGACGGCTCTCATGTCGAGGACCACCTCGCAAGAAGCTGATCTTTATCTCATCTTTGCGCTGATGATGGACCTCGTTGTTGGTCCTCTGGTAACGATTAGACACGAAGCGGACCGAAGCCGGCAGTTACGTACCATCTTCAATTCGCTTGAAATTGTCCCATTGGACTTCATATACAGCACAGATGTTTGTTCTGAAGCTTGTTGGCTGCCTAAGAAGATGAGCACACAAGAATTCTCTGGCAACTACCTCAGACGACATTCTCACGAGGAATCCACATTGGTGCTCACAGCGGGGGCCGCCATGGCAGGACTAGTCTCGCCAGGCCTATACCTTGTTGATACGAGAGCTTTGAAGCGGAATGAACTTGTCATCGAGACTGTCACTGGGCAACGTTCAGTTCACTTACGCTTCTCTCACAGCGTCCTAGCACGACTACCAAAATGTTCTCCCTTGGTACTAATGATCAAGGACACAGACGCTTCAGATGACGGCCTTGAGAGCAGCGCAGCCATTTTTGAGCGAATATCAGATATGGATGCGGAGAGCAAATGGCAGTTGAAAAGGCTTTGTGCAATAAGCTGTACGTTGGAAAGAACTCCCAATCTCAGCAGAGGTGTCTCAAGCCACGAGAATCTCTTCGTCACATTGCCTGAACAAGCGTTTGAGATTCAATGTGGTAAGCAATCTGTAGTCCCCAGACTTTGGACAACAAGATCGATGACGAATAATAATAACCGATGAATTAGACTTTGGCGATGCCCTGCGCCTCAAACCCCACCGAGACCCTCTCATGGGGGGAAACCCAGGCATAGAGGTAGTAGTACCGATGTACATGCACCGCGACTCTCATATAATGCTCTTCTTCTCCCTTTACCTTCTCTTAACGGGACTTATTGGATGCATACCGAGCGCCATTAGTTTTAGTCCCGTATGGCTCCTACTCATAGTCTATGTCGCTCTTATTCCCATGATCATCGATTTGTTCGAGACCCAAGACCGCAGCAAACGCCTGGGTAACGACATCATGCATGCACAGTGGATCGATGCTTTGACTCCCGACCTGAGAGGTAGCGCGCTTCCCAGAAGCGTCAAGCTGTTGAAACGCATTAATCACGGGCCTATCTGGACATGCTCACAGCTCGCAATTGGCTTGTTGTTCATAGTATTGGGTATTAAGTACTACAGCAACAGGGACCGAAGAGTGATGATTGTGCTCGGGATCATGTGGATTCTGGAGCTGGGGGTCAGATGGGCTTTGGAATTGACTTACAACTACGTCTGGAGAGTGGGGAAAAGGCATCCATTAGTTCAGGAGTTTCTACAGGACTCGAGGTTGACGAAGTGGTGCAAGCGCTGGTTTGGGTGGCCTAAAGGTGAATCTGGCACCGGAAGACAGGGTTGGTACGTGTACTGAGAACGGCATGACTTGGAGGCCCTTGGCGAAGTGCACTACAATGATTGATCGCGAGTAGCATAGCTGACTTCCTTCCCTCAATTCACATAATCGTCTGACAAGACCAATCGTTGTCGCAGTACCTACCTAAGTATTTCCAGAACAAGCAATAGAATACATTCCCTACCATAGTAGCACTCTATGGACGGTGAGCCCACCATTGTTGACACTCATGCAGAAGCTATAAATAGTCACGAAAGTAAGGCACTGTACAAAAGGACATTACCTTCCTCGCAAGGCCGAGCAAACTTACTATGTCTGTGAGTGTGCGCATGGAACTTTAGGTGCAAACAAGTAATATAAATATGGCTCAATGTTCGTGCATGATATGCTATTGTCAGAGCGTAACTTCGCATCGTCCTGGATATCATCATGGTTTACATACCAGTGGGCGAGACTATTATCATGACCATTCATTTGGTAAATACATTGATCAAGGTCTTCCGCAGCATCCGCCAATGGCTCAAGAACAGAGATCCACTCTTCAAGGAGAACAACAGGATGATTAAGATTCTTAAAGGCTATTATGATCGTCGCACGAACCCGAGTATGTAGTTAGCCCTTCTCAGTTTGAGGACTTCGTATCACTGACGCCTCTGGTCAATGCAGATGAAAGGCTACCAGATTATATCCGGGCCATGGTGAAGACGCTCAGGGATCGAAAGGCTGATTGGAAATCAGCACCGGGAGCTTTGCAGGCGGAAGACGATGCGGAAGAAGATGAACGTTATGATGACGCCGGCTATACCACCGAGTACGACGCCTCTGAAGCAAGCGATGAGGACTTGAACAATGATTCGCCTCTCGAATCAGGCTCCCCAGTCAGCAGTAGTGACGACGTTCCGCCAGTCGTCTCCAGCGACGATGATTTGGACAGCCTCTCTCCGCTCGAGGCGGGATCCCCGGTGTACGGTAGTGGCAGTGAAAGTGACGAGTTTGACTCGGACCAGGGGGTCTAACATGTTACGACAATCAGGACAACAGTGGTAATCCATGTAGACCGCGTGTAACGACAGGCACTGTGGATTAGATGTTCCCATCGATAATTTCCCAATGCCTTTGGTGGCTGTCTAAATGCTCATTGCGCATCCCGTGAGTTGATGAAGTTTTCAATCTCTTTTTGTACCACTTCCCGAGACAAGCAAACTCTTGCGAGGCGACGGCTCGAAAAATCAGATCGTTTCAACGCCTCTGCTTCTGCTAGGTGGAGATTTCGGAGGGCTTCAGTCAGTCCGTCCAATCTTCTAGAAGACGATTGTTGAAGACTAATGTTAAAGCCCGAAGCACTATGTCCCCAGGCCGCAGATGCACTCTGTACTTGACTCCTTACCAAGGCCACTCTCGCCAGCCCTTCGAAGGCTGCAAAGCGTATTTTTGCTTTTGCGTACCCACCGAGACCGAAATCAGCTCTCTGCAAGGCTTCGGAGTAACATTCTTCGGCCCTCTTGAACTGAAACATCTCGAGGTAATCGTCGGCTACGTTCGTAAGGGTCCACAGAACGTTACCTCTCGTCTTTCCATATTGACTTTCTTGAAGCTGAAGAAGTCGTGCACGCTGCGTCTGGCGTTCTCCAGAGATACCCGCGTGGTATAGGCAATCGCAGTAGCGCTCCATCAGATAAAGGCCAGTCCAAGCATTTGGTCCTTGCAGGGAAATATCAACCATTTTATGCATCGACTCCACCAACGATCGATGAATATCCTCTACTTCCTGCAGGATTTCCAAACATTGTCGCAAAGGATGTTCGTCCTTTAAGTACTTTCGAGCTACGTCCAGCAGATGGTCGAGAGTTAGTCTGCGGATTTCTTTCAGGAAGAACGGGTTAACCCCAGACTCGGGCTGGGTCATTGGTAGCTGCTGCGATGCGACAGACAGTTCACATAGGATAGTGAAGACCTGAGCGAACGCCATGAGATCCGCTTCCGGAACTAGGCAATCTAGTAATTCATGAGCCTTCTCGAAATCTTTTGTTGCCAAATCAAAATTGTTCTGCGAGGCATGGAAGATTCCATCTTGCATCTTTGCGCCGAATTTGCCATGCAGCGTGTGCATGTGTACCGGAGGCTCCCGTGGGCTGAATACGGTGGTTGAGTCTACGAACGAAGCACAATACACCTCAGCACACCAGATCAACTTCTCATTCAGCCACAATTGTGTTGGTGGCGCTAGTGTACGCGGGATGGGTGATTCTGCGGGTGACGGTAACACCAGCTGCAGACTGTTGACAGGATCCTCCTCGACGTCCACATACTCCGCTTCTTCTTCTTCTTCTTCTTCTTCTTCTTCTGGAGTCAGCTCAGGACTCTGGCGCTGATCTACAGGTGTCAGGACAAATTCGCCCCTTGGAATCAAGTGAACATGATCGGACGACTGGTAGTCCTCTGGTGGTAATGATTTGAACCATTCAAATGGATCGTGTATGTTTTTACGCTTGAAGTATCGTCGGACATCCTTGAATTCTACCGTTCTGTGCTGAATCCGGAAATTGGTTTCATCCTCATTCCAGTTGTCTGGGTTCTGTTGCTGATAGTCGATGGCCAGCTGGACAGCGGTGCGCATATCACGCTCGTTATTCGTCTTCTGGAGCTTCCATCTCTGAATCCATGCCTTAAGTGTACGATCCCTGACACAGTCTAATTAGCCCTAGTCGTTCTTTGGTCAACTCATGCATATGTGGGCGCTTTACTTAGCCTCGAATCCATGCGCGTTCAAGAACTCAAGCACCTCACTCCGACTTTTGTCCTGGGTAACATAAACATCGATAATGGTGTCTTTCCATTCATTCCAATTTAATCGAACCCTGCTCATGATGCTTGAATGTGTTGTAGTCTTTAGGGCAATTCACTGATGTTTAGACAAGGCTGCGATGCGTCGCCACGTCTACGTTACGTGATGTGGGGGCTGTGCTTACCAGGAGTCGGCACAATTCGTATCGCTCCTTGTTCGGCTGGAAAACACGACGACAGCGAATATTTCAATTCTTGGAATTATTTCATACCTAGAAGTCCGTTCAAGATGTCGAATGGCTATAAGGCGTCATGGCGATGCCACAGCCTCGCAGGACGACATGGCCTACCCCGCCACGAGACTGCAAAAATCCCTCGCATACCGAGATACCCTGGCATATTATTCTATTGCTCTATTATATACTCTGTAGACCAGTTACAGCAAAGCACACATCACGCCCATCAAGCCGACCTTTCCAGCCTCTTTCAACTTATCAACATACCTAGCACGACACCACACGGGCTCACGTGATCCCACGACATCTCATAGGCTTAGCGGAGGGCCAAGCTTTGGACAGTATGCCTGTTACTCTTACATATCAGCTCTTTGTTATCACCTAGCTACGACAATACACAAGACTACCTATGCCATTGCCTTATACCCACACGAGACTGTCCATTCCCGCCCCGTGATGCTCGGAAGAAATATGGAACGAAGTTCAGTTTCTCTACGATTTCGCCCTGATCCCGCATGGCCTTAGATTGCTTTACCTCCGTACTTGGCCCCGAGACTGCACCAGCTTTGAACAGAGAAACACCGTTTTCCACCCTCAACGCAATGTATTCATCTCCAGTGCTCCGATCGCGCACATCATGCTCGATGAATTGACACTTTGGATCAAGCTGAAGGCTGCGGAAATGGTCGGTGACCCATGGGTTGTCGGTATCCTCTACGCAGTACACGATGGGCCCTCTTGCGATGCTGAGGGTATCTTGGTTGGTGAATGGATGGGGTGTTATTAGCCTGGGCTTCATTGGCAATTGTAGCTCGAAGATCGGATTTTCCGCAAGCCATGAGCCTGGGATTGTGAGATAGCCCTTATCGACACCGATATCGAGAAGTTCAGGGGAAAGCTGGAACGAAATTAGTGGGCCATCCGAAAGAATTTGAAGAGAAATTACCTTGAAATCATCAGAAGCCCAACCCGGAATGCGCACTTTCAGTGTGACATTGTCTTCCCTCGACTTGAGCCGGAACTTGACGGTGCCATCCCACGGCCAATTAGTCTCTTGCGTCAGACTGCCTTTGCCACCCAAAGTCTCCAGATCCAGGGTGCTGCTGATGTACAGATGTGTTGTGATTTGAATGTCTCCATTGGCAGAGCTGCCTGTGGTGGTGTAGATGTAGCCACCAATGTGGCCCAACAGACGAAGTATATTTGGAGGGCAACACGCACACGTAAACCAGGAAGATCTTTGGGATGGATCTGCCTCGCTCGAAGCAAGCTGGTTGACATATGTGAATTCTTTGCCATTTGGCGACATCGACGTCAAAACGGCATTGTAAAGACAGAGCTCCATGATGTCTGTAAAACGACCGTCAAGATCGCTCTGTTCTAGAGTTAGAAATATAATGAAATGTAAGGTGGGATCGCTTTTACCTGAAGAAGTCGCTCTGCCAGCATCATAACACCTATTGCCGCGCATGTCTCCGCGTAGCATCCGCCTTCATCGGTCCCTTGTGGCAAGAAATAATCTAACCCAAATCCCTCCCATTGTTTCATAGCACCAATGCCACCAGTCACGTACATCTTGCGATCGACCATATTATCCCACAAACCAAGCACAGCCTGCTTCAAATCGGGAGTAGTCGATTCAGACTTTAAAATCAAATCAGCGGCTGCAGTAAGCAGATACATCGCCCTGACCGAATGCCCCTCAATGGATTTCTGCTCTAAAATTGGTGCATGCGCAGAATAATACCACAGACATGACTTGTCCGGCCAATAATCTGGTCGCTTGCGCGGGTCATCGCCTCTTCTTTTGGCTTCCGATACGTAGAAGTGCTGTCCATCGTCGCCGGTCGGATTTCCTCGTTCGGTGATGAAGTAATTTGCCAGTTTGAAATGTTCGGGATCTTTTGTTCTTTCAAACAAACGTAGCAGAGCTAGTTCAATCTCAGGATGGCCAGGATAACCATGGATTTGATTTGGACCATCGCCAAATGTCTTGCAGAGTAGTTTTACGTATTTGAGAATCGGTTCCATTAAATGATCGTTGTGGTAGAGATCCTGGTGTGCGAGCGCCGCTTCAATTAAATGTCCAGCGTTGTAACTTTTTTGATTAGCAAAAGTTTGTTCTTTCTAATAATTCGGCACTCACAGTTCATGAAAATCTCTCAAGTTGGTAAATCGCTTTTCGGGCTCGACTACCGTAAAGTGGATGTTGATGTAGCCATCTGGTTGTTGCGCAGATCGAATCATATCCACCAATTCGTGGATTGCAGCGTCTATTTCCGCATTGGGATGTGTTTGAAGAACATAACACGCGCCTTCGATCCATTTCGCAATATCTGAATCCCTGGAATTGTGAGTAATTATTGTTTAATTTAATCAAACATGCTCGCCTACCAAAACAGGTGATTCGGAATCGGCCAAACGTCTGGAGCGTCATCGTATGAAGAATGCCATTTCAACTTGAAAGCGTCATATCTTCCCGTTGATTTCAAGATTTCAAGTTGGTACAGAAGAGTTGCGGAAGAGACAGTCTCTTGTCTTTTCTGAATCAATGACCCCGGATTCAGTGTGACAGCTTTGAAAGCAGTTTGCGGGTATGCCATAGTAATATTAACGATCTATAATTGATTAACAGTAGACGACGCAGGACATGTCGACCTTGAAAGAGTCAGCAGCGGCCCATTGCTTTTCATTCAGATCGGAGCAAGGCAACGCAGTCTCTCACGCTCGTGGGGCCATTGTTCGCCGCTAACAATGCGAGTACAGTTGTTGGTGCTTGTGTCCTATGGTCTGTTTGTGCATCTTGTGCCGATTCTGTGTTCAGCCAATGATGTGAAAGTTTGGGTGGTGGGCTGCTTGATCCTCCCTGGAGTTGAGGGGCGGCTCCGGAGGGGACTTGGGACTACCGAGGTCCACGAACTTTCTACGTACAAGGATCCACATATTGCTTGCTCTAGACTTCAGAGTGGCTTCCATAGCAGGAAACTTTGGGTTGTGTGATCGTTAGACATCACGGGAGCTCGTGTTCATCTTAACACATCTCATGGGTGTATGATCTCTTACGTCAACGGCGGCATGAGCATTCGGAGGTGTTGATGAAGTTTTGTTAGACGCGTCGCTTCACATTGAAAGTCGAAGTAGCCCAGAAGATTTATTTACATCTATCGTATATCAACGCGCTTTAATCTCAAATACACGCGCGCAAACTGTTTCCGGTAACTGTACTTGTACTGCACCTACAGTTGCGTCCCAGCGAGCCTCTGCAGCGAAACTCTTAGGATAAAGCAGCGTTACTTCGACTTCGCCTTGCTTAGAAAGATGAGAAATTGGTAGTTCACAAGTATTCTTCCCATTTGTTCTCCAGACGGCCAAAAGTGTCCTGTCTGTGCAGATTAAGCCCACTGCTAACCAATCCTCACGCCATGTCGGAAGGCCCAATGGCCAAAAGGGAACACCATTCTTGATGTCTTGTCGAATACTCTTGTAAATGTTCATCCCCTCAGCTATCAGATTGAATTGATGGTCTGAAAGCAGGTCGAGCCGGCCACTGAGATGAATCCTGCCCAGGAGGCTGTTAACAACCGTGAGCGCGTTGATCTCGTCAGACCATTCTTTCTGTGGATAAGCCCAAGTCGCGCTTTGCTCTGGTGTAACAGCAGTGAAGACTGCCGCAGCAATGGAAGCATACATGACTGGATCTTCTTGGTCGCTAGTAGATTGCAGGGGATGGACTGCCAACATAGCATAATCCATTCTTTGCGCACCGCTGGAGCAATTCTCGATGACAAGGCCTGGATATTTGTCGAGCAGGCTGGTGACCCAAGCGAGATATGCTCGATTGTGTTCAAGTTGGCCGACACCAGGACTGCAACCGTGAACGTCTGTGCCCTGTGATATTTCGATGTTATAGTCAAATTTAAAGTATCCGACACCCATCTTCGTCACAAGTCTGTCAACAACCTGATCCAGATGTTTCCTAACGGCTTCATGTCGAAAGTCCAGCTGGTAGCGGTTTCTCTCTACGATCTTCTTTCCACCTTGCTGGAAGAATGCATCTGGTGGAAGTTGGTTAGCGACCTCGGATTTTACTCCAATTGATTCAGGCTCCAGCCATAACCCTGGAATAAGTCCAGCGTCTCTGAGCTCTTTGATTAAGGTGTCGAGTCCTGATGGAAATCTTGTTGTCGATGGTTCCCACAGGCCTATATCGTCCCACCAGCTATTGTCGTTGGAATACCATCCAGCATCGATGACAAAATATTCCGCACCCGCGCGAGTAGCCGGTTTTATCAATTGCCGAATCTTATCTTCTGTGGGATCTCCCATAAGGCAATTCATGTAGTCGTTGAAAATCAGCGGAAGATCGACATTATCTTGGTGAAATCTTCTAATGCGCCTTCGGTATGCCGTCAAGGCCTGAAACGCTGCGTCGGGTCCATCCAAAACATGGCATATGGCGGCAGGTACGGTATTGAATGTCTCGCCAGGTTCGAGACCTTGTTCCCATTGATGGTCATTGCTTGTTGGCCCACTTAGTGCAACATAGAGGTCCGACTTCCAATCTCCGACCTCCCATTTCCACGAGCCATTGTGCTCCAGTTGCCATAGCCATGTATCGGGCTTGGTCTCATTTTGCAACATTCCCATGGGCAGATATGACCCAGTCGAGAAAGTTCCCCGATTTGAACATGAACAAGTCATGAAAGAAGTGGCCTCGGGACCCGTGAAGCACTTATCAACACCTGCGTCTGGTAGCGAAAGGTGTTTCCATTGTGCCTCGCGGAACCAGGAGTTGTGAGGTATTGATAGCTTGAAATCATGATACCACACATTGGTTCTCGTCAAACCTCCGATGACAAGCGAGGGGATGGAGGTGAGATCGATCTTGCTTTGAGAGGTGTTCTGTACAGAGGTTTGGGATCGAAGGACTGGAACATTGTCGAAGACTGTAAAGGTAGACACGACCTTCAATGTCTCCTCTTCGTCCTGGGTTGTGATCTCGTAATAATTTGCCTCTGCTTCATTCCACTCGCGGTGAGATGAGTAACGAAGCCTTGTGGACAAGTATGTTGAGACGAGAGCTTTGGATGATTTCGCCCAGTTGTAATTGCCTTCTCCTTGCAGTCGAAGTTGATGAATTGGTAGAAGAGCTGATTCAGGTGCTTGCGCTGTGCCGTCGGTTCCTGGCTCTCGGATGTCACGTAGGCTGGTGGTGCCATTGTCAGCTATGGCAAACTCCACGACCAATGCGTTGGTCTTCCATACGAGTGTTTTCCCCATTTTCCAAATTGGCCCGCGGGAATGGAATGCACTTGCAGCTGGAAACGTTGACCAAACCCGGTATTTTGACAAGTAGACGGGTCATGATTCAATGTCCGGCGGGGATAGTTCTAACATGACTTGTTGGTGACTTGGGTCCGAATGAACGTATGATCCAATCGTCACTATGCATGAACAATCCTAAGCCCTGTTTTTCACGATTCCGATTACTTGGTGGACTTGATTGAACGGCTCGGCTTCATCCTACTGGTGCGATTTCATCTGCCAATAGGACCATCGAGTGGACCCCAGACTTGGCCAAACCATCCCCACATCCCCATTTTCGACTCCGGAGGGGGGCGTGGGGAACCTTCTAAGCAGCCATGTGACTTTTCAGCGGGTCTTCCTAGGGATGCGTTCTCTATAACAATGCTATGTCATGTGTGTCGTGAAATACCATTATCGGATCAGGAATCCCGCATCAGCACATAGACAAAGCTTTACACGGCACGGGGGAATCCTACACACGGAAAAATAATCGACATGGGCAGTAAGTCAGCCCTGCCAGCCAGACCATCCCCAATTGGGAAACTGAAAGCGCCACTGGCACTCCATAGCAATTCAAGACTGACGCTGCGAAGCCGAGTATTTACAGAGTCTCGAGGTTCTACCTACAGAGGATAGAAAACCCAATCCCTCAGTGTCTGGTTCCGCTGTCGTGTTCCTGGACCAGCAAACTGGAGAAACTCAGCAATTAGCATCCGGCTGGATTTACGGTATCCCAGACTCTCCAGACCAGATTCCCGACAAATTCTACACAGAAGTTGGGTTCCGATATGGAAGAGGTGGAGGATCTCAGCTCCCTGATACACGCGGATGGTATCGCAGCAAAGCGGACTACGATGCCCGATTTCAATCCACCCTGAGCAACTATCGAACTACTCGCAAGTATGGCGGCAACTTCATCTGCTTGCCATCTGCACTCTGGGGAGCGGACGGCGGCCAGCCACCAGATGCGCCTTATCCTGGAGATGATGGCGATTGGTCAAGTTGGGATGAGCTGCTCGCGACTTGGATCAAGGATGCAAAGGCAAACGACATGCTGGAAGGACTTGTATTCGATATCTGGAACGAGCCCGATCTGAAGTTCTTCTGGAATCGATCGCGGGAGCAATGGCTTCAGTTGTGGAGCAGATCGTATCATGTTTTAAGGTAAGATATACCCGGTTGCGTGTCACAACTTTCTGACCCAGATTTGCAGAAGAGAAGTGCCTGGAGTACGAATTAGCGGTCCCTGCTTTAGCACTGCGCCCGAGGCTGACAACGAATGGTGGCAAGAGTATCTTGCTTTTGTGAAAACAGACAACAGTATTCCTGATGAATGGTCATGGCACATGGAGCAAGGCTATGGCAACCTGACTGATGGAATGGCCAGTTTCAGAAAGCTTCTGGATCAGCACTCAATACCAGAAAGTGGTGTTGTGAATATCAACGAATATGCTATCTGGGCTGAACAAGTACCGTCTGGCGCAGTGTGGTTCATCTCCCAGCTAGAGAGAGAAAACGCGATCGGATTAAGGGGAAATTGGGCGATGGCTGGTGCACTACACGATTTCCTTGCGGGACTAGTCTCAAAACCTGGCGCTGGGACCAAGGATTACTCGATAACAGCTGGTGGATACTTCCCAACTGCGGAATACCATGTCTACAAGTACTATGGATCAGAGATGAAGGGCCAAAGGTTAAAGACAGCTGCGAACGCTACAACAGATGGCGAGGTGTTCGCGGTGAAAGGTTCCAACAAGCTACGGATTCTGGCTGGAACGCGCAACGCGAAGGGTGATTGGGCGATTGATCTGAAAGGTGGAGAAACCTTGGGCTACACTGATGGCACAGAAGTAGAAGTTCGAGTGCTGGAATTCATAGGGACGGACGATCATCTTGCAGAAGGTGATGGTCCAAAGAATCTTCAAAGCAGGAGGCTGAAATGGCAGGGAGGACAGTTGCGGCTTGAGATTCACCAAGAGAATCCCTTATCCGCCTATGCATTTGAGATTGCATTGAATGAATAATTATCTATGCAATGAAAAATCGATTAAATTGCAGTTAAATTCACTAAATCAAAATTCTGAAATATTCTGGGTTGACACAAATGCAAACTTAGTGACGTTCTTGCACAATGTCTTACCAGTATGAAAGGGTAGAGAATTAAATTGAAATAGGACTACCAATGATATAAAGCGCATCATAGACTTACAGTAAGGACTGCTAGATTTTCGCATCACAATTTATAATTCATATGTTGTGCACTTCCAAAGCTAGTCCTCACACAATTAAATAAGTCATTAATGCATTTTTCTTTTTGCATATACCACTTCTAGCTTACAGAGTGGCGCGCATCATAACTCGAATCCACATTGGCTTTTACCTCTACGAGTACATCGAGAAATCTTCCTTTCTAGCCAATTGGAAGCTTACATTGATATGAAACGCGCCATCCAAGTGTTCGTAATTTGCTTAGCCTCATCAACAAGTCCCATGTCCAACAGTAGCTGGACAGTGCCTCTGATCGCAGACTCAAGGGCACTGAACATCCACGTGTGAGTGAATGTCGCGGCCTCACCAATGAAGACAGTATTGAACTCGGTTTGGTAAAACGCGGGCAGGTACAAGTCTTGCTGTGCAAAGATCTGCATCGTGAAGGCGCCGGCATGATGCTCATCCTGCTCCCAGCAGTGACGTGCGTAGTTGCCAGTCCAATTCTCTTCAATAACTTCTTTGCCATGCATCTCAATCAGTGCACGCTTGATATACGCAATGTGCTCTGCTTCTGGCATAGCGCATGCAACCGTGGCTTCGTAGTCGGAAAGATAGGATGCGAGCATCACTCCCGGGCCGGTCGCATTAAGGTGCCATCCTGGATAGCACACTTGGCCAAGCTGAGGATTAGTGAGTCGGGTGCAGCCACCCAAAATGGGTCGTTCAAGGTGTTCCCAGAAGCGCTTCTTGAACTGGATCGCTGTTTTGGCCGCATTGGCGTATAATGTTCGACCGATCGCGCGCTTCAGTAAGCTCGAGTACTTTGGCAACTTCCAAAATTTGAGTAAATTGAGAGGTACACTGTTGAGTACATAGTCAAATGTCTCAACGCTATCAGGTGTGTTGAAGGGCTCAGCTCCAGTAGGTTTCCAGGTAACAGAGACAGTGTTGTTCTCTTCGTTGTATTCCAAGCCGTTGACTTTCGCGCCATATAGGATGCGGTCACCAATGAGAGGCTTGAAAGCTTGAGGCATTCTATCAAGACCGCCTTTGATGGTCTTCCATTTGGTAGCAAGAAAGTAGACGGTCTCATATTCCCACATTGGCCAATAATTCTGAGACGGTGTGACCTCGTCTGTGGTATTGAGATCGAACTTCAGCACATTGCGGAGATATGCAACTTCTGAGTAATCAAACATGCCGTCGTCTTTTGCTTGTTTGTATGCTTTGAAGATGTTGGTAGCATAGAGCTTTATTCTTTCCGCGTCAAGACCTTTGAAGTCTTCAAGAGCTTTGATAGCTTCCTCGGCTGCAGTCTCATTTGAGTAAACGGTCGGGTTATAGTAGGCAGGGTCCTTAGCCACTTCAGTCTTGCCAGGAATTGTTCCATCCGGACGGCGAAATGGCGTGTCGACTGGAGTGTTAGGAGATGACTGAATCCAGTCCCAAAACTCGACCTGGTGTTCTTCATCTCCAGCATTGAGCTCATTGAGAACGTCGGCAAGTTGAAAAAGGATACGCTGATCATTGAAGGGGAATGTCTCATTTGTCTCCGAGTCAGTGATCTCATATGGGTAACGCATCGGTCCGAGCTCATGGTATTGACCTTCTTCCGGAGATGTGCCGTTCAAATATACAGTGCGAATGCGGCCACCGACGCGTTCGCTTGATTCGATGATCTTCCAGTTGTGAATGCCGACAGAATCTAGGAGCAACTGTAAAATCAATCATCAGCGTCGTTTTGCATTTTCCAACGGGAACTCCTATACTCACAGAAGTCATCAAACCGGAAATGCCACCGCCCAATATACCAAATGACTTTGACTTCGCCGATGCAACAAATGCTTCATCGGGCTGCTTCTGCTGCAGGTATGCCACGCCATCAAACCAAAGACTGTCAGTCCCCGCCACATCCACAAATGACTTCTTTTCATGTCGGCGGGTCAAACGCTTCGACACATTAAGCTTTTCAGACCTGCCAATAAGCTCACCGTCTAGGAAGGCATGTAGACAGCCGCCTGACATCTCTGCCGGGGTTAGCCAGACAAATCTTTTTGGCCGTCTCTTTTCGTGTGATTCATGTCTAGTGGCCAGCGGATGACTGCCGACATGGGTGACACCGACAAATTGCTTTGCCAAAGCAATTGATGGAGCAGTATGATCACACGAGCCATAGGTGATTGTGAGCTCGCCGTCAACATCACCAAAGTACTCCACATGAATGTTTTGAGCACTTCCAGGACGAAGTTCTTCAAAGGAATTGAAGGTGATTGAAGGCTGATGTAGTGGTTTCGCTTCGGCAAAGAGAGCCAAAGTGGCTATAAGAGGCAGCGCTACGCCTGGAGACTTCATGACTGGATACAGATTAATGAAGCTGAAGTTCGGTTCTTGGCCATTGAGTGGTGAGGCTGTTCCGAGAGCCGAGGTTTTCCTACTCTCAGCGCATTTATATCCTCGCCCTGGTGAAGAGCTATATCAGTTATGATTGATTTGTTATCTTCATTATCGTGTGCTTATCACCAATTGTATTCGCCGTAGGCTAACTTGAGTGGATCTCTTTGCCGATCAGGTTACTATCTGTCCAGGTCTTCCTCTGAGTAGCACCGAGCTTCCGGAATTGGTGCATGATGAATTGCTTGTCACGCCGAGAACACGGCGAGAAGGTGATAATATGTATCTCATCTGTGGGAATAAGCACCATGAGATCCCCAGGCTCAAGCTGCAGAGTGTGGGCCTTTGTCGGCATTCAGTCCGATGCTCGATTTTTCTGCAAAGACGGTACGGTCTTGGGTTGCAGGGCTTGTGCATTGCTAGTCAGTGTACGGAGTAGAGCGCGCACCGAACAATTGCTGTTCCTGTGTCACAAAGTCACAACCTGAAGGCCTGGAGAACATATCTAGGGCTTAGAATGACGGCCTTCACAGAGAGAATCCAGCGTAGGAGAAGTTGTGCTTCAGCATAGGAGAGGTTGTGCTTCAGTACAGGAGAGGTTGTACTTTTCAAGAGACGAAATCAACAATGAGGTGTAAAATGCCAAGCTGGCGCTTTCGGAGCGCCAAGCTTCCGCCTTCGGAGCGGACTTCATCTCCGAATCTGCGAAAGGTCAAATCCTATCTGAATACTGGCTGTGACCACAACTCGTGAGTAAACATTCACATTTCATTCACGCTGAGCGATATGTTTAGAGATCAAAGATACTGCACTGGTATCTATCTTCCTTGATGCGCAGCTAGCCCGCTCTGCGTTAGCTTCAGATGACTGATCCTTCATCGCAGCTTGCTATTTCTTTGACGGTGTTTCGATCAAGTTCTTGTTCCCCAGACCTACACCTCGACCATCAAAAGAGTCAACCGACGAAACAACACGAATTGCCTCAATCATGAGGTGAGCGGGCCCTGAATAACTTCCAGAGCGCGATAGTCATCACAGGATGAAATGGTGCAAACCCGACGTGCGAACCCAACACCAAGACCAAACCGAGATTGTTTAGTTATTGTTGTCATATTGGCTATATATTAACCTTATTTGATTATAATTATCTACCAAACTCCTGAATAAGATAAGTTAAAATAGCTTGAATATAATTCATATAGCGTAGTTTAAAACATTGAAATACAATAGTCGTAAGTATAAATAAGCATCAACAGCTGGCGAGCAAGGACAAGCGATTCAGGTACGTGAGACTTGAACCTAACCTCCAAATCCAGGTTTCTATTACTCAATGTTACATACAGTATACAGGCATCAAGCCTTTATTTTTTTCGCATGACAGAACTAGTTCTATATACGTATATGCATACAACTTACGTTCTTAATCAGATGAAAGTCAATGTCAATAAACTGTCGGGTCAATGTTGACCGATGTCGAAAGAAAACCCGAGGTTAAGTTTAAGTAAACACGAAATCTGATGCTCCGCTCTTTAGATACCACCTTCCATTATAAAACTCCAACTGTTGCTGCTCTTGCGCTGGAAAGAGACTGATCATGTACGGGTGGCCATGTTCTTAGTTGTGTGACCCAGTCGAGAAATCCCCAAATAAACTAAAAGTCGTAGAATTTCCCGCTTTTGATTCGAATTTGTTGAAACGACTTATTCTCCTTCTATCTAAAGCAATTGATAGTCGCCACTCGTAACATATCATGCTACTTATCTGGATACGGATTAGACGAGGGCGGTTAATGAACAGAATATGTGGGGTAACCCCTCATTGTCAATCACTGCTCCAACGGCCAAATGAATGCCACCAGTCAGTCCGGGAATTTCAAGGGGAGGACACAAAAAGCGATGCAAGCCTACCGTTACAGTGCATTTCGAATGCCGATGTTGGACTGGCGCAGGTACGGCAATTGCTTGTACGTCAGGATCGTCAACCATTATGTTCCCAAGATATAGGTTTGAGAATGTTATAACCTTAGCAATGGCCAAAGGTCTACTTATTGGGCAATCGAAGATTTGAGCGACTTCAAGGAGATTATCGTAAGGAGCGATAGCAGGTAAATATCATTGATTCTAATCACGTCATCACGTGATGACCGATATCCTCTAAACAGACTATAGTCATGCCTTCGCTACGCGCGGCCATCGCTTGTCTATGGACAGCAGTCTCAATAGCTGGCGCTATACCAACAGCACATGTTCATAACATTCGAGCAGATATGTTGGCAGAATCAACAGCTTCAATACAGCCCTTCCGCCTTGACCAGGTCCGGCTAGGGGATGGCTTATTTCAAGAGAAGCGTGATCGTATCAAGTCGTTCTTGCGTGGCTACGATGAGCGGAGATTTCTGATACTATTCAATCAACAAGCCGGTCGGCCTAATCCAGCGGGGATTGAAGTGCCTGGAGGCTGGGAAGAAGGCGGCCTTCTAAGCGGGCATTGGACAGGCCATTTCATGACTGCTCTATCCCAAGCATACGCCGAATTAGGAGAGAACATCTTCAAGGCCAAGCTCGATTGGATGGTGGCAGAACTGGCCGCTTGCCAGGATGCAATTTCTGCTCGCAAAGAGCCAGGCTCGGGCGCGGATAACTGGACCGCGACACATTCGGGCTACCTCGGTGCACTCCCGGAAGATACTGTATTACGACTTGGTCCACCGCGATTTGCTGTCTATGGAAGTGATCCGAAAGCCAATACTTGGGCACCTTGGTATACGCAGCACAAGATTATACGGGGCTTGCTAGATGCCTATTACAATACCAACAACACCCAGGCACTCGAGGTTGTGGTAAAGATGGCTGACTGGGCGCATCTGGCGTTAACAGTAGGAGACAAGAACCACCCAAACTACAAGGGCAACCTGACAAGGGATGATCTGAATTATATGTGGGATCTCTACATCGGCGGCGAATTTGGCGGCGCCAATGAGGTGTTTGCAGAAATACACGAGTTGACGGGAGATGCACGCCACTTGGTTACAGCCAAGGCCTTTGACAATCGAGAATCGTTGTTTGGTGCTGCAGTGGCAGATGAGGACATTCTGGTGGTAAAGCCAGAGAACAAGCCAGGCAGGCGACGAGCGGTACGCCTACACGCTAATACCCACGTTCCTCAATTCCTCGGGTACATGAGAATCTACGAACAGAGTGGCGAGCAAGACTACCTGGACGCTGCAAAGAACTTTCATGGCTGGATAGTACCGCATCGCGAGTTCGCCAGCGGCGGAACAGGGGGCACCTTTCCAGGTGCTGATAGCAATCCAGAACTCTTCCAAAACCGGGGTAATATCGCCAACGCAATTGCGCATGAAGGCGCGGAAACGTGTACAACATATAACATGCTCAAGTTGAGCCGAAATCTGTTCATACACAATCAAGATGCGGCATACATGGACAACTACGAACGTGGTTTGTTCAACATGATCCCTGGTTCCCGCGCGGACACGTCCGACAACAGCGATCCGCAGCTGACATATTTTCAACCCCTTTCCCCGGGATCGGTCCGTGAATTTGGAAACACTGGAACTTGCTGTGGAGGCACAGGGTTGGAGAGCCATACCAAGTACCAAGAGACTGTGTACTTCCACTCAGCTGACAGTTCTACACTTTGGGTAAACCTGTACGTTCCATCCACCCTGACCTGGAAGGACAAGGGCTTCACCATCAAACAAGAGACGGGTTTCCCACGCGAAGACTCGGTCAAGTTCACAGTTGCCGGAGAAGGCCATTTGGACATTAAATTACGTGTGCCCGCCTGGGCACGCAATGGCTTCAATGTCACCGTCAATGGGGAGAGCCCATCTGGATTACCAGCTAAACCTGGAACATACTTTACCCTGAGCCGAGAGTGGAAAACAGGCGATGTAATTCAAGTAGATATGCCATTCAGCGTCAGGCTCGAGCGCGCGCTAGATCGTCCAGATACTCAAGCTATCATGTGGGGACCAATCCTGCTCCAACTCTTGGGGAAGCCCGAGGGCAATGGTAGCTTTTGGAAACTGTCGCTCTACCAATACTTGAAGCTCGATGGCGACTATTCACGTGCTGCCATTGTTTCTGAAAGCAAAACAGCCAATGACGACCCTATTTTCACCACGGCCTCGCGCAAATTGACCGCACGCCCTTACCACATTAGCGATGACCAGGCCGTCTCGAGCTACTTCCACCGCGTTGAACCGGATGTGGTGTTTGGTTCTATCAACACCTCGGTTCCTAATCGGAAACGTAACGATGGGCTTCCGAAATATGATGTGCCAGTTGAGGGCGTTTCGTCGCCTGGTAGTGATGGGCCGACGTTCCTGGACTTGCTTTGGGACCAGGCGCCATTTGCTTCACATGCGGAATTTGTGAAGGCTGTGACAAGCCTTGCGGATGAATTCGTTGGGAAAGGGATTTATACCACGAAGGAAAGGGATGTAATTGTTGGGAAAGCCGAAGGAGCGGAAGCCGATTTGGCTGTATAAGTTGTACACACACAAGCCTCTCCCCTTTAATATACCAATTGAGTATACATGACTCGACCGAGAAAATAGACTGCCTAAGCCGATGGTCAAGTTTTCAAGGCATACATACTTCTTTGGAGATTTAAATACGAAAGTCAATGTTGAAATGAATCCGAAAACTTAGTGGAATTATTTCGCATCTGCTTGCAACGATCGAACCAAGAGTATCGAGCAGCAAGTTCTAGAAGGTCGCTCTGCAGCTGCCAGCTGAAAGCGACAAAGCTCGGTGTTCCACACTGCTCGATCGCTACCAAACAGTTGGGGTAATTAGTAAATTGATCGGTCCGGGAAAGCCTAGCTAGGAAGCAGTTCAGAAGTCGTTCGGTTGGCCATAGGTTAACTGAATTGGTATTTAACCTCCACAAGCAGTTGTAAGTGAGAAGGTTTTGGCGTAGTGCAACGTGGTAGATAGAAGCGACACGCGGAAGCCATGCATGAGCCCGTGGCGAAGATCATGCAGATATTCTTACAAGTATGCCATACGGCCCGAATAGACAACGATGGTTCGCGCCAGTAGACTATGTTTACACATGAGTGGAGCTTGTGGCACTTCGTTTACCTATGCCCTCCAGGCCATCAACAGCATCTTCAGCCCGCCAACTACCGTGGGCGGATGTAGCATTCATCAGCCGAACCAGTGTCGCTGAACGTAGGCAGCCTTCCAATTCAAAGGATGCGAGAAGTTTATCGTGGCGCGACAAGGGCAAGTATTGTACACGGTTTGGTGCGAGTCATAGGGTACTGGGAACCGAGTCTTGGGAATGTTGCATGATCGAGGGCTCATTGAACACATGTATTTCCTGGTTAAGAGTGTAGCCGTAGCTAGGTACTTGAATCATTCATTTCTAGAAAGATTCGAATAGCCTGAGAAGTGGTGTTCATGATAAAGTTGCCGTGAAAAGACATTTGTCGACCCAATGGTGCAAGCCGGTCGAAGCTGTAATTGCAGGTGGAGTGAACTCAGGCTTTGCCATGCCCTAGAAGTCGTGGTGCGATGCTGTGCTCAGAGTGGAACGTTTCTATTGTTGTCTAAAAACATAGTAACCATCCAAGCTTTTAATCTGCGCTCTGGTAAATAATGGAAAGCTGTCTACCCAGTCTAGGAGATAGGTATGGGCTTTCTAGCAAACGCACAGAACAAGACTGAGAAAGGCATCTTCCGTTCCAGGGATACCGGCAAATTCGGCGCGCGCTCAGATCCTCGCGACTCGTTCGTCAGCGTCAATCTCCGCGACCGACCCGCGCGACTAAATTGATTATAATCTATGCGATACTTGACCTTGTGTCGAGTCTGGAGATTGATAGACTTGCTTCCAGTATCGTGTTAAATATGGTGTTCTCTGTACGGAGTACAGAGGACTTGTTCATCACGTTGCCCACGTAGGTACTCATATCTAAACGAGGTGCACAGGAAATGCCTTGAGGTGCAATCGAGTCAGACATATTCTAGACTTCCATCTTGCGTGCTTGTTGAGCATGGGTTGACGTATCCAGCCCATGGCAGAATCGTGCACATGAGAAGCCCCGATGTCCGGCCTCAAGAGCAACGCTATCAAAGAATGCAGAGCCATATGTACTCAAGCTTAATGGGGAATAAATCAATGGATACATACATCTACAGTCGTAACAAGCTGAGTTCTCGGCTTCTCAGCGCCTACGAGACTTTCCCAACTGCATGCGCCACTAGAACATAGTCCCAGGCATGTGTAGCGAGCTTGTTCTGGACATTTGTACCTTGACAGAGTAAATATAATCAATCTCGCTCTAGTTGCCAATGTTGGTGATAGTATCGTGCTGTCTCTTGGGACTGAGCTTCGGTTTCTTGTTTGGCATGATGTTTGTGGCGGGATACATCTTGCCATTGGGGCATTTCGTGCTTCCTGTCCCGATCGAGGTTTCCTGGAAACCCTTCTGGAAGACTCAAAGCGTAGCGGTCGGACATATTGCTTGAAGTAGTAGTCTATCGAGTAAAGAGATCCGTTCTGGAAGGGAGAGAACCTACACAGCCAAGAAGCAAAGTCATGTCAACAACTGTGAATCTGGACCGTGCTGCTTAGTAGGACGCCGTGATGAAAGCTCGGTTAAGTAGTTAGAGTCTTCGTCACCATGGCTGTGCCACGCAGGTTGACATACCCACATCTTGGTGAGCAACTCTTCACGATGCATCAATACAATATGTCAAAACAAATCGACTGGGCGAATCTTAAGCGACGGCGCGTCAAGCGCCTGTCATCTTCAGTTTCCTGGTTTTGATTATCATACATTATTGCTTCCCATGCAGTCGAGGGGCGAAACCCCTCATCACGCTATGCATGACTCGGTACCTTGCTTATTCGGCCTATTCCCTCCGATGTTGCTGATACCTCATTCGCGCAATCGATGACCAGGACATCGCGATGTCTTGCAATTACTGGACATTTGCATGATCTGCCCCGCTTTCCCGCTCTGTTGGTAAATTTTCGATAGCTTGCAAGCATGTCGACAAACATCGTTCACAGCCAGTACTCCGCCCCAGGTGCAAGCGAGGACTACCTTTTGCCCTATTCTCGAACCCAGAATGCGGCGCACATTTGCGTGTTTTTTTGTATTCTTGACTCAGCTCACGCATCATACCCTCGCTATCGCTACAAGCTGATTTGATAATCCCCCAAAACAGGACCGCCACGATGGTTCTCAAGCATTGGCAACCTCATGTTCGGCATTGCATGGGCGGGAACTAACTCGAAGTCTGTTAGAATGTACGTTAAGTGCCGAGGCGAGAACCTTCAATTGGACAAGCAGAGCGATCGAAGCTTCGATCTTAACTGTTCCGAGTCGTTTACCCCGTGCGCAAGCGTTCGGCGGCATGCATTACCGCCTTGGATCACAGTTGACAGAACAATCACCCCGCCCCAAAGAACGGTTCATTCTGTTCTGGCCCTCTTCACCGCTTTTAGGAGGCGTCGTGCTGGGAAGATCGTGGTCAGTTGAAATAGTGAGCCAGCGCGCCGGTATCTTCAAGGCTCATAAGGTTTCGACGAGACCCATCATCTTGGATCAGCGTTTGAAAATACGCAAGTGAGATTCCTTTCATCATGTCGCTCCTATCATCCGTCGGCGCGTGGTCGTTCAATCCCTTAGTGGAGGCTTTCCCTGCTACTGTTCTCCCTAACATCGCGTACTGGAATGTCTCCAACGGCACATGGGAGTACCAGGTTCAAGTCTCGTGGCCACTGAACTGGACATCAAGAGATGTTGACAGTTCCGTTGAAACTCTGTAAGCCACCCTCACGTTGCGCCATAATCATCTCTGCGGCCTTGACACGTGCTTGTCAGGGGCAAATCCTACGCGAAACTTTATTGACATTTCCACAGCTACGTTCTCGATGGAAACGCGCTGGCCCATACAGCCACCGAAGCCTTCCGCAAGCGTCGGCCCGTGGAGTTCGGTCAACCGGACACAATCGTTGTGAGCATCGGATATCCCAAGCTCCAGCCGGACTCCCCTTACTCGGATGGCCGGTACTACGACTATCAAATGCCCGTTTGCGCTACTTGCCCACCACAGCAGGATGCCCCAGGTGTGCCATCAGGCGCGGATGCTTTTATTACCTTCCTCGATAATGTTCTCCGGCCTTGGATCCACGGTTACTTCCCTAATGTTGACTTCCACCGCGACGGCATCTATGGACATTCATTTGGCGGCCTCTTTGTTCTATATGCACTTCTCACGAACCCTGATCTTTTCGACGTCTACCTCAGCGCCTCGCCATATCTGATCTGGAACAAAGAATACATCTTCTCGAAAGACAGCCCTCTGTACAAGGCCGTCAAGCCAAAGAAAACGAAGCCAGCATTCCAACTCAGCTATGGTGCCCTGGAACAGGCGCCAAAGAAGAGGAGAACAGAGACACAGGCAGCATTTGAGACAAGGAAGGCCTTCCTTTCTTCATTGAAGACGGCAGACCTGAGCAATAAGCTGTTCAACGAAATCAAGAAGAGCCCGAATCTGAGACACACTGAATTGCATACTTATCCATTCAGTTACCACGCAGCTTTGGGTGGAAACGCGTTGGCTGATGGTATTGATTATTTCTTGGACTGGCCCTGATGGTAGGGAGCAAACGGGGATACTCTCCGTGATGGAGACAAAGTGGACGACACAAATGAACTGATGCACCTGTACATACAATAATGATAAAGCAATCAGACACTCTTCTAAACTTCATTTCCTGATCTCTGCCCACAGTTATCGAATGTGCATTGTGTTGATTCCGTTGATTCCATTCTTGATGTTGATATCGTTACTTAACTGACACTGCTGGAGAATCTTCATGTAGACAAAGTATCTGTCGAAAGGGATGATCTCTGCAGCTGATGTCGGCTTATTTATTGTGTAGGGGTCTTGGTGAATGTTCAGGATTGATCGCAGCTGGTGGTACGATGTGCAGCTCTTTGCTTCCTTTCTTGCGATACTTATAATATTGAAAACTCATGTACCGCCCAGGGTCAACACTCCTCATGTGCGGCTGATTCTTCCTGATTACAGATTTCATCTCGCTTTGCAAGTATGCGCCAATGAAGTTCACTATTATTAGCAGTTCCAGAGTCGAGACACAGGGTGCGGATACGCCAAAGAATTGACAGCGTATGACGACTTTCACATCTCCACATGTTCCCATGCTTGCGCAATTGCAGTTCCTGAGTATGGTACGATGTGTTACCGGATTTCGTACAAGTTTTGAACCGCTCAGCCATGATGCTGCTCGTGCCCCTCAATCAAGCAAACGGGGATGTCGGCTATATCATCTCAGGGGCTATCTATGCCTATTCGGGGTCTGCATTGATCTCTTCGCCGCAATGAAATTGCTTGGAATGACCTAAACGAGTCATACACGAGGCGGACGCGGAAGGGGGACCAGGTTCCGGTAAAAGTTTAACCATTTGTTCGACATCTTTCCCATCCTCCTCCCCATTCTTTGCAAACTCACTGCAGCCTTCAAGCCTGTCACACCTTGGCAATCCTCGTTCTGTCCTAAACATTGGGTGTCGCCATTACTTTGTGGTGAAGCTGAGAAAGTTTATTGTTCGTGTAGTTCGAGGGCGGACGGACCGGTTGATAGCTTCCGCTGGGGAACAATTTCCGCTCCCGTAACAGGACAGAACCGAAAGTTTATTCACTTTTGAAGTCTAGCTCCCATCCTGACAGCTGAAACCGACCAATGAAATCTTTGATTCTCGTCTCGAAGGAGCTGCGGTCCTATTGTCGCAAATGCGTTCGGCTACTCTGACTGGGTGAACGCCTTCGATAGAAACACTCCCAGGAGAGTGCGCAACGACAGTCGATGGAAAGTATACATAGCAGTTCATCCCAGAAGCTGGGATCTACTGTCGTTGTCACTCGCACCGACCGTCAATGTGGGGATAACTCACGTTTGCCTACGTCTTCGACGATATTGGCACGCACACTCTAGCATTTGCTTTTCGGCCTCACAGACAGGCAACGCATGATGGGTATCCTAGATGGACCCCCTCCTCCTGACACGAACTTCGCGCCAACGTTCTTGGGCGTGACCGGTGTCTTCACGCTCCTTGCAATTGGCCTCTGCGGCGCGCGGCTCTACTCCCGGATCCGCCCAAAATTCCTCCTACGCATAGATGATTATTTGATTTTGATAGGAACTGTAAGACAGTCACACAAATTCCATTTCGAAATACTGACGGCATGGATAGTTTTTGTGTACAGTAAACTTTGGTATTTCCGCAGCCTCTGGATCTCACGGATGGGGCCATCACACTGCATATGTCACACCGAAGAATATCGTCCTCGTCTTCAAATTAAATTTCGTCACCCAGGTCTTATGGATCCTCGCAATCGCTCTCGTTCGTCTTTCGATTGCTTCGTCCCTGCTGCGACTTAGCCCTGACCGAGCATGGAAATGGACCCTGTGGACAATCATCGGCATACAGATCCTAACCTACATCGGCCACATGATATTCCAGTTCTTCAACTGCATGCCTCTGCGCGCGAATTGGGAGCCTGTCTACGACATCCGATGCTGGCCTCGGAAATATGTGCTCATCTTTGGCTGGACAGCCAATAGTATGTTTCGTGTGCCTATTATCTGCAATTAATACTGACTGAAGCAGGTATTCTGGTTGCGATCGATGTTATTCTTGCTCTACTACCCATCCATTTGATCCGAACCCTACACCGTTCGATCCGCGAGAAGATCCTCATTTGCTGCCTGATGGCCATGGGTCTGGTCGCCGCTGCCATCGCCGCATATAGGATGGGCATCTCCGACAAGACATTCGCCGGGGATCTCCTATCATCTACAGTCATGATGTCCATGTGGTGCATGCTCGAGGTGCTCTTGGGTATCATCGCAGCCTGCTTGGCTCCACTCAAAGCGCCTGCCGAGCGGATGCTCCACCAATTCGGATTGCTGGCCAGCCGCGTCAACATGAGCAAGCCCAGTTTCGTCCTATCCCTCCCCGAGCGCCAACATACCCCCAACTCGGATAACTCGGATCTCGTTGATTCTGTGCATTCGGATCGCCTAGCCAGGAAGGAAAGGAAGGGTATGAAGGGCGGCGTTACGACTGTTGAAGTGGACCATAGAGTGCCTTGATCGAAAGGTTGCTTGCTCCGTCAGTTGAGTTCATTTTTTGGCTAGCCATTGGGAGGCGTTTGGGGATATGCATTATGAAGGATCTAATGGATTAGCATGGTTCGAGGCCGCATTGGGCCACTTTGTTTGGAAAGCGTTGGACAGAATTCTAGGTATTCCTTTTCATTCCTTTTTTTGTATGTACTATTAGCGACTTGACCAGCCATGCGCATTCCCCTTAGCGACATACCCGAATCTCAAAGCGAGGATTCATTGTATCAATAACAAGCTAAACCAAGTTGTTCGTCTTGAACCAAGTTGCCGTATGAGAGGACCATCCCGTGAAAATGTCAGTGTAACAAGTACCTACGCCGAGCGTATTTCCGCTGGTTTCGGTTCTCTGTAGCTTGTTTCGGGAAGGCTGCTCTTTAAGGTAAAGAACGTGTCTGTTAGGCAACTCCTGCTAATACTAGTCGTCAAGGTTTCCGGCCGTTTCTCTCTTCCTTGGACCGTCGTAGAAACTGAAAAGTGCACAACCCCAGCCTATCGTGAAGATTCAAAGGTGTTCATCAAACACATCTGCCTAGAATCGATATGAGAGTAACCTTGCTTTTTTTACACAAGGAGAATAGAAACTAGCAGCCTCCCAATTTGACGACGGGTCGTTACTGACTGTCCACTGCAAAGCATACTACAGCCCCGATGATGGGCACTCCCCTCATAAGTGTTCATGTTCCTCAAATTAGACTTTCGCACGCCAGTGATAAGTAGTGTATTATTCCATCATTTATCCAGCGTCTCATATCCAAGTAATCCTAGGGCGATCAGAGCGTGGACCTTGCAACTCTAATCCCCGAACGCAGGTGAGATGCTTTACGATTGGTGCAATGTTCTCCGCGATCGACTAGTTCCCGCTGTCTGGGAAATAAGCATGTTTGGCTCTCGCTTGTGTGTTTTGGCGTTTAGTATGATGTCTTTCCGGGCCTTTGTATGCCACCTCTTTAATGGGAGTCGAAATAGTAGGTTATTCTCGCCTTGGGTTTGCTCTCGTAGTCAATCCTGCTTTTTGATCTCTGCGCTGAGTTATGTGTTTTGTTCTCTTATCTCTTCCTTCCTCTCCTTTCTTTTTCTCTTTTATACGAATATTCATCCATGTGATCGTCGGGTTTTCCAAGCTAACGGCGTCAACTGCGCGATATTCTGTCACAGGCGGCTTAGCCACCCCCTCCAGCGACAGTTGGAAATCCAAAAATCCCTCACCCAAATCCAGCAGTCGCAAATGTCCAACCAGCGCCACGAAGAAGCTATCATGCCCAGCCAGCCAACCAAGCTTCGGCGTGTGCTTGTCAGGCTTGTTACTACTTGATTTCTCGTACTGGAATTCGTCCTGGGCCGGAATATCAGATAACGCTGTCGTACAAGTCAAAGATAACGCCGATGTTATAAAATAAAGAAGCCCCGAGGGGTTGGTGTTGCTGGATTATCTTGTGCATTTCTCCTTTCGATAGCAATGGATCCAACAATACAATTCGCGGACACACAGCGACCAAGGCGTTCGGTTGATACTCACGGCATCGGTGGGGTAGTACCGCTTCGAAGCAGAACCAGATCACTTAAAGCGAGAAGTTCTTTCGAAGCCTTCAAGGCTGGAGAGATCGAAAATGCAGAAGACGAAGATGCTGGCTTGAGGAACGAGGGGGATTATAAACGCAGACAGGTACGAAAATGCCTCACTGCACTCCCCCATGCGGATATCTGTTACCTAACACCTCGCAGACATTCAATATTGTTCAGTTGTTCCTCCTTGCATACCAGGCTACTGGAGTCATCTACGGTGACATTGGTACCTCTCCTCTCTACGTCTTCTCGTCGACTTTCACAGAGGCGCCCGATCGGCAGAACTTGCTGGGAGCTTTATCGCTCATCCTCTGGGCGATCACGTTGATGGTGACTGTGAAATATGTGCTCATCATCCTTCATGCCGACAACAATGGCGAAGGTGGTACCTTTTCGACGTACTCTTTGCTATCGCGTTATGCAAGTCCAGCCTGCTCACTATCTCATACGCAACACTAACAAAGTTCAGGCCAAGATCGCCAATAGCGATCCCCGAGAGGCCACTATGATTCGTAAGACTACGCGTGCCGCACTGTAATTACCTCACTAATAGGAGCTCAGGAATGGAACGCCAATTAACAAATGATCTGAGCCGATCCACGAAGACCGTACGTTCTACAATCGAGAAAACCAAGTTCTTTAGAGGTCTTCTCAAGACCATCGGTGTTTTGGCAGTGTCCATGGTGATGGCCGATGGTGTTTTGACACCCGCGCAATCAGTACTGGGTGCTGTTCAAGGTCTCAGCGTTGTGAAGTCAGACATTTCGAAGTCAACGATTGTTGGCGTAACGTGCGCTATCCTCGTCCTTCTTTTCGTACTACAACCACTTGGAATCTCCAAGATCACAGTTGTCTTCTCCCCGGTCATCATGATTTGGCTTGCATTGAACGCTGGTTTTGGAATCTACAATCTCGCACGGTAAGAAGACATGGCAGCTTGGTGGAACGCACAACTAATATAATCAGCTACGATCACTCCATTCTGAAGGCCTTCAACCCATACTATGCATTCGACTATCTTGTACGCAACAAGTATGAAGGATGGCGCAGTCTTGGAGGCATCTTGCTCGCGTTTACTGGTGTTGAGGCCTTGTTCGCCGATATTGGTGCCTTCAGTCGTCAAGCTATCCAGATCAGTTGGCTTGGTTATGCTTACCCATGTCTCCTTCTTGCGTACTCAGGTCAGTAATGAGTTGCGCACATCTCTTGAGTCTATGTACTGACTTAACATTTCGACTCCCAGGCCAGGCTGCGTACATCAGCGAGCATCCCGATGCATACTCAAACCCATTCTATAACTGCGCACCAAAGGGATGGCTCATTCCTTCGTTGATCATCGCTATCGCTGCAGCAATTGTTGCGTCGCAAGCCATGATTACTGCAACGTTCCAAGTATGTACTATCTTTTGCCTTCAAAGGTGCTGGCTGACCCAAGTAGCTGTTGGCGCAAATCATGAAGCTTTCATACTTCCCTCAGATTCGAGTAGTGCACACTTCCAACACCCATCATGGCCAGCTCTATGTACCCGCGGTCAACTGGCTGCTCATGGTTGGTACCGTCGTCGTTGCAGCAGTCTACAACAACACTACCTCTCTCGGAAATGCGTATGGTGTTTGTGTCATGTTTGTCACATTCTTTGATACCTGCATGGTCACTCTTGTTGCCATTCTCGTCTGGCAAATCAAGCCGTACTTTGTCTTCTTGCCTTGGCTGGCTGTATCCTGTATGGACGGCGCGTTCCTATCGTCCTCACTCACCAAGGTGCCAGATGGTGCATGGTTCACGATCCTACTAGCCACATTACTTGCCAGCATCTTCATCCTCTGGAGATTTGGCAAGGAACAGCAGTGGTTCGCCGAGGCAGAAGATCGCTTCCCTACGACACATTTCGTCAAGACTCTCGACGACAATAATCTCCAACTGACCGAACAATACGGCGGTAAGAACCTAAGTTCCATCGAAGGCTTCGGAATCTTCTTCGACAAAGCCGGCGAGACCACTCCCATCGTCTTCAGCCAGTTCGTGCGCAAGCTCGTCAGTGCCCCCGAAGTCATCGTCTTCTTCCACCTCCGTCCCTTGGAAGTGCCGTCAGTAGCCTACGAAAACCGCTATTCCGTCTCGCGCCTCGCAATTCCCAACTGCTACCGACTCGTCGTCCGCCACGGCTACATGGACGAAGTCATCACGCCCGATCTCGCTTCTCTCATCTATGACAAAGTCCGCAATCACATCATCAGCCGCGCGCTCGATCGCGAGGGCGAGCGCCAATCCGCACCTACCAGCACTGGCACCGATGTGGGTGCGGCCACCGATATCAACAAGCTCAACGCGAAGTTGTCTATAGTAGAAAAGGACAGCTCAGTGCATCCGTCAGAACCAAGCGCGCGACAGGCGCCTACGCCGACCATGAGCGCTACGAGCACGACTGCGAGACTTACCGCGCTTGAACGCGCTTTCAACCATGAGATATTGTATATCATGGGTAAGGAACAGATGAAGGTCAGGGCGAGTTCGAATTTTGTACGCAAGGCGCTGGTCAATGCGTTCTTGTTCATTCGCGATAACAGCAGGACGAAGATCGCTAGTTTGGATCTTGACCGCGACCGTGTCATTGAGGTGGGATTTGTGAAGGACGTTTAGGGGATCCTGCGATAGGATTATGTCAACGGCCTCTTATATGTTAGTAGCGAGATCAGCTTGTACAGAAGTACACATATATACCCCTTGAATGAATACGATGTCTGGTTGATACCTCGCTGCCTATTTTGTTGTCCACACTTTGATGTAGCATGTGAAAATAGTATTTCATATATCCCGTTCTGGAAGTTGTATAGCACCCGATGGGATTAGCAGATTGCACGTGTAAGGTGGGTGGCTTCGGTTAGCACTCAACAAAACCCTCCCTCACGTTCAGCATTCACGTCCCCACGTGTGCGTTTGCCCTTCGCTGCGCATTGGCTTGAAGTAGTCATATCTACCTAAATGGTCAACTAATGTTACGATGCATTCGCGAAGTGGTCTAGCTGCTTTGAAACATCCATGACATCATGATTCAGGGCATTCATGTCGAAAGGTGCGTGCTATCAAACCCCAGGCAGATAGTCGTACCTTTTGGACCCCATTTTCTAGACCGGCCAGGCATGTGCGCAGCCAGGCTGTACGCCTGACGTGTTCAACAGTACAAGGTGGTGGCGCGGTCAGATGTGAAGACCACAAGGCTGCGCTGGCTGTGTCTCGCCAAGGCCTGCAAGCGCCTGCTCATGGGCATGCAACTCTGTGGATAGGCGACCCTTCGGTTCCCGGATTACTCTCACGAATTCTTCTCTACATTTCTTGCACAATTGTTTGCGATTTTTCGTCGTTCGACAAGTTGTTGCTTTTGCGGCGGTCATTTCTTAGGGTTGTTGTCTTTTTCGGCATCAGTAGTCATGGATATCAGCCCACTAGGTGTGCTGAGGGCAGTTATTCCTGAACTACCACGTATCGTCGCGGCAGTAGGCGTCGCTTTGCTGCGAATTTTCTCATTTGATAGGAAATGGCCCCAAGATTTCATAACCAACATTATTGTGATCTTTTCGCGCCCAGTATTAGGGACTCCAGCTTCGATCCTCAAGGCACAGGGCCAGTGGAATACGGACTTTGGAATATGGGGTCCCATGTGGATATCGAAAGTTGAATACCCCAAACCGGAAGATTATTCAGAGGGAGAGGAAAGTGTTCTGGGAGTCAAGGAAGCAGTGACGAAAGCCATTCGACATTTGGGAAATGGAATTAGCAATGAAATCGCGTCTGAAGTCGCTTCTGTCGAAGCCGAATGGACGGGTTATCGCTCAGGAGCCTTCTTCTTTCAACCGCGACCAAATCTGTCTGAGAAGGAGCATTATGAAAAGATGATGGATGAGATCGGCGTCGATTCACCAACCATACTCTTCTTCCATGGTGGCGCTTTCTGGTAGGTGTTCATCCACCTCTGACTAAATCGTATTCTGACAAATACAAGTTTGATGGATCCATCTTCCCACCGACTGACGACTCCATTTCTAGCCAAGGAATGCAAAGGTCGTTGTCTATCAGTTCGTTTTCGACTTTCGCCCCAGCATGCCTTCCCAGCAGCTCTTCAAGATGCATTTGTCGCCTATCTCTCTCTGCTCTCTCCCCCGCCTGGGGCCTTTCACCAGCCAGTCTCACCTTCGCGCATACTCATTGCTGGTGACTCTTCCGGTGCAAGCTTAGGAAGCTCCTTAACGCTACTTCTGATGACGCTGCGACGGCTAAATGTAACCCACATCCGGTTTCATGGCAAGGACGTAGATATCACTGGATCGACGAATGACCCAAGCGGAAAGCCACTGCCTCCTGTTGCCGGGTTGACCGTCGTATCACCATATCTTGACGTTTCTCGATCATTCCCCTCCGTGTATCGGAATGCCCAATGGGATATTCTCGCGTCTCCTCCCACACATGGCATACCTTGTCCCGAATTCCCACCTGATGCCATCTGGCCGGCCAACCCGCCACGTATTGAAACGTATTGCGAATCTAAACTGGTGATACATCCTCTTGTCAGTCCAGTGGCTGCTAAACCTAGCGACTGGGAAGGCGCGCCACCTGTCTTCGTGAATGTTGGCTGGGAACTAATGCAAGACGAGGCGGAAGTGTTTGCGAGACGATTGAGTGCTGGTGGTGCGAAAGTAGTCTTTGATGGCTACGAAGGAATGCCGCATTGTTTCCAGATGATGCGATGGAGCTGGCAGGGAAGGCGATCTCTCAAGAACTGGGGCAAGTTTTGTCGCGATGCCGTTAATGGAACGGTCGCTGAGCAAGATTACGCAACTTGGACGACTCGGTTTAACGTTGTAAAGAAACTCCCGCTGGCAGATTTGGCCAAGGAAGTAGATGAGGATGTGGTCGACGAGCTCCTGGTGGAGCAGAGAGATCGCAGGATACTTTTGGAGAAGGAGTTACGTCAGAAGCCCTGAACTCTCATTTTCGAAGGTTGCATGGATTAGGATATACCAAACTTGTGATATCATTAAATCTATAGACATCATTTATCATAGGCTTCTAGACTCTACGCGTGCTCCAAAACTCTAAATGTGCGGAAGCACCTCTAGCCAAGTGACCGACTTGAACGCATCCGGCGGCATGGCTCTCAGCGAAATAACATCCTCCACAATGATGTACATCCTTGCGAACAAGTACACCAGCCACGTGATCTGGTACAGAATGAGAGATTTCACCGAGGACCTCTCATTCGGCCCATCTCCATTCAACGTCCTGATACGCTCCATCTTCTCGTTGATGGGAAGAACCCATCGGTCCCAGCGCTCCCAGGCCTTCGATTTCTTTTTCGGCCGCCACTGGAACTTTGCGCAGAATGCCTCGAACTTCAGTAGTATCGTTGGAGTTTCGTCCGCAATCTGGAATGGCATGGTGAACCAAGCGGACATGATTGTGCCGAGTTGAATCAGACAGGCGATCCGCCACAATAGAAGTTCAGTCGCAGTCGGCAAGTGAAGATTCCAACCGGCCACCAAGATAACCGCATACGACATGTGAAAGAACATAAGAACAGGCAAAGTCTTCAGTGTAGGTTTGGGCCAGTAATCGTCGCGGATGCGCTCGATAGGTCGGGATTTTGGTTTCAAGACCGCCCACTTCATCTTCATCACCTTCTCGATGAATGTCAGCCCGTAGTACCAGTGTTTGTTCCATGGCCACTCTGTCTCCTGGCTAACGAACTCCAACGGTGTTTCCTTCCATGCAATATCCGTCTGGCCTTCGTTCGCGCGGATGTCTGCAATGCTGGTGTGCTCTCCAAGTGGGATCGTCACCCAGCTTTCCACGTCCATCGGCTTGTTGTACCAAAAGTACAATGTCCCCATCGCGGAGGGTATAAATGCCAGCGTCGACAGCTCTAGCGTAGTGAGAGATATACGTTCGTACAGGCGCGCGAAGCAATTCAGACAGAACCACAGCGTCTGCCCGAGAATCAAGAATCGTAGCAACCCGCTGACCTTATTCTTATCCAATATTGCCTTCTTCGTAATGGGCACGTATTCGATGTATTGATTTCGAACGAGAAAATGCAGCTGCGCGGCGTTGATCGGAAACGGCTTCTCGTCTCGAGGCACCAGTACAATGCCGCCCATGTTGGCGTAGAAACTATGCGTCATTGACCATCCTTCCAGCTTTGACTTTTCGAACTCTTTGGTCCAGCGTCGAGCGACGAGCCATTCGCCGAAGGCGCGCTGGCATACGACTTCGGGGCCCATGAGCGTCATCAGCGTCCAGAGGAATTTCCGCCATAGTTGTCGCATCAGAGAGTCGTTCTCGGCGGGGATGTTGAGGCAGAGGATCGACCAGCTGGAAAGTACCATCGTGAGTAGACATGACCATAGGATGTCCATGGATCCCCGATTGTCCGATCCGCCAACCCATCCGCTGTGTAGAGTGATGTTCTTCCCATCGTATTGCACCCAGGAATTCCCCGGCGGTAAATCGGTTGCTGAAGCCATACAAGACAAAAGAGGAAGTTGGCAATTGTTGCAGTATACTTCAGCCTGGAAGACAGGCGAAAGCCGGATGCAAATATTCCATTTCGAAAGACGCAAGGCTACATGAAGGGGAAGTAAGGCTTCCCGCGTCACAGCTTTCTGTCAGCTTGATCAACGACTTTGTGTGCAGATGGAGAGGTGCGAGAGAAAGGCTGTGCCATTGTGCCACCCTGCCACGCGGTCACGTTGTGATTGGCGGGGTGGCTTTGGTGATGCAGATTGTGTGCTTCATCCTTCTGTGGGGGCGGAAACTATCAAGCCATAACAGTGCTTTTTCTACGAGCAACACACAAGAACTCAAGTTATATTCCCTCTGTTCTCTTATGTTAGGTGTAAAATCTTCGTAGGAATTGCATTCATATCAGGAACAAACACTAATGCATAAGCGAAACCGTCAATGGAGAATATCCAGAAACTCGGAATGCCCCAGTTAGCGCGAGGAAATTCCTATGCTGTTGAAGGATTCGGAACGATAGGATCGTTACCGAATAAGGAATGGACATTCGACAGCAAGCTGACCACAAACTGTGGCGGAACCCCGCTGGCAGATTGTGGGGGATCAATCGGGAGGCATTTGGCGCTGGTGGCGCCTTTGTGGAATGCCTAAGGCTGAGGATTTGAGTGTTGCCTATGGATTTGTCACACTTAGCAAGACTGCTATGATTCATCGTGAGCCAGCCTTTGGTATTGAAATGGTTCGACACACAGTCGGAGTCGGTCTTGGACAATTAGTAAGTCGTATATATTTTGTTATGGACAGGACAGCTAACAGTGTGCAAAAGCGAGCTCAATCTTAGGAAGCAATCCGATGAGATTCAGATTTGTACGAAGTGTCGCTCTTTAAGTATCCCACCCTTATCGAATTAGACAAAGGTTCGTCTTCCTTGAGTTTAGATGTTAAGGATTATTTTATCGAACATGATTTGCAGAACTGGTTAACTTCCGTCTATTAGCCTACCTACCCACATTTCAAAGCCCGAATCTCACAGCATAAGATTTGACAATGGCAATGGAACGGTAAGAAGAGGGCCGCTGGCGGGCGACCTGAGCAGATCTAGCGTGATGGTACTCTCGATGGTCGATCATTTCATTTTGAAAGGCATACGCGAATAACCTTTTTTCCTTATTCCCATCTTCAGATTTACTTTTCACAGTACTGCTGAACGTATTATAACGATGCAGGACAAAGTGGTGTCAAAACACTTCTATCAAGCTGGGATGTCCTTCAATGTTTGCCAACAAGTGCTTTCGAAATCGGAAAATTAGCAGTTATATAAGGGCTAATCCCAGCCACTTTATACGAGTTCATGCCTATAAATCTTACTATTACCGAAAACACGTGATCAGGGCGTAGTCACAGATGATGTCACATTGGATAATGCATTCATTGTCTTTCCGGAGCCATAGTGCCAGTGACAAGCTTGTCAGGCCTATATCAGCTCTCAAAGTAGCATTGAGAGACAACTTTTAGGTCAAACATGTCTAAGCATAATTGACTAATTTGATGCGGGACAACGTCCAAGCAGCGACCCAGACCACTCCATGAGATGATAACCAATCACATACTGCCAAAGACTGCGCAACGAACCACTAGGTATAATGAATTGGGTAGTATAAAAATTGGCAATATCAGCAGATAGATAGTTACGGCAAGAATAGCTTCATCAAGTGTGGTAAATCTGGGATTGACGTCAACTCACGAGCAGATGGTTTCGCTGTCAAAGGTCACCTTGAAAATTACAATCAAATTCTGACCTTATAGTGAACATTTATGCGTCCCTATGAAGGTACAATCATGATAGTATTCCTGTGTTTCATTGCAGAGCCATTTGTTTATTCAGGACTGTGCGTTTAACTCAGCAAGCTATCATCGTTCGTCTATGCGCCGACAATGACCAGCCGCCTGACCAACATACAATGTTCGATAGTTTTAGTGCCAAGTAATAAATATCTTTTACCTAAGAAGTTGTCTGATTTTGTATGCCCGTTCACAATGATCCTTCGGAGTTCATTTTCACGAGTGTGGTGTCAATGCTTCATAAACGCCTTCCTATATGGGCTTTCGCCAATGTCAACCTCTGCAGCAACTTCACTGGGCAAAAGGTGTAGTACGTGATAGATCGATAAAGGCAAGTTGGAGCGCCAACACATACCTCTGTCAGCGTTGACCCAGTAGTCGCACGCTGAAGTCGCTCACAATAATGACTAGTATTCTTAACAGTGAATGGGCATTGTAACAATTGGCATCTTGGATTACTACTTAGACACACTAGATAGACACTAAGGCAAGGGTTGGTTACGCGAAGCTTGAACTAGATTAGAAGGAGTTGTTCCTTACGGAAACTGTCAGTGCTCTCTGTAAGACAACTTCAGGTTGTGATGTAAACTTACCGCAACTGCCTGAAACGACCCATTTGAGCAGAAACTCATTGTGATTCTAACTACTGCGTCTCCTATCGAAAGATTTTGAGCCCTTCATCAAACTCTTTCCCAGAGTGCAGTTGTCCCAATGCAATCAAAGTGTGTACTATAGCTTTGACCTTGGAATATCCTAATCCTCGTGTTTCCAAAATCTACCGGATCCTTCTACGCTCAATAATCCGTGTACATCGTGACTCGACAAGGTACTGCGTTGAGGTGTCAGAATTATAAGAGATTTGGAGTCGAAATACCCCTTGCAGACAATGGTCTCGCGTGCCCAGACGGATAAATTCGAAACACAGCAACGTTGCTGATATGAAGCTAAGAACGGTTCGGCCCTTTTAGATGTACAAATCCGTTCTTTATTGTGGGGTATCGCACTATACACGACTGACTTCGCAGATCTAGGTCGTGAGACCTGCATAAAGGATTCGCGCACACGGGAATCGCAGCGTAACCGAAGCCATGATCTCTTGGCTGCGGAAGATTTGGAAGCCTCCAAGTCCGCCTTACATTTTCCCTGCTTCTGAAGGAGCAGCCATTTAATGGGAAAAAAGACCAGACGAGATGTACGAGCTGGTTCCCTTTCAACGCTTCTGTGGGTCCGATGGCTCCACCAAGCATCAGCATATATGCGATATTAAGTTGATAGATGAATTTCTTGTTGGCAACCACTGAATTCAGCCGTTTGTATGCATGCACTCATTACATTTCACAAGCCTAACTGAAAGGATTCCTGGGCTGTTGGGCGCTAGATCCCGATGCATCTTGAACGACGTTCGGATGCGATGAGTTGGAAGGAGGTCCGGTTGTTTGATTGGTGATTATGGAATCCCTTCTGTAGCCGCAGACCCTGCGTTTCACTCCACGGCATGACCTTGCGTTTACAAACATGATGACTTCACCAAAACAACTATAATGTATTCATCACCGTTTGCGTCTGAATTGCCAATTGAGATCCTTGCCTGGATAGACCAGAGCCCTTATAACGGTGTATTTGAGAGAAAAGATCATGAAAAATAGTATTTCTGAGCTTTACATACATCATGTGCTACTTTACAAGTCGGTGAAATCTGCAGCTGAAGCAGCTGAAATCTCAGGCCACCATTGACTTGTGAGGGAAATATCTCACGTGGCTCAGCACAATATTGAATCTGACGGTGATACAAACCCGCTTATACTCCAAACAAACACCTATCCAGGATAATACCCCGTATACAATCTAGTTCGCCATGCAGACCGTCCTCATCAGAGTTCCACGAGATACTCGATGCCGCCGAAGGATTTGATCCTTCAAGAAAGCTATTACAATCAATAGCTGAATTGAGTCAAGAATAGTCGGCGAGGGCAACTATTGAAGTAGACAAACGGACCGACCTGAGGTCTTCAGTGAAGTATATAAACCTCTGGTTTCCTGGCCTTCCAACAGTATCATCAGCTCAAACTTCATCGCAAAGCCTTCTCAAGTACAAACACACAATCTCAGTGAGTTGAGATCTCTCCGGGTTTCATTTCTCACTAACAATTCCACAGATTGAAATCATGAAGCTCACGATCGGCCTCGTTGCTCTTGCCCTTCAGCTTACGGGCGTGGTTGCAGGAAGAACTCCGGACGAAGTCGCAGCTCTCACCGAGAAGTGTGGAGATCTTGGAGTTCAGCAGGTCCCCGAAGGGGCTGACCCCGCCAACTATCGTGACTGTGCGAACCATCCCCTCGGAAACAACTATCGCACCGCCAAGGAGCAATCTCTCAGCCCAGAGGAGGGTATCCATGCGCGAGGCGACGTGGCCAACATGAAGGGCGCCGATATCTTCAAAAGGAAGCAGCAAGCATGCGAGTGGAACAGTAGGGAGGGTTGCAGTGGCGGATACTGCTGGAAGTCTTGCGGCTCGCCTGGCGAATGGTGCTGGACCGCGGCTGGTGATGGAGGCGGCCCTTGGCTCCAATGCAGGAGCTACAACGACTGCAATTTCAGTGCAAACTGCGGAAAGGGATGCAAGCCAGGAAACAACTCCTGTGGCTGCAGCTGCTAAATGCGGAAAAGCAAGACCTGAAGAACATCTTGATGGCATTTGGGCGTCAGGGTATAGCAGTTGAAGAGAGTAGTTGTTGGGGTTAGTTCCGTGCTACAATTGTTGGAATGTTCGTCTGCTTTGTTACGTTCTGAAGTAATGAAACGAATCCAGCTATTAGGAAAGAATAAATCTTTGTCGCATGGCAAACACTTTTTCATCACTGTGATATCGTATGGGGTTGCTTTAAAGTGGAGTGAACTATCACTGCAATTGAATACCAAAACTCAGCATTATGTGACAACAAAAGAAACATAAGAGAAAGATATGCAGAGAGCACGTGAATAGTAGCAGGCACTATTTCCAATAAGCATATAGTTAAACATAATTATACAGAGGCATTGATATCTTAGTACAAAATCAATTGTCTTATAGTCTTGATATGAAAAGTCCTACCTACAATTTCCATTCATGAGTCCAGCTTGAAACACCATTCTTTTACATTTCCTGACAAACTCAGCACGAGATTATACTAAGGTTTCCTTCTAACAATGTATTTTCAGGGCACCAATTAGTAACTCGACCAGGCATTTTATCAGTTGACCATTTTAGTCTTACCAAAAGCTTGCAGAGTTTGTATTATTTTTATGACCGAATTGTATCCACGTCGCATCCAAGGAAAGTTTTCATTTATAGCAAGCAATCGCGTAGTAGTTCCAGAAACAATGAATGAGTGAGGTGTCATCTAATATCCACGCAACTTGAATAGCTGAATGTTGAGACTTGGTACATCTTGATTGGGATTCTCGTCATATTCGAAATGGTTCTGAAAAAGGACATCTCGGGAATGTGTACGTACTATTGTGTTAGTTTGCCTGGATAGCTGTTCTTATTTGTTGACCGTATACGCCGTACATATTATTGTATTGATAATGTGGAGTCTTCCAAGCTACTTCTTAATACTTGAGAAAATCAACAATAGACACAAGCAATAGAAAAAATATAGATGATATGGAGGATTCGGTGTATCCAGCCACCAACACTTAGATATCAGTTGATAAGCCTATAAGTTTAAATGTCAGGCCAGATATACGTCGTAAACCTCAACCTGTCTTAAACGTGATGTCATTTACTTGTATCATCGCCAATCTTTGAACTTAGACTAAGATACGAATCCCAGATAGCAATCCCAGTAGGTAACACCGGACAAAGCTTGATAGTTTCGGGGGGCGTAAACGTTACAGGGGCTAATGGCGGACCATAGGCCAGACGCTGACGAATCTCCTGAATAGTCGGATAGGAAATACGCGATTGGAATCTAGTGGCTTTCGATGGTCAACAACAGCCAATGAAGAGATAGAACGTCGGCCCGACGTAACACGCTACCCCACAGTATCGCCAGACGGTGAATGACTTAGTGGGTCGGTTCGTACGCTGCCACTGGCGCTCTCCCGTGACCGTCTCCAGAAAGAGTAAGTCCATGCGACCGCCTTATCTTGGTGTGTGAAGACCCCATTTTCTATTATTCAACCGTTCACACATAGTCATCGACTGTTGTCCATCGAAATCGACAAGATTCTCCAACCTCATTCATCCCATTGTTCACATCGAATTGTTCCATCCGTACTATACAACAGCATCAAACTCAAACCTCAGTCTGTCTGTACCTGACAGACACCAGTTTCAACACCCCATTCACTTCTAGTCTAACCCACCCGTCTCTTGCGGGCCTTTGTACTGGGATGGAAGTTGTCGCGACCCTCATTTTCAAGTACCATCTGCAACACTTGTGTTTTGATCGTGGTTGAATCAGCCTATCAATTCCGACGATACTACCAACTACTACCACCACTACGATCATCACGATATGGCAAGACAGAGAGTCCGAGTCGTCAAAGGCTCGTGCTGGCCCTGCAAGAAGCGTCGCGTAAAGTGCGACCTCGAAAAGCCAGGCTGTCAACGATGCTCCCAAGCGGGTACACCCTGTAACTACAATACCCACTTGATCCGCTGGAGCAATCGGCCAAGTGTTAGCGTGGAACCTGTGAAGGTTGAGGGATACCAGAAGCACGACTTCCAGATAACGACCTGTCTGTTCGACCGTGAGCAGAGGGCGCTGGCCTATTTTCATGTTCGCGTCTGGCCACTACTCAGCACAGCTCCGGACCCGCCAGCACCTTTCCTGGAGAACCGTGTCATTCTTCTTGCAACTTGCGTCTTTGCTGCTACCCATCGATACCTCCAGGAGGGTCAGGGCAAGGAACTGATTACACCGGCACGATCTGACTGCATCGTTGCCCTTCGCCTGCAGGTCCAAGACTGCTCGAAGCAAGGACGAAAGACTTTACTGAGTCTACTCCTTGCTGTGCTTCTTCTCTACATTCACGATGGCTTAGTCGAAGGATCCGCGGAATCCGCTACAGCAACCCATCATGCCGGTGCTATGGCTATTCTGAAGCAGCTCGGTGGCATTACTTCAATCTTAGGAACGTGCCACGACTCCATGAGCATGATGCTGTCTGAGTTTGCCTCCGCCGACCTAACAACAGCATTGCTACAGCAGTCTACGCCCGCCTTCGCCGCGGAAACATGGGACATGATTGATCTTGGACCGGTCTGGTGGGCGCGAGACCCTTTGAAACGCTGCTCGCTCGCCGCTGTTTTCCGGGAGATGTCATCCATGGCGACGTACCTTTCGACCATACAGCTGGGCATCGACGAACTCTCGACTGACCGAGTGCGAGAATTCGAAGCGTCTCTCGGACTCATCATCGACGATGCAGACGGCATAAATCCTCTCTTCCTCGACCTTGGGTCTTTGCAGCCTAGCCATGGAGATATTCCACCGGAAGAAGCATTTCTGATGATCCAGGTCTTCCAGCAATCTGCCTTGGTTTTCCTGTACCGCGCAATCTGTGGCATGGCACCGAACCACCCGCTCGTTCAGCAACACGTCGAGGCCTGCTTGGATAGTCTGGAGAATTTAGGGCACAACTCGAGCATTCTGCACTGTATCATCTTTCCCCTATATGTCTGCGGAGCGCATGCTATGGAGCCAAAGAGACAGCTCGCAGTTGCGAGATTGGTCGAAGTGATCTACGACAGCATGCGATTTGCATCAGTGCGTGCGATTGGAAATGCTTTGAGGGATGTTTGGCGGTATGAGAATGAGGACAGCACGTGGAGCGAGATGTTTCAGTACCTCAGTCCGTCTGTTATTGTGCTTTGAACCAATTTGTATGGATGTGTTCTTGTTCACGAATGTCTTCGATCTTGATGCGATTTTGATATAATGTACGTAACGCACTGATTATTTTGTAATTCTGACATTCATTATGAATTTGATTCTCATTACTTCATGCTCGACTCTATAATTTCGATCGTACAGCCATGTTCACATGGATAGCCTTGATGTTCGAGTAAGCCGCCAAACCTGCCTCACCCAGTTCCCTCCCAATCCCACTGGCCTTGACGCCCCCGAATGGAATGCGCCAGTCGCTATCATTGCTCGAATTAATCCACACCATACCCGCCTCGATCCGCCTCGCCACGCGATGCGCCCTCGTCAAATCCGTCGTAAAAACGGCGGCTCCGAGTCCGTACTGCGTGTCATTGGCCAATTCCACCGCCTTGTCTTCCGACTCGAACCGGCCGATAACAACGAAGGGTCCAAACACTTCCTCCTGGAAGATCCGCATCGTTGGCGACACGCCCGTGAAGACAGTCGGTTCGATGAAGAAGCCTTTGTTTGCAGCTGTCGGTCGCTCGCCGCCCATCTCCAACGTCGCGCCTTCGTCCTTCCCGATGTCGACGTACGATCTGATGCGGTCGTACTGCGCTTTCGTCACCTGTGGACCCTGGAACGTCTGCGCGTCGAACGGGTCCCCGACTTTCGACACGCTTTTCACGCGCGCGCGGAACGCCGCCACGAATTTGTCATAGAGGTCGCTCTGTACGAGGATCCTAGACGTCGCGGTGCAGATCTGGCCCTGGTTCGACATGATGCCTATGTGTGCCCACTCCACCGCGTTATCCAAGTCCGCGTCGTTGAACACGAGCAACGGACTCTTGCCTCCTGCTTCGAGGGTGATGGACTTCAGGTTGCTGCTTGCGAGCTTCATGATTTGCTTCGCGGTCGCGGCTGAGCCTGTAAACGCCACTTTGTCGACGTCCATGTGTGTGGCTAGGGCGGCGCCGGCGACGGGGCCGTAGCCGTTTACGATGTTGATTACGCCCGGGGGGAATCCTGCCTTTTTGATGAGTGTGGCGACGAAGAGGATGGAGAGTGGCGTTTGCTCGGCGGGCTTCAACACGACTGTGTTGCCGCATGCTAGAGCTGGGCCGAGCTTCCATGCTGCCATTGAGAGGGGGTAGTTCCATCTATGATAGCGGAGGTTAACTCAAATTCTATGGTTTTGTGATTATGAACGACGAGGTGATGCTTACGGTATAATCTGCCCACAAACACCCACCGGCTCGCGAACTGTGTATGCGAACTTCGCCGGCGTCGTCTCAATGACCTGTCCGAAGATCTTATCCGCGTACCCAGCATAGTACAGCAGCGTCTCCGACGTTTCCACGAGGTCTTCATTCAGCGCGACCGAGTAGGGTTTGCCGTTATCCCATGCCTCGATCGTTGCCAGCGTTTCGCGGTTCTCTTCTATGAGCTGGACGAGCCGTCGCATCAGCTTGCCGCGGTCGGTGCCGGACATCTCGCTCCATGATGGGTCGCGGAGGGCTTTGCGGGCTGCTTTTACGGCTTTGTCGATGTCGGATTCTGAGGCGGCTTCGACTGTGGCGATGGCTTGTTCGTTGCTATGTCTTCTTGTTAGTGTCTCGGGTCCTACGTGTGTATAAAATGTAGGATGTGGACTCACGATGGATTTATACTTGTGATGACGCCGCCATTTGACGACGGGTGCCATTCATTGTTTATGAAAAGTCCCAGAGGCTGGGTGTAACGATGGCCATTTGGCGCTGTGAGTTCGACTTGTAGCTGCTTCGACATCTTGTCATATGTTGTAGCTACAGGCAAATTGCAGGTTGTAGATTGAGGACAAGGAGAGGAGCAGAAGGAAGAAATTGGAATTGAGAAAGAAAACAGAAGAACAGGGCAACAAAAGCTGGGGAAGCTCCAATAGCTATTCGCTTGCCCCATCTGCCCTATACCTCATTTTCGTGCTATAACTTTTACGTAGCTATCCACCTTTCATCCCAATCTCCCTTCAACCGTCCGTACCCAGGCGCAGCGGCGCAATTCCGATCCCGATATCGCCCTACAATTCGTCAAATCGCAAGCAATTCAATAACAATTATCTTATCGAATCTCCAGCCCTGCGCTCTCTATATATAAAAAGGGAAAGAAACTAGGCCCTTAGATCAACATCTGCTGTCGTTTCGGAAGTTTAGTTGGGCTGTCGCTGATATGGCAGAATAGACGCTGGTGACGCTCTACTTAGTGCCCGGGACGTTTGATGTCGCCGCAGGGCGCGCTAAGGCTCGATTAAGCAGGAAAAAGGTCCCAGGACATTGGGGTGTGTCGGGGGCAGTGGGGGGAGGGCCCGGCCGCGCGCACGCACGCACGCACTGATCTGGATGGGTCGGATCCCTGTGGCGATGTCACGGTGCATTGTTCGTGTTGTATTATTACTGGGGGAGTTCTGTAGAGATGAACATATTTCAGTACGTAATTGATAGCAATGGCTTCTTGGCGGCGCTGTGGAAACCCTGGGATTGCTTGCAGGTTCCCCATGGGGAGGTTGGATTCGGTCTTGGGTGTGCACGCGGATTGCGGGGAAGGCCATGTGCTTTGAATTGCATAAGGCGTTTTATGTGCGATTCCTGTAGAGGAAACTCATGGCGATAGGGCTTAGGGAACACCAGTGAGCGTTTTCTGTTGATGATAGAGACTGCGTACACTAGCTCTTCTTAGACGCCGATACGGGAGACATTCTACTCGTAGCTTGAGATTGAGAACAAAATTGGTAAATTATTGATAAGAAGAAATTAACTGAGTATACACGAAACTGTCCGCTTATCCAACTAAACATCCTATCCTGCCGCCTTACAAGCCACCGTGCTCTTGCCTGGCTTCCCTGTCCTTTGCGTTCATTGCGTGTTGCTCCTCAACCAGCTCCACGCGCCTTGCATAGATGACGCGCTCCTCCGCCTCGTCCGTCTGTAGATATGACTTGCTACCCCTGATGACCCAGAAACTGCAAGTGATGACAAGCATGATGCCGAAAACCGCAATAGCGTAGTTCATGTCTGATCCCGACGGGTTGGGTCCGTCGGGGAAGAAGAAGAACACTGTAGTGATGGAGCAGTAAATGACGGACACCCAGTTGACCACTGGGCCGAAACGTCCGAGCCTGAAGGGGCCGCCCGATGGGAGCTTGTCGCGACCGACGAGAAGCAATGTCAAGATGGGCATGGCGTAGGAAATCGTCAGTGCGATTGTGCTGACTCCCAAAATGGCCTCCAGAACGGTATCAGCAAAGGTGTAGAGAACACCAACAAGACCGATGATACCGCCCTGAAGCCAAAGTGCGCGGACGGGTGCCTTCCAGGTGTTGTTGACTTTGCCGAAGTAGCCGCCCCAGGGAATGCCTCCATCACGGGCAACACCCCATGTCAAACGTGAAGCTGTGGTGACCAGACTGATGGCCTGTCCCATGCCGTTGAAGATGAACAAAGCAAGGAGAACAGTTGATCCAGTCAGGCCGACTGTGCCTTTCAGAAGATCCATGAATGGCAGTCCAGTTGATGCGTTGACTACATCATCGATGCTCTGGATGGAGAACAGGCAGACCATCATGAAGATGAAGCCAGTTACCGCACCAAGCGTGACTGAAAGCCACATGACACGTGGGATATTGGTCCTAGGAGAAGGAACCTCCTCCACAAGATGGACTGCAGCGTCGAAGGCCGTCAGTCCGTATGCGGCCTGGACCAAGCCGATGAACCAAGTGACACCATCACCCCAGCCGCTCTGGTTGATCCAAGTTGCGAACACGAACTTCGCTGGCTGGAACTTGTACTCTTCTTTGATGCCGACAGAGATGAGGAGCGCGAGGATGAAGATGAAGAAAAGCGAGATGAAGCAGATACCGACGAAGTTGTTGAAGATCGGGAGAATCTTGTCCCTGCGGCATGCTACGACGTTGAAGAGGGTCACTACTAGGGTAATGGCCAAGTAGAGTAGGAATTTGACCCAACCATGAGTAGACCAGTCTGGCACATACAGTACCTTCATGGCAAGGATGAAATCTGTCATGAATGCCAACTGCGATGCTGAAAGGGTCCACCATCCAAAGGTGTTGATCCAGGCACAAAGATAGGAGACGAATCGTCCCCTTGGCCAGAGTCGCGAGATCCAGTATGCCTGTCCAAGAGCTGTAGGCATCGCACTGCAGAGCTCAGCCAGGGACACTGCAACGCATATGTTGCAGATAAAGACCAATACCAGACCCCAGAGGATGGTGATGGGGCCTCCGCTCGTCAGTCCACTGTTGAGACCTTGGGCGAACGTCGACCAAGTTCCCAACACAGACACGGAGAGGAAGAACATGCTCCATAGCCCGAACTTGCGCGACAGGGTCTCGTCGTGACCCATGTCAGCGAGGTCGCGAGCATCTTGCACAGCTTGGAACGAGTTCCTCTTCAGCGGAGGCTGCGAGTCGGTTTCGTGATCCATTATTGCGGAATGTGCGGGAACAACCTGGTGAGGTGTAGAGAATGGAGTATGGTGATGACGCGCTTGGAGGTGGGGTTCATTTGCAGGTTACAGAAGATAGAAGGAATATTGTGTGTTGGATGAGGAGGAGGCGTTGAGGCTGTGGGTGGCAGGGCTCATATATGTGCTATGCGGTCACAAGAAGCGATGATAAGAGACTCGTTACAGAAAGCCCAGTGCGGAATATCGCTCACGAGCGTGCCTTGTCGTGTCGCAGTCCTCCAACTTGCTTGCCAATATCTTAACCGGGACGATCGTCGTTTCTCCTCTCATCTCGGCACTAAGAAGATAAGAATTCCGATGGCGGATGTGTGGCTTTGGGGGGGAAGAGGGGTGTCCAGTCCAGTGCACAGAGAGAGCTTACCGTACCGTAATTATTTCTCCCTTAGTTAGTCTTATCCGCTAGTTTTGGGCGTCTGTTGTGTCTTGTGTCTTGTGTCTGGGGTTCGGCTCGCTCGCAACCCGCTTCCCAAGGTAATCAAGGTTGTGTCCAGGTTGTTGGTCGCTTGCCCACGCTTTGTCTCGATTGGGAAAGAAATTTGCCCACGATCTCTGGCCACGCTAGAGTTGGTGTCGGTGGCACGGTGGCCGCCGACTTTGTCAACTAAACCCTCCGATGACTTCCTACTCGGATTCGAGCTGTAGGAAAGCCTTGACACATCGTGCATTATCAGGAGGATCCGTGCCATAATGGACCCCGGATGTATTCGGCGTGATTGTCACGCGCTGGGGTTGATTACCATCATTGTTCTCTAGTATATAAGTTCATCCCATGTCCCTATGGAATACTTTCTCTCTACTCAGTTCACTTGAATTCAATTCAATCCAAATACGAACAATCAAAACTGCTTCACGACTATTACGTGACCAAGACACCTTGTCTGACTACGATTACACCTTGATGGAAAGTTACAGCAAATACGAATTTCAACATGATCGCAGATACATCTTCGATTGCGGGTTACACAATTTATCGGGAAGAGGCCAACGACGCCGCTCCAGATTTATCAAAGGCCCGCTTAGCCCATCCTCTCGGTGAGTTGCTATGGAATCAATGTTTGAAATGTCGAACATTTCGCTAACATTTTTCTTTGAACGTAGATCAGCTATCGATTGAAGAGATACGCGTCGCTTCTGGCCTAATCCGCCAGTATGCTAGCCCAAAGACCCTTAAATTCAACTGCCTTACTCTCCGAGAGCCCAAAAAGAACGAATATGCTGCTTTCCGCTCTGGAAGTGCTCCTCGTCCCGACCGTCGCGCCTTCGCCATTATTATTGAGAAGGAGACGGCTCAAGTCGCCGAAGTAGTCGTCAACCTCGCCACTTCGAGCGTTGAGACTTGGAAGCCGGTCACCGATGTGGCCCCAACTTTGACCCTTGAGGATCTCGACATCTGCGAGACGGTGGCTCGCGCCGATCCCCGGGTCATCGAAGCATGCCGCGAAATCGGCATCACCGACATGTCCAAAGTCTTCATTGACGCATGGGCTGTCGGTTTCGACCACCGTTGGGGTCTTGATCGTCGTCTCCAGCAGGGTATCATCTACTACCGCAACTCTGCAAACGACAATCAATATGCCCACCCTCTCGACTTCAGCGTCATTGTAGACACTGAGAAGGAGGTCGTGTTGGCCGTTGACATCCGCCGCGTCAATGGCGAGCGCGTCAAAGTGCCCCTTGAGGAGCACAACTACATGCCAGAGTTCATTGGCGATACTTTCAAGAACAAACTGAAGCCCATCAGCATTACTCAGCCTGAGGGTGTTTCGTTCCAATTGATCGGCAATGAGCTCCTCTGGGCCGGATACAGAATGCATATCGGCTTCAACTACCGAGAGGGCATTGTCATCTCGGACGTTCGCATGCACGATCAGTACGAGGGAAGGGAGAGATCCCTTTTCAACCGTATCAGTGTTGTTGAGATGGTCGTCCCGTACGGAAACCCCGACCCTCCTCACCACAGGAAGCACGCATTCGATGTCGGCGAGTACGGAACGGGTCTCATGACCAACTCCTTGAAGCTGGGATGTGATTGCAAGGGAGTAATCCATTACTTGGATGCCGTTATGGCCACTGGAAGTGGAGAGCCCGCCGTAGTTAAGAATGCTATCTGCATTCACGAAGAAGACAACGGCCTGCTCTACAAGCACACCGACTACCGCGATGGCACTGTCACCTCAGCTCGTGACAGGAAGTTGATCATTTCGCAGATCATTACTGCTGCGAACTACGAATACGCCTTCTACCACATATTCACTCTCGACGGAACCTACAAGCTCGAGATCAAGCTCACGGGTATGCTGAACACCTACTGCATGGCTCCATCCGAGTCTGCTGCACCCTACGGCACCGAAGTCGCACCCGCGATCAACGCCCACAACCATCAGCACATCTTCTCCCTCCGCGTTGATCCCGAGATCGATGGATCCAACAACTCCATCCTGCAGAGCGACGCAATGATGAGTGAAGCTCCCCTCGGCTCCGCCGAAAACCCCTACGGCAACGGCTTCTACTGCAAGAAGACGCCCCTCCGCACCTCCAAGGAAGCCGCCACATCCTACAAGCACGAGACGAGCCGCTCCTGGGACATCATCAACCCGAACCGCCTCAACCCGTCTGCCAAGAAACCCGTCGCCTACAAGATCCTCAACAACAACTGTCCCTCCATCCTGGCCAAACCCGGCAGCATGGTTCGCAAGCGTGCCGCCTTCGCTCAGGAGAGCCTCTGGGTCGTGCCGTACAAAGACTACGAATTGTTCCCCGCAGGCGACTACGTGTGCCAGTCCGGCGGCGACGAGGGACATCCGCACAACTCGACCATCGTCGATTGGGTCGCGAGAGACGAGCCGATCGAGAACACGGATATCGTGTGCTACATCCAGTTCGGCCTGACGCATTTCCCACGTACGGAGGATTTCCCCGTCATGCCTGCTGAGCCGGTTAGTGTTATGTTGAGGGCTTCGAATTTCTTCCAGAAGAATCCAGCCTTGTGGGTCCCGCCCTCCGCGGTCGTGAAGGATGATGTTTCGAGGTATGCTTCGGATTTGGTTAATGATCTGAAGGCTCAGTGCTGTGCTGGGTCGAGTGGTTCCAGCAAGCTATAAGTATCGTGAAAGTTCTGGAAATTGGCAATTATAGGCAAGTTCGTTATCAGTAGCAAAGCAGGTACTCTCAACTTAATCTATACCATCGACACTAAATGCTATGATCAGTGGAATGTATTGTCGGCGTGCACTATAAGTGATTTCAGAGACCAAGTAGGAAGATCGGATGTCAAATTTAAACACCGTCAGACCCTTGATACAACGAGGCTAGGCACATCGGGCCAACACCCTGCTAGAGTTGTATCCCTACAACTATATATTTCCGAGGCCTAGAGCTTGCTAATGGCTGCAGTATACTCTCGAGTAGCTACTTTAGGGATAGAAGGTGCATGAAGCTAGTAGGTAGTCAGCCGGGTGTGCCTACCTCAGTACAAGGAAGACTTTCATCTATGGAGTATGCTGCAAAGAAGGTAGTGGAGGTTAAAGGGTATATATATGCTATCAGATGTACGGCCTGAAATGCTTCTCTTCTGTGCTATGGAGTCGATCTCTACGGAATTATATCATTGCCCTCACCATTACCTCAATTACAACGTACTGGTGTCTCGTACTGAAATATATATGAGATATCCATTGTGTTTGGCCAGCCCATCCGATACCGAGGTAGCCTATCCGAATTTAGAGCCCGAGCATGCATGTTCAATTCTTGACTTTCTCACTAGCTCCAGAGCTAATACTCCACGTGGAGCTAATATGGATGTCAGTCCTTCCTGTTGTCACAATGTGTTTCATCATTTGCACTTACAAAGTCCTTGTCGATGTCTGCTCCATGCCTTTCGAGCAAAGAAATCATCGAGTCTAGCCCATCTTCCTCCGCTATTCGAACACACTCTTTGACTGTGCTCAAGTTTCGTAGATGTGCGCCCCTTTCAAGGAACAGTTTGAACATTGCCGTATGTTCAAGCCTGACGGCATGGACAAGTAGGCTTTCGGAACCAATTGGAAAACGAGCATCGACGCCAGCATCTAGTAAAAGGCGTATGAGTTCCAATGACCCGCATTGTGCTGGCTCAGTCAAATCCATCAGCGGAGCAACATCTTTAGACAAGAGATACCGGACAATTTCCACGCGCCCGTCCGCTGCAGCTACAGCGACCGATCCCTTAGGGTCTGCTCCGTGTTTTAGCAGTAGCTTGACCATATCGAGATGACCAGCTCTGCAAGCCATGGACAATGGCCCTGTTTCTCTGGATCCAAGGCCCTGTACGTTTGCGCCAAGCCGAATCATATGGATGGCCATTTCCAGATGTCCCAGTCGAGCACATTCGATCAGTCTTTTATCGATGTGAAAGCCCCATGTATCTCGATTCTCTCGCCACCTTTTTTGGCTCGGGACTTCCATTATTCGATGGACCGTAGGCGTTGGGATGAGCTCTTCAACCAATTGAAACGCCCTGACGCTCGGTGTATTCAACGCCTCATAGAGGACTAGCTCTCTCATCTCGAGGCTGTTAGAATCGCTCAGCCTCCAAGGGACCTCGTCGATCTGGAAGCTCCACACGAACTTTATGATGTCATCTTCTCTGCCCTGCTTTGCCACCTCTCTGAACATTTGCGCTCTCATATCTGCATTCACGGTTGCCGTTCCATCGGTCATATATAGCCCCAGCGTCGTTTCATTTCCGTACCTGGCTGCCATAGTGATGTGTGGGCCGAAGTAAATACTGCGCACATTGGCAATAGTTACTTCTTTCCTGATCTTGACCCAATTGGTAATGAACGGAATGTCATTGGTAACCAAAGCGACCCCTATCGCGAAGGCTTTATCTTCAAATCCCGCGAATCCTAGACTGGAAGTATAACTGGAAAATTTCCCTGCAAACTTTTCTGGATCTGGATAGTAGTCGAATGCTCGAATCAGTCTCTTCTTGCAGTCCTCGACGGATGACAGGTCTGCGTCGTTGACGTCCCTTTCGTGGTACATCTTCGTCGCTGCTTCGTGCAAGGTAGCCCGAACATTGGGTTGATGTTCCGGCGGACCATGTAGAAGCTGGTGTTCGACGTATCGGATCAGAAATTCTCGAGGTACGGGTTCCCGCGTCCGAGGCCGAACACCTCTGAGGAGACCGTGTGCACATATAACGTTCAAGACCTCGCGTGCAAAGCTCTCTTATAAAATCGTCAGCTTGGTGCCCCTGTTCTCGATGTCCTTGTCGAGGTTTGATACTTACTATTGACGAGTCTCAACCGCAATCCCCTCCTGATCCCCCGCTCCTTGATGGAGTGGTGCAGGATTATGTCGTATATCTCGTTGGGGAATACCGTCATGATTGTTGCTGATTCGATCGCTTCGTTTTCACGGCTGTGAGGAAGATGATAGCTATGGCTAAAGTGGTAGCGGAAGATGGAGATTTATCAGAGTTTTCACTTGTGAGAAGAAAAGATCATTGATCGCAAGGCTGTGTGATTTTTGAGCTGAGGTGCGCGCGTAAAATGTCCGCTATCCCGCTTCGAGAGCTGTTGGTGAAACATCGCTTGGACTCCAGCCAATGATGGTTGTTCCACCGCATAGTTAGGCAATCGATACTTGAATTATAGCTAGGACTGGATTCATCAATCCAAATGTAATCATTAGGGACAGTCCTTGCGGATGGAAGTAGAACCAGAGGCCGCCATTTTCTTGAAAAGATTGCCAGTGAAGGGAAAGGAGCACAAGTTCAAACTACAACCTTAAGTAGCATTGCTATTTTGCCAGCAGGTTGCATATCAGAGCCAACGCAGATGAATACCGTAATGCCTAAGCCAAGATACTGTAACTTCAATTGTACGAGCAATCCTGAACTTGAATCAGCGGACTTATGGACCCTACACGAGATGATGCTTTAAATGTTGAAGGGGAGATTCTTCTCAGTTGGGCTACTATCACGTACGAAAGGGCAGCTTTGTCATGTCGACAGCGTATCTTAAGCCCAAGATAAAAACGTTTTGCTTCAGCACATTTCCATAGGTTCTCAATATTATCAGCGAATTCATTGCTCCAATGTCTTTCCAGACTATTCAATGTGTATATATTAATCCTGGACGGTATAATGTTCGCCAAACCCAAACCCCAGGTCACCTAAACTGATATTGACATTGCCATGTAGATGCCTCAAGCTTAACAGTCCTACGTCCATACTATAGACTGTGTCCAAAAGCCTAGGGTCCTGAACGAGACTTTTCCGGCGAAACTTATTCAAACCCGTAGCCGACGATGACTACGAACATAGGCGTCTGTTCTAGGATTGCAACTGAGGAGAATGTATCTTATCGAAATCAGGTGACGCATGAATTGCCACTACCCTTGGGCCAAATCACGAACTGGATCATATGGTAGAGATCGTGGGACCGTTACGGATGCCGATGCAGATGCTGTTGGTCGGATAGCTGGGTTCTCTTCAGTCAACGCACTTGGTAGCAGAGGTAGAGACATGCCTACTTACCTTTCGCATAGTCTATTGCCCGTATCATTCGCCAACTGATTATGTTTTCATCCACCGCGGGGATGTTTTCGTTTCGAAGAGCTTCATTTACCCTTTCCCACAAGGCTTCCTGTTCCATGTATGGAAGGCCTACCCATGAGGTAGGATATAACTTGACGAGTTCTTTTGCCTCAGCCAGAGTGATTCGCTGAATCATCAGCTAGAAGTCGGTATTACTCCGCAACATTCGACTTACAAAGAATCTTTTCCACTGAGGATTGTTCAGGCCCGTAAGTGCCTGAACTTCGTCTGAAGAAACCTTCGAGATTGATGCCATGAGTGAATTGAAGTTTTTGGTTGAGGGTTTTCTACTTAAATATGCAAAAGGCGGGGATCGGTGCTGGACAGCAGAAAACGTGCTGGACAACCCAAAACGTGCTGGACAGCAGAAATCGTGCAGCACGACAAAAATCGTGCAGCAAGACAGACATCGTGCAGCAAGACAGACATCGTGCAGCAAGACAGACATCGTGCAGCAAGACAGACATCGTGCAGCAAGACAGAC